CCCTAACCCTAACCCTAACCCTAACCCTAACCCTAACCCTAAGGGATACCACTGCTCGCACTACCGCTTTTGTGAGCCGACACTGCATCACAGCCCAGGATCCAATAGGCCGAGAACCTAGTGGCTACCGCCGCTCACTCGAGAGGTATGACTTCAAGCAGATTTCATCCACGTCAGTGAAGTTCATAGGTTATTGTCGTCGTAATGGCGCTCGCATTCAGCCTATGTCCACGTGCACTCGCTTCTTCGGCTGTGTTGTCGTTTCGGCGTCTGGCCAGAAAGATGCGAGTAAGACATCGCGAATAGTGGTCCTCCTCGCGGGGTCCCATGCCAACATGTTTCTCAAAAGGGTATACAGCTGATTTGTGGGCACATTCAGCTCCTGTAACAGCACGAGTTGCGTTTGTCTGCTGATCATGCCGTTGCGAAGGCGGCGAAATGGTCGGTGGAACATCTCGAAACCGATGATGCCATAGCTGAAAACATCTGCTTTGTCGCTCCAGTATCCCCTTTGCGATATCCCCTCTTTCAGCTCATAGATCTCAGGAGGCAGGTAGCGAAGAGTGCCCTTGTAATGATTTTGACAGCGCGTCTGAGTTGTTGAATGCCCAAAGTCGGTAATGACTACACGGGAGTCGTTGGTAATGAGGATATTGTCGGGCTTGATATCGCGATGAATGACGCCGCAAGAATGGATGTGCCGCAGACCCTGTGCCCCTTGATGGAAAGCGCGAAGTAGTTGACTCTTGTCATTGGGAGTTCTCAGCCACTCCGCAAGGGTGCGCGGTGCATACGGCGAAAGGATCATGTAGAGTTCCTGCACTCTTGCGGCGCCAAGTGTGAAATGTTCGACTAAGCAACAAATATGTGCCTCGAGTATATCAGCCTTCACATCGAATAGGAATGGGGACACTCACATGCGTCTGCAACGCCTCGAAAATCTCCAGTTCTTTCTCCACCTCCTTCATGGTGTCGCGAGACTTCTTCACCCTCTTCACCGCGTAGACATCACCGGTTGTATCCTTAACGCAGGCTGAGACCACACCATAAGCGCCGGCTGCTTGAGGAGTTTGGAACTGGTAGCCATGGAGAGTAAAGTACTGATCGGATGGGGTAGGGTCAAGAGTCTCGATGCGATCCCCAACGAAGTACGTCGAGAGTTCTGCAATCTTGTCAAGTTGGGCGAGGTACTCTGTCCTGCGATGCTCATGAAACTGCAACTGGAAAGAGAGATTTCCGATTGTAAGTCCGGAAGTGCGCCGCGTCAACGCTGCGGTCCCGTTCTGGACCTTCACGCCATCAAGAATCACGTTCTTCTTTGGGGGCACTTTCAACATCAGGACTCTCGTTTCGCGATGATATACAATCTGCGCATGTCGACTACGCACGCGATCTCTCCTACCATCCACGGTCACCAGGAAATCCACATCTGGATCCGACAGAGCTTGTCGACCGCTGCCGATAACCCAGCCACGAGCAAAGCGCTTTGGTTGAAGACCAAGGCTCAGCCGGAAGTAGCCAGTATATATGCTTCGCGACGTAGAGCTAGGCTCATCCGACTGGTCATCATCTCCGAAGTTCTCTTGCTCCTCGTCAACATGGATATAGTTGCGAGCGTGAGGGTTCCACTCGGGGTCTGCGGATCTTAGTCTTGCGAGCTCATCAAAGGCCAACTTCGCGGAGTCGTTCACGGGCACAAGCTGTGCAAAGTCGAAGTCGAAATTGTCAGGGGTATCCTCGGAGTCCTCACGCGCTGCTCGTTGCTCGGCTTCGAATTCGGACAGTGTCTGGGTATCTCCGGACATTACACTGGCTCAATCGGCAACCGGAAGCAAGCAAGACCGAGCGACAGGACTAGAAAGGAAGCAAACCAGGCAGAAGGCCTCAGAGAGCGAAGCGCGAGACTTTATAGCGCGACAGGCGTCAGCGCATGGCGCGATGACTCGAGCACGTGGTTCGCATGTTGGAGGGCAGCAGGCAGCAACTGCGCTTCACGCGTCGCGATTGTCAGCCTCGTCATACTTGGCAATAAGCCTCGTGACGCACGGACCAACATTCCCGCCACCCTTGGCGTGGACAACCTCACCTCACCTGCGGACAACAATCGACTACCTTTACCAAACATAGTTCCTGCGATCGTGTTGCAAATTGAATACTCGAACTCGACCTACCTCTTACTATCCCATGAACGACGAACATGCCTCGCACACGAGGCACACAAACTTATGACGGCACGCTGAAGCTGGATGGTCTACGCGCCCAACAAACAGTCAACAGAGCCATCGGCAAGCTATGGCAGTATTCCGAACGACAAAGCCGGCCGGCGCGAGATCGTAGACTGTCGGCATTTCAAGCCTACTTCGAGAACTACCTCCAAAGCCAGGCCGATGACGACGCTCGAAGCGACTTGAGCCCGACGCCATCGCCTCGGTCTTCACCACCACCTCCTCCTGATCGCCGCCCTGTCTCCTCTTCGCAACGCAGACTCTACCGCCGTCGACAGAGAGCAGAAGGGACGCAGATCTGGCGTATATCCGCTCGCTACGGCAACAAGAATACGCAAACCCGATCCCAGCCAGTACAGAAGCCCAAGGCATTGTCTCATGCAATCGATGAGAACAATCATTCTATGGTGACAAGATCACATACAACCACGAGGACAAGGTTTTATCGATTAAATGTCCCTCCCTGAACACACTCTTGGCTGCAAAGTGACCTCTCATTGGTCTTCTGAAATACAACAGGCGAGGCTTCCGCGCTAGCTGTCGACTTGTCAAGTAAGGACACGGTTCACAGCGCCTATCCACCGCCAGGAATTCACCATCCCAATAATGATGCAATCTTGGGTCGTACGTCAACCAATTCTGGCTTAAGCCTAGCTGGTGCGAAGTGATTGCTTCACACTCCAGCTACCGCATTAGTGGCCGATGATTCGCTCGCATGGCACGTCCATGTTTACACCCTGTCACTGGCAGGAGCTACGGAGTCTGGCATGACTAGGAACATATCTATCCGGCCGACGCTTTATCTGGTGCAGCCATGGGTTGCTGGTGACTAGGCGCTACAATGCACGGCCCTCGAAGCGCCCTTGAGATTGCAAGGGCGGATTCAAAGAGCGCCCAGCTACTCACGACAGGACTCTCGAATAAAGGAAAGAAACCCCTTGCAGCATGTCTATCGGATCCATGAAGGGTTCGGTCTTCTCCGCTGAGAGTTAGCTAATGGTCGACATCGGTGGGCGGAGGTGCAAAGCTGAAGTGCGTCGAGAGGGGAGTAGACGGAGATATGTGAGGCAATGGATTGACTACCACGGCGATGACACAGTCTGGCCTGCATGATCTGAGACGTATCGCCTCGTCGGGTGAGCCTGCGAAAAGTAGCGACGTGAGGAAGAGTGTGTTCATAGCTCAATTTTCAATGTTGAAGATGATTCATCATACACCCCGAGATCCATCTATCCTTCAAATCCTACAGTCTACGGCATGGAAATGCTTCACTACCAGTTTCGGCTAATGGTGGATCAATAGGAAGAGAGACCGGGCATCTTGAAAGTGCGTCATACACGCATCATCTCACGGCCGCACCGCATTCCCGATTTCCGAAAACCAACCCACTTGTAACCAGCTCGTAGCATCTGCACAGTTTGGCTCGCGTCGAAACACAATCATGGAGGTTCTCAATATCAACACCGCTGACAAGCGTTCACCTCTACGGAATCAGCCATTGGATGGAGGCCACGACAAGAGTCTTCGTGATGCAACCGCTTCAAAGAACAACCCCGACGCTGACAGCGAGAATGGTGCCAACGCTTCTCTACTCTTCATTGGAACCGCCACCACGGTATTGCAATGGTCTAACCTCACTCTGATGACCGACCCAAACTTTTTGCACGCTGGAGACCACGTACACCTGGGACCTGGTGTGACCGGCACTCGGAAAACGAATCCTTATGTCGATCTGGAAGAGCTACCACCCATTGACGTTGTCCTGCTCAGTCACTACCACGCAGATCACTTCGATCAGCATGTTGAAGCTACACTGCGACGAGATTTGCCCATCATTAGCACACCACACGCCAAGCAGCATCTCTCCAACAAAGGCGACGGCGAATCCTTCACTGCTGTGACCGCTCTGGATGCATGGGACAGTACATTTATGAGTATTAAGCAAGGCGCGAATGACCCGACAGGGGAATTGTCGCCATACATCAAAGTAACCGGGATGCCTGGGAAGCATGTTCCGCCCGGTCCCCTCAACGTTGCAAATGAGATCTTAGGCGCCGTGCCACCAACAAATGGTTGGCTCCTAGAGCTCGGCTACAAGCCAGACGCATCGGAAGAAGCCGAAGGCTTCGACTGTGGGTATCGAATTTATATCAGCGGAGACACGCTGTTGATCGATGACCTAAAGAAAATCCCAGAAATGTATACGCATGCTGGAAAACCAATCGACCTGATGTTGATCCATCTGGGCGGTACTACGATTCCAGGACCTAATCTACCCTTGTTAATGGTGACCATGGATGCAAAGCAAGGGATCCAATTGGTAAAGCTGATCCAGCCCAATGTCACGATACCTATTCATTATGAGTACGTCCCTTCCCTATCCGACCATAGTGCGCAACTGACAGGTGCAGCGATTACGACGTTTTCTTATCTCCCCTTTCAGACTTCAAGAAGGAAGTACAATCAGCAGGCCTGGAAAATAAGGTTGTGTACCTCGACCGAGGCGAGGAGTTCAGGTTCAAAGTCAGACAGCCTGTGCAGTGAAAAGGTTGTGTTCGGGCTTTGTATCAGCCGCAAGTATCATATCAATTCATAAACATCTAGACATAGTATCTTTCTGTAGTGCCCAGTCACGACTAGCATCGACGATACTGTTCTCGGTGAGTATATGACTTGAACCTCTTCAGTAGGTACCGTGGATTTGTGCACCGCACCTCTATTAGCAAGCGCACTCGAACCGCGATATGGTATAGTGAAACCAACGTTGGGACAAGGGTTGCCTGCTCCATTTGAATCTGCAGAAGATGCATGCCACAATTATGCATCTCGTGTTTTTGTAGGTATGCTCAGGGCCCAAATCTATGGCTGTGTGGAATAGAAATCTTATTTACAAGCCGGGAGCGCAGTCACACCCTGGCGAGTCTGTCTACCTGGCCCAATTCGATCGAACGATGTTTCACACAACTTTATAGAATAGTCCAGTTGGCCACCGGGCACCGGCTGCGCCTGTCCCAAGCAGGGCGTTTATGATGTGCTGAAAATAAAGGTACATTTGGTGTACAGTGTAATTCTCTCCAGATTCACTCTTGTCGGTGTCATATACGTTATCGGCATAAACCCTCCATCGGTGTTCGATTGAAGCTCTCACACTTGCAACTCATCTTGGGCAAACGCGACAGTAGACGGCCTGTCGACCACATTGAAAAATTGCCGTTCTTGTAAGCCTGCTCAATCTCAGGCGTCGTGTTCCACTACTCCTTTCTCATCACCAGAAGTCCGGCTCAAGCGCCTCGGTGCAGTGTAGGCGACACTGCTGCGGCGACGCTCATGCTCTTCAGTAGCTTCATAGTCGATGAGCACGTTACCCTGCTTATCGTATCGATGCGGTTCGTTCTTCGCATCTCTGACCGTAGTAAAGATCGAGCGATTCTTCACAAAGATAGCATCCATCTCCTCGAGAGACCGATATGCTGTCTCAGGGTAGAAGAAGTAGGTGACGGGCAGAATCAGAGCGCCATTGATGACAGCAAAAATAATGTAGGTCTTGTAACCAATACTGGTAAACGCAACGGGCGTGATCATGACGACCTGGACAACGTCAGCGTTGAAACATAACACCATTCAAGTACAGGAGATTTACCATGAAGTTCCAAATCCAGTTGGCAGTGGTCGACACAGCATTTGCCGGAGCCCGGATCTTGAGTGGCACAATCTCTGCAGGATACAGCCACGTCATACCAAGCCATCCAATGGCGAAGCAAGTGTTGAAAAGGAACAGGAAGACGGTCTCCACGATGCCGGCTTTGGTAGTGTGCAGCGAGTCGGTGATTGCAAGGACCACCATACAGATAGACATTCCTGCAGCACCGAAGATCATCAGCTTTCTGCGGCCGACTTTCTCAATGGTGAAAATAGCAATCCATGAAGCCATGAAGTATTCTGTTCCGTTACAGGCTGCGATAAGCTTTGCGTTGAAGGCAGAGAGGCCGACTTCGTTCTCGAGCACATTCGGAATGTAGTAGGTAATGAGGTTGATTCCTGAAATTTGCTGAAACATCTGGTTGACGTAGGCGAGAACGACTCTGTGGAAGTGTCGATTCTCATCCATCGTGAAGAGGTCCCGAAAGCTTCCTTTCGATGCCTCAAGGACAGTATCTTTGATGGCATAGAATTCGTTAGTGACGAACTGGCTGTCAGGTTCGACATCATTCAGAACCGCTAGCACTTCCAATGCTTCATCTTCTCTGCCTCTGAGGAGAAGCCAACGAGGTGATTCGGGTAGCGAAAAGATGAAAAGGATGATCGGAATGCAGAAGAAGATCTGGAATGCAAGCTATGAAACGATCAGTAAGGCACATGCAAAAAAGTTTGACCACTTACCGGAAACCTCCAAGACACTGGATTTGGGTCTGTGAAGTAGAGGCCGAAATCAATCCAGTATGCTATCATGACACCACAGACGATCAGAGAGCCTTCGATCATGACCAGCTTGCCTCTCTGATGCGAGCGAGAACACTCGCTTTGCCAGGTTGGGATGGTTGACGTATTTAAGCCATTTCCGAAACCGGTCACCAGTCGTCCGATGATAAATTGTTCAAGTTGATAGGAACTTGATTGTAGTATAGCACCCACTACCATGATGCATGTACCGACGAATATGGTCCGCCGCCTCCCCAAAGGGTTGCCGAGGAAAATGCAAGCGACGGCGCCTGTGCGAATTAGTACAGCCCCCTTGATCGTGTGCTTACGAACCGCAGAAACATCCTAAATTGTAACTTGCAACTGTAATGCCTTGATAAGTCGAGCGAGCGTTCCGTTCCTCGGCTGAGATGTCCGATGCATACTGGTCAATTGTTGGGAATTGCTCGCGGAAGCTGATCAGCGTCAAGAGACCGCCAGTGACACCTTGGTCGTAGCCGAAGAGAAGGAAATCGAGGCCAGCGAGAACGCCGACAGCGATCTGTAGCTTCGATCCTCGAAGGCCGAAGTAGTTCTTCTTGTCCGATTTGCCAAACATGGTGGCGGATGTCAAGAGAAAGCAAGCTCGGAAGTGCAGAGCTTGGTACATTAAGCGTGCTTGGAGGTTCATTTAACAATGACACAACAGCTTGGACGGTATTTCCTGTTACAGCAACCCGCGGGGCGGCAAGCCACAGGAGGAAATGATGACGAAGGTGGGTATGGGGAAGCAAGAGATCTACAGCCGTATTACCGCGGACCAAATATTCAGCCACTGAAAAGCAGATCCCCAGATTGCGGAGCAGTGTCCCTGCAACGCTGGGGTCGAACGCTGATTAAGGCACGTGCGAAAGCTCTGACGTGGCTGGCTTAGCATGGATTAGGCAGGCCGCTGGGGACATGACCCTGACGAGAGCTGGGAACATCCTCTGATTTGCTGGAAAATCGGCCTTGAGCAAGGGACGACCTAGTGTGCTACGACTTGCAGCCGTTAGATCGCTCATATGGTCCTTGATCTTCAAGAGCCATACTTGTACATCCCCGGCTCGATCTAGAGTGTCCAATATTGATTGCTTGTCGCGGAGCTTCACCTGTCCCTTCAAGAAGGTTCGTCTCATTACCTTGTATACCAATCAGGCTGTCACGGTATCAGTGAACCCAGAAAGGTAACATAGAAGTTTTTAACTCACAGTCCACGCGTCGAGCCACTTGCCCACGGTACGGATCTCCCAAAGATGGGCCTCGCGGATCATGTCCGGCTCAGCTTCGACATCTAGAATGCCATAGCTATCCCAATGATGTCCCGCACCGTTGATGAAGTATTCGTTAATTCCGCTAGGGTTTACCGACGGGTAGCGATTGCCGGCATCAGGCGAATGGTAATCTACACCATTCCAGACATCTGCACCTGTTCAGGTGTCAGTTGGGCTACTTGCCGGTCAACAGAGTCCGAGAGTAAACATACTTCCATCAATCAGGGCAAGATTCATGGCCGTGATGTTCAGGTCACCATAGCTGTCGTAATAGGTGAGGTTGGGGCCGTTGGGGTCGATGGAGTTGTACCGCCCTGGAGGGAAGGCCCAGTTGCACCAGCGTTGGGTATAGTCAGGTTGTATTTGTCTTGACAGGAGAGACGGCCGTCCCAAAGGCTGGGCAGCTTGGTATGCTCCCAGCTCGGTACACGCTGTCACCATTAGTCCAATAGTCCGAGGCACGACGGGTCAGGGTCTCCTACTTGAGTAAAGGTACGCTCGCGCTGTTGTGGTCGTGGTGTTAGCCAAGGATGATTCTATGCGGCAATTAGCTGTGAATGATCTCTGCAAAAGAGGGTTGCGTCAGACCATTGGAAACTCCAAAGCAGCCATCGTCTGAGGATCCATAGTTGCCGCTTAGGCAAAGTGGGAGATAGTTCTGCTGAAAGTAGTTGGCGTACCCGCCCAAGCCAGGCCATGATTCGCCGTTTGTGTAGTTTGCCAGAGCGGAATCATTTTGTGTGATATTTTTCGGCGCGTCATCATTTGTGACATTCCCGCAAAACCACCAGAAATGAGGGTCAGAGACAGTCTCGTTCCAATTCAGCTCCTGCCAAGTTCCGAGTGGGTAATTCATAGGTCCGCCTACTGGTAGGGCGATCGTGTACACAAAGTCACGGATATCCTCAAGATCTTGCAGACCGAAGAGCTGCTTGAGCTGGCCAACGGCAGCGGTATTGTTGGCCTCGACAAGCATGTCGACTTTGTCCACGATGTTGTTGATCCTTGCAATGCAGTCCTGAGGTCCGAATTTCTGGATCGGATCATACCTGGCATTCATCAGACTATTCTACTGCAGACAGCAGCGTCGGACTCACCACTCGGGATATGCATAGACTGCGTGGATAACGCCACTGGATCCAATGCCGCCATACAGAATCTTCTCTCCTGTACCGCCGTACGTAACAACCGAAAATGCAGTTTCCGCACCCGCTAAGCTACCTCCATAGAGGATCCAAGGCGTGCCAGGTGCAGTGAGATTACCAGGAACGCCTGGAAACGTGGCATGCTGGGCGAAGTAGGCATTATCAGCAATCGCTGGTCCATCGTCAGTCTTGGGCACAGCATAATGCGGAAGATCTCATACTCTGCTCATTTGACAAGTAGGCCAAGTCGTCAGTTGTGCTTGAATTGCCAAACGGCAAGCTCTGGCCATAGTAGCGGTTCTCTAGGATGACACCCAGGCCATTGAATGCCTGCATTAGAATCTGAATGATGCCGGTCTCCAGATTACTGAATCGACTCTCGCCAGACGTCTCGCCCCCGATGTAAAGGAAGACAGGTCCACCAGTTTTGTAGTAAGTATCATCGAAGAAGTAGCGCTGCTTGAAGGTATCATTCGTGTGAGGCGCATAACGAGGGCTATCGGGAAAATGATCGATCTACCATGTCAGAACATCTCAGCGAACGTAGCCGAAGAGCTTACCGGTTGATCGATGGTGTTCGCAGGATAGCTCGTTGGTCGACTCTGACGAGCTACGAGGTGATTTTCGGTTTTTGAGGCCCGGAGACCGCCCAGTGTGGGCGATCCACTGGCGACACCGAGAAGGCTGGCGACAACGAGGTTGAAGCGCATCGTGACTAGTCCTGATATCAGAGGCGCGAGAGAAGCGCCAGCTGGATCTGTGCGGTTTTTGTCTGCCGCTGCCAGCTCTCACAGCTAGCAAAGCTCTGGCGATTGCATCACCGGTCGAAGCTATGGCTTCTATCGCAAGCTTGGGGTCGCATTGCACAGGACTTGTCCCCAGTACCAGGACGGCACTAACGGCGTCTTTGCAGGAACGCAGTAGTCGGAGGCCCCTCATTGGGAAGGTGAAAGGTCGAGGAGAGGGGTCAAGTGGATTTCGCTGGAAGCTGGAGGCTTGCGAGCTCTCCAAGCAACGTGCTAAGTAAAAGCTTAGTGAGCTTCTCCAAGCTTCGGTGCAACCTTGAGCACTCGGTATCTCGCTAGCTTATCGTGGCTGCCGAGTACGTCTGTTCCGTGCTGCCGATCTGCACCACTCCCCCAAATCTTATGCGACCATTACGAGTAGAAGCAGGTTTTTTGACGCCCACTACGATAGTGGTAGCGGTGACGCGGCCGGTCTAAATGCGCGCGCACCAGCAAGGTATGCCAGCGACTATTTGCAGATGCTTCGTTGTGGGGACTTTTGGAGGGGATGCGAAGCAACCTTCGTGCAACATATCTATCAGTTGGACCCCTCAGTCCTCGTCTCGATGTAGCTCGGCTAGGAGCACATCGGCAAGTCCCGTCCTCCCACCTCTGGAGCACTCACTATAATGCGTTTGTTATAACAGTGTCCCATCAGCAAGTTGCCGGTCTATTCCGGTCCCGGGCACAGTTCCAACATCTGCTGCGAAACCATCTGTGTCTCGCGACCATCGATGGCTGTAGCTTCGTTGCATCAGGATCCTACCGTGCCGTCCTTGTGCCGCCTTAGGGGTTTTCCAGCTCTGGTACCGGTGACCCTGCCCTCGTCCAATACAATCTGGCCGTTGACCAACACAAAGCGAACACCCCTGCTTGGCATTTTCGGTTCATCGAATGTTGCCATGTCTTTCACTGTTGAAGCGTCAAATACAACAATGTCAGCTGCAGAGCCCTCCGCAATGCGACCACGATGAGGGTAGATGGAAAGACGCTTTGCTGGTCGCGAGGTGAGATGAGCAATCATGGAGGGGAGCTTCAAAAGACCGAGATCTCGAGCGTAATGCCCTGTCGGAATATTAGTTGCAGGGTCGCAAAGTAGACTTCAAAGAGCTCACCAAGATATCGAGTGAAAGTGCCATAGGCTCGAGGATGTACTTTGGTCCCATGCAGAATTGCATCGCTGCCTGCCATGTGTACGGGATGCTGCATGATCATTTGAACATTCTCTTCGTTGCCGATATGCATCAGGCAGTTTGTCGCAAGGCGGTCTTTCTGGAGTATCTCATAGAATATTTCAATGGGTCTTTGGTTCAGAGACGTGGCAATTTCGCCGACCCGCCGACCAGAGTAGTGAGCGATCGTTGGATCTGTCACTTCGCCAACCTGCAGCAGTGAATATCTTGTCTGAGCGAATGAATTAATGGGAAACATGGTAGATCTACTAACCTGTATTTCGTCCCAGTTGGTCGGGATGCCGTGTCCACCATCACATCCTTCGACCTCGACAGCAACACGGATGCGTTCTTTGATAGCTGGGTCTTCGAGGCGCTGCATTGTTTCGGAAGGGCCGCCAGATGAAGCCCAGCTAGGCAGTAAGGCGGCTAGCGTTGTGCAGCCAGGCAGGTATGGATACGTATCGAGTGTGACGTCAAATCCTTGTCCAAGATGTTTGTCTATCATGGATATAAGGGTGGGAGCTCTGCCCTTGTTCTCCGAGAAGTTCAGTGTGGCGTGTGTCAAGTCTAGACGGAGAAGTAAGTCGAGGAGTCCGTCCTGTACCTGCATAAATGTCCACATGTGACAATGATCAACACTACTTACGTATGGGGCATCGGGTCATGCTTCCCAGATCTAGCATTTCTTGGTAGCTTTCAATAGCACGAAAGCCGTAGCTCCTGTGATGCGGCGCGTAGAATGATCCGGGATATTCTTGAGCGAGAACTCTGCAAAGTGATGCAAGCTCCGAGTTCGAGGCATACATGCCAGGCGTGTAAGTCAGTCCACTGTTGAAGCATACGTTAGACTTGCAGAAGATGTCTAAGGGAACTCTGTACCTCGACATGCCCACAGCACCTTGATCCATAGACTCACGGAGTAGCTCTGTCTGTTCAAGTATCTCCTCAGGTTTTGCAACAGTATCGAATGGACCACAAGCAAGCAGACGTAAATTGCCTTGCGGAACCAAGACGGCAACGTTGGTCGCTGTTCGATTTCTGTCCAGGCAATCAAGATACTCTCCAATGGTTCGCCATTCGAACAGACCAATCTGCTTCAAGTCTGTCTGACACTCTATGTCAGTGGGGTTGCCGTTCCATCCTGCAATTTGCTCTCGAATAGCTCGCATTTGCTTTTCGTTGCGAACAGGTGCATATGAGATGCCATCCTGGCCAACTACCTCAGTCTGCACTGATCAGCGACTGGACTCACACGAGGTATCGCCTGATTCGTGGCTCAATTGCAGTATGACTCACGGTACATCCTTGAGTGACCTTTGCCTCATGAGTAGGGTGAGTCAATAGGTAGAGATCAGAATGCGCATGCATATCGATAAATCCGGGTGTTAGGTAGCACCCAGCGCCATCAATCCGACGGGCATTATCGCTGTGAAGAGACCTTGGGGGTCCAATCTTAGCGATGATGCCGTTCCGGATGAGCACATCGGCGGCGTAAGGCTGGCTCCCTTCATCGCCGTCAATGATGTTTACTGCTGAAAACAGTACCTCGCCCTCCATGATATCAGGCCACTTTTACGAAGTCGACCAACTCGGATTGGACAGCAGTGACGTTATAGTCTTAAGGAATGTTTGGGATACTCGCAACTTATTTACTCACTGTCATTGTACGGCGCGACAGATAGATCCTCAGCATCCTAGATACCGTGGTAGCGGTGCCGAGGGGCAACACTGCAAGGGCTAGTGATCAAAGGCTGTTGGAGACGCGGATTTCGACGCACTGTTCCTGATACGCTCAATTCGGACACTATGCCGTGCTTGTAAATCTTGGTAGTTGTGCCAAACGCAGTAATGATCGTGTCTGTTTGAGCGTACAAGTTCCGATGGCACACAGCTGAGTCCAGATTTGCAGCCTTCAAAATGCTTCGGGCTTCAAGCAGGACGCAAGCATACGAGCACAAAGTTCCCGCCACACTGAACCATTTGGCTTCCCCGCAATAAAACAAAAGCCTCCGGCGGATGGACTTGCCATGAAGTGGGCGGAGATGGCCGAGCCAATCAGATGTGTTCATTCATCGTAGTGCTTGCGTTACTGTGTAGAAATGATAGTCCTAGTTCTGTGGAAGGCGTTGCTAGACTTTTTCGTGGTTCAAGATGGTACTGAAGTCAGACCATCACTAGCGCTGTGTCTTCTGAGGAGTATTCAAGTCGTCTTCAACAGGTGCGGGCAGGATCTGGCGTGTTGATCACGACCCGGCCCCTGAAAGATCGCAAGGCATCGTACTATGGTCGTTCCACCGAAGGTACAATGATTTACCAACACCCAGTATGTATGAGGCCGCCAGGAGCGGAGAAGGAGCTCGGATCCGATTATAATCGATGTAAGCTGCGGAAGCCATTGCGCAGGGGCGGAATTGATGAACTGCGCCAAGAAGTAAAACAGCTAAGCCTTCTTTGGCAGTCTCAGCCGATGTCGATGTGTCGAGGCACTCTGGGAAGCACACTCATAGAACACATATAAGGGAGCTCGCTCTTCGGATCATCGAGAGACCTTGCACCTCTAAGCTGTGACCCGCAAGTCATATCACTTTGGCAAGCTACGTCATCTGGAAAGCCTAACATGACGCCCCATCCACTGGATATACTTACCGTCGACGAAGTTTGTCGTGCCAGAGACGCTGTCAAGACCCTACACCCAGAGCACAAGCTATTCTTCAGAGAGCTCTACCTGGACGAACCTCCCAAGGCTGCACTACGACAGTATCTCGATGCAGAGCATGCCGGCAGCTCGCCAGCGCCCCTTCCTCGGCAAGCGCTATGTCAGTACGATGTTCTAGACGGCAAAGGCGGCGTCCAGTCGCACGAATCAATCATTGACGTATCTTCTGGGAAGAGGATATCCCACGAGATAGTTCCGGAAGAGCACCATGCTTCACTTAGCACGTAAGTGATTTCTCGCCGTCCACAGCAAGCGCTGACCAGTAAAGGACGGAGTTCAAGCATCTTATCGTGGCATGTGGAAAGTCACAGCTCTTCAAAGACGCAGTTGCCAAACTCAAACTGCCGGAAGGCTTCGAAGTCGTCATTGAGCCATGGCCGTATGGTGGACTAGCTGCAGATGAAGAGAATAACCGATATTTCCAAGGCTTGTTATTTGGTCGTGACACAAGACTCAACAACCCCGACTCCAACTTCTATGCTTACCCTCTACCATTGATTCCTATCATGAATGCCAGGACGCGAGAGATCGTCAGAGTGGACAAGCTCCCGACTGGTGGCGAACAGGACGGCTTGCAGGACGACACCCATTTGGAGAATGTCATCGACCACTGCAGCGCTGCCGACTACGTGCCAGAACTGCTGCCTCAAGGCACAAGGAAGACTCTCAAGGCGCTGAACGTTGCTCAACCCGACGGTCCATCGTTTAGCGTGACTGGCGGCCTCGTTGAGTGGCAGAATTGGCGCTTCCGGGTCGGTTTTAACCCTCGGGAGGGTGCTACGATCCACGACGTGACGTATCAGGGTCGAAGCGTGATGTACCGACTGAGCATCAGTGAGATGACGGTCCCTTATGCGGACCCGCGCGCACCTTTTCCGCGGAAACAGGCATTCGATTTTGGCGACGGCAGCCTTGGACACGCAACAAACAATCTCCAGCTGGGCTGTGACTGCTTGGGAGCTATAAAGTATTTCGACGGTGTTATTGTCGACTCAGATGGCAAGGGACAGGTAGCCCCTAATGTCATTTGCTTGCACGAACAGGATAATGGGATCGGATGGAAGCATACCAACTGGCGGACGGGACGTGCGGTGGTTACCAGAAACCGAGAATTGGTTGTCCAGTTCATTATCACGCTGGCGAACTACGAGTACGTGTTTGCGTACAAGTTTGACCTCTCCGGTGGCATCACGATCGAAACCAGGGCCACAGGGATTGTTAGCGTCGTCAACATCGACGCTGGCAAGACTAGCAAGTACGGGAATATTGTCAGTCCTGGTGCCCTGGCTCAGAATCATCAGCATATATTCTGTGTGCGCATAGACCCCGCTATCGACGGGAACGAGAACACAGTAGTGGTCGAGGAATCACATGCCGTCCCATTCGGCCCTAACAACCCGGCGGGCAATCTGTATGAAGTTCGCCGCGAGCCTGTTGAGAACTCGAAGTGGATTGACGCCTCATCTCGGCACAATCGTGTCATCAAACTCGTCAATGAGAGCAAAACAAACCCTATCAGCGGGAGACCTGTTGGGTACAAGTTTACGCCTGCAGATACGCAGCTTCTCCTCGCCCAACCAGAATCCGGACAGGCACAACGGGCTATTTTCGCCCAACACCACGTTTGGGTCACCAAATATCTTGATCGAGAATTGTATGCAGGCGGCAGGTATACACTACAGAGTAAGAAGGAAATTGGCGGCGTTGGCGATGCCGTCAAGCGGGAAGACGCCGTGAAGGACACCGACGTTGTCATTTGGAGTGTGTTCGGCCTGACACACAATCCTCGAGTTGAGGACTGGCCCGTAATGTGAGTTGTGCTCCCTCAAATGCGCCAACGCCAGAACTGACTTGATTGACAGGCCTGCCGAAGTACATCAGATCAATCTGAGACCAGCAGACTTCTTCACCCAGAATCCGTCGATCGATGTGCCTTCGTCGAGGAACATGTCATCGGTATCGACGAACGGCGCCGTGACAAACGGCACGCCGGCTTGCTGCAGCTAGAGAGGAAAAAGGGCCACTGTTCGTGGAGTTCAGGCTGTGTTGTGTGACAGCGCTTTTTAGTCTGCGGGATTCCAGTCCTGTTTTCTGTAATAGGACAGTGTTAGGCAGTCGTAGCCGATGAACGGAATATGGGCACGATGGGTGCAGTTTTTGCACCAATCAAGTCAATAATCTACATGATGTCGCAACGTATTTCCTGAGGGCGGAAGAAGCTGCGTGCCTGGTGGCGAGGGGGTGAGTCCCGGGGAGAGCTAGGCCTAGCTAAACAGGTCTAGCGGTACCGTGCCCGCGCATCCGTCCCGAAGAAAGGTTCAGGCCTCACACACCGCACAACGTGCGAGCCACAGCTTCTCACTGTGCTTCAGAGCGGATTCTCAGCTACTATCACCGCACTGCTCCAATCGGTCAACATTTGGAGTGGCTGACTTTTGATACTGTGCAGTCACCGGACAACGCACAGGAGACTCCCAGAACTTGTTGCCGTGCGAGACCTGAGCCTCGTTGCTAACTGTATCATCGACTCGTTGCACACAGAACGTAGCGACATTGGCAAGAGGAGATCTGGTGACATTTGGACTCTTTTGCCGCCCGCCAATATATAGACAGCCTGGACAGCTCATGTATGAGACGGGCTATGATGTCGAGATGAAGCTCCATCCACAGCCGGTTTCTCGTCCATCTGAGGATTTGCTCAAGTTTGTGAAGCGGATGAGCAGTGTCTAAGGGAGAATATAATCTTCAAATCAAACACGGATGGAAGACGTGTTCGCTTTCCTCAGACTCGCTCTCATGGTCATTACATTCAACGATTTGGCAATGACTGCTTTCCAGGCTAAGTATGCACACCTTTCACACACTATACTTAGTCTAGCATGTTGGCTGCGGCATGTATTGGCTTAGAGCTCATTGCCTGAAGACTGCGGCAGCACGGGGTGCAGGTGCTCACAATCGACGCATCTGCCTGCTGGGCGCTAATCGCTTAGAAGGTGTTGAATGCTGCTTGACCCTGCCCACAATGGGAGTATATCCAAAACCCGCTACACCTCAAGCTACGGTAACTGCATGCCCTTGGGGCCGTGCTGCACGGACCCGAATTGGTCATCATTTGCCAATCACAGTCATCCTTGGCGATGCCATGTTGGCGAAAGTCGCTTGATTTGGGCCGTGCGAAATACGCTTCTAGAGCCGAATCTCGCTCGGCCTCTTCAACTGTCCCAGACGGTGGACCAACTAAAGGACGGCGAACAACGTTATGCGTCTGCAAACGCTGGTAGGAGATCACCAGATCGACCACTACTCCACCTAGAATGCCAGACTTACCCCGCAAGCTGAATCTCCTAGCAACACTCCACATGTCTGTATCTAACTGCTTCAGCTTCGGCTTGTGAGACCTCGGTCCTGCGCAGCTATGAACTATATCAAGTGTGACATAGCCATGCCGCAGGCAGAAGTCCTTGCAATCGTGCCGCGCGACCTAATCCCATAGAGAAGCCCCTTTTCCAATCTTTGGTACAAAAGCATTGCTTCTACGCGTACTCCATCATGGCAGTCAACGAGAGTAAGCACGAAGCGATGGCAGTGATTGAACATGACGAGGATGCCGGTGCCAACCATGGCTTAGACCCGGAACGCAGCGGCAGCGCATCAGATGCTATGGGCTTCAAAGCTGCCGTCCGTCTTTATCCAAAGGTAGTTGGATGGTGTCTTGCTCTCACCACCGCCATCTTGCTTTGGGGCTACGACATGGTCATCGTTGGCTCCATCACCGCTGTTCCGGCCTTTCAACGCGACTATGGCTTCTGGTCCGAATCTGAGAACGACTACATCTTTCCCGCCACCTGGCTCGGACTCTGGTCTGCCTCGTCCCCGCTCGGTGCGACATTTGGATCAATCGCCGGGGGCTTCATTCAAGACCGCATTGGCCGCAAACGCAGCCTGAACATCGGAAGCATCATCTGTTTTGTGGGAATCGTCATTATCTTCTGTTCGCAATGGGTTTCGCATCTCGACAGCAAGCGTGCCACCTTTTTCGCTGGCAAGGTGGTTCAAGGTTTCGCCACCGGCATTATCAAGATCCAATGCCTGACATACATCTCCGAGAATGCACCAACTGCTCTGCGTGGGTCCGCGATGGCCCTTGTTCCCACCTTCACACTGCTCGGTCAACTCATCGGTGCCGTTGTCATTTACTCCATCAACGATATCGAGTCGGCGAGAGGGTATCTCATCGCCATTGGATCACAGTGGATCCTCTCATTGGCACCTTTCATCCTATCCTTTGTCATGCCCGAGTCTCCTGCTTACTTGATCCGCCATGGCCGCGAAGATGCCGCCATGCATTCCATCCGCCGCCTGGTCGCACCGAAGGTGGATCCCCAGTCTGTTTTCGATCGCACCAAGTACACAATTGACCAAGAAGCACGCATGGCCAGCGAGGTGCGCTTCGCAGACTGCTTCAACAAGGCACATATTCGACGTACGATGATCATTCTCTTCGCAAACTTCATACCCACGCTCTTCGGTCTGGACCTTTTAGCCACGAGCTCGTACTTCCTGCAGGTCGTGGGCATGGATTCTGGAACCTCATTAATCCTTCTGATATCCGGAATAGTACTCGGAATGATCGCAAATGGTGCGGCGCTGTGGGTGCTGACGCGGGTGGGCCGGCGACGGGTGACCATCGCAACTCTGGGTCTTTCCAGCCTGCTGTACACAGGCATGGGCATTGCCGGTATCTGGAACGGCAATCCGACCATCATCTATTCCGCAGTGACGTTGAGCGCTGTCATTTTTGTTTGCGGACTAGGTTGCTGGCCCGCAGCATACGCCATCATGGGCGAGACGAGCGCGTTGCGGCTGAGGGCAAAAAGTCAGGCACTTGGAGGTGTATCACAGCAGATTGCGAGTATCGTGTTCAAGTTTGTGCTGCCTTACATCTTCAACCCAGATGCAGGCAACCTTAAAGCGAAGACGGGGTTTGTCTACACGGGCTTGTGTGCCATTGGAGTAGTCGGAACATTCTTGTATGTACCTGAGATGAAGGGACGGAATGCGCTGGAGATCGACCAGATGTTTGAAATGGGTCTCAAAGCTCGAGAGTTCAAGAGCTGGTCCCGCACAGTGGAGACATAGGCAGAGAACGAAAGCTCTCCTTGAGTATTGAGCCATGGCGAGACAAGTCCTATCCTCAGGCCATCAGAACCTGACCAACGCCGACAGCATTGTCTGGCACGGTCCCCGACCTTACATCAGATCACACCCAACAGTCTTCGCCGATCACCCAAGATGCCCAACCCTCACTTTCGTCGACCCTTGCTACATGCGATCTGTGGAAAAGTGGCCAACGTAAATACTCAGGGTTACATGAGAACTAATGACCACATCTATCAATGACCACGAGCCTTTTTCAGTGCCTGTGCAACTCCCTCCACCGCACTACGCAGCACCTTCACCCTCTTCACCCGGAAGAGGTAATAGAACAAGATAGCGGCCGCCGTGTTGAAGATGATATATGCATAGCAAATTCCCAAGTTACGGTAAACGTCGCCTGGGTGGATATCGGAAAGCGCTAGGAATTGGTCCGCATTCTGAAGTGAGCAGTACTGGCATGATGTACTTGCTTCAGGATTTAGCAGCCTGCCGATCGCCCCTTCTTGAAAGTAGGGCTGCAAATATGTTGCACAGGTTGAGTTGTTCGGTGGGTTGAAGATGGCCAGCTCGTTCTGTGCGCAGTTGACCGGATGGCCTTGCAAACCAGCACCTGCCCAGCCGCCCATCAGGTAAGTCATGGGGCTGACGCGCCACATGAACTTCCAGAACGAGGGTAATGAACTCGGTTTCTGAAGTACGCCGGAAAACGTGATCATTAGACTGAACAGAAGTGCGGCGATGGGGCCAGCGGTCGGCGCATCCGGAAGTGCAGCGATCAACATGAAGGCGAAACTCGAAACGTACATATAGAAAGTGAGACAGAACGCAAGCATGGTGGCCGAGGTAGAAGCGGAGCCAGTGGTGTCAAAGACAGCGAAGTACCAGGAAATGAAGACCAGGACGCCAGCGAGGAGCTGCCAGGGGATTTCGACAAGAATGTTGGAGACCATGAAGACAGACCAGGAGTACATTCGCGAGGGGCGCTCGCGAACTTCATAAAGCGACCGTTGGGCGACGAATCGAGGCATGATCTGTTTCAGTCAGCGAGAGGCGAAGTGATGGCTGGTCATTCTTACCTGTTGAACGAGCGGGGTGAAGATTGTCAGGACCATAAAGATGGCAAAGATGGTGTTCTGCATGCCCGCTTGGGAGTCATCTGGCTGCCAGAACGAAAAGCCAACGAAGAGGGCGGAAGCAGTCACTAACCCAAGCTTACCGAGCACGTACGAGGGCGTCCGCCAGTATTGCTGAAAGACTCGTTTTGTAACGTACCAAAATTGTTGTGATACTGGCATAGCGTACTGTGTCGAGGCCACTTTTGTGTTCGCAGAGCTTCCTGCGTAGTCGATATGAAGCTGGTTGATTTCGCTCTGCACGGATTTTGCTTCGGTGCTGGCTTTCCACATGTTGTACCAATCGACAGACTTATCGGCGTTCTTCCCTGCAACAACTTCAAGTATATACTCAGCCGGGTTTTCAGCATTGCCGCAAGGCCTCGCGCCTCCTGATTCAAAATAGTTGATCAGCGCCCGAGAATTGGTGCCGATATCACCGAAGTATACAGTCTTTCCACCTTTCTGCAGGAATAGCAGACGATCGAATTGCTGGAAGAGCATGGCGGATGGTTGATGAATAGTCGTCAATATGGCTTGACCATTGTCAGCAAGACGCCGAAGAAGGCTGATAATGGACCACGAAGATTGTGAATCGAGGCCTGAGGTGGGTTCGTCCAGGAAAATGAGCAGAGCAGGTTTGGCAGCTAGCTCGACTCCGATCGTGAGCAGTTTACGTTGCTCGATGTTGAGGCCTGCAATAATCAGCTCCTGCACATAGGCTACTATCCGGACTTACCTTCGCCTGGCGATCCCACAATGGCTTCTGCAAAATCCTCCATTCCCAGCATTTTGATTACTTCTTCCACGAAAGCAAACTTCTCGTGCTTGGGAACGGCATGAGGTTGTCGGAGCAAGGCGGAAAACTGTAAAGCTTCCCGAACGGTGGAGGTCGATAGATGCACATCTTGTTGTTGAACATAGCCGGTCTTGCGCTGGAAGGAGCTGTCCATATGCCGACCGTTAACAAGCATGTCACCAGTGACAACGCCGACGTTGGTCCGCTTCGCAAGGACGTCAAGAAGGGTTGTCTTTCCAGCACCGCTGGTACCCATGAGAGCAGTCAGCTGGCCTGGCTTGACGTATCCACTGATGTTGTCGAGTAGTCTGCGAGTCCCACCTTCAACGGGCACATCGTAGCAAACGTTCTTCCAAGTGAAAACTTCTGTAGGCGCGGGGATGACGTTGACATTCGCTGTCTCGGAGTTTCCGATGTTGCCTTTCTCATCAACGCTGTCATTACTGGCTTCAACGTCGCCAGTCGACTTTCCGGCGGTCTTGGGTTGATGACCTCTTCTAAACACAAGTACCTCTCCAGTTGAAGGCAGCTTCCAGTTGAGCTCGGAAAGTACGAGGTACATGCCGTAGAAGGCAACCATAAAAGCGACAAGTATGCCAAAGTTTCTCCAGAGGTGGCTAAAGTGGTAGTCGTACGCTGATTCGACCCAACTGTCTCCCAAGACGCTGCGTTGCCCGGCTATAGCACCGGGCATGGCGCACTGAAAGCTTTCACCCTGTCCGTAAGGTGGTACAAGAGCCTGCATGGCGCACGGGAAGAGAACACCATGGACCTCGTTGGTAAGCAATGCTTCGAACACATAGGAAACCGGATTGATGTAGCTGATCCATTCAAACCAAGGCTGCATCAAGGGTCGCTGTATGCTGAAACCAGTATAGATGATGATGGCGAGAATTCCAATGCCCGCAAACCCCATGGCTTGTGCGTTTGATTTTGAGGCTGCAGAAATGCTTCGAAAACACGCAGACATGGTCAGCATGGTGCCGGTGGTAAATAGGTAGAAGGTGAAGAATGCGCCTGCTTCCTTCTTAAGGCCCGCAAGAAAGTACAATATGACGCCAAAAAGGGTACTGGTGAGCATTTTGACTGGGAAGTCGGCGATGACTCCAGCGAGCGCTTCCGATGATGGGTGATAGAGCGCGTATTGTGTGTGCTTCTCGACAATCGGTCTCTGCGCGAATACGGCTGGAATCTCGGCTACAGACATGAGGGTGTTGACGAGAACCACACAAAACAACACAGAGCCTTTTGCAAAGAAAGCATCGGTGCTAACAGGGGTATTGTAGAAGATACTGCCGACAATGAGTGCCTGCACTGTCTGTGCGATGATTTTTGAAATGGTTGCGGGCCTATCGTTCCACATCCGTTGATAAAATCTTCGAACGCAGAGACGGATCTGAGCAGGAACACTGATGCGGTAAGGCGAGGCCTGCCGGGAATGCTTGGACTGTGTCCGATTGTGATGTTCTTGGAACTGGTGCAAAGCATGATCGCCGCCGTCAACGTGATTGGTCATCCGGTCTAGCTCCTGTAAGGATACTTTGCGTTGTTCAGATTCTAGCCAGTGCTTCTCGAATTCGATGGGTGTGCGCGGGACTTTCGCTTCGAATCCGTGACGCGGCTTGCGTTCTGTGGGATTGGTGACGCTCGTGAGGAAATCTCCAGTAGTCATGCGTGGAGGACGCTCCCAGCCCATAGACTCAAAGTAGGCCGAAGCGTCTTGTGCGGGTCCGAAGTAAATCTGTCGGCCCTGGTAGAGCACTGTGGCCTTGTCAAACAGATCATATGTTGACTGACTAGCCTGATAGATGGCAACGGTGTGACTGGTACCCATTGTGTCGGCAGCCGTTCTCAAAGTGCGCACGAACTCGAGAGCTGTTGCAGAGTCCAGGCCGCGCGTCGAGTTGTCCCATGTGCCCATGAGAGCCCCAGTTAGTGCCATCTCGGCGATGCTGACCCGCTTACGTTCGCCACCACTTACCCCACGAACGTAGTCGTTGCCGACCCGGGTGTGTTGAGCGTGAGTGAGGCCAAAGAGATTCAGCGCTACGGCAACGCAGTAGTCAACGAACTTGTCGCGCGGTAGTTGGAGCAAGTTAGTGCTAGGTGCTCGTGAAGCCGATGCGAACCATAGTGTCTGACCTACGGTGAGGTGGGAAAAGTGTTGCTCGTTTTCCTGGTTGTAGAGGATCTCGCCGCGAAAATTCCTTATGTAGGTGTGTTGGGGTATGCCGTTATATGAGATACTTGAGTCCTCGTTGATCTTGGCGCCGTCTAGATGACCAGATATGGCCTTGAGAAATGTGCTACAGCCACTTCCTGGCCGGCCGAGCACGATGCACATCTCACCCTCTCGAATGGCACCATTGAAGCTGTGCAAGATGGTCCGCTTTGGCGAATGTCGACGTCGGTTGACAGATGCGAAACCGAAAGGAGTCATGAACATTGAACCCACGGTCTTGTGGATCATAATCTCATTCCCAGTGCCGGTCACGGTCAGGTTCCGAAAAGTCGTATTCACTCGAGGCCTCCTCATGCCGCGAAGCTCGAGCTGTCGCATGAGGTACTTGCACCATATCTTGAAGCTGAAGGATGGGTCGCTAGGATTGAGTTGCGGATTTGATGAGTCCATACCGCCATCTGTTGCAGTAGGTTGAAGTGCGACAGCTTGTGTGAAGTTTGTAGCTAAGCGGCTGAGCTCTTCGTTGTTGGCATAGTCAGCGTGTTCATCGTGATCGGCTTCGTAGCTCGCACGCGACGCAACTTCTGGGTGTGATGGTTCTGGGATCGTCGATTTGGTGGTCAAAGTCTGGCGGAGGATAGACCCAGTCTCTGAGGAGGTTCCTGAGGCATAATGCTCTTGTTGCATCGCTGCCGGCATAGCAGGTAAATGGCGGACTGCAGGTTCCTCGATCAAAAGGAGGCGCTTGACGAGGTTGTTAGGTAGTCGCAACAGTCAGTCTTAATTCGGGTGTCACTGCAGGTAGGAAGAATTTGTTGCCAATGTACGGTCAAGTAAGAGCACCGACGTGTATTTGAGTCACCTACTCCGCTGTATGTTTCGTTGTTGACACCATCAACTCTGGAAGGCCTGACAACGGGAGCAATATACCTGAGGCTCCATGTGCAGCATTCAGCGGTTGGAAGCTTGGCCAACGAAGCCAGGTCCCGCACCAGGGTTGTGTATGGCCAAGCGCGCTCATCTTCCACGTGAGAGCAGGGTAGAGGTGCCTGAAACAAGCTAGACTTGCGAAAAGCAAAAGCACATCTGCTCTCGAATGCGACTTTCAGCTTAGACACGAGGCGTCCGAATAGATGATTGGCATCCTTAGGAGCAATCGATGCGCGCGCAAAGGGCTATTTTGGGGATTCGAAAACAGAGTTGCGAAAGTCAACAACGACGACAAGTTATGTTGCGACGCAGAGCGTTACCTTATGTCAGAAGCCGAAATAGATGAGTCCAGCCGAACAAGTGGGGGGTAGTCAGGCCCTTTTGGAGCATCATGATAGGTCTCATGTTGCAATCTCGTATTTTCCCTCGCTTCTTACCATTATTACCCTTATTTCGCTTCAGCTGTGGCTTGCACGCTCCATCTCCCTTAGCTTCACCCCAGCTTTTCCAAACAGCCGCAGCTCTGTTCGAGCATACACTGCGAGTCTCTTGGCTTCGGGGCCGCCCACGAAGCGATGGGCTACTGTGTACGGTACGAGTCATCACGCGCGACTCCGCGTGAATTGGCGACATAAAGCCCCAACTGGGGATGCCAGTGGCTGCATGATGCAATGTCGTTGGGCGGCTGAAGGTCAACGGCACGGAAGTGTTGGGCTTCGATTTCTTGTTCGAGATGCGGCGAGAGATCTGTACGGAACCCAAGATAAAGTCACTCCACGGCAACGAGGTGCGAGCAAGTGGGTTATACGACGGCAAGTCTGCTCCAGTCGTCCCAAGGTGGTGTTGTCCACAGACTGGACTCGGCATGTCCTCGTAAACCTGCACAAGCTCATACCCACCCTGAGCTCAGACTTGACCTCTACAGAAACCTCTCAAACTTTTGCTCCACCTTATGTCGAAAGCCAACCTTCTCCGCAGCCCTTCCCTCCTCCATCCCGCTACCACTGCCACTATCTCCGACGATCTCACCCTGTCGGGCAAATACTTCGTCAGGCCGCACAGCGCGCTCTATAAAGGTCTCCCTGGCCGGCAACAGCAGTGACAGAGCTGTATACACCAATGCGGACCCAACAAAGCCAAGCAGCCACCCAAATTGGTAAGGATGGATGCCGACTCCTACTTCAATGTTGTTGTTGATGCCGTTGATAAAGCCTGGCAAACTGGGAGCTACACCGCAAAGGAATGCCACAATTGCTCGCCAGTTGACGCCGCCGGTGTAGCGATAAATTCCGTGCGGGTTGTATAACTCCACGGTGTCATACTTGCGTTTGTGGACTACCCAAAAATCGAACAGCATAATGGCTGCAATGGGCCCCAGAAAAATCGCATAAGCCGCCATGAAGTTTAAGAAGCTGCCCGCCGAAGCCAAGATCTTCCAAGGCACCAGTGCCCAGCAGAGGACTGCGGTGAGGAGCTGCCCGCGTCTGATGTTGATGAAACGTGGCATAAGTGCCATCAAGTCGTTTGCCGCGCTCAAGCTGTTCGCCGAGATGTTGACGCCCAGTGCAGCCAGTGCGAAGGAGAATGCGGCAAAGAAGCGTGCCGCCCGACTGTCCCAGTGCCCCACGAGCGCCATGGGATCCCATTCGAGGGTGCCATAGTGTGCCGCTCCTGCCGAGGACGAAACAATGCCGATGAACGAGATGAAGACGAAGAAGATCGGCAGCATGGGCACGTATATGCACTGCCACTTGACACTGACACGAGAGTACCGTGAAAAGTCTGATTGGTTGACAGACAGCTGGGTAACGTGCGCGTTAGTTGATTGGGTGGGACAATTGCTCATGGAATGCTCACCGTTGCGTAGTTCCCGATGACCGACGTCATAGAAGACAAAAAGGCCCATGAATACGCGCTTCCAGATACCTGTGGCTCCTGATCAAATATCTCTCCGCCGCTAGTGGTTGCGAACGCCCAAATCATGATCGCGACCCAAGCTGCAGGCACAATGATCGACTTTGCCATGAACAACAATCGGAGCTGATTTGGGTGCATACAGAGAAACGGGACCTGTGCGAGCCAGAAGAGAAAGAAGCTGATCATGGTAGCATCGTCGATGCCTTGCGATTCTGGGATGTGGTTCTCGAGCCTCAAGAATGATGGCCAAATCGCTCCGATCATGACTCGCACTGTATTAGCGCCATTCATGGTCTGGATTGCAAACCAAAACACTGCAAGAATCGCCCGGGAAATGATAGCGATGTATGATCCCCAGAATCCCCTATCGACATAATATTAGCCTCAATCAGGATGATGAGAGGACTTGTGCCATGCTAAGTAAGGAGGAGGTAGGGCTCTTCTTCGAGCACTGCTCCAACCTGAATATTACTTTGGAGCAGCAGAAAGCGGCGATTGTGGGCTGGGGCAGCACCTCCGCCGAAGTCGACGCCCCTGCCAGGAGTTTGGCTACTTACTGCGACATCGATCAGCACAAGCCGCAGAGACAGAGACAGTGCACGGGAAGGTCCAGGTATCCCGACTATCAAGCAGAGGCCCACTCTCCGAGTGTTCCAGAGGTGGACAGCTTACCCAGGATGCACGAGCGATGACCGGGAACGGCACATGGTGCAACACACCAATCGCACCATTGAGAGCGATCACGAAGGAGATGATGAAGAACGCCAACGCGACAATGCCAAGCGACTCTCGCCACGTGAGGCCTACGGCGATGATCCCAGCGGCAAACTGCCAGGTCGCCGCGTTGAAGGCATCCGAAATCCAGTAGGCGATGAAGGATGTGACGCCCCATTTGCGGTTGCCCGGGGGCACGGGATCAAGGTCTTTGTTTGTCCTACGGCAAGATCAGGGCTCATGCTTCGGAAGGAAACCAGAGTACTCACCATCGCGCATTGCCTTCAGCAAACGTCGAGACTGGCTGCTCGACTTTCAAATGAGGGCGCTTGAACCTCATGTTGGCGATGATTCTTCACGAAAGAGGAGCGTCTGGGATAGAGTCGAGACGGCCGTGGAGTCGTTCGACGCGCTGAGAAATGTAAAGTGGGTATTTGTAGCCCCGTCGCAGCCCTTTCGCCGCCCCAGCTTTCGGGGTAGTCCGCCTGATATACGTGATGGACTGATTGGTGCTTTTCCGCTCCCTTATCTTGTGGTATTCAATCCGATCGCCTTTTCAAATGCTTTCTGTTTTTGACAGCCCAGTGAACAGCACTTTTAACGTCATTTCAATCTGCTTCGGCGTTGGTTATCACAGCCCAAGCGCGCCAAGTCGAGCTAATCGCCCGTTGGATGCGCTTGACGCTTTTGGCAGGTCAAGTTGCGACAATGTCATGCAAGACGAACAGACGACTTGTTCTAGATCGGGTCCATCATTCAGGAGGGTAAGCAAAAAGTACTTTTGCATGTTGGGCCTCCAGGTTTGTAGACGGATGGTCACGGATGGTCGATGTTTGAGACAGCATCATGGTTTGCGAGTATATTTGCACGGTGCGGTGGTTCTTGATTCCAATAATTTCCGACCATTTTGGGAACCGCCAAACTCAACAAGGCAGCAATTGAGAGCTGCACAAAGACCGAAGTCTAGAGTTTCAGTCCGTGTCCCTATAAAGACTATTACAATCAAGCTGAGGCAGTAAAAGTCTTGGCGTTATCTTCACTCCTGAAATCCCACAAGCTCGATTCCCTTGTTCCAAAGCTTCTTTCCGAGCACCTCGTCCAGCGCATGCCTCGCGACTCCACCGCCGCCCATTTCATGGTTATCTGTGGGCTCCTGGATCGCACAGTCATTCAGGTAGAGTCCACCTTTCCCCTCCACTTCCTTGTCCACCGCTGCCACCAGCGTCGTTGCAGAACCCTGCTCGACATCTTTCATTGTCTTCCTGATCTCCCAGTTCTTTTTCAGCTCATCTACCATGGTCTGGATGTGTACTTGGAGGGGTGTGTCGATCGCACCAGGGTTCAATGCTAGGCTGTGCAAGCCCTGAGCTGCATACCGCCGCTCAATCTCATTCGTCATAAGGATCTGCGCTGTCTTCGCTTGCCCGTAGCCGACAAATCGATCGTAGCTGCCGTCTTGATCGAAGTTGAGGTTGTCAAGATTGACGCTTGCTACCTTGTGCGTGCTGGAAGACACGTTAATGACGCGAGAGCCGAACTCCGGTGAAGCAGCCGCAAGCAACGCTGGCTTGAGCAGAAGGAAGAGCAGGAAATGGCCCAGGTAGTTGACAGCGAACTGCTCCTCAAAACCATCCTTGGTGAGACGACGGTCCTCAATGGCCATGACGCCAGCGTTGTTGATCAGTACATTGAGCTTACTCTCCCGACTCAGGAACTCTGTTGCACAGGCGCGAACACTGGACAAGTCGCCGGTATCGAGCTGCAGGAGCTCAACGCGGCCCGGTTCCAGTAGTCTTTTCAGGGCATTGCGGCCCTTGTCTAGGTTCCGGGCGGTGGCATAGATCTTTGCACCTGTAGACTTGAGGGCTGCAACGGTGGTGATCCCGAGGCCGCTGCTCGTGCCCGTGACCAAGATCACCTTGTCGGTCCATTTGCCCACAAGATCGTTGTAGTCGACGATTTGCTGCGCCGTGGGACGCGAATCGCCTGGGCCACCGAGGTTCTCGTTCCGGTGGAAGTCTTCGTAGCGTGTCGTCATCTTGCGATCCGATCAATGTGGGCTGGATAACGGACGTGTCTGCAATGTCTCGTTACAGGTTCTATGCGCTGAATGTACGTTCGCTGGCCATGGACACGCGTGCAGCAATATCTTATAAAGTGCAAAGCCATGACGCCTAGTCGTGATTTTACCGACACGGACTTAATGCCAGGATTCCTCGTGTAGCTCTGCACGAGGTTCAGTGTTCGGTCATGTTGAAACAACCTTCACATTGGCAGCTTCAACCTTACTGCGACGGCTTCGAGGTCCTCCGGGACGCCCTCTGGTTGGGCGGAGCCAAGTAGTTCCATCCACAGCTGAAAATTCCCCGACTCGAGTGAATAGGACCATGTCGGAAATAAGGGTTCCCCACCAAGTGAGCAAGTCGTAATTCCGAACTTCAGGTGTCTGGCTCCAGTCACATGATCGGCAATGGTCGGTCGGACTTTACTGGCTCTCGTTAGTCCTAATCAGGCTCCTCTCTCTGCTCAATATGCTCGATGTCTCTTCCAATCGAGTTGTTGCTCTCAGAGGGACCCTGCTTCTCGGTTCGCGGAGACACAAAATCAACTAGATCGGTTGGCTGCGTTCGAGCCATACGCACAGGATCGAAGATACTTTTGGATGCGATAAAGATCTCATCAATCTCCTCAAGGGCACGACCTAATAAATATCAGTTGTGTTTTTCTAGCGGAACGACCATTGGAGCTGCCGTACCTTTGGTTTCGGGGAAGAAAAAGTATATTATCGGGACCCACGCAGCATTGAGGACACAATAGACGATGAAATAACGCCATCCGATATCCGTGAAAGCTATCGGCGTAACTTCAGCCACGAGGAAGTTGAAGAGCCAGCTCACTGCCGTGGAAATTCCGCAGATTGCGGCTCGCTGCTTAGCTGGAGCGATCTCGCTGGCATAGAGAAATGGAATGCCCAGAAAACCCAATGTATAAACCGTCTGGTACAGGTAGACGAAGAAGACCGCTGTCTTCAATACGCTCTTGTTGCTCGGATGGGATACTAAGCCTGCGAGGAAGGCGAAGCAGGCTGACATCGACGCCGCCGACCCGAGCATCAACGTTCGCCGCCCATAGCGATCCACGGTGAAGGAACAAATGGACGAACCGAGGATAATGCAGAATTGCGATGCAGCTGCCAATGCTTCTGCCGTCTTGACGCCGAAGCCGAGCTCTGATGCGTAGAGACTGGAAGCATAGTAGGTGACGCTGTTGATACCTGTCATCTGGAGCATCATCTGCGCAATGCACCCAATGAGAGCCCTGTGCAGCACTCGCTGCTCCCCCATTGTGAAGAGCGATCGCAAGTCTGTACCTCCAGATACATCTAAGCTGATGCGAATGTCTTGCAGCTCCTTCTCCACGATTCCGGGATCCTGGTGAAGCAACTGCAAAATCTCTCCTGCCTCATTCGAGCGACCTTTCTTCATCAGCCAGCGTGGGCTCTCTGGTAGAGTGAAGATAGTTGGCATTGCGATGGCAGAGAACAGCATCGGAACTGCGAGCGGAAAGCGCCAAGCGAATGAGCTGGAGGAGTATGAAGTTGCGAAATCGATCCACAGAGCAAGCGCCAGGCCGATGCCGCAGAAGATCCCGAATGCTGACACATGCGAGCCTCGGGAGGACGCTTTGGAAAGTTCTGACTGCCAGACAGACGTGGTTGCAATGACTCCACCGGTTCCAAACCCCAGAACCAGACGAGATACAATGAATTGACCGAACGAGAAGGCCGTGCACATGAGAAGGGCGCCGATGGCATTAAACAGGCAGGAAATCCAGAGTGTCCATCGGCGGCCGACTGTATCGCCGAAGAAGGTACAAGCCAGCGCTCCGAAGACACCCATGAGGGTGTAGAGCGCTATGACAGTCCCTACAAAAGCCGTCAGCTCGGATAACAGTACCTTTTGTCAGACAATTTCACCTTGGACTGTCGAATTGTAGCGCTTCCTCTCGCCTTCATTGTTGATAACATCCATCTGCGGAAATTGGTCGTTAAAGGAGCGCGTGGTCAGGACACCCCCTGCAGCGGCTTGATTATAGCCAAAGATGGAGACCAGAACGCACGCCTCAGCCCAGATGGCCGCGTGCAGCCTTGGACCTCGCAAGCCCCAATATAGCTTCATCTTGTAGTCGTGCGATGTCACTTTGCTGTTTGAATCTGAGGTTCCTATGCCTCATGCTCAGGCGAGGGCTCTTTATAATATCAGCATTGCAGTCCCCGCCTGGAGATCTACCTACCGAGGGTGACGTTGGAGCTAGTTACCTCCAACAGGGCATTCGCCACTCAGCACGTGGGCCATGGATTTTGATTCATCCATTAGGACACTCGTGAATCAGTTATGCTTCGCGATCACCGTTCGAAGGACATTGTCATTGGGCGAGGCAGACAAAGCTTGACAAGACTGTCAAACAAGCTTCTCCAACAAGCTTCCGGGCTTCCCCACGCCATGCACGTACGCGTGCAACACTAACCATGTTTCTGCGGAAAACGAGTTCGAACGAGTGCGGGGATAGCTTCGGAAAAAGAAGGAAGAGCAGGGAAGAGATAAAATGCTTTGGGTAGCTCTTTTGAACGAACAACCGGCCGGTTCATTCATCATGGCCACAAGTTCCGAGGTGAAGGTGTTGCTCACCCTGCATCTGCGTCCAGGGGAACAGCTCGGCGCTACTTATTCCGGCGCCTCTGCGAGCAAGCCTCGTCACGTTTGAGGGCGCCTTGGGGATTAAGTCGGTACCGTCCGTAGCGAGTGTGGCGAGAACATGTGCTGCAGCCTAGGCCGGGTTAGCTTTCATTTGGTCTACTTCAGCATTTGATGCACTCACCTTCGCATTGACTGTAAGAACCGTGCTGTTCGCATTCTCATAGGTGTCGCATTCTTGATGATAACAGGGATCTTGGTCGACGCCGGTGCCCGTATGCATGCCGCCGACAGGTTTCTGCAAGGTTGACATGAATGTAGCATAGTCACTACCGCCGGTAAACACAGCCGCAGTGACATTGATGCCTTGAGCTTCTAAATGGTCGACGAACAGCTTTTCAATCACTTCTGAGCCAGGAGCTCCTGCCAAACCATGAGTGCTTCCATCGCCATCGAAAACGCCGAAATAGCCCCTTGATACCATGTCGAAGTTGAGGTATAGCAAGATCGCGTCTGCTTCTTCAGGGGTGACGTTATCCGTGTAGAAGGTGGACCCTACCAGCCCGTTTTCTTCAGCACCCCACCAGGCAAATCGGACCTTGTTTTTGACATCGTAGTTTTCCAGACCTTTGAACAGCTCGAGCAGGAGCGAGGTGCCGGATCCGTCGTCGTTGATACCGGGTCCAGCCTGTACGCTGTCGAGATGAGCGCCGAGGATGATCACATTGTCAGGATCTCCGCCCTTTGTCTCCGCCCAGACATTCTGAGTGATTTGCTCTTCAATAAGCTGGGTCTGCTGGAAGTGGGCCTCAACGGTTTCACCGGCCTCGAGAAGTTCGATCAAGGCTTGCCCGTCAACCTGGTTGATGAAACCAGCCGGAACAAATTCTTCTTCGTCCGGAGCAGACAGTGTGCCGCCCGTAACCTTTGTCTCCACATCATTGTACACAATGACAGCAGCGGCACCGGCTTCCGCGGCCGGGCGGACGCGTCCTGCCAATGTGCCACCGGTTGGGCATCTGTAGCGTTCAACAAGAACGATTTTATCAGTCACGTCTAGATCAGCATAGCCTTCAACACTGCATCCGTCTTCGCCTTCAGGGCCGAGCACGAGCTCCGCATCGATCCCTGCCTCATCCGTTGACGGTGAATAGGTCAAGCCGTAGACATAGTAGCTGACATCGCCAACGGTGAAATCTATGGACTGGACTTCTGTAAAAAGAGCCGGGAAATCCTGAAGCCACGAGTCGAACATCTTGGACTTCTGCACCGTGGAATAGATGTAGTCGCGCGATGCATCGTAGCCCGGGAGACCAAATGCTCGATTGCCACCATTCGCGTCCGCAATTTCTTGCAGGTCAGCCAGATTACTCATAAGGCTGTTGCATAGTCAGCAAAAGTCGTCGTGATGCCATTTCTGCGTACTTTTCTGTGGTAACCTCGTCTTGAAGCAGGGATGATTCGACGTATTTGGGTGGGATGGCAGCATTGCTTGCCTCCACAAGGCCGCAAGCACAAATGGCCAGAAACGTGGAAGCTCTAACATCAGTCTTCATGATTCCTCAAAGTTGATGCAGCTCCGAAGTCATAGCTTGAGCAGTGTCCAAGGGAGTTATAGCACATACGACGGGCGGCCGAGGGCTGCCGAGAAAGCACTTGCTGGTCCGATGTAACGATTTCCATGGCAGAGAGGTCGTTCAGAGGGAGTAGTGGAGATTCAATACCTGGGCTCTGGTTCGATATGGGCCTCTAGGTCCGCCGAGGGTAGTATTACCATTGGCGACCTTCCTGAAGTGTCGTCGGTCCGCGCTTGGCGAGACTTGGGACCAAGAATGATCAGCGTCGGATACAGGTCGCCAGGGAGAGCGGGCGAGCGCAGCCTTCAGAGAGTTACCGCGCCGCGATCACATCACGAGCCGAGCCTCTGGATGCTATGCTGCGAGCAGCAGGCTAAGATAACGATGCCGGGGAGGATCAGAGGCTTGTGTAGCTGAAGACCAAGTGCGTCGCGTCAACGCTGCCGAGGTCTGATGAGTCGAACTGGTAGCGATGCAGACATCTCGTGTTTCTAGCTACACTCACTCACTATTAGACAGGCTCTAGCACAATGTAGGCTCTGCAGAAAGCCCACGCGCATCGACGTGAATTGATGCGCGCACGTATGAACGCTGCCATCGCGCTTGCAACAACACTTCGCCTCCATGATTAGACGCGAATGCATTGATAACGATGCCCATAGTGCACATTGCATTGTTCGACCACAGTGCGTCAATCGAAGAGACACCTTGAATGGGCTGCGAGCGAGGTGATCGAGGTGAGGGTCCAGACGCGTTGGAAGCTTGGCGCGTTGAGGGCTGCAACACCCCCGCAGCCTTTTCCCTCGCAGACACAGCTGCGCAAGGAATCATCAAGCCGTGCAAAAGCCACCACTGATATGCAGCCACTACGAGGCGCGTCTCGTGAACTATGGCTCGGTATTGTGCATGTAACAGCTGACAACAGCATTCGACCTGCATCCAACCAACGTCAGTAGCACATTCGACTCATCTCGAGCATGCGGCGGCTTGCAACGCATCCACGATCTTCCTTGACGCTTTCATGGACGCTACCGCACGCTGCGAAGAAGGCAGAGGCTACAAATATGACTGACACCACTCAGACCGCTACTTTTGCAAAGAGCTCCGATTCAAATACGTCTCAAGAGCTAATCGAGCTCAGCACACCCCAGCGCAGGTTCGTTCAAGACACGACTTCCACCGAAAGATCCTCTGGCCAGTAGGCTTGATCAACGCCGTTTCCTCTCGTGCTCACGTTGAAACCAGGCCTCACTCTGCCATCGGGGAATGAAAGCACCGGTTTGACGACCCTCATCGTCAGCCTGCCTAACGCACCACATTCTCGCACCTCCAGAAATCCCTTCTCGAACAGCCCTAGATCCGCACAAATCTTCATGTGTGGCGATAATAACATACCAGTGTTGTTGAAGTGCCTGAAGACCTGCTTGCCACTTTTTGCCCATACGGCCCGCCATACGTCCTCGGGATATTCCCCGACTTCTTTCACGAACCATGAATTGCAGTAGTTCAACGCCGTATCGATCAGGAAGCTGCCGCCCGCCTCGGACCTCTGTATCAATGCTTGCAGGACTGCACACGTCCCGGCAATGCCTGTGATGAAATCGCTGTGAGGAAATACTGGGCTGACCGGCTCCTGCAGTCCCATTGCCTGTCCAAACCTCCAGGAAACCCCGGTGTGTGCATCACTCACTGGCTGCCAACCACTCCGGTGCTTCATTGGCCCGTTCCAACCAAAACAGTTCTCGCGCACGTAGATGAAGCCCCTGCCTCTCTCGTCGCCAACCTTCCGTAGCTCGTCGAAGCCCAGGCCATATTTGTCCAGCACACCCGGTCGATAGCCATTCACCACCACATCCGCTTCCCTGAGCAATGCTCGTAGCTTGTCCCGATCCTCATCTTTTCGAAAGTCCAGGCTACAATTCCACTTGCCCCAATTCAGATCCGGCAGCAAACCCGAGTAGTCCGGCAGATGTGGCGCTGTCACACGCATCACACTGGCGCCCAGCTCGGCCAACCCCCTCGTCATTGTTGGACTGGCAATCACACGTGTCAAGTCCAACACTTTCAGACCTGCCAAAGGCCTGCCCGGCCCAGTCTCGAGACCCGGTGGCCACCAAGATGACGGCTGAGCGGCGGACGGATATGCGTGGATTTTGTACAATCCCACATTGGCGTTAGCCTTACCCTGCTCACTGTCCGCGTACTCATCGGAGTTCAGGCATACTGTAGCAGCCTGCCGTGCCCCTTCTCCCAGGACAGTGTCCCAGTCTGCCGCGTCTTTTTCGCCGATTTTTGAGCCAAGACAGTTCCACGCCTGCTCCCTTGTGGTGATGCTCGGCTCGTCCTCAGGCAGACCCAGTGCACGCAGGGTGTCACTCGGATTGAGACTCGCGTGGGTGTGCACAAAGCGTCCGTCCCGGGCGCGGTAAATGTTGGAAACCTGGCTGCGAAGCGGTGACGAAGCCATACCGTGGATGTCAGTATTGGGGAAGTAGGCCGCAAACTTGGCTTGGGAGTCGAACAGGGAGGTTGTTTCGATCGGACCAGCGGGAGACGGATTGAGCTCCACAAGATACGGGCTCATTATGAATAGACTGGCGTGGGAGGTGTCGATGGTGATGCGTTGAGGTTGGACGCCATACTTTTTAACGAGGAGGTGATTGAGGAGGATTCCCTCCAACCCTTTGAGAGCAGCAGTCGACTCAGCAAAACGCCAGTTGACTGCTATGCGTGGAAGAGGATGGCCACGATACTCAACGTGTTCAATCAGGTCCTTGCACTCTGCGGGAAGATCTTGGTGGTGGGGATGGTTGAGAATGCCATTCTCGAGCACCGTCCGCGCTTCGCTCGGGATTGAGTATTCTTGCATGATCTGTTGACACCCACAGGCTCGAATACATGCATTGTCGATCCCCGTTATTTGAGATCACGTACACATCGTGATCGAACCGATGACCAGTATTTCAGGGCTTCGCGGGTGCTTCACAATGATATTGCACCGCTTCTCGGTGTCTCCCCGCACGCTTCCCCACACTCACGTGAGGAGTTGCGAGCCTCGGTGGACACAATGGCAGTTTGCCAAGTACAGCACTAGTGATGAACAACATTGCACTCCCTCGAATTCTCCCACTATTGTGAAGGCTACTACTCTCCAGCCCATCAGTACAGGCAAATGAGAGAAGCTGAATGAAGCACCAGTAACAGTCACACCCTCAGCGTCAAGACCACTGCGTACCCCGCTGCAGTGCGACATGACCGAAACAGGCATAGGTCAGGCAGTGAATTCACTGCCTGTCTTGACTCACTTTGTCGTACAGTCCTGCAGCATCCATCCACGATAGCAGGAGTTCTGGCAAGCCCTGCCGCGAAAGCTCGTCTCCCATTGTATACTCTCGTGTCCCTTTCCATCTCAGCTGCCCGGTCTGCTGCGATGGCAGATACTTCTTTGCACCGATCTTGAGCCTCGACTCCGCAAGGTCGGCCCAAAGTGAGCTGTGAGGCAGCCATTTTTCTCGTGTCACCATCATGGCTAGCTGTGTGAAGTCATCCAGTGCGGTAGCTTTGTGGAATATGTTGGAGGCCTCATGGATGTTACGACGGCCGTACTTGGCGAGACTCTCGTCCACCTGCTCGCGTTGGATGAGCTGGTGCGCCGTTCGTTTGAGATATTCCGTCTGACACTCAACAAAGCGGTGGACTTTCTCAACATCCAGCGGACCGTCGGCTTTAGAGATCTGTGCCTGCATCATGCAGATCTCCGTCTGCATTTTCTGGAGACGGAACTGCGTCCATTGCTTGTAGAGTACGTTAGGCTCGGTATAGCAGCGCAAGTTTGTGATATAGCTTGAGTCGTACACGCCAGGCACATCAGCAGTGAATGAAGTGATTGTAGATATGCGCTCCTTGACGCCCAGTGCCCTTGCTGCCAGATGCTTCACCTCGCCGCCCTGCAGTATAACGCCATAGCCGAGGCTCGGACCTTTCACTTCCTGCGCCATACCATCGCCTCTCTCAATGAAAGTCTGACCACCGACCATGCCGTCAGTGTCACTCAACATGACCACACATACGTAGGGATAGGAGTCATAGTGCCAGGGAATGATGGACGAGGCTTTCAGTGGGTCATAGGCTCGTTCTTCATCTGTCAGCGGTATCTTCTCATTGCTTGGTTCCACTTCCAGAGCCTCCATCATGTTGGCAACATTCGTCCCACTAGCCTGGATATTCGTGTGTGCAATCTCCGTCGGCATCACGATGGACAATGGCACACCTGCTGCATCCGAGACCGCTCGCAACGTCTCCGGATGGTTCCAGAAGTCTCTGATAAAACGTGAATGTGCTGATGCATTCCGCAGCGTCAAAGTGCCCGGAAACGGCGATGCCGAGCACTTTTCGACGACTTCAGAGGCAAACAACGCCCGCCGATACGCCCGTATTCCTCTCGGTGAGAGCAGCGGGAAAGGTACAGTGGCCGCAACCTCGGTTGAGGTCGGACTACGCGGTAGTCTCAAATCTTCGAACGTAAGCTTGGTGGTTGGAGGAGTATATGCCAGATGAACCTGAGGCCCTTGTCATTAGTATCGAGCTGACCTCGCTTCGTGTACTGGCTACCTTTGGATCAAAAACCTCCTCTGCGTTATCATTCTTCCTCTTTTGTGAGGTGCCCGACATTTGAAGCCATTGTCGCCATGAAGTTGTGGAAGCAGTCAGGGGTGCCATCGTTGTGGTCGCGAGTGAAATCGGTTTGCTTGGAGTTCGATAGACCGACTACATGTACCGCGACGAGACTCCTGGTACACCCCGCCCTAGGGGGTGTGATGCTGTTCATTGCAATGCCGCATGCTGGCGGTCAGAGGCTTAGACATCTGGCCAAAGTGGTGCTTTCTAGGCTTTATTAGGATGGAGTTTCCAGGAGTATCTACCTGATCTGGTTGTCGGATCCTTGATAGGTGCATCATTCAACGGCTATCGGGCCTCGCATGGGTCCGCATCGCCGTCCGCAACTCACTCCGCGACTTGGCGATGATAGAGCGATAAGCGGAAAATTTGTAAGTGCAATGGGACGCGATACAGGGCGGGCATCTCCAGCTCGTTGTTGAACGCAGTCCGGCCCCTCAACTGCACGCCTCAGCCCTCGAATGCGCTTGTCATCGCGAAAGGCATGAAGACGCTGCCTGTCGAGCACTGATATTCCTGGCGTTCGTCAGTGTGCTGCGACTTTGGCATGTATTGGCGTGGTTCGAGGTTGTCAACTGTGCGAGCTATAGTTTGCTGCCTCCAAAGCCAGCCAGCCTGCTTCGGCATCAACACTTCACTCCCAGACTTGGACTATCATGAGTGTTGATCTGACTGCAAATGTAAAAGACGTCGAGGAGAAGAAGGGGGCCAAACGTACGGCGACGCTGTACCGCAAATCCCTGCAACGCCTGTTCACAGCGAATCAGCGCCCAGTCCATTCTGTGACTCTCAAAAGGTGGTTCTCTAGTCGACTCGAGGAAAGCGCCAAAGCAAGCTAGCCTAGAAGAGCAAGCCACTGTCTGATCTTACGCGCCAGGACCTATGCTGAAGTATTGATCTGAGCGAAGCCATCGAACGTCGATGCAGGATTGTATGAAGCGGGGACAGACGACCGTTTCCCCGACACTCTTTCAGCAGTCGTCTCTCCGCAGTGGTCGCCTCCGGCACAACGCGGACACATCCCGTTTCCTGGGGATGCCACCCCACAAAGCTTGATAAGATCGGTAAGATGCCGGTGGTTTCTGAAACACCCTGCTGTCTCTCCGTCAAAATGTTTGGTTCGGGGAGCCTCTGGTAGCTCAAAAAGGCAGGCAGAGGCACCTCCTACCCAGCTGTCCCCGATCCCGCTGGCGTGATGTCGATCAACCTCGGGTAATTGTTTCGACTTCCCCAATTAATTTCCTATACCGTGTCTTCACGTGCATTACAGGAAGATGCAAGCCACTGCCGATCAGACGACACAGTTCGTGCAACCCGCGATGGGCGAGTTAGATGGGATCGTCCCCTGCTTCTTAGTGCTTGGCCGTCAAAGTCAAGCACTCCCCTCTCAGCGCGTGGTGACGAAGACCCTACTATAATCGATATATAGCTTAAGTCGCCCTGCGTCGCATGTTTGCCACATCTTTCGTCCTGTGCAAGTGCTCAGAAGTCACCTTCACCCTTGGGGCAGTCCCGTCGACAGAGCTACAACATGAAAACGAAGTTCAACTTATACGGCCGTGGCCGTCCCCTACGATGGGCGATCACCGGTGCCTGCCAGCTCGCATTCGTGCTCTTCGGATATGACCAAGGCGTTTTTTCCGGCATTGTTGGTAATGAACACTTCCGTTCAACCTTTGGGAACCCGAGCGACAGCTTGACTGGCATCATTGTCTCAATCTACAATCTCGGCTGCTTCAGTGGATGTGTCCTGAATTTCTTTATTGGCGATTGGCTTGGACGACGGAAGGCCATGTGGTTTGCCATGTGCTGGATCATAGTGGGTGCTGTGCTGCAGACGTCGGCCTTCTCGGTACCGCATATGCTGGTTGCTCGATATATTACTGGTAGGCAGACCATTCCCTCCTCATACATTCGTGTCTGAACTTGACGATTCCAGGTATCGGAACCGGTATTGAGACATCCACCGTTCCCATGTGTGAGTCTTCCTGGACGAATGTCTGTTTTGCTACCCGTACACATCAGCGCCGAGTTTCTCAAGCCCGCCAAAAACTCTAGATTGCAGTGGTACTCACATCCTTCTCACAGACCAAGCAGAGCTCGCTGAAGCTCATCGCCGTGGCAGGCTGGTCTGCTCTGAACCGCTCTTTGTCGGTGTTGGCATCGTCATCTCCTACTTCTTTGACTACGGCATGTCATTCGTACCGTCCCCTCCCGGCATCGCCTGGCGTCTACCGATTGCATGTCAAATGATCTTCGCGTTCGTTGTGATCGGTATGGTCTTCGGCCTCCCAGAGAGTCCACGTTACCTCTGTCAGAAACATCGCGAGGACGAAGCGCTTGCTATCTTGTGTGACGTCTACGACAGGGATCCTAGTGATCCGAAGATTCAGCGAGAGCAATCTGAGGTCCTCGAAGCCCTTGAGGTTGAACGGGAGCACGGCGAGTATAAATGGCGAAACATAATGGTTAAAGACAAAGTTCAGACAGGTCGACGTGTGTTGTTGGCATACGGCAGTAAGTCTTTCTACGATGTATCCTACGGGTTGGACGGTCTTCCCATGCAATCTGGCGGCTCTTCCATGCCCTCCCCATTGTTGAAGCCTGTTTCTAATAAATGTTCGCTAACACTTTCCAGTGCAGGTAAATTTCTCCTCAAACGTATCCTGGATCAAGCACAGAATTGCCATGCTGCGCCATTTGCGCAACCCTAGCCTATTCTTTGCACAACATCTTGTTCTGATACATGTTGGCTGACATATCGTGCCCGGAATAGTTTATGAACCGTAAGTGTGTCATCTGTGGGTTGAACTAGGCCCTTGAGTTTCTCTCAGCTCGCGGCTTCGTAACCTGGAGCAGGTTTACGGATGAAGACGCAAGGACTTGATTTCAAGCCTGCTGCATTTCCTTTCCCGGACTATGTTCTATCCCTATCCCCGGTCTGCTCAGAACAAGAACGCTGACCTGACTTTGCCTCCTAAACAGAGATGGGAGGTAAGTTCTCCTCCGTCAGACATGTTTTGCGCAGTCTAACTTCCGCAGGTATTAATCTCGTCGTCTACTTCGTCCCTACTGCCTTGCAAGAGAACGTCGGTCTCACACACAACCTTGCCCTAATCATCGGTGGATGCGTTCAGTGCATGTTCGTCATCGGATCTCTGTATCCGACGTTCTTCATTGACCGCAGTGGTCGCCGGCCGCCCATGCTATGGGGATCTATTGGTCTTGGCGTCAGCATGATGTACGATATTTCCTTCATGAGTTTAAATCGCCTCTAACAGTTTAGGATGATCGCAGTACTCCTCTCGGTTGGCAAACAAGTGACAAGCTCTGCCGCGATTGCTTTCGTAAGTCATTCACGGTCCTGAGCCTTGAGCTCAGCGGTGGCGACCAGACTGCTTCCGCTCGAACCCCCCTGTCACCTTTCGTGCTGACTGTTTTCCAGTTCTTTACGTACATGTTGATCTTTGGCGCTTCCGTGAACTGCATTCCGTGGTGCTACGTGCCGGAAATACTGCCGCTACATGTTCGAGCTAAAGGTACTGCTGTTGGGATTAGCTCAAACTGGGTGAGTCGCTTCCGCCCCGTCAGACCCTGCTTTGGTCGACTTTGTCTCCAGAGTTACAGCACAAGATCAAGAATGGGGTCTCCTTCAGATGAGCCTAGTCCTTGAGCTGCCACATCACTGGTCGCCAGTCATTCATCTGACTTCATCGGTTTTGGACATCGTTACTGATTCAGTTTTTCCGACGTCTGCAGATCTGGAACTTCTTCGTGGTCATGATCACGCCCGTCATCATCAACCGCCTGCAGTGGAAAGCCTACCTCATCTTCATGTGCTTGAACTTCGCCTTCGTGCCACTTGTGTACTTCTGCTATCCTGAGACGGCGAACTTGACGCTGGAAGAAATCGATTTCATCTTCGCGGACCACACCAAGAGCACGATCAAGACGAGCAAGCAGATGTGCTCGGAGCGCATGAAGTACAAGGGCGCCAGAAGGGACAGCTTTGTGGCACAGTACACAGAGGAGAGGCGCAGGAGCAAGGCTGGGAGTGATGCGGCTGAGAGGACTGTCCAACACACCGAGAAGTCTGTCTGAGAATCCAAAGGCCACATCTCGGATAGTGATGGCCTGTTGGTTTATGAGAGGCTCGAGTCGGTTCAAAACCGATGTCGCGTACAGGGGGCGTCAGGATGGTGCTTGAGTAGCGAAGTCCTCCTGGTGCACAAAATAGAGGCCGCGCCTGGACATGCTTGCTGGCTGTTGTCACGGTCAGCATGGCATGGCGAGTACTGGACGGCCATGGCCAAAGGCATCACGAGGAAACAGGTTCTGGTCTGGTGAGCTGGATAAGCTGGCTAGCGTCAACACGCGCAACTTCACCAGCGATAGGTCTCCTTGCCAATTAGTCACTGCGCAATTACTACACACAAACAAGGACGGACCCTGCAAACACTCGTTCTGGCATAAGAGCAGTATTGTGCCGCACAGAGTCATCAACTGCAAGCCCCAGGTCAGTGGCGCTGAGGATTGATGACAAGGTCCGTGAGCTCCGCCAACCTTTATCAGCATCTCAGGTCGTAGACGATACTAAGTAAGGTGACTTCGCCAATGCGTGAAGTAAGCATCAAGACGGCTAAATCCGGTACCTCATGCACGCTAAGGGCTACGTGAAATGGGTTTGACAACGGCAATGTAGCGATTGCATCGTTGGACGCTGTGTTAGACGTGACAGTTCTGCTGCACGTAAGTCTCGTTGCTGTCGTACATGGGTCAAGCCGGATGCGGATATTCCACGCAGTAGCATTTTTTCGACCGTCCGCGAGGTATGCTATAATCTCGTTGATGTCTGCGGCGCCGGCAAACAATCATGACAGTTCAATTGCACGATAAATGGCGTTGACGGAGGAGAGCAGAGGACTTATAGGGAACATGTGAATTATCGAATCCAAACTTAGGGGCCGGGCGACAAAGTCTAGGCTCGGAGCCAGCCGAGGGGACCGATGCCTAATGAGCGGAAGCTCCAGGGGTGGCAGAAGCTTGTCTCTCGTGGTAGTAAACACGCGGTTTCTCGCCTTCCGGGACCCCCATCCCCTCTGCTCCGGACCTGAAGATACCAAGATCTGGTGGAGTGATTGCGCTGAATCCTGGAGTGTATTTGCTGCATGTACACCAGGAGTCAGACGATCAACACCCTTCAAAGACGTGGAATGCTGGGGCCAGCAAGGTGATTAAGGGTCGTTTATCGAGGACCTGAAACCGCAGGGTTGCCTCGTCATCCCGGGCGCAGCATGCCAACCCAAGCTCAAGGTTCTGGACCAAAGGCAACCAGGGGGGAGATGCAAACTTGCAACGGTGCAGACAGCCGGTTCATGACGTGACGTCGAGTGGCATGCTCCAAATACTGGAGACCTGACTTCAGACCGTTGACAGAAGTGAGAAGTGCTCGCTGATCTGATTCGGCTCCCTGTTGATCCTGGGGTCGTCAGTCACGAGCAACGTCAACCTCCTTGGACGTTCGCGCGCCTCGGCAGACCATTTCTTCGCATTCTTGGGCCAGGGGCAAGGCAGTCGCCTGGTGAAGATAACCAATCTCGCTGCGAGGCACTGCAATCGATAAGCGGCCAAGGGAGATTTGTGGTGGGCACCCCTGTCAAGACCCCTGTTGAGTGGTGCGATGTAGCACCCGCCAAGGGGCGAGCCCTCGAGCTCGAAGCTCCAGCACCTGATAATTCTTGAGCTGTGATCCCTTTCGATCTTGTTGATCGTCAGCAACGCTCGTTGCGGAACCATTACGCTCGTTATGTTGTGCTTTTGACACTCAGTCGCTCATTCATCGCCTTGTCACTCGTTCACAGCTTGCAAACTGTAGGCTCACATTCGCTTTCTGCCACATCGCTCCTTCTGCAACACTCGCTGCCGCCCGCAGCGCCTCACGCAGCCATCACCAAACTCTAATCACTGCATTCGGTACCTTGCGGCACCATGACACGAGCCTCCTTTCTGAGGCCGAGCTCCTTTTTGAAGCCCAAAGCTCCCGCCAACATCAGAACAAATGCCACCACCGAGGATAACGTCCCGATGCACTACATCCCGTCCCCGTTGTCTAGATCGGGGAGCAATTCAAACGCGAGCACGCCGACCGTCGTTGGCAGTGGTGCCAGCACACCGGCTACCCTGTTGGGCACGCCTGAACTAAAAACGCCCAAAAGCGCCGTTCCGAGACTACGACGAACCTCTCTCGACCGCCTACTGGACTCTGGACAGCTCAACAATATCAAGCCTCGAGATTTGAGTAGGTTGGAGAAAGTTCAGGTTTGGATGACCAACCAGGGCGCCTCGTACGTTGTCATCGGCATTTTTGGTCTGGTTGAGGCGCTCCTCTTTGCTTTGTTCACCGTTCACTATCTCTACAAGGACAATCTGAGCACCAATCGAAAACTTTTTGGATGGACATTCATTCTGTCCCGTGCATCAGCAGAGGTGCTCCAGTTCAACGTCGCGCTCATCCTGTTCCCCGTCTGCCGGACCCTGATCTCAATGCTGCGCGAAACACCACTCAATGGTCTAATTCCCTTCGACAAGAATCTCACCTTCCATAAGCTCATCGGCTACTCGATGGTCGTCTTTACCACCCTACATGTTGTTGGACACTGGAATAACCTCGGACGGCTGGCTTCAAAGTACAACCTCGGCTTCGTTGGGTTCCTCAAGCTCAACTTCCTGACTGGGCCAGGCTGGTCAGGCTACATCATGCTCTTTTGCCTGCTCGCGATGACCATCACTGCCATTGATCGTGCCCGGAAGGCCAACTTCGAGCGCTTCTGGTACACTCATCACCTTTGTACGGTCTTCTTTGCCTTCTGGTCCGTCCATGGTGCGTTCTGTGTTCTGAAGAGAGACATTCCAACCGAATGTGCTAGCACCGGCAACTTCTATCGGTGGTGGGTCCTTGGCGCCTTCATCTATCTGCTCGAGAGAATCGCACGTGAGGTACGGGGTACCCACACGACTTACATCTCCAAGGTCATCCAACATCCCAGCGATGTGGTCGAGATCCAGATGTTCAAGGAAAAGACCAAGGTCAAGGCTGGGCAGTATATCTTCATCAACGTCCCGGCCGTGTCGGCATGGCAGTATCACCCCTTCACTCTAACCTCTGCACCTGAGGAGGACCATCTTTCAATCCATGTCCGTATGATCGGCAATTTTACAAAGGAGCTTGGCAAAATGCTGGGCTGTACCGATCCGAAAGTAAAATCTGGTAAGCGACCTGGACCTCAGCGTGCTTTCACGGTCATGAACCGCAAAGCCAATGGCGCCAATGCACATGGGCCCCAGCTATTTCCAAACATTTCACTTGACGGGCCCTACTCGACTGCTTCAGAGGATGTCTTCAAATACGACACGGCTATTCTTGTCGGTGCAGGAATTGGCATTACTCCATTCGCCAGTATCCTTAAAAGCACCTGGTACAGAATGAGCAACCCGGATCTCTGGGGCAAGAATCGCCTGCGAAAGGTGTACTTCTTCTGGATCTGTCGCGACTTTGGATCACTGGCTTGGTTTAAAAGCTTGTTGTCCGCCATCGAGGAGCAGGATAAGATGCGGCAAATTGAGGTTCGAGCCGTAAGTCAGATTGACAGTCCCCGCTGCTCCATTCGCTAACAAACAATGCAGTATCTTACAGCAAAGATCTCTCATGAAGATGCTCTCAATATTCAGCTTAACTATGAAGATCGGGACCCTGTCACAGGCCTGATCACCCCTACAAATTTTGGCCGCCCCAACTGGGACATGGCGTTCCGCGGAATCAAGAAACTACACTCCCCGGGCGAGGCAGGCGTCTTCTTCTGTGGACCCGAAGGCTTAGGCACGGAATTGGCACTTAAGTGCAACCAGTACTCAGAGCCAGGTGATGCTGGCTTTGAGTTCCATTTCGGCAAGGAGAACTTTTAGAAGCATGTTTGCTGCTTTGTCTGATGCGTTTGAGCGTTATCGTCTTGTCTGCATGGTAGATACATATTGCCCTCATTAGAGAAGCAGTGATAATGACTGACGATCTTTTTTGATTCGATCTTCTTACAGGGCGCGAATGGGTTCGAGGTGACCTGTCATGGCATACTTCGTAGGGCGGAAATGTCACTGGACTGTTGCAATGTTGCAAAAATGTCAGCCTTGCACTTCAGCCTTGTCGCGTCGCGTCACCTCTCGACCTGCAATCTCGCCGACCACGCTTTGTCCATAGGTAACTTGCAACTCACCTGGCTGTCACGGGAGCCTCACGACATGTTGCCTGAGGCTCCCAGGTACAAAATGGCCTCTTTCGGTACAGGCTTTGTTGTTATTCTCTACCCTTCTCATCCGTACCCTGAGTTGTCCCCATCACCTGCCAGTCCGCTTGCACGACGAACGAAGACGAGCCGACCCCTCCGCCTCAATGAAGTTTCGGTACGGCTTTCCTCGACATCCATGTGGCTACCACTATAGGAGCGTGGACGCCTCCTCTGACACCTCTCTTGATGCCCACCTGCCGAACCTCCCAATACCGAGAAGGGCTGCAGCCCCAGAACCCGAACCCTGGCAGATGTTCTACCGTTCGATCGCCTCACCATGGCCCGAAAAATGGTGGCATCCGTACGAGAAACGTTGGAGACCTTGGGTGAGCTTCTCCCGTGGTGCGCGGGGGTCTAGCCCACCACCTCCTCGGCCTAGAATCGGGGAGGTCGATGCCGAGCATCTGGCTTTGTGGCGGAAAGTGGAGGTGGACGGCAAGCGTCTGCTGAAGCAGAAATTCGCAGCTCGCGATGTTCCTTGGGAGGAGCAGCGCAACTTGCAAGATCCTAAATTCCACACAGGCGAAGGCATGTGGCCCGTACGAAGAATCATTGACCAGCGTAATGATGGTGAAGATCGAGAATACCTGGTTGAATGGGAGCACCATCCGGTGACCCGAGAAAAATGGATGCCGACTTGGGTGAGTCTAGCATAGCCTCACTTGGACAGACATTTTAGCTAATGCCTACAGGTACATGCATCAGGGGTCGGGACGAGCTTGATCCGACCGTGGCGTCATGCTTGTCGAGATCTGTGGTACAAGATTCACAGTCAAGGGGACGTTCGCGACGACTACCGAGATCCCGAGGGAGCTTAATGCCTATGAAGCTCCGAGCTACCAGATACTTCGCCGGACGGGACGTCAGGAACATCTTTGCGAGCGAACGCAAGCAACAGCCGAGCAGACGAGATTGACGACGACTTACAGAAAGTCATAGATCGATCCTACTCTATCATTGCAGATCGGAGTACGCGTTCAGGGCCAACTGGCCACCAAGGTGCGCGTACAACACTTTGCTGCCCTCCTTGATCTCCCCCTTCTTGACCATATCCATCAGACCTGCCAGTGACTTGCCTTCGTATACAGGGTCGGTGATGAACGCCTCCGTCTTCGCGCCAAACTTGATGGCATCAATTGTCTGTTGATCTGGAATGCCATAGATTCCAGCATGGTACCTCTCGTCCAGCGTCACGTCCGCCTCGGTAATATCGCTCTCTGCAAGGCCAATCTTCGTTCCAGTCTGCTTCGCGATTCTCACCACCTGATCAAACGTCTCTTTTGGCTTCGCGCTTGCATCGATGCCAATCACTCGCCTCTTTGGGCTCGCGCCAGTCTTTTCCAGTAATTTGAACCCAGCGATCATCCCAGCAAATGTACTACCTGTCACCGCGCAAACAATGATGGTATCGAAGAACACGTCCTGCTGCAGCTCCTGCTGGCGGACTTCGAAGGCCCACCTGGCGAAGCCCAGTCCTCCAAGCGGATGGTCGCTCGCACCTGCAGGGATGTAGTAGGGTTTGCCTCCGGCATCGATCACCTCCTGCCGCAGATTCTGTAGAGTCTGCTTGTGCTCAATGCCGAAGCCACTCGGGTCGAGCCGTACGTCCGCACCCATTAATCTTGACAGCTGGATGTTGCCGATCTTGTCGTATCCGACGTCCGTCCAGTCAACCCATTTCTCCTGTACGAGCTTTGCCTTCAGTCCCATTCTGGACGCTGCTCCTGCCACTTGGCGGGTGTGGTTGGACTGGAAGCCACCGATGCTGATGAGCGTGTCGCAACCCTGGGAGAGTGCCTCTGGCAGCAGATACTCAAGCTTACGAGTCTTGTTGCCGCCATAGGCCAGGGCCGAGTTACAGTCTTCGCGCTTGGCATAGATGGCGACCTTTCCGCCCAGCGCGGCGGAGATTCTGGGCAGCGAGTGGATTGGAGAAGGCCCAAAGGTGAGTTCGGACCGCGGGATTGAAGCAAGCGGCTCCGGAAGTATGACTTGATCCATTTTGACTGGCAAGCGAACCCCAAGCGATGCTGGCGTCTGCTCAATGAAGCTTACATGTCCCTCACTTATAGCAACGCAACCTTCTATGGATGGTTTTTCCCGTCGGGCACGGCACGCTGCCATTCGGTCCGCCGTGCGTCGCCCCTCTCCATCAAGCGGACATGAACGCACGCAGTATCCGATGTCGCCCGCCCTGTTTACGTCCACGGCATTAGTGTCGGAGAATATCTGCAGCGTGAGGCCACCTTTCCGACAGTGACTTCGGTATAACATAGGCCACACCAGAGGACGACAAAGACTGACGGGCGGGCCTCCCAAGCTCATACCAGATGATGGCCGAGTGCCTCTTCGCTGCAGCCTCGAGGAGAGCGCCTGTCAATTTTAACCACCCCTTGGTGCTTAGGCCGTGGCTTCGCACGCTGGTCGAGAGTAATAATCGGGGACCCTCAAAGCTGCGCGCATCATGCCTCACCTCGGAAGGCCGTTTCACGTCCTTGTTCTGCACCACGGGCTCTTGCCTGCTGTTGACAAGTCGGTGGTTTGGTAGCGTAGGAGCACGAAAGCTCACAAGTTCGCAGAATAGAACCATTGCTGCACTGCTTGATTGGTTAGTAGCCCGACCGTTTGGCGCATGCTCCTCTATCGCTCTGAGTGAACAATCTGCACAGCTTCATCTCACATGTCGATGTGAAGCCCGAGGGGTCGGGTCAGCACTGAAAAGTAAACAAAATACATGAAAGCGGCTGAGCAACGACACGCTGACAGCACACCTCGACAGAAACGTGTCCCAAATTCTGGACGCGTGCATTTTACTCCTGTGGCGCCTCTCGATCCACGGCGGCTTTGCCGCATCCGGCTGAGAGTTCACGGGTGTTCGTCGAGGTAGCCAATCAGAAATGCTTCATGTAAGAAAGGGAACAGTGGCAGCGAGGCTTGATGCGGATTAGTCTGTATTACACGCTTCCGTGATGGGAAGCACATTGTTTGGATTTATGATATTTGTGGCATGTCCCTCCCCGGGGGTGAGAGCTTCTTTGGCAGGCTACGTATGGGAGTACTGTACAAGTTCTAACTCGTTGACACCAGTTGTTATCTGCTTGCCTCAGCCCTCGGACTCCGTATCGCTTTGGCCACTGGCGAAGATTATGGAACTTCGTCAGAAATGCACATAGCACATGCAAACCCCTTCTCGGCCGCGTGGATGTCGCATCGTTGCGGTGGCTGGGTTTCCTTCAATTTCCCGCACCCAGCGGCTGTGCAAAAGAGCAATTGGACCTTTAGTTTCAGAATGGTCTGGACCGTATATGAGCATTCCGTATGCTTTTTGCAAAGTTTATCAACGTCAGCTTGTGACGCGTCCAAGCCCCTTGCGCCGGACTCAGTTTGCCTTGTTGCCTCGTCTCGGCAACGGCTAGTGCAGCCACAGCCGTAACTTAAGGCGAGGTTGTGAGTTGGGTGTGTACGATCGTCTTAGTGCAGTGCATGACGATTCGATTTAAATCATGTTAGTCAAATCCAGGACTGCCATCATGTTGGGGGGATGAAGCCGGCGCGAAGCTCGACTTCTTCTTGCCTCTGTTCCTCGGCTTTCATCTCGTCATAGGTGTCGAGTTGATGCTGCGCGTGCTCGGCGTTCCAGTACAGAAAATACACGGGACACCTGTATCTTCCTTTGCCGTCAGCGAAAACTTGTTGGCCGACCTCTTCTCCGCCACAAAGTTCATCCCATTGCCGCCAATGTCCGGGCATTCCATTCGTGTCGTGCAGCCGCACGCCGCCATAGCCATCGTTGGGGCCCCAGTACTCTTGCGTCTTGCCGTTGACGGCGATGACAGCGAAGGGGATGCGAAACGATTTTGCATGTCCAGATACCAGAGCACGAAGATGAGGCTGATACCATTGCCGGATCCAGTCGGATGAGGAGACGTTTGTGCCCGGTTGATGGTGAGTGGCAGCAGGTGTGACGCCAGTATGGTAATTTGTGTGTAGGGCGACCTCGGACCAGGATTTCTCTGGCAATCTCGTTTCGCCGCTGTAATCAGGAGTCCAGTAAGGTGGAGTGGAACGCTTGATGATCGGGTCGAGCTTTTGGTTGCGACCTTCGAATTTTGTATATTCCAGGCTCGGTTCGGCGTAGATGGTAGGCATAGTAAGCTCGTTACGGTAGTCAAGGCCAATACCAAATTGGCACTCGTCGCACGCCAAATCGATCATTGTACCATTGGAAATGCCATTGCGTGGGTCGTTCTTATCATCGGGACTTCTGTCACTGTTGGCAAGCACCATCTCACGGCGAAATTCTTGCTCGCCAAAGATTTCGCAAAAGATTTCCTGGTCGTCGCTGAAGTTCCCATTGTCAATCTTCCATTTCGCATACTCGAAGAGTGGCTTCAGTGCACCCACCGGGCCGATAATGGAAGCGGTGTTCAGAAAGCGTGGTCTGTAGTTCTGCCAAGGGTTCATCAAGTTATCACCAGGCATGTCTGTGCCTGGACCGTAGATATCGGCTGGAAGGATGGAAGGTGGAACGGCAGTACAGCTCCATTTGGTTGGATTCCCGTCGCAGTTTTTCTGTGCAGAAAAGATGACGTGCTGTTCGTACTTGAGGCCATACCTAGGCCAAACCCGCTTGCGTGCTTGTTGGTTGATCGCGTGATACCTCTCCAGGAGAACTTCGGGGCGCAGCTGAAACCAGGTGTCCTGGCCGTCGACGATCAGGGCTAATTCGTGGTCACTGCCACCACCGAGCTTTTTGAGAAAGTCGAGTACACCATTGATCTTGGCGAGATGGTAGCCGCCATCTCGCTTATTGGGATCGTCGAATTTCTTATCCCAATTGATGATGCGTGGTGTGGGATAATTGAGAGCGCCGGCCGAGAAAAGAGTCCTGCAAAAGGGAACAGAGCCTGATGAAGCGGGGATTAAAAAGTGAAGAAAAGTCGAACTGACAAGGGCGCCAGGGGATGAAGTTGATAATACGTTCGATGAGACCTTTGGCCGATGAAAGTTAAGATAAAGCAGAAGAAGCCAGAAGGGAATGAAGAGGGCTGCTATCTTCGCCATCCTGCGACGTTTCGAGGCGGTCGGCTGCCCATCATATGAGTTCTCGTTGCCGAGCAAGGCGTACCGCCATTCATTCGGTCTGATGGTATTGAGAATTTTGTCATTGAGCGATATCGACATGGCAACAGCATGGCAGCACCAGCATTAGCGACAGGATGGAAGGCAGCAGACGTCACACAAAGGCAAGAGAAGGCAAGACTAAAGATCAAGTGGCAATGAGAAGAGTTACAGTCAAGCAAGAAGTCGCCAGGACCAGTTGCAAGGATAGGAGGACCCGTGTAAGGTTCTCGCGAGACTGTTGGTGCTCGTTATCCAGCAACATGGGCGCCTTGTTCAGCCAAGGGTTGGCAGGTCCACGAATGCACGGCATGCTCCATCTAAGCGTCATGGTAATCGTCTCGCGGAAATCAGTCAAGTTATTCTTGGAATGAGATTGGCAGCCAGGACAGATGCATTGTTGGATGTGGATGACGCGGCCAATCGAGGCAGCGTGCTGTGCTACACTATCTTAAGTTCAGGCAAAATCTAACGCTGGTGGGTGTCGGTGTGGGGGGCTTTACATAGGAGTAGCCTCAAGAAGCGAAATCCGATAAAGAGTCAGCCGTTTTGTCGAGCACTTGTTCGGCCCGTAAGCCAATGAGAGATTATGACAAGATGCGCTCATCAGGCTAGCGGCACGAGGGTCATCAACGACGCCATGGTGGTGAGGTCGTTTGGCGAGTGAGCACCATCACCTGTGTGCCCAGCCGTCGCCTAGAACAGATAAGCTCCGGCAGGCCGGCACTGCGAAACGCGCTAAGGGCCATTGCTGCCGCCGATCCACCTGCAAACCACCCGAGCGACCCCTAAAACTCCCCCCAAGCATATTGGCGAGCTGCACCCCATGTACCACTGACACCCCTCCGCGCCGACTACCGAAGCGTTGTCCAACTTTTCGCATCAATGTCGCAGTCCCCTGAACACAGCCATGCACCATGACTTGTCGACACGCACACTCCTACGACCATCCATACAACATGTTGAAAGAGTCCCTATCCTCCGTTGCCATGCAGCGATAAGAACATGAGTTCGTCGATCGAACTTTATCCGCCGCCCCCATGCTGCCTACCGCTGCCTTTTCCAGGCGTCTAACACGAGCCGGCGCCCTCGTCTTCGCCTGTTTCGCCTTCGCCTTCCTCACCCTCCACCTCTACTCGCCCATTTCATACAAGCTCTATCACGACCCGAAACGGTTACATGTCGCCGTCTTTGCCACCAGCGGCAACTATTTCCTATGCCAACTACACCTGTCCGCCGCCCTGCTGGGCTTCCCCGCACCTGTCTTCATCAATTGGAATGACGAGGAGGACAAAGATGAAATGAAACAGCACCTGGCCAAGATTGAAGGCGCACTTTCCTATCTCGAGTCAATCCCTTCACACCAGCAAGACGACCTTGTTCTGATGATGGATGGCTTTGATATATGGTTCCAGCTGCCCCATGACTACATTCTCCAACGATACCACCAGGTCGTGGCCAGAGCTCACGAGCGCCACGTCCAGGCCTTCGGCGAGGAACTCGTCGCCAAACACAACATCCGAAACACTGTCATCTTCGGCCCAGACAAGTCTTGTGCACCTGCTGGCCAGGATCATGTCTCCTGTTGGGCCATCCCCGAGTCTTGGCTGCCTCCAATGTCGTTCGGGCCAGACACCGATCATGGACGAGCCATGCACAACCGCCCTCGCTGGCTGAACTCTGGCACCGTCATAGGGCCAGCCAGAGAGCTGAAAGACGTCTTCGAGCGCGCTCTGCAACAAAACCGGGACAATCACGTTACCGACTCGGATCAATTCTACTTCTCCCACGTTTTCGGCGTGCAGTCCTATGCGCGTCGGCTCCTCAAGCTCGAATACGACGCTGCACGCGGATGCGATGTCGCCGGCGATCAAGAATTCCTACATCCCCAGCACGTCGATCCGAAAAAGAAGAGTATTCCCAATACTGATGGCCGCACCGAATACTACATCGGCCTCGACTGGTCATCAGACATGTTCCAGACTGCTGGCTTTTACGCCGACTATCTGACATGGATCCGGCATAATCAGACCTCACAGTACATCCAGCAGCAGTCCGAAACCGGTAACTACCACCATCACTTTACGCTCCCCGAAGACCTTCTTGGAAGAGGACCCTCAGAAGACAAGGACCTCTCGTCCATCGACCCAGCGCTCGCGTCCTGGCAAAGCCTCCCACTTGCGACCAACACTGCTTCAAAAACCGTCCCAACCGTCATGCACATCAACGGCAAGAAGGGCTACCGGCACCTGTGGTGGCCACGAAACTGGTTCTTCCCCTACATAGAGCCCATGCTCAAGGCACTGCGGCGGCAGGGGATCAAGAACATTGGTGGCGATCGCGAAGCCCTAGCTGGGGCCTGGACCTTCTTGAAGGGCGAATATGGGTGGGAAGAGTGGAACACCGTATGCGGGAGATATGAGGACCGGCTGATGGGGAAAACAAAAGAGCCGGACTAAGGCATGCCACAACAGCACATTTTATGTATCACAATCAACTAGCGTTTCATTCGAAGATCACCAGTCACTTTTCTCGTTTTCTTGGCGATCCGTCTGGCCTCTTATTCACAACCCATCTTGGAGTCCTTCGCCTGACGGCCATCCACCCAGCCCGATTCCCTCACAGCTTCCCCTCCCTCTTCACGCCGCGCTCATAAAGCTTGACAAGCTGCCTCACCGCCAGATCCAGCATGACATCCTCACTGCCGCCCGGGATCCGCGCACCCATAACATCCCTATAGATCTTCTCCACCAACTCCCCCTGGCCCGTCCTCGTATACCCATTCCCACCAAACACCAACACCGCCGTCTGCGCACACTCATTCAACACCAGCCCCGCCTTCGCCTTTAACAGCGCCGTAGGCCCACCCAGTTTCTCGTCCGCTTCGTTCTTGCTCAGGTGGTTGAGCTGGTGGCAGAACTCGAGGCCGTAGGCTTGCAGGGTCTCGAGCTCGGCGGCGGCGCGCGCGATGCGGTTGCGCACGACGGGCTGGGACATGAGGGGTTTGCCGAAGGCTTCGCGCTTCAGGGCGTAGGCGACAGCGGCGGAGAGGGCGACGCGCGCCTGGCGCGTGGCGCCGAGGGCGATGAGGAGGCGCTCGCTGTTGGAGAGGACAAGGTTAGTGCGGTGGGCTCTGGTGAGAGAGGAGGGGAAGGGGTTTGCAACATTCGCGTGTCGGGGTCGGGAGAGGAACGAAAAGAGGAGAAACTCACTGGTTGAAGTTTTGCATGATGTACTTCATGCCCTCGCCTTCCTTGCCCAGCAGGTTCTCCACGGGGACTTTGGCGTCGTCCAGCTCGATGTACGTCGTACCGCCCGCTTGTTGTCCCATGACCTTTAGCCGTCGCATCGTCACGCCAGGGTGCCCTTTGAGCGGGACTACCATCACCGAGATTCCAGCTGGGCCGACGCCGCCGGTACGCACCGCCATAGTGGCGTAGTCGCTCCAGATACCATTGGTGATCCACTTCTTCTCGCCGTTCAGGATGAAGTGTTTGCCGTCAGCGCTGCGCTTGGCGGTAGTCTGAATGCCGGCCACATCGCTACCAGCGTGCGGCTCTGTGATGGCGATGCAGCAGCGTTTGCGGCCCGTGAGCAGGTCTGGCAGGAAGCGTGCCTGTAAGTCCTCGGACCCGAAGGACAGGATGGGCGGGATGCCGTAGGCGAAACCGGGGCTTAGACTCGAGCCCGGTCCAGAAATGCCGGTGCGGGCGCGCTCATCGACCCAGATGGCGGTATGGAGATAGTCCCATTCGGAAACGGGGACGCCGAGGATGTCGTTGAGACCGAGCTTCTGTAGCCAGGCGACGGGGAGTGGGGATTTGAGGTTCGGGAGCAGCATGTTATGCTTGTTGAACAGGTCAAAGACATGTGGTGGGACGGTTCCCTCGGTTTCCCACTCGAGAGCATATGGCAGGAAGTGCTCCTCCATAAAAGCCCGGCAGCGTTTCTGGAACTGTAGATGCGTGTCTTTGAAGTATGGAGAAGGTAGACCACGGAGGTAGGATGGCTCCGCAAAGGGGATGGCGGAGGGGGCTGTCTTGTCTGTTGCGGCCATTTCGTTGACAATCTGTGTGTAGAACAGAGTATTGAAAGTAATTCAGCTGCTGGTCCGGCACTTTTGAATGCCCCTTCGGTCTCGACGATTTGTGCACTGATGTGAGCAGTGAATATAGATGTTTGAGTCAAGATTGCAGCCGATTCTCGGCGCAACGCTTCTTCTTATGATAGGCTGATGATCCTACTAAAGCATAGGCTTTAATGAGTTGAGGTCAGTAGTGGTATTCACAGATACCAATGTCTGGAACTTCGCATGGGAACTGGTATCGGCTGTGGTACTTTGGCCGGGAGATGCCGAGGCATGGAGGTGCGGAGTTGGGGAGGCAAGTGCCAAGACCAGCTCCGGAGTTCAGGCTCGCTAGGGCCGACAGGGTTATGGGAGGGCTCCTCGAACTCACAGGGCACCACACTCAAAAACCTCTGCTGTGGGCTCGGGGAGTCCTCCCGTCAATTTTGATGGCCCTGGTGGAGTGTCAGGCGCTCTTCTCCAACTATGAGAAGAACAACGTGCGTAAAAAGTCAAGTCAGCGCGTAGAGTGTAATGGGACATCGATCTGCGAGTATCAAATTGTTTATTGTCCTGAGATCTTCAGTCGTTAACCGTCGATATTATATGCAGCCATTTCGTTCATCTCGGAACAACGTAGTCACTGTTCGCCGGCTTTCCATAGTCGTAAGCCGCAGGACTCGGCGTTCCCGCATATACCGGTCTCACCTCATTGATAGCATGATTCGCGCCCTCTTTCGGCTCTTGCTGTGATACCTTCTGGTATTCTGTCGAGCCGGCCGCGAACCCAATCCCCGCTCCGCGTTCGCTGCCCACAACGGGAGAGCCACCTCGTGCCCAGCCACCGGTGAGTGTGACGTCCGAGGCGCCGACGTTTCTCACCCATTCTTTTGTCTCTGGATACGTCTGATTGGAGCCAGGGTAGAGGAATGAGGTGAATATGCGGCCAGCAGATAGGTTCCAGAGGTAGTGTTGCACGCGGCGGGGAGACGCTCTGCCGATGAGCAAGGCGACAAGAGTAATGGCGATGATGACCGCGACAAGAAGAGCAGTGACAAAGGCAGGAATACCGTAGGGCCATCGGTAGCGGATGGCACGATGGTAGAGATGCACCGGCACGCTGCCCGGTTGGTCGCCGTCGTCGCGCTTTTGATGCTCTATGCTCCTCGACTGAAGATTCGGCGGTAGCAAGCTCTGCGTCAGGTGGCCTCGAGACCCAACAAGACCGTTGGCTGCAAAGTCCATCCAGATAAAATTGAGCATCTCGGCAGTACCAGCTGCCGTGCGCGTAAGGTTGTCCCACTTGTTGTACACGCCGAGGCTACCGACGCCCGAATAATCCACGCCACCGGTGCTGCTCATTCCCGAATCGTACACACGGGTCCATGCCTTGGCCGGGCCACTGACAGCGGGCATATAGTCAGACCCATCGGATGCGGAGAAACCGCCGGTCGATGTCATACCGGCAGGAAGGTAGAGATGATCGGCGCGAACAGTGCTCAGATTGACATGGGCGGCTTCTGCGGGATCAATGATGCCCCAGAGTGGGTCAACGTCAATAATGCTCATATTGGCTTCCTCCACTCCCCAGAGCGGCATGTCATCTTGGCCTGAGTAGGCCTTGTCTACGATACTGACGACTTCGAAGCGATTCATCGGCTCAGGATCGTGGTTTGTTGAGTTGTATCGGAATCGCACCGTTTTGATGGTCGCTTTGGTAGTACTGGCACAGGTGTAGATTGGCTGCGTCCACTTGGTGTTTGGCTGAGGTACGAGTGTCTTCTCTCCACCCATTGGCTGCGCCGTTCCCAGTACCACCCCACATTTCACCAAGATATTGGTCATGTTGGCAGTTCCACGAATGGCATTCCCTACACCCTGGCAGCTTTCGGCAAGGTAAGTAAAATTTGCGGTCGAGACGTTGTGGGGGTTGCTATACGATGTTGTAGAATTACCGACATCGACCGACCCGTTGAACCAATTAATTCCGTACGGTATGCTCTGCGAAGCAAGCGCATCGTACGCTGAGAAGAGTGAGACTTGGTTCAGCGTATTGCCAGTGTATGAGCTGTTGACAGGGAATCGATCTCCGACCTTCGAGTTCATGTATGCGGTCCTCTCGCCAGGTTTGGTGACGTTGAAGAAATACGCCATGAGGACGTTCATGCTCCATCCGGACGCCATTGCGCGCCATGCCAGCTGAGGGTCTTCTTGGGTTCCTTCGAACCAGATGTTTTCCATTCCCATCTTGGCTGCCCATGGGTTCTCGATCAACATGTCTGCGTAACCACCTTTGTCGACGAGGAAAAACTTTTCGCGCGGGAAATCTCTGACGCCGAGCTTGTCGACCTCGAGGGAGATATTGGTGTCGACGCATTGTGTTTCGGGTTCGAAAAAGAGTAGGTCTTCCTCCCATTCGGCCCCGAATTGGGCATGGATGGGTGCTGTATGGTTTCGGAAGCCGACCCGTGGATTTCGTGAATCGACAACGAGACCTTCGACTGCTTGAATCTTATCGGTCAGAATGAAACTGCTGAGCGGACGGAAAGAGTCAACGAGATAGGTTGAGTTGTCTTGGTCCTCGTTGAAGCCCACGTTGAAGAGCCTAGATTCGATGTCGAAGAAGCTGGACACGGTGGATCCCTGGAGTTTGAGGCCGCTCTGGTATAACTCAGCAAGGTCACTGGGGAGTCTAAAGTCCCAGCCCTCGGATGTGCCGTTGATCCAGTTTTCATCGGTGACGACAGTCATAGACCCGACGCTGCCGGGGCAAACCTTGAGTATGCCTGCACCACATGAGCGCGACATCCCAAGACCAGTTCGGGGCGCGGTCCCAAGCCCAAGAGGCCCTCGATCTTGCACGTAAGCGAAAGTGGAGGTTGCAAAATCGTCGGAAACCACGATGGTCTCGTACAGGCCCATTGGAGTGACAACTGCGGCGACCGCTATGCAGAGAAGGACCAGTGGCTTGGCCCAGGTGATGATGCTGACGCGTCTGGCAACATTGTGGGAGGCGGCCTGATCCGATCGTAGGAAGACTGGCCAGTTGGTGTTGCTCAGTAGTCTACTGGCAACTGACCAAGTCACCGCGGAGTGGCGATCTGATAAAACAGCAACTAGAAGAAGGCCCAGAGCGTTGGGGACGATGAACTGCGCAACAGCCACCGCTGCAGCAATCGCACCCGAGACATAACCGACTGTCAAGGTATCCATATTGTGGTCGATATGTATGCAGTCAGTCGCCGCAGCCAAAGGTGCGGCCGAACTTCAATAATAATATGCCGTCGTGGATGTAGGCGATTTATGGGGGCGGAAACGGCGCGGATCCGGTGCATGTCGATCCCTGTATGGTCTTTGAAATTGAGGGCACCCAGGGATGGACAAAATAGACGGCGGCCGCCCCCAACTCACAGCGGTTCTTACCTATAAGCCTCTGCTGTGAGGTCAGGGACCCTCCCTGTCTTCTTGTCGACCACTGATGGGCCATGAACGATGTGAGCGGACTCATGCCAACCGCTGCCACCGCTACTTAGTCAGTCCGTGAGGCAGACTTAGAGAGTTTGTTGGACTGGTCAGGCATCGAGTGTCGCCAAGCACGACTCCCATTTGACAGGAGGGTGAAACGTAGCCCAGGAAGGTTTGACGATGCACTGCAGAGTTAGATGAAGCGCGCTCGCCAAGCACGCTGTCTTGCCCAGCGTATTCGGGAACCCCAGAGCTCGGCTAGCGATTGGCTGGTTGAGATCTGGCGTGCGGCGTGGTCTGGACTCGTAACTCGGTGACAGCTTTGCTAACAATCGCATCAGGCCTCATGAATCACGGGTACCATACCCAGGTGCATTTGTTGTTCTGTTAGGCCTAGAACAGCCACCATTGGGGCCGGTAATAAAAGATGCAGTCCACTGGCAGCGCCTTCTGCTCCTCCGGGCGACCAGTTACGAGTCAGAATCAAATTTAGAGCCTCGGTCGTGTTCCTTGCAGCTTGTGATCAATGTGCTCGGAGATATTGCACTTCTGGTCGGTCGAACATGCAGCTCGAGTACAGGGATTGGAAGTAGCTGCAGGTTCGCTATCCGCGAGTTTGGTTTTGAGGAAGAAACAATCTACCACGCAGCCATTGCCTACTACGAACGTTCTGCGTCTATGGTACTAGCGGCAGGCAGGTTCGTTGACACCGCGCTCGTTTGGCAGCGCGAGAGGTGGATTAGGTGGCATAACGAAGGTGTGCACTAACGCCGGCAGGGTCGCCAATCTTCAATGATAACGGTACAGATTCGCCCCATGATAAGCAGTCTTGACGTTGCAGATCGTTGGACGGAGTGATGTGCAGGAATGGGCAGAAAGGTGACACGTCAAGGGGTGAGAAGCGGAAGTGGGGGTGGTGGGCGCAGGCACTTGCTTGGCATCTTGGCAAGGAACGCCCTCTCATTTTCGCGTCAACTATCGCGACTTCATGTTAAGTAGCAATTACGTGAAGTAGCAACTTGCGCAACCTGATATCTCTCCCCATTGACGCCACATGAGGCGCTCCTATGCTCGATGAGAGACTCGGCCTTTTATTACGACAACATTGATAAAGTCTCGTCACTCTGCCTTGCTAGTGACGGCCACTCCGCATCACTACATGCTCTTTGTCCGTCCATCGGCTAACCTGCAAGATTGAATGCCGCCGGCGCGCTTTCTAGCCCGTTGAAGCGATGTGTGATCAAGCTACGCACGTTTGGAGCGTGCAAATCACGCGCCATTCCGTCCATCTGCGACATGGCCTCTGGGTAGCAGTCCGCATGTCTGCAGCTGGGAATCAGACTTATCTCTATAGTGGCCATTTGCGAAATCGGTAACGTCTGCAACTCGGACCCACTGCCAACCAATACAATGCTGCCACCGCGTTTGACAAGCTACGCTGAAGTCAGTGATATGGTCTCTACTTTCGGGATGAGGACGTACCCGCAAATTACTGCGACACTAAAACTCTCCATGATATACGTCGCTGATCTTGGATATTATAATGTCGTTTCCAGGCCTACACATGTATTTCTACCGCCGCCAGCCACCCTGATCCTCTCCTCAACAGCCTTCAAATCCCTTCTGCTGCCACATCCTCACATTCCTCACACGCAGCTCCCCGCTAGGCCCCTGCCCATTGCATCCTTCCACGATTCCACCCATTTCTCACGGTCATTCCAAATGGTGACCCTCGCATTGCGGCTGTTGTCCACCCAAGGCTTTCCATCCTTCCCATCCTGAAACCACCCGTCACTGCCACCAACAGCCACATTGAGGATCAGGTAGAACGGCTGGTCGAACGGGGTGGAAGGGCTGCCGCCGGACTTGGTCCACGGATCGACGTACGCAGTGCCGTTGGACATGCTGAGCGGGAAGTTGCCGCGCTGCCAGAAGGGTTTCTTGAACTTGCTGCGTCATGTCAGTACATCTCCGCGGTTATCACGTGCGCCCACCAAAGAGGCCTCCCAACGACCATGGGCAGCCCGGGGAAGACTCACGTATACAGGACCTGCAACAGCATCGTATTGATGTACGTGTACAGATAGTCCTCCGTCTACACCAGTCCATAAGTATGCCAGCCCTTGCTGAAGGTAGTGTGCAGCGCCTCCTTGCGCGCGTTGGTGCGCCACCACATGTCGCTGGCGAAGTCTGGGCCCCAATGCAGGGCGCTGCTGACGATGTCGTCTCCGCCCATACTGTAGCTGTAGTTGTTGCCGCGTGATTCGCAGATGTTCATCTCGCTTGAGAGCGGCTAGGGCCGGTATGTGTCGTTGATGGGGAGCATCTAGATGGCGGGCCACAGTTAGTCGTCGGAGGGGACCTGGGCTTCGACTTCGACCTTTCATGTTGGGCGTTAGTCGAGGTAAGTCAAGGAATAGAACCCGAGGGAGGGTACCGTAGCGAATGGTTGCGCCCTTCTTGGAGTTGACGCGGCCGCTTTTGACTGGGTTGACGATAGTGCCGCTGGTCGTGTTGGTGGAGGTGACGCAGCTGTTCCAAGGCTGGCCGTCGGCCGTACAAGTGCCAGCTTCGGTGAGACTGATGATATTGTCCCTGTAGATGAGGCTTTCGTCCTGCAGTGAGGGGCGCATCACCGGCATGCCGTCGCGGATGAAGACTTTTTCGTCCGTAGTGGTGGTCTCCTCGAACTGACCATTTCCATATCCGCCGACTTCAGCTTCTTTGGTCCATATTTTCTGGTTGAAGCCGCTGGAGAAGTCTTCATTGAGGATCTCGCAGTACTCAGGGAGCTTATTTTGGCGGATGCCGTCCCAGACAAGTGCACCTGTGCACCCAAAGCCAAGTATGATGCCGATTATTGGAAGCCACGTAAGCCATGAGCTCTCAATCTCCTCTTTGTTCTTTCGACGAGTTTGGAAGTATATGTTCTGTCGTGGTGTGACTGGTATATTGGGCTTTTCATTTGGGTAAGGGGATTGCGACGCTGTGAACGGTGACTTGGTCGGAAGATATGGATGGGTGGCCACCCTGGGCTCTAATGGCTGAGGGTAATCGTTGCTGAACTTAAGAAACGAAGCCTTAATGTCTGGTGCTTGATCCATAGCTTGGATGTGTTGCTCAAGAGACTAGATATGAGAATGTCGAGTAACAAGAGAGCTCCAGAGAAGTGGTTACTGGTCAGCAGTGTGGACGAACTCCCGATTGTGTGAGCCTCGGAAACCAGGCCAGCGAAAGGTTGGTGAGAGGGGTCCGACTTACGCGCATCTGCCTCCCTGTTACCTCGTCAGGAGACGCAGGCCTATCTTTGTTCGAGACCCAGATGCCGAAGCGGTGGAAATTAAGGTAGGACGCTGATAGTGAATACATCTTGCTTCTCGGAAATACCGAGCGCGTAGAATCAGGTTTCAGGCTAGCAACAGCGAGATGGGCGGCTTGGGTGATACCAAAAGAATCTTCGATAGTCATGTCGAGAATCTGCCGAGACAAAGGATTGGCGCGCTTCTGCGAGGCTACTCTCCGCGTCCTAGGTCAGGGGATCAGGAATCCTTGTTCGTGCTAACCCTCTCATATAAGCCAGCGGAGTCGACGAGATAGGCCATGCACGAGCAGCATCTGACGTTTCATCCCACAAATGACAATTGAAGTTCGCGTTCCTCGCTCTATCACTCCTCTCAACCGTCCCGTCGTGCTCCAGATCCACGTGCGCGAACCGATTACCACCCCTCCCATTATATCTCTCCTCGTCATACCACCCATCCCCCGCTCTGATCCCTTCTTGATCCTCGGCTCGGTTCCTTCGTATGGGATAGTACTTCTGCACGAGCGCCCACTCGCTCTCAGACACTTCCGCGCCGTCATCAATGGCCTTCCGCAGGCGACGGGCCTTCGATTCGCGGAACTCGGGTCTTGGAGGCGGGCTGGGTGGCGGACCGCGTGCGGGCGCTTACGCGACTGGGTGAACACGAGCGAAGCGTGCCGCTGGAGGTGGTGTTGGTGGTGGTTGGGACATCGCTGCGTGAGGCTGTGCTCATCACAGTGGTCGTGCTTGAGTGGTCTTTAATGTAGGCTCTGGTGTAGTATGGATGACCCTGGCGGGATCGTGGGCTGAAAGCGGGAGTCTGAGTTTTCCTGACCGTATGTCGGGCCCTAGGAGGCAACGAGGACCGTGTAGACGTGCTGTACGCCGAGGACTGCTCAGTATAGTCCGATTCCGATACGAATGTGGAGCATTCAGGACATGGCCTGATCCCTTCGAAGGAGTACCATGGCTCCCAGCGGAGTATTCGTCCTTGTCCTCCTCGTCACATCCAGGTGGCGTTTTCTTCATCATGGATTAGCTGGCTTTGGGAAACTTTTTCATGAGCTCTGTACGGCAGGATGTATGGACTATCTTGGAGGTACTGGTATACTACCATGTTGCTCTTCCAGCTTCCCAAAACCCTGAGATCTCGTCTGTGACACACATCCACGAATCATCTCTATGATGATCGTGGTCTTGCATGCTATACGAACGGCGTTGTGACTAGGTTTACAGCCTTCAGCCACTTAAGAAGTCTGACGGCTTGTACGAGGAATGTGTTGTAAACTGACGCTTGTACCTAATGTGTTAATGGTCTAAATCGCGGACCAGCGTCACTATGAACGAGGGTTGCATGGTGGGGAAAATGCATATTGCTGTCATCTAATAACATCATATGATTGAGTCATGAAGCTGACAGATTCGTTACCAAACAGATAAAGAAGAGTTGAAACTAAGAAACCCGTTGATCACGAGTCATGTACTCTATATCATCCGCCAAATACTTCCCCCCGTCTTGGCGGGCGGACTTCATGAGCAGGACCCATTAGAAGTCGACCGGCTCCACTGCCCACAGAATCGCCTTCCCAAGTTTCATTTGACCGCACAAATGTGTGCTTCTGTGCCTGTGCTTGCCACTCGCCGGGCTCGTGCATAATGATCTCGTCTGCAGAAGTATCTTGTCCGCTTGCTCCCGTTCCAGCTCCGTACATGACACTCCTCGTACCCATCAACTCAATCAGCGCCTTCATCTCTGCATTGCTGTCGGCTCCCTTCAGCAACGGCGCATCGAACGCCTTAGCCAATTCCACGGGACTCATCGTCATGGGCCTGCCGAGGGTGCTATAACCCTTGAACAGAGCCGCCGCGAGCAGCAACGCTACAATTGTTATCCCTACGGCCCCGCCCAAATAAGCATAGTTTGTCCTGAACACCGCCCTTTTCTCGCTCGACTCTGCCATCACGCTTTGACTCGGCATTGTGCTGTTTATGGCAGCAACACCCAATCGAAACATGAGGTCTCTAGCCCCGGCCAGTAGCTCAGTAATGGGGTCACGAAAATATAGATCACAACTTGATCCGATCGCCGTGTTGGAATTGGTGCTTCGCGTGCCATTCACAACAGCGTACTGCGTCGCGAGATTGCCAGTGCTGGCTATCTCGTAGCCAACCGCACCGGCGAAGCGTACGTGCGTGGTGCTGGCGTACTTGTTCTGTAGCGCAAGCCAGAACCCTCCCATAGATGTTGGACCTTGTACGCTACGGCCCGGCAGATCAATAGACTCAAGGACATTATCGTCAAAAATGCTTGTATGTGGATCTAATGCAATGGTAGAGGCATTGCCATCGACCACCACCTTATAACGAACGGTAGCGGTGTGAAGAGAGCAGTTTTGTACCTGAAGCGCGCCGGAGCATTCCAGTGTGGGCTTATAGACTGTTCCTATGGTGAGGTTGGAGGGAGCGTTAGTAGACCATCGGAAGTGCGTTTCAAAAGCATCGATTCCGTCAACGGAACTGTCGGCACCGGTCTGTACTGACCCATTGTCAAAAATTTGTGGATTGAGATCGTAGGGTACTGTATAGCTGCTGCAGTTCAGGGCGAAACCGAGCCCTTCCACAGTGGCACTGCAGGTACCTTTGCAGCCGGTTTTGGGCATTTGGATTGTCGCATTGTTGTTGAAGCTCTGTACGACATCGCCGAACTGAGGGGAGTAGATCGAGACATCGTATGCACGACCGGAAACGTAGCCTGTGAAGTAGTCGTAGGGCAATGTGATAGCGAGCCGGATGTCTATCGGGAGTGGCGCGCGGACCCCTTCGTCAACAGCTCTGGATGCGCGCTGCAGCAGAGGACTGTTGATCTGGGCCAAGGTCGCAATTATGCATGCCAACGCGACAAGGTCGATGCGTCTCCCAGACAATATCGCGTCTTGGAAGCTGCTACCGTATAGCCAATGTCGATGAAGATCACCAATTGTCGTGCTTTGCGAAGCAGCATGCCACCAGGCTATGTTGGCGCCCTCCTTCAGCACGTAAAAGAGGCAAACATTGGTGATGACTGTCGCGATGGCCAAATATGTTGGCGGCTGAAAAGCCCAGTCTGCTATAGGCTTGCCATTTGAGTAAACCAGTATGGCAGCTGAGGCTATGAGACCGACGAGCGACACAGCGAACCCGGCAAGGGGCAGCCACGGCATCCGCGCCACCGCACCCGGGGCCCAGGGATTCTGAGCTCGCATGGCCGAGTAAGCTGTCGGAGGCGTTGCATGGTAGTTGCTCATTATGTCGCAGTGGCCGGAAGTCCGAGCAATCTGGAGATACTGGTGAAGTCAACGGACGGTGAAATAACTAGCAAGATAATACAGAACACTATCACGAGTTCGATGAAGGGGATTCGAGCGGCTGCGGCAGATTTACCACGGGCCTGGGTACGGTTCGTTCCGAGAGACGAGACCCCCAGCTGAAGAAGCCACGTCCAAACTGGAGCTTCGCCTCTTTTCGAACCTTTTGTGCCTCCACACGGCGCGTCAAGTGCCTTGAGCGGCAAGTCTCTTTATTGGAGCTAGGGAAACATATTCCGGTTATGCGTGAGGGTCATTGGCCAACAAGGAATACGAATCCAAAAATGGAATTAGTGGCGGTGGCTTCAAAAGTCTGGACTCACACCTAGGACGAGATTGGGGAGTGTGCATCTTGGCAACAACATGACCGTTGTGACCTTACAAATCTCGGATTCGCAATCGCCCGACTAGTTTTCTGAAGCTTGAAGCCCTGGAAGGCACTGACAAGTAGATATTCAAACAATATGGCGAACTCGACGGGAGTGCTAGTTGCAACGCTGTCTCTACTGCCGTTATCCACAGTTCCATCGGCACTGCCAGCATCCACGCTCAACGGCGGTGTACCCGTTGCTCAGGTAGTGATACCAATGACTACCGCTGCGCCCCAGTCTCTCCCAGACCTTATACGCCGCCAGGGTGGCCATACCTCCCTCTGTGGCTATGTCTCCGGCAATGCCTGTTGTGGCATCTCTGACTCTTACTTGCTCGGAAACGTGACTGAAACTCGTAGCAAACCCCATAACCTGCGGAGGGTCTAACTTCTGCGGCTTCAACAGCGGCCTCGCTGCGTTTGGTTGTTGTACCGGCACCATGGGCGCCTCGTTAGTAGGCTGCAACCTTGTGACAAGATGCTACGACTCTTCAGATTTTGCGGATTGTGGATCTTCATGTCAATCTGACACGGCTAATGCGTGGTGGTAAGTCGATGGTAGTGCCCAGACCGTCGACTAAGGTACTGATGAAGATCCCAGTACTTTCCCCGAGTACCCCTACTGTCGAAAGTATACGACAGGCATTTTCTCTGCTTTTGATTGCTACACCGAGCCGGCAGCGGTCGATGTTGTCCTCCCAGCACCAATCAGCGGATACTCAACGCTTGACGTTTCCTCGAAGTCCAGCGGTTCTGATTTATCACCACCGAGATCCTCCTCGACTGCCGATGGTCAGCTGCTGAGTAACAGCGCTCCTATTACTGTGACTTCATTCTCCCAGACACAGGCATCTGAAACGGCGGGCGAAACTTCCCAAGCCCAGTCTTCTACGATGAGCAGTGGTTCAACGAGCTTGAGTACTTACCATTGGACGGTCGGATTGCATGTAGCTCTTTCGGCCGGGTTTTGCACATTCTGAGCTCAGAGCACGATGAGACTGATCATCATCTCGAGTGACCAAAGTGCCATGTCACACAGTACCTGGTTTGCCCGCCTCTTCCCATAAGGCAGAATGTCAGCACTCGCGCTTGCTCGCCTCGTGCTGAGACGATACTTAGCTCTTTGCAGCTATCCCTGACAGAATGGAGCACATAAGACAGTCCCTTGGAACGATTCATTGCCATAGCCTGCTCAAACATCGCCCTCGTCGCTGCATCTTCCGGTCGAAAGACACCCACAATGCTGCATGTCATGCCCAAGAGTATGCGTGACCAACAACTACCTCCTGTACCATTGCGTGACTCTCGCGTCAAAATCGAGAAGAGAAGTGAGGCGTGACGTCGACATTAGGTACATGTCGGCCAAGGCTCGGCAAAAGAGGAGTATGAGATGCGGGGCGCCCGGCTGCTCCTCCTGTCTACACTAACGACAGCCTTCATCTCTCCTCTTATCGACTTATCAAGCCGGTGGTGTAGTCATGGTTGATCTACAACTACCGTGAACATCAGCTAACCAGTGTTGACTCAATCGAGACTGTGGATGCAAGATCACATGCTGTCATATGACCATAGCCACATAAATGCCTCCTACTACCGCTGATACAATCAGATTTACGAAAATGGTCTCTGTATCGAGAAGGACTCATGTTATTTAAGTCCTCCCCCATAGCCTGGAGCCCTTATGCAACAGTCGGGATGTTCACTACCACACCTCCAACCTATACTCTCACCTTGCTAGGCGACGTCATGCTTGGTCGTCTCGTCGACCAACTCCTCCCTGACTCGGTTCCTTCCGCCGACGACGCAGCACATATATCAAACTTCCGTCGCCAGTATCCTTCCCTTCAATCATACACCTACGCCTCGCCCTCCGGAAACGTCCTGCCAGTAGGTTATATCCACCCGAGCTCAACGCCGAACTGAAGCCGTCGACAGCTCTTTCGCTCCAGCTCTCTCGTCCTCGCCAACCTCGAAACATCCGCCACCCTGCATCCAACTCCCTACCCCGACAAGACATTCAACTATCGCACTCACCCATCCAACCTCCACAGCCTCACTACCGCCAACATTGCCCATGTCAGTCTCGCCAACAACCACACACTAGACTTCTGCGAGACGGGTCTTCTCGACACCATAGCCGCGCTCAGACACCAAGGCATCTCTTTCGCCGGTGCGGGATCTACACCTGAGGAGGCCGCGCGACCCGCAGTGCTAACACTACCCAGCACTGACCCAGACCGACAAGCACACGAGATCCACTGCTACAGCTTCTCCGACCACCCCGCCTCCTGGTCCTCCATCCCGCTATTCAATCACATCGACTACACGTCCGCATCCCGCGCACGCCTGAAGTCCCAACTCACCGCCCCGCGCCCGGATGGGCATCGCCCTCCCGCACTAAAACTCGTCTCCATGCACTGGGGACCCAACTACGCCTGGCAGCCAGCACCCGAGATCCGCTTACTCGCGCGCTTTCTGGTTCGGGAGTGCGGCGTCGACATCGTGCACGGGCACAGCAGCCACCATATACAGGGCGTGGAGATCATTGAGCGCAGCGAGGACCTCAAAGCGGAGGACGACGATGTGCCTGGAGAAGGGGAGAGTGACAGACATGCGACGCGGGAAGCAGGGAGTAAAGGCCTAGTCATCTATGGATGCGGCGACTTCGTGGATGACTATGCCGTCAACGGTGTGTTTCGGAATGACTTGAGCGCTGCATGGCGGGTGACTGTCGGGTCCGCTGGCGGTAGTAGCGATGGTGATGTGCAAAAGGATGCTGGGAGAGGCTTGGAGGTGCAGAAGCTGGAAGTATTTCCCAATAGGATCAAGACGTTCCAGGCCAGTTTGCTGCGGAGGGAGGACCCGGATCATGAATGGGTGATGAAGAAGTTCAGGCAGTTGTGTAAGGAGATGGGAACGGATGTGCAGGAGGGATTGGGCTCAGAGGGTCAAATTGTCGTGGTTATGTAGTTGGCGGAGGGCAAGGTGTGTTACACCGAGTGTTTGTTGGCTGGCAATGCAAGCGAGCCGCCAGCAAGTAGCTTTTCATTCACCGTCTCCCAATATCGCGAGAACACGGGCATGAGCGCCTTGAGAAGCCAACAGACGACCCTCCAAGGCTTCTTGACACCCGAAGCCGCTTATCTAATACCAGTATCCAACATCTATCGATCAATTCTCTCACCAAAGATCAGGCTCTGTACAATACTCTCCGTCTCCACGACTTTCCAATTGACAGCACCGTTCGCCGGCGTCTTCTTTTTTCCCCTGCGGCTCGACGTCACCTTCAGGGCAGCTTCCACGCTCTCGACATCCTTCTCCACATACACCACTCCGTAGTCTGGGTCGCCGTCCAGTACCTCTTTCGCCGCCCGCGTATCCGGCACTTTCTCTAGATTCTCGACACCCATGGCTCGGATGAAGAAGACGTAGTTCTTCATCTTCATCTCCGCCTTGTTGCGGCCCATTATCACGATGGCTTTCTGGCTGTCGAGGATGCGCTCTCTCGAAGCGAGCTGCTCGTTCAGCTTCACGTCGACAGGATTGGAGGAGGACAGAGTGCGAGACCTCGTCGCGCCATCCAGTTCATCGCACTCACCAGCAGGCAGAAGATAGCGTTGCCAGTTGATCACCTCCCCCTTGGAGATGCAGGCTTCAACCCACTGTCCACTGAGGCAAGGTAACCCAAGGGCTAATGCTTGCAAGTACTTTGGCTTCCGAGAATGTTTGTCTGCCAGCAGGGCCGTGAAGCCAGATGCAGCATACTTGGGCTTGAGGGTTATAGGACCCTGGTCTTCCACGAACAGGTCGGAGAAGGAATCGCTCACGACAAGTCCGCCATTGCCCCCGATCCTTGTCTCGAGGTACTTTCGACGGTCGGCGTCTTCGTATGAAATGGCGAATATCATGCCCTTGAACATACCGCTTGGATGGGGTACTGCGGTCGAGGTTGCGATGACACCAATTTGACGCCGGTGACGAGACGTGGGCGTCGATGGCGTCGAAAGCTCGTTCGGCGTAGCGTAGCCGGTCGAATCAACAGACTGCGGTGGCGGCCGGTATTCGAATGTACGATCTTTCATTTGATTCCACATGTTGCTGTCAAGATATATGCTCGAAATCGGCACTTCGCGGTCATTTTGCGTCGAGACGTCGGCAGGCAGACTCTTTCGTTGCTTGGGGGCGACTAACAGCGTCTTGAAACCGCGTTGGTCGACCATGGTCTGTGAGAGCTCTGAGCCTTCAACCATGTCTTTATATCCGCGTATGACATGAGAGATTTTGGGCACTCCATCAAGATTGACCTTAACCTGGTCGCCGATGCGTAGGTCGAGGCTTCGGACACCGTGAACATCGACTTCGTCGGGATCAAAACCTTCCCATTGCACAATATACTGCTGATCTGCGTTACCGGGTCCAAGGCACCATGCTGGATAGTACGCCCGAGTCTTGCCATTGAAACAGGCAAAGACCATGTTTGGGGCAACGACATCGTCAGCAGGTGCGGTCCGAAACGTGTCGGAGTCGGCTTCTGAAGTAGAGGCTGTGGTCTGGACATTCCCCTCAGCACTACGAGCCTGCTTCTTCTTTGGTGTCTTTTCAGGAGTCTGCGTCTGGGTAGGCTGCGCATCCTCGCTCGATCCTTCCGAAGTGTCGTCCTGTGGAGCCTCGACCACAAGGTCATCGATGCTAGACTGAGGTGGATTGCGTCTGGCAAGTCGGCCTGTGGGTTTTCGCACAGGGCGGTTGGTGGATTTATCTACAGGTGCTTGCTTCTGAGGAGAAGGTGTGACGCCCACGTCCCAAGTCGACTGACGCTCGCCATCTCTGGACTCGGTTGCACCTCTCGTGGGGCGGCGTAGCCTTCTTTGCCCTGCTTTTGGTCTTACGGCAGGTTGCGAGGCAAGCAACTCGTCAGAGCCTGCGATGATCGACTCAGAGCTCGTTGGAGGAATCTGAATGGGATTTTTAGTGGTCTCGAAGTCATCTAGACCGGTCTTTTGTGGCTGGAGCTTCCTGCGCTTCCCAGGACGTATGGGAGACTGGTCGTCCAAGGCAGCCATGTCATCGTTGTCCTTCAACGCTGAGAGGGGATTGAAGTTTTGTGACCATCCATTCTGTGAAGGTGATGCCTCTGCAGAGATCTGAGACATGCGCTTACGCTTTGGTGGAGGGGTGGTAACGGGTGGACTGCTTTCTGGAGGCTTGACAACAGGTGGAGGCATTTGCGTAGGGGCCGTTTCGAAGTTGGTCTGAAGCTCGGAGATCGTATCATTTGCAGCAACGCTCATGTGGGACTTGGACCGACCTGATCCGGTCTCGGCAATAGTGTCTCTCTGTGAGCGTCGGCCAGAGCCACCCAGGAGATACGGTGCAGCGGTATGCCGACTAATCGCCGACCTAGGATCGAGCTCTAGATGAACACCGTTCTCTAGGCCTTTGACATCTGCGTTGTCATCGTCCACAATGTCATCTTCTGGTTCGTCTTCTGGCTCGTCTGCTGGCTCGATAGCCTGGCGAGTACTGACATCTCGGTCCGAAGTGTCTCGCTTCTCAGAGACAACTTGGACCTGCTCAGATGATTTTTTATTTGATGGACCGAAAGACCTTGTGACTTGTTGGTTAAAGTCTGAAGTGTCATCTTGGTCGTTGTCGTCTTGAGATTGGGAAACAAAATCAGGTCCACTAGTAGTACTTGATTTCGGCTGCGGGCGCTGGCTGGCGCCCTGCGAGATCTGCGTATTAGGAATAATTGCGCCAGTACTAACAGGTTGCTCCTGATGCGGTCTTATTGAAGGACTTCTTTCGGCGAATGGAGTCAGATCGTTCGTCATTCGCGAACCGCGAGCAGTTGTTTGAGGGATTCTGATCGCATCGTCGATGTTCTCCTTGTCTTCAGGATCTACCGGAGGTCTCTGACTCGATCGCTGGACAACAGCTTCTTCGTCTTCCTGCTCGGTCTCAGCCTCGCTTTCAGCAGGCTCATTATTGACTACTCTAGGTTCTGGCGTGGTCGTTCGTGCCCTGCGCGAGTACGCGTCTGCTCCAGGCAAAGGTAATGAACGCGTTGCTGGCGCGATAGGAGATGAAATGATCGCAGAACTGCACGGTAAGCGCGTTCGCCGAGGAGAAGACCTAGGAGAGCTAGTCCGAGCCTGACGTTCACCGTTGCTGTTATGGTGGGTGCGGTCCCTTTGGCGTTTCTTCGATGCCTCATCCCAGCTGCTGTCGTCCGTTTCATTGCCGCTGTCCTCCGCTTCAGCGAGCTCTCTCCAATGTCGAAGGTTTCGTTCCTCCTGTGACTCGTCGTAGGGAACGTACTTCGTAAAAGGCTCAGCGGAAGGTCGGCGAATCTCACGAATCAGCTTGAGAGGTGATGATACCGGGGCAGTGGCAGGTCGATGATTTAAGTCGATATTTGGTGAAGGTCGGTCGGAGCGCACGTTATCAGTACCATCGATCAAGGGCGAAGTTGCAGCTTGCGTATCTGCGAACGCTTGACTCAAGCCCATCACCATGCTAGGCGTGCCGCCTCCACTGCGCAACACTGGGGCACGAGGCAGAGAGGGACTTTCCTTTGTGTTGCCATTGTAGTCTCGCTTTTTGCCAACTGGAGCAGGTGTTTTAAAGCGCTGCGACTCTGGAAACCGTGGCAGGCGAGACTGCGTCTGAGTCGGCGAGAAGTCGACATCCACGGGCTCTGACTCTTGCCCAGCGAGGGGCCCCGCTTCATACGTGACAAGGCTCGATACTAGGTCGACATGGCCCTCATCGCCCTCGTTCAGCGTCATCTGCGTCTCGCGTCTTCCACGTGTAGACTCCATTCGACTTTTGCTGAGCGCGATGTGCCCGTCATAGAACTCTTGCGACACCTCTTGTGTGGCGTCCTCGTCGCGGTGCTCATTCATCTTTCTCGGCGCACCTTCGTTGTCAGGTTCCTGAGGCAGCGGCCGCGCGAGTGGTGCATGGGCATCAAGACTCTCGGGGACGGTGGAAGGAAGTTCAGAGTCGCTGTACTGCATTGCCAGGATATTGTCGCCGCGGCGACCATGACTCTTGCTGTTTGGCTGAGGCTGAGACAAAACGCGTTGAAGCGCAGCTTGCGCCGATCTTACGGACCCCTGCTGCGATGGCTGATTGCGCCATTAGCGTGGATGACAAGGTTGGCCACATGGGTCGCATGGCACTTACCTCGGAATGGGCCAGGAATTTCCGCTTGAGACTGGAGATGTCGATACTGTCGGTAGTGATGCTCTCCATGGCTCCATCATTCAACCACCCCAGCCATTTCTACCCGGTGCACAGCATTGTTAGTGTGTATAGTGTAAAATACGAACGCGGGGAAGCACGCGACAAGGCTCAAGTGGGTGCACGTCACGTGCTGCTTTACAGTCGCGAAGTCACATGTCACAGGCAGGAAGGAAAAGTTGTGTGATGTGAAAAGGGGGTATCATGATACGTGTCGTCCTGCCTATGCCAGGACCTCTCAATCTCGTGTCCTGTTCGGAGTCCAGCGTTTGATCGCCACATCTCTGACTTTGTATCGTGACAACTCAAGCCCAATGTCCGTATCTCGACCCTTGTCCTCTCCCCGGAATGGTGGTGGTACATCGACATAGCAGATGATGAGCTGCTTGTGGACTTGCGCCTGAACACGATTCACACCATGTAGCCACCACCAAGTCTTCTTTGTTTTCTCCGCCACGTAATCCTTGTGTGCTTGGGTGGAGCGCCAGTAAGCGTGGCTGTATGATGGAAGAATGGTGATGGAGAACTCGGCGTGGGAAAACGCTGGTCCTCTGTTGTACAACAAGTAGTCCGTACCGAACTTGATTCCGGAGCGGACAACCCAGCCAGCGCTTCGGTAATGATGATAGGCTACATAGGAGAGCATGAAGGGGTCGTCCGGCTCAGCCGGAACGGAAAGTGACCGAGGTGGATGATAAGAGTGTCGTCTGTAGAGCGAAAGAAGGGATGCTGGTGGTAATATTGTATCACTGTCATCGCAATAGACATTGAGAACGCCTAGCCCGTACGACAGAAAGAAGGCCTCTTCGAGGGAGAGGTTCAAATGCTCCTGATTCTCAATCACTGCGACTTCCTTTGGTCCAGGTTTCTCGGGGGCGGCGAGGGAAGATCCGGGTGACTTGATGGGTGAAATGACAGGCGAGCTAAGATCGAACTCGCGTGCTTCAATTGTTGGCGAGAAGCGGACAGTCTTAGTACGTTGCAACCGCTGCACGGGCCGGGAGTCCAGCGGATTCGTGTCCTCTGACGAGGTTGATGTTGGTGGAGGTGTCGGTAAGCCGTTAGCCTCGACCGTCTTCTTCCACTCATCAAAGCCGTGGATGCTGCCATTGGCTTCGAGATTAAGATCGCTCGGCTTTGAACTGAGCGCTGGCCGTAGACTTTCTGTCGGAGTTCCGCCTTCTGAATTGAGCACGCTGCCGATATCGCTGACATCTGTGGCGTTGTTCTTCAGCAGGTTGCCGTTGCTATTGGTCCGCATTTCCTCGCTCAGACGTTTCTCAATCTCCTCTTGCTCCTTTTTCGCCCGTTCTAGTTTGACTTGTCTGCGCTGTTCTCGCCTCTGTGCAGTGTTCTCCTCGGCGGTGGCGCCTTGACGTTTCTGATTTTCTAGCCACGTAGGTTCACTGCGACTGAGACTTCCCCGGCCGAAGAAACCCATTTCCCATAGTTTCTTGATGGTATCATTGTCTGTAACGTGAATTGACGAGGTAGCTGACGAGAAATAGCCGTTGTATGTTGGCTGCAATGGCGGGTAGAGCACCTGGGTCAGATATGACAACACATATGCCACCACTGAGATGGGATTATGAGGAATAAGAACAGGCAAAGGGTGGATTTCGATCGGTAGGAGATGCCGATGGATATGATTATAGTTGGGCTTTCTGGGTCGTGACTTCGTTTGCTGTCCGGCAGAAGTAGAAGTTTTTGAGTCCGCTGGGGTAGTCGCCATGGCGTGCTGATTGAAGTCAGTGTTGTTGGTCTGGAAAAAGCGGGTGCGAGCGATATGAAGGTAGATTGCAATCAGATACCGTTGTAGTCTAATACAAGGGCCTGCATTGAAGGAAGCTGAAATCAAAGTGCTAACCAACTAGGCATCAAAAGGAGTCATCATTGCGACGGGGACGTAAATGCACGAGGTTCACATACATGTTTCGGGAAGGCGGATGATAACCAGATCAGTCCAGCTGAAGATTGCCGTTGTGGCTAGCCGCGAGGAGCTGTGTCTCGAGGCTCATCGCTTTGTTGATCTTGTTTGGTCGAAAGGATGCAGGTAGGGCAACCTATGAGTGAGTAATAAGGAAAGAAAGAGTGGTGGTGCGCCGCAGCGGTTGAGTGCAGGTAGCTCGGCTGCACCCGCACTTCCCCGTTTGCCAAAATATTTTTTGAGGTCACTCGAGGCGCACCACTGAGAGAGAGGCATGTGCGCGTTTTCTGCGCTACCTAGCTGCCAAAACCAATCTACGAATATATTGACGACTGGCTGGCATCCGAAAATGTGTGCCCAATGCTACTCTTTTTGATCACTGCAGCCAATTCGTTGTTTGGAGAAGCAACTTACGATTGTCCAACGGATAGCATTGGATGAGTAGCGGGCATGTTTCGACGCTGGGAGCCCACCTGTCGACTTTTCCCGACAGATTATGAAATTTATGCCCCCCCACCCCTGAACGGCGGCAAACGCTTATACAATGATCAAGCGGCGGCCTCGAGACGCAGGTACGAACCTCTCGACCGGCATTCACGCTTCCCGCTGCGTTTAAGCACTCTACAACCTGGCTATACCCCGGTACGGGGCCGGCGTTGCATTGCCCATTGCTGACCACCGTTCCTGCTGAGACTGGGTAATCCGCAATAACCCGATATTCGTATTCACGCTTCTCGAAGCCGTATTGAAAATGGCGCAGTGATAACCGTAACTGTGTGACCGTGATAACTTCTCGCCGAATACTACCAGGTATCGATGGCACCAGGGTGGTTGGTCTCATACCTAAGTGACCGGCCCGACAAGGCTGACCGCAAGGCTTGCGCCAAGACTGCGGATCTGCGCCGGACCAATTTTTTGAGAGGGAGAGATGAAGTTCTCCAGGCAGCGAAAGCACATTGCACGTCTGTAGCACTTCCTTGTACATCGCTTGACTGCACCACAACCACTCAGTAGCTCAAGCTTAATCGTGTTCCACCGGCCAACATGCATCTCATGTACACCGAAGACCCCGCGACAGGTCGACGAACCTACACTCTGCGCAAAGTGCTTGATGGCACTGTCACCAAAAGCGCGCACCCCGCAAGATTCTCTCCGGACGACAAGTACTCAAGGTATGTCCGGAAAGAGCAGAGAATGTGCAGCAGCAGCAGACTGAAATACAATGCAGACATCGCGTTACTCTGAAGAAGAGATATGGACTTCTCTTGACACAGCAAGGTTTGTGGCTCACGGATTATGGGATACACAAGGCTGATATTGTTCACAGAAGAGAAGAAAAAAGAGTAGCACTGATCGCATACCACAAACATGATGCTTGACATGGAGTTTGGTGTAAGGGGTCCAACATTTATAGGCAGGCCACGGCAGGAAAGCAGACAGCTCTGCTAATATCAGACGAACGTTATTCTACCAAGACAGCTACCGCTTTCGCGAGTTCACATTTCTTCCCGCGCCGACCTTCGTCCTGCCGCCCGTCTTGCCTCGATCTCCAGTCAGGATGCTTGGTAGCATGTCTTCGTCCATCAGGTCCTTCTCTTTGCGCCGCTTATCACTGGACATTGCACGGATATATTCCTTCTGATCTTCTGCCAGAATCAAGTCATTGCCCCAGCCACTCTTACCGCCACCTGCCTGCGGGCCCTTCCACTTCTGGTTCGCTGTGCCAGCAGTTGGCTTGGGTATCGAGTAGACGTTGCCTCGGTTGTTCCACTGCATGTTCGCCTTTAAATGTAACTTTACCTCGCCCTTGTCATTGGTTGTGCAGCTGACCCTAGTGAGCGTGGGCTTGCCGCACCTGGCGCAGAATTGCTTAGACATATCCTTGGTGGTAGCAAAGCACGCGTGGCACCGGAGGATAAACTGCTTGATCTGGGAAATTCGCTTGCAAGTCTTGGTCGATAGTAGATTCAGATTGATTTGGAGAAGAACGTTCTGCATGGCGAAGTCGCCAGTCATGGTGGCAACCTGGAGTGTCTTTTCTGATGGCTTCGAATTGGCAGTACCTTCGTCCTTGGCTTTGTGCTTTTTAATGTTGGATGGAGTGATCCAGCCTTCGTCAGAATCTGCAGAGTCTCCATCATCGAGCACTTCTTCGACCTCAGGTCCCGGATCTGGTTCGGTGGATATTGTATCTTCCACATGCGCATCTTCGGCAGTCGAAGGTCGTTCTGACATTGTCAACTGTTCCAGCTGTGCCTCGACAGGCTGCGCTTCTGGCGCGATATCCACCTTCTTCTCGGGCGGACTGCCATTCAGCCGCTTTTGACCTGGGGCATTTCGTAACCGCCAATCACCACCATTTCTCTCGCATTCCAGTTCGTAAGCCACAGCGAGAATTTCGTAGTCGGTTTGACTTAGAACGGCACCATCACCAGTCTTGCGCGCAAAGTCCTTCACAAAACGAACACTTGCGGGGTTCGGAGTACGCACATTCAAAAATGGTAGATACAATGTGTCAACTCTTGTCTTTGCTTCTTCATGTCTGATTTCGGCGAGGACCGACGGTGTTGTGACGAGTTCACTGCTGTTAGCCCGTAGTGTGGAGATACCGGGCGTGTTCAGTAGGAGCGGCGAAGAATCCAGAACTATGGTATGGATCGGCTTCGTCGCTGCAGCCGATGGAGTTGGAGCTGCCATAGTTGAGAAGCGGGAAAATGGCGACACTGTGTCGGTACTCTGGATGTGGTAGAGTCAGTGCAAGGGCCGGTTATCACAACAGCCTCCCTGTCGAAATTGCTTTTGGTGGTGCCGTAGATGCTGTGGGGACCGACGTCAAAAAATTGGTAGACTGCCGGTATCGATAAGGAAGGTGTGGCTGTGCGTTGTGGCTGACCCTCCTGTGTGGCACGCTTATTTTCTCGCTGGCATGTCCATGTTAGTTTGTATTGGTTGGAGTGTAACGTCAATAGTGACATAACCAATATATCGACAGTGGTGAGCGAAATGCTCCGCTCACCGCATCCACTTACCAGGCTATTGTTGTATGTACAAGCTAAGGCAACGGTTCTGTAGATTCACATGGCCGCAAGGAACTATGTAAACACATAAATGGCAGGAGATATAAGTGAGACCCACGGCTTTGAACAAACGTCAGGCAAAGAGTCGCAGCTTCAAGTACCGGGCTCGAGATCTGTGATCCTGCGCAGGACAAAGTACCTATTCTATATCACCTCGCCATACTTGTGCTACTCTTGCGGCAGAAGTCGCTGGTAGGGAAAGAGGTATTCCAGAGCAGGACTAGCGTGTACCTACTTAGCACGGATCTCACCTCCTATCTGAGACCTTTCGGATCCGTGAAGAACCTCGAACCAAGACCCTTGATCAAAACAAGGACATATACCCCACAATTCAAGAACGTGGGGGACGGGGAGGTCTTGGCCAGCGCAAAGTAAGTGTATTGCCCAGCTCCAGTCCGACGACTCCAACTTTATGCAGCACTCCATTTAACCCCTTACACGACGAAGTAAGAAGAAGGTCACATCTCTCACCGTGCTACTCGGCACTTTTCCAAGGCCTTTGCATTCTTGTTCTCCGAAACAAGGATCTTGCGACAACAGGCACAACTGCCGGAGTGCTCCTCGGCTATGCTGACCTCCGCCACGGTTGATGCAGCGAACAAGCACCCGCGATTATACACCGCAAGGATACTTTTGCAGGTTCTATGACATCTGTGACGCTGGCTGACCGTCTATCATGCCATCAGAGAGGCTCAGCAGTCTGAGCCCAGATCGGCGCCACGTATTCCTGCCTCGTGGCTCAAGGCATGGCGTGCATCATTACCTCTTGGCTTCTCACCACGGATCCGGATCCGTGAGATTACCCCGACCCAGATGGTCCAAAATGTTGGGGATTTCGATGCGCCGAGCACGACCGCTCCAGGGCCCAAGGCTCTTATGCCTCGGGTGAGCATTCGTCGAGGGACCGCGTCTCCTATATAACATGAAACACTGCTGCCGATGCTGAGGGGAAGTCCAGAGCTATTCGCCAACAGAAATCGATTGAATCTCTGACGACATGGCTGCCCTCAATGCCGAGCCCGAGAAAGCGGACTTTCCAGACTTGTCCGGCAACAACTCCAACGATGAGGTGGAAAATGCTGGTACCCGGGTCATCGTCGACAAGATGACCGAGCGTAAGCTCATGACCAAGATTGACAAACGCATTATACCAATGGTGATGTGGATGTCCGTCAATACTTACCGTAATCTCACATGAACACGACTAACAAACAAACAGATACTTGATGAATTTTATGGATAGAGGTGGGCACTTCCCTCTCGTTCGCTTGCTACGAAACTGAAGAGATCTAGTCAGCATCGGCAACGCCCGTCTGTATGGCATGGAGGATGACCTCGGCCTTACTGGTGACCAATTTCAGCTCGCCGTGTCAATTCTGTTTGTCACTTACTGCGTGAGCCACTCACCTCTGTGCATGACGCGAGCACTAACACTGCCTTCTCATACAGTTGTTTGAGACACCCTCCAACATGATCATCAAGAGACTCCAGCCTGCATACTACATCGCCGGTCTCTGTGTAGCTTGGGGTCTTGTGGCAACATTCTCTGCCTTTGTTCAGAATCTGGGAGGGCTCATTGCCTGCCGCCTTCTGCTGGGCTTCTTTGAAGCCGGCTTCTTCCCAGGTATCATCCTCTATCTAACCACGTTCTACAACAAGGGCAATATCGCGCTCCGAATAAGCTACTTCTTCGCCACATCCGCCGTATCGGGCGCCGCGGGAGGCCTGGTCGCTTATGGCATCGGCAACATGGACGGAACTGCAGGCTGGAGAGCATGGAGATATATCCTACTTTTTAACGGAATTCCGACCGTCCTTACTGGACTCTTGATCCCGTTCGTCTTGCCAAACAGTCCACAGACAGCCAAGTTCCTCACCGACGACGACCGCCGCAACATGGTACTCCTTCGCGAAGCCGAAACCGGGCAAACCAAATCGGCGCAGGAGCTCCACTGGCCCGATGTAAAGGCCGGCATGCTTGACTGGAAGACCTATGCCTATGGCCTCACTCAATTCTGTAACAACGCCATGCTTTATGGGTTCAGCGCCTTTCTTCCTACGATCATCCGTGGGATCGGCGACTGGAGCGTTGCCGAGGTCCAGCTCCTGACCATCCCAGTCTATGGGATCGGAGCTATCACCTACCTCATTTGCTCGCGTATCAGCGACATCACCCAAATCCGCGGCCCGTTCGCCGCCGGCGGCCAACTGGTCGCAACGGTCGGCTACGCCATGCTGATCGCGAACCACAGCCCAGGCCTCAGTTTCACGGGTTGCATGTTCGTCGGTATGGGATGCTACGTCGCCAACGGCACGCCCGTCGCGTGGCTCTCAACCAACAACCCGCGCTACGGCAAGCGCGCGTACGCCAGCGGTGTGCAGCTGTCAATGGGAAACTCGGCTGGTGTGGCGGCGCCCTTTTTGTTCACCAATGCTATGGCGCCTGAATACCGTCCTGGGTACGGGGCGACTATCGGTCTGTTGGGCTTCGCCATGAGCACCATGACGACCCTACACCTATATTATAGAACGGTAAATGCGCGAAGGGAGCGGGGCGAGGAGGACTGGAAATTCGAGGGTAAGACAGAAGAAGAGGTGGCTGAGCTGGGTGACCTCAGCCCCAGGTTCCGGTATACGCTCTGAAAGGAAAGTGAGGTTTGCTGTAGAGGTGTAGAGCCTTACAAATCGGTTGCACTGACCGCGAGCAACGAATGGTCAACGATGCAGCGCAAGAAGTTGCCGTTGTGCGCAAGAGCGGCGTCGGCCGAGTTAGTGACAGTTCTCGCAACGCTACATGTATCAACGGACCAACAGTTTATCGCTTACGAGCTACCGCCTCTCCCCGCCATGCGATCACTCTTCACAAAACCTGCCGACCATCAGAACCTAGAAATTCCTCCACACCCTCTGCACCACCGTCCCCCTCCTCCCCACGCCCGCCCCTTCTGGCCTGGGCAAAACCTCCCCCTCCCCCTCCCCCTTGGCAGCATCCACATCCGCCCTCCTCCCCGCATCCAAATCAATCTCACTTGCGCGCCACAGCCTCGTCTTGAACACGAATTTATACCCCAAATAAGTGACCGGAAACAGCGGCAGCAGGATATACGCATCGACAAACGTGCCGGCGTCAAAGGGGCTCAGCGTGGTCCAGCCTTGCACGAAGGCGAGAAAGATGTTGGCGGCGAGGCCAAAGTAGGCCAGCCACGGGTACCAGAGGGATTTGAAGGGGAGATCGGACACGGAGCGGCCCTGGTGGGCCCAAGCGCGGCGGAAGCGGATGTGGATCAGGCTGATAGAGGCCCAGACGAGGAAGGTGGAGACGCCGGAGAGATTGACGATGTAGGAATACTATAGACGGACGGATCAGTCAAGTCTGGATGTCTGTTGGGGGAAATTAGTAGAAGCGACTTACCGCTTTACTTGCGCCGGTTGAGACGTTCATCATGGAGAGGGCGCCGAAGAGGTTCGTGAGCAGGATGGCAAAGACGGGCACGCCGCGCGGGTCGGTGTAGCCGAGGAAGCGTGGGGCTTTGCCGTCCTGCGCCATGAAAAGTACGGTGCGGCTGCCGATGTAGATGGACGAGTTGACGGCCGAGAGGCAAGTGATGAAGATGAAGCTGTTGATCAGGTGCACGCCGCCTTGCCAGCCGGCGTTCTGGATCGCGATCGTCATCGGCGAGCGCAGCGAGCGGGAGGCGCCGTTGATGAGGCCATCGGCGTTGGCGGGGCAGGTTAGGCCGAAGAAGATGGCGGAGCCCATGTAGACTTGGAGGGGGTTAGTATTCGATCTGAAGCATATTTGTGTTCGGCGAGGACTCACTGAAGATGATGCGCCAGAAGACTTGTCGGATGGCTAGTGGCACCGCAACACGAGGGTTCTTCGTCTCGGTGGCTGCTACTGCTACCGACTCGACTCCGGCGTAGAAGGTGCTGCAGAAGACGAAGACGGAGGCGACGCCGCGGAAACCGTTGCCGTTGAACGCGCCTGGATCGTGCCAGTAGCGGTCGCCGATGGCATCTCCGTTGACTCCTCCAGCGACATAGACGATTGAGAAGATGAAGTAGGCACCAAGGCCGAGCAGTTTGATCAGGGCCAGCCAGAATTCAGCTTCACCGAACGACTAAACAAAGTGTGAGCTCACAAGAAACATAAAAGTGCCGGGAGCATTGATCACATACCTCAACTCCTAACATCTGAAAGCCCAAAAAGGCGAACCAGAAGATGAGGAAATACCCCCATTGCGGAACGGTATCGCTCCAGTAGACCAACACAGCAGTGATAACGTTGTACTCATTCGCCAAGACGGCCGCCCAAATGATAAAGTAATTCCACCCTACCGCCACACCAAAAGCCTTGTCGACAAAGCGGTCAGCTAGGGCGGTGAAGGCACCCCCGGACGGGTACAGTGTGGTCAGCTCGCCCAGCGACTGCATGATGGAGAAGGCGATGATGCCGATGACGCCGAAGCCGATGATGAGGCTGGCAGGCCCGCCGTTATTGAGGGCGCCGCCGGAGCCGATGAGCAGGCCCGGCCCGATAATGCCGGCGAGCGCCAGCATGGATAGATGGCGCGTCTTGAGGCCGCGCTTGACGCCGGATTCGGGGTCGATGCGTGCATGGTCGGTGGCGTGGGCGGGTGTGCTGTCGTAGCCGACGGGCGACTCCGAGGACGGGGAAGCGGTCTTGAAGTCGGCCATGATGGGCGGCAGCGGCGAGGGCAGGTGTGGAGGGGAAAGAGCTCAAGCCTCTAGGAGGAGGAAAATGTACTCATATCATGTTGATCAACTGAAGCCATGCTTCTGCATGCATGATTGGCTTCCCCATGGGAAAGATAAGGGTTGGCCGCTGATGGCGCCATCGAAGCGAAAATGGAGAAATCGGTCATGCTGTGGCTCCATCTCTTAGATGCTCGTGTCGATACGCGATGAGGCTGGTCGAACTTGCTCTCTGAGAGGTGACAGATGTCGCCGAAATGCTTGTACTTCTGGATAGACAAGTCTTTGGACAGGTCTTTGCGGTGATTGCGGTCAACTTGAACGAAGAGACACGCAGCCAATCACTTTATATTAATTCGGCTCCACTATGGACGCCTTCCATGCCCATCATTGGTTGAAATGCGGACTGTTCAGAGACAGTCCAGTACTGCTGTTCCCTCAGAACTGCTCTACTACTCCGCAATGAAGGGCATCAACTTTGGATGCATACTAAACATGTGCAACTTAACAAATCCCCAAACACCTGGCTAATACTGCATCCCGGACACCAGTCGCTATGAAAATCAACCTTGCTCATGATAATGCGGCGGACAGGCCCAGCAGCCCTTGTCACTGTCTTCTCAATCGTCCTTGCTCTGGTACGGTTCCACCCGCTTCTGGCCGACTTCATCCCAGTTGGTGCTAAGCGACGTACCGCCACTCTCATAATAGCTCTTCATCATCGCACGCCGGGTATCTTCATCTGATCCTGCGTACAGCTTCTTGAAGAAGCCATCGACTGCATCTCCACCTTCATCGCTGTCATAGCCTGGGTCGTCTTCACCTTCGGACGCTGAGCCATCCTCATCCGCCTTCGATTTCTGGTCCTTCTTCGGCTTGGCGGTCAGATCAGCAGCCAACTTGTCCCAGTTCTTCGCGCCAGTCTTGGAGGAAGTTGGATACACTGGACCCGACTCTTTCTTGGGGACCGACTGTTGAATGGAATTCACGCCAGCGCCACTGGACCCGTTGGATGTGGTGAGAGGCTCTTTGCCTTCCAGAGTGCCCCATTTCTGATTTGGTGTACTTTTTGTAAGGATGATCTCGATCTTGGTCTTGAAGACGTTTACTTTGGACTGCGAGACGTCTACACGTGCATAGAAAGGGTCCACGGAGAAGGAATACTCAGAGTCTGGGTTGCCAGGGTTGGGGAAAGAGATGTAGAGAGACCCCTCTTGGATGTCAGCGTTGAACTTTTCCTTGTCCACACCCTTGGCGAAGAGAGTTACTGTGACAGTGGTGCCAGTCTGGAACCAATCCTGGCGGATAACCACGGGAGCCGATGTTGTATTGTGGGTTGTGCTCGAGGCTACAGCAGCTTGCTTGTCCGCTTGAGGCTCATCAGGCACTAACTCATCACTCTCCGCGGCACTGAGGTTGAAGGAGCCATCGGCGTTGATTTGCTTCTTGAGTCTCGATTTGGCTTGATCCGCAGTGGGTAGGGTAACTTCGGGAACTTCTTTGACCTCGATCTCGACCTTTTCGGATTCAGGAAGAGTCTTCAACTTCTGCTCGACTTTGGCCGTCCACATCTTGAACATCTGCGCATTGTCCCACTTGGAGCTATAGGTCAACAGCTTTTGCGCCGCCGCGTACTGGCCATGGTTGTAGAAAGCGACGACTCTTCTCAGCTGACCCTCTTGCATCTTCTGTCTCGAGCCACGTTGACGGGCAAAGAGAATTGCGTATTCCGCATCCTTGAGTGCCAGGTCGTAGCGTCCGGGCGAGAGGCGCGCAAAAGCCTTGGAGCGGTGGATGTAGTAGTCTGGAGAGGTGGGGTGTTCGATGAGAGCCTTGGTGAAGGAAATGAGCGCCCCGGAGGCGTCGCCTTTGTCTAGCAGCGCGAGACCGGTCTTGCAGTTGTCCATACTGGTGTAAATAGTGGTATTACAAGAGGATGATTGAATAGAAGGAAGAAGCACATGTTGCCCGTGTTTAGGAACTTTCTGGAGAGACAAACGCGACTCCCCCGCAGCTGTAGGCTTGGCACAAGAGCATTGTCTTCAGCCTTGTGCCCCCCCATCTCACAGCCTTGCTCCGTGATCATCAAAGTCATGATGTGATCAAGAACACCAGCTGTAGTTCATGACCTGTGCGAAAATGAACCATCAGGATGGTTTGACTAATCTATATTGACCTAGCACTCTGCTTGCATCCTCGTGAAGCAGCCCGTTCGTCTCGTGCCAATGCGCCGCCTTCCGTTTCGCTTGTCCTATACTCGCCCGCCAGCTTTCGCCCGCTCCATCTCGTTGGCTTCTTTCATAGGTGCTGCAACCCAGCCACCCAGCTCAAACATGGCTAGTCCTGGCCACCATAAGTATCCCCCACGCCAGTATACACCCGCAAATCCGACTGGGCCATTCCCGTATTCATCACACGATATGACGCCCATGGACCCGTCATTAGACACGAACTTCTATTCCACGCCTCGCTTTGTCACGCATATCGATGACAACGCCATAGTCAATCTCAAGCAGTACTACGACGTATTCTTGCCGCAGTCATCCTCATCGGAGCATCCCTCAAGCTCATCGAAGCCAGTCAGTATCTTAGACATATGCTCATCCTGGGTTTCACATTATCCGCCCCGGATAGCAGCCCCGGCATCAAAGACCGACGGCGATGTGATTGTCGTTGGCACCGGCATGAACGATGCTGAATTGGCTGCAAATCCCGTGCTGAACCCTACGGCATCAGGCAAGGCTCGGGATGGAGAGACCAGACGACGAAGGTGGTGGCTACAGGACCTGAACGCCCACCCAAAGCTCAACGTCCCACGGGATCTTGCGAATGAACTCTCGGACACCGACAAGGGCACGGCAGGCCATCTGGACGCCACAACATGTGTCGTCAGCATCGACTATCTCACTTCCCCTGTAGGGATCTTGTCGTCGGTCCGGACGCTCACCAAGCCTGCAGGGACGATCCACCTCGTCATATCGAACCGCTGCTTTCCGACCAAGGCTGTGGGCCGGTGGCTCAAAGTCGACGAACCGGCACGGCTGGAAATGGTGGGTGACTACCTCTGGTGGAGTGGATGGCGAAGCATCGAGATAGTCGAAGTCGTGGCACCAGGCAGCTGGTTGAAAGATCCGCTTTGGGTCGTTAGAGGCACGAATCCTGGTTAGACGGATTGAACAAGGCCATGGACTGGTGGTCTGTGCTATTGTAAAAGGTATCCAGCATGCTGTACAAACATTTCTGACACGCATCACTGTTTCAGATGCTCCTCATAAAACTTGAGGCTCCCGCCCTTGACGCCACTCAAGTCCCCGACGTCGGCTCTGCCGGCTTCTCGGAAGCCTAGCTTCTCGTAAAAAGCGTCGCCAGCGTCGCTGGCAATGACGCAGAGTGGGATCGGCGGGTTCTCTGTCTTGCAGAGATCTATAGCTGTCTGTATAATCTCTCGGCCAAAGCCGGCCTTCTGACTATCAGGATGAATACAGAGCAATTCGATTAGCCAGCACTCTGCTCGCGGCCCGGAGAAGTGGTGCTTGATGTCGTCCCAGTTCTTGTCAAATATAGCCATCGCCTCGTGGTCTGCTGATCGATCGGACCAAACAAAACTCTCGAGATAGTCTTGGGCAACATAGATCTGCCGCAGGAGTCTGTGGCTGAGACTCTCGCTGGCAACTTTGTCATCACCGCCTTGACCAATCCGCGCCATCATGACGCAGCCTTTGACAATACCATCCGGACTGACACGAACATAGCATTGCACTGCTGGGCTAAGAAGATGGTTTCGAAGATCTTTGTTCCAATGTCGCAGCCAGTCATGGGGATATTCTCTGCGCTTCGGATGCATAAATCGGCCAAAGACATCGTCGTCAATGAAGCCCGCTGCGAACACGTCGGCCATCTGAGGTATATCCGCCAACGTGCCTGACCTGACCTGGTTGGCGGCCATTTTGGGAATTGATCGTCAGGTACTGGTTACACAAACTTGTCGACAGGCACCAAGTACGAACAGCTCAAGCAATCGACTAGGGGCTAACAATTTGAGGCCGCCCTTTCTCGGCTAAAGGTCACCCGTTCCCGCGATCGGAGGATTAAACGTAGTCAATCGATGCAACTCAAAGCTTGACGACTCTACCGTACAGGCTTTTCGTCAATGAGTAACTGCTGGCGGCCATGTTCTTGGAGTGGTGTGATGGTCGAGATTGGGCCCTTCTGCCATGTGCGGCTACCTGTCTCGAATGCCGCGTACCCCAGGCACGTGGCGTTGGTCACCTTGACAAGATACCTTCCTTTTTGAGGATTCGACCGTGTTCGATACTTCAGGACAATGGAGGTCCAGAAAAACTCTCGCAAGGACCCGCAGGGATCGGAAACAGTGAGCTCCCCGTGGCGCTAGCAGACTTTGGCGGCGGCGCGGATCACTGCCTAGGACGCCTAGAGACTTTAGGTGCCTCCACTCTTACAGCAACGCTAGACAGGGCACTATGCTGGGGTGATGGCAGGGTTATCTTCTCCTCCCGAACGGCATGTTGCTTCAGTCCATGGTACTCACCCAATCAACTGCCGCTCACTACCGACACAATGTTCCTAAGCGAGGCGATCTAGACATGAACCCTCTGCAACGTGTTCGGTGAGTCCTCCCCCGTCTGCAATCCCTCGACGCACTGTCCAGCGCCACTCAGCACAGAGCCAATCCCACTTCAACCACCCTCCCATCGGCTGTTGACTTTTGGCCATTTCTGAGGTCCTCTTCACCTCGTGCATGAATTGTTGAGTCGTGCTGTGCTTCTACCACGCGCCTGCTGCACGATAAGCCTCCTTGTCAAAAAGCCTGTCGTTTCTGTTTTGCTCTTCACCGGAGATTTGCTTGCTGCAAGCCATCTCCTCCTCACCCTCACCTCCCCTTTGTTTCTACCGGGTCTCAGGACACAGCGCAAAGTCTCAAGTGTGAACGGCACAAAATGGCGGAAGCACACAAGCAGGAGAACACGGTCTCCAACAAGGATGTCGAATCCTCTGATAACAGCTCTGGCGAGCTGGCTTACGAGTCTATCTTTGGCTCAGATGCACCTCCACGTGTGCTGAGCGTGCTGGATATCATCTCCGCCGGCTTCAACATCTGCAATTCGTGGTGTGGTCTTGCGGCCACTCTGTTCCTGGGCTTCCTCGCTGGCGGTCCCGTCACCATCATCTATGGCCTCGTCGTTGCGACCTTCGTCATTGGCTGCTGCTGTCTGTCCATGGCGGAGCTGTCAGCCAAGTACCCAACGGCCGGTGGCCAGTACCACTGGACATACATCGTTGCCCCCAAATCAGTCAATCGCGGTGCCAGCTATGCCGCTGGGCTGATCAACATCTTTGCCTGGCAGGCCATTGCGGCCTCGATCTGCGTCATCATCCCTCAGCTCGTGCTGGGTATGGCTGTCTACTGGAACCCAACATTCACCCCGCAAAACTACCAGTCCTTCCTGATATATCAGGCAACGAACCTCCTCGTCCTGGGCTACAACATCGGCGTCCTCCGCTGGGCTCCATGGACGCACACCGTCGGCTTGGTCTACTCCCTCCTCCTAGGTTTCTCCATCTTCGTCGCCTGCCTAGCCAAGGCATCACCAAAGGCGCCCAATGACACGGTCTGGACGCTCTTCGTCAACGAGGGCACCGGCTGGCCATCCGGAGTCGTCTTCCTCACCGGCATGGTGAACCCCAACTTTGCCTACGTCGGCATCGATGGCGCCGTCCACCTAGCCGAAGACGCTTTGAACGCCGCCACCGCCGTCCCCTGGGCTCTGATCGCCGCCGTCACCATCGGCTTCGTAACCTGCTTCCCCTTCGTAGTAGCCATGTTCTACTGCATCTCGGACCCCAGCGCGATCCTCTCATCCCCCGTCCCCATCTTCGGCATCTTCGAGCAGGCCCTCCGCTCCGGCAGCGGCGCCACCGCGCTGACCACCCTGCTCATCATGACGGGCATCTTCGCGCTCAACGCCACGCAGCAGACGTCCTCGCGCCTCAGCTGGTCCTTTGCGCGGGACGGCGGCCTCATCTTCAGCAAGCAGATCGGGCACGTGCACCCCAAGCTGGGTGTGCCGGTGTGGGCGCTGCTCTTCAACGCCGTCGTCGTCTTCATCATGGGCTGCATCTACCTGGGCAGCCAGGTGGCCTTCAACGCCATCGTCGGCACCTGCCTGATCCTCATGCACATGTCCATCGCCATCCCCATCCTGTTCCTGATGCTGTCGGGCCGCGCCGAGCGCTTCCTGCCCAGGAAGGGCCACTGGAACATGGGCGCTCTGGGCTGGCTGCCGAATCTGTTCACCGTGGCGTGGAGTCTGATCACCTTGATCTTCTACTGCTTTCCGACCACGAATCCGACGACGAGTGGCATGATGAACTACGCGAGTGCGGTGCTGGGTGTCTTCTTCCTCTGCGGGCTGGCCAATTGGCTGGTCTATGCCCGGACGCGCTACCACGGACCAAAGATCGACATGGCTAAGCTGGAGTTGTTGACTGCTCGTTCCTGAGATGTGGATGATCGAATTGTCCGTCGCAGCGTTGGAAGAGCGTATTGTGGCGTTGTGAAACCCCCCCGACGGAAATGAAACATGAGCGTACAGTATAGTCACGGCATATTCGCAGCAAGGCAGGCTTTCTCACTAAGCTCAATTCAAGCAGAGCCGTCGTTAGGAACAAAATCAATTCGTAGTATCTACCACATTCATCTCTTACTCCACGCTCGTATATAAACCCATTTTCTGTATACCATTTCTCGCATCCAGTATCCATGTATGTTCACATCTTACAGCACACCCCTGAACCTTTACAGTCCTGATCGATACAGACACTGGCCGCTATACAGCAACAGCGACAGTGACAGCGACACTTGGCGACTCACCATCTCCTCCCATACTCCTGCCCACCCCTAACATCAAAGCTGCCCTCATTCCTGATCTCCACCTCTCTCGTCACCCTGATGCCCCCACCATCACTCTGTTCCCTCGCATGCCTGCCATCCGCCTCCCCTCTCCCCCTCCTCGGACTGCCCCCTGCCCCCGCCGCCGCCGCACGCATCCCCGCAAAATCAAAGCCCCTCGTATCCCTCACAAAATCCTCACTGTGCTCACTACTCTTACTCGTCAACGCGCGCTCGCTTTCCGCCACGGACGGGTTACGCTTCAACTCCGACGTCGCGCCTGAACTGGCGTTCACGTCCAGGTATCTCCCATCGGCGATGTTTCCCTGCGTACCGCCGCCCCCACCCAGCGCCTCGCCCCGGATGCCTCCTGTCGTGGGTGTGCCGCGCCCAAGGTACATCTCCTGCGCCTTGGCGTGAACGCTGACCTCGTGGCCGCCAGCACCCTTGCCACTGCTCGTGAAGCTGCTGAGCACATAGCTCTCGCCACCGCTGCCGCCGGTGCCGCCGCCGCGAGTCCCAGACTTGCTCTTGGTGCCGTGGTTGCCGGACCCAGAGCTCGCGCCGCCGTACGTGGCGCCCGTGTGGCCCGTCATGCTCATGTCCATGAAGCCACTCTCGAGGCTTTCGAGGAAGGGTTTGAGGCAGGGGATGCAGGCGGTGATGATGCTGAGGCACTGTATCACCTGAGCCCAGGTTTGCGGAGTGACGACCTCCCAGCTGCGGTCGGCGGTGGGGGCGACGTAGGGTGGGAAGCTGCTCATGCGCAGCGCCACGCACAGCGGCACGACCAGCCGGCTGGCGAAGACGGCGATGACCGTGATGCGCTTGCGGATCGGGATCTGGACGGACCAGATGACGTAGGCGGGGAGGATGGTTACGAGGAGGTCGGTGGCGATGTCTGTGCCCGCGAAGGCGTAGTATAGGCCGCCGGTGGAGAGTGCGCATTGCTGGTTGTAGTCCCAGGGTGACGGCGTTGGGCACTGGAAGGCGAAGAGGAAGAGGAAGACGGCCGCCCACAGGGCGATGCCGCCTAGGAGGGCGTAGCAGATGCGGCGGACGGACCTCGCGGGCGAGAGGCGCACGATGAGAAAGATGAGTGAGGCTTTGGCGCAGGCCAAGGTGAGGATCAGGAACAAGTTGGCTGTGTAGTAGGCTTTCGCATAGGTTTCGAAGAGGGAGGGCGATAGATCGTCTTGTCGGCGGCCAAGGCCGTTGGTGGCAGCATTGTAGATTACGCCAGTCTGGACAATGCCAAAGACCTGTAATAGGGCCATCAGTAGGTGTAGGTTAGGTCGAATGGTGGAGGCATTACCATTGCGAGCCCGCAGAGGACATCATCTATGCCTGCAGTAAGGACTGGTATAGTTCTCGTAAGAAGACGAGTCAGAACGCTGATGGTGAAGAAGCACATCATGATCCAGGCCACGATGACCACGTAGGCCCCATGGTTGTCGTCGGTGATGGCGCCATGCGCCGGCTTTAGGTGGTATATTGGCGGCAGCGTCTTTGAGTAGGCAATGGGATCGGTATAGGCCAGCTCTGGTATCTCTGGAGGGCCCGACATCGTGGTTAGTGGCCGTCAACGGATACAGACTTCTGTCCAGACAGTGAAGTGCACCCGAAGAGAATGCAGCGGTGGTGTTTTGCGACCTGCGAACTTTTTGCCGCAGTGATCGACAATCTTTTCACGGTCGCGAGAGCTTGTGAGAGGGGATCGTATCGCTTGACATCGCTTTGAGGACCCTACAGACGATCCAACGGAGCCAGAGGACTCCGGAACATCGAGTCGGACGTGGTGGGTCTATCGAGTTGCCGTACCTTGAATTGGCGAGCGTACCCGCACGAATACTGCGGCGAGTCTGCGATCCTCTAGTCAGGGGACGAGATTTGATACCAATGTGACTTGACAAGAGGGGTCGTCCTTAATCCACTTTCTGAACAAAGTGCGTTCAGAGAGTGTTTGGAGTTCCGGATACAACGCTGCACGAGGGTTCCAACAGGTGGGCCTCCAGCGCAGGGGATGAACTCCAGTAGCGTGATCAAGGGCGGACAATGCAGATGGCCATTGGAACCCACCTGGCGATGTACGTAAACCGAGTCTCCTTGGGCCTCGAGCAAACGATACGTGGCGCCCCGGCTAGGAGAATGCCTGCGGACGTAGTCTCGGATGAGGCTGCAGACACTGCTTTTTAGCCTAGAAGTGCAAGCGAGGTGAGCTCAGGGGCATCTCTGACCTCTGAGTTTCTCTGCTAGAGATAGGCGCTAGCATTGGCTGAAGATGCCGTAGTCCCGGATCATGATTGCTAGTACCGCCGATGGCATCTGGGTCGTGCTAATAGTACAAATGGGCCGATTCACAGAACCGAGTTCTGAATTGTTGATCGTAGAGCTGTTGATGCCGTGAACCATTCGCAGACTGCGACCTGCAACTCGCTACATTCGGGGCAGCAATATCGGCTTCAGCGCCGCGCCGTGCCTCTTGGTGATTGAGTAGGCCTTCGATTGGCCGCCGTGTACTGTGTGCGCAGAGAAACCCCGGCACTAGAGAGATGATTGCAGAGTTGAACGGCTAATATCACCCACTAGCTCTGTTGCCTTTCGCTCGTGCACGATCAGGCTTCCCCTAGCGTCGTCGCAATGCTGTGTCGAAAGCTTCGTGGACCATACTGGTAGGAGGAGGTGGCGTGTCGATCTCGGTTACCCTGGTTAGGCATCTCGGCGCTCGTGTTGCCGGCCCCATCGGCTAGACTCGAGACGCGACGGGAGTGCTGGCCCCCGTGCGACGGCGTCTCGTTAAGCATGACTTAGCGTGCCTAAGAATCCACGGGATTGATCTGGTACCCATGGATCTACGAACGCAGGTGTTGGCAGTCTCCGCCTGGTCGTGACCTTATGTATGTCGTGATCTTTTGATACACAGGTCCGTTTCTGGACAGCCCAGAATCTTGGTTCGGGCACAAACTTGGACGGCAGCTGTCAAACACATGTGTGCTTCCGCAGTTGGTTGTTCCTCTCGAGCACATCCTTGCCCATGCCCGTGCCGTGTCTGGAACTCAATTCCTGGCCTGTGGAGAAGCCTAAAACCAACCCCTAGACAGCAACTCAAATGCATTGTGGCTGTTTGTTCCCAAAGCGTAATTTCGCTTTCAGATGCTCGAGCAAATCATCTGGACGCCACGACCTGCACGATCTGGAAGAAGTGTCTGCCGCATGTGTAAGGGTTTCATCGCATCCCGGCTCATGAGTGCCGCAGTGCCTGGCTAAAGTGGCACAAGGGTCTGTTCGCTTGCAGCGAAAGTACCACTTCCGAGGCGCAACCTGTATTGCAACCTCCTGTCGCTAGACTCGACCTAAGATCTTCTGTCGGCATTTGGTTGCAGACTGGTCGAAGGCAGCTGTCGCTGCTTGTATAGAACCTTTCCTGCTCGACATTGCCGTGGTCAAAGAGCCAGTAGCCCACCATGACACTCGCCGACCGGTCCTTCGATCAGGCTTACCACTCGAACCATTCCGCCAACAGAAACAATGACAATGCGGCACTGCATAGATTGGGGAAGCGGCCTCAACTCAAGGTTTGCAAGATCTTGGACGTTGTGCAACATGGACTGACAGATGAAGCGCAACTTTGGGTATATGTCCATGGTCGGGTTCTCCACCACTCTGATGGTAAGTGGCACAAGCGATGTGTACGCTTCGTGGCGATCTGACCTCTGCAGGCGACGTGGGAACCGCTCGGTGCGTTGATACAAGCCGGCCTTGTCAACGGAGGACCTGTCTCGCTCGTGTATGGCTTCATCCTATGCTTCCTCGGCACTTTGGCAACGGCTGCATCTTTGGGAGAGCTTGCCAGCATGGCGCCCACGAGCGGTGGACAATATCACTGGGTATACCTGCTTGCGCCTCCAAGCGCCAACATCTGGCTCAGCTACCTCACAGGCTGGGTGTCAGTACTGGCTTGGGTGGCAGCAACGGCGACGCCTGCCTTTCTGGGAGCGACACTGCTGCAGGGCCTGTTTGTGCTCAACGACCCGGATGGATATGTGTACCTCCGCTGGCACGGCACACTCCTCTTCTTTGCGATCTTACTGCTGTCGGTTGCCGTCAATATTTGGTTGATCAAATTCCTGCCGTACTTGGAGACCATTATTCTGGTACTCCACGTCGGCATGTTCTTCGCCATCATTGTGCCTCTCGTCTACCTGGCACCGCAGCATTCGGCCGAGTTTGTCTTTACGGATTTCGAAAGTTTGTTCGGATGGGATAATCGAGGCGTGGCCTGGTGTATAGGCCTGCTCACCTGTGCCTTCCCTTTCACTGGATACGGTCAGTATCGTCATTTCCGAAGCTACTTGGCGCGGCTAACGGGAATCAGATGGCGCAGCACACATGAGCGAGGAGATCGAGGAGGCCGAGATTGTCGTGCCGCAAGCACTCATCACCAGCGTCGCCCTCAACGGTCTCCTTGGCTTTGCCTTCCTGATTGCGCTGCTCTTTAGCTGTGGAAACCTGGAAACGACCCTTCAGACCCCGACCGGCTATGCGTTGATCCAGATCTTCTATGCTGCGACCAACTCGACCAAAGCCACGAATGCAATGACTTGCGGCATCGTAGCTTCCGCGGTCGCAGCAGTTCTTGCCCTCCTTGCATCAGCCAGCCGGACCACCTGGGCGTTTGCTCGTGACCACGGGCTTCCGTTCAGCGGCTGGCTCGCAAAGGTCAACTCAACACGAGCTGTTCCGATCAATGCCATCGCTACAACGACGCTGTGCTGCATGCTCCTTGGCTTGATCAACATCGGCAGCACTGCGGCTTTCTATGCCATCGTTGGTGTAACGACGGTTGCGCTGTATTTCACCTACATCATGCCTGTCGTCATGATCACGATCAAAAAGTGAGTTTTCTCGCGAATGCCCACTGACCACAACTGACCTCGCACAGAGTACGCGGCGAGCATATTGCTTATGGGCCCTGGAGGCTAGGCAAATGGGGACTGCCCATCAATCTGTTCTCCATTGTCTACTCGATCTTCATCTCGATCTTCCTGTTCTTTCCAACAGCACTGCCTGTAACGGCGTTGAACTTCAACTGGACAGTGGTAGTCTTCTTCGGCGTCATTCTCATCTCCATGGGCTACTGGGTCGTGTTCGGGCGTCGGCAATTCCATGGGCCGGTGAAAGAAATGGTTGATTGAGTGGTTGCAACAGAAGTGTTTGTAACATTTATATGTAAACGAATCATGAGATATAGGGTCGGATCGGTAAGTTTTGTGTAGAACACTCTAGACGTTGATAGCGTTGGTGTTGATATTCCTAAGCAAGTCAGGGTATCGCTTCCATAAGTTTTCGAGAACACCTGCTTCGGCCGGCCACATATTCTGAGGCTGAAGCCCCAAGCAAATGGGGCTCTTCGCTAATCCTATTCAGAGGGTCCCTAAGGTCAGTTGCGCGAAAGACATGGTTATGTCTATTGAACATGCATGAGGAAGTTGTGACCCAGACACAAGGGTGGTCTTGTCCGAGATACAGCATAGCTCTCACAAGAGAAGCAGTGAACAAATAGACGACGATACCAGCTCTACTTGGACAAGGTAAAGCGCCAGTTTGACAGCTCTTTACCCCTGAGGGCTTGTGGGTGTCTGAGGCGGACATTAGTCTCCTAGACACTGAAGTGACCGTAGAGCTTTCAATGTAAGGCCAGGCAAGAATAGAGATTCGGGAGCTTGTGATCAGGATGCGATGACAATCTAACACAACAAGAGCACTGTACAATATAGGTACAGGGAAGGCGTCTCAAAGTACGAGTCATGCTTGACGCGTAAATGCTCTACATGCGACTCGTGTCTCATCTTTCTCCGCATTACGGCTACCTCGGTACCAGCATGGCTGCGATGTTCACAACCGCGGGCGTGGACTTACACGGCCTAGGTCTTTTCACAGGATGTGAGATACCTATACTCCCAGCGTTCCTGGCTGGACAAACTGCACAATCGCCAACAACGAGATCGAGCTGTAGCTATGACGGCTTCCCCACCACTTAGCAGCCTGAAAGTCGTCGAGCTCGGGGGTCTTGCGCCAGGTCAGTACAGCATCACCAATACTAGCCTCTTGACTGACAATGACCACCAGGGCCCTTCTGTGGGCTCCTTCTCTCATCCTACGGAGCCTCCGTGCTACGCATCGACCGACCCGGTGCCCCCTCGTCCGATCTCCTCACCCAGAACAAGTCATGCATATCTCTAGACTTGAAGTCCCCGTCCTCCCTCGCCGTATTGCATTCACTTCTGTCCACCGCCGATGTTCTGATTGATCCATTCCGCCCGGGTGTGCTTGAGAAGCTCGGTCTAGACCCCAAGAAGCTCATGCAACAAAATGAGAAGCTCATCACCGTTCGCTTGACTGGATTCAGGAGGGATGGCAAGTACAAAGACATGGCGGGCCATGACATCAATTACCTGGCAGTGTCTGGTATTTTGTCGCTGTTGGGCAAGCGAGGCGAGCCGCCTCTCCACCCCGGCAACATATTGGCCGACTTTGCGGGTGGAGGCATGGTGGCGTTCGTTGGAGTGCTCCTAGCCCTGCTACACAGAGGGCTTAGCGGCAAGGGACAGGTGGTGGAGGCCAATATGGTAGATGGCGTGAGCTACCTAGGGACGTTCCCTCGCATGCTGACCAAGATGCCCATGTGGAGTGCGCCCAAGGGGGAGAACCAGCTCGACGGCGGAGCCCCATACTACGGGTGCTATGAGTGCAAAGATCCGGGCAAATACATGAGTGTCGGGGCATTGGAGCCGCAATTCTTCGCTGCGTTCCTCAAGGGCATGTCTTTGAGCGTTGAAGATATCTGCCCGAACGGGATAGACCGATTGGACAAGCGCAGTTGGCCCTACCAGCGCGAAGTCTACACAAGGAGGTTCAAGGAGAAGACCCGAAAGGAGTGGGAGACGATCTTTGATGGCACCGATGCCTGTGTGGCGCCGGTGCTGGAACTCGGCGAGATGGAAAGTGCACAGTACGAGCTGAGGCCTGCTGTTGGTTTGACGGCCAGTCCGGGCCAGGGAAGTGTATATTCGGGACAGCCGATGCAGCCCGGTCAAGGAGCAGATGAGACCCTGAAGAAGTGGTTGGGCTGGTCCAAAGGTAAAAGTTACCAGGTGAAGAACGGGGTATGGGCCAAGCAGGAGGCAAGTAAGCTGTAGCGCTTTTTACAACTTGTCATTACTCATTACTATGCGGCTATATCTTCTATTATATGGAACTTGCTGAACCGTCATGCCCCGAACACACGCCTTCAGTCTTCAACACACACCCGTCCACTACTGGAAAGGCTCTGTAGTTCCCACATACCCGGCCGCGGCAGCCAGATCATCCGCATTCAACAGCCCAACCCCTTCCTCAATCAGGGTCCGCCACACGGCATTGCGCGTGCCCACAGGCCAGCCCGGCGTATCCCAGTAGCGCGCGAGGATGCCCCTCTCGGCCGCCACGCCGATCTGCTCGCGCACAATACCCAACTGCGTGGCATTGAACTCCGTGCCGTTGATCTCGCCCACATACCTGCTGAACTGGGTGCTGGCGACGGGCGAGACGGCGGCGGTGATGTTGCTCTGCTCGTCGCTCAGCAGCGCGAGGTTGGCGTCGAGAAAGTAGTCGCGCGGGGCGTCGGTGGTGAAGTTGGCCTGCGGGGTGTTGCCGGTGCCGATGACGGTGACGGGCCCTTGCGTGACGCCCGTGCCGTTGAAGGTGGTCAGGTAGCCGGCGGAGCGCAGGGGTGCGAGGGCCTGCACGACGTATGGCCAGGTTTCGGGGCCGTCGGTCTTGACGTCGACGAAGAGGAAGAGGGTTTGGCCCGAGGCGGTGTCGAAGACGCCGTTGGGCTTGGCGCTGGCGTCGACGTAGGGGGAGTTGGCCGGGTTGGTTTGCGAGAGGACGTCGAGGATGGGCTGGATGTAGAGCGAGTCGAAGGTGCGGACGGGGGTGAGGGCGGCTTCTTCGTGGCCGACGAGGAGGGTGTCGTCGAAAAGCCAGACGTCGGCTTCGATGGAGGCGGCGCCGACGGCGAGCGCCGAGTAGAAGGGGATGGGACGCCAGTAGTCGTTGTGGGAGTGGATGGGCTTGGGGATGATGCCTTGAGTCAGCGCTGTCGGGTACGTGTAGAGCTCGGAGTTGTCGGTGTTGTCGAGGATGTTTTGGAGGGCATTGCTGACGGGCAGGGCAGGCGTGGACAGCACCGGGGCGGAGAGGGCTGGGCCCAGGAGTGCAAGAACGGGCAGCGAGTGAGGATGCATGCTGGGCTCGCGCAGGGGGGGATGTGTCTGAGGAATTAAAGAATGGTAGATGCAAAGTATGTGCAAGAAGGTGAAATTCTACAGGAAGGTTCTATCGAAGTATACCAGCAGCTCTAAAGGCAGCTTTGTCGTCGTCGCGAGCTCGATGCTGTTCCGCGACTCGGAGCGGATGGCGCGGCATCGACAGGGGTGGTAAGATCAGCGGCCGTCCTTTGCCCTGGTTCCTGCAGCGATCAACCCCCCGCTTTTGAGCCAATGATGACCATTCACTGCTTACACGTGTTTGCCTCTTTTGATTCCTGTATCCACGTTTTCGAACTGACACTGCGGAAGACCACCGGCTTGAGCTTTGGAGCTGCCTCTTGGAGTGATGGAGCTTCCCTCAGGATTTTCTTTGGGGCCGCGATGACGTCAATCGATGTCGGGCCTCGAAACGCCTGCAATGGGTGTCATACACTAAGTAAGAGTAGGCCTTGCTGGCAGGCTACTCACCAATGCAGCAAGTTACAACTTATACAAGTGTGAGCTGCCAACAGATAGATATCTAGCTCCGAGCAGGAGGTAGCAGCGTGCGCCTCTGAGATCCTGTCCAGCTGTGCTTGGCTCATGCAGGTTCTTTCGCCAAGACTTGCGACTCCAGAAGCTGCCAATGGTCTCATTTCTCGCTGAGGGCATCGAGGAACAGCTATCTTATCGCTTTCAGCTGTCTAGTCAATGCTGTGTTCATTTCGTAGATAATGAGCAGATGATTATGACGTTGCCTGAAAAAGGCGACACTACGCCAAGCCTTGATACTGTGGCTTGACGAGCGGCCGATCAACATGCCCGAATAACTTCTGCATGAGACATCTTGAGTACTCCCGCCTCAATGCTGTCTGGTGCTGTCGGAGGAACTCCATGCCGAATCGAAAGGTTTCGTAGAGTCCACCGCGCTACAATGTGGTGGTCGGGTAGTCTCGTGTAACAATATATTTGGGCCGAGGGTCATTCTGCACTGGGGTGCCGCCCGACCGACATACCGGTGTTACATTCCCGGACCACAGCAAGGGTATTCTGCATCACGCTCCTTACGTACCTCAATTTCCAAATATATGTATGCAAACTCAGCAAGGCGACTGCGGGGCAAGCACGCCATTTGGAGACCGCGGGATGCCTCGTATGCGTACTCCTCACCTATTTACCCATGAGACACGTTAGTGGCTGCACGACAACGACTAGCCCAGCACCACACTTGGCTGCGTCATGATCCTGTACAATGCACCACCCTCAATCCACACTGCCCGCGGGATGCGGCATTTTGGTCTTGTAGCAATGCCGAACTTTGATAAATACTGCCATGTGCTGTTTACCCATGTCTACAGAAGCTCCAGGTATAAAAGACTGGTGATCACTCTGCCCCTTCCCAGATCTCCAGAGCGAAAATAGCTTGCTCGTCTGCGTTGAAAATACAATCAAGTTTGTTTACTCCAATTGGTGCTCTGTCCAAACATCTTCTGGCACGACTCTGCAACAACGTACCTGATTCGACCCCCCGTTCCGGATTGCCCAAGCGCCATTGACAACCAACTCGTTCGCTTTCCGGTCTCAGTACACAGGACGCCCCAAAGCGACAAGTGACCCAGGAAACCACAAGCAACACTCTTCGCCATCCGTCTTCCAGACTCCCAAAGCAACACTATCGCCTCCAACATCCAGGACAACCCAAAGCAACACTAAAACTTTGACCCAGTGACCCCCTTCGCCGCCAAAAGCCCCACAGCAACCACACAATGTCTTACGTGAGCAAGATCAACGCCGACCCCGGCCCAGAGGAGCTGCGCCGCCTGTACGACCAGTGGGCGGCGACCTACCACGAGGACCTAACCGGCGACTCGCAGAACTACGTAGCTCCCGCCATCACGGCCCAAGCCGTTCTCAAGACCCTCGGCACCGACCACATCGACCCCGACCTGGAGATCCTCGACGCCGGCTGCGGCACGGGCTGGGTCGGCACCAAGTTGGCCCAGGTGGGCGCCAAGCGCATCGACGGCAACGACATCAGCCCCGGCATGCTCAAGGTCGCGCGCGAGACGGGCGTGTACCGCCACCTCAACACCGTCGACCTGACCAAGCCGCTCTCCGTGCCCACCGGAACCTATGATGTCGTGACCTGCATCGGCACCTTCCTGCTCGGCCACGTGGGCCCCGAGGCCCTGCCGGAGTTCGTGAGGATCCTCAAGACTGGAGGCATCGTCGTCGCGACCGTGCGCGACAACGTCTGGGAGGCCAAGGGATACAAGGCTACCATTGACAAGCTGGTCCAGGAGGGGAAGATCAAGTTGATCAGTGCCCAGATCTCCGACTACCGCAAGGGGGCTAACATTGAGGCTTTCCTGGTCATCTTCAGCAAGATTGCCTGAGAAGTCTTTGATGCGATTATGGTTGGTCATGCACACTTATTCTCGATGGATGATACATATGAGAGGTACGGTAAAGTTCTCGTCGGAAAGGTTGTCAGCACATGCCCATTATCTAAGTCTGAAACCAAAAAGTCATCGTTTCCAAACTTCAATACTTGAGCTTCATCTTGACAACAATAAAGATTTAGACAAATACGCAACACCGTACTGCTGAGACTTTGACGACCCAGTCCCCTATTGCTGAGCTGACGTCAGCTGTAGATGCGGAGAAGCCCTGATGATTGAAATAAACGTCTCGTCGTGTCATGCTTAGTATTCACCGAGCTGTCTATGAATCGAGGTCAGACGCGTTCTCCTAGATGTCCATAAACAGCATGTTGTCTCCGGCGGTATTGCTGAAGATATCTTGTTCATTCACTGCAAAGTCCTGCCCGGCCGAGACGATTCCTCCTTCAGCCATTATTTCCTCCTCTTCCTCGACTTCATCCTCGCTGCCGCCATCATCGTCACCAAATGCATTGTGCTTTGCGCGTATCCGCTTGGGAGGCCCGTGCTCGATGTCTTTCCTCACATAGTGCTGAGCCATCGTGTCGAAGTGATGTTTCAGGCTGACCACGTCGTACGCAACTGCAAAGACTTCCGTCTCCTCCGCCGCATACGAATGTTCACCTGCATTCTCTTGGTCGTGCGACAGCTCTATCGTGGGATCCAATTGTGGCGGCCCACCCGTGGCTGAAGACACAGGGACTTTGAAGTTGACGCCCATCGATTTACCTTTTCCTGCCGTGAGTTTCCAAGTGGCTCCTTCAGTAGTCAGGAATCCAACTACTAGGTATCCCTTCCCATGTTTCTTCAGAAGACTTCGCACATCTCTTTCGTACAACTCATCCTTAAGAAGATGCTGGAAGTACTGCCCCGGCTGCTTCAAGGAGTAGCGATACACGGCACGGCTTTCCAGTTCGACCGTTTCCTCCTTTGATCTCTTGCCGTTTAGCCCGAAATAATCTGTCACCACAAGCTTCGCCGAGTCGGCCGTCAGTTGTTTGATGAAGTCCCTCCGCGAGTTCGATAGACTGGGCTTTGGGAGGATGTCTGGAATGATATCTTGCGGGTTGTGTCGCCTTTCAGTCCCACCTATAGGTTCCACTGGTGCGTACTCTTTGAGCGGGAGACGATAGTCAACGACAACGCGACACATCATGCTCACCACTTCTTCCTTCTGGCATGTTTCATCCAAAAGAAAGAACCGTTTACGAGCCATGGGTTCCTAGGATTTTTCGAGATCAGTTATCTCAGCAGTAGGACCTGGGACGGTATGAATGTATTAAGCTTACAAGAACGAAAGCTGGCGGGCACTGCTTCGAAAGTACGGCGCCCGCCCAGTTATGTCTCAAAGGCAGCTTGGCGCCAATCTTGGTCTGAGTTCCGCTGATGAACTGTTCGTATCGGTGCGTGGCTGAGTAAGTCCGAACAGCTTGACAGTTTTGCCAAGTGAGGGGGGCCATCTGGACCGTTGACGGGATAGGAAAACACTTCCTGGAATACGAGGTTCGCACCACAGGTCACACTTGGACCGTAACTTCGGCTTGGAGTATAATGTACAGGTACTAGAGCCTGAGAATATGGAAACCGTTTGACAAGTCGCACGCAGGTGCGGCTATAGTGCTGAGACATGTCGGCTCACGTACCTCAGCTTACCTTACTCGTACAAGCAAAGTCAGTGGAGGTGGACGAGGCGGCTTGCCCGGCGTGGAGAGTGGATATCAGCCTTGACGGACTCATCATATCGAAGGACATCATCTTCTGGGACCCTTTGACTGCTTCGCAATCTTCCGAGTTGAGATGGTATCTAGAACGTTATGCGACAACTGCGACTCTGGAAAGAGCCAGAGCTTACAATGCTTCAAGGATCGTCTCGGGCTACGGTGCGCTACTATTCGAAGCCCTGCTTCTTTTCCGTGTGTCAAGCAGGATTAATAAGATTGCGAGGGCGCCAGCTGCATGGTTAAACATTGACGTACGCGAGCTGATGGACGCTCAGTCGATAACGCCCGCAACTTTCCACCGCATCCATTGGGAATCTCTGGAGGTTTCAGAACTCTGGAAAGTCCCAGGTTTGACTATTGCCGTGCGCAGAGTGGTGGATCAAGCCAGTCTTCCGGTACAGACACGTATCCGCACCCTAGCAGCTCCTGTTTTGAACGTCCTTCTTGTGGTCGCCCGTCGGACAGATTATGACTCCACTTCACGCAGAGATATCGATCCAAGCATTGCCTCACGGAATCTGGAAGTGGTGCAGAACATTCTCGAGAGAACAAAAGCTCCTTATCGACTCAACTTGGAGATTGTTCGTCCGGGAACGTTCTCTGCGTTTGAGAGACATGTCAAATCCAGACAGGTAGGATTTTTCCATCTTGTTCATTTCGACCTACATGGAAAGATCGGGATGCGACAAGGAGTAAAAGTAGCCTTCCTCGAATTCGCTGCGGCGAACAGACCCGGACAACTCTCGGCGGTTTCGGCCCAGAACGTGGCACGTGTCTTGATAGAGGCAAACATCCAGGCGGTTTGTCTGAATGCTTGTGAATCAGGACGCGCAAATGCCGGGCAAGATGCAAATCTTGCTAAAATTCTGGTTGCCAAAGGTGTGCAAAATGTCCTTGCAATGTCTTACAAATTGCTCGCCAGTGGTGCCGAGATCCTCCTACAGTCCTTCTACAAGCACTTATTGGTGCACGGGGAGCCGTTCGACGTAGCCGCAAGCTATTGTCGAGCCAGCATGCGGCATCACACTGCTCGGAACGCTAGATTTGGACACGAAGTTCTCATTTATGATTGGGTTGTTCCTGTCATCTACTGTCACCGTTCGGCCAAGGGGTCACAACCATGGCAAGTTGGCTCTTGCGTCGGTACAAGGTCTCAGATCCCAATGTCCCCCGCGGCTGCGAAAGTTACTTCTTCTTCTTCTGCTATAGTCGGACCAGAGGATGAAAGCATCTTCTCCCGCCTGACTGGAAGAGCCTTTGACAGTCTCAGATTCGAACAAGTATCTCTGACATCTAAGATTGTTGCATTATCTGGACCAGCAGGCATAGGAAAGACAACATTTCTCCGCAGTATTCTCCGTTTCTGGGAGCGAACAAACTACATTGGAAGCTACGACTTCATGAATACCGACATGTTGAGTGGCTTTGAGGACTCAAGATTCTTGAGCTACATTATTGGCGCTTTATTGCCTGCCGACACTATGGACTCTGACGCGGCTCTCTCGGCTCTCCAGGACCCGGCAACCCGGTTCGAGAACTGGGTCCACGACCATATAATGCGAAATATATCATCGAAGAGGAGGGTGCTGGTTTTCGATCAATTGGATCTCATGTATTCTGAATTTTCTTACTGGGGAGGGTGGTCCAAGCGAAAGAGGTCGCTATTCGAACTACTCCTTAACGCATTCAACACCTACCCTCAAGCTGCCGGATCGCCACCCAAAGTGACCATTATCCTCGTGCTTAGGAGATCTGATCCTGTGTGGTTGGCGAGGCATTTCAGTTCCTTGCTGAATATCGACAAATTCGAGCTGCCGCGCTTGTCCTTCACGGACTCTGAGGAGTACGTTACGACTATACTCTCTGTTCCTCTTCAGGTCAGTGGCTGCAGAAGTCATTCTGAATCAGAAGCTCTGGGGAATATCATAGGTCTTTCGACCGGCAATCCTCTCTTCTTGCAACATGTCTTCACGCTCTACCTGGCAGATACTGCACCAAAGCGGGCATGGCTGCCGTTCTTTCCCGAAAAGTACTTTGGTGCCTCCCCCAGGAGGTCAAAGAGTTTACAGCAATACAGCAGCAGCCTACATTTCCATGTTGTTCCGAAACTGGCTCAGGGCGCTTCCATCCGGCCACGCTTTCTGTACGAACTGGAAGCAATCATTACTGGTGCGCCGGAGATCATGGTGGCCATATGGGCCTTACTGAGCCTGTATTGGCACACAGGACCGCGTCTTTCGCAGCTCGCCACCAGTGTCCAAAGACTCACCCTAGATGGAGACGATGCTGGTATTGCAAGAAATCTCGTAGATTCGCTCGTTGTTGCACAAGACCGAGGTTTTCTATTGCTGGATGATGTGACTCTAGCCATGGGGGTGCTAGCATTTGTGGGCGACGCACGAGTGGCCTGGATTCACCCGCTTTTTACTATCACGATGCGGGCAATGCTGTTTTCCACAGCGTTGATGTCGCCATCGCACCGCTACTTCAACCACCTTGATAGCATTCGATGGATTTTAGGCGCATATTCACCGCCGACATCGAGCGGCAACTTTAGCAAAGCATTGGTGATGGAGTTCTTGGAAAGCATTCATGACAGATCCTATGAAACGATTCTCGAGGACAGGAAAGGCAACGTCTCATCAGAAACGACGGATGCTAGCTTACGGCCAATGTTGTACAATATGTTCTCAGCTATGCAGATCTGTGCAAGTCAGAAGCCACTGGTACCAGTACATCTATGGCCAATTTACCAACTCATAGTTGCATCTCCGCACCTCAGTCTAGCACTCTCTTCTGGAGAACGGTCGATGTCATTACGACTCTACGAGCAGATCCTGTACAGGTTTCTGGATCATAACGACGATTATGCAATACCTCACCATTATCAACCTTTGCTAATGTTCATCTGCGGCTCTCTTGTCTCATTCTTACAGCCAGGTCCCTATTTACCAACTGCCAAAGCAGAGAAGGTGGGAAGATTGGTGAAGATGGCTCTCCAAGCATCGGAAGATGCTTTCGGGCCTATGTCGGGACTGCTACTTATTCGCATGAAAGCCGTCCTATACGCGAACGAAGGGCGCCTGCTTATTGCCAAAGGGGAAGAGCAAGAGGCCAAACGCGCGGAGTTAAGAGCTTTCTCGCTTTGGAAAGAGTCACTAGCTATAGAAACACAAAGGACCGAAGCCGACGAGCTAGGACTGGATACGAGACCAAGGCGTTGGAGCGCAGAAGAGGCGGAAGTCCGCGGATTCGTAACTGAAGACCTGCTCGACCGCTATCGGTACCTGAAGGCGGCAAGAACAATACTTGAGCAGGGACCAAACATTCCTATCCGAATGGCATACTCACCAGGCCTTCGGGACTGGCAGCCGTCGCAGGCTCTGATCGCCTGGGCTATGAATCAATCAGAAGGACGAGAGCCTATGACCCCAGAAGGCGTCAAGGACGCTCTCATGGCTGTGGCAACAAGGGAGTGGGAGATTTCTACAGCCGGTGCAGCCATAAGCAATATGGACCCTTTTGTATTGGAGGAGACACCGAGGAGATACGTCAGTGTCAAACTCGACAACTTCGAGTTGCAACTAAAGCTTCGACTTCTGGATGAAGCGATGGACATAGATGACTGGCTCCGCGCGGCAAATCTGTACTACGACTTTGCTCTTCGTCAAGCGGTCATGGAGGAGGGAGATTCTCAGAACTACTGGGCCTGCATCGCAGACATGTGTCGCCTGTACGAAGGTGAAGACGAACAACAACAGTACATTGTCGAATTGTCTGAAATCGCGGACTGGCACAACAAGCGCCTACGACTTCCCTACTTGTTTGACGAGATAAACGACACCCTGAGAAATCACACCGCGAACGAAGCTCTAAAAGCCATGCTGGAGACGCTGGAGATATTTCAAAGCATGGGATTAGATTGGCGCTTCGTGACGAGAGCCACGCTGTCCATAGAGCGATTCAAGGAACACCTCGACACCCACTTTGAACAGAAGAAGGGCCCGGAAGGTTTTCCACTTCTCAGTGCCTATGATTCAGTTGTGGACGAGTACACAATGCGTGAGCCAGGTTCTCATATGATGGCAAAGGTTCTAAAAGACTATAAGAACGACCAAGCGAGCGTCTCGCCAAGTACAAGCGGATTAAGGCTGGTGGATGCATTGACTCACGAGCGTTTGTGCTGGTTAGAAAACTTTGCCTCGACTGATATTTCAGGGGGCCAGTCACGGTCGCATAACACCCCCCGTGGTCGACTAATGCTTCGAAAGGCGTGGAAACAAGCAATGAACGAGATCGGAGCGCCTTTCGATGCGTTATCAATACCGGACTCTGAGCATGAGCTCGCAGACAAGTATGACCATCTCCTAGAGTCACTCATTCAGGAGTCGTCCCAGCCGATCATCGTCGCGGAATCTCTCGAGAGAGCGGGATACTTCGAGGCCGCTGCGCAGGCCTTACAGCTTCTGCAACCGCGAGGCTTCACCATCACATCTGTGTTCTGGAGGAGACGCGAAGAACTCGAGTTGAAATGGTGTAACTCTCTATGCGAAAGGATCCTCGAGCAGGAATCACGGGGGGATTTCGACGGGGCTGGCCGCGAGACGGAGAGTCTGGCCGCAACGTACGATCGGGGATGCTTCGCGCACCTGGAAACAATGGCCGTTGGCGAAATCGAAGCGATAATCGAATGTTTCCGCTGCAGAGTTAAGCATGCGAGAAGCAGAGACTGGAGTTCCGCGGCAAAAGAGGTAGATCACATGAGTGACATCTTGAAGACGACTTCCAGCTTGCGGCTCTCTCTCAAAGCAAAAGCCTTATATGAGCTGAAAAGGGCTTTTGATGCTAGAGGGACTTAACGATGACGATACAGGAGTGACATATATCGTGAGATGTTATTGTCTTCCTCTAATGACTGGTCAACTAAAGAGGTCTGCTTAGCTTTCACCTTTCTCGAATCTTCCTGGTCTGTGTCGCTCATGTGGCCACGTTGGAGCTCTATACAGCCTCGTCACCGCAAGTGATTCTTACCATGGCCGCAATGTAGCGATAGATCAGCTTCTAGAGACTGTCCGAGTCTCGCTGATTCGGGGGCATTGGAACTTATCAAAGTCTGTGTGACACGGGTCAATGATGGACGACGTGGCTCAAGTCAGTTCGATATTAGGTAAACAAACCAGCTAGCGGCCGCAGTAATCACAACACAGGCTGAATTACCCATCGCAGTCGTTATTGGCCGAAACAACTCATTCAAGCAAAGAACATTTGTGGGTATATAGAACAGCTAGCTTAAATACATCTGACGTGTTTTGTACCAAGTGATGGTGTTTTTGAGAGAGGTATTTGTCCATGTCTCTACAAGAGTAGCCTTGGGGGGTCCAGCTCATTGATGGAAGAACACTAGACCACCGTCAACATAGCCCCAATTGATGTCAAATTGGATATAGAGTGCTTCACGCCCACGCATTCACCATGGCAAAAATTGCGACGTGCAATCATTGCCTCATGTCTCTCGGGTCTCTCCCACGCTCAAGAGCGAAGAACTCCTTCTCATCGGGCAACTCGTGGGTCTCGTCGTATGCTCTGGCTCGATGACGCTCGTCCATGTCCTCTTGAGCCGGTTCCAGACCGGTAACTTCCGCTTCCTGATGAATGATGAGTACGACCCTCTGGATAAAAAAGGCGGTGGATATGGACTTACGATTAGGGGACCAGTATAGAACTTCCTTCCTGAGATAAGCCAATAGATGTAGGCCGCGGCAAGAATGCCAGCCAAGTAGACGATAGCCCAGTTCATGTTCTGCGGCGTGACTGGCACGGTTTCGGGGAAGACAAAAATGACACTGACGAATGCGGTCCAGACGCAAGCCCAGATGTTGATCGCCGTACTGAACTTGCCAAGATGCCATGGTCCAGGCTCGAATTTGCCAAAGATAACCTTGCAGGCGATGGGGATGCAGTAAGACCAGTCCAGCGCAATGGCACATACGTTGAAGACTCCGAGAGCAGCGGTGTAGGAGCCCAGTGCTATCAGGTTGATGGCGATGCACCAGAACACGGAGATCCAGACGGCGTAGAGGGGCGTGCCGGAGACACGATTGACCTTGGTCCAAATGTTGCTTCCTGGGATGAGCCTATCGCGTGAGAAGGCGAAGAACGTTCGCGCAAGAGCCTGGGTCGCAGTAAAGCACACAAACTGCAGAATTATAAAGGCGAATACTGTGAAAGCAATGCCACCTGACTTGCCAAGCGAGTTGTAGTAGATTTGCGCGACCGGCTGCTCGATGGGGCTGCTCTCTATGTTCGCAGGATCGCCCATGCAGTACGCGAGGACAATGTTGAAAAGAAAACCAGCAAGGTAGGTGAAGAGCATAGCCATTGAAATGGCCCATGGTGCTTTGATCTCAGGTTCATTGATCTCCTCAGTGATGTGGGCCGTGGCATCGTAATCAGTCATAGTCCACGACACGGAGAGGAAACCGAGCAAGAACGAGAAACCCGTTGGCGTCCAGCCAGAGTTTGCCTCCACATGGGTAAAGACGTAACTTGCATCATGCTTGTCCTTGGTGCGGACGAGAAGTGCGATACAACAGCTGACCAGCACACAGACATGGAAGATGACGTAGAACTTTGTCATCTTCTCCATCCAGTATGTCGATAATGAATTGACGGCGCCACAGAAAACGGTGAGGGCGGCCATGACGCCAACCGTATGGTTTGTCGTAGGCGTATATGTGAAGTTCGAGCCCATGCTAACAGCAGCGAGCAAGATCTGGGCTGAGCCGTACTCACTTGAAGCCACTCCAGCGATTTGTCCGAGCAGATTGATCCAGCCATCAATCCAACTGATGGATGGCACCCAGGCCTTCGGGGCCAGTCGCGAGATCGTGTAGTATAGACCACCACAGGTAGGATAAGCAGAGACCAATTCGGCAACACTGAGCGCAATGCACATGCAGCCGGCTCCCGAGATCAGCCAGCACCAGACAGCGGAAGCTGCACCACCTCCGTAAAGGGGCGCAGAGAAGGTTGTCGTGACCGTAGCAAAGAGGCCAGAGATGGACACGGCAAACGAAAACGTAGAAAGGTATCCGAATTCGCGCCTGAAAACTGGCTTGTAACCGAATTTCTCGGCGAGTTCTCGATCGGCATCGTTCAGATCTTCGAGGTTGATAGTCCTTCTACGGCCGGTATACGCATCTTCAATGCTTACGATACTGCGGTGACGCAGACCATCTTCGGCAGGGTGACGAGACGATTTCGCGACCGAGATCTCTTCATTTGAGGACATTTCGTCAGCAGACCTGATCGAAAGGACGACCGCGTTGATGTGGTGGAACTATCAATCCAAGTCGGACGTACAATGGTTCAGACTAAGAGTACTAGTCTGCACAACGATGAGTGCATGACTGGAGGAGGAGGAATGAAGACAAAATGTTTTCCGGGACGAGGGAACCATCGTAGGATAAGTCCAGCCTCTAGCGTGAGAAGACGGCATGGGTGTCGAGTACTCGAGGGGTCCCCTGGTAGCAGATCGCTTATCGTCGAGTCTGCGGCGACCTTGCGCACGGCAACCTGTCGCGGGGTAACGCCATCGTCGCCAGAACGACCAGTAGGCACGTCCTCAGTCACTTTGCAGTTGCACAGTGCCCAATGGGGGCATGGCAACAGTCCCACTTCGTCAACCCAACTACGACTTTGAGCCCAAAGCTTGGTAGAGCTTGCCAGGCTTGATTCGAACAAGCATTGAGGGGGTTTTCCCCAGCCGTGTTCAACTGGAAGGTATACCCGGGCCAGACCCCCATCCTTCAGCGATTCAGCTCCCACTACTCCTCGTAGCAAGTTGCAACGGGCGAGCAGTGCCTCAAAGCCCAATTGAACTCAGTGATCCGAGTGGAAATGAAAGCTTATATCTGTGACCAAATACATTCATTGCATCCGGCAAAGAGGCAGGACACAGGCGAGTATGTGGTGAGACTTCAAAAGCGTCGAGGCTGTACGCGCGTCTGGCCGTATTGACGAAAACCATGATCGATCCTGGTTGAAGCTGAAGTCTAGGCCAGCTCGGCATTTTGGCTTTCCAGGCGCTTGGGGCCGTGCTGATTCACGCAGTGTCCTCCGTAGCACACTGGCAAACCGGAGGACATTCAGAAGACTTTCAATAGGTAACATGGACCCTGGTAATATCACTGAAGATTATACATGTCCGAGGACTTGCGGGGTGTATGTCTTTCTGGACGACCAGTCTCAAAGAGTGCAACGGCATACTTCCCAGTAACCTGATATTTAATGTCTCCGTATGGTTGGGAAATGCTGAATCGGTGGGCCTGTCTGGGTTACTCTCCCATCTCGGGGTGATCGTGGTGAGGTACAGCACCAAGCAGTCGCTCTGCCAACAATTTTCTGACGTGACATCTGATCGTACGTCTCGTGACCAGCGGGTGACGCCTTTCCCTATTCTCGGCTATTCTCGGCGACGACATACATCGAGGGGCTCTTCAGTATCGTGGTCATTGGACGACGCCAACTGGCAATTCTCAAGGCAAGCACAAAAGCACTTCTTGCAAGTCCCTATGCCGGTAGGTACTATTCGGCCGAGAAATCAGACCAAACGTGTGCGTAGATGGAGCAACCGGCGCGCTGCGACGAAGAGACAACGTGCGCAGCGATGTATGTGATGGATTGGCCAAGTATTGTCGTAGGGCACCTATGCGCAGCGTCAGATGAAGCGACATGGTCGGAAGAGCAGGCGCTTCGTGATACTGGTAGACGAGACGTGTGGCACAAATACCAAAAGCCGAAGCAGAGAAATGTCAAAGATATCTGGAGGATTCGAGCGAACGTCTTTGAATTGCGTCTCATCTAGCTCGATATTACTTCCTGCGTTGGCACATCGTAGTAGATATGCCATCATCTCGTTTCATTACCCGACCTGCTCTGCTTCGTCGGACCCATGAAATGTCCCCAAAAACAAGTGCATGTCGTATTTCATGCATCACAGAACGCCTGGGTATTGTACTAACGCTGAACCGCCCGAAACAGATTCCCAAAGAATGCAACCATGGCCGTCTGTGGCCGGCTCGAAGTCCAGAGATGCCAGGGCCGTGGTCATGGAGTGAAGCCAGATTTCTTTTAGCTGGGTTGTTAATGCTGGAACCTCTGTGTAATGTCATATTCAATCGCTGTCGACGTCTGGGTTCGCAACAAATAATTTGACTCCGGATCCCATACTCATAGCCCGTTCGTCAACGCTTCCTCTCCGTCGTAGATCTTCAGCCTTCTTCGCTGTTGCAGCTGCTTGTAGGGCAGAGTTTGGCCCGGCAAGCTCTTTCAACTCGCCAAAGGAATCTTCGTCAGTGGAATCTCTCCTCTCCCGCGTAGCATAGTACTCGGTCTGACTCTCGCCGTGAGCTGGGTGCGATTCTTCAGGGATTCGATCCTTGGCCGTTGGTGAGCCATCACCACTCGGCGTGCTGGTAGAGCTGAAACGCCCTTGGTCTGGTCTAGGGTAGCCCGACCTGTACTTGCCAGAGTTGGTGCTGCTCTTGTTGCTACCGGAGCGTGGCTGAGCCATGGCATTGTCACCCCGCATATAGCCCACCTCATCTTCTTCGTCACCCATCATCTCATTAGCTGACAATCTCATTGGCACCCCGGCACCAGACATGTTGGCTGGGACATATCCAGGAGCTTTAGGCACGCCTCCGTGCCTTATCTTGCCCACCACACCGCCAGATGACAGTGTTGAGGTACGGGCGGAATTTATTGTGGCGGAGCTCTGGACGGCGAGTTGAGCGCGGTGTTTAGCAGCCCGCCGGGCGGCTTCGGTACGGACATCGGTCGATTGGGCCCTGTCGCACCATACTGTAGCCTTTTGCTTGCGCATGAGTGCCACGTATGAAGTAGGACTATTGGTGGCCACTGAGCGGCCCGACGTGGAGCGGCGGGGCACGCTCGAGTTGATCGAGGCACCGGTGGGTTGCCTCTGCATGTTCATTGTGCTGGAGGCAACAGAAGATTGTCTCGAGTGGGGAACAGGAGAATATGATGTGCGGTTTTGCGGTTGAGAACTGATTTTCCGGAGGTGGGGTGAAGGCAGAGCAGCGGACGAGGAGGTCCGAGTGTGTTGGTGGTGTGCGGGCAGTTGACTTTCCGTTGGGCGGATGGTATTGGTTCTGCGGTCGGATCGGGTATAATTGTAGGCCTGGGTCTGGGTCGACGGCGGTGCGGGGCGAGGAGTTAATGATGGATTTCTGACGGGCGCAGGTGAATAAGTGAGAGGGCCTGATCGAGTATAACTGGGGATCGCACTGGTCCCAGAGACGGTGAGAACCGACATAGGAGGAAGAATGAGGCTCTTGGTTTGTTGAACAGATTGTGCGAAGATCTCTTGCGGTATCTGTCGTGCAGCGGACAAAGCTAAGGCCACATGGGGGGTACGCAGGCCGCCTATTTGGGGCTGTCACGGCTCGGTCGGGGCAGGATCTCCAATCTTACGGCGTCAGGGTCCTTTTGGCGAAATTGAAGTCGGATCAATGTGCTGACATGTAAATGTGACTTTCTTGTACGTGATATGGTGATGTGAGGGAGTTTCGGACAGGTTGGTGAAAATCCTGGTGGAAGAAGTAATGATGCTATAAATTACTGAGGACGGTGCAGCTCGGGCGCAGGTGCAACTCGTAGGGTGTCCACGATGTCTTGGAATGGCGACTCCACAGATTACAGAAGACGGCAAAGCGGAGGCACCACAGGATAAGGAACTCCGTATATGGTGTGATGAAGGATCTAGAGGGCCGACGCTTCAATATTGTGGAGATGACAAAGCTCGTGCAAGGACCTTCCTCTTCGTGTTGGGCCGCGGCGAGGTGATGGCTTTCGATAGAAAGAGAGCGCACATGCAAGGTGTAGGCGGCGCAGGCGGGGCGTTGTAGGGAGTGCAAGGGTCTCGCTTGGGCGGTTGCGTATTCGGGCTCGTCGGGACTACGCTCGCCCACTTGGCTGCGCTGATTTGGGACGATTGATGAATGGCGTGGGCGAGGCTCCTCACACGTGGGGGAAAAGGTTTCGGCTTTCAGCTTTCAGCAGTCGCTTTCAGCAGTCGTCGCACAACTCGATGAAACTGTGGCAGTGTGAGCAGCGGCGCGCAACGAGGCAATTCTTCTTATTGATGATTAAGAATAGCCTCTGTTGACAGGGCACGGAAAATCGCTCGATGGATTAGTGTGGTCGACTACTGATTTTGCTGCGGCCCTGCTGCAAGGTAGGAAGGCTTTGGACACAGGTGGATGACAAGCGCAGCAATGTCGGCCGGCCTTTTCTACCGGCGTGGCTGATCAATTGTCCTTGTATATGGAGTACGGGAGTGCTTATATGCTAGCTTATGGATAAGAAAAGGGCATGAAACAGGGCATGACGTCGCTATGGACGAACAAATCGTCGATCGGAAGACGCTGTAAAATAATTGCCGGACCACATAACCCTGGCCTAGCCTGGAGGTTGCGATGAACGTCAACAGGCGAAGAGACGTCCTGGTCCACCCTCCTCTCCGCAACGATGTCCACGCGAGAAGACAATCTCGCGATTCCCTGATTTACGCGCATCGTAGCCGCCCTCTGCCTTGGTCAATCCTATATATACGCGAGACAGCTAAGCAGCATTGAGGACTGGTGCCGACCGGACAGTGCTCCAAGACTGTGACCGCCTCCAACGTGCTGACACGAAGACTGATCGGCACTTGTAGTCTTGACCTGGCCATTTCGATGTTCTAAACAGAGACAGCTGCGAACCGACGTCCACGCTGGAGGCGAGGGGGGAAGCACAGCCGTCTCGCATGCAACGTCGTGAGACGACTAGATTTAGTTGTGCTCAGCTGTCAATGTCCATCATTGAATGATAGGGTTCAGGCAGTACTCGCTCCTGATTCAGACTTGTGCCCCAACAGGGAGTGAAACCTTGCACTTGAGCCTCAATCGGCTGATCGGAGACCAGGAGTGCTCGGTCCCGCTGCCGAGCGACGTCGATGACGGCATGCCTTCGACCACATGTAGCCTTTTCTTCGCACACTGGCATCTCTTTCTCAGATTTTTTTGCAGGATGCGATTGGGTCCGTGGGTGTGGGTTAATCGCTTCGTTGAATCTCCAGAGTCTCGTTGCTTAGCCACAGAAACGGGCGGCTGGAACAACTCCTATTCGTGGATGGAATCTGCGAATAGGAAATGTATAACGTCGCTCGCCGAAAATCTATCAAGTGGTGGCAAGGCATTCCGTTTTATCCATTAGCAGATGAACTGCGCCCGGTGCTGCCTTTCCCAGCTGCGAGGACGAGCCGCTGCCGACAGTGGACATGATTCGATTCGTGAGTGGGATCCAAAGCTGCATGCATTGCCAGCGCATAGACAGTTAAAGTGTAAAGACCTTCGGCAGGGGGGATCCCTCACTGGACCGCTCAGCCGCAGGCTCACCGTTCATGTACCAGTGTCGAGCGACACATGGCCCAACAATCGACTGGTCGCTTATTGACCAACTGTCGACACCGCTTCTCTGCTTGACGTGGCACCAGACCACACGTCCATATACTCTCATTCTCGGGTTCTCCCAGTAATATGAACCTTGTACTGCAGCTGTGACACCCTGGTCTCGTCGAGTCCCTCGGTCCTTGTCTTACAGCCCACCTGATCGGTGTGGCCTCCTCTGACTCCAGTCACGAGTGCTTGCTAGCCACTTGCCACGATGTTTCAGCGCGACGTTGCTGGCTCACAAGTCCCGCGCGACTCTGCTTCCGCCGGGGCTATCGTCTCGGAGGTTCGGGTGCTGGGAACACAGCGAATTACAGCATCTGTACCAGATGGCAATCGTCGGCTCGGAGCGAGTCGCTAGCTACAAGGGCCATTTGGTCCTTCCATCGAACGGGAGCGATGCAGACCGCCTATAGACAGCAACCGGCTGGGCCGGCTAATGCAGCTGCTTGACGCATTCTTGATGCATTCGTTGGCATCTGCTTGTCCGCTGTCCGGCCTGCTGCAAGTCATCCTGATTCTGTGCTGCTCGATGCTGCCCTCTCAATGAGTCGCAGCTGTGGAAAAACAAAGTGTATCTGACCACGCAACGCATGGGCTCTGTGGCCACTCTTCCCTTTCCCCCCGGTTGCGCGCCACCTCGTCTCTGCCACTTTTCAGCGCTCCTTGAATTGTTTCTGTCACGTCTCCCGCCCAGGCACCCTCACCCTCATCGTCGCTATTGCATCGCAAATATCATTGCACGCGTCGCGATCACGGCAGAGAAAATGGGCCCAAGTTGATATATGGGGGTCGCCTACCGCACATCACACCCCCGCCTTTTCGCCCTTTATCGATACTCGTTGCACTTACCACGCTGGGGGTTCAAGATTGACTCACTGACGCTACTCGCTTCACTCTTGTCACAATTTATTCATTGTACTTTCTGCTGTCTCCGCTGATGCGTCTTCGGCCTTGCTCGCCTTGCCAGTGCATGATCCCTAGCAGGGTCTCGCACTCGTCCAAATACTCAGTCGCATGAGATCCGGCCAATGCAGTTCCCCCCAAGCACTGCGCAGCCACTCTGGTAGCTGGACCCCCTATGCGACCCATCACCTTGTCGGATCTTGTCCCTGGCTAACCGCAGTCGTCTTGCAGAACATTCCCCCTCCCCGGCGGATACCAGCATCCACCATGAGAACAGCCCTCGCCAGGCCATGTCCGAACGTGGACCTTCAGTGTACACCTCCGGGGTAGCCAGCTTCGCCTCCCCCAGCTCCAGCTCGACCGAGGGCAATGCGCGGTCTACCGACGATGCAAATACAGACCAGAACATGTCACTACAGCAGCGCTTCTCTCTGGGAACCAGCCATCCGCCCTCACGAAAACATGCTGCTAGTCAAACGAACCCCCCGAGTCCTATCAGTAAAGCACCTGTCGAAATGCGGGCTCATTTCGACGAGTTTGCTGCCCAACTGCGACTCCGCAGGCACAGCGAGTACAAGAGGCGGATTCTGGAGCACCGGCGAACACACCTTCAGAAAGCTGTAGCGCTTTCCAGCCGCTTGCGACGGCTGAGCTCTTGGGTCCACGACGGTTTGGTCGAGATTTCGAAATTTCCCAACCCTGGCGACTTTGTTCGAGTGCACGAGAACCTAATCAACCTGACCGACGCCTGCTTCTCACGCTGGAGTCACGAAATCCGCGCTCTCGACTCTGTCATCGGCGGCACCACCACCACTACTACAACAGCTCCCACACCGGTTACCTTCCTCTCGCGTTTATCGTCCTCCTCTCAGGACGACTGTCTCGATTTCATTCGCAATGTGCGAACCAATCCCCGCTTCTTGGTCGATCGCTTCAAAGCCGTCTCGCCATCCCAGCTGGTCGCTCTGTCAACAACTCCCAGATACTCAGATCTCAGCGCGTATCTCAACTCCATGCCAGGTAGCCGTGGTCGTTCGTCCCAGAAGAAGCGTATTCAGTCGTACGCGAAGAATCTTGAAGAGTACGCGACATCGTTCGAACGCCGGAATCCCATGTCTTTCCTCTTACACAATTGTTATTCTGTCAACTCTCCCGCTGAGGACCGCCTTCGAGTCGATACCTGGTCCACAATATGCTCTTCACTTTATGTCGAAACTGGGGCCTCGTTTCTGGCTTTTTTTAGCCAAATCCTATGGGAGTTCTCGACACTCGCCGGATGGAGAGCAAAGGATCGTTTAGAACTGCTTTTGATGGACATTTTGCAGCGGGGCGCTTTCCTCCTGGAGCCGGTCGGCGATTACAAAAAGAGCAGCCAGAGCATTCATATTAGGCACACACTCGATGGCGAACAGGCCCGGAATTTCTTTGATAATGCCGTGCGAGAGCTGCTCACTGTGCTACTTATCGAAGATGGGGGTTTCCCTGAAGGTGTCCTGCGGCTAGCACGGGCGATCCTTGCCAAACTCCCGGACGAGGAGAGCCAGAGCCAGTTGCGAGGCTACATCTTTATGGAGTGGTTCATGCATCACTTCCTGGAGAATGCCCTCACGTATCCTGAAAACCAGAAGATGCTCTTGCAGTTCCACATCAGCGACTCGGCCAGATCAGCTATCCTGCACCAGCTGTGGCAACGTACGGAGGCCCGAGTACGCGAGGTGTTCGAACCAGACTTTTCAGCACCACCCGACGAGTACATTAAGTGGGCAGCATATACCATGAACAATCAGCTGTACGCCGAGGCCGCTGTTCAGAATCCGGTCTCCGTCGAGAGCGTTCCGAATTCCAACCACTGCATCAGTGTTTGCGCCCCCGAACTGGTTCATGTCCTTGAGGCGCTCAGCCAGCAGTACAGCAATGCATCGACTCACTTCGAGCCATTCATGCACTCTTCTATGAGCTCCTTCAGCTCACAATTCTCACGAGGTAGTCCCAAGCTGGACCGCTTGCGCCGTGAGCTTCAGCTCCAGTTTGAGCCCGGGCAGTCCTCTCCTGCAAGTCATGCCGTTGACGAGAATTGGGTACTACTGCAAATCGAAACTGACGGCCGGCCACGCATGCCAGATTCCACGAGCTCGCCAGGAGTGACCACTCCGTCTCGGCTCCTGAGAACCTTCGGTGCGATCAACAAGGTCCAGGAGGCTGCGGTGCGACTGGCACTGGAGGAGACTTCTGAAAGCGCATCCCTAACTAACCTGCCGCTTTCTCACCGCAAGTGCTTAAGGGAGCGTCTTGTGGACAGGTCAAGAGATGCTCAAAGTTCGGCAAGAACAATCGAAGCGCATTTCTGGACATCCGCCATCGATTATCTGGATGATAACTACCCACTTTCATCGTCACCCCAGAGCGACGCTCGACTGCTCCAACCACTTATCAGACAATTAGTGCCCGCGGAGCATGATGAGAGCATGTCCGTCGAAAAGCATGTGATGATATTAGAAGACGAGTATCAAGCTGTGAAGCAAGCTCTCGTTCATGCAGGTAAACGAATTGAGCATCTGAAGATCAAAATGTGGTACAATACAAGTATCGTGGTCTCAGGGGTTTATGAGAACGCGCAGAATATCACAAAAGCCCTCAACTACATGGCCCTACCACCTCCATCGATGTCGGAACCTGCCTACAGCATCTCATCTGGGAGCAGAGATCGCCCGGGAACGAGCACTTCGACCACTTCATCTCTTTTCGAGCAACCGAGACTAGACACAATGAAGATCTTGCGAGCATCTCAGGAGCATGGCGGTCGTAAGAAGCTCGCGGACGATCAGGTTGAATTAACGAAGAAATGGCTGGATCTCAATGGAGTCGAGAATTTCTGCATTGGCGAAGAACGGATACATCGCTTCTGCATGGAGATCAAAATGGCGACTAGAAAACTAGTTGCCGACTCCGCAGTGGAAAGCCCCGATCTCTGGTCCAGCGATCTGTGGGTGAAGGAGAAGAATATGTTCGAGAGCAACTCGACATACTTTTCCGGTCCCACATCCAGCACGAGACCGTCAAGCGTCGTCAGCGAAACTCCATCTTCTGCTCCATGGCCACGACCTGTGCTTGGTAGTGCGGCAAGCAGCAGGTCGTTTGACGCCGAAATTGCCAATTCAGTCGGGCGCAAGGCATCGATGGCGGGACACGGCAGCACTCGCATCAGCCGCGAAATTCTGAGCAGCGACCTGGCGTCCTCTTTCGCTTCTCCTGCTCGGTCTACCACAGCTACATCCGGTGAGTCGTTATGGAGCGGCATCACCCCCTTCTCGACACGAACAAAATCGCAGACTTCCAATTCGCTGGCATCACAAGCTCCCTCTTCGGTTTTCAGTCTCTCATCTGGCCTCCATCCTTCGAGATCGCAAACATCGGCTTCTCTTCCGTCTCGCCCTCCATCAATCTACAACGAGATTGCATACTCAAAGCCGAGTGATCCCGGCCCAGAGAAAGCAAAATTCTTGGAGACACTTCGCGAAGGGCTGACTGTGCTCCTCCTGTCGGATCTTGGGAACCCCGTGTGGAGTTTAGGCAGTGAGACTGATGCGTGGCTCGATTCGCATCGACAAAACGCAAATGTCGCTCAGCGGTTGGCAAGACGAAAGCAGATGTCCGAGCTCCTACCAGCCCAGACCGTGACAAGATCACAGTTGAAGACTGCGTCGAGACCACACAACCGGAGACGAACTTGGAGTGCTGATGGGTCAGGTCCTGCATCGGGTGGCACGCATTTGTTCGAACGATCAACTAAGATCGAGCTTGATAATAGGTCCCTGGATGAACTGGACGACGTACTCAAAAAGATTAGCCGCCAGGTCGATCCTAATGCAAAGCTGCAGGCTGTGTTTGAATTCCGACAGCTGGCTTTGCACTGCCTGGAACGACAAGAAAGTAACGATCAAGCGAAAGAGGCAACAAGACGGCGACAAAGTCTTGGACCTGGCGTCGCAAGCTCCAAGCTGAAGAAGGTGGGGTCTGGCGCGCAGTCACCAAGGCGACCGAAATCCGACAACGAGATGCGTGACTACCTACGTGACATATTGCTTGTCCTGGAGCCCAAGACTCTCTTTCGAGACCTGCAATACATCGCGGCGTTTACTCACTCGGACATCCTCAGCAAAACGGACCGTGGACAGGCTTTTGTGCAGGTAGGGGTTGCTGCGCTTTCTAGCAAAGACGAGGTGTGCCGAGCCATGGTGGAGCTAGCGGACCGCATCATTAGCCGAGATGGCATTAAGCGCGAGGCATCCATGGAAGAAGCTGAGCATTCACTGAAACAGGCACGCGAGTACTGGATCATTGCAGCACGAGAGGGCAACGCCATCGCACAACGGGAGCTGGCCAGCCTGTATCTGGTGCATCCGGAGATTTCAGTGCCACCGACGGTCACAGCGCCTCTGTCCGTGTCGAGCGAGATCTTCAAGAGCGAAATGATGTGGCAAGCCAGCGAAGATGATCATAACCGGCAAGCACTCTGCCTGGCGCTTCATTGGATGCAACTAGCATCGGCCGGTGGAGATGCCGTTGCCCAGCAGAAACTGAAAGAGCGGGAGGGAAAAGCCACAGCATCGTAACGGGGGCTTTGATTCCAAAGCGGCCGCCTGTGCGGTCACGATGTTTTTATTAGTCGGGTCGAGCTTGATGTTGTGCAATCGTGCATGGCGGGTCGGCGTCTATCATCAGCACCCCCTATCGTTGTCATTTCTCGGGGGCAACAATTGTATCTGGGAGGCATATAGTCACACTAGTTTGAGATTGAGTAGCTGTCGCACGAAGGATCTAGGAGTTGGGCTTACTGTATTACGTAGGTGGGGGCAATCAGGGAAATCTGAGCAGCTGCGTCACCCAATATATCGGATTTGGGCAGCGCCGTTGCTCTTGATGTGGTACTCGATAACAATTCACCGAAACACTGGAGTCTTTGCTAACGATCGTCGCCCGCAGTGGCAGGCTGGTGCACTCTTGGTCGACCGGGTCGTGGCCTGTCAGCGCTACGAGGACACCCAGCAGCAGCAGTAAGCCTGGCTGGCTATCAAGTGTCAGGCAGATCATACAAACGACCCCAATCAGGCAGAGAGACACTTTGAAACCAGTACTGTAATGTGACAGCGGCGATGCCGGTCGGTCCCAATGAGCTTGATAGCGGGACGTGCCGTGTCACTACCCACCACACGGTATGCTTGATTGTTGGAGACGGATAGGGCCAATTCTCGGACTTTCGGAGTGGGCTCGTTTGGAAGAAACATGTCCGTGAATAACGAGACGCAGAGCAGCGTGGCAAGTGTGTGGTGGGGCCAGCCCGGCGGACTGTCAGAACAACTGTGAAGAATCTGAGCAGCACTCATATCCATCACCCGAGCAATGACGTTTCTGTCTTGGCCGAATCAGTCCCAGCCCGCTGAGTCGGGCGATGCTCCAGCACATGCTCAATGCACCACTGGCACGTCTCATCATCACCGCCCTCAGGCTTTGTAACTGTCATAATCGCAAACCCGAGGATCTTGTTCGTCTTTCCATCCGACACTGGCTTCTGGAAGACTTTTCCTAGCCGGCTTCAAGCGTCACCTTCACGTTGCGATTGAATATCCGTTCTTCCCTTACTACCCCTCCATTGTTGTTATCCCTCTCAAACGCCATCACGTTTCAGCCTGCGCTTCACCATCAGCAGGAAAATCGATTTGCACCACCGCGACTTAGATTGCGGAAAATTTATCAGCGCATATCTCTACCTCTCTCTCTCCTGATTACCTTCGCCCACCATGCCCATCGAAGTCAACTCTTCCCCGCCCCCACTTCATGAGCCGCACTCCCACGATAATGTCCGACCCAAAGGTGACTCCAATTGAAAAATGCCCCCAGACCCATACTGACGGTACCAGGTATTCTAAAGAACCCGTCGTTTTCTGGTGCCAGCGAGCGCGAGAAGTCGCCCGAGAAAGAGCCGCCCTCGGCGCATCTCGATCCTCAGGCAGAGAAAGAACTCGTCCTCCAGAACACGCTCCAGAATGCTGGTCACAGGAGATCGTCGTCTGCCGCCAGAAGAACGTCGTTCTCTCGCCGCCACTCGTCTGCTGCCGCGGCGTCTGAGGAGGACCCGGACAAGATGCGTCTGAAATGGGATGAGGCCAATCTTTATCTCGCGGAACAAGAGAAGGGCGGTCGCATGAAGATTACTGAGCCAAAAACTCCCTACCAATATGGCGACCCAGTGGATGACGAAGAAGAAGAGGACGTGGCAATTGACCCCCGTTTCGTCAACGTTGACGAGATGGACATCAAGAAGAAGAAGAAAGCCCGCGACAGCGAGATTCCCGGCCTTGAACTGGGCGAACCTGAGGACGAAGCCGCTCAAAGTGCCGGCCAGGAAAACGACCGCATTGTGCGCAGCGCCAGTCTCTCGCGCGACAACAGCAAGGAGAAGCACGTCAGTGTGGACAACGAAGCCCCGGCCAGCGAGCAGGTGGGAATGCCAACTCTTGAGGAGCAGGAGAAGCACCGCCAATTTGAGGAGCAGCGAAAGAAGCACTACGAAATGCGGGACGTCAAGAATCTGCTTGGGTGAGTGCATGCCGACTCGAATATATATCTGTGCTAATGCATCCCCAGCCATCCTGAGGACATCGAGGAGGAGGATGAAGAGTCGATCCCGCCCGGCATGCCATCTCTGCCCAACCGCGGCGTTAATGGCACTCGGTAAGCCGGAGTGCGGGACGTGTACGTGGTAAATCTCGGATCGACTTCTTCTCATATGACTTGACCGCAGCAAAGGAAGGGCTGCATGGATTCGGGTCTCATTTCTTATGTTGACGACCAACGACAGTCTGGCGCTCCTGGCATACGAGTCGAGCGCCAGCGGAATCGAAGCATTATATAGCATTGGGTGCATTCGTTGCCTTTTCCAAGGTAGTCAACTCATCTACTTGAGATATGTGCGTGGCTTAGACTAGGGCTTGAAGGCTATGTTCTTGCGATGGTTGCTGACTCCAGAACGAAGGCTCCTCCACAACGCTGCCAGATGTTAACTGCATCGGGCATCGGAGAGTTTCAATCAGTAGTGTCCCCTCATCTGCACTCTGGCACGTCCGGACTACGGCCTGTAATTTCATGTTCATCTTAAGCTGAAGAGTTCCAACATCAGCAACTGACGTGTCGGCTCACTCGAGGTTCCAGTTTTCAGCCTCGTTTGGGTAACAGCCGGCGTGGACTAAGCCTACGTACGCATCGACAGGCAGGTGTGGCCAAACATTCAGCAATATAAATCACGCACATGCCCTACTCGAAGCCCGGGAGTCGTGCAGCTCAGAGACTCGAGGCTGTCGGTAAACAGATCATACCTTCGCCTGTTGACCAAGACCCTTCCACGCTGTTCAACACTGCTGACATGGCGCTTCCATCGACCCGCCGAATCGTCACGGGTACAGTCAGCTTCCGACCTTGAGTCTTTGCCCCACTGAATCATGCTATAGGCCATGACGAGAACGGGAAATCCATCTTCCTCTCCGACGAGCGCCTGAATCCTGCCTCTCCCCTTCACGGCGACGGCACCCCGCCAGCACCTACCGTCCCCGGCTTCACGCTCATCGGCAAGACCAGCGGCCTTCCTGACACGTCCGTCAATGATGTCAGCTTCACCGATCTGCACGGCACGCGGCAGGATCTGTCCGACGATGCTGGCGTCACCTGCCGTCTCGTGACTTTTCCACCCCAGCCCAAGGATGTGCCGGAGGAGGTCAACTTCATGCACCGTACGCAGAGCTGGGATGTTGGCGTCGTGCTGGAGGGAAGGGTCATGCTGAAGCTGGATACCGGCGAGGAGAGAGAAGTTGGCGCGGGCGAGGTTGTGGTGCAGCGGGGAACGAATCACGTATGTTTCTGTCCAGTCTCTTCTCTGACCAGCTACCCTGACGAACGGCGTGCATGTTCTATTAGGCATGGAGGAACAGTTCTGCCGAGAACTGCCGCATGCTCTTTGTGCTGGTGCCCAGCGTGCCGATCAAGAACCGGACCACGGGCGAGGTGCTGCCGCCGACGGATACGAAGCATCTCACCACCGAGGAGGGCGCGAAGGAGGTCATTGCTAAGATGGTGGCACAGGTGGCCGCGAGGGGACAGCACTAGGAGATTGAGGTACCGATGGAGTTGGAATGCTTCTGCATCGCCGTAGCTAGCATTTATATTTGTCAATACTACAAGCTACCCACGATTCTCTTGCGTTCAGAGCCTTCTCTTGTACATGAATTGTCGATGCAAGATGCAGCAACGCGGCTCCCTCCAGCCGCTTGCCGCTGACAGAACTCGTAGAGAGTGCCTTGTCTTTGTACTCCGTACACCTGGATGCAGACGCTGCCAAGTTCACTTGGCCCATTCTGGTAGGCGGAATTTACCCGTCAGTTCACGGCTTTCTCGACGCGCTTCGTCATCCGAGTCCCATCCGTACAGATCCTGTTTCCACCCGTCACTCAAGCTTCGTAGTTCGTTTGTACAACATTCGTACATCCTCGTTATCAGACTCCATCACAGGTGTGTTCGAATCTGACTCTACAGCGCATCTAGGTGGCTCGCTAGTGGAATCCGACCCCCGTGCTGTACGGTGCCGCGCCTGTTGGCCGCTGACGGGCGGGCCCACCAGATCTTGTTGCGGCACACTCTGCCACTGCAGGCTCGTACGACATGCCCAAAGACCGGCAAACATGCACTGAATGCTCTATGCGCCGCCAGAAATGCGATCGCAACGTCCCATGCGGCCGCTGCGTGAAGCGGGGCAACCCTGAGAAGTGTTCAATCTCTTGGGGTCCAGACGGGTATGACCCAAAGCGCCATCGTGTCTACCCTCGCACGGAGCCAACACCAGCCCAGGATGGTGCACCCGTGGGATCGCCAACAGTCAGTGACTCCAGTGTACTCATGCACCAGCAGGAGAAGACTCCTACATCTGCCTCTATTGCCTCAGGACCTACTTCCCAGACCCTGGGCGCCACACCTGCCACTTCTTACTCGCGGCCGGACCCAAAACCGACTTCGAATGCGTCTCTGGACTTCCCTGGCTGGGGGCAAACCACTCATTCCGATTATTCTGGTTTCGTCAATTCCGTACGGGTCGCCGCCGGGGATCCACGGTCCCAATATGGCATGGTTGATCCCATTCATGCCGCCGACGATGCCAGCATGAGCAACTGCTTCGGAGGCACTGCACCCGCACAAATCTCCTTCCTTCAGCTCCTACTCCCCAGCAAGCGCCAAGTGTTTCAGTTGTGTGAATATCATATCGACCAAATCCTCTGGTACCATAACTGCTTCGATGGATCCACCTTTCACGCCGAGCTCGTGGCAGCCTCTTCTACACCGCAAGGGCTGCAAATCCAAAACATGGATCTCCAGTGGGCTGCACTTCTCTTTTCCATCCTCTCTGCCAGCATGGTGGGTGTCAGCGACAGCATTGCTCTTAGCTGGGGCTTCCAGAAGGAGGAACGACACAAGCTAACCCGACAGTGGTTCAGGAGCTGTCTGACTTGCCTCAATCTTGCCGACTACCTGCGTTTGCATCACGTATACAGCGTGCAGGCCATCGCAATCTTGACGCAATCGTCGCACATCCTAGGCTATAGCAATACTCAAAATGGCATGCTGGGTGCCGCTCTCAAAGTTGCTCAAGGGCTAGGTTTACAGCGGCTAGGCCTCGATGACGATGAAGTGAATATCACCAGCAGCACGGGTGTTCTCATAGTGCCCGCCCAGCGCCAGAAGATCGTTCAACGCGAATTGGGCCGCAGACTTTGGGCGCAACTGTGTATACAAGACTGGTTCCAGATTCCCTTCTCGGAAATGTACTCCATCAACAGACTGCACTTCTCTTCACTGAAGCCCAGTAATCTGGACGATGTCTCGCTACAGGTTCTTTCTGACGAAATGCCCACAAAGACCGGCTTTGGGAACTTTCTATACGAAATCGCGAAGCTGATGCCACAGATGCACGATGCCATCTTGAGCGCCAACACCCTCTACACGCGTTACGAGCATGTGTTGGAGTGGGATAAAAAGATGCGTCACCTTGTGTTGGAGGCGTCCCCCAAGTGGTTGAATTCAATGGAACCTTGGGAGCCTCACTGGCCGGTATGGGTATCCTGGGCGCGGCGAAGCACCAACTTGTGCTTCCACCACAAGATCATCATGGTTCATCGACCCTTTCTTGGCCGCAGCTTTACCGAGCCGACATTCGCATTCAGCCGTCGCGCGTGCCTGACAGCCAGCAAGATGATCCTCAAAGAAGCCAAGCACGCGTATGATGAGGAGGGGCCCAACTTATGGATTGATCAGGCCTTCATGGTCGCCGCCGGCATCACGTTGGCGTTGGACACTTTCCATCGGCGCGAGCATGAACCAGAGCTGGAAGAGCATAAACGTCTGGTAGAGAACACCATCAGTATGTTGGGGAAATATGACGATAGTATGATCGGTCTGCGAGGATGCAGGTTGCTTGTGTCACTGCTGGCCGAGCAAGCAAAAGTGTGCGCAAACAACCAGTTGGAGAACTGGCGGAAACACGCTCTGGAAGGTGGTGAGACGGGCCCAGAGAAGAGGCAAAAGTTCGATGTGCCCAAATTTGTGGAGCAGTTTGTCGGAGGTAGCTCCTTTACAGGCTCGCTGAAAGAGAATGGAAAGCCCCCTACGCCCGCACCGGTGGCCCAGAAGGGTGTACAGCCTGACATCAATGCGGCACTTGGCGACAGCGAGCCTATTGACGATGGAGGATACTCCTATGAGCGATTCGAACAACTTTTCCCGCCACAAGCTGGCATCAGCAACAGTTTTCTCTTTGAAGATTTACTGAATTTCGACATAACCTAGCACCAACGTTCCAGACCGCGACTCAGTCGCATCCGGATCCGGTGCACGCGCCAGGAATGTCACGGTCTTGGACGCGTGCTCGTGCTCCAAGGCGTCCAGAAACCTTAAATTCTGCCTCCTTGGGTTGACTGGAACGTCATTTATGCAGGAGGCCACCGCCCTTGCATCAATCCATCGAATTCCCTACGATGGCGACGCATCGCGTTCGCGTTACCCCTGCGTGGCTCGATATCTGGCGGCAGGCCCGCTGGGTGTCGAAGGGGCTGTCAGGTTTCTCTCTATGGTTTCGCGTTGAGACTTGGATGCAGCCGAGCCGCAGAACAGTTGAAGCTAAGCTACATCTTTCAAGATGAGACGAAGAGATCTGGTAACGGAGCGAGTGCAGAGGTTCCTGCTGAACAAGGCGGTGTTCAGCCTCACAAATGCGTTGTTGCTCGTGCTGGCGGTGTCGCACGTGCTGTCTTCGCTATGGCTACTCGGCAGGTCAGCACGCGACGTCAGTGGGCTGGCTCTGGCGACTGTGGTTGCAAGCTTCACCGCGACTGTGAGTACGGCTTGTTTCTGTCCGAGCCCATCTTCTAACGAACACAGGCTTTCGCGACGCTGCCTGCCGCCGTTCTCGCGACTTCTGTGGCCATCAAGTCGATTAGGACCAGGGAACCTCCTACACGATGCCTTTCTCCTCGATTCACGGCACTCTTCAGAGGCATCAGCAACTTTGCAGCCTTACTGACCATAATACCATGCGCGTTGGGGCTATCAATACCTTCAGCTTATGCTACATGCAGCTCTGGTCCAAGGCCATGGCATTTTGGCTCGGCCTGCCGTATCCTGAAGACAACGTGGGCGCTTTCCGTGGTTATACTGTAAGTGCACTCACTCGAAACGGGAGACAAATGCTAACATACTCCTCCCAGGGCACTCATCATTATAGCCCTCCTGCCTCTGCGGGCCTCCCTTCGCAAAGCATCTCTCGTCCGCGCGCCATCGCCGAGCGATACTGAAGCCGGCTCCACGAATAGTACACTCGTTGCCTCTTCTTCCGACTCATTTGACGAGAAGAAGGCACCCGTCCTTGCCAGCATCGCGGTCCCGCCTTGTGCCAAACTAGACCCCTGTTTGGCTCGCCAGCAGCAACGTTACCTCGACCGCCAGAACTCCCTGTCGTCCCAGAAAGCAATTTATCCATATGCCTTTGAGCAGAATCGCTCGGCCAGCAATTTCGGCTCTGTAGGCTACCACCCATTCCCACGGAGCCGCCCAGGTAGTGCTCTGCGGTCTTACTCGTCCTTATCGGCCTCTTCTACTTGTTTGCCTTCTACGTTAGGTTCGACAACACCAGGTTCTGGGCGGTCGTTGTCCTTCTCTACGGCACACGGATCGAGGCCATCGACAGTCACCACTTCCTCGTCAAACTCGTTGTCTCGTCCTTCTACCACTTCCACCGGTAGCCCTAGCTCTGTCAGTCGAAGTAGGAGTAGAAGTCGGAGCGCCATGTCCTCGTCCCGACGGCACCGGCATCTCGATGTTGTGTCCACTTGTGCAGCAATCCCTGAAAGTCCGCGACATTCATCACAGTCGGCATCGGCGCTCGTACAGCCCGCGGGCGACATCCCATCCACCGACGAGGTCGCGGTAGCAGTGGCGGCACCAGCGCCAGCCTGGTGTCCGATACTTCTGACGCACGCGCCCCTCAGCGCAGACCCTGCTATCCGTAGACTCACACGTTCGGCGGCCTCAACATCATTGTCTACTATGCTGATGCAACAAGAAGATGAGCAACGTCATTCCACCCTGGCGGAACTGGTCTTGGCTGGACAGCTGAAATCTCCTGCGATGATGTCGTCGCTTTCGCGGCAAAGCACTACGGGGACGAGCATTCTGAATGAGAGCAGGCTAGGGACTATGAAGTCATCCAAGACCGTGACAACTCTCTCGTCTTCTACATCTGTTTCTTCGCACACACCCAAGCCTGCAAGATATCGTACCGCCGCCACCGGAAGCAGTTCCAATGCCGACGCAGTAGTCCGAACGCCTGCCTCACCCCGCTCGATGGTCTCGTCAATTTACTCGCAAGACCAGGCTGTGCCTCCACTGCCGCCGCTATCCGCCCTGCCTCCAACCTACATACAAGCTCTGCCATCGCTTCCCACCATGGTGCTGCCGAAGCGGGCCGCAGGACATACATACAAGCCCGTGCAACCGCCCCCGCAAACGAACACGGGCTTGTTGAGACCACCGTCCAGCGGCAGCACCATCCGGCATCTGCGACGACCCAGCCCACTTCGGACGAGCGTCAGCGCGAATGCAGCCGTAGGTCGCCGCCAGAGTCAGAGTCAGAGTCTCAGCCGGAGTCGGAGCCGCAGTCGCAGCGCGTTGCGAAGGCCGAGTCCGCTTAGAGTGCGCAAGGCCGGCCAGGCGCCGTCCGCGGACTTGGTGGAGCAGCAGAATGGCGTGCAAGGAGGGCAGACCCAGGTTTCAACGCAGGCGCAGGCGCCAGCTCGGCCTGGCAGTCGAGGTGTCGCGAACGTGTCGCAAGAACGTGGCCAAGGCCGCAATGTGATGGCCGCCCCGGAAAAGAAGAATGTGGGGTTAAGCCCTGACGCTGCGAGCGCAGCAGGGCATAAACGTTCGCCGAGCAAGATGTGGAACGAGGTCATGCAGCGTGGCAGAGTCGAAGGAGGGGGAGGAGGCGGAGGAGGAGGAGCTCCAATCATTGTGACGACGACTCCCGATAGTGAAGGCGGCATTATGTCGTCTCCTGGCGCACACAAGCCGCAAAAGTCCCGCATGGAGCGTTACGAAGCCAAGGTCTGGGCGCAGGGGCGTGATACAAGCCAGAGCCACAGCCAAGGCCGCGCTCAAGGCCAAGTCGCGAAGATGCGGTCCTTGAGGACGAGAAAGGGCAGGCGGAAGCGCCTGACGGGCATGATGAGCAGCGTCGGCGTCGGTGTCGGTCTTGGTGTCAGTGTGAATGGGAATGGGACTGGGGCTGCTACGGGGAAGAGCGTCCATGAGCAGAGGGGAAGAGAGAGGATACGGAGGGAGCCGAGGGGGCGGGTGGATGGAGGGACGGGGACGGTAGTGGCGTCATAAGAGAAGGACAGCTTGGCTAGCTGGCTGGCCAGTATGAGCAAGGAGGAATAGGAGGAGACTTGGTATCCTAGACTGTACTAGACTTGGGGAACTCGGGAAACACGGGTTGAGTTGGGGTGGGATTGGGGTTGGGTTGGGGGTTGGGTAACGAATAAATGAACCAGAACGACCTATGGCTACAGGAAGGGTTTGATGTTGACGACTCTGGTCGCGACAACGCTTCTGCATCATTGCATGGGGGCTTTCAGGAAAGAGCATGGGCATGTATACGAGAAACATGATGGGCCTGGAAAATGAACAATGACATTCGTTTGCTGAAGTGGTGGTGATTCGAGCGCTCTGCACGACTTTACGTTGAGCTTGAGCTTGAGCTTGAGCTTGAGCTTGAGCTTGAGCTTGGGCTTGATCAGACGATGACTTGTCTATTGAAGCCATGATGAGCTCGTTTGGAGGACGCAGTCAAAGTAACTCCGCGAGAAAGTAGAAATAGTGAACCTGATAATGTCAAAAGTGGGAGGAGCGAGACAAGTGAGGTTGAAGGATGCGAGAGGCATTTGCTGCACGAGGCTGCAACAGAGAAGGGGCCTGACTCTCTAGGCCTACCGGGGGCTATTAACATTGGCAACGATGGAACCAGAGATTTGTGAGCTTGGTTCATTCTCTTATTCTCAGCGAGAAAGCCAAAGTTGGAGTTATCTAGATTTGCCTTACAATGCGTGTCGGTGGTCTGTCCCGCCCAGCTAGAGTCGCAAGCAGCAACTCACGGAGAGCATGTCTTTGCATGACCTCTCGACTCTGCGAGATGAGTCGAGGCGGCAGCAATTTGTGTGGATCACTCTATTCGTCTCTGATACTGTGCTGAAGCTTCAAGCTATCTATGCAGGCTAAAGGCTTTAAACTGGAGAGGATCTAAGATCACTCATGATCATCTCGACCAGCACATGAGGATTGTCTTGTGCCATATGCGTGAGAAGAGCCTTGCTTGAGTCGTGCTTGCCCCGATGATCCAGCCTGTAGACATAGTAATTGAATACCTCGTTCAGAATCTTGTCCGGGTAATGTCCCCCAAAGGCGCCCCTTGCCACATCGCAGTGATGCTCGATGATGAACGAAGCTGGGTTCGGCTGCCTCGCCAATATAAAGGCCTCGTTCAAGAGGAAGTCTATCATCTGGCCAGACACTTCGGGGATGTCGTATTTATCCGCGATCTGGCAGGCATGAAGCGCAATGAACTGTCTCTTCGCAACATCTGAATTCGGGCTGAAGTATGAGGCGGGAACTTGGTGTTTGGATTGAAGGAGCTGAAGCACGAACTCGAGAGCTTGCGGATTGTCATCATGGAGCGTTATGACGCTACTTTCACTCTCCTGTTGACGTGTCAGTACATGAGATCCTTGGTCTAAGTATTGTAGCTGACCTTCCAGATGCCTCCGAGCATGGTGCGAAAGAATGCACTCTTGCGGATTAGAAGATCTTTGGAGATACGGTAGACTCCAGAAGTGCCGTCCAACTTGATGGTAAGAGCATCTTGAGGAGACTCAGGCACGGTTGCAGACTCGTCAATGTGCTGGAGAGCTGGTCTGTTCTGTTGGTTGACATTGTGACGGATAGGCATGACACCAAGTGGTAGGTGAGTGGTAGCTTCCTGACAACCCCGATGGTGGAACATCAAGAGAGAGATCATGCACCCTGGTTGATCTTGAATACTCACTTCAGCCTGACGCTGCACTCAAGCCTTGGCACCATTTCCGTTTGCCTCGAGTGGAAAACTAGAAGGTGGAAAAAGCAGATGATCATTTAGAAGCTATGAGAGTCTACGGCGCACACACAACTACTGAAATATAGAAATCGAGCATACTCAGCTTATATTGTGTTAAACACAGAGAAGCAGAGCTCAAAATAATCCTTGTAGCTCAATGAATCTTCTAGTACTAAGCACATTTTCTAAACATAGATATTCACCAATACAGCTTATTAAAGACTATATTCTCAGCAATGAAACTTAGTATTAGAAGAGAGTAGAAACGTAGTTGATTAATTTATGTATGAGTGCTATTTGCTTCTGAGCTGTGGTTGCTAAGAAAGAGTGATCCATGTATTTGACTCCTGATGTGGGTGCTCAGCAGCTGCGCGCTTAACCGTATGAACTTTTGCAACGGACGATAACGAGAATGTCCAGAATACACTTAGACTCAGGCGGCCGCCCACGGCATTGCTCTGCAACGGTAAGGTCATCCTAGAACGGCTCAGTATGCTACAGATCAACACCAGCTACTACCTCACAGAGACTCAAGGGTTCGTCAGTCTCCAGATGCTATTGAGTAAGCTTTTCGGCCGATGCATCCCGTCGGTGATCGGCGCTCAGAGCCGATGTCGGTTCACGCCGAATCCGCCAAGCGCTACTCACTTTAGATAATTCATCGTCCTCACCTGGATCTATCTTACTTGTTTGTTATATTTACACTGATTGCGTTTCACAATGTCTGCCCTGAAACGACAAGTCATCACCGCCAAGGATGCGCCCGCGCCCGGCGCGCATCTCTCGCACGCCATGGTCCACAACGGCCTGGTCTTCTGCTCGGGTCAGCTCGCCATAGACCCAAAGACGAAAGCCATGGTCGAAGGCACTATCGCTGATCGCACCGTGCGTGGGACCCTTCTACACGCGTTGACGGCCAAGTAGCTGACCGAGACAGACGCAATGCCTCAAGAACCTAGCCGTGGTGCTTGAGGCCGCCGGCTCCGGCGTGGATAAGGTGCTCAAGGTCAACATTTACGTGACGGACATCAAGGACGTGCCGCTAATGAATGAGGCGTATTGCAAGTTCTTTGCGGAGCCGAGGCCGGCGAGGGCGTGTGTTGCTGTCAAACAGCTGGCGCGCGGGACGGACGTGGAGATTGAATGCACTGCTTTCGTTGGCGATGCGACTGATGGTATCAAGAGTGCCTTGTAAGGGGGCAGACTTCTGGGAATGGCCAACTGCAAAGCCCAAAACTGGAGACCCCAGACGTATCTCAGTGCATCTCTTTTCCAGCATATAGGACTTGATCCGGAGAAAGATCGCTGAGAATCGAGTCTCTAGCTTCATGCATGTCTGTCGATCTCGATGAATTATTCCAAGTGTAAGCCAGAGATGCGCGGTCAAGTGACAGTATGTGGTAAAACTGTTTGTTTGTATATTGTTGTAAGCACAACGCTATGCTTTAAAGAGGACAATCGCAGAACGAACTTGAGTCCTCAAGAGTTCATTTGGCAATGACATACGTACAGCTTAATGCTCGTCCCGCGTCGAAGGTCTTGCTATAGTCACTCGCCTAGAGAAGCAGAAGCTCCCTGAGTAGACACGCGAAGTCCAACTTCTCTTCGCAAAAGTGACTGTACAAAACCCGCCATAAACTCAGCGTTATCTCTGCCAATATGAACCAGAAGGGGAAAAACATCCGACCTCTTAGCAGCAGCCTGTCTTACTATGCTCTTCAGGGTCGGGAACAAGTCTGGTGGATTACTCGCCGCCAAAGAGTGCTCTTGCGCGCTCGTAGTGTAGCTCAGTCATGAATTTGATCCATCCGTCTCTAACAACATACGGCTCTTCATCATTCTGCAGCTCGTAGTCGGCTGCATGCAGGAGGCAGATATTCTGAATGCATGCATGGATCTTGATTGCCAAGTTATGGATGTCGTATTTGTCGGTGATCTGATATATGGCCAAGCATACTCGATGGTGTTCTTGAATCCCATCGAGGGGTATCGAGGCTGCACTAGCCCATTATCCGTTGGCGGCGGGACCTCGTGATTGGAGGGCAATGGGGGTACAGGTGCTGGAAAAGGTCATAATTGTCGGGTATAGCGTTGATTGTTATCCTCAACACAATCGGATCATCGTCATGCAATATGATGGTGTTGGTTGTGGCTTCCTACAAATTTTTGCTGTTAGCATCTGTGCATTTCAACACCGCTGAATGGCTGTGAATGGCTGTGATTTACCCTCCATCTGTTTCCATGTAGCACTCGAAGGAACCCACTGCATCCCAACAGGCCTCGTCGAACCTTGTACTCAGTCGTGGCTCCCGCGAGGCGGATTGCCGTCGTGGAGTGGGACGTGGGAGATGCCATCACTTTGGTACGCAGCTTCGATAACATTGCATCATAATTTACAAACGACAACTTGTAGACGCAAACGATAATACTCATGATGTGTGAGAGTTGATGACGCTTACCCAAAAGAATTAACGCGTCAGCTTGATGGACCTGCCTGGTTGCCTTGTGCCAAGCTAGCGGCGCTGTGACAGCCGTGACGGTGTGCATAGTTCTCGTGACAACGACCGCACTAGAAGACAAAATGTTTTCTGAGTTGGTGACTGGCGTTCTGCGCCTTTGTTATTCTCAAAGGTCACATCAAGCGCTGGCAGACCGTCTAGATCAAGCAGACAGGTCCATCATCAAGCCGGCAATCATGCAGGACAACAAAATTTACCCTGGCTCGCATCTGCGGCAGAATCCCGCTCCACCATTATGGTCCCGAGATCCCGCAACGAACCGTGAAAGCTTTGTCTTCAACGAACCTTTGCCTTATCGAAACACCTCTTCGGATTTCTTCTCAAGGTCTCTCAGCATCGCTCCAGCCGGAAGCACTACTACCTCTCGACTCGATGAGAACGACGAGCGAGCAAACAATATCGAAAAGAGGATCATGGACGTCGGAATGATCGTCGAGGGGGAGGCAATCGCCACAATTCAGTTTGCTCAGAGCGGCGTCTCCTTTAGGTGTTCCAAGAGCGCGTTGACTTCTGAGTCTGGGTTCTTCAGGGCTTGTTTCGCACACGGGCTAAAGGTGAGTCGGGCTCTCAGACGTCAAAAGCTGTTGCATGTCAACATGACTTGGACCTTTGGAAGTGGAGGACGTCGAACACGTCTACTGACAACGCTAACGGTTGCACAGGAGTCTCACAACGACTTGGTCACCCTACACGACGATGACCCCAAGATCATGAGACATCTTCTGCTACTGATTCTTGGTCTCGAGACCATGGACAACCTCTCCACATTTCTCCTCCGAACCCCAATCGGCGATAAGTTGTGCGGCGTTGCAACTCAGGGACTAATGCGACAATCGCCCCACCAAGTCCTCCGAGCTACTCTGCTGGCTATAGTGGTCTGTGCTGACAAGTACTGCTATGCTATGGTGCGACATAATGGGCTCAAAGAGTTGGCCAACAACAGCAAAGGAGTCTCCTCGGTCGACGACGTTGTGAAGTTCTACTTCAACGTCATCGATGCCCTGGGCGAGTATCCAGAGGAGTTGTACGAAGTGGTCGGCAAGGTTGCTAGGAGAGGCTACAGATATGGAGTACAACACTGGTCACTTGGCATGACCAGTATCAACGAGATCGTGCTGGAGGATAAGAGACTGGGTGATTGGATCAAGAAGGAAGTCACGGGCAGGAAGAGAAGATCAGATCATGACGGCGGCCTGGAGCGAGACGACTTGAAGAAGCGCAAGCGCAGACATTGAGGATTGAGGTCAAGTGTTCGGCGACGGAAACTGGTATGCTAGGATTGATCTAGGACATATCCAGTATAAGGCGAGGGTAGTGATGTTGTTCTACCACTGCGGAATCAGAGGCGCTCTTTCACTAGAGAACAGTGGAAGTAACAAATCCTGGGGACAGGATCGAATGAGATCTCGAACGCACCAGTTGTCAGCAGACTATAGCTCACAGGATGATTCGACTTGAGTCCATCGCCCATTGCACCTTCTATCACGGAAAACATACGGCAACTCATCATCATAGCTCCCCGTTAATTAGGCGACCTAACCAGCCGTTGATGATCTCCAGAACCACACTCAGTGTCCTCCTCACCCCTTCTCAGAGCCCCCAACTCTTCCCAGCCCACCGGCCCAGCCTTATGCCGATATAAGACTCCAAAGGTCAACACACTCGCCCCCTTCATCCACCACGTCCTCTCATCCTGCTTCCCCTTACTCCCCACAACCACATTCCCATCCCTCGCCAGATACACATGCACATCCACCGGCAAGTACCTCCCCGGGTTCCACACATTCCACAACCCCGAATTCAGCAACATGACCGTCGCCTCAAACACATACAAGAACCACTCATACCTCAGAATCGGACTCAACCGCCTCAGGCTCTCCACATCCCCCAAATCCTTCGCCGTGTCCCCCAAATGCTCCACGAGGCGATACACGCCCCTCACAAACAACAGCGCCGTGCTCCCATACAGCGCACCCAACGCCACGCGCACCGGTCTCGCCTGCTCCACCCGCCACAGGCCTGCCCGCACGCAGCGCCGCTGAAACCAACCCGCGAGCACGCAGAAGGCGAGCAACGCGCCGATCTGCAGAGCGATGGCGGCGATGATGAGGGTGCCGCCCAGATGTTGCTGGGAGGAGGAGGAACTGGGGTTCGCGGCGAGGGCGACGCCGAGGCCGTTGAGGGCTTCGACGAGGGCGAGGAGGGCGCCGAAGGTGGAGAGGACGCGGGTGGGGGGGAGGGGCGAGAGGTAGGGGATGTAGTGCAGGGTGCGGCCGAGGATGTGGTAGTTGGAGAGCTCGAGGAGGGGGCTGGTGGGGGAGGGTTGGAATTAGCTTTTTGGATATGGACTATGGGTAGAGAGAGGGGGGGTTGGATGAGTCTGGAGGCAAGGGAGGCGTACGGTGGTGTGTAGATGAAGACCTGGCTCATGATGTAGACAATCAGGTTGCGGGTAAAGTTCTCGGTATAGAGGTAGTTGTACGCGCCATAGAGGCGCAGGCTGTAGCCCAAGGTGAAGAGGACGGCGCAGGCGGGTTGCAGCCACATCAGTCGAAAGCATTTGTAGCGCCTGCAACGTGTCAGTTGAAAATGAGTCGACTGGTGTCATCTTTTGTTCCATACCGACATTGATATATATGGCCAGCTGATGAGATAGCGAAGCCGACTATGAAAACGATGGGCGCATTTTGGTTGGGCGCATAGATGAAGAGACTGCCCGGAACTGTGTACAGTCAGCAAGGGACTCGGACGCCCTGTATCAAATGACAGACCTGGTTCCCCGGAAGCCATGTCGAGTACGTTCTATCACAAAGGAAATCTATGAACAGAGGGCAGCTCGATCTCAGACGGACCTGCGCTTCTTGTACTACGTGTCCCGTCGAGGCTCAACTAGAAAAAAAGCTGCCGCCTGCTCGCCATCGCGGAATGTCTCCTGACCCACTCTATGGAGCTTCGCATCGGTGTATACCGAGCCCCCTGGGTGATTCTGCTCCTCTCACTTGGGGCACTACAATTTTCGCTGTGACGATCAAGCGACACAAAGCGAAGGCACAAGCCCCCCCAGGACGCCTTCTTCTTGCCACAATTGGAATAGCCCTGAACTCTGTTTGCGAGGAACGCGACGGCCAATCAGAACGAGCGAGACGCTCCTGGCGCCAAGAGTTCGAGGGTGTGCTCAGAAGCGGGCTCGATGAGTTGTATCGCGGGTGCGGTGCCCACCTGGACGGATCACACAATCTGCGACCTTGGCGGAGAAGGAGGAAGGAAGCAGGTTGTGATGGATATCCGAAGCTGTAGTTGTTGCCGGTAAAGAAGCGAGTGAAGATATTGAATGCTTTCGCAATGTTGTCGCCATCGTCATGGAGAATGACTGTCCAGAGCGGGTTTCCTAGTGTTGTTAGTATTATTCATGACGGACCGGGGCGGACGCTTACCTTGAAGTCCCATTCGAACATGCCTCTGAAATAGGTCGAAGCTTCGATCAGATCGTCCTTCTCGATCCAGTACTCTTGCTCATTGCTCGCGAGCTTGAGTGGAATCATCTTTGGCAAGGAGGACACCATTTTGGCATTGTGTTGTGGAGAAAGTCGATGATAAGAGCTGATTTTGGGTCGGTAAAGCAATAGGAAGGCGTCGCTTCGAAGGTATATAGAACGTAGTGGTGTTGAAAGGTTGTGAGGAAGTGGTTGAAGCGTACAGTTCGCTTGATAGTGTCCTTGACTTTATTCACACGTTGTACCAGCCACCGTCACCGCTTTGCTGGCAAAACTACGTAATTATTGATTATCATTAGGCAGAAGCTGTTGAAGGGCGAGAGTGAATGACCGGTGCCATTCAGTCACTCTCAAAGCAAGGCTTCATCCCCAATTCTCCGCATGTACATGCCAAAGGCCTTAATGGGGAAGTAGAATTTGTAGTTCGGATAAGTGATCATGCTGCAACAAGTCAGTAAGGTGCAGTCATATACCTGAATCGAGAACCTCACCAGGAATTGTTGAACACTCCCTCTATAGCCTCTTGTAGCCATTCGCCATTCTGTCGCTGCCTCTTCATGATCATGGTCAAGCCACGCTTGATGGGCTCCTTGTCAGGATACTCTGCGTACATCAGAGCGATGCACGTCCAAGCGGTATGGACGACTTGGCTCCTTTCGTTGTCCACCCATCGGCGTTCATGGCTGGAAAGATAGCTCTCGCCCCACCCACCATCCTCCATCTGCCGGTCAATAAGGAACTGGCAACCCTTGCGCGCGTTCTCACTAGTTGCGTACGTCTCGCCGATGCTTGACAACGACTCGAGAGCGAACATGGCGCAATAAGTAAAGCACACACCCCAATTGCCGTACCAGCTACCGTCCTTGCGCTGGGCGCGCTTGATGTAAGCCACAGCCTCCTTTTTGATACGAATGATCTCATCTTTGCGATAGTCGGAGTGCTTCTGAAAAAGGGAGAGGACGGTGACCACAGCAGTGGTGCACTCTGGGTAGTCATATTCGACCATGATGTTTCCAAAAACCTCTGCGGCGTTGAGCAGCTCTAGTCGCTCGGATCCTCGCTGGATCTCGTACGAGGAAAACCCACCAGAGTGCTTGTTCTGCATGCTGAGCAGCAAGTCAACGGCCCAACGAATCCGCTCTTCAGGTAGGACTTGTCCATAGCCTTCTTCCTTTTGGAGAAGCAAGATGGCACGCAGGCCTTCAGCGGTACAATCACTTACTGTATAGCCTTGGACCTTGGTACTGAAAGGCCAGGCACCTTTCCGGGACTGGCGGTAACAAATCTCCTGGTCTTCGACTTCGGACGTGATCTGCTGGGTTTCAAGATATCGCTGAGCAGTCTCAAGCATTGGTTGCCACCTTGAGTTATGGGCAAGACCTGCCTCAACAACTGCTTGAATAGTGAAAGCTGTGTCCCAGACTTGAACGCCATTGGTGCCGTTGACGAGCATGCCATCTTTGTTCATCCAGCAGTAATCGTGAAGTCGGTAGAGATGCCGCTGGAATGAGAACGATTCCGGTCCCTCCTTGATGTAGCAAGCAAGCGTGTTCATTGGTGCATTGACAGGGGCGAGATCGGCCCAGTCAGTGTTGGCGTCCTCGTACTGGATAAGTCGCCATGTCCAGTCCTGTGCTCGCTTCTTGATAGAGGCGGGACACAATAACGGATACCAGATCCAAATGAGGATCAGGTTGATTAAATTGAGAACCCAAGACTTTGGGTGATAGTTGTCGAAAGCGGAGATGCTGTTCCGGTGGCCAGCGAAGTCGATGGATTCGTAGGGCTCCGTAAAGACTTCCTGGCGAAGCTGTCGAATGAGAGGAGTTTCTTCCATAACCCATCGCTGTCCCCATGTAAAGCTCATGGCGAGAAAGACCTGTCTCATATGTATCCACCATCGCCAAGGTGAGATTGGGGTCCAGTCGGGGAGAAGCCACAGCTCAGGAGGGACAGGATTGACAATGTCCCAGGAGGTGATTCCGAGAACACTGAACCAGAATTTGAGCCAGTGAGGCCCATTCACGGCCCCGCCCATAGAGTGGAGAAGACCTCTGGCCTTGATCATTCTCGGATCTTCTTCACTTGCCTCGAGAATGCGGAGAACGACATAGTACATGCCGGTACCAAAGACAGACGACTCCCCCTCAGTGTGTAGACCCCAGCCACCATCCTTTCGTTGCGTTGCAAAAATATAATTCTTCATCTCTATGCGATACGGTTCCGAGATGGGAGTTTTGGTCGCGTACCATGCAAACACAATTCCCGGGATCAGAAAGTGAGGCCCTCCGTACTCGCAGGCCCAGTGGCCAGCGGGCAACTGCAGCTTAGAATAGAACTCGAGGCAGTTTCTCACAGATTCGGAGGGCTTCGTAGCTCGAGGCAATAGAGGAAGGCCGGTTTCGAGGCCCAAGTGGAACTTGTCTGCAGTGGTCTGCGGCCATTCTTTGACCTGCTCATCTGTTTCGAGGTAGTGCCATGTGTGTCTTCCTTGTTCGTCGAGTAATCGCCATCGTGAGCGATCAGTCTTTTCATTGAACGAACGAAGAGTGCCATTCAGGGCGCCATTAGGGTGCCCATTGGCGTGGCCGTTCGATTGCTTGAAGCCGCGGGTGGGAGTACCATTAGATATACCGTTGGCCTCATCTCCGGCAGACCGCCGAGAAGAACGCGTTGAAACCATGCTTTCGCGAGCGGACTCGTACGAGGGGTGGAGATATGAGACGGCGGTGAGGCATGCGCGGGATGATGCGTGCAGAGGTGCTGCGGCGCAGGATTTGTTCAACGGCTTCTGCCGATGTAGGTTCGCTGATCGCGCGGTCGCATTGAGTTGCAGTAGCGACAGACAGGCCTCCGACAAACGCCGTTGTTGAATGAAGTCGGGAAGCGGGAAAAGGGTGCAGCACTGAGCCGCGCTCTCTGCGCTCCTTCGGAACGAGGTGGATTGGGATGGTACCACCCGGCCAAAAAAGTTAGGCGAGGTTCATGCAGGAACCCGCCGCCAAGCCCCTGTAGCGCCGATCCGGGGGGCTTCCTTCAGGCAGTGAAAGTCGCTTCCATACGCTTCGAGATGTTAAGTGCTGACCGATTACCGATGTCTCTGCGGCTCGGACGACATGCATACGCCGCATGATTGATGCGGCATGAGCACCGAAGCAAGGTCCGGCGGCAACATGACAGCTTCAGCAGGTTCACTCAAGGCTCGTGAGTGGATTGAGTGTGCATTGAACGAGGTTGTCAAAGAGGTTGCAAAGGGTACGGACGGAAAGCCGTGCATCGAGCTGAAAAGGATCGAAGGCTACGAGGCCAGGGTGGATAAGCACCTGGCCTCCACCCAGTTCATGACCAAGGATCACAAAGTCACGTACTGCTGGCCAGGCAAGACGGCAGATGAAGCCTGGAGATTCAGTCAGTCGTCCTCTCACTACAGACGTCTGCTAATAGCATCTAGGTTGCGTCGTCTCCGTCCTCAATGCCATGCATGCCGCTATCTGCGCCAACGTCACCGTCACCAAAAGGTTCGGTCTCTTCACCGCCCCAAGTGGTGGAGGCACTAATATGTGGGCCAGAGACATCTTCTATGGCGAGCCAGAACTCTTCGGAGACCAAGTCATAGTGGACAGTCTTATCGATGACATTGTGCACACTTGCCAGGTTCGAAGGGAAGACTTGCATGTGGTAAGCATACACAATCGATGAATTGTCGAATATTGACCCTGATTTCCGCAGACAGCGAGCCCAAAAGGTCTGTTCGTGTCCCCTTGTGCGAACCGCGGTGAGGTGCAGTCGATAGCCAGCGATTCTGTTTTCAAGACCTCACCTGCTTGGATCCTGGTAATGGAAAAGGAAGCAACCTTTAACTCTCTACATCAATCAAACTTCCACCATTGCCATCAAGCCGGTCCAGGTTTGCTCGTGACGGTATGTCCGCGACTTTGGCAAACACGTTTGTTGACTTGGGCAGGGGAAAGGATACCCTGATATCGCTACACGCCATTTCCTCCGATGGTGCATCGGCTCTACAGATCACGCACCCCAGATATTTGGTCTGTTCGACTTCGATGCGTATGGCGTAGACATCCTGAAGACGTACAGGATAGGCTCAAAAGCGTCTGCAACCGAGCTCCATAGGAACTTGCCGGAAATCAAGTGGCTAGGCATCAAATCCGAAGATATCATACAGCTTCCCAGCAGCGCCGCCTTGATGCCACTCACCCAGAAAGATCGAAGAAAAGCCATCAAACTGATAGAGAGTGCTGTCCTCGAGCAAGGCGGCACGGTGGAAGAGTTGCTCGACTGCCGGGAAGAGCTACAGCGAATGCTGATGCTCAACAAGAAGGCCGAGATCCAGGTCTTGGAGGATCAATTGTGTCGATGGGCCGAGCGGAAGATGCTTGAAGCGATGAGAGACTCGACTTGACCACCGGCATTCAAAGCCCAAGCGACCTTCTGACTCCGTCACGCACTCTTTTCTCAAACTCAGGCCGCCTATCCCGCCACATCTTCGCGGCTTCGACGTTTGCGGGCGATTCATCATTGGGCTCGGCTAGCATGCTCATGACCGAGATTAGAATCTTCTCCACGCTCTGTATGGGCGACCATCGTTCGGAGGCACTCTCATAGTGGTTAGGGTCATCGCCAGGTGGGTGCAGAATCGATATGCAGACTTCGCCATTGCTGTAAACTGGTAGGTAAGTCAGTTCTCTGTACATAACCCGCCACACATGCTTACCATTAGGGTGCCAGATATCCCCCAGAAACTTCATCTTAGGCGGGTTGAGTGGGTAATCCTTCGGGAACGTCAAGGTTGCAGGGAAAATGCCGCCTTCGAACGGCGTCTCTTCAGGTCCTTGAATCAAAGCCTCCCACACAAATAAATCGTCTTCGTTCACCGGTCCAGCCGTGATGCCGTCGGGCGGGGCGGTCAGCAGCTGCTTGTACTCTTGAAACAGCCGTTTGGACGCGACACTCGCAGCCATGATGAGTCTGGCCAAGAGAAGGGAGTATAAGGTCGGCTACAGAAATCTGCAAGAAAGAGTAACAATATGCAACTTGACAGGTTGCAGGCCGCAGTCGGTGGGCATTCAGTAAGCGACATCTGGCGCATCTCCGGTTGCCGAGGCCGCCCCCACCATGTCGGCGCGGGGCGCTGCGAGGCTGAGACTTAAGGAGCTTAAGCTCCTCTGTTGCTTGGACGATCCCATGAGCTCTGGAGCAGGGCCCGTTCGCACAGCACTCGTCTAAACACTCCCTCATCTGCAACGCCTTCCCGTCGCAAACGCTCATCATGGTCCGCAAAACTCCCTTCGGCTTCTTCGCCATCAATGAGGACCTCCCGTACCACGTTTCTCGCGGCTATGACCGAACATGCCATTCCCCGGCGATGTCTGTGCCGCAGACACAGTCGCCCGCACCTGAACCCACGAAGAAGTTCGATCCATCCAGATACACTCTTCCTTATGTCAAGTTCATGACCGAGAATCCTACCATTTTCCATGCCGTCGATGCATTTGCCTCCAAGCTCGAGGCGGCGGGTTTTGAATATCTATCAGAGCGCAAGGAGTGGGACCTCAAGCCCGGTGGAAAGTACTATGTCAGGCGGAACAGCAGCTCGTTCATCGCCTTCAGTGTCGGCAGAGACTACAAGCCCGGGAACGGTTTCGGTATCGTCGCTGGCCATATCGATGCGCTCTGCGCAAAACTCAAGCCCGTGAGCAAAGTACCTACAAAGGCCGGCTACCTGCAGCTCGGCGTTGCACCGTACGCAGGTGCCATGAGTTCGACGTGGTGGGATCGAGATCTAGGCATCGGCGGCAGAGTTCTTGTGAAGCATAATGGCAAGGTCGAGGAGCGACTCGTGAAGCTGGACTGGCCCATTGCCAGGATACCGACACTTGCGCCGCACTTTGGCGCTGCTGCAGCAGGGCCATTCAATCCAGAGACACAGGCTACCCCTGTAATCGGTCTTGACAATTCCGATCTTCCAGGTCAGTCCGAGGCGCCTCAAATTGAAATCGAAGCTGGTACCTTTGCTGCCACACAGCCACCGCGGCTAGTAAAGACCATTTGTGGCGCACTTGGAATTTCGGATTATTCCTCTCTTGTCAACTGGGAGCTCGAGCTCTTTGATACACAGCCAGCTGCTGTCGGAGGTCTCGACCATGAGTTCATCTTTGCAGGCCGAATCGACGATAAGCTGTGTTGTTTTGCCGCTATCGAGGCTTTGCTCGAGTCCGCGGAGACCAACACCTCTTCCGGTATCATCAAAATGGTAGGCTGCTTCGATGATGAAGAGATAGGCTCGCAAATACGTCAGGGTGCTCAGTCTACCTTCATGTCTGGCACTATCGAACGTATCATCGAGTCATTAGGCGGCTCTGGTACAAGCGTCTACAGACAGTCTATGGCCAACTCATTCCTGGTTTCCTCCGACGTGATTCACGCTGTCAACCCGAACTTTCTAGGCGCATATCTAGAGAACCATTCGCCTCGCCTCAATATCGGCGTTGCCGTGAGCGCAGATCCTAATGGAGTAAGTTACGAAACAAAAGCGACATTTCAGAAGTTCTGACTGACCTTTCGCAGCATATGACCACAGACTCGGTCTCAACAGCCTTCCTCCAGCGAGTGGCAGAGAAGTGCGGCTCAACACTCCAGGTGTTCCAGATACGCAACGATAGCCGGAGTGGTGGTACTATTGGACCAATGACCTCTTCTCGGCTTGGGTGTCGCGCCATAGATTGCGGTATTCCGCAGCTGTCGATGCATTCGATTCGAGCAACTACTGGAAGCCTCGACCCCGGCTTGGGTGTACAACTATACAAGGGCTTCTTCACGCATTTCGAAGAGGTTGATAAGGAGTTTGCGTGAGCTTTACAGGGTCGTAAGGATGCTACTCACTTAGGACTGGGCCCAGCAAGTAATGCAGAGACAACTCGATTGGCGGATCGACGGTGCTATGCATAGCCAACAAGGAGGTGGTGGGCCACACAAAGCAAGCTGTCGGCACATGTACTGATATACTACAACTAGACAGATGACCCAGTTAGAACGTTAGAAGTTGCCTACAGGCTACACCCTCTAACACCCGGAGCAAGTTCGAGCAATGTGATAAAAGTCGTAGGATTGTCAGGAGCCCGCTCGGGGCCGCCGCCATCGTGTACCTACTATACTCCTTTCTATCTTCACCGGGCCATCTCGTGAGTCGCTATAGGTTAGGCCCGGCGCGATGCGGGCAGGCAAGCAGTCGTCTTCAGCAATCATGCCGGCCGCTCGCTTTCTTTCTGAGAGGGAGGAAGCGTTCGTGCCGTCGACTCACGACAAGAGAGCGCAAGCAACATCTGGCCACCTCCTGCAGATGCTAGAGGCAAGTCGCGTACACGATGCTTCCTCCAGTGAGAGGCGAGCGAGGGGATGGAGCCTGCGGCTTTTCCATGAACTGGAGTCTCACTACTATACCCCGACGCCCAGCACGACTTCTCTGTTCCAGTTCAGGCCCACACGCTCGGTCCTACGCTTATGCGTTTGTCGTCTCCGGTAACCGTACGGCAATGTCGCCGGACTGAGTGATGTCTGCGTCTCTTTGTCAGCCTGCAACTTTCTATAGCGACAAGGCTCTTCTGGTACTTACATCGCACCCAGGGCAGACTGGGATACTGCAGCTTCGGCTCGATGATTTTGAGGTAGCGCACCTATTCCTACCATTAGACACGTGAACCCATTTTGGAGTTTCTTTTTTTGGAATGCACTCACCTGGATACCCGACGTCGTAAAATAAGGGATCTCGAATTTGACGTTGATCGGCCGCTTCCCTCGGCCCTCACCGCCAATCCCACCCATGCTGCCGCCGAATCCACCAGTCATGCCACCACCGCGCTCGTCGTCACCTTTTACGCTGGGTAGACCTAGCTCGGCGCGCATGAGGAACTCCTTGTTGCCACCGAACTGCTTTATCTTCCAGACGATAGCGGACTTTTCGGGTGCGTAGTGCACAGAGCCGATATTGGTGCGGAAACGGGGCGAGTCGGCGTCTGCAAAAGATAGATCAGCACGCGCATTTCAGATGAATGGTTGAGCCGGGACATGACCTACCTTCGGGTACGGGTATGATGATCTCGACATTGTTGGCTGTCGATCGACGCTTGAATTGCGCTTTTGCTTTGAGCATATATTCGACGCGGCTGCCGCTATGGTTCTCGACCACTGCCTCTACCCAGATGAGTGGTTTCACAGCGGTGTTTAATCGGTAAGACATGAGTTCAAACTCGCCATCAGGCGGGATGAATGAAATGGTCCGGTCGTTTTCGAATCGTGATAACCGCACGCACTGATGAAATTTGACATCCTCTGAGGCACAAAATCAGTATGTAGTCCTTCAACAAATGTAATTCGATCCACAAAGACCAATGTCTAAGCGGTCGGGTGCGCACCTACCCATCTCAACGGCTTTACCTCTTGTAGCACGGCCAGTAGTTTCAAACATGGCTTTGTCATTCAGGCCAAGCCGCAACTCAGGCATACCGGACAAGTAGCACTTCATCTTGACGGCACCGAGGATCTCAGACCGCAGCACGTTACCTGACGCAGACACGAGCAGATTGAGAGACTCCACGACGTCGAGAAAGACCTCATTTTTGCGGTACCGGATACCCTCGCTTCTCCACGATACGGCGTTCGTAACAGCAATTGGTGGCCGCGCCTGGATCTCCAGCTTATGCGACTCCTGCGTAATATACTCCTGCAGAATCTTGGATTCTGTGGTCTGAGGATAGCCGAAGTCCATCATTTCGTCCAGCAACTCGTAGATGATAACGAAGTTGTCTCGTATCGACTCCTCTTCCAGCTCCTTGAAGTATTCTGTGAAGACCTCGACGATCTTGTGGAGGAACAGGAGGATCTCGGCGGCATTGGTGTTGCGTTTAGTGAGGGCGAGCAGGTAGAGGTTGGAATGGCGGATGTACAGGTAGTTAATGCCTTCGTCTGAGAAACATGGTGGTACTGCGGAGGACTCTTCTTCGGCTTCGGCGAGGAGGACGGGAAACTTCTCGACGGCGGACATGGGAATGTCGCCCCTGTAGTTGCGGGCGAGTAGGGTCTTGCCCTTGAGGTCGAGGAAAAAGAGGGCGGACGCCATGTTGGGCGTGACAGGGACGGTGAGATGCGGTCGCTACTCCTGAGGTTCTCGTGTTCAATTCAGCGACTATCGAGGATGTACCAGTGTATTGAATGCAAGGACGCGCATATTGGGGCGGGCACGAATGTGGTTGTCGTGTCGCCTCAGACAGTAATCTGGGAGATTCCATGTGGCCTAAAGTCGAGGGCATGCCACCGCACCGCGGCAGCCATCCCGCAATCCCAAAAGAGCTTAGTTTCGTTTGCGGAGTTCAAAAAGTTCAGATATATATTTCTGGCCTCTGGCTTCTTGTCTTGATAATCTACATACGCGCCCAACAGACAGTGCAACACAGCATTTCGCGGTGAAGTCTGGCATTCTGCTATGACTGAGCTGCTTCTCTTCAGTTGCTAGTTCTTGCGATATAGTGGCGCGGAGAAAGACCGTGAAGGTGCTATAAGAGCTGGCTGAGCACTTAAACAGGTTGCTCAGGCGGTGTCAGAAGCCCCAGACATCTCTATTTTGTACATGGTGATTACACTGATATCGAGCCTTTAAGGTCCCTGCACTCGTGGTGCGCCGATGCCCAGTGGCTGCAGAATACGCTCTTTTGTTATCTTGTTGGCGACGGCGCCTCCCTGCTCCAGTGATAGGGCCCCGATGATGGCGAAAATGGCTTGAGCATAGACCATGTCTGCTCCGGAGGCAACGAGGCTGTCGGGCTGCAATATGTTAGCGCGTGAATGTTGAACGAGATATACCACCACCTACATTCTTGGGTACCCATCTCATGACCGCTGGCAGACCGTACTGCTCCGCGATTTTTGATATCCTTTTGTGATGTGTAAAAGACGCTCTCGTCTCTTCTGACAGGCACTCGACTGCATCGACGGCTGGATGGCTGAAAGGTTCCCGTCCGTAAATGTCATCTCCGGCGATCGTGCTCGACGACTCTGACACACTCAGAAGCCCTAGCGACGTCTGTAGCTCAACTATTCGTTTGCCTATTATACGTCAATATTCGTACCGCGCTTTTTAATGGCAATCGTACCCAAGTACGCTAATCGGTCGTTGAACCCTCTCCGGCCATGGTCAAAGCTCTTGTGGGTGACAGCCAACCATTTGCTCTCCTCGGACAGCAGCTTGGGACCATCTCTGCCCAAGAAGCGGGAATACATTTCGTCTAGTCTTCGGGGATCCTTGTTCACGTCGTGCCGGCCTCCGACTGATCGCTGCTTGACAGGAAAAGGAGCCTTCATTGCAGGTGGTGTCTGCGCCCATCGAGGTGCTGGCGTATCTACCTCCATCTCAGAGAACTGTGTAGTCGCTGTTGATACATTGCGCCTCTGTTGAGAGGTTCTCTGGCGCGTCGCTTCAAGTCGCAGACATTGACAGCTTGGTCGAGTTCGGACGGGACGGAGAGCTTCGAGTAGGATGCGCGCCGAGGAGATGGATGGAGTAGCCATGAGCAGATGCTCTATTCTGTTATTCGAGGATGGGCTGGATACAATCAACGGTTGCAGAGACGTCGAGATATGTCGTGCAGGAATGCGTACGGCTCCAAAGTGATGAGTGTCAATGTCCTGCGCAAGAAAGTTGAAGATTGGAGAGGGCGGAGATACATGTCGCTATCTCCGAATGCCTTTTTCTCCAGCAGACATCTGTCCCCTTCTTCCAGCTGAGCATATTGAAAGTTGGAGAGGTCTCGAGGTAGCAGTGATCCATTGCATGTCAACGACTCAGTAACGGGAATCTTTGTGCAATAGTATGGATATTGACAAGAGACTAGAGCTACTCTTGCTCGATGAGCACTATGAAGCCAGGATGAAACTGAACGGCGGACACCTACCCCATCTCATCTCTCCTCGAGGCCTCAGTACACGTATCTGAAGGTTGGGTTCTCCTTGTCTGTCAGGTTATCCCACTGTCCTCTCTCGCTGCCTGCGACTTGACTCATTTTCTTGTCCTTTGCGGCGTTCGCCCAGCGGTAGTAGAGGAACAGAACAAATGCCATTAGAGCGCCTGCACTTTGGGTTGCCAGTACAGTAATCTTCGCTGGGATGAACTGCGGAGCATCTGCGCACCTGGTCAGGATATCCGCAGAGAAGGAGAGATAGAATGTAACACGTACCTTTTGCCTGAAATGTCTGTGGCCCGATAATGTTTCCAACGCTGAATGCGCCGGCTATCAATGATACGCTGAATACCCGCTTTGTATGACCAGCCACATTGCTGGCAGTCCACTGATACAAAACGATCAACGTCGCAACAACGCTGTTTACCAGATAAACGCCTGCGAGGAGGCCAGCCTTGTTCGCATTTGTCTTTCCGGATGGTAGAAACGACATGAGCCCGCCACCTAGAATGCCAGGAACACAGCATAGCACAAGCCAAAACCAACGATGGCCGGCACCGATGTACCTGACACCGATACCGACACCGAGGGTGGCCACGATGGAAACAATGCCAGATGGCATGTTCAGCAACGCCGCGCTGTCAGGTTTGTAGCCAATATTGCGGATCAAAGTGGCACTGTACGTGGTCACGACACCGCTTGAGATCGAAATGAGGATGGTGATCAGCGTCATCAGCCAAAGTTGTACGTCGAGTAGTGCCTCCCAAATGTGTGCAAGCTTGAAGTGGGTGTTTTGGATCCCCGTCTGGTTCTCGGCAGTGTGGTGCAGAACAGCAGCTTTCTCGTCATCGGTCAGAAAGCGCGCTTTCATTGGCGAATCCGGAAGGAAAAAGAAGGCAATGGTGCCGATAATAACGGTGAGTACACCAAGAAAGACGAACATGATACGCCAGCCAGCGAAGCTGGTGTGGGTTACTTGCTGGAAACCGTAGGAGATAATGCCACCCAGGATCTGGCCGATGCCCAGGCCACAGTACCAGAAACTGAAGCGAGGGGCCTGCTCAGCTTTGGTGTACCACTGACTGCTGATGAGCATAAGGCATGGAGCGATCGCGGCTTCGAAGATGCCCAAGAAAATGCGTGCTGCAAGCAAGGACGAGTAGTTATGGCACGCAGCAGTACATGCGGTAGCGATACCCCCTAGAGATCTCTGAATCAGTCGCCGTACTCTGACTCTAGAACATGGATCGCGGCGAGGAGAGACTTGGGAGCCGGCAATTCAAGGACGGGGCCCACTAAAGGGAGGACTTTGTTCCTGGTGCCGTGACATGACTTTGGCGACCAATCTGATTGTCAGATGTTCAGGATGGATGGAACAAACTCACAGAGCACAACATTGATCCCAAGGTACTTTCCGGGTGGGACTTTGTTGAGTATGTAGGCCGTTGGGACTTCGGTGACTAGCTATATATCGGAGACCATGGATCAGTATTTGATTCAAGAAAACCAGCAACTGGTTGATTTCACCATCCCCAGTGCTGCATAGCTGGCTACAGGGATACTGGGGCGATGTTGCTTGGTTCCTGGATCAGTGACTTACATAGGCAATGAAGAAGGCAGTTGCAGCATTGGTAAAATCATTTCCACGGAGTTTCAGCTCTGGAACAAGGCCCATCACGGCGGCATAGTTGAGGGACACTTTGTCGATGAACTGCATTGTGTACTATAATTTCGGATCAGTATAGAGTCTCACGTATGCGTGCACTGAGATAATCGCGGGCATCGGCACAACTTACGCAGAGGAACATGATGGGAACAATCCTCCAATCCACCTTGCGACGAATGGCCTTGATGCTGACTTCAGAATGACGGCCATCCTTTTCACCTAGTTGCTTGAGAAAAGTGTATGCCTGATCGGGATCTTTGACATGATCACCAGAGATTGATGAGGTTGTCGGGCTTGACACCCCGGTGTCGTCAACGCGTGCTCCTTTGGAATCCATGGCAATGTATGGCACCAGAGGGACGGATGTGAGTATAGAGGACGGACGAAGGGATTTAAGATAGAAAGAGAAGATGAGGGACTCCGACTGCAAGAGCCTTAGCTAATCGCAGGATACGGCAAAGACACCCTCCGATTAACCAAGGGCGACTTCGCTGAGCGCTCCGTAGAGTCGCTTGACTGCCGACCAAGAGTATCTTGCTAGGATAGAAACACATGAGGGGCCGACACAAACTGTGGCTTGCCTTGATACCGCACGCAACTCATTTGCGACCTGATCTCATTGGATGTGCAACACATTGAGGGGCTCCAGAGTTCACCCTGCGGGACGGGACTAGGGTGCGAAAGCCTCCCGCCGTCGATCGTTGCCATGTTGATGTTGACGGCTTGGAGTGCTGCAAGAGCAGGCAAGCATGGTCTGAAGATCCTATCAAACTTCCGAGCAGTGTGGATCTACGGGCATGTTCGCGCCTATCGCTGCAAGCAGATTAGGTCGGATGTAGTACAGCACTGAGGTGTGCCCGGTTCACGCAGTCGTCGGTAGAACCGAAGAAGACTTGGAAAACCTGATGGACCTCCTAAATACAATGAAGTCGCAAGGGAGGAGATGGGCAGTCCAGCAGAAGCGATGGTTTACGTGAACAGCTGTTTGCCGTATCGACGTTGAGTGGCGCGGAGGAGCAGCGGAACTAGCCAGCAGCCTATCGACAGCAAGCCACCAGGAATTGGGTTCCGCTGGGTGGAGTTCGTTAACCAACGACGTCGATAGTTATCACCCTTGCTTGCTGCAGTGTCAAAAAAAGCTACCACATGCCACTTCATCCTCATCCCTTGCATCGTCAGCGACTGTCAACCGCGTGTCACAGCTGAGCCGCCCCAAGCCATACCAGGTACCGAAGTCAATGTCCTGTCGACACGCGTTGTAACTGCACGGAGCCTGGCCGAGCTTGGTCGAATACCATAACCTCGGGGCGATCTTGCTTCAAGCGGCATCACACTCGAAAGTGTCAGTCTATTAGCGACTTCCGGGAACCGGACTTGCTGCCCCCAAAGGCCTGCACATGCTGGCGCTCCACGTCACCTCCGGACTTGCAGTCAAGCCTCTACGAGTCAAAGGACTTCTCCAAAAACTGATGCGAAGAAACGCCTGCCCGGGCATATTGGAAGACTGTTGCAGTTCATGAATCCCCTTTTACCAGGTGTAGCAGTGTCGAGGTGTCACCAGCAGCGAGCTAGCCTCGCGAGCCTCCAAGGCCTGAGGGGATGACTTTTGTTCTTCCGGATAGACTGTCAGGGCAATTTTCTCGTTTCACGTAACTCGTGGTTCGCTAATCGCGACAGGTTTTGCAGATCACTACTGGTTCCATACTAGGTTACCACTGTGACTGAGTGACGTGAAAAGCAATGCTCCCCATCTCACGCTGGCACGACCACCCTTGCAGCGATCTGCACCCGAGGAACAGCTGAGAACATGTGGTTGCAGGGTGTTGCTGAAGCTGTCTTGGAGAGCTATCAGGATACTCTCCTAGCCTTGCTGCGACAACGATCCCAGGTTCCAGGTGCTCGCATGCAGCATTGATGCTATTCTTGCCGAGCCCTCTACAGCCATTGCCTCTACGGCGATCTTGCTTCCTCTGGTGAGGTATTCAAGTATCAGGTCTCATCTCTTCTCCACGCATGCTCGGGGTTCTACCTTCTATCTCTCCTTCCAAGCATGCCAGCACGGTAGTTATCTACGCAACTCGGCTGTCAAACGTACCAGCTTCATCTACTTCTCCCCTCTACGACACAATATCGATCAGACCACAACATGATTTGGGTACAGAATGCCTCACCTGAGGTTGATGCTCAGTCGGAGTGGCCACTGATAGTAGCCGTGTGTATTACTCTCAGCACCATCATGACTATGTGTGTGGCGCTGCGGCTGTACGTCCGTACATACATGATCAAGTCTCTTGGTACTGATGACTATGTCATTATATTCTCCATGGTAAGGACTTCGCTACGTACCGATCTGTACCCAGCACTCATTGAACTCCTCAGCTTTGCGGGATATCATACGCAGGTCTATGCATTGGACAAACACGATGGGGACTCGGGTTGCCTATCAGCCTACGGCCAGCCAGCAACCTGAACAAGTACTCGGAAATCAATTTTGCTGGGCGACCAATTTACATGGCTGGTATCACAGGCTTCAAGGTGGCTCTGTGCCTTGCTTACCTTCGCATAACCGGTGGAAGAACCAAAAAGGACAAATCTAGGTACAGGACGTTTATCTACGCCATGCTCACTTTTGCTGTCTTGTCACATTTGGGTGGTACACTGGTCTTGCTCTTTCAGTGCAGTCCTGTGCACAAGTCATGGCGACCTCGGACAGAAGGGAAATGCCTCGACAATGTTATAACGGTTTGTGGACTCCCTGACGCCGATTGCATAAGCCAGTCACTGATGTGGCCAGTTCTATGTCCTTGCCGCCATCACGATCCTTTGCGATATCATTATCATCCTCTTACCCGTTCCGCTGTTGCTGAAGATCAAGATGAACTCAAGAAAGAAGATCGGCCTCATAGCTGTATTCTCTCTTGGGCTGTTCACCACCATCTGCAGCATCATGCGTATGGTCCAGATCGAGGTCATTGCCAAGAACGGGAACAGCACCCGTCTTGTACTATGGGGCACGGTCGAGCTCAATGTCGGGGTAGGTTCTCAAAATTCCCCTTGCTTAAGGCCGTTGCTAACCCGAGATCAGATCTTTCTGACATGCCTGCCAACCCTGACTCCGCTCGTTACATGGTTTGCAAACAAGTCCCGAAAGGGGACCTACGAGCACAGCTACGGCCAGTATGGTCCAGGCAGGTCGCATGCCCATACAGGCAGTGGTGCTATCAAGCTCGGGTCTGTTAACAGAACCTTGCCTGTTGGCGTCATGAGCAAGATCAGCCATTCCTCCAGGACAGATTCAGAGGAGACGATCCTGCCAATACACGGCGCGGACGACCAGCATATCATGAAGACAACGACTGTCGAGATCAAGAGCTATCCAGACTGAAGTCAGATAGGATGAAAGGGATCTTCGAGCCGAAGGTTGAGAAGCAGGCAGCGTATGTAAATGACCGTATTGTATTTATGCAGTGGGTACTAGTAGATCGCATGCATGCAACGGCTTGTACGATTTTTCCCCATTAATCAACTGTGTGCGCACTTCAACTCGGTCAGACTGCTCTCCAGCCTGTCGAGGGACTCCAATCTGCATCCTTGCTGATAGCCATGCATATGATCGGCCGTGTCGAAAGGAGAGGTGGGGTATAGTGCGGTATCAAAGCGTGCATATATATTCCAAATTCCACTCTCACCTCTCGCATAACTCTCCCACCATGGCCACCCCACCACCCCGCGCAATAATCGTCGGCGCTGGCATTACCGGCCTGCTCCTCGCACAGGCCCTCAAGAAACGCTCTATCCCATTTGTCATATACGAGCGGGATCCCACCGCCGACCATCGCGGGAAGGGTTGGGGTATCACCATCCACTGGGCACTCGACGCACTCCTCTCGCTGTTACCACAGCACATCATCGACCGCCTGCCAGAGGCTTACGTCGACCCGGAAGCCAGCCGAAATGGCGACAATGGCAACTTTCTATTCTTCAATTTGCGTACGGGTGAAGCTCTATGGAAGGTGCCGCCCAACAAGCGAATCCGCATGGCGCGTGAGAAGTTCCGTCGCTTGCTGATGGAAGGGATCGATATCCAGGTAAGAAAACACAGACGCTTCCTTCCCCCCCCCCTTCAATCCCTGAGGCGCGCTCACATTTCTAACTCAACCAGTGGTCCCACACCCTCCAAGACTTCCACCACTCCCCCAACGGCGTCACCGCAACCTTCACCACGCCCAGCAACCCCCAGCACAGTATTACCGCCCCGCTCCTCATCGGCGCCGACGGCTCCCGCTCCGCCGTGCGCCGCGCCCTCTTCCCGGGCTCCCTCAGCGCCAACACCCCGCTCCCCGTGCGCCTCCTCGGCGTCAGCACCGTATACCCGGCCGCCCTCTCACTCACGGCCCGCGCCCTCGACCCGTTCTTCTACCAGGCCGGCGACCCGGCCACTGACGCCTTCCACTGGTTCTCCTTCCTGGACTCGCCCTCCAGCAACGACCGCCAAGGCGAGGCCGCCGCGGGCCACGACTGTCAGATCCTGGTCTCCTGGCCTTTTCGCGCGGGGTTCTTGGGGGATGACGAGAAGCCGACGGAGGTCCCGGTGGGGAATGTCGAGCGCGTGAGGCTCATGAAGCGTGTGGCGCGTGGGTGGGCGCAGCCGTTCGCGGGGATCGTGCAGGCGATTCCCGAGGAGGCTGAGTGCAAGAGTATTGCGCTGGAGGACTGGGTGCCGCCGCTCGCGGGGGATCGGGGGTGGGAAGCGAGGGAGGGCGCGGGCAGGGTGGTGCTGGTGGGGGATGCGGCTCATGCGATGACCATGTTTCGTGGCGAGGCGGCGAATCATGGCATTGTGGATGTGCAGGTGTTGGTGCGAGAGGTGGGTTCGTTGCTGGAGGGCCAGGACGAGTTGGTATTCGAGCGGGAACGGGAATTGGAGGAGGCATGTCGAAGGTACAGGCGGGAAATGGTCAAGAGGACGAGGCCTGCGGTGTTGAACAGTCGGCAGGCTTGCTTGGATGCCCATGTCTATGAGAGAATCAACGATGAGAGCCCGCTGATCAAGCGCAGGATTGCTGTGGCCGAGGAGTGAGGGGTGGGACTGACCTAGATAGGGATCACCATGGCCTTACATAGCTGTTTAAGGGTCCATTAGAACATAGATTCCGTCATAATAGTGTCCGTGATGTCTCAAGGGGAATGGGGCCATCCTTCATTCCCGAATCAAGCGCTTCACGTCTTGTAAGGCTTAGGAGTTTCCATTCCTTCAAAAGTCCGCGCTCTCAAGTGTCTTACCATCAGCGAATTTACGGTCTCATATGACAGACCGGCCTCCCATCTATTTAAGACAGCATATCAGGGCCCATGTGGATCCGTCCGCTGAGGTACCAAGTACAGCCCCCACTCTTTAGACACTGTTCGATGCAGACACACGGTCGAGTTGACATAGTCTACGTGAAGCAGACAACACATGAGTGTCCGGTTGAGGCCACATGCTGAGTCCAACATGGAGGCCTGCCACCGTTCTCATATCATTCAGTATCATGTACGTGACGTGAGCTCAGGGTGGGCTCAAGACTTTTAGCTACCTTTCGGTCAGAGATACACAAGAGGTCCACGAGGAGGCCTCTTGTTGGTCAGAGACAGGACAGGGCCCTCAGGTTCGGCTAGGTTTGTCCGCTGAGAGCACAGGGAGGCCTTTCGTGTGAACATCTCTGGTCAAGACGCTTCAGTCTTCTTGACTCTACTGTCTACGGCTCCTGACCGCTGCAAGAGGACAACAAGGTGAGGGGAACTCGGTGCAATGAAGATATCTTGAAGCCCCGAGCATTTCCCGGTGGCCAACGACGACCTCCCACCTCACACAGCCCTCTAGTAGTTATATCGAAATGTCGGTGCACGATCCCCCATCTCAGCCAACTCATTGTCGGAATACCTGTCCGCGGCACCCACATCGGCGTCCCTCTTCTTGTTGATGTGCCCATACATCCACCGCAACAAGACACCAAACACAATGGCCAGCACCACGAAACCCATCTCGATACCATGCCCCATCAGATACCCCGGTGCGTCCTGGGTCCTGTAAAAGTTACTCGCCATGGCGCCCCCCAGGTTGCCAAAACCGATCTGGAGCGCCATCGCCGCGCCGCGCTTGTACGTCGGGCTCACATTCGTGGCCACCCACGTCAGATTCACGATGTAGTACGGATAGCAGCCCAGCGTGGCGAGGAAGACGCCCGCGTAGCGCAGACCCGCGAGCTTGGTGCCGCCGCCGACGGCGGAGCCGGCGATGCAGAAGATGAAGCCTAGCACCAGCAGCAGCTGCATGGCCAGGACGAATGGGTAGCGAACGCGGCGGCGGTCGGAGAGCCAGGCGAGCGCGACGGTGGCAAGTGAGGCGGCGACGTACATCGGGATGGTGAGAAGGTTGGCCGCGTTGGCGGTGTAGCCGAGCTGGTTGACGATCGTGGGTAGGAAGAAACTGATGCCGTAGAGGACGCAGGAGGAGCCCCATGTGACCTGCATGTGCCGAAGTGGGTGGTCAGTGGTGTGTACTAGTCGAGGGTAAAAGGCAGAGGTGAGATAGAGGCAAAGGGAGAGGAGAGATAGCAGATGAGATGGAACGTACGATGATAGCCACCCACACCTGCCAGTCCAACAAGCCAGCCCGCACGTACTTCCACTTGAAAGCCTCTGCCGTCTCCTCAACTTTCCCGGTCTCCCCAGCACGGCGGCCAGATGAGGCGTACTTGACGCGCTCGATGGCCCACGCCTTCTCCTCGGGAGTCAAAAACTTGGCCTTGTCCGGGAAGTCCTGGATCAGGAAGAATGAGAGAACGGCGACAGCGACCGTGACTGCACCTTCGATGATGAAGATCCACCTCCAGCCGGAGAAAGAGCCGAGACCGTCCATTTTGTTGATGGCGTAGGCGAGGAGACCCGAGAAGCCTCCTGCGGCCGAGGCGGCGGAGAAGAACATCCCTTGGCGGAACGCAAGGTCTTCGGGTGCGTACCACATTGTCAGGTACTGCAGGAATTAGTGAGGCTGTAGACATGTGTATGAAGGAGCCAGATGAGTGGGTTCTCGGGAGTTGGGGCACGAATGGGGAGGATGTGCTTACGTAGGCGACTCCCGGGAAAAGACCAGCCTCGCCCACCCCAAGGAAGATTCGGGCAATGAGCAGGCCGTGATAGTTCTGGCAGAATCCCATGAATGTGGTACACAAACCCCACGCAATCACTGAAGTCGTGAACATTGCAGATCAGTACACAAGTTCGAAGGTCGGACATCGGAGGATCGGGAGGGAGATGATAGGCCGCCCGTGTTGTGATACACACAGCTTGAGCAACTTACTTATTGAAGGGAGCCATATCTGTCGAGGTATACCGGTCAGTGATGGGCAGTGAAGGGTTGCTGCGGCAGCCTTACCGAAGGTCGGAGCTTCTTCAACAAGATATTGGAAGGCAATTCGAAAGCGCAGTATGGGAAGAAGAAGACGGTCAAACACAGGGAGTATTGATTGCCGACAAGACCGAGCTCGTCTTCCATGCCAAGAATACGAGCGTTGCCGATGTTTCTGTTGGAGAGACATACGGTCAGTGTGACATGTTTGATACTCAATCTCGGCCAGCTCACCCGCGATCCAGGAATGAGAAGAGGTATAAGACGGTGACGATCGGGATGATGCGTAGATCCATCTTCCTTAACACCTTGGCCTTGTTGACGCCGGATATGTCCAAGGCATGGTTGGAAGGCGGCGAGGAATCATCCTTGAGAACTTCTGCCTCGTCGGCATTCTCAAGGTGCTTAGGATCCTTTTCGGCCATGGTTGTGCTGAAATGTCAAGCAAGTCAAGCAAATCAGTATGGTAGGATGGGAGAAGGAGGAAGGAAACGAGGCGAATACCAAGAAGCGAGCGAGAGCTCCGGCATTTGAAGCCACGAGAGATCAGCATTGGCACCACGATACCGGTGATTTCCCCAACGATCGGGCAACCGAGCAACCGTGGAGGAAAGCATTTGGGATTGGGGGAATATGGATATGCGGGATTCGCCCCCATCTTTTCTCCGCATGGGCATCGTGGTGGGAAATTGGGGTCACCAAGAGATCGCCGAGGTATTAGTGGGAGAAGACTCCGCTATGGAGTTTAGGACGAGTGCCGAGACGGTAGATGCGAGCTGTGGTAAGAACTTAGGGCCGGCTATGGTGTTGGTACAACGACGGCGTCCAATCGAGAGCTATGCGGGACCAGTAGCCGAGGTCGCTGCATCTGTATAGGTATTGAAGACCTCAAAGATTTGCCCTGAGCCTCTCTTCGTCTCCTCCGTCCTTGATCTCGACAAGCAGCTTGCCCGTATTGACGCCTTTATAGAGGTCGATGAGGGCCTGTTCTGCCTTGCCCAGTCCGCCCTTGATGATGGTTTCTCCCCGATTGATCTTGCCCTCCTCGAGCCACTGCGCCAGTTCCCGCAGCGCTCGCGGGTACTCCTTGGCATAGTCGAAGACAATAAAGCCTTCCATTCGTATCCGCATGGCAACGATCATGAGATAGTTCTTCGGACCTTGCGGCTTGTCGGTGTTATACTGGCTGATACCACCACACATGACGAATCTTGCGTGCGCCTTTGCGCGGGACAAAGCCAAGTCAAGGACTTCGCCTCCAACATTGTCGAAAAAGACATCGATGAGTGGTTTGGTGGCTTTCCGGAACTTGGCAGCAAAATCTTTGTCCTTGTAGTTGAGTGCGTCGTCGAATCCCAGCTCTTTCAGCCATTGGCATTTGTCGTCGCTGCCAGCGATGCCGAGCACTGTTGCACCCTTGAGTTTGGCTATCTGGCCGACGACTGAACCAGTGGCGCCCGCGGCACCAGACACCACGACAAAGTCGCCGGCCTTCACCTTGCCGACATCGAGAATACCAAAATAGGCTGTTAGGCCCGTTGTGCCTACGTCATGGTAAGCAGAAGGGCATCGCATAAGGTTGGTGGGGACACCGTACCAAGTACACTCAGAGCATCAGTCAGGCGGCCGTTTTTGGGGAGAATCACCTTCTCGAGGTGTTTGTCCTTTGAAACCGCTAGCTCTGCCCAGCCAGTCGTGCCAGTCGCGATGCTTCCCACGGGGAACTTCTTTGACTTGCTCGCCTTGACAACGCCGATGACCTGCCCTCGCATTACCTCATTGAGCTGCACGGGCGGTATATAGCTTCGTGCATCTATATTGCTGTTAGCTTCTTCGTTTCAGAAGAAGAGAGAACGTGTACCTCTTAGCCACCCACGCATGGCGGGATCGAGCGACAGGTACCTCGCCTCCAGCAACACCTCTCCATCCTTGAGATCCGATTCGCGAGGAACCGAATCTCGTTCCAGGCGGAACGTTTCACCAGGAACGATGTCAGCAGTAGGCCGCTTGGCGAGGACGACTTTTTGGTAAGTGGACGACATGTTGTTACAGATCCCAAGGCAAAGCAAAGCGTACCCTTTTGCTGAGGTCGATAGAGACTTTGAACTCTTTATAATCTGGCTGATCAGCTAAAACGCTCACAAGATACCGAGGCATCTTGACGTATCAGGCAAATCCTCCGCCGCCTTTGGCGTACCTGGTGGGAACAGGCAGCCGTAGAATGAGCTTGATTATTAGCGACTGAGCATAATCGTCGTCACAAGTCCTCGTTATGCAGCAAGAGTATGAGTTAGAGCGCATGCTGATGACGCGACCTAGGTCTGCGGGTTTGTTCTGTTCGGGCATGAGACCTTCGAGGGCTGTAGGCACAGAATAGTCAGTTGCTGGCACCACACTCTTTCCTGTCATTCATGAACCTTGACCAACACCGGCTTCATATCCGGCGTTGTAATAAGCTCCCGTGACGAGGGAACTGGAATCCTAGCTATCTGGCTGCAGCACGCTTTCCCCGAATGCTGGCCGAGAGTGATTCGATGAGATTCTTTTTAGTGGGCAACGTTGCCAAGGCCTAGTCGCGGGGCGGTCTAGGGGTCAACGCGGGGCCCCGCGACTGGCTGCCAGCGTGGTGCGATCAAGTGTCACCCGACAGCACGAGTGATCTCACCCCTTCGCACTCTTCTTACACAACTCCTCAACAACAAATCAACTTCTGTCTTCTGTTTCATCACCACACATACTACAAACACCGTCAAGATGAGTGCAATTCAAGACGCCGGCGATGCTGAGCCTGTTCAGGTTCTGGTCGCCCTTCACGATCAGATGAACCTCCTTGACGTCGCCGGTCCCCTAGAGGTCATGAGCAAGTCCCTTTTCAACTTCTCCGATCCAGGTAAGCATCATTTCGTTCCTGCAGTGGCTTCAACTAACTCCGTCCTAGACAGCAAAGCCTTCGACATCACCGTCTGCGCCGCCGAGCCCAAGACCATGACCAACGCAGGCATTCCTCTCGGCGGTCAGATCTCTTTTTCCGAAGCACACAAACGTCTCAAGGAGTTTGATGTTGTCATCATCCCTGGCGGCAATGTCCTCAAGATCCTCAAAGACGAGAGCGAGCCTCTCGACCTCATCAAAGCCTACGCCGATCTTCAGATCAGCGACCCCTCCCGTGAGCGATCTCTCCTCGCCGTCGACACCGCCGCATTGCTGCTGGCCAAGCTGGGTGTTCTGCAAGGCCTTGCAGCCACCACTCACCCGGACTACTATATCAAGATGGAACACCTGTGTCAAGAATCCTCCAACAACGACACTCAGGAGCGCACCGATGTCATGGAAGAGCGCTACGTCGTCAACCACGGCCGCTTCGAGATCGGCGAGAACGAGGAGGAGAACCCCTACGTCTTCCACAAGAACCGCCGCCCCAGCAATGCCCGTAAGGGCAGCATGCTGCGCAAGATGAGCAATGCCCGCCGTGAGAGCATCGTCAAGCGCGCCAACATGAAGCTAGGCGGCTTGCGTGTCATCACCACCGGCGGCCCCGCCAGTGGCCTGGACGCGACCCTGTATCTGGTCAGTGCCTTGGTCAGCCACGAGAGTGCCCAAGAGGCCAGCCGCCTGATGCAGTACGATTGGGTCAAGGGTGTCGTGGTCGACGCCATTGACGTGTAAGATAGACACGTAGGAGAGACATTCAGGGGGTCAGAAAAGTCCTTCCTTGCTCGCTTGAGACCCAAACGAGATAGAACAGAGATATGAGGCAGGATATAGTACCGCTGACCAGCGTCGCGGTCGAAAACGTTCACAGAAAACCAAAACAAAGCAGATGAGATCAGATCAACCATGAATTCCCGAAGACCACACAAATGTCTCGATGCATTTCTTCATGTCTCTCAGTAGGATAACCTCTTTAGCTCTCGGCTACCAAGGCCGTGGTGGTCCGCCGGCAGATCCCTGGTGGGAAGATATAGGCAGTGGCCGGATGGCCCGCATGTCCGCTTCATGATCTGCTACAGGGCTATTCGTCCACGGCACCCAGTCGACCAGTAAGCGAGCCAGATGGCCGTCAACACGTTCGAAAGTGCGGCAGAAATCTCAATGTGGATGGAGCCTGCCCCAACCTGCGAAGCGGAAGCTGTGTGAGCCGTCTACCCGTTAGTTGCATTGAGACGCCAAGAGGTCCTCTAGAGTCAACCTAGGCACGACGTAGCTTGATTAAACCCGCTTCAGTGACAGTCAAAGGCGCCGGTTCGAGTCCATGCGTTTCTGCGACGACGTGCACTATCGAATCGAGACGTTTAACCACGGCTGGCTAACCACGGACTGTAGCTTTAGCGGCGTTATCTGAAACGCAGAGCCATCGCCGCCATTTGCAGCGGCAGTACCATTTGTGGATATGCAAGCAGCTCCGGAATGCAGTCTATCCGTGTAGTACATTCGTTAGGCGCTAGATGCTCGCAGGAGTGTAAGGGTGAAGTGAGATGCACATGCAGGTACCTTTTCGAAGAGTCGGCAGGAGCCGAAGTAAGCTTGGCAGCATCGGCTTGGCATATCCGAAGCTCACCTACGAAGACCTCTTGTGATGCCCCAATGGAACGGTCTTCTACCATCATTCGACGCAAGCCTCGATGCTCGAAGATTTCCACTATCGGAGCTGGTCTCCTGTTTGCGACCCTGTGTAGGTCGATCGAGCAAGTCTCGGCCTAGTGCTATATCGAGTCACACTAATGCAGGTTCTGCCTGGCAGCTCGTTGACATCATGACTCGATATTGGCCCCAAACGGAGTGTTGACTCCCGGAACAGGAACTTCACAGGACGCCTTGCACTATCGGCGCGGACTGTGTGCGAGCAATCGTTCCTGTGTGTACTCACGCGCTACTACTTTCAAATCGCATTCACAAACACCATCTGCTGCTGACCCGGGTGCGAGATATCGATGGCGCCAACAAAAAGAGTCAGTAGAGGTCGCTCTCGGCTTGGTTGCGCAACCTGCAGGCACGCTTTTCCCTACTCGCGACATCTCGCTCTCTGACAGACATAGACAACGGCGTATCAAGTGCGATGAACAGCGACCATCATGTCAAAACTGCGTCCGCAAGGGATTCCCATGCGATGGCGTGCATCGCGCAATCTTCGCACCAGCCTCAGCGGCGAGGTCTCAACTGGTCCAACAGTCGCGATCGACGTCTCTATCAGCCGCTACTACGGAAGAGTTGTCGCCCTCTCCCGTACACGTGTCCCTGTATCCAGACCGCAGCCCACGTGAACAGTGTGCTTTCCACTTCTTCCTACAGTACATGACTCCTTGCGCCACGAATATCGTGGACATCAACTTCTGGCAGAAACTCGTGCCACGCGTTGCCATGGAGGATGAGTCTCTTTGGTACGCACTCATCGCTACTGCGACTCTCAAGCAACACCCAAGTCCGGACCCTTCACGAAAAAGCGCATGTTCAGACCAAGATCTTCATTTGGGCTACCGACGACAAGCAATGGAATGGTACGGCCGAAGTCTTCGTGCCGCGGCTGCGAAGCCTATTACTTCGTTATCGGTGCTAGGAACTTTCTTCTTTGCTGGTTTCGAACTTTCGTCCGGGCGCCCCGACCGAGGTATTCGGCTGCTGTATCAGTCTTTCCGGCTCCATGAACGAGATCCAAAGCTCAGTTCCGAGATCCAGGATGCTCTATCGCCCATGATGCTTCGATCGTTATTGCCACTATCCGTCTTTGGCTGCCGGTTGACTCCTGAACAGCGACAACGTGCAAAAAGACCAAGATCTCCTAGTCAACCCCAGACAGATGAAGCCAGCGTCATCAACCTCATGGAAGACTTGCACGACACCATCTACGACGTCCAAGTCTTCTGCTACGCGGCCAGCACCGCCCCTAGCATAACCACAGAACACTCGCGAGAACAACAGACCCTCACCACCCGCATGCAAGCCTGGCGCGACGACCCCGCCCTCAAACGCATCCTGCACAGCACCGGCGACCCGCGCCGCTACCTCGCCCAGCTCCTCGTCCTGTACCACGTCTACTTCGTCAAGCTCCGCGCCGCCCTGGATGCAAGCAACCTCGCCCTCCTCGACGACTTCGAGCCCAACTTCGAAATCGCCGTCTGCGAAGCCGACCGCGCCATGGCCTTCCGCACCGCCCGAGACAGCGTCTTCGCCTGCGACTTGACGCTCGTCCCCTGCCTGTACTACACGGCCTGGGCGTGCCGGCGCCCGCGCATCCGCCGCCGCGCCATCGAGCTGCTGCGCCACCAGGCCCCGCGCGAGGAGAACCTGTGGACCGCCGACGCGTGTCTGCACGCCATTGAGAGCGTGGTCGTCTTCGAGGAGCGGGGCCGCGGCCGGACCACCGATGACGGCGGGTATGCGCCGACCGTGTCGGACGAGGAGGATCGGTTGTTGCCGCCTGTAGAGCACCGGCTGCCCATGTCGAGACTGGGTGCTCATGCGCGGCTGCCGCCCGGCATCGCCGTCGGCTTGGGGTGCTCGGAGGGCGTGTCGAATTTGGCTTGGGAGCGGGCGGCCCGCGCGGACGCCGCGGCTATGGTGCACCGGCCGTACGAGCTGCCGAATCTAGGAATAGTATAGCATAGCGGTGGTTTGGGGTTACCGACATTATCGCCGTTCGCTTGCTAGTCTACAGCGGCTACTTTACAGTCTAGAGCTCCGTCCGCACATTTCTCTCGGCTGCGGCACCAAAGTCCACGACCCAGTCGGTTCCAACGCCGACTCCAGGGTTTCGGACCACAGCCCACGCCGCCTTCTTGCCTTCCGCGGCGTGGTAGATGAGCTCCGCCGCCGCGCCGCCGGAGACAGGCACTTCCGCTTTGCTTTCCCACGAGGATGGTGCATTCACCACTATGATCTTCTCCACCCTCACGTCCCTCATCGTCTTCAGGTACGCGGCCGTCTTGGCGCCTTTGGTGCCGATATCCTCACTGCTGAGCTTCCCGTCCGTGAGCTTGAAGCGACGGTGGATGTACGCCCCTTGTTGGTACTCGAACGTCTCTCCATCGTCAACGTACAGCGTGCCTTCGGCTTCTCCCTGCTTGTCCAGCACCAAAACGAGCGTGTACGGGTCCCACTTCATCAGACCGGAGCTCTTCCTGGGCCGGTCTTTGCGCGGAATGATGTGGCCGCCTTGCATTAGCAAAGGGATCTTTTCGAGCGGCGCCGCGACATGATGCGACTTGCCGGCTCCGTTATAGACCGTGTAGTCGAAGTAGTCGAAATAATTTTCGTCGTCGGCAAGGTATACTTCAACACTTTCAGCACCTTCGGTCACGACCGGCTTGGCGAGCAAGCCAGTGGAACCAACATAGAGCTGGTCATCGATGGCAAAGCCTTTCTCATCCTCCGGGTGAACGTAATATTGTGACCGCACAATCGGGTACCCATCGGTCGAGGCTTCATGGAATGCCGTATACCAGGCGGGAAGAAGGGCGTACCGCAGCCTCATTGCTTGTGCCATGATGCCAGTGTAGGGCTCTCCGAGCAGATATGGTTCGCGTCTCCGAGTATCGATATGAGCATGGGCGCGCATGAAAGGGTAGAAGGCGCCAGCCTGGTACCAGCGAGTCTGCAAATCCTTGCTTGGATTGCCGAAGAATCCGCCAATGTCGGCGCCAGCGAAAGGGAAGCCCGCAACGCCCTGGTTCAAGATCATGGGGATTGAGGCCGCCAAATGACCCCAGCTGGCCTGGTTATCGCCGGTCCACATGGCGGCCGATCGTTGTGAGCCAGCGTAGAAAGAACGAGTCAGGATGAACGGCCGGAGAATTTCTCCCTTCTTGCGCTCGATGAGTGCATGGTATGTGGCGTTGTGGAAAGTCATGCCGTTGATGTTGTGTACATCACGGTGTTCCCAATTTCCATGGTGGATGTTGTCCTTGGGCATCGTAATCTCGGGTCCGTTGAAAACAGAAGGCTCGTTCATGTCGTTCCAAATCCAGACATTCTTCAATGTGCCTTTAAACTTATCATATGGAAAGAGACTTTTCCACCACGTTCTCGCAGCAGGATTGAAGGCATCGATCCAGTGAGAACTGCCAGGCCAGCACCAGCCATCGAAGATGTTCCCATCTTTGTTTTTGATGCCAAGGTCCTTGCTTTTCAATTCTTCTACTACCTGGTACCCGGCCTTGTTCTTGATGTGGGGGTCGATGATGATGACTAACTTGCGCTCGCTTGCCTCAAGTTGCTGCTCCATTCCGATTGGATCCGGGAATGTCATGTCGTCCCATGTGAAGTACTTTTTGTCATCGGTGTATTCCAGATCAAGCCAGATTACATCGTAGGGGATGTTGGACTTGTCGAACTTGCGGTCGACATCTTTCACATCCTCATCACTGACATAGTTCCACCGACATTGATGATACGCGATGCCAAAAGTTGGAGGGAGGGCGGTGTAGCCAGTCAGCTCGCCAAAGGTCTTCGACAGTGACTTGGGGGTAGCATCAAGCATGACAAAGAGGTCCAGTTGGCCGCTCTCCGACATCCAGTGGGTATTGGTATCCACCACGCCGCTGCCAAAACCCAAAGTGCTGTGCTTGTCCTTGGTAATATCGACCCACGTCTCAGCTCCATTCAGCCAGAAGACACCGACGGTAGAATCTTTTCGGTGTGCTTGCATGAATGGGACGGAACCGTAAAGAGTCATCGGACTGTCGAGCTCGTATTCGAATACATCGCTGTTGTACAACCGATAAGGTTGGTCATGGTTGCCATCACCGCCCCGTGTCTCCTTCAATGAGAGTGACCCAGTGTGCTCAGCGAGGCCATATACATGGCCATACCCGGGAAAGGAAATGTCCATGGCAACGCTCTCGGGCCCTCTGGGTTTCGAGTCGGTGTTTCCGTTGAACGTCTCTTCCCACCAAGTGCTCTCATCTTCCTGCGGCTGAACATCCCTGGGCTCGGTCTCGTTCTCATCACCACTGGGTTTGTCGATCTTCGGTCGCCAATGTTCAACGTTCATAAAGCCTCGACTGTTTAACACGACTTGTTTGTCCTCGCCCGTGTAGAACTCGACTACAAAGGGAGAATGGCTGAGGACCAGTCTGTACTCGGACTTGGGGCCCCATGTGATCTCGCTCCTGCCGTTGGAGTTGGACAGCTTGGCGTCTTTCTGAGGCTGGAGTCCTGCTCCAGTCAAAGCCCAAGCCGCCGCCTCATTGTATCTCTCTTTCCGCGCTATGCTGTTGTGTCGGAGTTCGATGTCGCCCTTCTGGCGTCGTTCCTCGTCGATCGTGATTCGAGCCTTGCCGTTGTCGAGCAGAGAGGCAATCAAAGGTAGCTTCACGACTTCCTTGTTCGCCAATGTCTTGAGGACCATTCCGTCGAGTTGTCCATTCTTGAGCTTCAGCGAGCTTCCGTCGAGATTGTATGGCGACGAATCGGGCTTCCCATGGGCAGTCATCTGGTCCGCCAGAGCTCTGTTGCGGGCACAGAAGCCAGACTGATCGCATCGTTTGAAGTCATGGTGCTTCACCGTCACTGAAAATGTCAAGCTTCATCCCAGTCCAGAGTCTGGCCGCTTACCTGCAGGGCAGACCAGAAGCAACACTAAGAGCAGAACCGAGAAAGAGACCAGCGGCACTGCCGACCGTCTAGATGATCTCGCCATGTCTAGTGTCTAGCGAGGCTCACGTCTAGGCAAACCGGTCCTAGATACTGCTCGTGGCTGGAATAAAAGTATCAATTGAGCGGTATGGTGGCCTCAAGTATTGCCCAATGTTGTCCCTGTCCCCTGCAGCTGCGGAGTCGGCTAGCCTTCCTATCGTGACAATAGACTGCCCCTCGCTCCCCACTCTGCAGAATTTCTGCAGGTCGGTGCTATACTTCTCTCACCGTAGGTTCTGTGCCAGTTGTCTTCTTCCTTCAAGTACGATCCTTACGAATCATAAACCGCAATCATGTCCACCGAGCAGACGTAGGTGCAAGTAGTAAAAATGCGGCTCCGATACTGACGATGACAACAGTTTCATTGCTGTTAAGCCTGATGGCGTTCAGGTAAGTCTGCGGACCTCTGTGCAGAGACGAAAGCTAACTTGAGCAGCGCGGCCTTGTTGGCGACATCATCCAGCGTTTCGAGAAGCGTGGCTACAAGCTGGTCGCCCTGAAGATGGTCTCTCCTTCCAAGGAGCACCTCGAGAAGCACTACGAGGACCTCTCCGACAAGCCTTTCTTCAAGGGCCTTGTCACCTGTACGACGATTACCCGTCTCCTCTGTCGACGTCACTGATTTTCTGTAGACATGCTCAGCGGTCCCATTGTCGCCATGGTCTGGGAGGGCCGCGATGCTTGCAAGACCGGCCGCAGTAAGTGCTATCTTAAGTCGAAGCATGCCATAACTGACCATACCGCAGGCATCCTCGGCGCTACCAACCCTCTTGCCTCCGCCCCTGGTACCATCCGTGGTGACTATGCCATCGATGTCGGCCGCAACGTCTGCCACGGCTCGGACGGTGTTGAGAGCGCGAAGAAGGAGATCGCCCTCTGGTTCAAGCCTGAGGAGGTTCAGTCTTACAAGTCTGCTCAGTTCGATTGGATCTATGAGAAGGCATAGATGCATTCTTGATCGAGTGGTGTCTGACATGAACATCATCTTTGGCACAGACACGAGGTAGACGACTGCATGAAGTCTCAACATAGACATTATCCAAAAGCACAATCGAAAATGCTTGTCCGTTCTTGTGGAACCCCACGCCGTCTTGACGACACTTGCTGCTGAGGAGGACGGCTAGGCCAGTGCGAGGTGCCTGACACCTAGGATCGTGGTATGATGCGTGATATAAATGATCCAACCCTCTTAATAACTCGACCCGTTGGAAGTAGTACGGAGTTCGCGAACCACGGAGCCCAGAAGGCGCTCAACACCACGCGTACTGGCACCAGGAACTTCACAATGGTATAGGCTGTCGCAACCTCGATCAAGATCCTGCCTCTGCCCTCGCCCTCATTCCAGATTTCAGAGGCTCGTCTTCTTTGTTTCTCAAAGAGCCTGGCGTTGCCAGCCTTAGTCTGCTCCTCAACGTATGCTTCTTCCTTGGCATCGATCCATCCTCTTTTGCGGAACCACTTGCCCATTTTCTCAACAGCTTCTATAGCCCACTCGCCTTCCGCAAACCATGGGGGCAGCCATCGAAAGTAATGAAACCCACAGAACAGTGCGACCAGTGGCACAACCGCAGTCAGCTCGTGGAGGACCGCGAACGAGATGATGTAGCTGGCTGGCGCGTGCCTGAGGGCGATGAGAGGCTTCTGTGCAAAGGCAGGGCTGCGCTCAATCCATCGATCTAGCAGCTGCAGTATTCTCGACTGCTTCGCGCTAGGTGGTGGCGTGCCATTGGAGCCTGTTGCGAAAGTGCGCCGGAGCTGGCTTTGCTGATGCCTGCGTAGGGTGGGGAATGGGCGGACTCGCGCTGCTCGAGGCAGCGTTGAACGGAGCATACTACATAGTAAGGGCAGGGGAGAGAGGCAGACAGATTTCGTAAGGGAGCGGGGAGTAATTGAGGTGAGTCAGTATTCAGTAGAAGACGCAAGTCCGACATCAGATCCGAGCACGAGTGTGTACCTCTATGTATTTCAGCGGATTTGGTGACTGTGCGCAAACGTATCTATGTGTTGCCAATATCGGAGCCGGTGGCCTTATCAGCCAGTGCAGTACACTTCTACCTGGTACGCTAGTAGAAGCGACAGTATGTTGAACAGACTCATTGGTGTGCGGCGGTAGGCGCGGAGACTCTATTCATCTCTACGCATGCTGGACCGTGCGGATCTGGCAGGCTGAAGCATTTTCTTCCCCGATATAAATACAGTCGAGACCGTCTCTCAGCGTCAAAGCGTTAACACTCAACCACGTATCAACATGGACGCTTTGCCGAGCGAACTCGTCACCGCTATATCCTTATTTCTCTCTCATCATGACCTCAAGGCTTTCCGGCTCTGCTGCAAGGCGTATGCTGCACTCGCCGAATCTGCTCTGTTTGACAACTTCGAATTTCGCCTCTGGCCTCGGCGGGAGCGTTTCGCTGAACTGGAGGCGCTGACCAATGCGCCAACCATCGCTTCCAAGCTCAAAGTGCTCTCATTTGAGTCGGGAGTGCCGCTAGAATACGCTGATTATCGCTACTGGCAGGCTCAGGTCTACAAAGCGCTGAGTAGCAACTGGGCGCAGAGCCACTCGGGTCATGCACCGCCCGAGGGAGAGTACAGAAAATTCCACGCCGCGTTGCAGTCGCGCTTCACTGAGAACGTGCGTTGGGACTATGCACTCTATCGTCAGTACCTTGATGTCGAATCAGACCGTGTCGCCAACAGCCTGGATGCTATGCTTGCCAGATCTTTGAGTCTGCTGAGTCAATACTGCTCTAACATCCAATTCAAGCTTCTAATGCGCGAGCCACAGATTTCCCTCGAGGAAGTGGAACATTTTGTACCTGAATGTGACATCTATCAATGTCCGGAAACGCAGGATCCTCGCCAGCAGGTGCTCGACAGACGACGAAACACTCTCGCCCATTTCCTCAAATTCCTTTCCGCAACCCAACAGTCCCCATTCGACTTGGCGAACCTGACCATGTCTTCTATACCGTTCCAACTGATCGACCAACCCGATGCTCTGGTCACCCTCAAAGATGCATTCAGTAGTCTCACCTCCCTCAGCCTCGACCTCTCTGCACTTCCTCATTCAGACTGGCTATCTCGAGCCGGTCTGACCGAGCCATACTCCCGCGGTCGCAGTACGTCCGCCCGACAACTCCGCCAGCTGCTTGACCAACCTCAAAATCTACAGTGCCTTCGTCTGGAACTGCCTCGTGGCAAGGAGGCCGAATTCTCCTTTGAGCTCTTCGATCGGACGAATCTCGATCGATTTCCACGCCACTTCTTGAGCAACCTGACACATCTCTCGCTGTCCCGCTTTCGATGTTCTTGGCCAGATATGCAGCTGTTCTTACAGGAAGCCACAAATCTTCAGACCGTCGTGCTTGTGGATGGGCGACTGGAGACAGCCTCCCTTATTGATCTGTTATGGTTCATGCCTACGCTGAAACTTGGACGGGTTTCTCTGGGAGGTAAATGGTACGTTGACGAAGATGAAGGCCAGTGGCATGCAAATTCAAAGGATGATTTTACAGACTGCATCGCCGCTACCGTATATGAAGGACCATACGTCCAGAGAGGGATGAAACACAGAATTGAGGAGTTCTTGGTCAACGGCGGCAATGATTGCCCGCTCCCACGATGGACACCTCAAGGGAGGGAAGAAGAACTTTGGGAGTTGTACGGTGACACCAGCTGGCACTACCTGCCTGCTATGGGTGAATAGGGGCTCGATAGTAGCGAAAATCCATCCAATTGGTCGGGGCCGGATCGTCACTCCTGCCTTATTACCGACAAAGAAGAGGAGTTGCCCTTGAGATACCCACTGACACCTAGGGCAAAAGTGTCTCACAGGTCTCAAGATATTAGTCTCCAACAAAGAGCTCATCCAGTGCCAGGCTTCCGAAGCAGGCTGAAAATACTCCTTCTTCAGCAACGGTCTTTTTCTTCAGTTCCAATTCCAGCTACTACTTACAACCTTCACACGAGTCCACAAGTCACAAGATATTTTAAGCACAACGAGAATGGCTCATCACCAACGTACGAATCCAGACCTGCCCGTTTGGCCAACCGTGTCCGATACGAAGCAGTTCAAAGAAGCGGAAGCGGAGAACTACCTTTGCTGTCTGGATGAAGACCCATATGCAGTCAGCCTCGACACGGACCTTGGAGAAAATGCCGAAGACGTGGACCAGCATCTTGCATTCTCACTCAGAAAGCGCCCTAGCATTCCCAATTTCGATGATCACGACAGGCTTCTGGATCTTGTCAGCCTACACGAGCGACCCCATGCCCAACAAGGTACCCACACCACCGCTGGCTCCTCGCCACGAATGAACTTCTCGAAGGCGGTACCACCAACGGGCTACGTTGAACCGTCCGTCCAACCGCAACGCAAAGTCGTCCTCGAGCTCAAACTAGGCGAGTACCGTCTCAACCTTCTGTCCAAACCCACATTTGCAGGAGGGCCACGTGTTGATGCCTACACGGTGGTGCTATTGGTGGCGCTCCTTATTCTGTTCTTGGGTGTGGTATTGGGAGGTGCTGCCATCTTCTTTTAGAGCATGGACTGGAGGCCATTTTGTGGAATTTTGCGAACGGATTGTGGAAAATAACCGCTACAAGTCCACATAGCCACGTTGTGGTACATTCTGTCTCAGATAAATACTTGGCCAAATTGGACCAGGGTTAAGTACGTCTCTTAGTAACATGGATCAACGTGATGTCAAGTCACTCTCTCAGTTCTTCTATTGCTCGTCGCTTATGCTGCGACTATACCTCCTCGATGTTCGCAGCCTTGCGAAACCCCACTCACACTGTCATTTGAAGTCGAGCGGGGTTCAAATGTCAAAAAAGTTGATGAATGCTGTGAGAGCATTTTGCAACCACGAGCAGGGCTCGAGTTGCTATAACACAAGTGCTATTCTGTTCCTTCAGACCACGACACTGAGGTTTCCATCTGAACCTCTTACCGACTAGGTGCCTCCACGTTCTACAATCGCAAATATGCCTTCCGCGAACCGCGTCACCCTCCCAGAGGAGAACATCGACGACCTGATCTACCTCGCTCGTGCCAGCGAACTGACAGAACTGCAATCCACCCTCGAAGACCTGACAAAACAGCACTCCTGTACACCCACCGACCTGCTCTCCGCCGCCATCGAACCAGCCTCGGGCAACTCCCTCCTCCACTACCCCGCTGCCAACGGCGCCATCGCGCTCGTCTCGCACCTCCTCTCCCTCGTACAGCCGCAACACGCGCCCTCATCCACCGCCACATCTAAGCCGGCGCCGCAAGTAGCACAGATCCTCAATCATAGCAACGCGAGTGGCAACACCCCCCTGCACTGGGCCGCACTCAATGGGCACCTAGAAGTCGTGCAGGCGCTGGTAACTGCGGGTGCGGACCCGGGCGTTCGTAACGGCGCGGGACGCGACGTCATAGTCGAGGCAGAGATGAGTGGGAAGGAGGAGGGCGTCAAGTGCGCCGAGTGGCTGCTGGGAAGCTGGGAGGGTGTGGAGAGTGGTGTGGGTGGTGCTGAGGTTGCTGAGGGGGATGAGACTAGTGCTGTCGACGGCGAGGGGTCGGCGGGTGCGGAAATAAAAGAAGGCGAACACAAAGACGAAGAAGCCTCGCGTTGAGAAGACGATCGTGAGAATTGGCGGTTGATCGTCGCTCGCTGCACAAGCATGCCAACATGCCATGGTCACGGTGACACAGCCTCTGTCAGCAGAACGATCGATGATCAGCCACGCGGCGGTCGTCTCCGATGGCGGACCACCTCTGTGGCTCGATTGCTGTTGCAGAAGAACACAGCGCCAATGGGCGCAGCCGGCGCTCACGTGCTACATTCCAGCACAGCCAAGCGACACACGGCTTTGAGTCGCACAAGGCTACAAGCGAGCATAACGTGCACTGCAAGAACGCAATGACCCATCAAACGAGGAAAAAGAGGTCGCAGGCTCGTGATGCTGGCCGTCCGGGCGACCTAACTGTCTCTTCAAACGCGTGTCGCGGGTAGGGACGAGAGCGATGGTACTGCAAGCTATGATACCATGTGTTACGCCGAATGAGGCAGCATGTTTCATACAGAGCACCGTGGTTGCAACTCGAGAGGGATTACAGCGTTTTCATTACTGCACCCGAGTTCGTGTGGATACAACGGTGGTCGGTGTGGTGATTCTTGTCGATGTGGACGCAGAAGCTGTTGGCGCAGAGGAACCCCTGTTGAAATATTTTAGCCTGTGCTGGCGAAGGAACAGGGGCGGAGGTACGGTTTGAGCAAGATGACGATTGGGGGAAGAAGGGTTGGTGTCATGAGGGTCCATGGTGGCGATGATGGCCTCGCTGGTCTTGTCGGGAAAAGGGCTGCCGAGGGCGGTCAGGGAGAGGCACAGGGCCAGGAGGCTGACGAGAAAGAGACGCATCGTGGTTGTTGATGAGAGGACGAAAGTTGTTTGTTGCTTTCTGGATTTGTGTTGTGAGAGAGTATGCTTTGATAGTGGTCTTGGTGCAAGAGAAGAGTCGGATGAAAGATGCAAGCACAAGAGAGCGTAGGATGTTCAAAATAGTAATTCGATGCTGGCAGAGGATTGATTTGGTGCAAGCGAAGGACGGCTAGTATCAATCTCCACACAATGCTCCATGAAGCGTAGGAGCATTCACATTGTGGTGGTATATCCTATGGCGAATGTTCAATCGAGCACGCGCCCAAGCTGGTCTGGAATACAACCAGCAAGATGGGTCTGCAAGCAACCAGCACAATCCTGCTGCAATGAACTTCCATCAACACCCCGAGAAGCTCCCCTCAGTGCTCACCGCCATCAGAGACCCTCCATCACCGAAACCACTAATCAGGGTGATGCTCTTAAGTCACACTGCTCAACACGCGTTACCGCACACTCCCCAGTTTCAGTCACTCTTGGGCTTGGGAACGTACGGCAAGCAAGAACACTTCTTGCCCTCTGCGTCGCCCAGCACGCAGGTGTGGCTCGAGCAGCTGTGGCCCGTCTTGCTGACGCAGACGCGCTTGTGGCAGAGTCCGCCTGTAATTCGCTGAGGAGGGAGGATGGGTGTAAGTAAGGATGCGTCCATGGGAGGGGCCCGAGGCAGGGAGATGGACCGAGATGGTTCGCGGTTGGGGGAAAGGGGACTTCTTACCTTCTCCAGCGTCTGGCTGTCGGCGTGGGCTTCCGGGAGGGCGATGGGGCTGGCGAGTGTGAGGGTTAGGAGGAGAGCGAGGGATGTGAGGAGTGGGATGTGCATGGTGGGCTGGGTGTGCGAGGGTTGCTGTGTGAGGCAGTCGGGGCCTGCTTCGGGGATTCGTGCTGCAGGCTAGCAGAAGATGGCCTGTTCCTTGACGCTTTACGATGCTCCCTGACGGGTTTTGTATGCTGCTGGCAGACTGAATCTACACATTCGAGATATAAACCAACCTTGGTGCGTAGTAGGATCTCAAGCATGCCTCCTGACGTGGGCTTAGCTGAGATACAGCCTGCAAGCCAGGCCCGGGTCAGCGATGCCAACCGCTTGGTCAAGAAGGTCATGCTGCTGCTGCAATCGGCCGGTCTTTACGAGGCTGAGTAGACACAGTTACCGCAAGGGTGGACGATCTCGCATATCTCATCAACTGCCGTGGTCGGCTGACTTGGCACCAGCCACCACCCCGAACTGTGCAATCTTCGTTCAATGGAAGAAAGCTTGACTGAATGACGAGGCTTATGTCAATTCCAAAGTCAGCCTATCCGATGCAGGCCAGGGTGTCGGGTCATTCCGAATGAGTATGCTCTAGTAGCAGTGACATCGATTTTCTCGGACAACGGGTGGGCCTAGAACTTGATGCGCACAATGGCGCCTCACTACACGAGGCCTGTCAGTCAGCCATGGGCGGTCGAACACGAAACATATACGAGGAGCGGCCAGCCCTGTATGGATGTCCTGTACTCCGTAGCGTCAGCTGAATCACCAAATTCCGGTTTCTGCTGTGCAAGTAAGAGAGCCTTGGACATCGCAAATGAGGCCATCGACGCCATGTTTGTCATGTCAGACTAGGCCGGGGCGAGTCTCATGCGATCCCGTCGAGCATTTGGCATTACAGCTTCAGAAACGACACGGGACATATGGTTTGTGATGCCCATCATCTACTCAATCGACTCGCACTTTCCCATCCGCCGCCGTCCCATTGGGCGTTTTACGCCTTTGCATCGATGCATCGGGAATCTCGTGCACTTTCATGTCCAGGCCGACCCAAAAGCGCCTCTCTCGCCAAGTCACCGACACGCCGCCCCAGATTGCCCAGAACCAGATGCCAAATGCGAGGAACTCTCTTCCCAACCAGGCCCGGAACCAAGTGGCCCATTTCCGTCGACCTTTCCACTTTTGGGCCAGAGGACGGGCGAATGTAGGGACCTCGTCTGGATCATCTCCAGCTTCTATCGTGACCCCGGAATGGAGAAGCAGGTAGACTGTTCGGTCGACACAGTTCCAAACGGTCATGCTCACAAGCCACCAACACAGCATCCACACCCATGTTGAGCCTGCTGAATCTCGGGTGAGGCTGGAGGTGGCGAGTCCCCAGGCGCCCAGCAGTGAGCAAACCACACTCTCGGTGCCTGGCTCAACGGCCGTAGCTGCTGGGACAGTGAACTTCCTGACTCTGAGCCATCGAACCCTTCGTGCCATGTAGCCCGCTACCCCCATTCCGGCCACAGGCTGAATGGCGAGATCGCCCTTTACGAGCCCATGATTGCCCATTCGCCGCCACGTGCCCTTGGACTCCAAATTATCCGAAAGAGTTTCTTGATGGCCGATGGTACTCTTCCAAAGCAGATCACCGATCAAGTGATCTTCGCAGATGTTATGGCTGAAGTAGTCCAGTCCCTGACCGCGGGTCAACCCGTACAGGTCTGAACGGCGGAACATGTTCGATTTGCCAACAATACACGGAGCGATCGCCACGGTGGAGATGGCAACGTACATTTTTGCGTGCGAAGAGGACAAGAACAGTTCCTCGAGGCGTCCGCCGAAGCCACGATGCTGGCTCTTGGTGGTGGACGACACGTCCATAGAGTGGTGGCTGTGGCTCTCGCTCATCGAATGTAGTAGTTTGCGAGATCCACGGTCTGTTGCATAGTCCTCGTGCACATCGATGCAGAGCGGTAAATGGTGAACCAACTTGTATGCCATCGTCAGAGAGCCATTGGGCCCGTAGCCACACAACGTGTCCACCATCCTGGCACACGCACCGCGCGAGACCCAAACGTTGCAGTCTATGATCCATACCAGATCTCCTCGGCCTTCTCGATATGCGCGGCTCATGTTGCGAATCTTGGGATTGGGCCCGAGTGCATCACGACTGTCCGCTGTCTGAAGCGCAGGGTCCTCGTCTTCTACGTATAGACGGGCATCGTAGTTGGGAAATCTTTTGAGGACTGACTCAACCGCTGGCACGGCAGCGTCGGAGCGCGATGCGACGCAGAGCTGGATGGTGAGCTTGGACTGCGGGTAGTCTTGGAGGAAGCTGGAGGCCAGGCAGTCCGCCAGATACGGCTCGTGGCCTTTGCAGGGCCGGATGACGGTCACATGTGGGATGCGATCCAACGGCTTTTGCAGCACGTTGGCTCGTGCAGGCGGCTTGCGGTAGTGCCTGAATCTGTTTCGTCGTTAATGAAATGTTGTGGTGTGGGTTGGTGGTTGCAGTTGCACGCACAGTTGAACATAGCCTATGCCGCACACGACGAATATGAAGAAAAACCAGCCCAGACAGAGCAATGCAGCCACCTCGGTGTACATGAGGTCAATGAACGTATCATGGTGAGTCAAGAGACGTCAGAGTGTTAGGACAAGGGCTACGACGTGCGCGAGAAATTGTGGTAGTGGATTGGCGACATGTTCAATTCTTTTGAGATGGGTCCGCCCCGACAGAAGGGGTACCGACACCTTCTATTGCAATTACTCCATATGTATTGGGAAGCCGACCACGCCGCCAGTTGGGCTATGCACTCATATGCTGTCGTATCTCGTCTTTTCCAACATAATCCAACGCCATGCTTGAAACAATGCCATACAACTCAATCCCGCAGCCACGCGCGACGCTTCTCCTCCTTCTTCTCTCGCCGCTTGTCCTTAAAGGCCTGGAGCTCTTTCTTGCTGATCTTTTTGTTGGCTCTCTCAGCTTTCAGACTCCTGCCGTCATGGGTATTGGCCGCGGCATCGACGTCGAAGAAGGCGGACATCTGGCGCCCACTTTTGGCAGCGTCGCTAAAGCGGTCTGGAGTAAAATCGGCATTTTGCCATTTGCCCGTGAATCGGTTGAATGCACCGGTCGCAGCGTATGCGTCGGTGGGCTCTGTCCCTGGTGCACCATCTACTGTCGCAGTGTGCTCGGTTATAGTAGGTTGGGCATAATCTGCGTTGGGATCGTAATCGCCGTGGATGGCCGGGTTGTAGCCCCCGTTTGCTGGTAGCGTAGCAGTTGGATCGTGTGCTTGCTGTGTTGCCTCCGGCACTCTGGGATTCTCCCATTGAGAGACATTGGTGAAGCGATTGTAGAAGTAGTATGCCTGCGCATGCTCATCCCACATTGGCTGCCAGCCATCATCAGTGGCCTCGGATGGCGGCGCTTCGCTTGGCAATGGGGGAGGCTCGTCAGGGAGAGGGGGAGCGTCCTCGGCTGGGAGGGCAGGCTCCTCTTGATTTGGTAGGGAAGGCTGCTCTACGTCTTTGGTGTCATGCTCTGGACTGGGCGCGCCGGGGCTGTTTGATTGTTGCGATGCCTGGTCTTGAAAAGAGTTCTTTTTGGTCTCCGACTCCTCTGAGGGAGGGTGAGAGTTCTCAGTTCTTTCGGGACTGCTCACCATGACATTAGCACAACAGAAAGGAGTTCACGCGACTGGTGGTAAACTACAGCATGTCAAAGCGCAGATGTATAGAGTCCACTTAGCATCACAGGCTGTCTCGCGCTGTTGTGGAACGCAGCGGCTGGTATAGCGATATCATACACAAGGCAGTGGCGTCTTGGTCTGCGCGCAGTAGCAAGCACCGTCGGACTCTGCAGTAATATTGTATTGTTGAAGATGTTGGGGGTGAGTGTAAGACTGCGAACTGCTGCGCGCGGAGAAGACTTCATTCTATCTTGGCGCCCAGCCGCGTCTTGCGAGCCGACTCTTCTACTACCTACTACTCCGTACCAAGGCACGACTTCTGTTGTCTTCTGCCGCGATACTGTAACCGGCTAATGTCCATCTCTGGATCTCTATCGCTCAGAGATGCCTCGACGTGAGACATCTATCAAGAACTGACGAACGATACGGCTTCGTAGCCGCAGGCCAGATGACTAACGGCTCACGCAGGGCCACCAATGGCCAAAATCAGATTGGCCTAGCTCATTTCTAAGGTGATCAACCATGCCCCTCTCTTTCTACGATTGCCATCCCACCTTGGTGTCGGCATTCTCCTTCTGCTGCCCCAAAATACTTCACAAAAACCGACGCCAGGCGCGGCGCCATGCAGCGCTAGGCCTGGTCTTTGTACAGGTCCCTGCTCGCAACGACAGCGTTGAGAACTGGCTCCCCGCCGGATGTGCTTACCTATTCAGATTAAATGGACAGGTTTCGGGGTGCTTTGCGCAATTCGGATCGGCGCTGGTCATTGACAAAGGAGCGCAGTAGCTCGCAGACACGCTCTTTCCAAGTCCATGATGTTAAAAAGCTACCAGACCCTATCATCGCCTTGTACAAATACGCACCCATCGGTCACCGAGAACTTCGCCTAGTCGAACTCCAGCCAGCAGGGGAAGATAATGCCAAGGAAATCCACTGCAAGATCCAGTATTGCTCCCTTGACTCATGTCCCCTGTTTACGGCAGTGTCGTATACGTGGGGGCCTGCCTCGACCCCCGAGATCGTTTACGTTGAGGGTAAGGTCTTGAAGATCAGGAAAAATCTATTCAGAGTGCTACGCGACCTGCGACGCGATGAGCCCCGCCTTTTGTGGATTGACGCGCTGTGTATCAACCAGCATGATCTCGAAGAACGCATGGAGCAGGTCAAAATCATGGGGGACATATACGCCAGAGCTAATTATGTCATGTCTTGGTTAGGGGGTGACTTCAAAGATCCTCATCTCGCTGCGAATATCCTGGATCGTTACGCGAGGGAACTGCCTCTGCCACCGGACACGGATGAGCACGCATGGAAGTCGATCGAGGAACTTTATACACGAGATACCTATTGGAGTAGGCGTTGGATTGTTCAGGAGATCTTGCAAGGAAACAGCGTCGTTATCCATGTCGCAGGTTTCGAGTTTTCACTGACAACTATGGGCGAGTTTGCCCTCGATAACACATTCCCTTGGCCGCAGGATTCTTACGCAACTTCAGTGCGCGTTAGGCTACGGCAAACACTACCTGTGCAAGTCCACGAACAACGGTTGGGTCGCAGACAGCTACTCACAATGACCGAGCTGCTCCTCGCTTACAGAGACACACAGTGCGCTGATCCTCACGACACAGTATTCGCGCTACTGTCGTTAACGCCGAGGATTGCAGCTCATATCAACGCTGGCTATGAAACTAGCATCATTGATTTGATGGTTGAAGTACTGAGAATTTCATGTCGACTTGAATCGTTACCTCCCCATCGGATCATCAGCTTTGCCGCATTCCTACGGCGGCAGTTTGAAATTGATCAGGCCAGTCTCCACGATCACATCACTCAATTTCAAGCATCTGGTGCACAGCCTTTGCAAGGACTCAAAGCAGAAGTTAGAGTTCGAGGAGTTGCCACCAGTCACCTATCGGTGAAGCAGGAGCAAGTCATTGTAACCACTCGAGCAAAGGCACGCCCACTTTATCAGCTCGACGCTATTCCGCTGGAGGGAAACCTGGTGGAAGGCGTCTATCGAATGTCCCGCCGGAGATCTTCCCTGACAGCCGAGAAGTCTGTGCGAGTGTCTAGCCAAGATCTATGTGCATTTGGCTGGCAGAGTCCTGAGGGTAACTCCTTCTTCGGGTCTAACAACCCAAACGTTGGACTGGCTACGACACCTATACAGTACGGAGACGAGGTATGGCAGTTCCAGGACACCGACGTTGCACTCATCATCCGACACCACAATACTGGATGTTCTGCGGTAGGTCGCGCACAACTCTACCAGAAACCGCCTCATCTGGACAGGCTTCCTTCTTCAGAGGTAGAGCGCAACTTTCTCAGCCGTGCTTGGCGGGGCAATGCGCCTGCAGGCAGTACGAGGAACATTCAACTAGATGTGCCATTGTTACTGCAGCTGATATTGTGGGTTGAAGCAGGGACAGAGTGAGCCAAGTCAGGGTGTTACGCATCAAACAATCTGTCCCAGCACATGGACCTATCACGCCTGATGCTCGAGCGCGGAAATGATAATCCGGGTCATCCTGCGAAGTCCTAGCTCCTGGCCGGCCGACGACTTCTCCGCTTCGTTGGTCGAGGCTTGGCACGTGGCGAACCCAAGGTCAGCTCTTGCGTCTGATCTTCGATGCTTTCGACAATGTTAGTGTCCAAGTCGAGATTATCGCGCGTGAAGTCGACGGGAGACACCGCGGGCTCGCCCGGCGCGGATGGCTGTGACATCTGCCGGTCATTCATGTCCTTGAGCGCCGAAAGTTGCGCTTCATATTGCGCCATCTGGAACTGTTCCTTGTCTCTGGACTCCGTGTGGTTGTGGATCGCAAGCAGCCGCCTTTGGTTTTGCTCCTCCAGTGCCATGAGCTGGATCTGATAGTCTGTCAGGGCAGTATTTTGTTCGAACGGGCGTCGGATGCCTGCATCCCAGCAGTCCATGTGGCGCTTGTAAGCGCGAAGAGCTGTCTTACTGACTCGGAATGGCGCGTGTAACCGAGACTTTTCACGGTTCTGGTCTTTTGGTTCAGAGTTGGGTCTCTGGTCACGCTGGTGCTGTGCCTGGACCGTCAACTGCATCTGATATTCCCGGAGCACGCTAGCCCCCGCTGGAGAGGTTGGCTGCAGATGATGTATCTCTGGGTTTCTCGCGGTTGACATCATCTTCCGATACTGGTCATATAGCAGCCGGCGATAAGCCTCGGAGCCCACCTCCAGTCGCGATGCGGGACTATGGCCATTGAACCAGGAGAAGGGCGCGGCAGATATTTGGGGACCGTATATTGTCTTCAGTAGACCATAATTGGAAAGCTCCAGCTGCTGGACCCGCCTGCACAGCAACTCAAGCTGGTCTAACGACATGTTCATGACCTGGTCCCGGGTCGTATCGTTTTGGGCGGGCTTGGCATTTCCGTGACTGGCATCATCCTCCGCCAGCAGGTCGATCGACTGGAATGTCGTACCGTGATCTCGCATGGCAAGATTTTCGGAATCGGAGAGCTGGTGCTGGCGGCGCGAGGCAGGGACAGTGCTGATGCAGAGACGGATCAGGAGGGTCGAGTTTGGGTCTATATCTCCCTCGCTGGGCTGGGACGCATTCTGCGAGACAGCCATATTCGCCTTCCCGAACGGGAATACGAGTACGCCTGGGAGTAGATGCGGTAGACCAACAGGGTATTTTCACCAGCGTGGACTAAAAGGTGCGAATGCAGGACAGTTGGGAAGGGGTGTTCACTCGGACATGACGGCTACTTGGGGTTCATATAGCAGTTGTTCGAGATGTGGAATCATCGTAGTCGGTCGCTCGCGTTCCTCACCTACCAAGTATCCATGTCCCGAGCACCAGTGCAATCCGATTGGCGACGGAGACGAGGCGCTTTGCCTCTCGCGAAGACCTGCGTTTCCAATTTGAGTGCCCTGTACACTAGCGCCGTTTTGATTACAGCTCGCTCTGTCACGTCCTTACGCCCCAGGCCAGCTTGGCTCTTCTCAGCAGTGGTTTCCCGCTTCCGGAGCTGGATCTAGGCCCCAACGTCACGACTAGGCCCTCGGTAAGGGACCGTAATCCGCTCACCTCAGACACAACCGCATTCAGAGACCGAAGCTCGCTTCTCGTTCGCGCATGTACCTCCTCTGTGGTCGCGACCCTCGCTGAATTGCCCAAGGCGATTTCCTTTCATCGATCCATCGATCGTGTCGCGTCATCCATCCACAGACAGGAAGGATTGCGCGCGAGTCGAGATGGTTCGCGATGGAGAGTCCTCATAGCCTGAGTACCCGCCTAGCTGATGCCCTTCCGCGCGACGTTGCGATCACCGCTCAGCATCTCTCAACGCCGCCTACCAAGACTTCTCCAATCTTCTCGGCCGCGCCTGGCCAGCCCGAAGAGACCACTTTTTGCGAGAGCCACTTTCTGACCCTTGCGACACCCAAGACAGAATCACGTGGGGAGATCCTGATTTTTGCCATCGAGATTTTGATCTTTACGACGCCCGCTCTGACTACGGTGTTCGTGTCCAAGGCCGACTCCACCGGTTACAGCTCGCTACTTCAGGTGCCCAAGGACTACCCATCTATCACAAGATCAACGGTCGAAGCTTTTATCCGCTTTCTTTTGGACCCAAGGCTCACCGAATCCAGGGTCACCCTCTCACTTTTCGCCCGGTCACAGGATCAGTACCTCTTTCCGGGAAGTATTGAGAATGTGGAGAAGCACGTTCTGGATGACCGTCAGCTCATCAAATGGTGGTGCCGCGTGCTAGACGCCGTCTGGAGGCCGTACGACGCGGGTACTGCCGATCAGCAGATCTCGGCGCATGTACTCGTTCCGGGCACCGAGGGAGCAGAGACCAGGAGTTTCTTTCCGCCCTCGATCCATCAAGATGGCAGAGATGCGCCTCGGTGGAGCCACTACTATCCAGTCAAGCTCCTCACCGTGGACGACAGCTTGCCACCACGTTGCCTGATACCCCGGCTGCCGGATGATCCTAAGGCGCGCTTCTTGAACGATCTCGATGGAGACTACATCGGCGAGGACGGGCACTGGCGAAATGTCAGGTCGCTGGACCAGTTCTGGGAGTTCATGTCCTATCGCCAAGAGTGCTCTGCGGGGCGACTGGTTGGCTTTATCTGGGTCACTTTCGTGCGGCCTCAGCTTTTGCTTGCGAAGGCTGACGATGCCGCCAAGTCAATCTCAACAACGTTAGCTTCTCAGATCTCGGACGGGTCAGTTCTGCCGACGCCCGAAGATTCACAACGACGATCAATGGTGGACCTACCGCCGGCGATAGCGGACGAGCTCGCAACACCCGAAAGGCCAAAATCACCGCCTCCATCGTCCCCTCCAAGTGCAGAGGCTGCTACGAAAGATGAATCTCAAGCAGGCCAAAGTCAAACTGTAGTCGGTACGACCGAAGAGGTTGTGAATGCTGTCGATGGGCGTGAAACCGAGCCATGCCGACCCGTCGATGTCCGTTGGCCCGCATCCACTCGGGGCCAGGTCGTCACTGACCTCGACACCTACGATGAGTTATTAGAATCACTCTTGCGACTTGACTTTGCAGGGCAGCAACTCGCCGCAGAGAGCACCGATAAGTGGGTCGCGCTCGTTAAGAAGCAGACCGAGACCCAAGACTTCGGGGCCAGCATACTTGGCAAGGCCACACCTGCTAAGAGCTTGGGGACCGCCACAGCCAATGGCAGTATCTCGGCCCCGCAAGTGACCACGCTGACTGGAGTTCGCAAGAAGCGAAAAGTGGAAGATGCTGCACCTGCAGTGTCTGTGGTCGGAGACTTAACTTCTCCTTCTGCCACCGTGCTATCCGCTGGGTTGGTGAGGAAGAAGCCAAAGACTGGGTGAGCAGCCTAGATATAGAACAGGCTCTATAGATGCAATTGCGAATTGGATACCGAGCTAGGCCGGGCTTGGTATAGAATGGGCATTCGGCTCATGTTACACGGAGAGATGGAATAACGAGCAATAACACTGGGGAGACTATATCGAAAGGACTCTGGGAATACATGCATTTTATTCGCTCTGGCTCGAACAAGCTGGTCACTGATGCCCCCGGATGCGGGTCTCTTGGCTATCCTCCGTCCTCTTACGGCATTACTCACCAGTAAGCGAAGGGCGAATCTTCAACATTCTACCAATGTCGGACTTGTCAGCATTTGGCTTGAACCTCTCGGTCTCAAACAAACACCATTTTACGTGTCCCATGGGTAGGTCACGTGCTGGAACTCCGTCCTTGCCTACGCAGCAACAGCGTCCTTGAATAAGGTTTGCACTTCTTCAGAACAACTATGCAAGGTGTCTTGCTAGGCACAGGCACTGCTACTGTGTACCTTATGCAGGTATGCAAATATGCTGACAGGCTTGGTGGGGGCTAACACTTGATTGGCCGAGTGCTGCCGCCTTGATCTAAAATTAGGCAACGAGCAGGGCGATCGGACCCTTCTCTGACACACGCATCCACGACGACACCACTGAATGCGCGACGCTTCTCTCCGCACTTCTATATCTATACACCAACAACAGCCTTCCAAACGTCTCGCCTAACACCCGCTGTGATTTGCCGCCGACCTCATGCCGGCTCACACTATGCTGTAACAGGCGTGTCTCGACCAAACTTGCGGCCCGTCGAGTACGCCTATGCTGTGTCCTGCAGAAGAAGGCGACCTGGTGGCTGAGCAATGGACGTGCTGGCCTCGAGGCAAAATGTTCCTGGTATCCGGGCAGAGCCTCACGCTGACTTCTCATTCGCATTCCTTACTCCATGTGCTGCATTCTGTCGTCTACATTGCGCTCCTTCAATTCTATGTACTTGTAATTTGGCTATTGCTGGCATATACACCTCGGCGGTACTTAGTGGCAAGGCATGGCTGCCTATGTGCTGACCTTGCTGGCACTTGTTTCTTCAGTACTTGGGCAGGACCAGTGTCTAGACGGAAGGACTCCCATATATGTCGACTTTCATGACCGTCATGTCAACAACAGCGAGGGGAATCCAGATGCGAACATACAATACGGCCTCTTTATTGGCGTCGGTACCCCCGCTCAGAACCAGTCACTATGGCCCTCGTTAGTGCATAATGAGACGACCTTTAGCAGTCCAAGTTTCTGCGATAACAGCACGAATCCTTCATGCAGGGAACAAACGCACGGCACGTATCAGCCAGAAGATTCGGAAAGGTCAGTGAGCCCCAGCCGACCATATCGTTTATACTGACACAGTACAGATATTCACCAAACGACACCTTTGTACCACTCGACAGCAACGGCATCGGGCCAACGCAAGTCGGTGGGACCGGCAGCGACACCCTCAATGTCTACACCCACTACTTCGACCCTTCGCCACCGAATGTCACACTGGTCGAAGACTTTCCCGTCACACAACTTACAGACTACAGCTCCGATGAGTCTCCGTGGTTTGGCCCGTCTGGTCACCTTGGTCTAGGGCCAAGTGCACCTATTCTCTCACGTCTCGTCGCTCTCAGTCTCATCACAACCCGTTCTTTTGGACTATATGTTGGCACTGCTTATCCGCGTCCGGGCGGTGCTATCAACGGCTCTTTGACCCTCGGCGGCTATGATTCCGGTCGCTTTACAGGAACTTCACATAATTTCACTCTCGACAATGTCTTTAATCTCGAAGAGGGTGAAACGCCCTTCCGTGTGACCATTGACTCTCTCACCCTGCAGGACGCCAACAACAATAACGCCACCACCCGACTCAACAACGACTCTTTCTCCGCCTACCTCACGACCGACCAGTTCAGCATGACTTTCCCTACCGACATGACCGACGCATTTGTATCCGCTACCGGCGCCGGCGACCCTACCAATAACGACTTTTCCGAACCAACCTTCCCCCTCCCCTCCAACGCCAACTTCTCCCTCACCATCACCATACAAAACGGCCCAACAGTCGAAATCCCCTGGTACGAAATGCGCAACGCATCCAACGCCTCCCCCATCTCCCCACCCCGCTCCACCAACAGCACATCCACCTCCAACACCGCCCTCCTAGGCGCCCTCTTTCTCTCTCACCTCTACCTCACCGTCAACTACGACGCCACGCCCCCAGCCTTCTACCTCGCCGAAGCCCTCCCGCACGGGCCCTACGTCATGACCCAGCCGCTCTGCGCCGACACCATCCCCGTCATGGCCGCGCAAGTGCGCCTCTCCAGCTGGCGCGCCAATGGCGTCATCGGTGCCGTACTAGGCGGCGTTATCGGCGGTATCGGCCTCGCTTTCGCGGCGTGGTGGTGCTTCGTCAAAGTGCAGCAGCGCAAGCTGTCCAAGCTGGGCGAGGCGGAAGATGAGGAGATCAAGGGTGCGGCGTTGGTTATCAGGAATGGGGTGGTGAAGGGTGTGGGCGGGAGTGGCGCTGGTAGCCGAAGCCCGAGGGCGAGCGGAAGGGGCGGGAAGCGTGCGGCGCTCGTGGGAATCATGAAGGGCCGCCGGAACGATGGCAAGGGGAAAGGCAAGGGCGTCGCTTACGGAGGCATTGACCGGCCCAAGAAGATCAGTTGGAGCGGCAGCAGCGAGAACAGTGGCAGCGACGAGGCGGACCGCGGCGGCTACGACATGCAGCAGTTCAGCCCCGTCGCCATCCCTGCCGCGTACGGATATCCCACCGGCGATGCTGGGGCCTCGCACAACCATACGCAGCAGCAGCCGCAGCAGCAGCAGCATCATCATTCTGACCCATTAACCACCAACCCACCACAGCAACACTCTTCTCACCACCACCCATCCGTCCTCGCAATCGGCCAAGCCATCAGCTCCCCCTCCGACACGCAAGCCCCGCCCCTCCGTTCCATCTCCCCTGTCAGCCCCATGTCAACCCTTTTCTCCTCTGACAACGAGGACGATGAGCGCGAGCACTTCGCCCCCGCGACTCAGCCTGCTGGTTTCCCGCTTCCGGCGGCGGCGGCGGCGTATTCTCAGTCGCAATCGTACTCGAATTCAAATTCGAATTCGCCGTCTCCGCCGTCGCGGCTGCAGCAGCCGCCACTGGACCTACAGCCGCCGCCAACACTAGGCGGCGCAGGTGCAGGGGGTGATGGCGGGTTAGTCAGCCTGACGAGTTCGCTGCGCACGTCTGAGACGGGCGGGAGCGGGAGCGGTGGCTCGTTATCATCGTCATCGCCAGCTGCGGGGTCGCGGCCGGAGTTGAGGTTGAAGACGGCGGTTGGGTCGGGTTTTAATGGTGAGGCGAGGACGGCGAAGAAGTTGAGGCTGGTGCCGGTTAATGGTGGAGATGGGAGGGGTGGGAGTGTTAGGGTGGAGAGGGTTGGTGGTGGACGAGAGGGAGGAGAAGCAGGGGTGGGTTGGAGGAGGAAGATGTTTCCTGCCTAGGTGGGGAGGGGGGAGGGGGAGTTGCTGAGGAAGAGATGGGGGTGGGTTGTGGTGTGGCACGATTATAAGTATGATTGATGACCGAGACAAGTAGGCAATAGATGTCAGCATGTCCGATAAGTGATATTAGTGCAAGATGAGCAAAGCGCGATCCTGGATCTTCCAAGACCAGGAATATTGAATAGCTACCATGAAATGAGAACATCCAACTTTCACACCTAGGGGATTGCAGCATGTTGATGCATCTACCTCGCTCTGCGCCAGTTGTCGTTGACGCACTGACGAGCCCAATGAATCAACATCCGTGCTTTACAGCGCAATACTTTCGACCGTGCACGACACATTAGGTCAGGTGCCCCCTACACCCGCCCCATCTTTGATCTTTCAACGTCCGCGTGCGTCTCTTGGAGTCTTGGATGAGAAGACGAAACACAATGGCCGATGACGCGTGCGTGCACCTTTCTCCAGGCACAGGCATCTTTGCCAGCGTATACCTATAGCTCGGGCATGGCGTTCAATTACTGCGTTACTCAACGCAGCACCTTGAGTATCCCCGTGTCATCCTCCTCGTTGCCTCGAAGCTTCTGGCAAAGTCAGCAATCCACTCTCACCTATAGATCTTGATCGATCTTATCTCTCCTCTACCCATCCAAGCAGAGCCATACTGGAACAGCACGCATTTTCCAAAGGCGAAGAAAAGACTCCTGCACAGCATGCGCGCCATCTGCCCTTCACTAATCCTCCTCTGCGCTGCCACTGCGACAGCTGCTCAGCGTCAGGAGCATCAAGACTCGACTCTCGGCGGCATTAATGAAGAAGACAATAACGTGTTCGCTGAGCACTATGGTCTCGGCGCCGATTCAGGCTACGAGTACGAGGGGTTTGTGCCTGAACAAGGCACTGGAGAGGCTTATGCTGGTGAGGAGGGGCAAAGATACGAAGATGGGAGTGGGAGTGGGGCTGTGGATATCAGTTCTGCGAATAGCTTCGGGGTCCGCTCTGAGGGAGTTGGTGATGGAAGGGTCGTTGAGGGTGGGGAGCAGGATCAAGATGGGCAGGAGGCCGAAGACGAAGACGACGTGGAGGGCAAAGGAGATGCAGGAGCATACGGCATGCCTCCGAAGCGCTTCTTTGTGCGCTCCTTTCACCCCGACCGGGGAGAAATGCCGTTCGGCGGGGAGGAGCTGGATGGAATGTTGGGTAACTTGGGTTCAGTGGAAGAGCTTGAGGATGACGGAGATGATTTAGCGGATGGTAGCGGCGAGGTCTTGCCCGTAATACAATTCGAAAGGCGACAAAGTGCTGATGAGGTCTTTGAGGAGCATTACATCAACGATGATGAGGCTGACGGGCATGTTGATGAAGAGGAAGACATGGATGAAGAGGAGGAACACTTGGACGATGAGGATGTTGATGACGAAAACGTTTAGATTATGCATGCATCTGCATGTTTAACGGTCGCGTGCTATTACTGTGGGAGATAAGGAGTGCAAAGAACGGACGTACATTCTCGGCGGCATGCCGTACCGTGGCGAGAGTCTGCATATTTCTGATGGATTGTAGAGCAGAGGTAGTACAACCACCAATTGGGATCGAGTCAGTCAGTGGATTTGTGCGAATTGGAACTTTGGCAACCCTGCTCCTCGGAACTTTTGTGACCCTGGTTCTTGGGGGCAGGCTTGCATATACGCTGTTTGAATCTTTGGTCCCTGCATCAGGGCAGTCGAGACAATGGTGGCGAACCAATCCTGTTGCCGCCATTTGGCCCAATTGTGTGGTGGCTTGGAGTTGCCTGGCATTGGAGGGCGCTTAGTGTGATACATCGTTCACCTCCTTCTCATGCTTGGCTCTCGGAGTTCTTCTTCAACGACAGAGATCAACTAGTCATCCATTTGGGCAGTACTACGATCATTTATGAGAAGCACCTTGTTGTAGCAGACGTAGCTGCTTTGGTTATTGTGTCATTGCCCAGCGACACCTCACTACTTGTTGCTGACAAACACTAGCTTGCGTCAGATCTGCGACGGGTCGTGCAAGCATGTCATGGACTTGTGCGACTGTTGCAAAGGCATTGTGTGGAGAATATCGAATTTTAGGAGCGATGACATACAGTCGTCACATACACGGGAGACGTACCTTTCAAGCTCTGCTAAGACTCGCCGTTTCTGCAGAATGGTTGAAAGGTATCTTGTGAACTGTGGCAAGGGTGGACGTGCGGAGGAGTGGGAGCAACCTGCAGACATCCAGCTATTTCTTCATCGTAGTCTTGATGACCAACTTATCTGCGCTCAACTGCTCCTGCGTCACAACGCTCAGACCCTTCGAATTGGGTTATGGGCTGAAAAAGGCAAGGGTTTCGGTGCCACAGCTGACCGCTCGTAGACAGCGTCGCCGCCGTGGCCTCCAAACTTACAACCAGAAGACCGTTCTCGAGCAATGACCTTGTTGAAGTCATACCACTTCTGCAGTTCTGGATTAAGGTCTGTGTCTCTTCACATAAATCTTGCGCAGAGCCAATTAGTGGCAAAGTGATAAGCGATATAAATGGAACCCAGCTTCCTGCCCGCGTGCTTGACGCGAAGGTGCAGGCTGACGCGAACATGGCCAAACTAGTCGAGCCCGGACATCGTGTAGCACGTTATTGTGCCCTCAGTCATTGCTGGGGGCCCCCGGACAAGAAGCCCTATGCTACAACCAGAAGAAACATACGAAACATTCTTTCCGGCATCCCTGTCATGAAGCTACCAAGCACCTTTCAGGATGCAACTGCCCTAAGTTCGAGCACTACAGGTTGACTATCTATGGATCGATAGCTTATGCATCATCCAGGGTGACAAGGAAGACTGGCGTATTGAATCTAGCAAGATGGGAACTATTTTCGAAAGAGCATTTCTCGTCATTGCAGCAGCTGGATCCAACGACTCATCTGAAGGTCTGCTCAACATCCCGAGATGTTGCGACTTGTCTATTCGAGTTCCCTGCGGTCGAGAAGCATATGGCGAAGCTGGAACAATCAGCTTGACCATGCAAACGCATTTGGACATTGACCCATTTGTAGGACCCTTGAGGAAAAGGGGTTGGGCTTTTCAGGAATGGCACTTGGCACGCAGACTGCTCTTCTTCATGCCAGGCGGCACAACCTGGCTGTGCAAGGAAGACCAGCTTAGTGAAAGAGTAGATCTGTGTCTACTTCGATCTTTCATTCCGTTGATCGATGGAAGATCTCTCGAAGATTGGATCACCTTTCTCTCCGAATACTCCAAATCTCGATTTACCATTGCTACCGATCGCTTACCTGCAATTCAAGGATTAGCAAATGAGTTGGAGAAGGTTCGATCAGATAAATACCATTTGGGCGTGTGGGAGAAGGATCTCAAGAAGCAACTTATTTGGTTGCCTGTAAAGAGAAAACCGGTCGACAAGTCGCTTGACCTACCCTCATGGTGCTGGGCATCTGTCGGTAGGCGCGCACGCTTTTTGGCTGACTTAATATACAGGAAAGCCAGCGTTGAAGATAATTCAGCTATCCTCAGCTCAACTTGCCTGGACACTCAGAGCAGCAAGATCATTGGCCACGGGATGTTGCGTAGGGCTGCTCTTCGGGGCGTACGTCCCCAATCAAGGATTGTTGTTTCTCTCAGCTAAGGGGGTTCTGGCTGTCCGATGAGAATTTCGAACTTCAATTCATATTTGCCACCGGATATTGGGAGATGAGTCCATTCTTTGAAATCTTGGACGAACACAACGGACATGCCTTGATAGAAATCGATTGTTTTGACGAAAGGCCTCATTTGAACTTCCTCGTGTCTCCTCTTGTCCTAAGTCCAACAAAGCCAGCTCATGACCCGTGAGTCAGTCCTGTTCTGGGAGTCTTACTTACTTTGGAAACAACTACTGAAGACCATCTCAGCTACTTCAAACAGGCCGATTTTCCAGTGCCGTGGCGTTATAAAGAGCCACACAAAGACGAAGTAAGACTCCCCTAGCCATTCAGAGAGCAACCAAATCCTGCTGCCTCATAAATGTACGTCAGCTGATGATAGTAACAGCCTTCTTGCATCGATCTCTGGACGGTTGCACATGCAACCCATGTAGAGTGGGCACTCCTGCTAATTCCCGTCGACATCTCGGGGTGCAGGTTCAAGAGAGTGGGGATGGCAATCATGTATCCTAGGTTGATGCAAGGCGACTACGGTAGCCCTGTCAGGTTCGAGATCGTGTGAGTTTCGATCTGTCGTAACACGGTCGAGCTCTGCAAAGCAGCTCGGCTACTTGGACAAACTGCTACCGAGCCCGCGGTATGTATTTCAGATATCCTGCAGTCTGTGAAAATGACAGAACAACTCACGAAGATATGCTTGGCGTGACTTGTAATCTGTTCAAGATAAAAGTAGGGAGTGGCGAGATCAAATCCGCTACTTAATTGGATTTGTAGCGACGGTTAACTCATGAACCGAAGCATGCCTTTCATTGTTTCAGTCTTAGCGATATCCAGCATTACACGGTACCAATGAAGTCGAACAATCGCCGAGTACTCCGTAATTGATAAGCTCCCGCAAGGGTCAGCCTGCCGTTGCTCGGTTCGCCATGACCGTGCTACTTGCGAAATGACGGAGAGTGCGGGCCACGAAGCCAAGACTTCCGCCGAGGAAGCGCAAAGACGGAAACGCGGCAGCTTCAATCCGGCGGAAAGTCTCCCTCTGCAGCTTTTCCACCGCCGCCGCTCACGGTCTTTCCAACGTACAAACCCTCTGGATGTTGACTGGTCTCCCGGCTCAATACGTCTCGTAAGGAGTCATCTGAGAGTTGAGGGCGATAAAGTCGATCCTGAAAAGATTGTTGTTGCTTATGGTTGGCGGAGGCCCCAAGCACGCGACCAGCCGTGGCATTGGCTCGGCGCTGGCATGGCACTGCTGCCAATTCTGCCTTCTCGACTTCCAACACGCTCGTCGCAGGATATCACCGGAAATCGCTGCGAACAAGCGCTCCGCCCGCACTTGGAGGGTGGAGTGCTGCCCTTCTCGAAGCCTTGGCATCAGAAAGCTCTGATCTGGCCGCCACATGTACTGGCTCCGCAGAGATGCGACCGTCCTTTCAGGTGGGCCGCTGTCACTCCACTCCCCGACATTGAGAGATAGACAAGTCGATCGTCAGCTTGGCAGGTAGCATTCACTCTAACGACGTCTGGTCAAACGACCTCCAAGACGCCTTGTCGGACGCTACACCATCCCTTTGGCGGATGACCCAAGTATGCCAGTGTAACATCAGCTTGGCCTCTGATATGCGGTCGACTTCTGGCTGGCTCCGGCCTGCTTGATGTCGCGTGGCTCTCCCAGATTGTCGTCTTCCCCGGCTCGCCACCCATGTCAGAGATAGCGAACCATCCAGGGTCCACGGATCGATAGCTGGACGCGTCGGTATAATAGGCTCCCTCTGGTTCCCCTATGCTGACGGCTCTATCTCCCTCTTTCGTTCGAGCCCTTACGATACTAATCCCAGGTCAACTTTCAGGATGGCAGTCGACGAAGTGCAACCCGATAGGGCTCCCACGCCCGAGCAAACCAAGCGAGTGTCTCCCGATGTCGATGCGGTCAAGTCGAGCGACTCGTCCAGTGGGGAGCACATGTATGGTGATCACGGGTCGACTGAGAACAAGACCTTCTGGCAGCTCGCAAAAGAGCCTGGCTCCGCCATTCAGATTATCGCAGCTGCTCTGCTAGCCGTCGCCATTGCCCTTCCCGTGGCTTTTGAAGTCGACCCCGAGGGCTCCAGCGGGCGCAGCCTGGAGGATGCCTCCACCATTCTTAATATTCCGGGTCGGATGTGGTTGCGCGCCCTCACGGCTACCGGTAAGTTACATCGCCGTGGTTGAAATTCTGGCAATGCTAACACCGCCGATAGTCATGCCTCTCATCGCCACCGCCATGATCCTGGCCATGCAACGGTTGAAGGAGATGACCGGAGGCGGCAACACATTGGCCAAGTGGACCGTCGGATATTACGTCGGCACCACCATCATCGCGATCGTCCACGCAACCATCCTCATCTCCCTCGTATGGCGTCCCATGTACGAGCCTGTGGGAGAAGACGATCTCGCCGTCGACGAGGCCGATCAGGAAACGATCGACGAGCGAAGTGACAACGATGTCACCACCATCGTAGTCAACATCTTCGACTCCTTCATTCCCGGTAACATATTCCAAGCCCTGGCCGAGAACCAGCTGCTTGCCATTCTGGTCACCGCCGTCGTGGTTGGTGGACTTCTAGAGCCTGGGGGCCCGATCATGAGGGCTGTGGTTGAGCTGGACAGACTGATCACCAAGGTCATCGTGTTCCTGATCAAGTTGGCGCCTTTCGGTGTTTTCTTCTTGATTCTCTCCAACTTGATGACGCTCGATGTTGCAAGCATTGGCATGAACCTGGGTCTCTTGATCGGCTCATCCCTGGTCAGCATCTTCATCCATCTCATCATCATCCTACCGGCGATCTTCTTCGCTGTCCTGCGCATGAATCCGTTCACCTACTGGATCAAGAACTCCCCCGCCTGGATCACTGCTTGGGGAACTGCGTCCTCGGCGGCCACCCTGCCGGTGACCATGCGATGCTGTCGTGCGCGCGGCTGGCCCGAGACTGTCATCAAATTCTGCGTTCCTCTGGGCTGCTTAGTTAACATGGACGGAACTGGTACGTTGCTCCACACGGGCCACAACTAGTTAGCATATACTAACCAAGTATTAGCCATTTACTTTCCCGCCGTGGTCGTGTTCATGGCCGAGACCCAGGGCATCACCCTGAACGCCGGCGAGTACGTCATCATCGTCCTGCTCGCCACCCTGTCTTCGATCGCCACGACCCCCATCCCCAGCTCCTCCCTCGTCTTGACCGTCATCATCTGTCAGTCTGTCAACATCCCCGTCACTGGAAGTAAGTCATGATATCCTACTCCCCTCAAAAGACACCCACAATACTAATTACATGGTCCAGTGTACGCCGTCGTCGTAGCCATCGACTGGTTCATCGACCGCTTCCGCACCATGCTGAACGTGTCGTCCGACCTCTTCGCCGTAGGCATCATCACCAAGCTGTCCGGAATCCGTGACCCAGAGGGTGAGGTCTACGCACCCAACGCGGAAGAGGCTCTGGCGGAGGTACAGGGCGCACCCGGAGCTCGACAGGATAGCAAGGTGTAGGTCTGCATGGAAAGTCGGCAAGCTGATAGCATTGCGAAAGGTCTAGTGGCCTCCTGCGATAACATGAGTCGAATACATTCTTCGAAGTCCGACGCCAGGTCTAACTTCCTCCGTACATTGGATGCTTTACGCCCTGTGATCTTGACACCAAGGCCTTGGCGTAGGGAGATCGTAACTACTAACAACATTGAGGCAGAGCCGCGTTCCCGTCCGCTTGATCTACACACATACATGTCCGAGACCCTCTCACGCATGCAACCAGGCTCCACATCCGCTGATGTACCATGCATCATGGACATTGTGTCATGGCCGGGCACATGGACTAAATCATGCTTATCAATACGTATCTCCTTCCCTTCGGCTACCGTCACGGCTGCCGTCACGACTGTTGAACGGCTCCTCACGTTTAGGCGGCTGCTGGTAGAGACCACATACCCGTAGTGTTTCATGAGAGAAAAGTCCTTTCAGCGACCAGCTTACACAGTACACGCAGAGCTTCGAGGTAGAATCTAAAATCCGGCACCCCACAGGTCCTTGTTACTCACTTGTGTGTAGGTATGGAGGAACCTCATCTCCCAAGATCCTACCCACAAGACCCAAGTGCTCTCAGATGAAAGCTTAGAACCTCACTATCCCAAGCTCAGACATCTCATGAGCCACATGGACAAATACACACACCCTCGCCGCTTTACTAGCCCCCCATTCCCATTAGATGCGCAACGAAAGGGCCATTGCCATCCTCACAAAAGTGCTGACAACACTTACTCTTAAAAGCCAAGGAACAAAGCGACCACACCGCCAGCCAGGAAGCCGTGGGTCAGGACTTGAGTTGAGTAGAAAAAGGCACATTTCATTTCATCATGTCCATAACGTATCCATCGCTGTCGCTGTCGCTAGCCGGTAGGAAATACTTGCTCGAACGCAAAGGACAAGCATAGAGAAACAGAACCAAAGCACATACACATCGGCAAAGATATCGTTCAACTTTTCCCAGGAAACCAGTTGTGCGCCGGACAATATTTCAATTCCAACGATATCCACACAAAAATTCCAAAAGGCTCCTTCGCTTGCTTGCTTGCTTGCTTGTTTTCGTTTGTTCGCTGGTTCGCTGATTCCAAGACATGGCTGGACTGAATGGGAAAAATCGCTCTCTCTCGTCTGGTGGCTCGTCGTAAAAGTGTCGTTAAAGTGGTCGTTGATACATTAGATGTGGAAAGCCGTGTGCCCACCAAGGGGCCGCTGTCGTTTTGCAGTGGTTCTGTTCAGGATCCCCACCGCCGTGTCCCCCTAACCTCGCTGAACGCCCTTGGGGAAGGACTGAATGACCAAAACTCCATTTTCCCCGCTTAGATATGCCGCTGGCCCCTGGCTCAACCCGCCAGAAGGAAACACACAAATGAAACGCCAAAAGGTTGGCTCAGAACGTCGTGCTCCGGCTCAAAGGCCTCGGGCTCGCGCTCCTCGCCCCCGGCGTCGCCATCCCGCCATCGATAGCCATGGGACTCAACTGCGCGGTGCCGCCCGTCATGCCGTTGGTGATGGCGGCGGCCTCTTTAGCCAGATCCGCCTCCTGTTTCTCCTTGACGCGCATCTCATGCGCCTTCAGCAGTCGACTCCAGAGCTGCGCGTCCTCTTCGTCCTTGAGCGCCCGGGCCATACTTTCCTGGCATTGAAACACCTCGACCATGATGTTGTCGGCGGCCTTGACGCCGACGCCGACGTAGCGCAGGGCCGTGTTGAAGCTGCGGCGCGCGTCCTGGAAGCGGCCTTTGGTGTATTGCATGCGGCCAAGGCGTCGGTAGGCCATGGCGACGCGGTATTCGTCGAGGTTTTTGTTGGGGTTGGTGCTGGGATCGGGGCTCGGGCTGGCTTCCTGAAGCGCCTGCAGGGCCTCGATGCGGACCTGAGCTTGTTGCGTGACACGTTCGGCTTCTTCGTGTTTGTCGCGGCCTACAAGTTGATATGCCTCGAGGAGGAGGTAATCTGCGTTGGAAGAAAGTGTCAGCCGTGGAAGTGGTGGTGGGGTAACGGAGGTACAGAGCATGGGAGAAGAATGACGAACGATTGAAACAGATGGAACACTTACAAATGGAGAACTGGTTGTCACTGCCGCATGCTCGATCGACCTGATCAAGTGGCAGCACCCATTCGCTAAGATCGGTCATGGGTTCAAACCAGACCATATCAAGAGCACGGTTGAGCCGGACCTCGACGAGTAGCGGATTATGTGGCTCCAGTCGAGACTTCAGGCCGTCGAGCATGCATCGTGCTGCACGTACATACAGGGGTTTCAGCTGGGTAGGGGGAATTTGGTTGTATAGTCCGTACAGGGCATGCCGCACGTCTGATTTATCCAGATGCGATGCGGCCCACTCACTGATGAAGCTCAACAGCTTGACAGCGAAGGCAGGGTGTCCCAGGTGTGCGATGCGACTGACTTCGAATAGCAAACGCACTGGGGTTTCGTGGTACCAAGTTTTAAAAAGCTCCGGATTTTGGAAGTGTTCGACGGCACGGCCCCAATGGGCCCATGCAAGCTCACTGTTCTGTTCAAGCAGCTTGATACCAGCTCCTAACTCGGAGGCCAGCTGGCGTGAGGCGTGTCTGCCTTTTTGGTGCATGACAGAGGCCGATCGTTCCCATTGGCGTGTGACGAAAGCTTCGTGGGTCCAGGCACGGAGATTTACCAGAAACTGGTCCTCGATACTGGATGTTGACCCGCGTTTGAAGGATTGGGGTGCTGTCCAGGGAGCAGGATTGTCTTGCTGAATGGGTGAAGGCTCGGCCACGAAAGCTGCTGAGGCGATTGGCGACTGGCTCGTGTATGTCTGGAGCTGTGGATGAGGTTGATGTTGAGCCGGTGTGACGGTGAGAGTGGTCCGTACAGGAGCTGGTACATGAGCTGAAGGGTGAGCCGGCAATGGCTGTTGCACTTGCTGCATTTGACGCGGAGGGGACTCGTTTGAAGCAGTCGAAGCATGTCGTCCATGCTGGGACTTTTGCTTCATCTGTTCACGATTACGCCGTCGAGCCATGGACCGTATACCCTTCTGGGTCATCTCGTCACTAGCACCTCCTTCGTTCGCGAGGCGTTCTGCCTGCTCCGACTTGAGATACTTTGACAGACCCCATTGCTTGATGCGGTTCTTGTACATCTTTTGGCTAGCAAACCGTTAGCTAAGATCTTGGAGAGGGTGTCCGCCAATGTGAGTGGGTGAGCAACGACTGGTGAGCGATCGACGGACAGACTTTCCATGATGGACCAGGTGGTGGGCTGCGACTTACCTCGCTTTGAATCCATGGTGTTTCTCCATCAACTCCATGACCTTTGGTAGGGGACGAGCTTCACCGATATAAAGACGCTCGAAATGCGGCTTTGCCTCTTCCCATTCCGTATCAGACAAAGGACGCTGGTAGTTGTTTGGCGCCATGATGTTAGGGTAAGTAGGTAAGCAAGCGAAGGTCTAGTTCTATGGTGGCAAGCAGGCAAACGTGGCGATGGACTCAAATTGTGCTGGACACTTATCAAGGCAAACGAAGTTGCGGCTCTGCTTGAAGACGGGGATGATCGAGCAGTCGTGAGAGGGGAGGGCTGAAGGAAGACAAAAGGTCCTTAAGGCCAGCACCCCGCACTCGGGCGCAGCAGAACGTCGGCGGCGAAAGTTCCTTTGGTGCTGCCAGCAGCCAGCATGACCAAGAGTGCGCCTTGCGCTAAGCCACGCAGGCTCTAGGGGCTTGAAGGCGCTACCGCTCTGCGATTGGGGCTGACCAAAGCTCACCCAATTCACTGCGCTGGTGCAGCGGCATAAAGCCCTTGCTACATCTCGTGACGGGACATCATGTGGTGTACAGCAACCTCTCACAAAAAGTGCCACTGGCCGAAGGAGAAGGAGGGACATATCACAGTGCTCTCGGTGATAGTGCTGCCTCACCCATCAAGGCCGAACCAGCCAAGGCCGGTTAGTGGACACGGGGGCTTACAGCAGCCACCAATCCTCCTTCCAGCTAAGGCAAGGCGCCATAATCTCAAGGCAGTGCGCCAAAGATCCCTGCAGTCTGCCACGAATCAGCTTGCGATTGTACCAAAGGTCCAGCTCACAGCCAAAGTTCCCTGCAGGTCATTGGTCTTCTGCAGTGAAGATGAGGATCAAAGTGTCTGGAAAGAGGCGCGGCACAAGTGTCACTTCGTCCAGAACGATCCTTTCCGTTTGCAAGGCAGGGCGTGGCCGCGTGGGGAAGCAAATGCCCCTCATTAGTGTCGCAGCTTCCCTTTTGTCTGGGCTGACTTGACCGCCTACTAATGATGACCCTCATGCTGCGTGGGATTCCAACACCACTTGTTTATCGTCAACGACGCAGTCAAAATTGCGCTCCTAGTGTCTCTGGCTGCGCTGGCCTGGAGGAAGGTCATGCCGCAGCATGTCGTGGAGGAACCTCAGGTGCCAAATCGTATGGAGGAAGATGCCGACACCATGATTCACCATCATTTCGCCACTCTGCTGCAGCAGGAAATTGGTGTTGTTGAGTCTGCCTACAACGAGGTGGCCAGAAATGTGCGCACCGTTTTGCGGCGACAGTACAACAACCGTCGCGCCTCCAACGCGAATGAGAAGAAGCAGCCACTTTGTGAGTTCGTCGGTGAGGACCGGTTGGCCAGAACTCTCGGCACATTTCCTCCAACACATGCCCTTTTCACCCTCGCCCGCATCTATGATGAGGCTCATATCACTCTGTGCCAAGGTAGAAGTGCAGCTAGGAGAGGCAAGCCTCACGACGCAGCATTCAAGGAATCACCACGCGTCGACCTCCACACACTAACGGACGGATTGGATACGGATAAAGGACTAATCAATGATCAAATACTCCTCGAGCGAAATACCTGCCCCGGGAAGCCTTACAGAGCGGTGTGGCGGCGCATGCCGGTTATGGACTTCGATAGTCTACAGTCAATTCCTTCCTTAAGCGGCTTGCTGCCAGGCGAGAGTGAGCCTTCCCAAATCTACGCTGGAATCGGCGGAGGAGGCGGATCCGACATCATCAGCGCAAGTCTGCTCGGTCATTTATTACGATGTCATGGGAAAGAGATGAATGTGCTTGTCTCAACCCGCACATGGGCGACTGGTTCTCAGGGACAAAAAGGCTCCAGGATGGGCATCAAACGGGAAATTTACGATCATGGAGGACATGTCGAGGTAGATGGCCACCCCGTCCCGGGTACATTCAAAGTGACAGCGGAAACTTCCTCGGAAGGTCGTCCACTGGAGGCAATCCCTGTACAACATCACTCGCAAGTGTACATGGTGCTTGATCAGGGCGAATCAAAATCAGAGGTTCCGGAGGACGAACGAGCAGAGCTCAAGGATCAACTGCGCGCTGTGCTCACCGACTCCGGGCAGCCCATACAAACCGTCGCAATTGTCGACACAGGTGGCGATGTTTTTGGAGCAGATGCCGGCCGCACTAGTACTCCAGATCAAGATTTGCGCGTACAGCAGGCCATGACCGATATGGTCCACGGTAATCTCAACGACTATAACCTCGTCACAGCCGTCATCGCCCCTGGCGTCGATGCGCCTGATGACGCACCCCAGAAAGCGCTGCAGTCTGGCGGCGTGGTCTACAGACCGACCGCAAGGGAAAAGGCCATGCTTCTGAAATTGATAGCTGAAGATTACAAAATGGATGGAAAGGTGCCCGGACGCTTTGGCAAAACCACCATGGCGTTGCAGGCGCGACTAAGAGGAGAATCAGGGTGGGTATCTCTCGACCTTCCTGAACATATTGTCGACACCTGGGAAAATCCCTGGAGTAGCTTTGTTTACATCCGAAAGTGTATGAGCGACATCATTCTGATGCCTACCACCAAACTACTGCCACTCATCGAATCAAAGCCGGAAGTCCAACAAGGTTGAAGATTTGTGGCGGTTGATCTAACTTGTGAGCTCGTGAAACAATCTGCCCCGCCTTTAAGGCCTTTGTATGCAGCAAGGTCTGCGCTCAGAGCCACTTCAGCGCAGTCCGGAGTCAGAACATCTCGCAGCAACTGCCAGCTTGCAGGTCAAAAGAGCGCTCCAAGGGACGAGTAGCTTCCAAAGATCGATGGAAGAAACAACTTGCAAGTTCTGGCTTACAGCAAAGACAAACCCTGCGCCCGCGTCCACGTGGGCAAGGAGCTACCACATACTACGCTGCATCCCACAACCAAAATCATCCTTGGGTCGTAGGTGAGTGGGCACCGTCGTAGGCTACGATGGAAGTAGTACCTGCATATCCATGACAGCCTCATACCGTCATTGAGAGAGGCTATCAGAGTCACTATGCTGGGGCCTGGGCAGGTCGAGGCTCTTTGGCAAGAATTACTTGAGATACCACTTCCTTGATAGGAAGAAGATCTTGAAACACAACACCAGCAATGACTACACTGGTCTACAGAACAGCAATTTTTCTATCAATGTACACTTTGAATGATCTCACAATCATGTTAACGTAGCATAACACCGCGTAGATGACCCTTCCAAGTATCCTTTCCGTGCTTTGGGCGTTGCGCTCTCAGACTTTCAGAGTGTCTGAGGACGGCTCAAGCTGCCTCAAGCCATAGCTGTACGAAACTGATCTATCAATCAGAGACCCCGACGATCGCTCAACACATCCTGAGCACAATAGCCCCAGATCCCTTTATCCAGTAGCATCCCTGTCCTCAAGGGCTACGTTCACAACCTTAGCTATCCATTAGCATGTACGACCTCAGCGATACTGTCGACCGCCCTATCCCTACCACCCTTCAACTCAGGATTTGTCAGCTGAACAACGACACGCTTGTAAGTCGTCAGCGCCGGCTTGCCGTTGTCAGTTACAGACAGCACGAGATGCATGATCATGCCCTTCTCCTGCGCCTTCCCACTGAAGCGCTCCACCGCACACTTCTCCGGGCCCGGCATCTTGACTCTCACGACGCTGCGGGCTCGCTGCCCGTCTGCCACTCGGCTGATATCCGTCACGAGTATGTCCGGCACCTCTTGGTCCACCGACCACTGTGTCGCTGAACAGTCCTTGTAGTGCATCCAGTTGAAAGTGAGCTCGTCGCCGGCGTCGGGGTCGTAAGACTTCGAGGCGTCCAATACCACCTCCGATTCGACCTCGGCCTCGATATGCAGCGGTTCAGGACCGAGAGTGCTGTCATTTACTACAACGATGGGGGCGTGGTTACATTTCGCGAAATCTTTATGGAGGGACCATTGCATGCGCGCCGCGAAGTCGTTCTGATACGCGTCACGCCACCGCCAGATGGTGGCCTGGTTGCTGGCATGTTTCCGACCGTCCTGCCCGACGACGTGGTCAGGCACGTCAGAGTAGTGGTTGCTCGCGCCACCGATGTCCGTTTTCATGTATCGACCGCCCCAGCTGCCCCAGTCAGGGTGCTCGGGAGAGCCGAGACCGTTCTGGATGAGGTACAGGAAGGTGGGTGTGTCGCCCTCTGGAATGAACATGAAGTCAGGGTATGCGGCTCCCAATGGCCCGATCTGGATGTGCCGCTTGATCCAGTCCTTGGAGATTTTGGTGGAATCCGGCCCACCAGCGTCAAAGCCGTAGTGTGTCTCGCCGGCGATGCCCGTCCAGGTGGCCAAACCATAGCGATTCCAGCCGTGGATGGAGCTGATGTAGAAGATGTCTGGGAATTTGGTGCGGATCCACATTGAGGTGTCGTCTTGGTCGGAGATGGTATACACGCGCAGTTTGGCTCGTAGCCGTGTGTTTTCAGCGTCCGAGCGTGTCTGCTTAGCGTACTGTAGGGCTTGCGCAAGAGTATTTGTTCCGCCCCAGAAGAGAACCCAAAGCGGCTCTTCGGACTCGTCTAGACGCTGTAGGAGCATAGAGGTACCTTCGCTGAGAGCTGCATCTGCAGCAAGCGCCTCTTTGCCGTAACATTGGGGTCCGGACTTAATCATGTCGAGGTAATACTTTGCCGGCTGATACGTGTTGTCTGGGTGAACGTGTGCGTTCAAGTTGTCCACCACTTGTCCATATGCCCGAACTACTTTCTCCATATCATCGCAGTGGGTGACGCGAGGCATCCATGTTGAGGTGCATGCTACCAGCCCGCGGACGTCGAATTCATTGCTGTATAGCAGGAACCTGACCAGAGACTCGGCATCATCAGGCTCGTTAGAGATGTCCGAGATCACGAAGACTCGTGGCTTTTGTTCGACCTTTCGCAATTTCTGAGCTTCCATCGCGAGACGTTGATGTACTGTATCCCGCGGTGTGTCGTTCTGTCTTCAGGTCGATACCGTGCAAGCCAGATTCATCACCCCTGGAATGCTCGTCTTGTATTAGGCATTCTTGAAACCTGGGATCAGATCCAACCTAGGATGCTCGTCCTTGGAGAATGATAGAGGCTAAAATTACTCTACCTGGGTAGACCCCGAGCCACGGCCGAGAACCCACGTTTTCAAACCCGGCCCACCCTTTCTGCTGAAGCCAAGTTCGCGTTGCCGAAATATGACTCCCAAGCCGCCAAATATCGTGTTCTAGTGCCGAAAGCCGAAGATGTCAGGAGACGGCACTTTGAAAGACTCCAGTGCACCAACAAAGTTTTTAAGATGGCCGAAACATGCTATCAAATATTGGCCCTCAACTCGGGTGGGCGTCACCCTCCACCACGTGCATGGGAAGATTGCCCAGAGATCGGTGCCTACGATTTCCTATTCTGAGTATAGTCTTGCCCACCCTGTTGGAATTACTCCATTTTCCCCGGCGAGCTCCCCAGACCTCCACACCATGTGGACGCCATGTGCTTCCGTATAAGTACACAGCCACACCATTATACCATGCACCCGATCACCCCTGAGTACAACAATACGACAAGGCCACAGCACTGCCTCCAGTCTCGAAGCTACTAGCAATGGCATCTGTCGACCAAGAGAAAGCCCCTGCACGAGATTCGACTACCCAACACGAGGAAATAGTCAAGGATGAGCACCTCGGACATCTCGTAACCCATGAAGACCATGAGACGAGCAAATGGCAAGCCATCAAGCAGAACCCAACCTGCTTCCTCTGGTGTTTATATGCCGTCTGGACCATCCTGCTGGTCACGTTCGAAAACCAAGCGGCTGGCAATGTCCTTGGTATTCCGCGCTTTCGTCAGGATTTTGGATATTTGCACGAAGGCGACTATGTCATTCCAGGGAACTGGCAGTCGGCTTTCAGTGGCGCGCCGCTTGCAACGTGAGTGTGCCTCAACTGTATGTGTACAACTGTGGATCGTTGCGCTGACTCTTGACTGTAGCAACGTCGTTGGTTGCTTTGCTTCTGCTGCCATTGCTGACAAGATCGGTCGACGATTCACCATCATGCTCGCTCTAGTGCTCTCATTTGTCTCCATAACGTTGGAGGTCGTCGCAACGACCAATCAGATGTTCTTTGGTGGCAAATTCTTGAACGGATTCGCGATAGGCACGTTCCAAACCGTATCGACGGCCTACCTGGGAGAGGTGAGAAATACAGACGAACCCTCCACAATCACCAGTTGGCTAAATGTGTACAGATTGTCCCCACGCCCCTACGCGGTATCATGACGTGCCTGAACGCCATGGCCTATACTATCGGCCCCTTCACCGTGGCATTGATTGTCAACTCCACCGGCCAGATGGAGTCTCGGTGGGCCTATCGTGCCGTCTTTGTATCGCAGTACGCTTTCGCGGCAGTCGCAGCCGCGGGCAGTATCTGGATGCCGGAGAGTCCCTGGTGGCTCGTATCCCAAGACAGGCACGAGCAAGCTGTCAAGAGCCTCCAGCGACTGGGCCATAAGAACGGCGAAGAGCACAAACGTTTGGCCAACATCCGCGTCACGCTTCAGGAGATCCGCCGCGAGACTGACGGCGTGACCTACATGGAATGCTTTCGGAAGTCGAACCTGCGTCGCACCATCGTGTCGCTGTCCCCCCTCACAATCCAGCAGCTGACCGGCATCGTCTTCGCCGCAAGCTACAGCACGTACTATGCCCAGCTCGCAGGCTACAGTGTCGGCATGTCTTTCAAGCTGCAGATCACGCAGCAAGTACTGTCAATTGTCGGCAACATGATGTCCTGGGACCTCATTGACCGTTTTGGCCGTAGGCCCCTAACTATCTACGGCCTTGTCGGCTTGACAACGATACTCTGGGTGATGGGTGGTCTTGCTGTCGGCGGCTCACCAGCCATGCTTCGAGGCACCGTTGCCATGATACTGGTCTACTGTTGGCTCTACAACGTCACCATTGGAGCAACGTCGTGGACTGTCGTCACCGAAACGGCAACAGCCCGCTTGCGGCCCAAGACTGTGGCCATTGGCAATGTCAGCAACAGTCTCGTGTCGATCGTCTGGCAATTCACCATGCCGTATATGTTCAATCCGGATCAAGGGAATCTTGGTGGGAAAGTTGGGTTTATCTTCGGAGGGCTCAGCTTCGTCTGTATTGGGTATTTGTGGTGGTACATGCCCGAAACGAAGGGACGAACATACGAAGAACTGGATGAGATGTTCATGAAGAAGGTGCCTGCGAGGAAGTTTGGGACGTATAAGACTGAGGTGGAAGAAAAGGGAGTGCAGGCACAGCAGAGCGAGGCTCAGACTTGAGTGGTTGATTACTCCTCATTGAATGCGATCTGCTGGCCTCGAGTGGAGTCACGAATATCGGTTGATTCGCCAGACTGAGCCACCAAGTCGCACGGGCATTCTCGTATATATTTCATGTCGTGTGTACGAGAGTTAGGTCAATTGATAAATCGTGCCTTAACACCCGGGTCTATCCAAACTCTACATAACACATTCATTTTCCAGGCGGGACTGAAATATACGCACAGGCCTGTATAATCCAGTCCACTCGTGCACCTTACACCGATCCACTGTCACTCTCTCTTACTCACTAAACTACATACATAGCCTAAGCCTAAGAGCTCAGGCTGTACACGGTATGCGGCATGGCTGCCTTGCATACTAGCCCGGAGCAACACTTTTTCTCTCCCGGCAGCCTGTCGAATCAAAGTGGTCCGTCTCCCGACGAGTATGCGCACAACCCCCGCTTCCAAGAGCTCCAGACCACTCTCAGGTCCTATTTGATTGATGAGGCTCGAGGTGCCGGTGACACACATCAACGCACCTTGGAGAGGCATGATGATATACCTACTTGTGCACCAGGAACACAGTCGCTGGCGCAGCATCTGCATGATCCCCAGGACCAAGTTCTCGTGCTCAAGAAAGTCAAGTACATGAACATCTGGATATCTGAGTGCGCGCCATGGCTCGACATGTTTGACCAGGAAAGGCATTTTGGGATCCAAATCCCTATAATCGCGCAGCGGTCTCCGGCCGTGCTCTATGCTTTACTTGCCCTTGCGGCGCGGCAAACCGAGAGATCTGGCGGATCAACAGTCTCGTCGCAGGACAGTCTGGATCTCTACTCCAGGGCAATTTCCTCCTTGGCTCCTTCAATCAATGCCCGAGATCCTCAGGTTTTGATTACAGCTTGCATTCTCTGTGTCCTCGAGATGATGAGTGTAAGTCCCAGAGACTGGCGACGGCACTTGGAAGGCTGCGCGGCTCTTCTCGAGACCGCGGGTGTCAACGGTCTCTCGGGTGGTCTTCTACAGGCAGTGTTCTGGTGCTATGCTCGAATGGACCTCTGCGCCGCTATCATCGCGGACGGTGCCGAAAGCACGACGCTGCCGGTCGACAAGTGGGCACTCCTCGACCCGGACATGGACACATCCCCTGGGGTACTGGATCAACAACAGCTGATCAGTAAAGCGTTCCTGGAAAGGGGCGCGACCGTCCCCGACATGCATGCCAACTACGCTGTCTACCTCTGCGCCCGTGTTTGTGACCTCCTTTCACGCCGCACTAGACACGTGGAGCTTGGCGAAGACAATGGCTGCACCGACAGTGTCTTCCGACTGCAATGGAAGAATCGATGGGACGAGCTTCGACAATGGTTTGAACGACGTCCGCCACAGATGCAATCGATCCAAGAAATCGATGCCTCGCATGCCGAGGATCTCTTCCCCACCATCCTGTTTGCCTACTGGGCTGCCATCTCAGGCAACCAGCTCTACCACACTGCATGCATCCTCATGATGGAGATGATGCCTCCGCAGATCGACGCTGCCGCCGACGCTGCTGATCTCTACTACAAGCCACTGTGGCACGCCCGCCGCATCGTTGGTATCTCGCTGACGAACCCTCACCGAGGCTGTCTCAACAATGCCATCCAGCCGCTGTACGTGGCGGGAAAGCTGTTCACGCATCGGGACGAGCATAAAATCATCGTTGATCTTCTCAACCATATCGAAGCACGCTCGGGTTGGGGTTCGCGATGGCGCATCAAGGATCTGGAGGCTTTCTGGGGCTATCGCTCTGGCCGACGGGCTGGCAATGTCGAGAGATGACTCTCTGCCAATAGCTTATGAGGCGCAAACTTCAGACTCCCTTCTGTCCTTCGTACAAGGAAAGTTTCGTGATACCGGTGGCAGGAGAGGCTCGTGCCAGTTGGACACCGTGGTCAGGGGTCTACCGACGCGATCACCGCGGTAGACGTTCCAGCCCAAGTAATCGGTGCCTACAATATCCCTTTTGGGCTAACCGTCTTGGCTGGGGTCAAGGTGGGTTAAGTCCTACTAGGGAAGCGCTCTTTGCTCCCGGGGTTTCTCCCGGGATCCCCAGTCGTGAATTGTCTCAGATCTTCGTAGCAGATCAGACGACTCAATTCCGCATGAGACTATAGCTCTGCGCACCGCGAAAGAGTCTACAAGAGGTGGCTCCTAGGTGCCTCGTACTGCTCAAAGCGGCGACTTGATGCGATTCATCTTCGACACACCCCCGACCGTTTCTCCTGTTCGCTCTGTGCTAGGATTTTGACCACTCCTTCTCCGCCTACTCTGTCCAATGCAAATTCCGGCTAAGTGGTCTCGTTACTTAGTCATTCTCATTTCCCGGGCGTCAAGACATGTGCGTTTGCCGATTCATCATTTATGTCGACCTAAGTATACGTCGTTCGCTGTGGTTACGCGTGCTAGCTAAACAGTATATTGGGCAATATTGAGTCAGGTTAGGTCCGTACCGCTACACATCAATGGCAGGCCAGACGCTCGTCGACGTCGACGAGCAAGATTCGTCCGCGATCAAAACGCTGTACACAACAAGCCCAGCTCCCACGAAGACGACATCGGTGCGCGTCCCTGCCTCGCAACTTCCGTCCCAACAACCCACCAACGGCGATGCCAACTCCCTCGTAACGAATCTCTCGCAACGCTACACCAACCCCAGCCTGACCGTCACCCCAACCCACAGCCTCAGCATTTCCAACACCGCCATCCCCACCCCCACCCCGACCGAGGTCCTCCTGCACGTCCGCTGCACCGGCATCTGCGGCTCCGACCTGCACCTCTGGCACTCCGGACGCATCGGCCCCCTCAGCATCACGCGGCCCTGCATCCTAGGCCACGAAGCCGCCGGCGTCGTCCTCGCCGTCGGCTCTGCCGTCACGCACCTGCGAGCCGGCGACCGCGTCGCCATCGAGCCCGGCGTCCCCTGCCACGACTGCTGGGTCTGCCGTAGCGGGCGCTACAATCTGTGCGAGAACGTGCGGTTTTGTGGCGTGGGGACCGAGGGGTGTGAGGGGACGGTGAGGCGCTTCATGTGCCATGATGCGCGCTATTGCCATGTCATTCCGGAGGGGATGGGGTGGCGGACGGCGGCGTTGTTGGAGCCGTTAGCGGTGGTGATGCATGCGGTGGGGGAGCTGGAGGGGAAGGTGGCGTTGGGGAGGCCAGTGCTGGTGTGCGGAGCGGGGCCGATTGGGTTGATTGCGTTGAAGGCGGCGAGGGCGAGTGGCGCGTGGCCATTGGCCATTACGGATGTGGATGAGGGGAGGTTGGAGTTTGCGAGGCGGTTCGTGCCTGGCGTGCGCACAAAGAGGTGGGAGAAAAGCCTGAGTGAGGTCGACAATGCAGAGGAGCTGAGGAGGCTGTTTGGCTGCAGCGGCACGAGAGATGTTGCGACGGGCGTGCCGGATCCGGATGAGTATCTGGCGCCGCAGGTGGTGCTGGAGTGTACGGGCGTCGAGAGCAGTATAGTCACGGCAGCGTACTCGTGCCGACGTGGAGGCACGGTCATGGTCGTCGGCGTGGGTCGGAGTAAGATGGACAACTTGCCATTCATGCACCTGAGCTTGGCCGAGATTGGATTGAGATTCATCAATCGATATCGAGACATGTGGCCTGCCGCCATCAATGTGCTGGCGGACGGCCGAGTTATGGACTTGGACGAACTGGTCACGCATACTTTCCCGCTGGAGAATGCGGTTGAGGCCATGAGCACTTGTGCCGATCGGTCGTCGGGTAGTATCAAAGTTCAGATCGTGGATGACTGCGAGATTCGACTTTAAACCATAGATTAAACAAATGGTGCAAGCGAGGAACGAAGCACAAGACCAAATCATCGGGCGATGTTTGCATTGAAGTACGTAGCTAAGCGAAAATCCTCAGCGGCTCATCTAGGTAGAAGCCTGGGTCATTGAACCTCAGACCTACATCCAGAGCGCTTATCTCCTTCAGCTCCTGCTCCGTCAAGTCAAAGTCTGTCACCTCGAGATTCTGTTTCAGTCGATCGACATTGTTGGATTTGGGTATGACGGCAATGTTCCTTTGCGTGGCCCAGCGAAGCAAGACCTGCGCTGGTGACTTGGCTGTCCTCGCCGCGGCGGCTTTCACTGCCTTGACCTCAAATAACGGAGGCACATCTTTGGCGCGCTCTCGGAAGGCGGGAGGAAGCTCGAGGAAACTCTGGGGTCCGAAAGTCGAGTACGCCGTTACAGCAATGTTCTTCTCTTGGGCCAGCGTGATGAGGTCCGGCTGGACCAGGTATGGGTGATGCTCAATCTGTAGAGCGGAGATAGGATGACGGGCGTAGGTCTGAATGTCGTAGAGAGTCTGGGCTTGGGCATTGGAAATTCCGATCGACTTTGCGATACCAGCATCGACGACTTCCTCCAGGGCTTGCCATGTCTCATGCATGGGTACCTTTGCTGAGCGGATGGTCTTGTGCTCGGCATCCATCCACCAGGCCGGATATCGTAGAGTTTCCGGGTCGATGTATTCCAGAGCAACTGGGAAGTGAATGAGGTAGAGGTCCAGGTAGCCCAGTCCCCAAGCCTCATTCTGGGCTTTGGCCATTTGCAAGGCATGGTCTTTCCGGTGATAATTGTTCCAAAGCTTGGTGGTAATAAAGATTTCCTCTCGCTTCACAATTCCCTCTGAGATGGCTCGCATAACTCCTTGTCCTGCTTCTTTTTCGTTCTGGTAGTCGTAAGCGCCATCAAAAAGACGGTAGCCCACTTTGATAGCCTGACTCAGAGTCAGATACACGCACATGAAAAATTACAAACACGCACGTTGTAGACAATGTCGGCTGCTTTTTCGGCAGGGACTTTCCAGAGTCCGAAGCCCACGAGGGGCATTTCCTGACCAGAGGCCAGTGTCACCGAGCTGACCGGCATATTGGAAGTGTGCGAAGTTGAAGATAGTCCTGTAAGTATTGGCATCCACAGACGAGGAATTTCGTCCTAGAAGTATCGCTCGGTGAAGGGGCCGACGTTGCCGACCAAGACGACAAGGACGAGGAGATATTTCGGCCTCTGACGAAATCGGGCAAGTGCAGGCTCCAAGTCCCACACCACCTAGAGCACCCCCCTCGGCTCTTTCTCTTGGGCGCTGCTCTGGTTCCGCCCACCCCAGCTTTCTTGCCCCCCTGCACGAATTTTGGTCATTGCTACAAACAGTAGTTCTACGCATTTGCAAATAACTGCCATTGTTTCTACACTGCAGCGAGTGGATGTCAGCATGCAGACGATGTAGGCGCATTATTGGCATTCCGCGCCCTCGGCATGGTCGACCCATCCTCACGGAAGCGCGTCCGGACGGGGTGCATGACCTGCAGAAAGAGAAGGCGTAAGTGCGATGAGCGGAAGCCTGAATGTGACAACTGCATCGGTAAAGGGTTGTCCTGCCAGTATGGTACTCGATTGACCTTCGTCGCCTCCAAGCTGCAAGATGCTCTTGAGTCCGGAGCAAGATCAGCAGCCACCCAATCGCCTTCGTCCGGTCGCGTCAGTGACAGAGCCAATACCTCTGCACCGGATTCAGTCACGACAGCTCGATATCAAGGTCCTCATGCCCACACCATACCCAATAACAGCTCGCTTGTTGAACTGGACCACTTCAATATCGATTCCGGTTTCGAGGACACCCCCGGAGACGAGCATGTGTCAAACCTTGGACCCTCAACCAGTATCACTCATGCTAGCTCCAGTCAGACACATTCCACTTTATTTCAGCCTGCGCACAACCGCTCGCTTGCAGTGCCAAACGTCTCAGCAGGTGGGAAATCTCGTCGCCAGAAGTACGAGTTAGAGCTGTTCATCCACTACTGCTATCACGTCGCACCCATCTTGGACCTTGGTCTCGGAAGCTTGTCGTTCGGTGTTCAGGCTACACTGGATTCGACCAATCTGGAGACTACCTATCATGCCATTCTCGCCGTGGCCAGCTCGCACAGAGCGCTGCTGCGGCCATCACTTCATCCAGTCGATGAAGCTACAAGTGTTACTTCTGCGTATCTTGCCCAACAGCAGGTGACAGGATCTGATAGCGTTTCAGCCAGCACCTCCGGCATTCTACTGCTGTGGAGGAAAGTCCTCGTGTCACCTATTGAGTCATGGTCTTACTTGACTTCTGAAATGCTGAGCCAAATGAATCAAGATGCCATTGTCCTGGAGCACTGGCACGTGCTTTCGCGACTTTATCTCAGTGCCTCGCTCACGCAAGCATCGAGTACGATCGACTTGAAGATGAGGTCTCCGCCCCATGCTTCGATTGATGGTAGAGAATATACGCACCTAAGACAGTCAAGTCTCGCCCTGTGGCTCCTAGAAGAGACTCGATTCCTGTTCAGCCCTGCAGCAGGATCGACAGAAGCGTCTATCTTCCCTCTCGCCCAAACCTGGCTTGCCCATTGGCAGGAAGTTCAAAGCTGGTTCTGTACAAGATCTGATGATATGCAAGCAATCCTAGAGCTGGGAGAAGATGAGGACTCGCAACCCCAGCTGCGCCAGAACTTCGACTTCCCATGCATTGCCTTCACCCATGCAGCCGCGGTCGTTGCCAATGTCGCCCATCATCTTGCCTCCATGATCCTACTCCGAAGAAAACCACGATTGATCAAGCCTGTAGCCGTCTCAAGCTCTTCAACGTCATCTCTGTGGCACGCTCAACGTGTCATCGGTATCGTAGCAACTGCCACAGATGCCGAAATATGGGATCCTTTCCTGGCGGCTGCGTTGTCACATGCCGCGCGACACTTGAGCCACGACAAGCAGATTCTTACAGCAAGCCAAACACTGAAGCGGATTCAGAGAATGTCGGGTCTCAATCTGGACGGTGCCGTCCGACAAATTGCGCCAACCGCGTTGTCCACCTGTTGAGCCTGGACTAGTGTGGACTCGTTCGCTGTAGCCTCGAATTACCTATTTAGGTAATATTTGCCACAGCGCTTCAATTTGCTTCGCGCTGGAGCACACATGGACTCATTCACATCCTGGAAAGTATGGGTCAGATCTCGAGATGGTAGCCTCACTCCTGATTGTGCATTTCCCCGCACGATCGAACATCTGCTGATTAGGGTCTTGAGTCACGTTGAATAGTGATTATACCAGAACATTAGCATTCCGATATTTTATCTACTCTCGATCTAATCTTGTCACACATCAGAACCAACTTCTTCTGTTGCTGATTGTGTTGATTTCAGCTGTTCAGAATGTCCCCTCACGCTGTGCAGGCTGTGTCTACTGGTACGAAGACCGGAGAACATCTTTTGATCTCGCCTAAGAATGGCACGCTTCTTAATCGACGACACCAGCACGATCTTGTCTTGAAGACACTCAGAGTCTTGGTCGCCGAACTCTGCCAGCAGTTCAATGGCGGTCATCCAGGAGGAGCAATTGGTATGGCAGCCATTGGCGTCGCCCTCTGGCGCTACACCATGCGATATGCGCCCCGCAAGCCCGACTGGTTCAACCGCGATCGCTTTGTCCTATCCAACGGCCATACCTGTCTATTCCAGTACATGTTTCTTCACTTTGCTGGCTACAAAGACATGACATTCGAACAACTCAAGTCATACCACTCATCGCGCGAGGACTCTCTATGCGCAGGACATCCCGAGATTGAGGTTGAAGGCATCGAAGTGACCACGGGTCCCCTGGGACAAGGTGTAGCCAACGCCGTAGGGCTGGCGATAGCTACTAAACATCTTGCTGCGACATTCAACCGACCAGCTTTCGACGTGGTATCAAACCACACTTGGTGCATGATTGGTGATGCTTGCCTTCAAGAAGGTGTAGCACTTGAGGCCATCTCACTGGCGGGCCATCTTGGTCTCAACAATCTGACGATCATCTACGACAACAATCAGATCACATGTGATGGCTCAGTTGACTTGACTAACACTGAAGATATTGGTGCCAAGATGAGAGCTTGCGGCTGGGATGTGATCGAGATCCTGGATGGCTGTCATGACGTTGAAGGCATTGTGGATGCGTTGGAGCGAAGTAGGCAATCCAAGAATAAACCTACTTTCGTCAACGTTCATACGGTCATTGGCCTAGGAAGTGCCGTTGAGGGAAAGGCCGCGGCTCATGGCGCCGCCTTCGGGGAGAAGGACGTCAAAAATATGAAGAGTGTCTATGGCTTTGATCCAGAGCAGCAATATGTCATCTCACAACCTGTTCGAGACTTCTTCGCCAACCTTGTGGACACTGGGGATGAACATGTCCGGCAATGGGATCAGATGGTGGCCTCGTATTCTTCCGCACACCCAGAGCTGGCGACACAGTTCAGAGCCCGCCTTGAAGGCTCTATTCCAGCTGACTGGCAGCGAAACATCCCTTCCTCATTTCCCGAGAATCCCACACCAACCAGAGCATCGTCCGGTCTCGTGTTACAACCGCTTGCCGCCAATATTCCTAGCTTCGTTGTCGGCACAGCTGATCTGACGCCATCAGTACACATGAGCTGGCCCAACATGGTCGATTTCCAGCGCCCTGACCACGCTCCCCAATCCGGGCCCACGGGCAGCTACGCTGGCCGCTATATTCACTACGGGGTGCGGGAGCATGCGATGGCGGCCATCTCCAACGGACTTGCCGCGTTCAATCCGGGCACCATCATCCCCGTGACATCCTCTTTCTTCATGTTCTATCTGTACGCCGCGCCAGCCGTGCGTATGGGTGCTCTACAACACCTGCAAGTGATCCACGCAGCGACGCACGACTCCATCGGCATGGGCGAGGACGGGCCGACACACCAGCCCATCGAGCTGGCCGCACTGTACCGCGCCATGCCGAACCTCCTCTACATCCGACCTGCGGATAGTGAGGAGACGGCCGGGGCGTGGACGGCGGCCATTGAAGCAAAGAGCAGCTCCAGCATCATTTCCACCTCGCGGCACAAAGTCGCGCAGTTCCCTGGCGAGACCAAGCGTGACGGGGTGAAAAAGGGTGCCTATGTCGTGCGAGAGCAGGACGACGCCGACATCACCATCATTGGCGTAGGAGCAGAGTTTGAAATCGCAGTTGTGGTCGCAGAGCAGTTGTCTGCTTCGCACAAAGTGAAGACCAGGCTGGTGAGTTTCCCGTGCCAGCGGCTGTTTGAGCAGCAAGAGCTCTCTTACCGCCGATCGGTCCTGCAGCGCCCTCACAAACCAGCGGTGGTGATCGAGGCGTATGCGGCGGCGGGGTGGGAGAGATATGCCGACGCCGCCGTGTGCATGAGGACGACTCGCTTTGGGAAATCCTTGCCCGGAAAAGATGCGTACCGCTATTTTGGCTTCACGAGTGGACAGATCGTGCCGAAGATCATGGACTGGTTGGAGAAGAGGAATGACGGGTCGGTTCTGCCCGGAGAATTTGTAGAGCTGTGAGTCTGTGACGGGATCCATTATATCACAGTAATATCAATTCAAATTTGAGTAGTCTTTGAAAACTTGTATGCAAGAAAAACCTGTGATACAGCTAGGGGTGTTGCACGCCGTTTCGGGCACTCTCTATTGCGGTAGATCGATCCAAGTTGGCTTTGTTGGTCCGCAAGGTGTCTTCTGATGCATTGATGCTGTAAACGCTCCCGCCTTTAGATCTGGATCTGGATATGGATCTATACGTCCGAACACGAATTCCAATCTACGGAGAAGCCCCGAGGCGTGCCAGGCAATGGATGATAGTGGTGACTCATGTACACATATCTAGGTTTTGGAATAGGGTTGAAGCAAATGATCACAGGCTTGGGGACAGCTGCTTTGAAGTTCTCTCTGGCATCTGCTGTGATCTGTAGTACATTGCATACCAGTATATTTTCTCTGGAATGCTCTTGTCAGTCCCCCTCCCTAATCACCACTGCCCCATCTGGTGGTCTATGATTCGAACAAGTTATGTGCTGACGATCCCCTGATCCTCCCCTGCTCCGGCCCCGTGGTCTAATCTTCGAAAAACTTGCCAAAGTCAATACCAATACTGCTGCCAAAGGCCGAGATCGACACCCTTTTCCCGATGGTAACACCACAGCCGGCAACATGGGCATCAATGGACCCGTTCTTGATCCCGGCACCCGTCTCGACACCCACGCCGAGCTCGAGGTCAAAGACCGAAGCCTCCGCCTTGAACAAACTGAGCTTTGCGTCCGCGCCCACGTAGGTCGCGATCGGCCCGTCGCCGAGATCGATGTAGGAGAGCTCGGCGCTCGCATTGGCGCTGAAGACATCAACGTTGACCCGCTCGATTGCCCTGCCCTTTTCTTGCACGACGTGCATGAACGCCGCGGTGGCTTTGGCGTTCATGGTCTTGAAGAAGACGTCGTCTTTGTGTTCGCTTCCCGCATTGGCGTACCACAAGGTCGCGCCGTTGGGCTCCTGCGCGACCTGAATGCGCCAGCCGGCCGTTGAAATCATGTTGCCGAATTGCGTTAGGGCCAGGTCCATGGCCTCGCCGTCGGGCACGGCGATCACGGCGGGCACGTTGATGGCTTGCAGCTCGCCGTCGTTGTTCGTGACCATGGAGTCGAGGTCGTATTCCGCTGGGGTGGTCTCACGAAAGCCGATGCGGTAGAGATCGGCTTTGAGCACGGAGCCCTCGAGGCGGACGTTGAGGGCGGAGCTGGCGTAGTCGGTCAGACCCCAGACGAAGGTGCCGTCGATATTGCCGAGAGTCGCGTTGAGATCGATGGCTGACTCGTTGTACCGGCGACCTCCTTTGGCGGCGCATCTGGCTTTGAGGAATGTCCCGTCGAGGCGGATATCGCGGCTGCTCTGGGAGAATGACACGGTCTCGATGATAAAGAGGCCTTGGGTAAAGAGATGATGAGGAAGGGATTGAGTGTGCTGCCGGACGGCCGGGTGTGCCTAAATCTGTGTGGTTGAGGAGGCGTAGGAGCGAGAGTGCAACTGTGCTGAAGATTTGAACAGCGATGGTTGGCGCCTGCCTTTTGTACTTCTTGTAACCCTTCCTAGGTACGGTAAGATATGAGGGCGGACTAGCCGAGACTGTAACGCATCAACTGGATTTGTCTTTGTCTCACTGCGCTATCTGTCCTGCTGAAGGCGGCATTCCATCCTTCGTATTAGCAGTCATCGAAGGTACCGCTCGCCACTCGGGGTGTACTTCATGCCAATCTAGATTGCCCTAGTCACCCCGTGAACTGCTCACCAAGACAACAGCCTCATTCTGCGATACTGACCTGGCCCCTTTGATGTTCCCGTGGCTGGCTGGGTACCATGAATCCTGATCGTATAACACATTCTGACAGGGTCCAGCTAACCGCCTCTCTCCGCAAGATCTTGATGGCTGGCTGGCTTAGAGTTGTCGGTAGCCACGTGCCTACATTCTTAAGACACCCAGATTAGTCGATGTCTTTCCAAAGTGCACTATAAACATGAATCTAGATCCGGTGACAGCATGCACATGGCAGAGCATTCCTCCGGTGGAGTTCCACCTGTCAGATACCAATGTGTTGCTGGAGTGTTGTGAGGCTCGCTACAGGGATGGAGTCCGGGTGGTAGTGCAGAGTTTCGGGACGCGGGGCGAGGCGAGCCGGGGAGGGGACGATATGCGAAACCCCATTCCGTAGCCCACGATGCACATGTGGGCGAACAGAATGCAGCGCGCTGTGCTCGATGAGCCGTCCCGTCATGCGCTGGCTACCGAGGTGGATCTCATGACTCCCCACCGGCTAGTGCACTGAGGGGCAGCCAACACTGTCACCTGGCTCCTCGCCGTAACCATTCAGGTTAGCGAGGTGCATGTAAAGCACATTTGGGTGAAGCACTCATCATTGCGGCAGACGCGCCCTGTGAATTCATGGGCGGCTCGAGCTTCGGATCAGGCATGACATTTCCGTGACCTCTTCGCATCTCCAGTACCTGACATACCTCTAAAACGCACTCAGCCGCTCCTGACCTGCAATACAGTGTATATACATCCCTATCTAGTAACTCCGCTTCTTCGCCGGCACGGTCTTACACTCCGCCTCATCCAGCGTCTGGAACTGTACATCTCTATACCCGATCCCCACCTCCTGTCCAATATCCCTCTGCCAACTCAGCGAATGCCGCATGAAATTTTTGTCATCCCGCTCGCCAAAGTCTTCTCGCGCGTGACTACCACGGCTCTCCTTGCGTTCCAGTGCGCTCTTAGCCGTTTGTGCCGCGCAAGTCAACAGGTTGCGCATCTCCAGCGTCTCGATGAGATCGGAGTTCCAGATCATAGACTTGTCTTTGACGACTAGATCGTTGTTGAAGGATTCTTCAACCTTGCTCAGATGTTGCAGGCCGGTGGCGAGGGATTCATGGGTGCGGAAGACGGCAACGTCCGTTTGCATGGCCTTTTGCATGTCGAGGCGCAGGTCGGCGGTGAGTTTGGTGCCCTCGCAATTGCGGAAATGTTCTAGGTCGATGAACCCGTTTAGGCCAGTGTCTTTGGTGACTTGGCCGCCGGTTCGGAAGATGGGCATGTCTTTCTCGTTATTCTCGGCAATGTGGGCAGCAGCTGCACGGCCGAAGACTACGATATCGAGGAGTGAGTTTGCTCCGAGGCGATTTGCGCCGTGGACGGAGACGCATGCTACTTCTCCCGCAGCGTAGAGGCCACCGACGGGCGTCTCAGATCCGGTTTTCCGATCGATGTCGAGGACTTGACCCTTCCAGTTGGTGGGTACACCTCCCATGCAATAGTGAACGGTTGGGATGACGGGTATCGGCTGCTTGGTTACGTCGACGCCAGAGAAGATGCTAGCAGTCTCACCGATACCCGGAAGTCGATCTCGCAGTACATCCTCGGGCAGGTGTGAGAGCTGTAGATGGATGTGGTCTTGATCACTGCATCGCGTCAGCTCGGCTTCAGCCAGGTAAGTACACACTTACGATCCACAGCCTCGGCCTTCCCTGATCTCCATGTTCATACTCCTGCTGACCACGTCTCGACTGGCCAAGTCTTTCGCCGTCGGTGCGTAGCGCTCCATGAATCGCTCGCCCTTGCCATTGAGTAAGAATCCGCCTTCGCCGCGGGCACCCTCTGAAATCAGGACGCCTGCGCCGTAAATGCCAGAAGGATGGAACTGGACGAATTCCATGTCTTGCATGGGCAGTCCAGCTCTGGCAGCCATAGCAAGACCATCGCCTGTTGACGTATGCGCTGATGTGGCCGAGAAGTATGCACGACCATAGCCACCTGTAGCTAAGATGGTATTCCGCGCAAATATTCTATGCAGCGTGCCTGTCTCCATGTCGATCGCCGTCAAGCCTATGCAGTTCTTCCCATCCATAATCAGATCAAGAGCAAACCACTCGATCAGGAATTGGCAGTCATGTTTCACCGCCTGGCCATATAGGGTATGCAGCATGGAGTGGCCGGTTCGGTCTGCCACACAGGCGGTCCTATAAGCCTGGCCGCCCTCGCCGTACTTCAGACTCTGGCCTCCAAGCGGGCGTTGGTAGATGAGGCCCTCTTCTGTTCTGCTGAATGGCATGCCGTACTCTTCCAGCTCACGCACTGCCCGAGGAGCCTCTCGGCACATGTAATGTATTGCATCCTGATCTCCGAGCCAATCACTGCCTTTGACCGTGTCGTACATGTGCCACCTCCAGTCATCCTCGGTCATATTGGCAAGAGCGGCATTGATGCCTCCTTGAGCAGCAACGGTATGAGATCGGGTGGGGAAGAGCTTGGTGACAACAGCGGTGTTCAGGCCGCTTTCTGCGAGTCCGACCGCCGCGCGCAGGCCTGCACCGCCTGCGCCAATGATGACGGCGTCATACTGATGGTCTATGACATCGAACTTGGAATTGTGGGCGGTGATAGAAGATGTGGTTGCTCGTCGGCGTTGATGCACGAACCGCGTGTGACGTTGATGCGCAGGTTGGGGAACGCCTCTCCAACTCCAGGGCGTGGCACTTCGAGAAGCTGGAGCTACCCCTGTCAGGACTCGAGCACCTGCAGATATCCACGGTGGAACAAGCCACTTCATGGCGACTGTCAGCTATTTTCTGGCCGCATCGACAACTAGGAAAAAGAGTAGTATCAAGGAGCAAAACGAAGGGCAAGATCGAGAAGATCTCGGAAATGTAAGTGTCATGAATTCGAGAAGGGATCCCCGCACCAGGTGGCATTCCGAGACGGTGCTCCCCGAGATTTCGAGAATGGCCGCGGTTTGGGGGCTTAGAGCCTCCGATGTTCGGCCTGACAGGCCGGGAAGAGACTGATGAATGACCCTGGATATCTTATCAGATGGTGTTGCTGTTGGACTGTCAGGCCAGCCAAGCCTGTCGCGCGAGAGTCTTCGTACTTGTACCTTAGAGGCTCCTACTTTGGCCTTCGTGCGAAGATGCCAGTACGCGCCAATTGCAGTGAAGTTCAAGCTTCCCCGAATGCCGGAGCATGACCAACAATGGAGTCCTTGACCGTGCCCCGCTGCTTCCTCTGCCTCCAATTCGCTATCCACTTGAGTCAGTCGAAACGTCCCGTCAGCGATTGGCTGCAGCTGGAAAAGCTTGCAGAAGGCTTGAGGGGCTTGTTGGCCATGGCGGCCAACGCCGCATTGGTTGCCCACGCACGCGCGATAGCTGTGCCGCGGAGTTCAGTACCTGTCCATTGAGCTCTTGCTGCTCCTATCAAGCGGCAGGGTCTGCTCTTTATAGTCTCTACCGCCCCTCATCGGACTTTTCAGGTCAGCAAGTCTCTTTCGCAACCGCCAACAGACTTGTGTAGACCATGTATCTTTCCTACGCACTAGCTGCTCTGGCAGCGACTGGACTGACCTCTGCTCAAGAGACCGTGCTAGGAGTCTATATTTTCTCTAGACATGGTGATCGTACCGCCAAATCCACCCCACCCGCCAATCTGACCGACCTGGGCTACTCGGAGGTCTTCACCAGCGGCACCTACTTCCGCAACCGCTACATCTCTTCCGATGCTAGCTCCCGCATCCATGGCATGAACAGCGACCTTGTCAAGCAATCCCAGATTATCGCCTCTGCCCCAGCGGACACCGTCCTACAGAACTCTGCCTTGGGTTTCCTTCAAGGTCTATATCCACCCGTCGGAAACACTCTTGGCAGCAACACCCTCCGCAATGGCACCACCGTCCAATCTCCCCTCAATGGCTACCAGTTGATCCCGCTGCAGACTGTCCAAACGGGCACCAACAGCGAGAACTCGGCCTGGCTGCAAGGCTCCACCAACTGCGCCAATGCCCAGATCAGCAGCAACAACTACTTCCAATCCCCTGAGTTCAACGCCACGTCCAGTGCTTCCCAGCCCCTCTACGACTCCGTCCAACCCATGGTCAACCGCACCTTCACTCCTTCCCAGACCAACTTCAAAAATGGCTACGTGATCTGGGATCTCCTCAACGTTGCCTCGATCCACAACGCCAGCGCCAACCTCGACGCCCTCACCCCCTCGGTCTTCAACCAACTCTTCCACCTCGCCAACACACACGAATGGAACCTAGCCTACAACGCCACCGACCCCATCCGCGCCATCACCGGCGCCATCCTCGCCGACCAAGTCGTCACCGCCCTCAACACCACCATCACCAGCGCCGGCAAATCCAAGCTCAACATCCAGTTCGGCGCCTACGCCGGCATGCTCTCCTTCTTCGGCCTGGCCAACCTCCCCGCCGCCAACCCAGACTTCACGGGCATTCCAGACTACGCCTCCACCCTGACGTGGGAGCTCGTCACCAACGCCACCGTCTCCGGCACCACCTTCCCCAGCACCGACGACATCAGCGTCCGCTTCCTCTTCCACAACGGCACCACCAGCAACACCTCCCAGCCAGTCGAGTACCCGCTCTTCGGCCAGTCGCGCTCGCCCCTGCCCTGGAACGACTTCGTCACCAGCATGGCCAGCTTCAGCATCAAGTCCCAGGCTGATTGGTGCAAGGCCTGCGGCAACAGCACGGGCGTCTGCTCGAGCGAGAGCCTCGATGGCAGCGGCGACGGCGGCTCGTCTGCTTCGGCCACCAGCAAGTCTGGCGGTGGTGGTGGTGGCGGCATCAGTAAGGCGGTGGCGGGCGTCATTGGCGCCATGGTCACGCTGGCGGTGATCCTGGGCGTGGAGTTGTTGATCATGTTGGTGGCTGGGTTGAGACTCGTGAGGAAGAAGAAGTTGCAGCGCCTGCAGAGCCCGGCTGGGTCGGCGGATGGTATTGGTCATGTCAAGGCTTGATACGTGTGTTGTGGCCGGCGGGTGTTTCCGCGCCCGCTAGGCTGTCGGAAAAGCTATGTATGTCTGTCTGGACCGTCGGACGCGGCGGTGTGGGTGTAGCAGGGGTTCAGCCTGCCTCTGTCTAGATATGGTACAGGTGGAGGGGAAAAGTTCCCGCGAAAAAACGCTCATCTTCAAGAAGACGAGAATTGTCTCCGGTCGGAGATTCTACTGATCAAATATCGAATAGTGTCTAGTTGTGAAGTACATGATTTTTCGAAAGCCAGCGCCTCGGCCACCGTATCTATACTGTATCATTGACGTCGACTTCCCGCAGTGTCCCTAGGCCATTACCCGTGCACCACCACCACCTCCTCCCAGACCTCCCACATCTCGCTCCCACCCCCGTACCCTTTCTTCCCTCTCCCATCCGGATTATTCAGCGGACCCACCTGCAACGGCATGCCATGTGCACACCTCGCCACCTTTCCCCTCTCTGCCCATGCATCTCCCTCCTTCCACCTAGACACAGGCGCCACACCCCTCCGCCGACTCAGCTTCATGACCCGTCGCACCACCCCATCTTCGTCCTCCTGCTTCTGATGTGCAGGCCCATCCAAGATCCAACAGCCATACACGCGCCTCCGGTCCTCAAGGGCGCTCATCGGCAGCACCTCTTCGGCCGACAGCACGGGCTTGAAGGGCGCGCGCCCCTCCTCGATCTCGACCAGGCGCGCGGCGATGCGTGCCGAGAACTCGCCTTGAAAGGGGCCTTCGATGCCGGCGTGGCGGAGCAGGTGGATGGCGCGCCGGCGCGAGATGGGGTCGCGGTATCGCCGGGCCGTGAAGTGGAGGGGGTGGATGATGCCAGGGAGGGGGGAGTAGGGGACTAGAGGGGAAGACGATGATGCGGTGGAGGAGGGGGTGGTGGGAGTTGAGGAGTGTAGATTGAGGACGTGCTCGGCGCAGCGGATGATTTCTTCGAATTGTGGGGCGTAGGCGTCGTAGCTGACTTGAGTCGGGGGCTTGACGTTGGAGACGGCGATGAAGGTGGTGAGGGTTTGGGCTTTGAGGATCCTGAAGTGGGATGTTTGGCGAGGTGAGGCTTGGGCGCGCGGAGCATCGAACAGCAGAGTGTAAGTGCGTAGCCAGCGCTTGATCCAGGCGACGAGGTAGTCCTGCTGTGTGACCAGCGTTGGAGGGAAGTCAATTCGCTCCTCCCATTCGGGCTCTAAAGCCTTGGCAATGAAATGCTGGCACCATTGTTGGAGGGCAGGGTGTCCTGAAGTGAGGTCTTCTACGGAGGCTGGGTACAGCATTTCGTTGGTTACTGGCAAAGGCGCAAACCGAGGACTTCTGCCCCACGCGAACATGGAGATGTGGTAATCTACACTGAACGCGACGTCGTGAGCCGAGCCAGGACTTTCGACCAAGCCGTTAGGAGGCAGCGGGCCTATCGATGTGGGATAGGTTGGCTCGGGGGACGTGCCGCCCCCGAGATTGATCATCGTGAATGCACCCAGGATGTGACTCAGTGCGTCGATTGGCCTATGCTGGATGCTCTCGGCGGCAGCTAGCAGCATAGCAGACACCAGTAACGGCAGAGTATCGGGCTCTGGGCGTTGAAGCTCTTCCTGTACCTGTCTAAGCGCATTTAGGTATAGCTTGGTAACGAGCTGGTTCTGCTCGTGATCGTTCCGGCGCAGAACACACTTGTCATAAGCGGCTCCAAGGACTCCAGCGGCAGCGTTGACATAGCTCCTAGTAGCCGCGAGTTGTGGGAGCAGCACGGAAGAGAACTCCGCACCTGCCTTATTGTGGAGCTGATGGGGATCAAGCGCGAAGAAAGCCAGAGTCAACCGGGCCATCGTCTGCTGTTCGGGTTGCTGGCTGGGAGTACTGCCGATTGGCTCGATAATGGACGAGTGCTGTTGGGGGACAAGAACCTTGATTCGCGGTACCCGAGCGTAGCCAGCACAGGATCGTCCAGACCTCAAGCATCTTTGGCATGCTGGAAGGCTCTCGTCGCATTTGACTTTGCGCTGTCTGAGATTGGGTCAATTTGCCAGACTGTGCTCAGGATACTGGTTTACTGACCTGCAGGTCCTACAGCCGTACTTCGACTGCTTCTGATCGAGGATCCGAACTCGTTTGAGTGCGGTATTTCCGATATCGTGCCTCGCAACCTGAGTCATGGTGCTGAATCCACGAAGATGTGCCGCAAAGACCGACGCATCCCCTAGTCAAGGGTTTACGGGTGGCGGGCGGCCGACTCTATAGACAAGGTGAACTGACCAACGGTCGTGTAGAGATGTTTCTCTGGCATACCGTCTTGTATCTGACACATCGCTTGGAGAGATTGTTAATGCGGTTGAGGCTGGTGGCTGCCTTGCCAAGCTCCCCATCCACACAAGCTTTCTTAGACTCGGTGTTCAGCTTGGCGTTACCCACGTGTTCGATACCCTGTTCTTTGCTGCCTAGACCAATCTATCTTTGAATCGACCCATCACACCAACGTCTGCATTCGTCTCGTATGTGTGACGCCGGCGGCTTTCCCGAGCCCGCTCTCCCTCAGTCGCACGTGTTGATTCATCTAGCCGTACCGAGAGGATCTGTATTACTGGTTGCAGCACGGAAGTCGTTATTCCCTCACTCCAGTCCCTTTCTCGGGCTATGATCGAGCGCAATCCTGGAAGCATACAGGACCATGTGTGTGTGGGCCGCGCAACACTCATACGAGGGAGGTGAAGCTTCAAATCTGATCCCACTAACCTCTCTTGTCTTCAGTTCGGGTTCCCGCCCAGCTCTGGACTAGGAATGGCGCGGCTGTCCTTTCCTCGCGTATCAGTACGGCTCGACGTATCGAAGCCATTTTCCACCAGTCGCGGCTGCGGATATCTGATGCCTGAAGGAAGACATGAGCGTCCGTATAAATAACACGACGACCCGAGCCACCATTCGTGCGTGCTGGCTTCTGTTAAGAGTCATAACCGTCCATTCCACCTGTTCTCTGATCTGGCTTCATCCCTTGGCTGCCGCATCTTGTCTCACAACATTCGAAAGCCACCCTCCTCTTCGTCTATTGTGCGTCGTCCAAGCTATCACCAGATACCATGACGGACAGCAGCTCCGTTCCACTACAGCCTCCCCCTAACTGCGCAGAACATCCCGAATGCTTGGAAGATTGGGGCTATTTGAATTACCTTCCTAGTGTCGCGGCCAACGCTGTGTTTGTGGTCCTCTTCGCCCTTGGCCTCGTCACTCAGGGCGTCCTGGCCTTCCGCCACCGCACTTGGGGCTTTTCGATAGCTATGCTGATCGGCACGATTCTGGAAGTTATTGGCTACGGCGGACGCATCGGACTGCACTACGATGTCTTCATCGACACGTGGTTCATCATGTATCTCTGTTGCTTGACTATCGCTCCAGCTCTATTCAGCGCCGCCGTATACCTCTCGCTTTCGCGCATCCTCGCGATCTGCGGGGAGACACTCAGCTTTCTCAAAGGCCGCAGCATCACGCTCATTTTCATTTCATGTGACTTTATCTCACTGGTGCTCCAAGCCGCCGGCGGTGCCATAGCCTCGACAGCCATGTCCAGCGCGACCCGCGACATGGGCGTGAACATAATGATTGCTGGCTTGAGCTCGCAAGTTGCCGCGACAACCGCCTTCTCATTGCTGTGTCTACAAATCATGTGGAACACTCGCAGGCATCCAGAGCGCGTCAAGGTCAATTCCGAGGGGTTCAGACGAGGAAAAGGCTTCCGTGGTTTCATCTGGGGTATGAATGAACATCTGTCTGCCTTGCCCTTACGCCCCTTTTGCCTTCCCTTTCCAGCCCCCTCTAAGGTGAGCCGATCTGCATGCTAATACACATGACTCACAACCAGCCATCGCCATCGCCACCGTCACGATCCTAATACGCTGCTCCTTCCGCGTCGCTGAACTCAGTGAGGGATTCAAGGGAAAGGTTGCGAACGACGAACCGCTATTCATCGTCTTCGAGAGCGTCATGATGGTCATCTGTGTCTGTGTACTGACGATTGCACACCCAGGCTTGACGCTGGGTGCCCGCTGGAACACGGGCGAGTTTCACTGGCGGCTGAAGCGCTACCAGCGAGAGGAGAAATATCACAATCATCAAAGGAGAGCCCCAGCGGAAGGCACAGCAAAGAGCAAGGACTTCCCAAGTGGGACTTCTTCGGAGCACGGCGGGACGAGCAAGGAAGGCATCGCGGTGGGGGAAGCCGGCGGGTTGGCTTGAGGGGATGTCGGCGCGATAGTGTATGCCGGACAACTCAGCTGACGGAGTGCATCTCAGTGCTCCAGCCGCAGTTGTCTTTGAGCTTGGTTCTAACACATTCGGAGGCCGCAACGAGTTCGAAACTGGAGTCGGTCAGCAGCAGCGCTTATGGTATGAAGCTTGCAGAAGCCATTCGCAATTATATTCAGTTCGAGGTGCCAGGCACATAGGGGATAGCAAAGCGGCTGACCTCTCTCTGCCAGCACAGTGCAGCATACTACGCAGATAATAGAAATCTACTGTGCCCAACTTCAACGGCGCCGACAAGAAGTGCGGCCTGATTGCCTGCCCTCAACCTTCCCCTCATGGGGGCACCATGCCAAGGCTCTAATCCGGGGTCGAGACCAAGGTAGACCATGTCACGCGATCAGCCGGGCTTCCTCCGACTCTGTGCTCTCCATCAGTCAGTCCACTGTCAGCACATCAGCTACCAACGAAACTCTTCAAACAGCGTCCATGGATGACACTGACTTGTCGAGAAGTCCAGAGTCGGAGATCCCGACCTCACCCATCTCGCCCGTATTCTCCCGTGGGGGTCATATCACCGACAAAGAGCTTATACTCCGATTCAAGCTGGTCGATGCACAGCGACATCGTGGAAAGATCACTCAATCACGCTATGAAGCTAAGTGTCAGGCTTTGCTACGATTGTCTAGCAATGAGGAGCTTCTGACGCGTGTTCATATACACGATGCAAGCCTCGCTCAAGGCAAGATCGACCAGGTGGGCTACGACAAGCGGTTGCGCTTCTTGATTGACAGACTCAGCGAGCCAGGCTCGCTCGCGGAAGATGATGAACAACACGAAATGGATCTCAAAGTTGAAGAGGCTCTCGATAAGAAGAGTCGCCGACTCTACGACGACCCTCGACTGCCGAAAGACTCTGCCAAGTCCTCATCTCCTGAGCAGAGAAGTCCCGAAGAAGAAAAGTTCTTCGCATCCGACGCTGAGCAAGGATGGACGTTCAAAAGTGACCGAGCAACACGCACTCGGTCGGCTGAATCGGGTCTGCCACAACCAAAGGCATATGCATCCGAAGACAGCGGTGCATCACTATACGGCGGCTATGATGCTCAGTACTCCTACGGCAGTTCCCCAGCAAGTCACAGCTATGGCTCGGACGTCGATCCACCTGATGATGATGATGGCTGGCGGGTGAATATTGCCTCCATGGAACCCAGAGGAGATGTGGAGCGTCCCGTCCGCGCCGCTACAAGCCGGTAGCCATGTTTCTGATTAGAAGTTGCCTCACTAAGGCGACCACTTCCACTGTAACCGACTTCAGGGAAAGCTTTGTCTACACTTCTCGATTCAACCGCTACCCTGTTAGACCATCCACGTGGCACCAGAAGATTTCATGTCGTCGGCCACGCATCCCTGCCAATCGAGGGACTTGTGCCCGTACCTGAAACTCTCATTTAGGTCCTGACCCGTCTGGTTGGGGCTGCTGCCCTCGTATTGGGTAACAGCTCGGCTCCCCGCTTTCTGTCCTCCTAAACCCAAGCCACACCGCCTCTCAATTACTCACTGCTTACAGTCACGCGACTTGATGCTATTACCGCTGTCGTCGTCATCATGTTAATGCCGTGTGGCTTCAACTGTTGGAATACAGTGGCTGCCGTTTCACATCGCTTTCTCAGCGGCAATTCAACTCCTGCAACCTCACAGCTCGACCATTACACAGAAACCCATTTCTGTACCGCACCACAATATCGCCACAGGTACTGCACCTCAATATCCTTACTCATAACGAACGGATACAAGAACCCGCCGAGAACCATGGGCGACTTTGTCTCCCGAGCCACACGTGCGTTGTTCTTCTTACCGCCTATACGGGAGCGGCCTCCTCCTGGCCAACGCCTCAAATACTCGAATGACGGCCATTCGCACCATGTCAGGGGCGATTCGAAGACCAGCGGCTCCAACACCCGCAACAGCACCAACTCCAGCAGTAATGCCAGCGCGCGCAAAAGCAGCACCACCGGCACCGACGGCCGTACTAGCACTCCGACTCGTGACAGCGCTGGCTCTCGCAGCAGCGGCAGCGGCAGCACCAGGAAAAGCAGCGGTAGCAGAAAGGGTAACACCAATGGCCCCAAAAGCTCTGCCAGCAACCAGACCAGGTCATCGCCATCCGTTCATCCAATGGAACAAGTGGCGCCCAAGTCTAACGGCCAAGGACCTACGATGGCCACATACGGCGACGAAGCCTTTACTGGCGTTGTTAGGAGATGACGCCGGGGTCTATGGAGTGCCAATATTGCATTGCAGGGGTCGTGAACCCGGCTCAGAAGCTTTTCGCTGGCTGAAGGAGGCCTTATAGTAGGAGTATCAATCACGTGATTGTCGCTTCTGATGCATGAACATATCGTATCCTGGAGTTGCTGCCTGCATGTATCACGTGAACCAAGACTTGCCTTACATGCGACGCCTGACTCCTCCATCGATCTTGCCGACCTAGTTCGAGTCAAGATATATGATGACTTTCTGACGCATCTGCAAATTGCATGACTGTGGTGAAGTGTTGATCCTCTCCTCCACTTCCGCCACATTTTACTGGACTATCTGGTTGAGTAAGCGGCCAATTTCAAAGCCTTAAATATCCGCCTTGGCTCGAGTACCTTGCCCAAGGATGAAACACCAAGATTACCGATACCACCAGCTAGACGACTCCGCGGATCAAATACGTTTGATCAGCATCCTCCCGAAACAGAGTAGGAAGAGACTGTGCCTCGAGTTAGGGACCGTATCGATCACCGAAGTACAAGGTCAATACGAGGCTGTATCATACACTTGGGGGTTTCAATCGCCGGAGCGCAATATCAACATAAATGGCAAAACGTTGAGACTACGCGACAACATATGGCGCTGTTTAAAACACATACGTGACCATGACCTGACAAAATCGAGACTCTGGATCGACAGTATTTGCATCAATCAGCATGATGATTACGAGAAGAGCCAGCAGGTTGCAAAAATGGGCCGAATCTTCACACGTGCATCCCGGGTTCTGATCTGGCTTGGGTCAACAAGTCTGCAGACATATCTTCCCCCTTCAGCATCTGACTCTTCAGACGATAGAATCGAAAAACTCCCTCCACATGATTTTGATGCCTGGCTCAACTTCCTAGGCCGATCAGACCCTAGGTCTAGGTCCCTGGAGAATCAAATTATGAGCATCGTATACAATCCGTATTGGGAAAGACTCTGGATTATCCAGGAGGTTGCACTGGCCCAAGATCTATGCCTTATCTTCGGCGAAGCCCTACTAGGAAAGGACTACATCTCTACAATCTACATGACCGCTCGCGACAACTCCAAACCAGGATACCATTCCTGGATGACCAGACAAAAAGATCCTATGATCGTCTACTCTGGAACGCACATACTGGACCACCATCCCATGATACATAGTAGGTCGCGGACTCAGTATTATGATGGTTCCAGAGAGTCTTTTCGTGAACTCATCAAATCGTTCCACAGCCATCATTGTACCGATCCCCGAGATTACGTCTTTGGTCTTGTTGGTCTCCTCGACCCTCCTCCACGGTTCCAGGTCGACTACTCGTCCAGTTGCGACAATGTTGCGGCTCACGCACTGCACTATCTACAAGAAGAAGAAGCAACGAACAATCCCCAGTACCGCGTAGGCTTGGATATCACCGCCGCAGCTGCATTACTACAAGCTCTGACTGTAACGTCCAGTACATACTCGAAGTTCGAACAAGAGCTGTCCACCAGTAAAGCCGAATGGTTGCAAGCAAGAGGGTTCAGGTTCTCTTTCAAGCGTTTCATTGTGCTCTATGCAGAGGACAGCATCCGGAATATCGAGGTGTGCACCAATACAGTTGATCGGAACAGACCAGGAGCCTCGAGAGGAGACCTACAACAGTCACAAAGCCAAGCCTCGTGGCAGGTAAAGCTACTGAATGGCTCTATCAAGCAGTTCGTTCCAGTTCGAGACACGAATGAGCTGCACGAGACTGACAATGTTGTGGTTTTGTGCTGGCTTGCTCTGTCACCAGCTGTCGTTGCGCGCAAAAGCCTTCACAACAGCCACAAAATCGAGATCGCGCATTTTATATGGCCGCACATGACTACTCAGCCCGACGATCAAGGACCATGGACCGAGCTTGAGATGCCGACGAGGGTTAAATCTGCTCTACAACGAGAAATCAATGCTTGTGGCATCGACTGGAACGACCTCTTCTCGGAGAATCCGGCCAATACTTTTGTGCATCTTTCCACTCTCGAGGTCGTGTCTTTATGCGAGATGATCATTCCTGTAAACTTCCGGCGACCGTGAGTGTTGGACTGGCTCTCAGAGATAGGACATTCTCAGACTCACCCAGGCCATCAACCCAGACTGGGAATTTACCACGTCCTTCTGGCGAGTTGACAAGATCTGTAAACTTTTGCCGTAACAGCCGACAACCCGGAGGTCTGCTTCCAACCAGACTTCCCCTAAGCGAAAGAACAGTGGCTTGCGTACCGAATCAAGCCCAAAGTCAAGAGTGACTTTCTCCAATCGTCACAGTGCATAAGGATACAAACCTCTGACCACCGACTCCCGACGCCGTAGACAGGCAAACCAACCAAATTTTGCGGGGTTATAACCTCGTATTTTGCCCCGGTCACTCCCCGCTGTTCATGCTGGGATTTCACCACCTTCAACAGCTTTTTGCCGTGCTTGCAGCTGCAAAACCGCAGATCCCCTGCGAGGAAACGGCATAGTCACCCCAATCGATTTCTGAAATGAGGCATCTTCGTAGTTCTCAAAGCAGAAAGATCGTGCCCCTCACCTTCTGCTTTCGGTTCGATCTTTTTGACGTCTGCATACACCCCGCATGGTCTGCTGCATTGCCAAGGGTGCTTTAGTTAGCGGGGGTACAGCCAGCCACATTGCAATCCATCAGGAGGAGTTGAGCTACCGGGCAGCAGCAGCAGCAGCAGCAGCAGCAGCAATTTTGCACTCGCAGTGCCTCAGAGCCGTAACATGTGGTGGTCGCCTCTGCGGACTCGACGCGACCGGCAGCGGTCCAGCGCTCAGCAGTCGGGCACCTGGGAAGACCACCCTCGTTGCCTAAGGTACAGAAGATCTCGTACCCGAATTGTCCGTCCCAAGCTCATGCACAAAGTGCAGCGGCGTTCGAATTGCAGATCTTCGGAAAAGGCAAACGCCACCGCCATCTACTGGCTACCGGCTCTCTCTGACTCCGTGCGCTTCGGATCGCACTACTCTGTCCTAGGTCCAGAATTAGGGCAGATCTTCTCGAATGTGGATCGTTTTTGGCTACTGGCTGCTGGCATCGCTTGCCAGAACTCATAACTGGGGGTACAGCATGTACTAAGGTACACTCTCAAACTCCGGCTCGGCAGTGAGTGGACAAAGGTGCAGTTCGTAAATCTGCTGATATTGGGATCGCCATTCCGGCGATTGTAACTGCTTGATTGCCAATGGCTTGTGCGGATAGAAAAGGCAATACTTCACACCAATACATCTTGGGCTCAAACAATGAGCGATCAAATCTTTGGCAGTATCGTAGATCTCTGGGAGTAGTGCTCGACTGCTGCGATGGCTTGCTTCTGCGCGACTGGGCGAGAGGTAGGGCGCCATGATATATCCCTACCATGCTCCACGCATCCATGCTCCTTGTAGCTATGCAGCCGTTCATGTTTGATACCTCTACCCTAGCGGACAGGTGTACCAACAAGCTTGGTAAAGCGTGCATTCCTATAGTTCGACCGCCGCCATACCATCAAGGATCAAGTTAGATAACGACTCTGCAGCGTCAAAATGTCCCCAGGTTCACCGCTCGTGGCCGAACACCCACCACCGATCCCACCAAGATCACCCTTTCGGACCTCACAATGCTACAAGCAGGATATCGGGGACGTGTGGATATCAGCTCACTCCACCTCGGTGCCCGGTCTCGAAGGGGATTCAGCCGCCGCTCTCTACATCGCCATAGACGAAGTTCTCGACACGATGACCTCGCGCTGGCCATACAAGATGGCCGGAAAGCAAAATCGCATCCCCATTGCCATTAAACCGCAACGTTGGCTCTCGGCTTACGCAGAGGGGAATGTCGACTCGTCGACCTCAAGCGTCTATTCTTGTTATCCTGAGGATCTGGACAAAACCTCGGAGACTCCGCCGCAGAGAGAGGAGGAGGCTTTCTACGCCGAATCGTCTGACCCGTCGAGCCCACGCACCTCCTGCGAGAGGTCAGGCTCATTCTCCTCAGCAGCGACCTCGGGTAAATCCTCAGACGAGCTCAGCTCGTTTCCATCGCCACCAGGCGTCCAAGTCCAGGATTTCAGGAGCAAGAATCCGATAAACTCCGAGGATGTGTCCGTGGCAAGTATGATCTGCCCGATAGAGGAACTGCCCGCAATCATCTACCAGCCCCGAATCGTCGCATCCATCAACGAAGACACTGACGACGAGATGATGTTCCCTCCTCACCCGGCTGTACGGCTGCCCTCCTCGCGAAAAGAAGCGATTCGTGCAACGACACGACCTGGCCGCTCATTCAGCCTGGGCGCGGTACTGACACTGCAGAAGAGGAGGTCGTCGATACGCTCGTCTCGGAGACACACAGTACCCTGACGAACAGTACTTCCCGGTAAATACCTCCGTGTTCGGAACTAGATATCTTGCGAGCGGAGGGAGAGCGAAGCTCGCGCCTCATCAGCCCCGTTCATAGTCGCTCCTGTATGGCTCGAAGTAATGCGACATTTCGGTCCCGCACTTCTCGTACTGGCATTTCCGGTAGAAGCCCTCGTTCTCCGGGCTGCAGTCCAAGATGGCCTTGTAGCAGCCGATGTTCTGCGCGACCGAGTCCAGCGCGTTGATGAGCAGCTTGCCGAGACCCTTGCCTTGGTGGGCTTTCGCGATCGAGATGTCCTCGATGTGACCGATCGTGCCGAAGTTGTGGATACTGTGAAGGGCATGGTTAGCACGCCCGTGTGTATAACGATAGTATGTGTCGTGGTGCAAGGCGGACAGGGTCTTGGACAGCAGCAGGTCATCGACCACTGGCACGACATGCGAAGGCAAACCTCCGAAGACCATCGCTCTCTTCCCCACCACCCACCAAGAAACAGACAGGAACGCCGACTTGTCTCCGACAAAACCCCAACAACAACGAGCTCACGTCAAAAACAAGACCCAGGAAAAAAAAAGGCAAGGCACTCACAATTTCCTCTCCACAATCACCACCCCGGTCCCGACGATCCTCCCCTCAAAGTCAATAACCACATTATAAAACCACCCCTCCCCCTTCGCGACCATCCAATCATACTGCTTCTCAAAGTCCTGCTGCGTCGGCTCACCTATCCACGTCAAGGTGGCCAGACAGTCGAAGTAGCCCCTGGAAAAATCGTCGCGCTGGAGGGGCCGCACGCTGTAGCCTGGGGGCGTCGCGGAGTGGATGGCGGGGCTGAGGAGGGAGGGGGGAAAGATTGGGGGGTGGGTTTGTGGCATGTTTCTCGGGGTGAGGATGGGGCAGGCTGTGATGATGTTGATGGGAGGTTTGTAGTAGGTGTAGGAAGGCAGGTACAGGGTGAATGAGAAGTCGGGTGGGAGGCGTGTGAGATATGTGTGCAAGAGTGAGTGGGGTGGTGGGGGGCGGGGGAATCAAATGGGCTTGGTCCGGGGTAGTCAAGATCTGATAGGCACAGCGAGGCTCGCGCACTCACTCTATCCAACCCCCCCGGTATGTGTATTTGCGATGCCAGGGCTGACAAAGTTGAGTCCTCGAGCTTGACTCGAGCTTTGGAATCAATAAGAGGCTGCTAATTGCTAGCCCAGCAGAAACTAGAACGGAACTGTATTTTGAGCCGGCGTGAGTGCCATCCATGTAAATGCGAGTCCCGCGATGACCAGTGTTCGCCTTCCACAGCCCCGAATATGCAATCCTAGACCTCCGTCCAACGTAGCCGGTCCTGGTAACACTTTGTGCGCCTGGTGACATACCGCCAGAGATGCCCATGCGATCTCAAATGTCGTCGTATGAATCGTCAATCACAGCCTTCGCCAACTGTTCCCCCTTTTCGCCTCCACTCAATATCCTCTCAGTCAGATATTCGCCGATCTTCGCACTCAACTTCGCCCCCAACGGCTCTTCGCTGTGGCCATTCATTTGCACGTCCGGCTCCTCTTCTACAAGTGTTGCCAGCGCCTCCAAGATCGCCTTCACAACCTCATCACGCTCCTCCGCCTTTGTGCTCCCATCAATGATGGCGGTGTCGGTGAGAATCTCCTCATACGCCCTCAGGTTTGGGACCACAAGCTTGCGAACGATTTCCGCGCCACCTATGGCACGAAGTCCCTCGAGAGCTCCCCAGTGCGCACCTAGTGATTTCTTCGGGTCGAGCCAGCACCGCAAGCATGTCCGTGCGAGGCGGGGCTTGAGCCCAGACGACGATCTCGCGTATTTAGTGGAGAGTCGTGCGAGTAGCGACGCAGCGAGTCGTCTTACTGAGAAATGCTCGTTGTTGCCCTGTGGGCCAAGATTGCGGCCAATTAAGCAGGTGAGGATGCCCGGGATGAGTGATGGAACATATGCGGCTAAGTTTAGTGTGCCGTTGCGAGATAGTGCGTCGGCGATCGAGAGTACGGTTGTGAGGGTAAAGATTGCGTTGGGACTTGACGTGGCATGCGTGATCTTTTCTGAGATCCAGGAGACGAAATATGGAAGCAGCTGTGAGATGCCGCCGTCCGAGCGTAATGATGCTAGCGCTGCAGCACGCAATTCAGGCTGGTCCTCGGAGAGCGCCGAGGAGGCGATGCGCTCGAAATAGAGCTGTAATTCTTGCGAGAGGTGATGTTTTACCAGTGGTTTCGTGCCCGACGAGTCGATACCCGCCATGGCCTGGAGGTACGGGTTGGCCGACTTCGCAACGAGGTCAACACCGCGGCTTTCCGTTGCTGTTGGGTTCTGCGCAGTGGTCGGCTGCTGGCCGTCAACCGCTAGCCAGTGAGCTGTAAAACTGCATTCGCGGGGTACTTTCGGTAGTGGTGCGTTGATGAGCTTTTCGAGTTCGAGTTCTTCGTCTTCCAACCAGTAGATCGGTTGCCCGGGCCTGGCGGTGTCAGTCGCATATCTAATATGCTGCCCGAAGGTGCAGCGGACGGCGTGGCAACTGAACACAACTTACCCGAGAGATGCTTCGCCATACTTCAGCGCACGTGTCGACTCGTATCCGTAGAGCTTCCAAACTTGTCAGCTAACCGCGCCTCAATACTGATCGCATCGCACCTACCGGTTCGATGTCTAGCGCCCGCAGCGCGTTGCTGATATCTTGTGTCCAGAGAACATTCCTCTTAGCTTTCCGCATCCATTTCAGAGCCTCTTCTACCACCACGGCCACGCGAAACTCAACATCTTGCGCTAACCTAGCTGTGACCTCCTTGTTTAGATTGAGTACGCCCACCGCTTCGGCAACATCTTTGACTGAGTCGCTGCCCCACAAAGTCATGGCTGCGGTTCGAGCCTCAGGTAAGACACTGAGCTTGCGATCATGCGGCAACGGACGAGTAAGATTCTTTCGGCAGATGTGGAAGTCAAGCGCAATGCGAACTGCGCGGATAGGAGGTGTGTGTCGTTTGGCGATTCAAGCGAGACCCGCGGGTGTGAGGTGCGCGCGTTACGGTTGGTAGGGTCGCGCGATGGTCTGTTTTGTTTCCAGCCAAGGTCTCTGATTATTTTCCCACTCACTGTCGAGGATTCGAAGGTGCTGTCGTGCACTTCGCGATTAGGGCCGCTTGACTTGTACTTGTGGTTGCGAGCAGGTTGCTGGCATACGTGGTGAACACTCCCCAGACTTTCGCATTCGGCACGAGTCAGCAGTATACAGAACCTTGGCATTCATGAGTCGCATACTGTTCGAGAGAACCAGGCAGTGAAAGGCACCACTCTCCTTAAGATTTCGCTGGATTCTCACAACCTGCAGACAGAGGACAGGCTAACGAGAAGCCAATGTTGGGAAGAGTCTAGAATCTATACATGGATTTTCTTTACTGATGCTGTTCTTGGGGGCAAGTCAAGCAATCAACTACTCCTCTCCTTCCTCAGCGACCCGCCACACCAAGCGCGCACCGCTAACACCCTTTGTCTTCAGAATATGCAGCGCCTTTTCCGCCCTCTCGAGTAGCGTCTGCCCCTCAACAAGCACCATGTCATTTGGCTTGACGATCCCCATGCTCAGCGCCGCGGGCATGATATCGGCCTGAAGATGCCGCGCCAGGAACTCATTGTCTGCATAAAAATGCGTCCGTACACCACTAGGCTTTACTCCAGCCGCCCACGAGGCGCACTTCGTTACATCCATCTCGTATACGGGATTAATGCCCTCTGACGCGTCGACCACGATCACGGGGAGCATAATCGCTACGCTCGTGCCGGCCTGGGCGATCTTTGAGATTGGTTGGAGGGTACCAGTCTGGCTACCGATGCAGTCGATAATGTACTTCACGAAGTCTTTGCCGCCGGAGTGCAGCGATAGAAACTCGGAAATCGCATTGGTCACGTTGTCTGACCGGTAGTCGAAGCACGCACGTGCCCCATGCGTCTGAAGCTTGTCGTGGTGCGCCTGGCTGGATGTCGCGATAATGTTCTTGTAGCCGTAGTATTGCAGAATCTGAATCGAATATTGTCCCACGCTTGAAGAGCCGCCCCAGATCAAGATCCAGTCATCGGCCTCTGGTGGTACATAGTTCGCGGGTTTTGGCCATGGGAGCTCAAAGTTCAGTTCCTTGGTGATTGTATGCCATGCTGTAACCTGTAAGAGGCTAGGTCAGCACGATAACTCCAACTATAAGGTAGGCGGACTGACAAAGTTGTTGCCAAGCACGACCATTTCCTGCATCGTATGACCTGGTGGTACGAGTCCGAAGAAATTGTCTGGTGCTGTGCAATAGAGCTGGTGCGACTTCTCGACATTGTTGCGCCATGTGAATCCCGCCACCTTGTCGCCGACTTTATATCTGGCTGTCAGTCCAGCTTCCACAACCGTGCCAGCTGTACCATCGCCGAGCCCTTGAGGGTGTTTGACCAGAAGTCCGCCAATAGCTTGGTGCATATCCAGTGGCGTCGAGGCAGTCCACTCAACCCTGACGCGGACTTCATTATCTTTGGGCCGCACGGTCGGTACCTGATGAACTTCCAGTGGTGCTCCCGGAGCAACAGTCACGACGCGAGGATGTGTTGACATTTCGAATGCAGTCCAATGGGGTGTAGACGCCTAAGGCGGTAGCAGCTTCTCATGGGTAGCCTCGACTTCAAATAGGCGTCTCACACCGGAAACGAGGTGGTAGCTGACAAACCAGGAGCCACGCCATCGGGCGACTGGCATATATGCTCCAAGCATGTTTCCTCTGCCGCGCAATTGATATGTCCAGGAATCTGGACTCTGTCGATCACCCCAGTTTCGTCCGTTGAAGGCCTGACAAATTATTCGGACGAACCCTTGGCGTGCCAAGACTTGATCTTGGGGCGGGCTTCACGTATCGAGAATGGCTGAATGTGAGGGGATCATGGAACTCCTCATACCGGACCCATCGTGAACATCATGGGCCTCGGATTGAAGCGAGTCAGCTGCTCATAGAGGGTCGACCTCAAATTCGAGGACATTGCCGTGAAACCCTGAGCCGGAGAGTGCTGCCCTAACGCGAGGCATATCCACGCCAGCTTCGAAGCCTGGCACATGGCTGGCCATAGCCATGTGAGTTTGGCCTATCTCGAACAGCTTTGCCACGACCCAGTCTCTCTCCTCCCTGTCTTGCAGTACTGTCAACGATATCCGCAAGCCAAAGATGATGAAGAAAGGCCCGAGGAACGAAGATGTCAGCATGTACTTGACACTGCGACAGATCTCGAGCGCCGAGTCGCGGTTCTCGGCGCGGTATAGACCGATCTTTTCCGGCTCAATATCTTTGGAAAGCTCAATGAGGACAATGTTCAAAAGGATATTGATGGTCCAATATCCTGTCACGGAGGACGCGACGAAGATGTTGGGAAACCGGTAGTAGATAGGTATAGCTGGATCGTCGCTGAGAGTCGCTGTCCAGGAGAGTCGGCATTTGGAAAGTGCACCTTTGAACTTGAAGTAAAAAATCCGAAAGCTCTGGCGGAGGTTGGAGCATCTTTCGATGAGATCGGCAATGAAGTCGCGTAACGTGGGGAAATGTGCTTTCTCGGCTTTCCAGATGCTACGAAAGTGCTTTGAGCGGTACAGGAGTTCGGGGATGTCGAGCATGCAGTCGTACAGCATCTCGGCCAAGTCGAACAGCTCGAGAAAATGGACATCGCGCCCGGTTGAGCGGAGATCGTGGAAGATAGATTTGCTCAAATCGCGCCACTCGGGCTCGGCCAGGAAACAAGGCTGGTCTCTCTGGCATGCCTCTGTTCATGGTAGAGCTCACGTTAGCGAGCTGGACTCGTGGAAGGAGAGGAATAGCGCAACATTATAATTCTTGACCTGTGTGTCTGACAGATGTACTCCAAGGATGAGCCACTCACCAATGATAATGGTATGTCGATAGGCGATGAACATTTCTCTTGCCATTCCGAATCTGTATGCATCAGGGCCACGAGCCTTGATCAAAGCGCCAGCGCCTCCGGCGTGTGCTACCCAAGAGGCGTTGCTGTCGGAGGCGAACATCTCATAGAACGACAGCATGATTGTCGATGCGAGGGTCTCTTCTGCCATTCCGGTCTCTTCTGTGAGTAATGCTTTGTTGAGGAGTTTCAAGGTCTTTCCGTACCACGGTCGACTCTCTTCGAGACATCGTGTAGACCCGTGAAGCCGACCCAGGTGAGCTAACGTGACTGCTCGAACAGCGCAATCAAGAACTTGATGATGCCCACCCATAAGAGGTGGTAGCATCTTGAACCAGCTTCCGTGCGATCTGAGCATCTCTGGAATATTGTTGGTTTGATTTGGTGGGAACATGTTGCTATGCATGACATTGAAGAGCTGCTCCTGCATTCCAAAAGGCGCGCGCACCGATGCTAACGACAGGGGATTCTCGCTGATGATCTGCTGCAATGGACTCCCGTCGAAAAGGAGGGAAGCACTGGGTCCCAGAGCGTCCCTGTCGTGCTGCGACACATCGACATATTTGTTCTGCTCTAGAAACTGGAACAGCGAATTGCCGTGAACAATGATTCCCAAGCTGTGGACAGAGTCGACAGGGGTTCCAACTATAGGCGAGTCGTCAACCTCAATGGAATGGTCGATAACCTCCGTTGTTGTTGTTGTTGATTCGGTCGAGCTACTGTTGAGGTTCAAGGAGGTTGTCGAGGCTGTAGAGCTCTCACCCTGGAACGAGGCTTTGGTCTCATACTTTCGCCTCAGACGAACTCCTTCATCCTGGAACTGAGGATGATTGGTATCGTGGTTCGCAAGTGGGGAATCGGAGTGATGACTTACCTTCAAGCCTTCCGAATAGACGCAATCCCGGTTCCCCTTTTGGCAATTACCGCAGACAGGTTTGCCTTGATCACAACGTACTCGCCGCTGGACACAAGTCCTACAGCCTTTTGATCGAGGCACACCGACCATGATATGCAGTCACTGATGCGCACGAATGTGCGTACGTCATGCTTGACTACGCAACGTGCTGAACCTGTTCTGGTGTCAAATTCATAGTTCTGTCTCTTGATGGCGCGGAGCAGATGTATGGCAGTACGCTGCGGAGGACGTCGTCGCCTACACTGTGTGCGAACCGGTACCTGGAGGCCACGGCAGAGCTGAAACGAGGCGGTTGAGACGCGTCAGGCTGCTGTCATTTCAGTGTGGGCCAATCGGAAGCAGCAGAATACCATATGGTGGGACCCACTCAGTGAAGAAGGCCTCCCAGTTTACTGTTCGTGATGGGCGATGATGGGAGGGGCAAGCTGTGCATGGTTCCACTATGAAATCCTGAAGCTTTTATGGCGGACTCGAGTCTGCCTTGTCTGCCTTGACTCCTCGCTTAAAATGCTGTGGGAGGTGGCCTTGGCTTGTTCCGCCTCGCCTTGAACGGCATACATTCCACTGCCAAAGCCTCGTCCTCTTCGCTGACCTTCCCACTCATGAACTCCCTAAGCCTCAAGCTCGTCCATGGCAACATCATCCTCATCAGTGCCAACAATGGCTTCCGAGACTTTCCACACCTGAATGAGATTGTCGTCTGCCGCACTGCACACAACCCATGCGTTGTGCATATTCCAAGAGAAGTCGCTAATACGGTTCTGGAAGGACAAGTTAGTACCACGTGAGAGCGCAGCAGCGCGCGATAGTATGAGGAGCTTACAGTGTGTCCGCCGTGCATGAATAGGAGCTCTGGTGGCCCATCCTGGCTGTCTTCGGGGTTCTGCTCCTCGCCCACACGAGCTAAGTCCCAGAAGATGATTCTGCGGTCGTAGCTGCTGGAGCCGAGCACTGACTCTTCGAATGGATGCCACTCCAATGCTGTCACGCTGTCTTGGTGGCCCTCAAGTGCATGCACCTTGTGTTTTAGATTTCTCATGTCCCAGATAGCGATAGTGGAATCTTCGCTGCCAGTCGCCACTACTGTCTCCGCCGCAGGGTTGAACGCTAGAGCATTGATGGCGCCTTTGTGCTGATCACGGCCAGACACAACCGCAGCTTTTGTAGGATCTGCTGAGCGCACATCGATGATTTGCAAAGTCACATCGTCCGACACCGATCCAATGAGAGATCTGTGGAATGGATGGTATTGTACGTCATTGACAATGGACGCGTGGTGCGAGCATACCCGTGTTGGATGAATAATCGTGTTGGTCTTGGTCGCCTGCGTGATGTCCCACAGTCTTACGGTAGTGTCTTCCGATGCCGTCGCCAGGTGGCCGGCCTCAAGCGGGCTCCAGCTGAGACCGTAGCCTTCGGCGTCGTGACCATGCAGTTCGATCTGTGGCTTTATCTCGGATGAGGGGGTACTGGAGTGCTTGGACTTATCCCAGATCAGTACTCGTCCATCTGTGCACATCGTTGCGATGATATTTGGGTTCTGTGGCTGGTACCGAGCACGGTTGACTTCACCGGGATGTGTGATCTTCTGAATGATGTTGAACTTGACTTCAATCTGAGACTTGCTTGTCGGACCGCCTCCATAGCCGCCAATTTCTCCAGTCTCTTCATTGTAGTCTTTTGCATTTGGTGCAGGTGGATTTGGTAGCTGAACGTTGGCGATTTGTAGATAGTTGGGCTGGTCCTGAGCTGTGTGTGTTCCAATCAACAGCCGATGTTTCGAATAGTTGCTGCCTGGTACTCTTCTCTGGATTAGCACATATCTTAACCTCTCCGTAAAGGCCATACTCTTGCTTGTCTGGAAACCACTGAGTCGTCAATGTAGGCCAGTCGAGCGCGGTGCTTAGAATCATGTCGTAGAGGAATGGCGCATTTTTCTTCCATGTCTTATACTCTTCATTGATGATCTGCTGTTCGTTGTTCTTCTCCGTGTTCTCGGCGGCGGTGAACTCTTCGCTCACTGTAGATTGTTAGCGGAGTGGATGCGACAGCGAGCTGTGGTGCGGCATACTGTTGTCGTCTTCCTCCATTGTGGCAGAGCCTATGTCACAGGAGTATTGGAAAGACCGTTAGGCTAGACAAGAAGCTTGAAGGGAACTGGAGCTGGCTGATTAGCGAAAGGTACTGGTCTCGACCCCAGGTTGTAAATCTAGAGCACTCAACGCGCTCGCGGCTCAGGCGACGCGTGCGGGCTGCCACTATCGATAATGCAACCTGACCTTGGCTACGGCGGCCTGCAACGCCACAAGGCGGCCGCCACCGCCTGATTTCTTGGCTTTTTCAACGTTCATTCAGTCATCGACTCTCCTCCACAGTCATCACTCGAACAACAGCAAAGGAGAACCTCCTCCTCTTGATACCCTCTACCTTCTACCCCCTTTCCCTTTCCCTTCCTTCATCTCTACTCTTCCGAAAAGCAGAGGCCACTTCGCTCGACTGAGCTTAGCCTCATCATCAACCTTCGATCTCGTGACTCAGGCCACACTATTTTAGAGCATCTGATCAATCTCGCTGGAATCGAGTCGCAGCCATGGGTGTTCCAAAGTTCTTCAGGTGGCTCGGAGAGCGCTATCCTTCAATCTCGCAGCTGATCGCGGAATCAAATGTGCCTGAGTTTGATTGTTTATACCTGGATATGAACGGCATCATACACAACTGTACCCACAAGGATGGCGACTCGGCCACTACACGAGTAACTGAAGAGCAGATGTTCATCGCCATCTTCAATTACATCGAGCACCTCTTTGGCAAGATCAAGCCTAAGAAGCTTTTCTTTATGGCCATCGATGGTGTAGCGCCTCGGGCAAAGATGAATCAGCAGCGCGCCCGCCGCTTCCGCACAGCCCTTGACGCGGAAAAGATGCGTGAAAAGGCTATCAAAGAAGGCGTCGAAATGCCTAAAGAAGACCCCTTCGATAGCAACTGTATCACACCTGGTACGGAGTTCATGGCCAAACTGACTCTCCAGTTGAAGTATTTCGTCAGCAAGAAGGTCTCGGAAGACATCGATTGGCAAGGCGTTGAAATTGTCCTATCTGGCCACGAAGTCCCTGGTGAGGGCGAGCACAAGATCATGGAGTACATTCGCCAGGCAAAGGCCCAACCTGAGTACAACCCTAATATTCGGCATTGTTTGTATGGATTAGACGCCGATCTGATCATGCTGGGTCTTTTGAGCCATGATCCACATTTCTGTTTGCTGCGCGAAGAAGTCACCTTCGGACGATCAAACTCGAAGAAAAGCAAGGAGTTGGAACATCAAAATTTCTATCTCATGCACCTTTGCATTGTTCGCGAATACTTGGAGCTGGAATTTCAAGAGCTTCGCGAGACTGGAGCGCTGGATTTTGAATTCGACATGGAGCGCGTTATTGACGATTTCATCTTGATGGCTTTCTTTGTTGGCAACGATTTCTTGCCGAATCTTCCCAATCTTCACATCAACGAGGGAGCATTGGCGCTCATGTTTCAAAAGTACAAGGAGATTCTTCCTCGGATTGGCGGATATATCAACGAGCAAGGCGTTATCAATCTGGACAGGCTTTCTGTTCTCTTAGATGAGCTCTCCGAGGTGGAGCACCGGTTTTTCCAAGCCGAGTATCAGGATGCCAGCTGGATTGCTGCCAAGAAGCAGCAACCCAGCAACGATGACTCAGCCCTGAAGCCCGGCAAGGTTCCAGCAAGGATCACGATCGATCAGAAGAAGTTGCTCGAGCAGATCAGGACTTATTTCATAGCGCCTGCCAACAAGAGCTCATGCGAGCCTCTCAATCTACCTAGCACTCTTCCAGCAAGAGACCGAAAATTCGTACAACAGTTAGCCGTCAACTTGAATCTCGAGTGGAGTACTGAGGAAGATGCCGATGGGAACCGCTTCATACAGCTGCGATTTCCACTCGCCGACCAGGATGACGATGACTCCGTTGACGACGAGGAGGCTCAGGCTGCGGCCACGCGCATTCTCAAGCGCTACAAAAACGCCAAAGTGGAGGAGAATTCCAGCGAAGAGGCCCAGCAGCAGATGCAGAAGAAATACGACGACAAATTTCGTCAGTGGAAGGATAAATACTATACTGACAAGTTCGAGTGGGGCTTGGATAACGATGAGGAGATGAGGAAGCTCACGGAGAACTATGTTCAAGGCCTTCAGTGGGTGTTGTACTACTACTACCGTGGCGTTGCCTCATGGCCGTGGTTTTATCAATATCATTATTCGCCAATGATTTCCGATGTCAAGAAAGGCTTGGGCGCGGACCTAAACTTTACCCTCGGTCAGCCTTTCCGACCATTCCAGCAGTTGATGGGAGTGCTTCCGGACCGCAGCAAGAAGATTGTCCCAGCTGTTTACCACGAGTTGATGACTCTACCAAGTTCACCCATCATTGACTTCTATCCACGTGATTTCGATCTGGACATGAATGGCAAGAAGCAGGATTGGGAAGCGGTGGTCAAGATTCCCTTCATTGACGAAAAGCGCCTCCTGGGCGCAATGGCGACCAAGGATCCACTTCTCACCGATGACGAGAATCGGCGCAACGATTTCGGTGTCACCCTCAAGTTCACCTACGATCCGGAACTGGACTACACATACCCATCGTCATTCATGGGCGTGTTCCCGGATTTGCCTCACTGCCACTGCTTACAGAACACTTTCGAGCTCCCGACCATGGATGGTCTTGAGCCGTATGTAGGCCTCGTCGAGGGCGCCAAGATTGGCATCAATGCGCTTGCCGGCTTTCCTAGCCTCAAGACCCTGCCGTTCACGGGCAGCCTTGGTTTTCATGGCGTCAACGTGTTTCAGCAAGACAGCCGAAATGAAAGCATGATTGTCACCCTTTCTGACACGGAACGGCGTACGAAAGTTGAGTACGCCAAAACTCTTCTCGATCGACGCGTGTACGTTGGCTACCCTTTCTTGCAAGAAGCCAAAGTTGCCAAGGTGTCAGACGAGTTGTTCGACTACGTCCACGATCCTGCAACCAAAAGCCTCAAGGCTATTGAGCACGATGGGAGAGGAATTGATGACTTCAGAAAGAAGGCCGACCGCATCGAAAAGTTTTACAGCAAGCGACTTGGCATGCTGGCAGGTGATGTGGAGTCAGTCGTGCACATCGAGATGCTCAAAGGTCTGAGAAAGATGGAGGACGGATCCACCGTCAAAGAGTATGCAGAGATGCCCGGCCTTGAGACCGTTCATGCGTCGCAGCTGATCGTTGAGAATGTCGTCAGCGAAGACGCGCGTTTCATCGAGCAGGCCGCACTTCCCATTGAAGAGGACTTCCCAATCAACACCAACGCATTCTTCTTGGGCGACTATGCCTATGGCCGGCCAGTCTGCGTTGTCGGACATCAAGGCGGAAAGACCAAGTGCTTGGTAGCAACTTCGCCTGGTCGGCAACTGGAGTTCGGCAGGGATATTGCACGCCAAGCTGAGAAATTGTCACCATACTTTCCCTCTTACATGGTTGCCAGACAGCTGTCACTCAACGCACTGGCTTTGGCGAAGATCACATCCTCGTACCAGGTCAAAGTTGATGATACGCGGGTGAACCTGGGACTGAATTTAAAATTCGAGGCCAAGAAGCTTAAAGTCCTGGGATATTCTCGGAAGAGTGCTGGCGGATGGGAGTTTAGTACTGCCGCCATCAACCTGCTGACCTCGTACATGACCAACTTCCCTGACTTCATCGCTGCGATACATCACAACCCACAGGGTGACATGTTGTCGCCGACGGACCTCTTTCCCGGAGACGAAGCTGCGGCGAAGGCGCGCGTCAAACAAATCCAGGCCTGGTTGAAAGAGATTGAATCGAAGAATTTCGACCGCGTCCCATTGGAAGCCGAACAGCTTGACTCGGACATCGTCAAAATGATTGAGAAGAAGGCTGACGAAGTTGTTGCCAGCGAGGCTCCACCGGTGAACAAGGCCATGAACGGCATTCCCCGTCAAGCTCTGCTCAAGCCATCTGATGCCCAGTGGCGTCTTGGTGGGCAGCAATTTGTTCTCGGAGACCGCATCATCTACGTGGCGGACTCTGGAAGAGTCCCGATTGCATCAAAAGGAACGGTCGTTGGTCTGACACAGACCACACGCGAAACATTCCTCGATGTGGTGTTTGATGTGACGTTCATGAGCGGCACGTCCCTGGGAGACCGTTGCTCGCCGTTCCGTGGCTCCACCGTGCCTACTTGGACGGTGCTCAACCTCAGCAACAGACAAGTGTTGTCTATGTCGAAAGCCGGATCGGATCGTCAAGCCAATGGAACTACGCAAACACCGTTGACGGTTGGCGGCTATGGTATGCCTGGTAATCAGCTGCGAGAGGCTGCAGCCCCCGCACCACTGCGGGGTGGCTGGCGAGGAGCTGTCGCAGGTTCTCCCAGTCGCGGTTCGTCCAATGGCCGTGGTCAAACGAATGGTTCCCTACCTTATCGCAACCAAGGCAGCCCAGCAGGACAAGGAGGAGTCAATGGTTTTGCCCCACGTGGTCGCGCTGGATTAGGTTCGCCGGCTCAGTCTACTCGGGGTGGCTACGCTCCCATTGACCGTGGGGATCAGAACAATGGTGTGGCTCATTTTAATCCAAACTTTCGCCCGCAGCAGCACAACAATGTGCCGCCGCCCCCGAGCCTTAATGCTCCCACGGGCGGGCGTGGTCGGGGCCGTGGCCGAGGTGGACCGCCAAGAGGCGGAAGGGGTGGAACGCGAGGAACTTGACGAGGCCACAGCACACACAGACAAGAAATATCTGGACGTGTGAGACGGTGATTGGCACGGGGCGATAAGACATCTTTGTCACATGTTTATTGAACCCAACCTGCAGCGTGGTAGTGGCCGGAATGACAGAATTCTCCTTCTAGACCGGGTTGAATAAGACATTGTACCGCCTGAGCTCCCCATAACCCACTGCTTCGCTTCTCTACGCGTGAATTGCTCCCATGACCCAGTGCGGCATCGAGCGCGTGCTGTACAAATGCTCACAGACCGCGACAGACCGGCAATGCTAGAGCCTGGTAATCAAGCACACCTGCCCCGCACTTTGAGGCCATCCAAGTCGACCGCGGCTGCTCGTGTCGGAAGCAGCATGCCTGTCTGATTCGGACAAATCGCCTTGACTCATCCAGCATGACAACAAGCACATGATACCCTCGCATCCCACTTGGGACCTAGTCTGTGCACGACCTGCGCGTCATTTCGATGAACACTTTTCACTCCATGGACCCGGCGGAGCCGTCCGCTGCGACCGTTGATTTGGTGCCGCCGACACGTACCTGAACGATTGCTGCATGATTGCTTCATGCCTCACCTCAGAAGTCCCCACCCCTCGCATGCAGTAATGCAGTAATCCCTCGTTTCCGGTCGCCCTAGCTAAAGCGTACCCCCACACTATTGCTATCACGCTACCTCACTGCTGTTGCGCAATCAGAGGCTAACTAACCTACTACTCCCGTCCAGCACGGCACACGTGCACCGGGACCCCCGTGCACCACCTTCTGAGAGCTGACAGACAACCCTGGGAAACCGTAGAGTGGTTCATCGTCATACGCAGCTCACCACCACCGCCGACTCTACCATTTCCCACCCACACCCGCTCGTCATTGAGTCAGGTGTTGCATGCCCCTGTTCTGAAGCGCGCCACCTGTTGTAAAAACCCGTTGTTAGCCGGGTCCTGCATCCACCAAGGACAACGTTCGCCTAGGAACGAGCCAGCCCGCGTTTCCTGCCACGCACGAGTCTAGGCGACTCTTACTGGATCCTTTCCCCCCCAAGCCAGCGACATCAGCACGGTACAGCGTTTCGGCCAGAGACGTTGCATTCAACTTTCAAACGAGGGCGTGCCACACACACCCAGACTATTCCTAGCCATCTACTGATTCTTACCCACGCTCCGCAACTGTGGATTCACACGCTGCGTCATCTCACACGCACAGCAGAGACAGACCATAGCTTTGCATTCTTTGTGGTTTAAGCATGAGAACCACGGGACAGGGGATTTTGACCTTCTATCGACCACCGGGACTTTGAATAGATGTATTGGCTTGTCGACAGCTGATCCAGGACCACACAGCCCAGCTCGATAACACCACTACTATCCGCTCCCATAGATCCACCTCGTGCGGCAACCAGCTGCCTCAGGCAAACCTTGTGGCTGCCTGTCACCCCAAATTCGGGGAAGTCCCTGGTGACTCTGCTTCACCGCAGGACCCTTGGAAAAGGCCACTTCGACTGCAACGGGATCAAGCCTTGCCCCCAAAGTTTCGTTGGCAGTTGACCGTCAGCTTCGCGTGGACCAAGTAGCTCGCTCGAGTGCCTGGAATCCGCTGGTGCACCGGTATGATTGATTCAGTCAATCTCGTGTCTGCACAGATCTCTCTGCTGGAACCCCGACTCGCGTTGATCCATATTCCCATCGAGCTATATTCCCTCTTCCTGCAACCCATCCTGCAGCTCCTCTTCGGGGAAGACCACGATGAGGACGCCGCGTCCGTACCGTGGACGAACCGCCATGAATTCCTGAACGTTTCAATCACCCCGGAGGGCTGTTCCGTGATATGTACACGGTATTTGGCGGATAAGTACATGGTTCCGATAAAACGCCAGTACGAGAATATAGCTTCAGGCGTCGAGAATTTCGATGAAGACTATATAGTCATCCAGGTCGACGGTCAAGGTCTCGATGCGGGACAGAGGGTGCTAGAGCTGACCTCACCCTTGGCAATGGCCGGCATATCCATTTTCTTCATCACGACATACTTTTCGGACTATATTCTGGTGCCCTCGCGCGCGCGCCGGACCGTCACCAAGGCACTCGAGCAACGAGGCTTCGTCTTCTCTCAGTCCGTGGATGCATTCGTGTCTCAGCTGTCACCAACACTGCCATTTACAGGCCATCATGAGCGAGTGCCTTCATCACCGTCGAGCGTCGGCAATGGCATACCGTCAACACCGCCGGCCAAAGACCTTCCAGAGCTTCAGCGGCGAACCTTCACCAAGCTCAAGAAAAGCAACATCGTTCCGTACGTCGATCGCGAGCTCCGCTTGATCAACTGTGCGGGAAACTGTGATGACGCTGCAGCTCAAGAGACGTTGAAAAACGACCTTTTGCAGGTCCTCTTGTCCACATCGCCAACCAAATTGAAACGGAAATGCCCGGGGAAGCAAGCAAACGGCAACGGTGTCGGTCATGGCAGCGTGTCCGATAACTCATCATCGTTCATCTCCATCACAATCACGGGCAACGAACCAATCTCCATCTTCCTCGAAACCCGCCTGCTCGAGCGCCTGGGAAAGACGCTGCTTGGTGCGAACACGCCTGACCCGGAGAACACACTGGTTCCCATCACCTTCGACTTGCAAGCACTGCCGATGGAAGCCACGGGTATCGTATGCGGCGTGGCAGGATGTCTTGCGGCCGGAAATACCGGTGCGAGCAAGGAGCTCGGACAGAAACGAGAGGAATGCGATGGCGCGTTGGACATAACCTTCTTAAGCACGGCTAAGGCTGGAACGGTGCTGGTCAAGGAGAGCGATTTGGATCGAGCCATAGCGGCGCTTGATTTCGGCATACGGGAGGTTGAGGTGCTTGCGTAGGAAGAGAGGCTCCGAGGCGTGTGTCAGTGGCCCCAAAATATGTGCTTGCTTACCTGTATCGATGCTCGTCTTCTTGTGCCAGCTTCATGTTCCGTAGATGCTGACTGTTCCTGCCGCACCGCCAGCGGCGAATACACCCTGCCGACCTTCTGCGCGACTGGCCTCTCGCCAGCTGACGGCACTAACCACTTTGCCGGCGGTGTTCTGATCGACGGAGCCCACGCTTCTGCCTGAGACAACGTCCCACGCTCTTACTTTCCCGTCGGACTCGCTGCCACTGAGCACGATTGACTCGTTCAAAGCAAAGCAGCTCTTTAGGCGTAGACTGTCATTCTTGTACCCTGCATCGTGGCCCTGTTCGGGAAACGAGCTCAAGCAGGAGCCATCTGCTCGATCGATGAGGCGGATCTTGCCGTCCAGACTGCCCACCAGCATAGTCTTTGCGTCTCGGGAGACTAGCAAGCTGGTGACGGCGGCAGCCATAACATCCTGCGTCACTCGGCCCATGCGAATATCGTAGCTGCGCACCCTTCCATCGACGCTACCGGACAGCACCTCGTAGCCATTGTCCGGCACAGCCAAGCTCGAGACATTGTCCTTGGCTTCGTCGAGCACCATTATGGGCTTCGCGTCCTTGCTCTTGCAGTCCCACAGCTTGACGGTGCGGTCATCGCTTCCGCTCACCAACACAGTGTCGTCAACGCCGGCGAATGCGACGCAAGTGACCCGGCTCGTGTGTCCTTTGTCTGTATTACTTCCGAATCTCCTCGAGGTGCCCTCGGCATTTTGCACGTCCCACAGAAAGACGCTACGGTCGCCTCCGACGCTGGCGAATTGCTGATTGTCACGCGTCACGGCGATGTCCAGCACCGGATAGCCGTGCGCCGCGTACTTCTGGATCGGTCCGGAAGGTTTCTTGGAGTGTGCAGGCTCGGTGCGCGAGAGGTGGATCTGGCGGTCGGAGGACCCAGTGAGGACGTAGGTGCCTCCAAGGGAGGAGAAGGTGATGGCGTTGACAGGGCCGGTGTGCGATGAGAGCGCGTTGAGCAGGCGTGATGGGATGCTTGGATCCATGGCAATGGCAGTATCCTGCGCCGCAACAACTCAGGTCAGGGTCTTGGAGGAAAGGGTTTGCAGCCCATCACTGGTCGCGCGAGCGGCGATCCGACCGTCTGGAACTGTCACCAGTCAAGCTGCAGGGGACATTTCGTCATGGATGTTGATGCAAACCTGCCGCGCTCGGACCCCCTTGTGTAACATGCAAGCCACGTGGGCGACGCTGGAAACAGACGAGACGGCAAGGCATGGATGGCTCCTTGGCATGGGCCTGGACCTGCGCAGAGCCTGTCATGGCGGCGACGACAATGTGCCATGTAGTATCGATGATCGATCCGGCAAACTCAGAAGCAACTTCCAGTGCGTACCGAGTACTCTATTACGCATCGGATCTGAGAGGCCGCAATCCCCACGTCGAAATCTCGGTAACCGGTAGCTGGACAGCATGTCACGCCCGTTGAGCCCTCGGAGAAGCAATGCCCGACGGAAACAACGGGTAGCCAACGCCCACCGCGCCCGCCCTCTGTCCAGCCACCCTCCGCCGCGCTGTCACGCCACTTGGAGCAAGGGCGACAGCGAGGTTCGACTACGAGAGTTCAAGCACTCTGGCTGGCTGTGTACAGCGCAGACGCCCGCACCGCGCTCCGCTAGAATGGCAACTTGTTTCCTGTAATAGCAATGGAATTGCAACCGCTCGCCAAATGCTCGGGGTTATGCCAGAGCAGTCGATGATCGGCACGTACCCGAGCAGACTACGGGCTCGTTCATCTCCAACCACGCTCTTGGCCTGCGTCTTTGTGCATGCCGGCGAAAGAGTATCCTGAAAGATTCCAAGCACATAGCGTGCAGGGCGCTGGCAGCGTTGGCAGCGTGAGACTTGCCACATCGTCTCTCTTCCCCACTGCTCCATCCGCCCGGAACCTCATTGCAACCACCTTCTCGGACACACCGGCTCAGGGTCTTATGGACGAGTCCACTCCACAGCACGAATCGTCTGCGCAGGCGAAGAAGCGCCGTTTTTCCCGCGTCAGTAGAGCGTGCGTCGAGTGTCGAGTCCGTAAAATCCGCTGTGATGCTCGACAGCCATGTGAGCCGTGCGAAGACTTCAACCGCCGCTGTGTCTACGCTTCCACCAGGGCGCAGAGAACTGGTGGTGCCCCGCGTACCAAGATTCTCGAGGACCGTCTACGGCGAGCACGTGCTTTGATCTCCCAACTCCAAGCGGAGCATCCCTCTGTTCGACACCGTGCTGAAATCGATGCCATCTTCGACACGCCGCCAGGGTCGCCAGACTCGGTGTCCGCCGCCTCGCAGCAGGCCGATGAACAACATGACGATGACGACTCCCTGGCGGGCGACCTGGAGAATATGATGGATGGCCAGGGCCGCTTCACCACTGCTGACGACAACAACCTGACCTATTTCGGCGGACCCTCGGGTTTCACATTCCTGCACAAAACCCAGCAGCTTTTTGGTGACGACGAGAGCGCAGGCACCGGACCGCCAAAGCCAGCCAGTCCACATCACCTCGCTCTGTCTCATCTCTTCGACTCGCCGCTCCCGGACAAACAAGCCTTGTCTACAAGTGTATCCATCAACCAGCTGCTACCATCGCGCGCCACCGCAACGCGCCTGCTCAGCATCGTCTTCGAACAGACTCACCAGCTGCTACGTTTCATTGATGAGTCCTGGTTCCACACCCAGACCGACCGCATCTACGAACTCGATCCCATCGACTATGCTGACTCCGACCATGACTTTCTCCCTCTGTTCCTCGGCGTCGTTGCCGTGGGCTATCTGTTCGATCCTCAGCGCCACAAAACCTACGGCTGCCGAAGGACCATTGACCAAGCCATGCGCCACTTCATCGCCGCCAGACAGATGATTGATGTCACCAGGTGCCATGATCTGGTCGCCCTGCAGACCATCTTGATCTTTGCCCTGTTTCTGATGTCGACCGCCCGCCTAGCTACCGCGCATACCTATGTCGCTCTGGCGGCAGCAGCTGCAATGCGAATGGGCATGCACTCGCAGACCACCTACGGTAATTTCCTACCCCGCGAGAACGAAGCCAGGAGGGCTCTTTTTTGGACGATTGTGAAGCTCGACGTCTACACTGGGACCGTGTTGGGCCTGCCTGGGCTGGTCAACCTCAGTCATGTCGATCAAGTGCGGCCAAGTGGCTCAATCAAAGACTACCAATCCGCAGACCCTGCAAGTTCGGCATCCCGTAATAAAATGAGGATGCTCGCAGCCTCGGCGCAGTATCGTGAACTGCTGCTCATCATTGCGGAGATGGTGCAAAGACTGTACCCGAAGACCGAGCACGAAGCAAAGCAGGTCCGCCGATCCAAGAAGATGCTGATCAGCAACACTGTCATTACGGACGTCGAAAGACAATTCAAAGCCTGGCGAGATAATCTGCCCGTGGCTTTGGGCGTCGACAACGAACCAGACTCGCCGGCTTTAGAGAGGTAAACAACTTGCCGCAGGCTTTGGACATTAACACTGACTCTTTCAATAGCACTCTGTATGAATTGGAAATGGCGCACAACCTCGGGCACATCCTCCTATATCGCCCATTCTTACACTATCTCGCGCGCATGCGCGACCAGACGCCTCCAGACACACGCCAGCTGCGTTGTGCATCAGCCTGTGTCAAAACCTCGCGCCAAACCATCACTCGCTCGGACGAGATGCTCCAGCAAGGCTACCTCGCCCCAGCTGCGTGGCAGCCCGTCTACACCATCTTCCTCGCCATCGTCGCTCTAATCTTCTATTTGGCCACGCAGAAAGGCGCACCGGACTACTCGGCCATCGAAATCGAGGCGCAGATCGGCATCCGCATTCTCGCAAGCACATCCTGCCAGGACATCGGCAGTCGGCGGTGTCTTGACGTGCTCAAAGTTCTGGCCCGGCGTCTCGGCCACATCATCCAGCTTGACATCGAGAGCATCGAGAAGCAGACCATCAGCTTCTGCCAGGCGGATGTGACTGTTCCTATGGCTACGCAACCGTCGCAGGCTTCCAACGTTCCACTACGCCACCCTTCCGTCGCGTCGTCGAGTGATTATTATTCCGACTCACCTTACAGCCGCACTCACCCGCCGCAGATACACCCTCAGATGTCCCATCCACCCATCCTGCGCTCCAACACCCCTCACTCCCGCAGCTCGGCCGTATCATCATTACCGGCGCACCCGGCCCAGCCGCACCCAGGACAGATCTACGGGCACCCCCTCGGACAGCCTGCCATGATGCAGCAGCGCATGGCCGCAACAGCCGCCAACGCCATGTTCCCCAGCGCCGTAGGCATGGGCAGCGACGACTTTGCGGCGCATAACGCCGCCAGCAGCACGTCAGACATGGAGGTGCCGTTTTCCGACACGTTTGCCTGGCCGTTCGATCCAAGCCAAATGACGACGAGCGCCGCGAGTGGTGACGGTGGTGGCGTAGGCGGTGTGGGAGGTACCGTTAATGGGGCCGCCGGTGCTGGTGCCGGTGCCGGTGCGGGCGGTGCAAGTGGTGCTGGTGCTGTGGGAATTGCAGACGGCATGGGCGGAGGCAGTCCCCTGACCAGTGAGGATATCGCCGCGTTTATGATGAGGATCAATCCTGGTCAGGAGCCTTTCTTGTGAGTCAATAACGACCTTGAAACTTGAGCTTTGAATATCGGTACGGAAAAGGAGGGGTTTTGGCGAGCCAGAGTGCGCAACCCGCCAGGTTCGGAGCCATACGATTGCACCTGGATAAACCTGTGAAGGTTCTCAACGGAAAAGACGAAAGCTTGAGTCCTCATCGCGATGGTAATCTCACTGGTGGGCACTAAGAAGGGGCGTGGAAAGCTTCTGCTCTCGCGGCGTGTGTGTGTCTGTGTTGCATGTGAGCTCCCCCTAACCAAAGCGTTTCAACCTACTACTTTCTACTGAACTACCATTCTCTCTTTCCTGAGCACAATTGCCAATGCTGTGCAGTGTGCGTGAATCAGATACGATCCTGATCTGTACCTGGAGAGATGAGAACGAGAGGAGAGCTCCCGCGGAGATGGACCTGCAAATGCTGCTTTTGCACCCCCTCTTCCCTACCCTTCCCTTGACTTCCCGTGCCTTGCCTTCGCCCGTTCCGAGGATCTGGAGATGTGTTTAGACCTCGGGCATCGAGTGCCACCCCTTTTCAAGGAAGCAGCGAATGTGCACATGCCGTGGTGCATCTCCCCAAGCGTAACAACTCCTGTGAACATGAACAGTGGCGATCACATATCAGTACAGACACAGCTCAAGTCCCGAAAACTATCGCGCCGCATCCGGCCAAGCCCATGGTGCTAAGGTCCAGACGCGTAGCGTAGATGAGCATCATTACGACACACCAACGACTCCGACGGCCACTCTCTGGCATTTCTCCCAAAGAAGCCAACGAACACAAGCCGAAGAAACAAGGCCGAAACCCAGGCCGAAGAGACCCAGCAGCATCGTCCCCAGCTTCGTTAGCCATAATCAGCATCACTCCCTCAAACACCACTAGCACTCGTACCACGGTCACGGCTCCTTCGACCGCCGCCCCATGCCACCGCGCTTGATGCAACACCTGTGCCAAACTTTCAACCAGCGAAGCCTTTGACCGATCGAGATCCCAAATCCCAGATCCGGCTACTCTTTCCACAAACCGAAAGTTCCCCCAGACCCTGCAGGAACCCCCAAAACCCAGGCTCAGACCCGCCAGTTCGTGCCCCTAGCCCGTATGTACAGTAAACCCCACCGGCCCGGCCCCATAAGCGGGAGGCCCCAATTCGGCCGGAACTACAGAGCCCCGCCCCATGTATCCGTAGGTTGGGGAGCACACATCTATCCGAGTTTTTCTCGGTTTGTCGCATTCCCGTTTTCAGACGCGGACAGGAGCCCGCGGGGAGGGGGCGGGAGGGTTACACAGCATGCAGATCCCCAGGTAGCGGGGGTCTTCCGGATTGGGCTTTTTGGCTTTTTGGGTAAATGCAAAATGTGGGTCGAGGGAGAATGGAGATGGACCCTCGTGTTCATGACTTCCAGTGATACGCTGCAGGCAGGTGGTGGGCACGCGGGCGGGGGAAAAAGACCCTTGAAAGTTTAGCGAGGGGCTCGGGTCTCGGACATGGATGTGTGTGGCATGGTATTGCGTGATATGGGATTCCCGGGGAAGGGGGAGGGGAAATCGAACATGTGATGCTGGATATGCTGTATACCGTACGGGGATTTTCCAAGAAGGGTAACCGCAGTAAAAGATAACGCGCGTGGCGAGGAACTGTCTGACTGTGGGTGGGTGGCTCAGTTCCACCAACGAACGGCACACTGGGGACCCTTTTGCTCACGAATAACTGTGTTTCAGGACCTCTGACTCGACCCTGGAATCGCTACAAGTAGCAACACGCAAACGCGAGGCCTCGGAGATAGACGAGACAGAGACAAGATCGATGACCGAATCTACGCGTCGGCGCGTCAGGCAAAGAAAAGCCGCCGCTTGAGAGAGAGAGGCGCTTAGGTCCTAAAGTCAGTCAGGGTCATCAGGATCACACCAGAGGTTGTGTCTGTGACTCGACTTTGGTTTTTTGACCCCCATGTGATGATTTCGCGTGTGCGTGGGTGACATAGCGGTGTGGTGTGGTGTGGTGTTGTGTGTCGAGCGACATATGTAATCTGTATCCCGCGGACACATTTTGCGTATGTATATGTATATGTATATGGATCTTAGTGTTCAACCATCCACTGGCCCCTTCACCCAAATATATCGGCCCACCCCGGCGCAAAGGTCCCGTCTCCATCAAAGAAGACAAGGTAATACACCGCGGCCGTGACAAAGTTGACGTACCCGAATGCCACCACAAGAATCCTAGGTGGATGCCGCTCCATCACCTGCCACTTGACCCAGGTGAATGTGTGGCTGCAAAGGCTGTCGGCTACCACCGAGAGGCGCCATGCAAGTAGTAGGAGGGAGAGTACGGCTAGGCGGGGTATCGTGTCGAGGAGCCGGAGTGCCGGGCGTGCTATGCGAGGCAAAAGGGGGAGTGGAGAGCTCTGGTCTGTCCAGGAATGCCCAGAGGAGGGCGATGCAGCAGGATCCCGAAGCTGGTTCGCGGAATTGGCGGTTGATGTTGTAGTTGCTGCTGTGCCTGGGGTGCCGATAGTACCCTCCTCGGCGGCGGCAGCGCTTTGTTGTTCAGACGTGATCTCGTTGTCCCTGCTACCTGATTTCCGATGTGTAGAGTAGGATATTACCAGGACCAGGAGGACTACGATGGGGTGGGTGAGTCCGAAGAAGATGTTTTTAAACAGTCGCTTTGCTCGGCTTTTCCAGGATGATGTCGCAGATTCAGCTGTGTTATCATGTGGCGTATTGTTCAGTGATGATATGGACCTGGGCTCGACAGAATTGATTGAGGTTGTCCTCTCGCTGGTAGTGTCATGGAAAGTGCCGGGAAGGATCTGGCTAGGCAGCGTTGTGGCGTCTGATATGGGTGCGGCGTTGTCGTCGGAAATGCTCGGAGGGCGCCGCTGAAGAGTATCTGCTGCTGTGTTGGTCTGTGTTGAGTCACTAGATGAGCGGATGGCAAACTCTGCTGCGACGGATGTGCACAGATCTTCTGAAACAGCAGTATCTCCGGCAGTGGCCATGGCCGAATTGGGATAATCTGCCACCAAACATCGCCTCGTCAAAACTCGCCAATGATGTGTGCCACATCGTGTGCACTGTTTGTAGACTTTATCTACAACATAGTTCAGAGCAATTGCGACTGAATAGCAGGCGAGGCCGAGGCTCACAAGCAGCTCTATGGTGAGCCGTGGCTTGCTGACAAGTCCTTGGCTAAGGTCCTTTGCTGGAGCCGCGATAAGAACAGGAATACAGAGGAAACGCGTGCTCGTAAGGATGGCAAAAAGGGGCTCGCAGGCGACCTGTGGGCAACTCTTAGCCTATTAAGGAGATCCGAGCGAAACAAAAACGAAGCGTATAACGATATGACGGACTCGCAAAACAGGCAAAGCGACTTACCAACGGTTTCTCTTCAAACATTATGCAAAGAGCATACTGAGTAAAGTAGAGTACAGCTAGAAAGGCCACCACTTCACACACCCATTCAGAGACGTTTTCAATGTCTGCAGGAGCTGCAAAGCCCACTTTATCGGCAAGACTATACCACAACAAAAAGATGTAGAAGAGATGAGGACCCCATCCAACAATACAGGTCGTCCTTTGGATGGAGCGTTTCGATCGGAGGCCAGACGCAGTCAAGCTTTCCAGGAGCTTCTGGATCTCTCGTTGAGGTTGGCTGATTGTGAGTGAGCAGATCAGATTAGTCGCTGACGATAGCAGATACATCGCAGCAATAGCCTGCGTCACGGGAATTCCTTGCATGCTTAACAACTTGATCGCCTGCGGCATCACCCCTATCAAGAAGAGCGCAAGCTTAGTCAGGGCTCCTGTTCGTGCCGAGCCAGTCTCTCCTTCCTCGTGCGAATGACCGTGACTGCGCCAGGCTTGGAACGCTACGAAGATATCGGCAGCCATATCGATCAGACAGACAAATGGTGAGGAGCGATGCGGCCACAGCGAGCCTTCGAAAGCGTTGCCATTCCATAGATAGCCAGTAAATGATGGCTGCAGCATTGCATTGGAGACAATGGCCAAGAGTGCCCAGAAAACAGACCAGCCGGACACCGATTCGTGGTGTTGGACATTGTCGACTTGTGGCACGGACGTCAGGTGTCTGTCCATGACCCACAGTCGTTGTCCAGAGTGATGGCGTAACGCTGGCCTTGGTAGCGGTGAAGAAGAGGTGATGTGCCACTGGAAAAGCTCATGTTATGACAGGATGTAGAAAGACCGCGCTCTCTACCATTAAGCTGCCGCTGCTGTGGCAATCTGCCTTGAGCATAGCCACGGCCGTGCCCGCGATGCGAATTTAGGCGAATTGGGGTCCTTCAGGCACTAGCAAGGGTGATAGCTTCCGTAAAAGCTTGGTCTCTTCCCACTTCCTTTGGGGCCGGATAAGCTTGGCAGCGGATACCTGAGACCCTCTCTCCGGGACACGTTTGAGAACTCTGCGCTGAATCGATCTGGTTTTCGCGAAGCCGTAAATGAGAGCCCAAAGATGACAGAGGAGATTTCTAGTGCCCTGAGACTGGAAGTGGGTGCGGTGGATACGGTGAGCAGAGAGATAAGTCTGACAGTCGGAAACTTGTATATTATCGCGATGGGTCGAGTTACAGGTTGTGTGATTTTCAACAGATGACATACCGCATATATGGCTTCCAATCCGAGTCATTAGACGTTTCTACCTACACGAGATTTCTCCAACCGTATGATATCTCGAGTAATCGCGCGGAATTTGCAGCCGTCGAAGCCGTGTGGATCATGGCGACTTTTTGATAAGTACTGGTCTTTCAGCGATACAGATTTGGGGTAGGGTTTTCTGATAGGCAGCATTGGGCATTATAGTGGAGTCAGAGGCAGAGCAGTGATCTTGATTCTCTCGATTGATAGGGTGTCTCCTGCCTATCTCGACCGTCTCAACTCATATCACGGATGACGAAATCGAATAGGTCCACAGGTGTCAGATCGTTCGCCCTACGAAGATTGAAAGCCTGAGGCAGCTTCTGCCGGGCTACATCATAAGGTCGTTCGACAGGAAGGTGTGATTGATGTGATCGAGAATGTCCATTAGGCTGAGTGCATCTGTCACTGGAGAAACCCACGAATAAGAACGTCGGCGGTATGCGTAAGTGTAAATCACAGTAAACGTCGTGAACGTCTAGGCCAGCAGGGACAGGACGGCTTTCGTAAGCTTCTTCGAGGCTGGCTGATCTTCATATTGAGTTTTGCCAATTGGACATTCGGAAGGGCCCAGCCGCCTTGGAACTTGCGGCATGTTCGTGTTGATTCTACCTACTAGGCCCGAGGCGGTCGAGATTCATTCAAAGACGAATCCCTCTCCGAACTCGTCCCAATGGCTTTGGCCATGACGACAATCAAGCTCCCAAGGTATGCAACGAACCGTGTACTTGCGACAAGACTCAGATGCAGCTCAGAGCCGGACTTTTACAAAAAATCCACGACTCGGTGTCACAGCCTTTCAAATGCTATCTACAAGAGTGCGGGGTCGTGTGGTAAATTCGTCGCAGTCCTTTTGTGTCTAGAACGCACTACTCGGCACACGCTACTATGGATTAGGTCCGTGTCACATGTTCTAAGCCTTTCGGACCCTCGAGTGGCTGAATGTAGAGCCCAGCATCGCATCAAAGTGCAGTGTGCATATTGTAGTTTGCCAAAATTGTTGGCGACACGGCCCTCAGCTACTCCGTATCTGTTCGCCACTTAGCTACGCCACAAAACACTCTGTAAGCCGAGACCACTTCCTTTCTCTACACTCGTATTCGAACCTCAGATGTCCCACGAATCAGTAGACTTGATAGCTAAGCAGTCTCTTTGGGCTGAGAAGCTGCATGTGTCTGTGCTACAGGCTGCTGCCCGAAGTCTGCAAGTACAAAGGCCAGACCAAGTGCAAACACCTACAGCCCGGGTTCTGGCACTGGTCTCCTGCTCTGTTCTCATGCATTCATAACATGGCTACCAACAACACGGACCCCGAGAAAGGCCTTGTGTCAGCGTCTGCGCGCTCTGCGATTCCGTCGTGGGCTTCGTCTGCTCCCGACAATACCATTAGCAACGAGTCCAGTAGGCTTACACCTCTCCAGCTCTTCCAGCTATTGGTCGGCATATACACACCACCGTTCCTTACTCGAGATGGTGTTGATCTCGCCCGGGCCACTAACACGAAAACTACGCATCGTCGAACCGATAATGTTGGTCTTTATCGACGGGCACAAGAGCAGGAACGTGCAAGTAGACTCGCGTATCAATCCACGAGCTTTATCAGCAACCTCTTGTACATGCTTCAGATCCTTCTAGCAGCCACATTCACTGCACTGTCTGCGTACAAGGATTCAAATCCTGTAACGCTAACTGTGCTAGGAGCGTGGAACACTGTCGTGGCTGGGTAAGCCCCACGGAGCCCATACTTGGGGCCATAGCTGATCCTTTTTTCATGATAGCTGTCTAGCGTGGCAGAAAGGCCAAGGTGTGCCTCAACGATACCGAAAAGCTCAAGATCAGTACCAGGCTTTGATCCTGGAGATCGAGATGGCTGAGCGGTCCTTCTTTGACCTGGACACCAGTGACCAAGGGGGCGTGAAGCTCGACCCACGAGCAGAGAAAGTCAGACTCCAGAAGCTGTTTGACACGGCGAGAGCTGATCAGCAGGCAAACTATCCGGATCTTTACGTCAGCACTGGCGCAGTCCCTGCCAAAGATGCTAAGGACCTGACCAAGGAGCTGGAGGAAGCAAAGGCGGAGACGGCAAAAGTACAGAGCGAAATGACGGCCAAGATCGAGGCGTTGATGGCTAAACTGGGCAGTAAGGACGGTGCGCAGGCTGATACTGCTGTTCAGAGTGCTGCGAAGTCGTGATGACTTCAGTACTTTGCTAAATAATACTGCGCAACAGGATAGGTGCTACAATTGAATCCCTCATTGACTATCTATTGACTCAGGGATCATTGGTCCCAGCTTTGAAATCGTATTCCTTGGAGACCTCTCGACTGACAACAGATTCAAAGGGCAAGGGAAAGGCACATCATCCCGCCATGACTAAGCCAAAGCCACAACCTCGATCTCAACACGTGCGCCCTTCGGCAGCGCCCGTACCTCGATGCACGACCGCGCCGGCTTCTCCTGCGCGTTGAACCACTTGGAATATTCCCCATTGACCTCCCCAAAATCAGCCATGCTGGTGAGGAAGATGGTAACCTTGACAACCCTAGAGAGATCCGTCTGCGCCGCCGCCAGAACGGCGCTGACGTTGCGCAGCACTTGAGCTGTCTCCTCTGCTACCGTCGCTTGCAGCAGCTCCCCTGAGGGTAGGAGCGGGATCTGGCCTGAGGCGAAGACGAAGCGTGGTGATGGGGTGGTGATGACTGCTTGAGACTATACAATGGTCTCTTGGTAAGCGAAGTTCTGACTTCGTAAGTCTGGCGGGGTGAGATGGCGTACATAGGGTCCTATCGCTTGAGTGGTGTTAACACTTTGCTTTGGCCGTGATAGCTGGTAGATCAGGGGCAGCAACCTGCTCAGGGTTTGGCTTGGACTTCAGCAACCACCGAACGGGTCAATCACAAGGGTAGCCATTTGTCAACTTACGTGCGGCTGCATCTTTGGTAAAGACCGAAGTAGCCATGGTATATCGAGGTGATGTTGATGTCTACGTGAGATAGTTCAGAATTCCGAGGGTAAAGGAGTATTGAGAGGGAGGAAAAGGTGTGATTGTGTAAACAGAGTTTGCATTTTGCCTGGTGGAATTGCATCTGAGATGGTGACCTTGGCGATAGCTCTCGTGCAATCTGATCCGAGGAGTTTCTGGTGCGTGGGAGGCAGTCTTGGAGACCCACGGCCTTCACTCCCACCTGTTCAAGGAGAGCGGCTTGCCGCCGGCGGACCGTTGGCTACGGAATGGGTGTCTCTCCCTCCTCCGTAACGGGGTAAAGCGTGTGTCTTGCAGTCAAAAGTAAGCTTACTTGTAATGTCCTGGACAAGGGTCCCAAAACCCGGCCTGAAGTGTCGCATCTTGATTGGCTAGCGAGTCACTTGCATGGCGTGCTGTAGGGCATCAACGCGCGGTGGTTCTGGAGAAGTCCGTTCGCAACCAGTAGGCTTCCATGGCGTTATCCTGAATCTGGTGCAATTGGAGAAACGCGTATTGAGCAAGATCTGTCATTTCATCCACCGATTTGCTGGGCTGCGGGCAGCAAAGTGCTGGTATTTATATTCTGTATAAACGTCTAGAGGCTTTGAAAACCACCATCATCTGGCAGGTTGTTGGCACTGAAAAAGCTAACGTCCGAGTATGCTGTACCATCCACGTTCTACTAGGCATGCAAGACTGCTTTCAACATGCTAAGCCTCTTAGGCTAGCTACGGATGGGGTCCATGAAGCTTCCTGTGAACCTTTTAGCTCAGGGTGGTGATGTGCTCATATATCGCATTATGTAGTGGAAAGGATTGAGATGCAACCCAATGTGCTTCACCTCCAGCAAGGATTGACCCATAGCTTTGACCATATCTTGCTGGTTCTGCAGATACGCCTCCAGCAATCCACATAGTTCCATGTGTGGTCGCCCGTTAAGCGGGCCATTTCCTGTTAAGTCTTCAACAACGTTCGCTGGCGTTGCTTTTGGCTGACCCGGCTCATGTCCCGTATCTGCATCTTGAAGGACCTTGTAAAGATCTCCTATGAACGTGCCCGGTCCTGGCTCCAACTCAGTCTGTATGTTCTCAAGGATGAAGTGAGACTGCCTAGCGTTCAGACTCTGCAGGTCTTTCAGCTTATGCCATCGTGCTGCCATGATACATGACCAGTATACTGTGAGATCTGGACTGGAGCGGAGGTGATAGCCCAAGATTAGAGCCATTCGGCAGGCTGATGTGAGGATGGTTGAGTGATGGTGCATCTTGGGACACAGCAAAAGCAGTAGTAAAGCTTTTAGCGTTGGGCTAGAGGGCAAAGCGAGCATTTCGTAGGCGTCGAAACACTGACGGACAGAGTCGATCAATTCCTCGACTAGGTTTGCGCCATTGGTTCCTTCTAGAGACGCTGATACCAGGCATACAGCCCTTAGCAGCATTGGCGGTGCATATGGCACGACTTGTAGCTCGCTACGCGTGACAATCGGCCAAAAAGGGGCAACGTTGGCGAAATATCTTTCATATTCAGTAGTGCCGACCCGTTTTACTTGCGAAACATACCTATCTAGTAGAAGTGATATAGTGGCATGGGCGGCGAGGGGTAGATCCACCTTGAGTGACACGCTGTGGATCGAGGCGTCCGGAGAGGAAGTCACTGGACTGCTATCTGTTGGACTCGAGGCGTGTACCACGCAGCTGATGTCTCTCGAGACGCAACTCGTACACGGGATGCCCCCCTCACATCTGTGGTGTCGTGAGTACAAGTTTGAGAAAGGTAGGGCAAGAGCTGTACCGGCGTTTCGAGGCTTTGCACCGCGCGCACGCTATAGCTGACCTAAGTCTTTTCGCAGGGCGTTTTGCCATCACGTTGCGTTTCCAACAGCGAGCGAGGTTTGCATGGTGCCATGCCCTAGTTGGAGGAAGAAGACATGAGTGGCGCCTCTACTATTGTCAGACAATACACATCGGCAGTTCCAGTGATTGCTTGCCGATATAACACCCAACAAGATGCATGGCGTGCTTGCGCTGCTGTCCTTATCGATGCCCACTACTAGTGCAGGCGAGTCCCACCTCGCTTGATTGCGCAATCCAGAAAGCGCAGGGCCCTGTTACGGGACATGTAATGCTGACCATACGATACCGTCACGCAGAATACAGGGTTCCCCCATGCGTTTCGCGACTATGTTCTCAACATCAGGTCTTGCGCCTGGTGCTGTTTCTCCTTAGGCTTACGTATACGTGCGATCTTCCACCGAAGTCCACAGGGACTCCGAAGCCGCCACCTATTGCAGAGCTCTGCTAGATGGACACAATCTGTGATGACTGTAAAAGGTTGCTATATTGGTATTGGTTTTTGCAGACGACTCTGACAGCGCAGCAGGTTACGGCTGAAATGTTCCTGGGATCAGTGTAGCTCTTTCAAGCCACGGTGCTTAAGATGCGACCAATATGACTTGCCTTGCAAGGTTGGAAACGCAACATGGACAGCTCGCGCCCAAAGACATTTCATGTCCATCCTACCAACATCATCATCGAAGGCACTCTACTGGGGGCCGACCTCGATTGCTGGTGGCCACCCAACAGAGCTACACGGATCTGTAGCACCGCCGGCTCCTACCGTCCGACCCTATGCTCGTCCGCCTTCTCCGACTAACAGGCACTCAACTTGTATATCTGGTCGAATACATTTGGACATAGATGGAAGTGTTAGATCACATCTATATCAGGTGTACTTTGACAACATAGCACCTGTCTGGCCGATACTCCAGAAGGCAGATGTTTTAAATCGTCGGCCCTCACCTTTGCTTGACTGTGCCATCCTCGGTACAGCAGCACGACACCATACGGCAATCATTTCGTGGCGCGACTGGGTGCACATACAAAGAGTTCTTTCATGCGAGCTGCGCTGGTTATTCAACATTCGCAGACCCTACGTGCCAGACATTGAAACTCTGCAAGGTTTGCTTGTTCTTTGCCTACGACTTGAGCTGTCTTGTCAAAGTCATGTCGATATGATGAGTATCCCCATACGATTGAGCCTGATGTGTCAGATGGCGCAGGATCTCAGCATTAAAAACTACAATGACGCAGATCTAAGTGCCACAGAAGCCTCGCAGATGCGCAATCTATGGTTTGCTTGTCTATTTCAGGATGCCTTTCTGTCGGCATTGTTTGGTCAAACCATGAGCATCACACTTATCGACTCCGCCTCAACTTTGGCAGACGTTGAAGAGGCTCTGGAAGATCCGGAGAGCCCCAAGTACTTCTTGCATGCTGTCCGACAGTCCCTTTACCTACGATTGGTGCTCAGTGATACAACGCAACTAGGCAGCCGCAGGCCACGGTTTGGTCGTCCGTCAACACTTGAAAACGACTACGCCTCGTTGAAGTGCTTCAATGACATTGAAAAGCTGGAGATTCACCAAAGTTGCGCTCTGCAGATGATGTGGCATCATACTCAACTACTTCAAATTTCACAAGGCACCGCTATCAAAGACACAATAGGCCCCGTTGTACCGCAGCACGGGTTGGGGGGAGCTGTGACAGTGGTCAATAATGCTTGCGAATCGCTGATATGGTGCACCAGAGAGTTTCAGCGCTCAACAGCGGCTCAACTATACGTATGGCTGTACTGTGCTACAAGAGCTTTAATGGTCGTCGTTGATGTCTTGATCTGCAGAAAGCGGAGCACCACATCCTCAACTGCCTTTGACATCAAGCTAGAAAAGGCCATCGGTTCTGCAAGAGCACTCAAGGATCGTCTCCTTGAGGACACTAGTTGGGGTTTGCATTGGATACAAGGGCACGCCATCTCTGCAATCCTACGTCGCTTGGATGACGGCATGTCACAGCGTGTCGTCTCACCTAGTGTGCTCAAGATCGCGAATCTCTGCAACGAAGCAGAACATGATTCGTATACAAAGACATTCGAAAGCGAGCAGCTGAGCAGCGTGACTGAAGATGTGCATTTCGATGCAGCTTTCTCCTGCGCAACTGACTGGACGACAATATTTAGACAGTATGATTCAGAGTACAACTGGATCTTAGATGAAGCACCACAGCAGATCTGGTAGAGCAAAATATGCGTGCATCATGGTTGTCAGACTTGTGTCATAATGTTGATAGCGGTTCCAAACTGCTCTCCCATTCTATATACAGGACTGTGCGTCCTGAATACCTTCAAGCTCCCGGAGTGACGATGGCTGGCTACAGTGTTGTTGCACTCTCCAGCATCATCTTTGTAGCTTCTGGATTCCTCGGCATGAATCTTGCGACCGTTATCTTGGGCTCAGCGGCTGGGTTCTCTTTTTCCAGAAGCCCTGCGATCGGATCGGCAACGAGAGGATCCTCTGTATCTGTACCCGGCAAGATTCGGAAATGGGCGATCAAATGCAAGAACACGGTGTATAGAGCCTTGTGGGCCACATGATTGGCGACGCACATCCGGCCACCAATGCCGAAGCTGTACTGGTGGCGATTTGCGGCTTGTCCGTCATCCAGCCAACGTTCGGGGACGAAGTCATATGGGTCTACGAAAAGTGCAGGGTCTATGTTCCAATGATCAGTAGAATTCAAGAGAGCAGAGTAACTTGACCTACCCCTGTTGCACGCCCAAGAATTGAGGAAGAGCAACGTGTTCGGAGGAACGATGGCATCGTTCCACTTGACATTAGAGTATGTGGCCTTGGGCAGAGCGAGGCGCTGAACAGTGTAGTACCGGCCGAGTTCTTTTGTGAGTGCATCGAGATAGTCGACTTTAGATTGAGCAACATCGGCAGATGATAAGAGAGAAGCGTCTGTATCTTTGATCGCTTGGTACGCCTTTTCCTGGACATCTGGTCGGTGTGCCAACAAGAGTAGCGCCCACATGATCGAACGCTTCGTTGTGTGAGCGCCTGCCATCATGCTCATGCTCACGCTCAGAAGCTCTCCCTCGGTCAGACCTTTGCTATCAGGATCTTTGAGAACGTTCCCTTGAATGCAAGGTCGATCGATTCCCTCCGCAATGTCACGTCTTAGCTTCTCCTGTAGAACATGGTGATAGTTATAGCGACGTTTGCCGACATGTCCCATATGTGATGCCGCTCGAATACCGAGCCAGCTCCTCACCGTACCAACCAGTCGCAAGAGTGGAATGTAGTTGGAGAAATTCTTGGTAGGGTCCCGGAGTCTCGCTATCTCCTCTTCGATGTAGGTGATTTCAGATATGAGAAGATCTTTGTGGAGGTCCTTGACAGCCTCAACCCTGTGACTTGTCAGAAAACTGGGGCTTGGACTAAGACACGCGAGAGTACCGAGTTCCATAGGATACAGTTAGACTCAAATTCAGCGCGTATTTGCGGGAGGGGTCGAGCACATCCGTGTAGTCTTCCCCACTGGTGCAGCTTGAGAGGATATCTCGTAGAAATGCACGCGACTCTAGGTCAAGAATCTGTACCTGTTAGCCTGTACATCTCGGTATCAATATCGACCTGCTCACAGGTAGGTATGACTCCAGACTGGTCTTGTTGAGTGCACTCGCAGCCACTTTCCTCCTTCTCTTGCAGCTTTCATCCCAGGGGCTAGTGCCAATACTAGTGACCGGTCCACCGCCCTGGACTTTCTTGTGTAGCACATAAGTGACCGGACGAGAGTTCGTGGCTTCTCGCTGGGTTATGAACAGTGCCCTTGCAGCCGCTGCTGTGTTGACAATGACAGCCGGAATATTCCCTAGCGGAACCTGAAAAACATCGCCGTACTTTTCAGCCCAAATGCGATATTCATCAGAAGTAACGGTTCCACGTAGAGAGGGTAGACTTCCTAGCAAAGGGTATCCAATGGGGCCAGCCAAACGACCGACCCGGTTTCCTAGACGAGTGAACTCATTGAGTACAATGTATCCAAGTAACGCTGCCGCCGCGAGGAGAGGTACGGTGTTAAGTAGGGCCCATGTGAACGTGAAGGTTCTGAAGGCTGGAAACATGAGAATGTCACTAGACGTGGTCATGTTGTTCGTGGTTGTCTATTGGAACATAGATCAAGAAACTAGCAGTCCGGTGTCAAGGTGTTATATGTAAGAGATGTAGAGGACTTCAGTCGTGTCGTAGTGGGGTTCCTGGCCCAGATCCGTGAACAGTGGTATGCTTTTGGGGACATTTCATAGGGGTTGAAAAGACCACGCCCCAAATGACACGTCTGATTCTATCACGTCTTCCCGATAACCGATGGCATGTGGACCTGTTGTCCGGCGAGTGGGGAACATCAAAGAGATCTAAGTGGCTATCTTTGAGGAGTCTCTGACTGGCTGGAGGTTCCTAGCCATACAGATGATCTATTGAAACGTTTATCCGTGCAGAACTGTAGCATTGTGCTTGGTTGGGAGCAGATTTCCCTCCTGTCGCTGCTCTCATATGTATCTATCTTCCTTCACAATTGGCTGGTGCTTGCCAGCTTTGTTGACGCTGAACTGATTCGGCTCTCCCCAGTCTTCCAAAGCCGCCTTTTCACGAGTTTTTCGCATCATGTAGGGCGAGGATTTGTACGCATGATGCCACTCTCGGCCTTCCCACTCTTCTTCCACAGGTTTGTGACCCTCCATTTGGATGTCCCTGGCCCTCTGCTCGACCTTTGCCCAGACTCGAAGCAGATTCTCGCCCGCTAAACCACGTATCTGATCATCTGTAGCACCTCTCGCCATGAGAAGCTGCATCAGGTCTGGGTATTTTGATACGTCCTTTTAACTAGTCAGTACGTCTTGGGGATGTGGGAGCGATCAGTCTCACCTCAAGTCCACTCGGAGTGTGTGGCGTGCCACTGAAGTCAGATCCCAAGCCAACATGATCCCAGCCCACCACAGTAGCAAGATGCCATATATGGTCCACCACATCGTGTATAGTTGCAGAACTTGGATCCTTCATATTGAGGAAGCGGTTGACGAAGACCGCCATTACTATGCCGTCGTTCTCTCGCAAGCGATGCAGCACGTCGTCTGGGACGTTGCGCAGATGAGGAGTGACTGAGTATGCTCCAGAATGCGAGAAGATAACAGGGGCTCTAGTCAACGACAGCACGTCCCGCATCGTTTGGTGAGAGACGTGGGACAAGTCAAGTAGCATACCCAATCGATTCATCTCGCGCACATAAGCGCTCCCGAAAGCCGTGAGGCCCCTGTCCAGTCCACCGGCAGCCACTGTCGAGGCTGAGGTAGCCCATGCGTTATCACAATTGTGAGTCGTCGTGATATACCGTACACCCAAAGCGTGCGCCTGTCGAAGAGCTGCGATAGAGCCTCCCAGCTGGTGACCTCCTTCGATGCCAAGCATACTCGCGATTCGACCTTGTTTGAAAGCCTTCTGGACACATGATGAAGTATCGCAATACGAAAAGTGTTGTGGGTATTGGGCGATGAATCTCTTGGCCACATCAATCTGCTCAAGCGTATCTCGAACAAGCCACTGCATACATTGCCGAGTCAGAACGGAGCAGGCGATGCACTGGAGTTGCATACCGTAGCGTCTTCAAAGTGTCTCTGAGCAGCATCACAATGGACATATACGCTCCAGAACTGGCCCCCCATCATTCCTTGACGCATCCTGCCAATATCGGTATGTCCCAGTAGTGGCTGATTGGGGTCAAAGTCGCCACTGTAGAGTCGGTTGTGGTGTTCAACCCGAAGCAGCCAAGGGAAGTCATTATGGCCATCAATAAGCCTGTACACGACTAGATCAGCAATGCCACGATATGAGCGTAGGATGTCCTTACGGATGTGCCTTAAGTACTCGCCTTGTCCTCTCGGCGTAGTCTCCTGGAGCAGCTGGCTGCTCACCAGGGATGATCCAACTACTCAGTCCAGTGATTTGACTTAGCAAGACCGAGATCCCAAGGAGACCTATACCTTCCCGCCATCTGCTAAGCCAGCCCCGTCGCCGGTCAGAGCTGCGGACAATAAGAGCATTGCTTGGAGGAGCAATGTCTTCAGAATTGCCCTCTGATGCGGAAGTGCGTGGGATTCTGCTTCGTACCTCTGTCATATCGCTAAGGCAGCACATCTAACGCCGCTGGCCAGAGAAGGTCTCGAGACTTCACGCATAACAGCAGCTGAGCTACCGACCATTCCTGCTAAGCAGCGAGATCGGCCTGATGAGCCGCTCATGTCCACGCGACCCCTCTCTACCCAAGGCTAGAAGACCGATATCCGAGCAGCAACGTGCATGAAAGATACAGAGGGTCCGTTACAAGACACCATGAAAGGGCGGTCCCGCAGCGCGGGCCATCGCCGGTCAACCGCTGCACCCAACAATGTCAATCGGTAGATGACTCTTAGCACCACCATGCTCGATAGCGGCACATCGGCGGTGAACCGCCACCCATCTTCATGCAGTACGGAGGAGATAAGGTGCAGTTGAAATGACAGTATACCGTATGAACCAATGAGCTGCGTGCCATTTTCTTGACAAGTCCCAGATAGCGTGCACGTAAGACTTCTCCAATATCACGACATTATCACTTGGCGTGAGTCTTGCCATATCGAGACGTAGTTTGCGTGCCATCAGACGGGTGTCGGTGGGTAATGGTGTTATTACCATACTCGACGTTGGAAAGTAACTTTATGTCCCTGATTTCCTCTGGGGTCTGCACCCACGGCATATGTCAGATGGAAAGTGTCCGGCACAGCATCTCGCCTCTTGCGTGCTGGGCTGGACCGGCCTGCATGTTACGCGGAGAGCTTTGCCGGTGGTGGATAGATAAAAGCGTTATCTTAAGTTCCCTACGACGCCGCTGCTGCCATCCGATATCTGATACTCCCATTCTTCTTTTTAAAAATGTCTGCACCGACCCAAAACGAGAAAGAACTAGGTGCAGTATCAGTGAATAGTCAGTCCTCAGAAGCACCTCCCACTGAGAACGATGCTGCGAGGGAGAAGAGACTCGTCAGAAAGACGGATCTGTTGATGATGCCAGGCCTAGGTGAGCTACACCCGCGTTGTCCTCTATTGCATCGCTCGACTGATCAGACAATACTCACAGCATTGGCCTACTTCACCCATACCCTAGACCGTGCCAATCTAGGCAACGCCAAGACAGATGGCATCGAGGATGACCTAGGCATGGTCGGCAACCAATTCTCGCTTTTACTGGTCTTGTTCTACGTTCCATACGCGCTTTGCAACATTCCCTGGTCCATCCTGGCGAAGAAGTATAACGCGTCCGTGATCATCCCATTCGCAATCTTCGGTTGGGGAGCCTGTACGATGGGAGCAGCAGGAGCAACGAACTTTGGAGGCATCATGACCACCAGGATCTTCATGGGTGTCCTCGAAGCGGCGTATAAGCCGTGCGAGGTGTACTACTTATCTTTATTCTATACGCGAAAGGAGATGGGGTTTCGTGTATCATGGATTGGCCAGATGGGTTTCATCGCGGTATGTGCATGCGTTACCGGCCTAACAAAATGCTGACGTCGAGCCAGGGAGCCGTAAGTGGCTTGATCTCATGGGGAGTCTTCCAGTGGGACAAAGGTCTTCACGTACGTTTTGCAATCAGGGTTCCGCTACAACCACTAACTGTCGACTAGGGATGGCAATACCTGTTCATCATCGAAGGTTCGATCACGATCGGCGTTGCTATCTACTTGTACCTTTGTGCACCACGCAGCCCAGAGAAGTCACGTTTCTACACAGAGGATGAAGTGCGATTGGCAAAGTATCGCCTGGAGCTAGACTCACAGGACATTGACAAGAAGTTCCGCTGGGAGGACGCCAAAGCTCAACTCAAACAATGGCAAACATGGGCATTCGCCTTCATGGCGCTGATGTACGGCGTGGGCGTCGCCAGCAGCTCCAACTTCCTACCTGTAAGCAAAACTCTCGAGGGTGTCCCCCAACAAGCAACGATCTCACTAACGCTCGCTAGACCATCATCAAAAGACTGACAGTCAAAGCCACCACCGCCAACCTCTACACCGTGGGGCCCAACCTCACAGCCTCCGTCCTGCAACTCAGCACCGTCTGGCTCTCGGACCGCTACCAACAACGCGCCACCTTCGCCTGCGGCGCCACCGTCATCGCCCTCGTCGCCTGGATCCTGCTCGGCGCCCTCGACCTCGTGCACCACGTCCAAGTCGGCTACTTCCTCACCTACCTCACCACCTCCTTCACCTTCGTCTCCAGCAACATCGTCCCCGTCTGGCTCGCCACCAACACCCCCACCACGACGGGGCGCGCCGTTGCCCTCGGCCTCAACTACATGGCTATGAACGCCGCGGGCATCGTCTCCTCGCTGACATTCCGCGCCGAGGATGCGCCCGTCTACGCGCCCGCGCTGATCACGGTCGGGTGCACGCAGGCGGCGTTCGTGGTGGCGGCCGTGTTCATGCGGCAGTACTATGCAAGATTGAACCAGAAGCTGGACGCGGGGGAGTTGGCCTATGCGCCGGGCATGGCGGCGCGGCCGCAGTATCGCTATGCGGTGTGACGTCGCTGGTGAATGGCAGCCTAGATCAGCAAGTAGGGACAGGGTTATCTTTTTTTTGGCAGCTCGAACATGCTAGTAGTAGCTATGCCGTAGACCATGTAGGGAGTTTGCACGTTTCCAAGACGTATGAGGTATCGATCTTTCATACCTTGATCCCCGATTGAAAGAAACTCCGACTACACAAGGCCAGAGTCAAAGTTCAAAGTGCGTGCCACGTCTTGGCCATGCTTGGGCGTGTCGGCAAGGCAACGAGGCAACCAGCTTGGCTTTAACAGCGACAACTCTGGCTGTGGCGCTACGCCGACCACGGATTCATCCAAGTCGGTTCCAGCCTGACAAGATAATTGAGATGCAAACGGAACGCGAGATAACCACTCCTGCGGTAGCATGTGTGAAGTAGGGAGGATAGATTCATTGCCCAAACCCAATCGACCGCCGAGACCGCAGTACTCGAAAAGTCGCCGATATGCCCCCAAATGCAAACCAGTATAGCTTGAGCCATCCAAACATCTCAAGCATGTGCAGTGCGCGGTGTGCGACAAAGCCAACATTTCAACCCGATGACGCCGTCGCTAAAAATGCTATTCATAAGAACCATATCGATCCCGGCTCAATGTAACCCACCGGCCCACCAACCGGTTCTATACTCCCAGATAAGCACGTTTTCGCTCCCATTCCCTCTTCTTACCGCCCTGTCCGCTCGCTTGACGTCAAGTACCATTACCCCCTCCTCCGCCTGCACCCCACCCGCCATACATCCAATCGCCCCCCTCCGCGTGCGCCCACAGACTCTCCGGTAAGGGCGTCATGCCTGTAGCTCCAGGAGTCATGCCCGTCCGGCCGAAGCCAAAGTCCGTCATGGGCGTCTGGGTTTGTTGCTGCTGTTGCTGGTCGCCACTCGGAGCCGTTCCGCCGGCGTTATTAATGTTACTGTTACCATTCTGGTCGCGTGCCCCAAGATTCATGTTCCAGCTCTGACCCGGGTCCATGCCGAAGACGCGGATGCCCGCGAGTGGATCAGTATTGGCGTCGAAATAGCTCTGACCCATATCCCCTCCACTACCGGCTGCTGCTGAAACTCCACCACTTCCTCCGTGCGCGTTCTGGCCCATCTTACTATTGCTACTACCGCTGCCACCGCCGAACAAGCCTCCCACCCCGTCCGGCGGCGTGAAGTCGCCTCCGTGGTAGGGCAGACTCGTGGTACTGGGCGTTGGCTGCCCCGAGTGCGAGCTGTCACCACCGGAAGCGCTCAGAGTATTGGTACCATTGCTGCTGAAGTTGGGGCTTGGGCCCGAGGACGAGTTGACGCCGCCGCCGCGTGGCACTTGTGTGGGCATGTTGTGCGCGTGCTGGCCAGTGCCGAAAACCAGGTCATCAGCGCCGTTGAAGTCGGGTATCGGACCAAAGTGAGCCATTTTTTCTTGTTGGCCATGTGGGCCGCGCGGACGCTGTGCGGAATTGGTGCCCGGTGAAGGGTTGTTAGTGTTGAGGTTTCCGTAGAGGTTTGGGTACTCGGAGGCGGAGCTGTTGTTGGTTGGCCAGGGATGGTGATAATCTCCGCCGCTCTCTGCAGTGTTCTTGTTGGAATTGTTGGTGGCGGCCCCGCCGTATTGCCGGTCCGTCTGTCCCACGGTCTGCGACTCACGGATCTCGTACAGCGGGACGCAGTGGACGGCATCGGTGCCAACAGGAATCTCACCAGGAGGACGCTGTTGTCCAAACTTATAGCGCGATGCAGAAGTTGGGATGTTAAGGCCACTACCTTCGAGATCGACGTCAAGTTGCACAAGGAAAGATTCAGTAAGTGGGTTTTTGACCTTCAGAACGTGCATGGCAGAGAGCAAGAATTGAAGAGCGGACATAACGGTTTGATCTTCTTTGCGGGACTTGAGGTACTGGACGAAGACACGTGCGGCAACGTACAGGCAGAAAGCGAGGAAAGGATTCATCTAGTAACGTCAGCATGGTGCAGAATTGAATAAGGTTCGGATGGCGTACGAGGGAGAGATCGAGATGGCTGATCATCTTCATAATGTTGGTGACTTGATCCGCGGCGACAATACAGCGGCGTTTAGACTCGGCGCTGATCTGTGCGGGGAGCTGATGCTTATCAGCTTTGAAAATGGCGGCTTGGTGAAGGCAGATGGCTGCGGTGTGAATATTCATATTACAGAAAATAGCATTGGCGTCGTTGAGGGCTCCGGGAAGTCGAAGCGTGGACGGCATGGAAAGTGAAATGTTGAGAAGAATATTATCCAGCTGACGATGCCGTTTCCAAAACTCGCCATTCAGGTCGTGATCATTGTCGTTATCATTGGGACGGTGTAAATGCGTTAAATTCCGGCCGTATAAAGTTGCCATGAGGATGACTCCGCTGAATGAAGAAATGGTGTCGGTTCCCAGGCCGTTGAGTATGTCTGCAAGTTGGCCTGTTTGCTCTGACTTGCCTGAATGAAACGCCTCGTCGCTGGCCGGTAGATTTGTCAAAATGTCCTGCTCGTCTATTCTCATGGGCCAGCCGGTGCCAATGCTGGCGTATCTGTCCTGACAGAAAGCCATCCAGAATGTTCGCCTCCGTTCTTCTCGGTCGATCCAATCCCGGGGCGGAGGCAGCGTCTGTTTGACATCCAGGCCAACTCGATCTTGGCGATGTAAGCCCATCATCAAGGCCAGACTGGCTGCTCTGCCGATACTCATCCAAGCGCGGGGAAAGTAGATCAGCTTGAACTCGTAGCACGCCAGCAAAGTCCAAGCCTGGCAGTGCGCAAGAGTGATGATGCTTTCTCCGTGCCCCCGCATTTCATCCTGTTCAGCATACTTCCGCGCTCGGGCGTAAAAATGCTCGGCAAATGAATAGTATTTGGCAGTGACCGACGCCGAATGAGCCCACATAGCATATCTCAAGCACACAGCGGGTCGCATATGTGGTGCCAGCTCCATGGCGGCATAGAAACGTGCTTTGTGTATCATGGGTAGCGAAGGGTGTATCTTCTCGAAATAAATCTGGTTGAGTTCGTCCACGACTTCCGGCGATGGTAGCGCCTCTTCCAGCCCCAGGCCGATCATTTCCCAGGAGAAGTCATCAGCGCCGCCAAAGGCAAATGCAGAGTCCCCGGGGATCAAGGTAGGGTCGGTAAAGGAGGGATCGAGGTTCATATGCATGGATGGATCGGCTGGTATCTGGTCCCCAGGTATGGTGATTCTGTCCGGATCGGTGGCGGGGACTGCATTATTGGAAGGTGTGTCCCTGGTCTCGAGCAGATTCTCGACCTGCTTAAGTCGGGCTTCCAACAACTTCACATAGCCGCGCTTGGGGCCGGATTTCTTCCTCTCCTCATTGTATTCACAATTGTGTCCCAGTCGCGAGCAAGTGCTGCAGCTTGGCTTGGAGCCATCGCACTTGAGTTTCCTTTTCCGGCACAAGATGCAGGCTATGCGCTTGGGTCGCGGTATAGATTCGTTGGGCGGGACTGGTTGTGAAGTGGGCTGACCGGCACTCTGATTTGACGAGACCGGCTGGTTGAAGAAATCGTCACTAGAAGGAGTCTGCGGTGATTCTTCTTGCGCCATAGCTGGGACGGTAAGGCGCGGCGCCGTTTGCGCTTATAGTGGTTGGCTTATGCTCAGCAGGAGGTGTGGGTTCGTGGGATCGGGGTGCAGGTCAGTGGGATGGAACCCTCGGGGGGTCACGGCACAGCTGCGCTCGTGGTTGCGAGTAGAACGATTACTATGCGCATGGACCTTCTTAGATGGTTGCGAGTTGACTCCAGCTTCCAGTGGTACATAAGACGGCGAGAGCGTGGGACTGCAAAGAGGAAGACTGCTTGCGAAAGAAGACGTGTGGGGTGCAAGGCGTGCCGCTGCGCGAGGCGGCAAGGGCGAGGGTGGACAAGGATCTCTCGGCGCCAGACGATCGGCTATAGGCGCTGACTCAGCGACTCTCGGGCACGGTCTGCAATGACTAAGGACAACAACAACTCTGATACAACTTGGATGGTTTTATGGATGAATGAGATCCAATAACTGTCATGAGAGCTAATCTACGTTCTTTCCACTCGAATAGCATAACGAACAGGAGAGCCAGGAGATGTGGCCTGGAGGAAAAGACCACGGACGCTCGGACACTTCTTTCGGCTACCTGCTCGCGCCAGGCAACACCGTTTTACGACTACGTGCTTCGTCCGTGCCTTCCGAGTGCAAGGGACCATCCGCATGGCATGACGTGTGCTTCACTAGCATGTCTGTTCTGCAAGAATTCCTACTTACTAGCAGTTCATTGGACCGTGGAGCCATGACATTGCGAGTAGCCTCATCTGCACTTGTTTGAGGTTGGGTACTTTGAGCCGATGCGTGGGGACCGATGAGGACATCAACACCCACACATGCTTCAGCGCTGCGGCGGGATTGCTGTAATTGCCATCTGGACATACCAGTGGCTGTCCGCAAGACTGGGGCAGGACTTTGTAGTCGCACACTTCACATAGAAACTCGCTGGACTGTTTTGCATTTATATTCTAGTAATGAGTGCGAGAGATCGTCAGGCAGCTCAAGACAAGGCACTGCAGGTACGCGCGGTTGAGGTCAATGCTTGGACGAACAGTCGCCGTGAAGGAGCTTCGATTTGGGTGCAGTTATAGATCTTTTCCCACCGTGGCCATTGGACAACATTGCCGCGATTTGAATGAAGCCATACAGCCAGACCACGGATCAAGCGCCCTTTCCACGCTCCGAAATCATCACCACACCATGTCATTCCCGCATTGCCATGTTCACCCATCCGCTCACATCTCCTCACAGCTCTTACAAGAAGGCAGCCAAACCCAAGAAGCCAGCACCCAGAAGTCCGGGCGCAGCAGTCGCGAGAGCGCCAAGACCGGCGGAAGTGCTCGTGGCACTGTCGAGTGCACTGGTAGCCGCTTGGGTGGCGCTGCTCGCTGCTTCACTGGCCGAGCTACGTGCACTGCTGGCAGCTGCACTTGCACTACTCTCGAGTGCACTGGTCCCTGAAGAGCTTGACCCACTCGCCGCCGCGCTGGATAGGCTCGAGGTAATGGACGAAAGGTCGCTGCTAAGCGACTCGGAGAGGGAGGAGAGGGACGATTCCAGGCCGGATGTGGCCGACGACGCAGCTGACGCGAGGGAGGACCCGAGTGACGCCAAGCTAGATGTGTCGGAGCTGGCCGGGTTTTGGGCTAGCAGGGGATTCGCAAGTGCGAGGAGAAGAGTGAGTCGGACTTGCATGGTCGGTTGAAGAGATGGATATTCTGACCTGACTTCAGGTTTGAAGTAAGCACTGACTTCGGGAAGAACAAGGAGCAGTCTTTGCAGCCATTTCAGAAGAGCTGCATCTTATACCTTCGGTCGACGTGGCAGCCGCTCATCTTGTGCAGAGCGACAGGTCAAGCAGGATCTCGATGGGCCTGAAACCTAACGTAGTATGCTTTGGGTACAGTGGGTATCTTGCGGCGTCCCATCTTTGGTTAGCAAGTCGTTGTCACCCACGTCACAGTTGCCTTATTCGCGATGGCAATTACTGACAGCATCAACCGAGTCGCCCAAGATGTGGTCAGATTCAGATGGCCCTAAACCTTGCGCTGCCGAGTCTCCGGGGCCCCTCCGGATGAAGCGGGTATGGGGACACATGACTTGGGCAGATCATCCAGCGTCTCCGGGGGAGATCTTCAGTTGAGCAGGGTAGCGGGCAGTTAAGCGTTGTGGCGTAGTGTGGCAGCAGCAACAGTGAGCGACAGCTTCACTATAGGTGACGTCATGGTTGCCTTGTGTCCGCTTTGAGCATGCTACGACTTGTTTTGTCTTGTCCATCATCGACATCTAAACGCAGCCAATCCCTAGCTCGCTACCCTCGCTTTAACTGTAGACTCGTCGGTAGACTACATCGTGACCGGCATGGACGTAAGTACATTTGCGATCTTCAGAGCCACCCGTTAATCCCAACAGTCCCAATCATTCTACGCCTACGCATCCTCTGCATGGCTCGCACTTCAATCAATGCCTCTGCTCCTAACGCCGAAACTCATCGTTGCATTACTTGCACCGGATAATCATGTCACCACGGAGCCCGAGCTCTACTTCTGCCGCTTCTTGGCTCTATCCCAGCTCAGCCTCGTTGCGTTCACCCTACTATCCAGTCAATCGCCATACCCATTGACAGGCTACCACGTTTCGTCCTTTATCTACATCTATATTTACTACACGACCTTAACCAGTCGCCTGGGCGAAACCCCGACAAATACCACTGGTCTCATCCTGGGCCTCATAGGCTATGGCTTCCTGTGCTCCGTTGGCATCTGGGTAATTGTCTTCTCGGGTGCCGCCAGCCATGTGAGCAAACGAACGGGTGCCGATAAGCGGACTAGTGGCTGGCCTTTTGGCAATGTCAATGCTTATAACCCCAAGGTCGACCGGAAAATGGGGAAGCAAGGTTAAGTCATCGGCGTTCCCGGACCTTGAGTACGCATCACCAACGATATTCGGTCCGGTAGGACTTAGAGAAAATCAAAGAGATAGCAGAAGAATGATTACCGGAAGTGGCACGAGACCGACCTTGGTATAGAAGCTTCTCCAATAGCATGGGATCTGTAGCTCAAGGCGATAACCTTCATTTAACGACATACAGACCAGCACGTCCGAAACTGGTCACCTTGTGTGAGACGTACGACCAATCTGGAACCTCAAGCAGTCTGGAGACGCTCACTTCCGCAGCTCTAGCTCAAACAGCTTTTCATCTAATGTGAATCTATTACCCGACGTCTGTTGCCCAAAAGAGGCAGCTGACTTTCCATCTCTAGCCACCAAACAGCTTTCAGCGGGGAATTCGGGTTAGAAATTAGCATCGTCTCGCCATGCTGGGCAAGTCGCCTGCCGTATCTAGCAAGCAATGACTTTCAACGGGCAATTCGGGTTAGAGAGTAGTGTCATCCCGTTACGCCGGGCAAGTCGTCTGCCGTATCAGCAACTAATGACTTTCAGTGGGAACAAACCTGCAATGTCGAAAGGCAGGCATCTCAACGTCGAGAACGGAAGACCCTCTTCGTTTATCTCACTTAGTATCGGCTGCTGCAGAACCCTCGTAGCGGATTGTTGGCCGCAGCTGGTGTGAGGACCGTGCTGAAGCTTCCGCCAATGCGCAATCGCTATGAAGGTATTCGTTGCTGTGTCAACCTCATCGTGATAGGCTCGCACCCGTACTGTGGTAATATTACCGTTTGGCGTACCAGTAGAGCTGCAGTGTCTTGGCGCTCCGCCTCTGGAAAGTCACCTCTTCCAAGTTGAGAATTGAACGCTGTGACAATTCTTCGATTTGAACATGCCTAATTGGTTGCCACTATAGTCGTGATAAAATAGTTGTGCCGACTCAGTGGTACTGTCTGGCCCTGCCAGTTGACTACGACTTCGTTGACGAAACGGACATTGAGCTCATGAGCCGCCCGGAGATCCGTCCAGAAACATCAACCGTGGGCGCTATGCGCTACATCAAAGGACTCCCTGTCTCTTTCTTCGCCGACCCTCCCGCATCAGTACCGGCTTGACAGATTCCTATCATCTCTTTCGTACGTAAAGCTAGCCTCAGGCCAGCGCAGCGGGCACAACTTGAGACCTTGGCGTAGCTTTGCAATGGCGGGATCTTGGCCTCTACATACCCGAACAGGCAGCACGGATCGCTGCCACATGCTTTCGTAACCGTATATTCTCACGTAAGTACGTGCCCATATGATGGATGGCATTTCCCGCCATACAGAGGCCCAAATTGCTGATTCACCATTGCTAGTAACCAACGCAGAAATTCGCTTATCAAGCATGAACTTGGCAGACACTTAGATGGAGACTCTGGGCGCGTACTTGAGGCTCAAAATGGGTTGTTTTGCCGTCATTGCAAAGATCATGATCCACCAGGTTGGCCATAGCTAAATAAGCCGTCCTCGCCGCGTTCATGCCCGAGAAGCATCTTATTGCTTCACAAGCTACAGTCACAGGAACCCCCTACGACGCTTCACACAGCCCAATGTCAACGGTTAAAGCCCTCATTGCCGCGTCAGTGACGCTGGCGATCCCTCTCGCCGCTGCCCAAGAACCCTCATCTACCTCGGGCTACCCGTCAGCGAGTATTGACTCTGGTCCAGTCATAGGCACACAGACCATCGTCGCCGGTTCAGATATCACAGTCAACCAGTACCTTGGGATTCCTTTTGCACAGCCACCTATCGGCGAGCTACGTTTTAGTCCAGCTCAACAAGTTGAGTCCTGGACGGACCCGTACGAGGCAACCCAGCAGCCGCCGGCGTGCATGCAAGTCCATGGCCGAGATGAGTCTAACACGACAGAATTGGCGCATCTTCTATTCAACAACCCACCGCCTCCGAGCGAGAGCGAAGACTGTCTATATCTGAGTGTTTACGCGCCGGCGGATGCCGAGGGTCTACCTGTCCTCTTCTGGATCTATGGTGGCAGCAGTCTGTCTGGCGCGGTCTCGATGCCACTGTACGACGGCACGTACCTGGCAGCTAACCAGGATATCATCGTCGTGGCGGCCAACTACCGTGTCAATGTGTTTGGCCAGCCGACGTCGCCAGCACTGTCAGTCGAAGAGAGCAACCCTGGTCAGTTAGACCAGCACCTCGCTCTCAGTTGGGTGCAGCGCAATATCGAGGCCTTCGGCGGTGATCCTGCAAAGGTCACTATCGTGGGCGAGTCAGCGGGCGCACTTTCTGTCAGTAACTTGATGCTCGCCTTCGGCGACGAGCCTCCGTTCCGGGCTGCAATCCAGATGTCGAGAGGCGCAGACCTTCCTCTGTTGTTGAATACCGGAGTCGACTCGTGGGCGGCATTGGTGGGCCTGCTTGGCTGCAATGCAACGTCAGAAGCCGACGAGCTTGCCTGCATGCGTGAAGTAGACGCAGAGACAACGAGGGACACCGTCATCGACAGCGGCCTGTCCTTCTCGGCCCTCCCACCGGACAACGTCACCGTCTTTGACAACCCAGCCGCCCAATTTCTGAGCGGTAACTTCTCCAAAATCCCACTCATGACAGGCTACACAGCCGACGACGGCAGCTACTTTGCGCTCATCGCCAACACCACCATCGACGCCCTAGCCTCGAGCACGTTCCCCGAACTCGCCGCTCTCTACGGCGAAGGCGGCCCCGCTGTGCAAGACACCAGCAACGACTTCGAGCGCGTCTCCGCCCTGCTCACCGACCTAGCCTTCAAATGCGTTGCGGGCTTCCACTCGAACTGGACGACCCTTTTCCAAGACGCGCCTGTGTGGGAGTACGAGTTCAACGGCACGGTGCCCACCAACTCATTCACCCAATGGCCGCAGCTCGGCGCGTGGCATGCCGGCGAGATTCAGTACGTGTTCGGGACCTACGACCGGGGGAACGCCACCGAGATCGACGTCGCCCTCAGCGAGATGATGCAGAAGCAGTTTGCAGATTTCGTCAAGGATCCCGAGCGGGGTCCTGGTTGGGCGCCGTGGCCGGCAATCGCGGTGCTGAACGCGGAGACGGTGGACTCGGAGGCTGAGACGACGGTGGTTGATGATGTGAACGAGTTGAACCCGCAGTGCGTACTGTTCAACGACTACTTCTATCTGCCGCAATTGCTGGAGCAGGTGGGTGAGGAACAGGTCGCTGGGGTGACAGAGCTTCTGAGTGGCAATAGCTCGTCGCCTGGAGGTGCGGCGGAAGAGGCGGTTGATACCAGTGCTGCACGGAGACTCCAAGACTCTACGGTGCGATTGACGGTAGTCGTTGCGATGCTACTGGGACTGGCTGTTGTTGGATAACGTCTACAAATTATGCTTCTTAGTTGTGCGTCCTTTTTGAACTAGTTTCGTCGGTATCCAGTAGGTGATATGGGCTCGAAGGAGATTCAGACAATGTAAACTTCGCTTCCTGCCCCCTTTCAACGGGCTCAGTCGCTCTGATGTCTCGAGAGCTAGTAAAGATGCATTCTACTACAGTGTGGATCGTGTCAACAATCAATCAAGGAGACTGCTTACGGCGAAGGGTGTACCATGGTCCTGCCCTGCCAAGCCCAGGGAGGCAGTGAAAGGCTTGGCAATGTGGGATTTGTCCCTGGCGACAAAAATGATGGCGCAAAATGCCCGTGCCTGAGGGCCTGCACCCGCTGAAGCACATCAGGTACAAGCAGTAGTAGGAGCGGATAGCGAGTGCTAGCAAGGCCGTCTAGTCCGTCTGGGGCTGCTCTTTGGGGCAGATGTCTTCTGAGGAAGAGTGCCTTTCGAGCCCTCGCACAGCATACCTGTTTTGGTCATGGGCTTTGCTTGCATGCCGTGGAGGTGTACGAGCTTCCAGGGCCGATCTCAAGGTTTGGCCAGGCTACTTCGTACTTCCCACAGCATGGCGAGTATGGAGCTCAAAAGGGTCAATTTGGCAGTAGCCGATGCCGTGCGGCAGTTTTGGTGGTTGGTAGCCCAATCGCAGTGCTCACTGAACGAGGCACCTGTCGGTGGGGGCATCATGTCATCCAATGGTAGCTCTAGAGGTGCGAGGTGCCCACGATCCACCAGTGGCTTGGGCGCCTGATGACCAAACGCTGCTACAGCTTCATTGGATCTGAAGAACATAAAAGGCTGCATGCTTGCCTGGAAAGTGGCAGATTTTGGTAACATAGAAACGATCAGGATCACTTATTCTCTTGCGGAGTCTTCTTTCGTGTGAGCCAGCGAGAGCAGTCGAGGTTACCCCCGCTTTTTCTCACTCATTCTAGCTGCGAAGCTTCATCGAGCAGCCATGTCAACGCAACATGGCCAGTTTGACCAGCGGCGTTTTCGCTTGGAGGAGTCGACACACCTCAACGGTGGTGCGCGCACCGTCTTCATCGAGCACATGACGCCAGGCACGCAGGTGCCCCCGCACCGTCACCACCGCTTCAGCGAGACGTTCGATCTCATCTCTGGCAGCATGTCCGTGTACGCGACGGATGAGAAGCCGGATCTCGAGGCCTTGGATGCCTCGGTGCAGGAGCTGAAGGTCGGTGTGCCCGTCGTCGTACCCAAGGGCAATCACCACATGTATCGCGTGGGCGACGAGGATACGGTGCTAAGATGCATTGTGACGCCGGGAGATGCGGATTTTGAACGGCTGTTGATGATCATGAACGGACTGGCGAGGGATGGACGGATGGAGGGCCCGGAGGCACTGGGAAGCAGCTTGTTGCTCATGGCGATTGCGTTCGACTTGAGTGACGCGCACGTTATTGGGCCGGTCAGTGATATGTTGAAGGGGGTTAAAGCGGAGCAGGGCACAGCGATCGAAGAGCTGAAGAAGAGCTTGCTGGCATCGTACCATAACGAGGAAGGCCTGAAGGATTTACTGCGCGGAAATGCCTGATGATGGAGTGCTGATTTTGAGCCCTACTATCGGCAGTATGAGGACACGATCTTGAGCCACTCGGACTTGCTCGGCGGCCATTATCTCTGCAGACGATCTGCTCGGGAATGATCGGTTGTAGTCCTAAAACGACAAGTAGGACCGTTCTCATAACGCCAGACTCCCGCATTGATATGATTGGATGAAATCATGAAGCTTGCCCTGAGTCATCTCATCATATCCTGACACCGCTGAGGACGCTCCTGCAAGCATTGGTCGCCCGTTGCTGTTGACCGATTTAGTCTTGATGATCTCTTTGACGATAACGTGTGCCAGCAACCAGTATTCTGGGCAGTAGTTCCAGAACCCAGTCCGCGTTGCATCGTGAGACGTCACCCCAATTGCCTGCTGTGAGATCTGTTCCCCTGATAGCATCGACTTGCGATTCCACACAGCGCGCCAGTTGGAGAGACCTGTGAGTATTGGATCGTACTGTGAGAGCGCCCCAATTTCGGGGTCCGAGTTGAAGAGCATGACGTGGAAAGCTGCTTCGCAGTAAGGATCAATGGAAACGAGCAAAGGGGACAAAGAATACGCACCAGATGCGATGCAGAACAGACTGATGGTGCTGTGAGATGCTACACGAAGCTGGGTTGCAAAATCCATCTCGGCTCCGCAGAAACTCTTGAGAAAGTCGTAAAGCGTTGTCTCCGCGTCGAAGTCAACCTGATACTGCCACTTCTGTAGCTCGAACAGACACGTTTCCGACGAGGTCGCCTCGAAGCACGTTTCTGGACTAGGCAGTCCCATCCTCAACTCTCTTAGGCCAAGTCGTGGCGCTATGTTATAGAACGTGACAAAAGCTGCATCAATGAGAGAGCACCACACGAATATCCTATGTTACGGTCAGCAGGCTCTCGTGGCAGGCATTACGGACTGTACCTGGTCAATTCCTCCATCTCAACAAACTGCAGCCAGTCGAACTCGTCCACTGATGTGCAACGATAATCCCTGTGTTTTGCTTTGCCGATCCCAAGCAGTTGCATGGTTTCAATCATCTGTGAGAAACGATGCCTACGGGCCTTGTGTCGATCTGCAACACTTCCATCCCAACTTTGGTAGACCAAGACAATGTATGCCGCTTGCAAGGCCTGCACATGTTGGCGTTGTGGCTGCAGATTGTTTGTCAGATGGCTGATCTTGGCCAAGTGGCTTATGACGGTGCTCAGTTCGTGAAAGACCAGCTCCTCAACATCATTGAACAAAGCTCTGCTTTCTGCCTGATCTCGGCTATTAGCTGAGTAACGGCCACCCATGATCGCCATTGATGCCAGGAGACAGCTTGGTGCGGACAGCACGTTGAACCATGGACGGTGGATGATGGGCAGGTTGGGGTGCCAGTTTGACCAATAGTGGTCGAGGTGAGATGACAAACGAAATGCAGAGAAGAAGTCCGCCGCGATAGTGTCTCGCGACTCGGTGTAGTGGCACTTACACGAGCCACTGAGATCCTTCAGGTGCTTCAAACCGGCCAGGATCTGCCGTGACTTCTCAACCAGGATACTTTTGTTGACAGGGTTCAGGGAAATCGTCCCGTGTGTCGTCGAGGGAAAAGAGGTGCCATCGACTGTCTGACACCCTGAAGATATTGCATTCCGGCCACTCGTCAGGGGCAAAACTCCGGACTTATCCCAGGGCAAGGAAATCATGTCGTCGATAGAGACAGATTCAGTACGAGAAGACGAAGGACTAGAACACATCTCCGGCCCAATGAAGTTGAGAGGTTGTGCTGGATCTCCGAAAGCCTGCGTGAGCTTAACTCCACTTGTAAATTGTAGGAGAAAGGCAAAGGATTGAGTAGGAGCCTGAGAAACGATATATGTCTCGAGGAAGGAGAAATCAGCAGACATGCTGGGGCAGCTCGGTTCCGGGTGCCACACATCCCGATTCCCTGTTGCGGGCCATTGCTCTTGGGTGGTGGCAAGTCCATCATGTATGTCTAGTATATCAGATTCGCCCGTACCTTCACTGCGTTGCGACTGCAGTAGGATGGACGCATCGCCTTGGTCCAAGTCTGTCCCAGGCAGGTGAGTCTGTGAATGATCTGGCGCCGAGATCTGGAATTGTGAGAAACATCCTTTAGAAATCTCTTCCTGTGTCGATTTGATGCGAGCTTCGTTGTGAGGCGCGTGGGACGCAGACACACGCAGTAAGCCATCCAGACAGGACTGGTAATGTCGCTTCAGAACATCGCTTACAATGTGTCAACCGATCCCTTTTACTGCAGAGTGGGGTTAGACTCACCCACGACGGAATGATTTCCCACAGGAGCTGCACTTGTAAGCACGCGCTGCGCCATCTGCACGAATCTGTGAATGAGAGGTCTGCGGGCTTGCCTCAGTCGAACTTACGACTGCGGACATGCCGCTTGAGATGGTCGGCGCGTGAATATGTCTTCCTGCAGATGGAGCAGCGGAGTTTTGAAGATTCTGCCATCGCTACAGCAAGCTTAGCCGGGTGGGCGCCGTATTTGACGTCGTCATTGAGGGCAAGTCATCAGAAACTATGACTTGATGTCGAGGGACGTGCCACCGCGAGGCCGTCCAATGTTCAATGTGGATGACAGCAGTGTGCAGGAACCCCGTCAGTTGTGTAGGGAGCAGCAAGGGACAGAGGTCGAAACGTGGAGAGCGGGGACCGTGAAGCGGGGTCTTGGCGGAAGCTGGGGAATGCCCGTTGCCCGACTTCCATTTTGGGTGTGGGGGAATCTGAGACGGTTCCTCACTTCCACGAACAAGGTCGCTTGATTCTCTTGACTACGCAAGACCCCGCATTCGATGCTATGGCAGGCGAAGCTGAGATCCGGTCTGCTGGATCCATGTTGTGGAGGATCTGCAGCAGGTACAATACAAGTCCTAGAAGATGTGGGGGAAGCTCATCTGCGGTTGTCCTCGATCCGAACATGGCTCGATGTTTCCGGTGTTGTGCGTAGCCGGGCTGAAGGATAAAAGTCTCAAGGACTGTCACTTGCAGCACGCAGCCCAAATTGACAGTCCGATCTCTGACTCTACCAGAATATCTCAAATATGAAAGGCGCTGAGCAATTTGCCCCTGAGCAGATGGTAGGCGGGCCGACAGCAGAGGCAGCGTACCGGAGGCCAAATGGAGACGCTCCGCGCGATGCTGGCGACCCTTTATGCCTGCCACCGGGTATTAGCTCCAAGCGCTTCAAGGAATTTCTGTGCCGTTTAGCAGACATATCCGGCGACGACCATGTCACGGCCATCACCAAGATGGAAGAGCTCTCCCAAGAATCCTACTTGGATCCCTCCAAGTGCCACGACATGTTCCACGTCTTCAACAAGGAGGATTTTGTATCGTCCGCCGTTGTGGCGCCGCGGAACGTGGGCGAAGTGCAGGCTATAATGCGGTTGTGCAACGAATTCGAGATCCCAGTCTGGCCCTTTTCCATTGGGCGCAACGTGGGCTATGGTGGTGCCAGTCCTCGTGTATCAGGCAGTCTTGGTATGGACATGGGTCGCAACATGAACAAGATCCTCAAAGTCGACGTTGATGGTGCCTACGCACTGGTGGAACCAGGTGTGACATACTTCGACCTGCACGACTACCTCGTCAACAACAATCTCCGCGACAAGCTATGGATCGACGTCCCAGACCTTGGAGGCGGTTCAGTCCTCGGAAACACCACTGAGCGTGGTGTGGGCTACACACCCTATGGAGACCATTATATGATGCATTGCGGAATGGAGATCGTGCTCCCCAACGGCGAGCTCGTCCGAACTGGGATGGGAGCCCTTCCCAACCCAAATGCCGATCCCAATGCTCCAGCTCATGAGCAAGAGCCCAACAGCTGTTGGCAGCTGTTCAACTACGGCTTTGGGCCCTATAATGATGGCTCGTTCACGCAGTCCTCCCTTGGAGTGATCACGAAAATGGGTGTGTGGCTAATGGCAAACCCGGGCGGATATCAATCCTACTTGATTACGCTCCCGCGTGACGATGACCTCCACCAGGCCATTGAGATCATCCGGCCCTTGCGTGTTGCCATGGTCCTCCAGAATGTCCCCACACTACGACACATCCTTATGGATGCTGCATGCATGGGCGATCGTGCATCCTATAGCAACTCCGCTAATCCGCTGAATGACGAAGAGCTTGACGCCATAGCCGAGAAGCTCAACCTCGGTCGCTGGAATTTCTACGGTGCTTTGTATGGACCGCAGCCTGTGCGGGACGTGCTCTGGTCGGTTGTCAAGGGTGCTTTTAGCCAAATCAAAGGCGCCAAGTTCTTCTTTCCCGAAGACCAGCCAGATAATCTCGTTCTACAGACGCGGCACGATACCCTCCAAGGTATACCCTCTGTTACGGAGCTCAAGTGGGTGGACTGGCTCCCAAATGGAGCGCACTTGTTCTTCTCCCCCATCGCAAAAGTGTCCGGCGACGATGCCGTGGGCCAGTACCAATTGACGCGGCGACGCTGCGAGGAGGCGGGACTGGACTTCATTGGCACCTTCGTGGTAGGAATGCGCGAGATGCATCATATCGTATGTCTCGTGTTCAATAGGAAAGACAAAGAGAGCTGTCGAAAGGCACACTGGGTCATTTCGACGTTGATCCAGGACGCGGCGGAGCGGGGTTGGGGTGAGTATCGGACGCACATTGCGTTGATGGGTACGTTTGTCCACTTACCTTATTGTGTATGATCAGTACCTGACCTTGCATGCTTCCACTCCAACAGACCAGATCGCACAGACATATAACTTCAACAACAATGCACAGATGAAGCTCAACGAGACAATCAAAAACGCGCTGGATCCCAAGGGCATCCTCGCGCCTGGAAAGAACGGCATCTGGCCCCAGGTACGTCTGCCGCTATGCCACAGCGCCCAATCACTGACTCAAGTGAAAGACTTACGATGCTAAAGCTTGGGCCATCCCACGCCCAAAGCGTTGAAGTCGAAGTGCTAGCCATGAGGTAGCTGGCATATGGTGGGTATCCTGCATGCTGTCGAGAGCGTTAGGATGCGTACGTGAACTTCGGCCCGCAGAGGCACCGTAGTTGAAGGTTGCCTTGTATGCGACAGCATGTTCAAATGATTTTGAGAAATATTGCGAATGTCGTGCTTTAGATGCGCGAGGCAAGCGGAGTATTCCCGAGGTTTCTGAGAGGTGCACGCGTTCTAAAGCCCCGCTCCCGACAACCGACCTTATCTCCAGCTGGTTGATAATCGGGTTTGCCCAAGGTTTTCTGCCTTATCTGAACCAGTGGCCAGAACGTTGGCAAGGTCGGTTGTCATTGGTAACAGAAAACGCTGGAAAAATTTCTGCTACGAGGTTCGGACATGGGCACGTTGTCTTATCATGGCTCTTTCATCGATTCAACTTCGATTCTAAACAAGTATGCGTAGCGACGACTTTGCCGCCAACATTGCGATACGATCTCCCCACATTCGACACATTGCATGGACATAGTCGACTTCAGTGGATGGCGACATATTTTCGTCGATCCAGAAAAGGTATGCGGTCCTGATATGGAGAAAGCTTTGGTCTGGAGAGCTCACATGCATGAAGGATGCTCGAACTGCCGAGCGATACGGATAAAATGTGATGAAACCGTTCCAACATGCTTGAGATGCGCAGACCGCGGCGTAACTTGCAAGGGATACAGTCGCAAGCTGCGCTGGGTCGAAGCGGGCACCATAACTAAAATCTCTTCGAAGCCCGAGCTCCAAGATCTCTGCTCGCGTAACTTAGATGCGCGTATCACTGGACAAAAGCTCGAACAGATCGCAACACTAGATCTGAAACTGTTCATGCCCTTGATGACTCAATCTTTCGGCGAGCACGATGGGCAGTTGGTCGAATACTGGTTGTCAATGACCGTACGCTTGGTCTGTTTAGACCCAGCGTCGGTTCATGATCTCCGACTCATGTTCTTAAGCTTGGCCATGGGTCACAGACGCATGGCTCTGCGCGCCATGCTGGCCAACGCTGCTGCACACCAGCTTTGCAATGGAGGCACATCCGATTCAACCTTCATGCTAGCACAAAGGAAAGCTATCAAAGCTCAACGTCTCTCCCTCGAAGAACTTGCAACCTACGATGCCCATCTTCCGAATAGAGGCGAACAAGGCAAAGACCACAACCTTCCCTCGGCCCTTGACGACGACGCGATTGTAGCATCACTCTTCCTGCTTGGACCAGAAATTATTCACCCGACCGATGAGATCAGCTTCAGCAAGACTCAATCGTTGCTCAAGGGAGCATGCTTCCTCGTCTCTAAGCGCCATGAGTATTTTACCTGTAAGTGCTCGCTGGATCATCCAGCACGTCTGGATCCTTGCTATAAGCTCGAAAGCCCCCTGTTTCAACACGCGGTCCGAACATTAGCATACACCGATATCATGTGTTGCGTACCCTGCGCCAAAGCCCCCATTCTGGACAAAAGCTATTGGCTTGACGAAGCTATCAAAGCGACCAGGAGAGGCGCTGAAGTCTTGCGACCAGACATTGATTTGGGCTACTGTGCGCACATGTTCTCCATTCTCGGATACTGCACATCGGCAATTGATCAACTATACAGAAAAGATGTATCAGCCTTTGAGTTTAACGAGATCCAAGAAACCCTCTCATTTCAGCTGGATCAAGCAGTACGATCGATTCCAGACTATTCCAACGTTTTGACCACAGTTCCCAGCACTTTTGCCAGGGAGAGTGCTTACGAGACTGAAAGATTGTTTGCGCACGATGGGTGTGTCACAGCCGCAATATGTCACGGTCTTGCCAACCGAATCTTCCTCCTACGGGCGACAAACCACGAGTGGCAGGCACCAGAGATATACGCACTCTGCTGCCAGCTCTCTACCTACGTGTCCCGCATCCCTGTAGACTCTGCTGTAGTTGCAATCATGCTTTGGCCAATCTGGGTGCTGGGCTGCGAAAGCTACACAACCACACCGGACCTACCACGGGAGCGCGTTGCCACACTCCTCGAAGTCATCTACGAGCATCAACGAATGAAAAACGTGCTTCTTTGCCTTGGTGCTTTGAAGCAAAAGATTTGGAGCCTGGCCTCACCTGATGTACGGTGCGCATCTGGCCTTGGAACGGCTCTCCAGTCTAGTTGGGTCCAATACTGTTGGCAGAATGGAATCAGGCTGCTGCTTGCATGAATCAACTGGCGTCCGCAGCATACGTCAGGCTGACTGTTGCACGACTATCGTCGAGGAGGAGTAGGAGGCTGAGGAAGGCTAAGCTGCATTGGCCAATACAACTTCAACTACGCACACAATACGAGAGTAGATGACAGCACCGATTCCCGATGATTGGAACGAAGAGATGCTGTATTAGAGATAGCTAGTGACTTGAAGTCGAAGAAGCAGCCTATGGGACCACGACAACAAGTCCCCACGGCAGGGAAGCATGTTTGGCCCTGGACTATCCCCAGTGTCTGGCCCAGAGTTGTCCTGGCAGCATGACACTGTCCCAGCGATAGCGGCGATTGTCGTTGAGCCACCCAAAAGCTCTGGATAAAACCTGCCCCGTCAGTCTGAGGTGGGTTACTAAACCGCGTGGTGATAGCACAATTTGGTGCGGTAGCGAGGAGCAGAGGGTGCCCGAGACCCTCAGAGGTCCACAGCATTAGCGAGGCTTTCAGGTACTATAGGCGAAGTAGGGTTTGTGGAACCAGTGGAGGTTGTTCGGCGTTCCCCACCGGCAGGGGTACGGGCTATCAGGTCCCAATCGAGTAAAGCACAACATTGAGCAGCCAACCACAACACCAAAGTCTATTCTCGAATCGAAAGGCTCTACAACATTGCATACCATTTTTTCGCACGAATAGTCGGTCTGTCGACAGTCTAGTTCACACGCTGCCGACAGATGAGTGTCCCTTATCTTTATGACGTTTCTGAGTAACCGCCCCAGCCTCAATATGTCTATATAAGCCGTGCAACTGCAGAGGCAACAAGTCGTGGCCTTTCATCTCTACTTCAATCGCAATACTAGCTTGGTCACAAGCTCTATCAGGGCGACATGGGTTCTGTAGCAAGTGCTATCTTGTTGGGGGTGTCATGTCTCCAGCTTCCGGGCGTTTCAGCGCTCCCAGACTATCGACGCTATAGTCGAGATTCACCCCACGGGATGGCCAATGCCCTCTTCTCACGTCAAAAGGACGGCCTTTGTGATGCGTCCAGCTACGTACCGACCACAGCAGAGAAGCCGACACCATTCTTCACGTTCTCTGAGACTGAGATTGAATCTATTCTCGATTGGCTCTTTGTCCCGGAGCGCGGTCTCAATCTGACAGACTCGACATCCGAGAATTTGTCCCAGACTGACAACTACATCTGGTTTATGGAGCCTCTGATGCCGAACAAGACTGACGTACTGGCGTATCTGGATGGCAATGCTACAGCTCCTCCAAAGTATGCCCATATTGTCATGGCTGAGGGTGGGAAAGAAATACCAGTTATGACTGATTACTATGTGAGTACTCTCTTCCAATGGTCCTAGAAGCGACTTAACAACATTCCAGGTTGGTCCTCTTCCTGTAAGCGATCAAACCACTATCAGAACGCTCGACTACTGGTTCAACGGTGTTGGAGGGGCTCAAGTTCCTTTCAACGCTCGTCCGAATGACCCTCCAAGAAGAGCCGCCTTCGATCCTCTTATTGTATCTGTCATGTCAAACATCTCTGATATCACCGCTGACTTGGTCGACATCGTATACTTTGGCGCCGATGACGAGCGCTCTAATGGCACTTATTTCACCACTAACCCCCAATCTATGGATGGAAACTCGTCAATTCTGTGGATGCCATGGCGCCGCAACGCACTCGCACAATATGACCAACCGACGAATCTTTACACCAGCTTCGACATTTCCGGTAGCGATCCATCTACCTATCATCTTCGAATGATCGTCTACAACTTGGTCATATACAACTCTGTCGAAGATTTCCGCGAGGCCTGGGAAAGCGGCAAGATTGAGAAAACTCCACCGCCAACAAGGAACGATACGTTCCTGCGGAAAGATAGATTTGGCCCGGTTCGTGACCTCGAAACCAGACTTGCACCCGCAACGATCGAGCCCGACGGGAAGCGATACAAGCTCGACGCGCAGAATGACTACGTCGAATACCTTGGCTGGTCATTCTACACGCGCTTCACCCGGGACACAGGTGTCCAGATCTTCGACATCAAGTTCAAAGGCGACCGCATCATGTACGAGCTGTCTTTGCAGGATGCTATCGCCCAGTATGCAGGAAACAATCCCTTTCAAGCCACCACTGGCTACAGCGATCGCTACTACGGGATTGGCGCCAGCGTCATCACACCTGTGCCCGGCTATGATTGTCCGTATCACAGCACCTATCTCAATGCGACATACAACGATGGCACACAGTTGCATTCGGTCAAGAACGGACTATGTATTTTCGAGTCGGACCTCGGCTTTCCTGCCACCCGCCACAATGATCCTGCGTATATCCAAAGCACAAAAGCCTCCGGGCTGACAGTGCGCTGGATTGCGACTGTCGGTAACTACGACTACATGTTCGACTACTCATTCTGGGTCGACGGTACAATCACTGTAGACGGCCGAGCTTCCGGGTACGTCCAGGCCAACTACTACCGTCCCGAAGACGAGGGAAAATGGGGACCACGCATCCAAGAGACCATTTCCGGCACACTACACACGCACGTCATGGGCCTCAAAGCCGACTTCGACCTGATCGACTCCCAAAACACCTTTGTGAAGACCGACATCATCGTCGAGAACATCACGCAACCGTGGTTCCCAGAGCTGAGCGAGTTCGAAATGATGCGCTACAACATCTCCGAGGTCCTATCCGAGGCCGACGGCCTGCTCAACTTCGGTCCCAACGGCCAAACCATGTACACGGTCGTCAACAAGGCTCACAAGAACCAGTGGGGCGAGAGCCGCGGCTACCGCATCCTCCCCGGCATCAGCAACGTGCACCTCGCGTCGCAAAAATCCCCCTTCTTCCTCAAATCCGCCGAGTGGGCCAAGCAGAGTCTCGCGGTCTCGCGCCAACACGACACCGAACCCTCATCGTCCTCGACCCAGAACCAAAACCTACCTCGGACCCCGCCCGTGGAGTTCTGGAAGTTCTTTGACGACGACGAGCCGCTGGTGCAGGAGGACTTGGTGGTGTGGACGAACCTGGGGATGCACCACTTCACGCGTGCGGAGGACATTCCGAACACGATCATGACGGAGGCGCACTCGAGCATCATGTTTGCGCCGATGAACTGGGGGGATACGGAACTGACGGTGGATCTGACAAATGCGGTGATATACAACGCGAATGAGGATGGGAGCGGGGTCGTGCCGGATGTGAATGGTGTGAGTCCGCCGCAGTGCTATCCGTTGACAGCGCAGGACTCGCTAGTCGGGCTTTTTGAAGCTTGAGAAATGCAGGGGAGTTGAGAAGTCTGTGTGGGTGAACTTACTCTGCCTGGCAGATCAAAAGGCACTACCTCCCGGCTTGACAGCCTGTTGTTGGTTTGGGTCCATGGCCTTCTTGGAGAGGAGTCACTGAGCTGGACTGGTCTGTACTTAGCATTGACGGTAGCAACCAACAAAAGCACTAGCAATAGACCAATCTTAGGTATCGTCTGTCGAGATAAATCATGGCCTGCGAGAAGATATTGCAAGCCAGGCTCAGTCCATCGTCATTATGACTCCGGGCTCACTGAAGTCCTTTGAACTCACGCCGAACAAACATATCGAGCCATCTTTCAAATCACCATTTGAACCATTTTCCAAGTATTTGTCGCGCGATGCCCACTACCAATTGTCTTCTATATTCCGTTCAATAATGGTATTTAAGTTCTCCTGGAGCGCCTCCGCCTCACCGTCATCATGAGCATCCTGATACGGCTCGCCCTCGTCCTCGCTGTCGACTTGTTCGAAAAAGGCCACACAGCCATCGCCATAGCTAGATTCGGCGCTCGAAGACAAGAAGTCCTCTCCATCGTTATTCGGCTCCTTCACTCGCGAGTCATGGCTTTCACTGACTGGCCCCCAAGTCAGCAAACGTGTTGGTCGTTGACGATGAGAAGGACTTACATGTCAAGCTCTCCATGTCAGCCAAAATCGAATCTATGCCACCGACCGGACCCGGACTTGCGACCGACGTCGAAGGCAATCTCGAGCGACTACCGTGTCTATCTTCCGAGATCACTCCCGCGCCGACATAATCAGCCCTCATGCCTCCATTCATGGGCCCCATCACATTTGAAATCTTCGACTGTTGCTCTCGCCGGCGCTGGAGACGAAGAGCCTCATGCCTCCGAAACGCCGGCAGGATCCCGTTCTCATACCACTGCGGATCTTCGCTAAGCCTGTCCCAAAGGTAATGGCCGATGATCTCCTCCGCTGTGACTTCCCACAGACATAGGTAATGGTCTTCGTAGTAGGCATAGCCGCGATGATAAGGATCCTTAACCCCATAGTATACCATCTCATCTTTGGCATTCAGGACGGGAAGACCCTTATGCCTGCGCACATTCACATTGATGACAGTGAGCGTCAGTGCACCACGTCCTCTGGTCCGTCTCATCTGTGCTATCTCCTGAATTGCTGAGGGAGAGTCGGTGAAGGAGAGGAACGGCGTTGGCACCCGCGAGCGATGATTGGCATGGATCGTCAACATCTCCGTCCTCACTTCCCTCGTTTCCAAGCGTGCCGTTGGATTACGGCTCTTCATAGACCCCGACCCTTGGTCAGGCTCATCCCCCGTGTATCTGTCTCTGATCCTCATGAAAGGGAAGTTTGCCACGGTGTAGAAGGGATCGGGTGGGACAGTCCACGGACGCACATCTTGCTCGGCCTCGAACAACGATAATACCAAAGGCCTCAGACGTCGTACACACTCTGAGCGGTCCAGGGGCTTGATGTCAGCCATTGTCACATACAGCCAAGCAATCTTATAGGGACTCAAAGTCTGATTTGACAGTATGTTGATATACAAGACTTTTCAAAGACAATCTCCAGGGCGCAGGCAACGTGAGCGGCATATAAAAGATCGGGCAACAGTGTTATCACGTGTTGGGCATTGGCCCGGGATCGACAGTCGGCCTATGGACTTGCCTGTTGGGTGCGACGGGCGATTGGACACAGGAGTCTTGGTGATGACTACCACGCCAAGTGGATAATTTACTTGTTCGTAGTATGTCGGTCACGACGAAAAAGACTCAGAACTTGACGAAGGGAATCAAAGTCAGATGTGTCATGATAATCCCCGTGTCATTCACATGCCAATATCCATGCTCGATCGAAGGCGAGTCCTGCGTTCAGCGATCGTGTCTTCCCATGTGCTCTCCATATCATAGACCCTTACGCCACGTAACCATGGTATGCTGTGCGGCAACCGAGATAGGTTCTCAAAATCCGCCTTTCAGCAGCTACTCGCATACCGCCTAGCAAGAGAGCTTTGCAACATCCTCGTTCTCTTATCTCGATTGCTTTCGAGGCTCCTGGGCCGGAGACTCAACTTCCATTCCTTTCGTCAATGGCATACGAGGGTCGTTGCTTGTGCACTCAATGTTACCGAGGATCTCAGTCAACTGCTCAGGCTTGAGCTTGCACAGCTTGTTAGCCAGCATGAGAGCAGCACGACCAGCATTATCTTTGACCAGAGTCTTCGCAGCATCATCACCTTGGAGAATCTTCGTCTTGGAAGTTGCCTTATTTGGCGACTCCTGAGGGAGTGACTCGCTGCTGACACTGGAAGCCAACGTCGATCGCTGTGAATGATTCTCACTGAAGATGTTGTCGTCCCCGCAGGATTCGCTGTCGTCAGGAATGGCACTTGCGTCGGAAGCTGGTGTTTGGCCTAGCTTCTCCCAGACCCATCTGTGAACGTTATCCACGGCAGCTTGAGGCTGGTTCTTGTAAAGCAAGATGTAGTCCTGTAATTCAGCCGGCGAAAACCGTCCATGCGGCACGCTTTCCGCGAATGTCTCGGCTAATGCATGTATCTCGAGCTTCTTCTTCTTGATATCAGCTTGAGCTAGATCTATCTCCTTGTTCCCTTGCTTCGAGCTTTCTGATTCTGCATCTTTCTTCACATAGAAGGTCGTGTTGGTTCCTTTCGCAGTAGCTGGATGGTACATGTTGATAAAGATATCACGAATTTGGAAGCGTGTAGCATTGCCAAATTCGACATGAACATCAACACGCCCCGCACGAACCAAAGCTTCATCCAGCACGTCCGGTTTGTTGGTTGTCATGATGAGAATGTGACCTTCCGGCGCCCCAGCGCCATCGATGGCGTTCAAAAGCCCGGACAGAGTTACACGAGAGCCCGAGGCTGACTCTTCCGTGCCATCGTCGGTGGGTCTTATTTTGGTTCTGATCTTGCTTCTTGCTTTGGGACGTCGTTCAATTCCGGCACAGTCGACATCTTCGAGCAGAATGAGAGTTCCTTTTCGAATGGATTGAAAGAGAACAAGCAATGAATTGTCACTGACATCGTTGTCAAGCAGCGACAGCATGTAAACCTGGAGCTTGAATTGACCAGCTAGCGCTAGTGCTAGCGTGGTTTTGCCTGTCCCTGGTCTGCCATGGAAAAGATAGCCACGGCGGTGAGGAATTCCTCGGTCCTCGTACCAGCGAACAGTGGCATCGTCGAGGTACTCACCAACGTCCTTGAGCAGCATCTGCTTTTGACCTTCGGCGAGGTAAACGCTTTCCAGGGGCCGACGAGGCTTGGAGCAGCGCTGCGTCCACTGGCGACCAGAGTACGGCACGAAGATCTGGGTAAGCACCTGACCATCTTGCTTCAAGGTCAACTCGTATGCGTCAACCAACATGCGTCTGATGGGCTCCGGAGACCAGCCAAAGGTCCAGACAGTGATGTCGGAGCGGTTCAAATGGGCGTTGAGTCGCTCGACAGTCAAGACGAACATGCGGCCCTCATGCCAGAAGAACTGAAACTTGTTCTTGGGGTCGAACACGACAGACTTGCCATCTCCAAGATTTCTCTCCAAGAGTCTGCCGTTGCTAACTTGGTTGCGCAGGTACTGAGTGGAGGTAGCAGTAACCTGACGTTCCAGCATCATCAGCTTCTTGGTGTTGAGGAAGCGACGAAAGCTCGAGTGAAGAGCACCATCTTCGCTCGAGATGAGGACCGACGACATGCCATTCGACATGAGCTTGTACCAGAAGGTGGTCAGCTTGGCGGCAACGAATTCCCAGCCAATCCATAGTGCTAGCGGGAGCGACAGCAGTCGGACGGTCTTGGGGTATTTCGCCAGCTTCGAGATAAGTTGGGGGTAGAAGGTCGTAATGATGAACGCAGGCAGTCCGATCTGTCCAAAGAACTGATCACTGAGGCTCTTCTCGCCCTTGCTTGCGGTTTTGGCGGCCGCTTGAGATACATGGTCCATTGTGTCTGATGTTTCCTTGTTGGTTGCTCTTAATCCCATTTGAAGACTATGGTACTGATGTGAGACTTCTCGAAGCTAAGAGGGGGGGACTCGATAGCGGCTCAACGGTGACGATGGTGGGCGACGACAGTGGGCGACAACGTGGACGACTTGGATGGATAGATGGGAGTACGTATGATGCGAGAGAAGATGGAAAGCCGAGGGCTAAGTCGTGTATGCCCTAAAGATGGACTTTGGCGTGAAGAGCAATTTGGAATTATGCCGCAGAGAGAAGGGAAAATAGCGAAAACTCGAGCACGAGTTCAACTGTGACAAGGATAGGCCGCATCGGGGCAGATGGCACCTTCTGGCGATATGGCGAAATGGTATCAGGCAGCAACGACTGATGGCAATGCAGGGCACTGAAGTTCGGAGAAAGCAACGAGCCGCGGTGTAACGAGCAAAAAAGAGACCTGTGAACCCAGTGAGTGAGGAAGCCGGCGGCAATCCAGTTTTTGAGTCACAGCTTGGACAGAGAAACAGAGGTCGGGCTTCAGTGAAGTGACAAAGAGTTATCGACGAGGCCGATCTCAGGCTCCCAAGCCGAGTATTACCATCAAGGCGGTTGCCTTGCCGTACGTCCCGCCTCGAGGTGGGGAGGGGCAGGCACCGCTACACAGACACAGCAAGGCGCAAATGCATATCGCAGGCAGCAGAAGCTTGGTATGCAAGTTGCCTTGTGGGACTGGGGTGGGTGAGAGTTGATCGTACAGGGATCAGCGACAATTGGCCTTGGGCAGAAATCTCCTCTGTGGCGATGACAGCGGGGTACACCCGTCCAAATGAGCGTGGCAAGCTCCAGACAACAGTCAAGCACTGCCATCATTATTCGCGCAGACCATTAATCACAGTAAAAGGCCAAGTGCGCCCTGAAGAAAGACTAGTGGAGCAGAAGACAGACCGTCCAATGTAGCTCGCAGGAGGCCAGGCTGCAGTCTGCCCCTCAATTGACCGGTCAGCGGCACGGGCGATCCTCCATTTCCACCTCCGTTGGCGCGTGCATGCGGCTCATTGCGGGCTGAGTGACTCGGATGCGCCGCCGCTTGAAGATGTGGGTTGGCGGCGTTGTTGGAAAAGCATCAGCTGGCCTGGCGTGGAGGGGCAAAGAGGTGTTGGGGAGGAAGACGGGCGGTTACATAAGCTGGTTGCCTTGTTGCTTGGCGAATCAGAGTCAGCGATCATTGGCGGCCTCTTGCCACGATGCGAGATGCGACTCACCCACTCCGCTGCACATATCTAAAAGGCGAGTGGATAAAGGGGATTCATTTACTGATATACAATATTCCGCTAGTATCCATGTCCAAGGGTTGGTGACCTTAACGACTCCAGCAACGCAGCAGTGCTTTCCAGGTGCTTTCTCTTGTCTCCAAACGCACTAGCCATGCGGTCAAAAATCCGGGTATCTCATGCTCGACTCTTCCAAATCTTTCCTGTTGGACAGAAGCCGTGACTCATTCCTTCTCCGGCTCCACCTCTTGAGCCTCCACATCCTCATAGCGCGGTGGCGGGGCAGGGAGGTCCTCCTCATACTCTAACAGCCCGTCCTTCTCATCTTCTGTGATGGTAATTTCTACAACCTCTCGGCCCAACGGACCTCTCTGGCCCTGTCTGCCAAAACGTAGCCAAAGGAACACGATAAATTGACCCACGAGCATGCCGACTGCACTAGCCAGCAAGCCACCGATAACGCCCAGCAGCGCCGGAATGACGAAGAAGCGCAGTGTAGAGTGCAGCATCTTCGCCCACCGGTGGGCACGGTGATGGTGGTGACCATGACGCCCATGGCCTGGACCATGGCCCGGACGGCGGAAGTAGCCGCCCCTGTTGCCACAGCTTTTGACCCAGCCCTTGGCCTTTTGCGCTTTCTCACGCATGATCCTCATCGTTTCGTTGACACGGTATGCGATGATGGCTCTGACGCGACAGTACGACCAGGCGCTTTCACCCTCGCATGACGCGGCTCCGGGAGTCTGTATAAACGGCACCTTGTCGATGCGCATGACCTTCATCGTGTTGGCAGATTGCAGGACGTCGATAGACAGAGTGTCAACCTTGACAGGATGGCCTCCAAATCCGACGATCGTGAACTTGACGGGCACGATCATCTTTAAAGGGTCTTCTGGGGCGTGGACGGGCTCGAGTCGCTCCATGACAAAGTCGATGGGGATAGGTGGTGTAGTGTCGCCATTGTCTAGTCTCTTTTGCGTGGCATATAACGAAACGGGTTGAGGCCCCCCAAAGGCTGTTGTGCGGGTAGCCACGTTGTTAATGAGGAGGCCGTTGTCCGTGTCGGCATCGACGTTGATTTGCTACAAGCGGTCAGTATACGTCAAGTTTCGTGCTAGCGGACCGACTCACCAAAGTAGTCTCATATTGAGTGCTCCACTGCACTCTCTTTCCTTCCACTTCCGTAAATCCACCCCAAGGACAATTGGGACAGTCCAGCTCTACCTTCCATGTCGACTCCAGGCCAAATAAATGTGCAATCTCAGTCTTGACCTCCTCTTCACCTGCCTGTAGATTCGGTAGTACTGCCTTGGGTGGGATAAGGAAGGCTGTCGCCGTGTTTAGGGTCGCAAGCCCGGCGGCCAGCGCGGTGGCGACGTGCATCGTGGTTTCGTGGTTGTGTTACACTTGGGTTGAAAGTGGTTTGTTCGCGGCTCAGGGCCAGTATCGAGAGGGGGAGAGAGTGGTCGAACGGCAGAGGAGCGGATGGTCTCAAGGACAACGAGAAGCCCAACAAAGAAGCGGTGTCACGCGCGGTCTACCCAATGGGAAAGTGAGACCAAACGTCAAAGAAGTACGAGTACGCTTCGTGACCGATTCTGGATGGCGGCAGCGCGGGGGGCACACGACTCCTTTGTCTCTTCGCTAGGGCGCGGGTCTCCGGAACAAGTCGCGTTTAGGTGTTCAAGTCAGTCGAATGGGAGAAGAAGCAGAAGAGCGAATGAAGCAGGATAAGCAAGAAACCTATGATCCCAGAGTTCGGGCTCGTGACAAAGATGCACCCGGTGCGGCCTGACGAACCCGCCATTTCTCAGCCCGGCGATTAATCAGATTCAGGCTTGCCTCACGAACGTGTCCGCTGAGTTGGCGCTGGGCCATCCGGCGCATCCGGCTGGCGCACGAAAGCGGCCGACCGAGCCCAAAGATAGCTTAGGGAGCGTGTTAGCTAAGCAAGAACCCGCCCCTAAGTGGTCAGAGTGCCTGCGCTGAACTGGGGTGCTGGCTCTTGCGGCTCAGCGGCTGGCTGCCACAGCACGGTCTGGGCGAGCTTTGTGGAGGCTGGTAATGACGCCTAAAGCCGTCGCTCTCGGGGCGCAAACTTTCCGAGCACGTGCCTTCTGCCGTGATTGGCCGGAGCACCGCACCCAGCTGGGAGGAGCAGGCTGGGAGGAATGAGGGGATGTCTGAGATGAGGTGCTCTCGTAGCTGTTCTTACGTCGAGAGTTGCCGCTGATAGCAGCTGTATGGAGTACCGCCGTGATATTCTACGGACTGGAGCGGGGAACTTCTACAGTAGTCATCTGCAAACACCTCCACCGCTTCTTACATTCCATAAACCTCGTGAACCAGGTCCAGCTTCCTGACTAGCTCGAACACCTGCTTCTCTAACCACGGGTGGCCCCATCGTTCCGTATTGTGCATCCTCACAGCTGCATTGCGGTACTCAATCGCATTTGCTTCAAACCACACCTGTTTTTGATCCCACGTGATGAGAAGCAGCGTGATGAGGAGGGGCCAATAGAGCACTTGGAATAGCTTCCGAGGCAAATCGAAGAGCATCTGAAGCATAGCCAATAGTATCCGAAGAATACCAAATAGCACCTGAAGCATACCAAACATCCACTTGATGCTTTCAAAGGCGCCTTTGCTCTTCTTGTTGCTTGTGGATACTGCCTGTGGCTCTCCATCGGCAGCCTCGGACTGTCCAGGAGCCGATAGTCCGGGATCAGACCATACAGAACCTCGGCCAAAGTGATGACGATCCACGAGGGGCAAGTCCTGGGGCGCATTCAGAGTAGGGTTGCCCTGTTCCACTGCGGTATCGAAGGAGCTATCAGAGGCTTCAGTAGCATCTTCGAAATCCGAGCCAGCATCGTCATCACCACCCTCGGGCACAGGCTTGTCATTGCCAGGCGCTTGCAGCGGCTCCTCCTCAATCCGCATCACAATATGGCCATTATCCATGGGCTGAGACTGCGGCATAGCGGATGTATCAGCATCTTGGGATTGTGAGCGCATGAATGTTATGTCGTTGGCGGGAAAGGTTATCTTCCACTCCCTACCATTCCTCAACGAGAAGAAATCTTCGACGTGCCAGCGTAGTGCGCCAGCTAGGTTCTGAGGACCTAGTGGAGTCATATTCCTCGTCGGTGAAGATGACGCAGATGCTCTGCGGGTAGGGGTTTTTGATGCAGCTGGGGCAGGAGCCGTCGTGGTTGGCAAAACTCCCAGAGGCCGTACTGGAGTGCCTATTCCGGATTGGCGTGTGTGCCGGGCGCGTCTAGATGCAGGCGTCAGGTCCCCGTTCACATGAGGCCGAACTAGTGCTCGACTCCATCGTGGTCCACGGTTCTTTGGCTTGTTCGTAACTTGGGAACGTTGAGCAATCTTCGGAGCAGAACTCAGGACACTCAGGCGGCGCTTTGATTGAAGAGATTCGGGTTTCCTAGCCAACTCATCCTTCGTGATACAGTCTGACTCTGCATCCGGCGAAATCGTCCTTGAAGGAGAGAACGGATCTTTATCATCCGGGAGCCACTCTGCAAGCGATGCCCTCCGGTTGAGCTCCTCAGGAAAGCTGTTAACGCGTCTGATACCCGTACTGTCCCTGTGTTGCAAGTCCACGGAAGTGATCCAAGCTCCAAGGTGCTTGGTCAGCATCGATGGGTGAGTTGAAATGTCGGCAAAGCTGTTCTTGGCAGATTGGCGAGTGTGCGCTTCGAGATCTTGTGCAACTGGCGACACTTCAGAGACCTGGAGTTGCTGGTCGTCCGCCGATTCCCATGCGTACGAGGATGATGACGAACGAGAAGGCCAGCTAACGTTATCCGGACGGGTATCATCGAGTGGTGGAGATGAAGGAATGGTATCTTTGCTACATTTCGAATCGGTTTTCGAACCTGAGCTTGAGCTTGAATCAGATGGACTACTGGTCCACCGTCGTCTGGTCACAGCACTATCGTTGCTAGCACTTCTAGCTACACGTCGCCTAGGCAGACTTGGAAGACTTGGCTCATGGACCAGGCTGGCACGGGCTGCTCCCTCTGAGAACATATCGGAAACTGCCCCTCGCCTTGTACTGGTCGGTGATGCTGACATGGTCTCCGTGTACACGATCTCTTCTGGGGCGAAGTGCGTCGAAGATGACCGTGGCTTTTGTGTTATTCCTACGAAGATCTTCTCGGAGTGCAGGAGTGTAGCAGCCGTCGAGGGGACGTCGTCCAAAGAGCTGCTAGAGGACAACGCATTATCTATGGCAGGCTCGAGGTCAGCGGGGCCATTGCTTTCATTGCTGACATCTGACGATGAGTGCGAAGATTGGCTCCATTGTCGCGGCCAGAGGTCACGGAATAGAAAGGAGGTATCGTCCGCCAGCTCGAGAGGAACATTAGCCTTGGCAGGCACATCGAGTAGACGGTCGACGCCGCGGCTGAGAACAACACGCGCGCTCTCTTTCAGGAAAGGCTTCTTCCGCTCCAGCCTCGCAACCTGCCAATCGTGCGCTTGCTTATCGTCCTCCTCGGCTAGATTGGTAACTAGGCGATCTTCATCACTGTGGCCCATGGATTCGTCATGACTCGACGATGCAGAAGGTGGTGATAAAACAGTCAAGCTAGTGCTTGAGTCCGACCTCAAATCCATTTGCCAGTTTTCTTGGTCCTCCAGGAGCTGCGTTTTGGATATCAGCACTTCGGACTCCACACCGCCATTGATATCCGCGCCAACGAGCGTTTCTTGAGACTCCCAGACAAGATCTGGAGTTTCAATCTCCTCCAGCTGGCTGCCGGATGGTGGACGAGGTGTACGAGTTCCAGGGGGTTCGAAAGGTGAAGAAGACTGGAAATCTTCAACTTCAAGGCCTACTCTCCTCTCAAGCACGTCCGACGTAGAATGAGTTCTACGAAGCTTCTGTCGATGTACTGAAATCGACACAGGCTTTAATTTGAGGTATGCTTTCTGTCGAGCAGCTGATCTGGCAGTTTCGGCCTGAAGCGGCATTTTGTTATAAGTCTGACAACACCGCATACAGTCTGTGTTCGAGCCCAGTCTGAGAGACTTGGGATGTCGTTTCGAAGTCCAGTCGACATGATGCTGGCTCGGCCAGAGATAGAGTGATTCAATAGTTTGGACCGCACTGTGAACCTTGCCAGTGGTGCGAGGCGACTGCGAGGGCGGAAGAGCTCCACTTGCGAGAGCGGATGGTGCTGGTTGCGACAAAGAGGGCTTTGAACCAAATGGAGCGTTGCGATCCGAAAGCTGTACGAAGCCAGGACTATTCTGTTCCGTGCTAGTGATAGATGGAGATGTCGAGCTGAGCTCGGCAGATTGTCCTGCGTTGATGAGGATTGGCGGAATAGAGACCAGCGTGGACACCGGTGCTTTCACAGACTGGTGCCGCTTTTGGGCAGGCTCGATATCATCTTGAGAGTGAAAATGGAGGGTTTGCCCTCCGGGAGGGGCGTCAACGATTCGACTATGGCCGGCACTGTCGTATCCTTCCGACGACTCAGCATGGTCCGAGGGATTCGAGATTTCTGGAGCATGATCGTGCCCGGAATATCCAGTTTCATCAAAGACCGTCTCATCTTCTCCCAGTTCGTGAAGCTCCTCGAGAAGACTCGCTCCCCCTACGAGGTCTTCCTCGGTGGCATTATCCCTAGCGTCAAGCTCTGCAACTTGCCGTTCGACTCTATGCTTATCTACGGGCGTCTGTGAATGTATGGAAGATGTAATGGGACTTGCCGCTCGTGGTAGTTCGTGTGGCCGCGATGTGAGGTGCCGAGTGGGCGTGTGGGGCCTTGAGGTTTGTGTGCTGCGCCGCAACGAAAGTGAGGTAATAATGTCAGAGTGCTGGATGGATCCAGGCAAAGGCGAGCTTGATTGAATTGGGACTTCGTTCGGCGCGAGACTGCGACTCATATGCCGAGCGGCGCTCAAATTAGGTGAACTAAAAGCTCTCCTGAATCGATCGTGTCGCGTGTCTTTAGATGTCTCGAATGCTCTCGACAACTCTGTGTCAAGATCGGGCATGGTCTCGGACAACGAAACGCGGCTCACGGTCGACTCCTGCCGATGTCCTGACCTGAACAGCATCCGCAGCTCAACTTCCCAGCGATCCAGATCTCCTTCAGAACGCGCGAACATGCTCGTGATGTCGGCAAGTATGCGTTCTCGCGCGGCTTGATGACCGAGCAGCAGCTCAATCTTCTTGTGGAGCTCGCAGATCTGCAATGTCTTCCTCTCGAGTTGCCCTTGCAGACTTCTGTTGAGCTCCACAGTTTCGCCGGCCTTGTTCTGAGCTTTTCTGCAGTCTCGTTGCAGCAACTTCTTGGATCTTCTTGCGTCGGCGATCTCCTCCTTCAATCTGGTGATTTGAAAGGCCAAGGCTTCCTTCTCCTCGACAAATTCCGAAAGTTGCTCCAAGTAGCGCTCTTCTTTGGCCTGAAGTCGACTCACACAAGCTTTCTCTCGGCTGAGTTCAATGCGTTGCTGACGAGCATTCTCTTCGGTTTCTTCTGTTACTCGCTCATCATGGTTCAGTCTCTCCTCGTGCTCGATCAGAGCGTGTCTGAGTAAGTCGTTCTCATTCCTCCAATGTCGTGTCATCTTCTCAAGCTCGTCCTCTTTGGCCGACAGTCTCGCATCAAGGGCGTTGTTGGATTGTACTAGCGTAGACATCTCGTCAGCAGCCTGCTTTAAGGCCTCCCTAAAGGAGGGGTCGTCACTTTTCAGGCCGAGCTCGTAGAATTGGGACGCCGGCGGAGGATACACAGAGGCAGCAGGGCTCTGAGATATGAGGTTGTCATGCGGATCATCTTTTGGCGCATCGAATGGCAATTCCATGACCGAGAAACGTGTTCCATGAGGTGTGAATTCACGATGTACCATCGGTAGCGAGGAGGCGCTCTGTGCAATACTTCTCTCGGTGCTCTTTATGTCTCGTTGGAGATCTTTTTCGATGGCGAGCCTCGCGAGAGTCGCCGCGGTACCTGCCCGGGTGAGTCGCGGTTTCGTCTCATCGTCGCAAGGTTTCCGCCGCACACATGGTTGGGGCTTGGACGGCCACGAAAAGCGCGACTCGTGTGAAGGTGGTCGACTCATGGCTGCTGCGCTACACTTGAACTGCAGTGGCTTGTGGTCTCACAAATGAGAAGTGTAAGAGCAATGTAGAGTAGGACCCCGATAGGGTTTCCAGGCGACAAGAAGCAAAAAGCACCTACAGAGGTAGAGGCTTTGATGGCATAAAGGCGCAAACTTGCTGCTTCAAAATAAAGTTTGCCATTCACACGGTGCCTTCGTTAGGCAACAGTCGTGTGGCCCGATAGCTGGAGGACAGTGAATGACAGCAACTGAACAAGCGCCGACAACAGAGTATGCGTTGACTGTAGGGTCGCATTGCGCTGTCAATCGCTCGCATGGATAGTGCAGATGCTGGCAACACCACAGCCATTGGCCCCGAATCGCCAAAACGGTGACAAAGACGAGACTGCTGCTTTCAGTGCCGGCCAATGTGGGCAATCCAGAGCGCACAGACCGAGTGCGACTGAGGGCCGTGCTGATGATTGAGGAATGTTGTTCTATATGCATTGATCGTACAACTACCTTACTCTTCGTCGCCAAGGCTTGTGTAGTCCTTGTAACACTGCTGCTGTACAAGCTCCTCCTTGCCGGTCTCATGCACCACAAGTGCCGTCAATTGGCCGGCTCTGGCGCAGTTCGTGTCCAGGCCCTTGGAAAAGCGTGAAATCTGGAGCCCCATACGAGCATCGTGCCCGTAAATGATGGTGAGTTGGCCAGTTCCCTTGCCCGGCTTTCCTGTCTTCGGCGCTGACCACTTTTCCATGGCCGGTAATAGCCTCTGGTATTTCCCCCAAATCTTGAACCAAGGTTTGCTGCCTTTGTGCTTGTCATGGTGGAGCTTCGACGGGACATGCGTCTTCAGATCAATGGACCGCATGTTCATAACTGATACAGGGTCTTGTGATTCCAGTGGAATGCCAGGCACAAGACCGCCATGGACAGCAACCATTTCGCCAATGCCCTTGATGGATCCAACTTTGAGGATGAGGGGAAAGGACTTTAGGTATTGGAGTTGTTCGTCGCTCAAGGCGCCTGCAACAGCGTCGGCGGATTTGTGTTTTAATTTGCCCTTGCCGCGAGTCTCGATGCCCACCGAGTCTGCGTCCTCTACACCTTCGCCGCGAGCATGTCGGCGTTTGCGTTCGGCCAACAGGATGACACGATCATCATGATTGCCTCGCACAACCGACGCCTTTCTCTCCCGCAAAATATCGATGACACCCAGCGAGTCAGGACCTTTGGTGACAATATCGCCAACGGATATGATATGGTCTGTCGCTTCGTTGAACTTGACCTTGTGTAGAAGCTCGAGCAACTCCTTTTTGCAGCCATGAATATCTCCAATGAAGATAAGGCGCCTCGATTTGTCGGCATTGGGTGCTCCAGGCAGCAAAGACGAGTCCAGGTCTTTCGTCTGTATCAGCCCCCCAAGGTGAGGTCTGGAATTCGTGCCAAACAACGGTTGAGATGTACTTTCAGAGAATGTATGGAATGTGTCCCATGCGGCGCGCTCTTCCTCAAGCCAGGGCCATAAAACCCTTGTCCACAACAGCCATGTGAAGAGAGCTGCGGTCAGGGCAGATAGGACTAAGCGGCGAAACTTTGGCGCTTTGGCGACGGCCAGGCAAGCATCGTAGTACTCATCGAGCCGGTCTAGGTACTTGTCATACCACAACTCAGAGTCGGCACCGTTAGCAGACGGCGTCTGCCATTCATTTGTACAGTATTCTACCAACGTCTTGCGCGAGTGAACGCCACTTGATGCGACGGTGAATGGCCCTTCATCTTGTTGTCTAGGCTTCTCGGAGACCATGACTATTACGTCCGGTAGGTCCGCTCTTTTTATGATTTGGCATAGGAGGTCATTGCGAAGTGTTGGGAGGGGCGTCAACCGTCGTGGCTGCGAAGGGTGAGGTACAGGATGAATCAGATCGGCCTCGCTCGCAGTCTTGGAGGTACCATATCACTGGCTGCGCGATCAGCCGGTGCCACAAGTAGTGAAGCTCGCTTGTGGTGGCCTAGAGGATCCGGGAGCCGCGACTCGCGGTTTGAGAGCTTGGCATCTACGGACCAAGGTAATGCGGCGTCACTCTGCGAGATATCGGAGCATGAGAACGCTTTCGTACGGCGTGAGAAACTTGCGCGGACGAAAATGCGAGGCACTGAACGTTGAGACATTCGGGGAACAGGTATACTTCAAATGACTTCATTCTGCAGCCAGCTGGCGCATCCTTCAGCCCCAGCATTCCTCCGAGACAGCCCCGTGCGCAAAAGATGACATGCTACGCTCTGCATTAGGTGACGGAAGAGTTCTTTTCTCGAGTCCAATTACTTTATTCGGGAACTATAGGCTGAATTGTACATCTTGACTTGGTCTCCGGGCTGGATATTGACCACAGCCTCTGCCAGCACTTTACAGAGCAAGGCCAGCGATGATGAGACCGAAGAGACCGGCGCCGGAAACGGCAGTGCGGATGCTAGCACCGCTGTCGCTGGAAGTAGAGCTGGCAGAAGAACCGGTACCGCTGGCAGTGCCCGACTCAGACTCGGAGCCCGTAGCAGATGCCTCAGAACCGCCTATACAGAGTCAGAGGATTTTCTAAAGATCTGAAATGGATGCAACTTACCAACGCCAGTCTCGGAGCCGGTGGTAGTGGCTTCGGAGCCAGAGGCAGTGTTGGAACCAGAGGCACCGGTCGAGACAGGGAAGAAGGAGGCAGAGATGCAGGAAGCCTGGCAAGAGGCATATGCGGCAGTCTCCTCCTCAGTGCCATTGCCCTGAGTGCAGGCACCAGCGCAGGCAGTGGTCTCGTTGACAGCCTGCTCATTGGGGCAGGGCACGTTGACGCAAGCGGCCTGGCAGCAGATGTCGGTCTCGGAACCTACAACATGTCAGTCGCAACCTCTTTAAATTGTGACATCCAACGCACAGTCAGCGAGACATCGTTGCTCGGGGGTCAGGGAGGCTGAAGAGCTGGCCGAGGCGGAGGTGGCGCTGCTGGCGGCGGACTCGCTGGTGCTGTCCTGAGCCAGAGCCAGGGCGGCAAGACCAAAGGTCGCAACGGTAGTGAAGAAACGCATGTTGACGGACGTGTGAATAGGGCTGATTGTACAAACAGTTAACGCGAATGGAAGCAGGCAAGCGAGTGGGCCTGTGCGATTGAAAGAATGTAGATTGAAGTCTCGAAGGAATCTGGGGATGAAGGAAGAGGATTTGGCGCGCTTTGGGACAAGCAGAGTTCAAATAGCAACCGCATAGAGCTGGGGGCAGGGGTAATTCAACTGGCGACAACCTAGCAATTGAAGTTTCGGAACAAGCCTGACCAACAAATTGCTACCTTGACCCCGGATTCTGTCGTGGCATTGCGGAAAGGCCTGCATCGCGTCGTGCAGCCACAGGCCTGGCGGCTACGACCAACCCCAAAAGGGGTCAAGTCTGCGGGCCAAGTGCCGTGTGGAAATCGGAAGAGCGAGGCGGCGGCATTGATGCTTGTAGCGTGATCTTCCTCAGAGTGGTGGACATCTGAGACATGGTTTTCTCAGCGGTCTCACCGCGGTGGCAAAGCATCTGGAAGATGCACATGCTGCTGCTGCACATGAGAAGTCTTCTCACAAAGTCGAGCAGCAAGAGGATCAGACTCAATGCATGAGCATGGTTGAGGTTGATGATTTGTTTTCCAAACAAAGCATGACACTAGGAAACGTAAAAACGTCTCAGCCAGGGGTCAAATTGGTCCAGCGGCTAACCCGCAGTCACGATCGACATCGGAAGTAAAATTGGCGGGCGCAAAACTTGGCGCGAAGGGGAGGAGGTTCTCGCCTGGTCACGGGACCGCGCGCTTTAGGGTCAGGCTTAGGCTTGCTAAGCGCGTGGGTGAGCGGGACGACATCAGTGACGACTTCTCAGCCTTCCTAGACATCGCATTGAACATTGCAAACATCGCTGGATCAGACTGTGGTCGCTGCTCACAGCCCACCATCCCTCATGCACTTCTAAACAGGCAGAAGCTCGCCTCATCCGAGCATGGACTTCCTTGATGATGAAGCCGGTGCGAGTGGCAACGAAGATGTCCTCGTGCCAAGCTCGCAGACCGAGGACAACATTCGCCCAAGGAAACGCCGCCGATATAACACCAGCAATGATGACGATTTAGATGATGAGTATGATCTTCCTTCGCATGACTGCAGCCAAGATGAGTACGACGACCCGGACGAGGTTATTCAGAAATCCCGGTATGACGAGGTGACCCACGTACCGCTCCATGCAGAGACACAGAAGGACACTTTTGTCACTCAATTGACCCAGCCATGGTCAAGTCCTACCCGTATTCGGGGGCCTCGGTGGAAGAAGCACAGTGAACCGCCATCCCCGCAGCCGAATGGAGTCTGTGAGGAGCGTTCATGTGCAGCTCAACTCCCACCGATCGCAAACGGCACCATTTCTGACCCTCGGGCTCGCCATGATTTCGAAGGTGTGCCAGCTGACGACGACTTTGGAGGCGACGATCCTGACCTTTTGGAAGCTTTGATTTCTACTGAGCTTATGCGGCAAGACCCGTCTGAATCGGCTTCCCTTGGCCCCGCGTCTAGAATCAACGTACCACAGTCAACTCAGAGCTTTCGTCAGACTACACTCTTTGGGGCACACACAACACAGAGACAAATGACCACAGCGCAGTCAAATCGTGCTCACAATTGGCCTCTAGCCAATAGGAACGAGAAACCCACTCATCACAAGATCAGCACCAACGCAATGAAAACATGGGTATACCCTACCAACTTGGGAACGATCCGAGACTATCAGTACAACATTGTACACAAAGGCCTTTTTCACAACATGTTAGTCGCACTTCCTACTGGTCTCGGCAAGACCTTCATTGCTGCAACGATCATGCTCAACTGGTATCGATGGACAGAAGACGCTCAAATCGTTTTCGTCGCGCCGACCAAGCCACTGGTCGCCCAACAGATTGAGGCATGCTTTCACATTGTTGGTATACCGCGCTCTCAGACCACCCTTCTAACCGGCGAGATCTCGCCTGCGATCCGCGCCGAAGAGTGGCAAGAAAAGCGAGTCTTCTTCATGACTCCACAGACATTGATGAACGATTTGAAGACTGGCCTAGCTGATCCAAAGAAGATTGTCCTTTTGGTCGTTGATGAAGCCCATAAAGCCACGGGAAACTACGCCTATGTCGAGGTCGTTCGTTTCCTCCGGCGCTTCACCGAGAGCTTCAGAGTCCTTGCACTTACCGCCACGCCAGGCTCAAGTGTGGAGTCTGTCCAAAAAGTTATCGACGGCCTCAATATCTCCAGGATTGAGATCAGAACCGAGGATTCTATGGACATCCGCCAATTCGTGCACTCTCGGGATGAGAACCTCGAGCTATTCGACTACTCATACGAAATTCAGGAGACCCTCGACCTATTCCGCAAGGCAGCACAGCCTCTTCAGAACAAGCTGTGTAGTCAGAATGCGTACTGGAACAAGGACCCCGTGGAGAACACACTGTTTGGTTTGAAGAAGGCCCAGGATGAGTGGAATCGTTCGGAGGCTAATCGGAAGCTCGACTACAAGTTCAAAGTACCTGTCTTTCAATCATTCAAAGCCCTCATGTCACTGGCTCATAGTGTCGACCTCCTCAAGTATCATGGCATTGGGCCATTCTACCACAAGATGAATATCTTTGCTGATGAAGCTTACGGCGGTGGCAAGTATCATCGTCAAGTTACGGAAAGCAGCCCGTTCAAAGAGATGATGAACCGATTGAAGACATGGATTAACTTGCCAGATTTTGTGGGCCATCCAAAGTTAACCTATCTGAAGGAGGTCACGCTGAACCACTTCATGGATGCTGGAGATGGCCAGGGCGCCGCCGCTGGAAGGCCCCCTTCCGAGACTCGCATCATGGTCTTCGCGCACTTCCGCGACAGCGCAGAGGAAATCGTCCGCGTGCTTAAACAGCATGAGCCTATGGTACGACCCCACATATTCGTAGGGCAATCCAGCACCAAAGGTTCGGAAGGCATGGACCAGAGATTGCAACAGAAGATCATCACACAATTCAAAGCAGGCACATACAACGTCCTCGTAGCCACCTCTATTGGCGAAGAAGGTCTCGACATTGGTGAGGTCGATCTTATCGTCTGCTACGATGCGTCCAAGTCCCCCATTCGCATGCTGCAGCGTATGGGGCGAACAGGACGAAAGCGAGCTGGCAATGTTCACGTCCTTCTCATGAGAGGCAAAGAACAGAACGATTTTGCAAAAGCGAAGGACAACTACCGCAGGATGCAGGAGCTCATCGAGTGTGGTAAAGAGTTCAACTTCCACGATGACGAGTCGCCTCGGATTGTGCCTAAGGATATTCAGCCTGTAGTCGACAAGCGTATGGTCGAGATCCCGGTTGAGAATACCCAAGATGTCTCCATTGAACCAAGGAAGAGGAAGCCTAAGAATGCGAAGAGGCCACCCAAGCGGTTCAACATGCCTGACGGCGTCGAGACTGGCTTTCAATTCCTCGGAGATGGCAGGAGATCCAAGTCTAAGAAAGCACCTCCCGAGGCTGAGCTCGACACGCTCGATGCCGCCCCACAAGCACTCGGGGAGCTGTTGCTGACATACGAGGAGGAGATCGAGCGGCAGACTCGCTACGGTGAGGTGGCTGGGACTGAGCCCCAGTTCATCACAGTCCCAAAATTCGATGCGTACCCCAGCTCTTTCAAACGCTTGACAAAGACAGGAACAATCGGCCATTCGAAAGCAACGGAGACCGTGGCAAAGGTGTTCAAGAACATGAAAAAGCGTGCCAAAGTCTGGAAGCGCCCGACCAGGAACGAAGTCATGCACGACTACGATGTACAGGTTTCTGACGATCAGCCTCCGCCTGAACGCCGAACCAACAGCAACAAGCCACCAGCTCTGAAGCAGAAGCGGAAGTCTTCAAAAATCCTCACACGGTCCTCGCGCTCGCCAACGCCCGTCGATGACGATCTCGCTGATATGCACAGCTTCATCAACGACGAGCCGCTCGACGAGGAGTTGGCTCCGTCGACAGAGGCTACGTCGCCGGACTCGCTTCTGGGCAGCCGGGAACTCGGCCGCAAAGGCCATCGTTCGCCGTCAACAGAAGAGCCGCCCGCGAGCTCGCAGGGACAACAACAGTCCAGTGAAGTTGATCTCGATGAAGAATTGCCGGATCTTGAGGATATTGTTTTCCCATCTACCGCGAAGAAGACGGCGGAGGTGCGGCCTAAGGGGAGGGCTACTAGGAGGGTGGTCGATAGTGACGATGACGACGATCAGTAACGGTTCCCGATAGACGGAGGGAATGTGCGTAGTCTTTTCAGCGAGGCGTTGGAGGTGATGTAGCTCTGGCATTCTTTTGGGCACTACAGGCACAATTACGCACAGCAACTAGTCAGCCTGGCATGCAGCGTCGGAGTCAATTAGTGACGGCTTGCATTACAATTGCATCGAGCGTCGCCGACCGTTTTGTTCTTGAGTTCCTCGCATGTCTATCGTAGCGCTGTTCGTACCTCAAGTGCTGACTCTTCTATACCATTCTCGATGTCAGGGCTGCGACGTCCGCGCCCGCGCCCGCGCCCGCGCCCCTGCCTTTGATCCGTAGCGCATCGCACTCATCACCGTCCCATGCTCGCCATGACATTCTGCTGCATCTCCCGGTCCCTCCGCACACCCGTCAAGGGCGCCACACTCCTCAAGTCGCCGACCACATCCTTGGCTTTGCCAAAATACACTTCCTGCAGCAGATTGCGCATCTTGCCCTCCATGTCCTCCACCATGCGTCCAATGTTGACCACATGCCCGCCGTCCTTAGCCAGACTACCCACGCTCTCCACATTCAGATCCGCCTCGACCTGCCTCGTCATGCTGCCCGCGAGTTGCAGACCGTCCTCCTTGACGGTCGCATTATCCAGCGAGCTCTGTAGATGCAGGATCACCGTGCTCGTGAGCTTATAGTGGCTGGTCCGCGAGCTCGACCCCGTAGTGCCACGCGTGCTGCGCTCGTCCACCTCAAACACGTGTATCGAGTCCCAAGCGGCACTGCCACCGCGGGCCTTGCCGCCCTCCTTCTTCAGCAGCACCACGCCCGCGAACCCCTCGTCTAGGTCCCACAGGTAGACGGAGCCGACGGCGGTGCCGCCGGCGCCCTCGCTCTCGGTGCCTTCGTAGTACATGCTGCGGTAGACGTCGAAGGCGGCGTTGCATTCGACCTCCATGCGGCGCACGCGCTCAGACGGGTATGTGGCGTCGGCTTCTTCGGCGGCGGGGAGGGGCGGGTAGAATTTGTTGGACCATGGTGAGCGGTAGGAGTCGCCGTCGCGGTTGTAGTCGCAGAGGAGGTAGGTGCGGGAGGTGGAGGGGTCGAGGGCTGTGTTGAGTGGTTGATCGACGGAGGAGAGGAGGTCTTCCGTTAGAGACGGGGTGAGAGCGGTTAAAGAGTTGAGGTGCGTAGGGATTGCTGTGGGTGGCAGGCGCCGGAGGAGGTCGCTGCGTAGAGTTGGGTTAGTGGTTGTTCAGGCGGTGGGGTAGAAGCGGGCAGGTAGTAGGCAGGGGATGGCGAGTACGGAGGGCATGCTCACAGGGCGGCGTCAAATTGGGCATCGGATGTCATGATGGCGGTCTGGAGGCCGACACCACAATATAGACTTGTTATGCGAGGGTTGCTTGAATGAAGATGTGTACTAAGACAGACTTGATTGAGCCCGCACGATGCCCGAATTCGCAGCCTTGTAAGCCGGCACCATTCAGCCTCGTAGGTGGACACATCCGGAAACTTTGTGTATATCTACCTCCCTCTACATCGTTGGGATAGTGTTGACCGCCATATTTACTTGACGGGTTCTTCAAAGCAAGCAGTAATAACCGTAGCCACGTGTATCTGATGCTCTTGTAGTAGCGTTTCTGCGCTCAGGACTGAGTTTCAGTGCTGTTTTTGACCTAGAAGAAAGCTAAGTTACCACCTCAGATAATGCACAGCAGATTATTATCGACACAAAGCCTTTGGAAGAGCTGGTAGATGGCGCTCAGGAAAATCCTGCCCACCCCTAGGACACGCTTTGGGAGACCATCGCGCGACATTACGAAAGGAGCTGTAGAGGCAGCTATTTCACTTCGTACTTTGCCCATATGAGCCCTTGGACCTGACTTAGCTGTAGAAGCCTTGAAGAATGATCCTCCCTTATCAAATAACGTCGCGTCAAAGATCTTTCCACCAAGGACTTGGAGTTGTTACCGCACCTTTGTGGTGCCAAACATCAATGCCACTATTGAATGGGCGCACAGGGGCCAGGAAGTGCCTCCACGGGAGAAACAGAGGGAACGGCCGCCTGGCCATTGGTGAAGGGCTCAATCATCTGAAAATATCAAAATTTGTCTTCAGCCAAAGTGCAACGTACGCCACTGGATTAGAACGTTCGTCGATATGATAGAGATCGTCTCGGTAGCGCCAAGACTTTTACTGCCTGCATCCACCAGACTTGAATTTTCGGGATCTCAGCATCAGCGAATCGACTCGACTGATCTGACACGGGTCTATTGCTCTGAAACTAACCATCCAAGCTCTGCAAAAACCGCCTACGAATATCCTTTGCGATCTCAACATTGTTTTGGGCTCGCTCTCTAGAATCCTTCGCCCTCCTCTCCATCATCTCCTCGTGATCTTTAATATGAGCCTTGAACCTCTCCTCCCGCTGCTCAATATGCTTCTTCTGCAATTCTGTCAACGGCCTGTCTGCGGCCGGCTCCGGCGGTTGTACCACCGTCGGCCGGTTTGGCAACCTGGCCTCCACAGGTAGGATCTCTAGCTTCGGTCCAGGGAGCGTCTGATACCAGTAAGCTGTCGAGGACCAGTCGTCCCGCAGGTGATTGGCGTGGCCATGCTCCATCTTGACCGTGAGGCGCTTGTTGAACCGCACTGGATCGGCCAGGTGCCAGCGATATGAGACCTGGAAGCCGCCAGGCTGAATATCCGTGTCCTCGTGGTGAACAATGCTGCCGCTGAAGGGGTAGGCGTTGCGCTGCATGCCCCAGCCCTGCGTAAAGTAGTCTTCACCGCCCGTACCGTGCATGCTGGGCGGCCATGTGTCGTCGTCGATGAAGAACATGTCGTCCCCTTCGCCCCACCATGTGCCCTGGAAGTGCAGCACTGAGTGGTTGCAGCCAATGTACGTTCCTGCTCCCTTCGTGTCCAAAATCGTATAACCCTGACCATCGAGGTTCGGCACCTGCGTCTCCAGGCTGTTGGTCTGCATCGCATTGGGTGCCCATCCCTCGGTGGGGTTCTCACGCCGCCAGTGTGCGTGGAAATACAGGATCTCATCGTCGCCATCCGCTCGTGCTGTGGGAGGTTGCAGCTCGTAGTCAATGTAGAAATACTGCACGTAGGCGTGCTCGCCTTGGTTCTCGATCTCAATGCGTGCCCGTGACTTAAAAGGCATTGGCAAGTAGCAGTTCAAGGCCGCAGCACCACCGAACTTGTGCTCATCTGTCGGTCTCACTGAGACCGTGAAAGGGAGGGACTGGAAGTTGGCGGCCAAGGAGTGGCCCAGGCAGAAAAAATCGCCTAGCGGTGCCAGCACGTTGGGCGTAGGCGAGTCGTCCCAGTACATCTTGATCAGGACTTTGCGATAGTAATCTGCGACATGGCAACGTACGTGATAAGCATGGGTCGTCATGTCCATGCCCCTTCTGAGTGAACTGGGTGATGGTGGGAACAGAGGCTTGTATGGAATGACTTACCAGGGTCATTGTCCTCATAATTGAAACCCAACCCATTACCTATCTCCATTATGGGAGCACCGCCCTTCGTAAAGGGAATCAGACCAGGACCAAGATTTCGGCGACACGCCTGTACGAACCACAAGTGTGTGATTTTGCCCGGTCCTTCAATATCGGCGAGCAGCGCTGTCTCGCCGGGCTGGATAATGAATGCGTCTTCATTGAGGCCTGAATGGTCCCAGCTGGACACACGTGCTGTACGCGCTGTCTTTCGCCTGGTGCCTGCCGAAAGCAGGTCATCTCCTAGCAGCGATGTAGCTGAGAATGAAGGAGCCATCTGCGCCGGCATGGAGTTAGGCCTTGACGTGATTCAAACTGGGTGCTCCAACTATATTTATCCTGTATATTGTTGAACTCAGGGGTTTATATGACGGACCATTCTCTGAGAAGAGGTAATATCACCCCGCTACAATTTTCGGCACGCGTGACCACCCCACAAACTGCCAATTTACTCCAAGACAAGCCAACGACGAGATCCGTGAGTCGCGGAGAACAGCTAAGTCGGAGGTCGCGGAAATATTTGAACTTCCGCGGTCTTTGTGTGGGGCTCATCGCCAGCTCCTAAAAGACGAGTCTGTGAAAAGATGCCAGCAGTTGCTAGTTTATGCGAAGAGTCACGGTCCACTAGTTCTGAGTCATTCAAGGGTTATACAGACTTCCTGGTGTGTCTACCAGGTGGAACTTGTTACATGTCGACTCCTCCCGCAATCATTGAGCCACCACCAAGGTATAACGATTGCTGATTGTGCGCCGCATAAGCTCTGCAACTAGGGTCAATAGTAGCAATATAATAGGTCGAAGCATTAAGCCCGCGAAACCAGACTGCCAGTCTGGTATAACTGAAGTCACATCAATCCAAACTATTCTTGCTCCCTAAGTATGAGCGTAGAGTTTCCTAGCCTGATCATCATTTCGAATGCTCCATCTCTTCGACCTCCACCTCAGCGTGCTTTGATTCTGCTGTACCAACGACATTGTTCGTCGTATCTCGCTGCGACATCTTTTTGAAGTGTCTGGGAGGCACACCGGCGTCATACAATTGATCCAGTTGTCCAAATCGAACACCCTTCGTTTCCGGATAGAAGAAGTATCCGAGCACTGCAGCGATGGACCCCAGGCCGAAAAATATGAATCCAACTTTTCCACCGAGATGGCCTGCGTCAGGGTTGATCTGTCCAAGCTATCAGTTTGGAAAGTGGATTTGAGAGCACCAGAAACAGTACTGACCATGTAGGGTATGGTGAACTGCATGATCAGACCCCAGACACCATTACTCATAGTCACCAGTGCTTGAGTGACTGCTCTCAGTCTCATCGTAGCGATCTCGCTCGCCAGTACAAATCCCGTTGCGCCAATACTGAGCTGGTACACGATAGCCCAGAGGTAGATGAAGACGAGAATTGCCCATCCGGCTTTTTTCTGCTCAGGTATGCACCCCATGATGCCAATTAGCAGCAATAGGAAGCAGAGCACGAACTGAGCTGGTACGATCATGGTACGACGACCAACGACTTCGCTCAGTGGAAATGCTGCTGCGCTTGAAAGCAGCATCACAACGTAAAGCACGATTGAAGCGTCGAAGAAATTCTCGATACCGATCAAATCGAGAAAGTACGTTGCGTTTCCAATGACAAAAGATGCACCAATGACTTGTTGAGAGCTTGCAGCACAGATTGCTGTCAGAGTACGCTTGCGATTTTGGCGGTTAAAACATTCGAGTTCCGCGGTTGGGAGAGGTATGAAACCAAAGATGGTTTTGGCGCGTGTAGCTTCTCCGGTGATCGCTTTGGACAGGTCGACGTCTTCCTTGAGACGCTTCATTTCGATCTCATAGAACTCGTTGTCATCAAAGCCGTACATTCGTCGGAGTGAGCGTTCAGCCTCATCATCCTGACCTTCGCGAACCAGCCAATACGGGGATTCTGGGAAGAAAGGCCAAACAATGACAAGCATCACTGAGAGATGTAAACCGCTGGCTCTCGATTCACTCATAGAATTTGGCCACTTACGCGGGAAAAAGTACATGCCAACGACGGGTGTCCACCATTGCCACTTGGTGTTGATTCCGCTTGAAGCTCGTGCTACAATCACCCTGGGAACATGTCAGTCTTGCCAATTTCCATCGTGTTTGTATTCGTAAACCTACACAAGCATCTGGCCCCAAACGATGCTCGTATTGAAGAAGCATAGCCAGAAACCTCGAAGCTCCGGGCGGCTAGTCTCTCCAATCCATAGCGGGGATATGGTAAACATAATACCAATAGCGATACCTTTTTGAACTTGATCAGTCACTGACAAGGAAGATATGCGAAAGGTCTATACCATTGACCGCTCGCCCAGCCAAATGGACTCGCCAGTTCGGAGCCAACTGTTGGAGAATAACGGCCACGGTCGATATCAACGCAGCGATGATTATCATCGGCTTCCGACCAAATTTTTCGAACAAGGGCGCAGCAAACCACGCGGTGACAACATGACAGCCGAGACCAATGGCGTTCCAAGCGGACAGATACGTTGCAGGCACTACCCAGGACCCGTCCGGTAACTGAATTCCAAAGAACTTCTGCACCTCAGGTAGCGATGCCAGTTGGCCGCCGATGACATAATCAAATCCAAGCATCATTGAGCCGATCGAAGTCCATAGCGCTGGAAAACAGAAATTGATTAGATATGCCTGCAGCGTACGACACGAAGGAAATTCAACACACCCCAGAGACCATAGCGCCACTGAACGCGGAGAATCTTCCATTTCTTGGACGGGTCGATCACGTTATAGTCGATCCTACCAATTGATCAGTCTGCAATAAGGAACTTGACTAGGGGACGAGGTACTCTGTCAATGGTGAAGCCATAATGATGGTCGCAAGCGATTTGGAGATACTGTCGGAGGGTCAGCACTCAGCGAGGTTGTCAAGCGAACAACGTGGATGATGGACGGATCATATACTCACGGAGCCTCGTGGCCGGATATGGTGGCCAGGAGTTTCCTTCGAATAAGGTTCATGGCACTTCTTGTAGAGGTGGCCAGCGCTCCTCATCGCGACCCCATCTCAGTCCCACGGGGATGAGAGACGCGGGGAACAGGATGCGTAGCTCGATTCGAACAGGTCAATTTGCTGTTCCCGGTTGGTGTATGGTCGGAGTTGGGAGCTGGGGTAGGATCTACCTCTGCAGAGGGTAGGATTTCGTCCAACTACGAAGTCAAATTTGAGCCCACGGTGGTGCTATCATGCCCATTCAGGGGCCAGGATACCCTAAAAACTGGCGGACCCGCGGAAGACAGCTACTACTCCGCGCGGAGTGTGCCGGGAAAAGTCATTGACCAAGATGCGGGGTTGGGATATGACGGCGTAAGGGCCTACACTACCTAGCGGAGAATGTAAACTTCCTCCGCGCTTATCTGCTAGACAAGCCCTCAGATCATTCCCTTGAACCAACTAATGATGGTCACTTCGAGCAGCACAGAGCATCGGCCGAGGCGGGTACTTGCTTGTACAGCATGCCGGTCCCGGCGGACCAGGTGCGACGGAAAGCGTCCAACCTGTAGCACTTGCACCACGCGGAGTCTGGAGTGTTCGTATCCAGAGGTCAGTACAAGTGTCAAAGTGATACCAAATTGTGCAGTTCTGACCACTCCTAGCCCGCTGATCGTACACCTTTCAAGTACGTATCGTCGACCTGCACGCCTCGTTCCTGGAGGAAGCTGAGTGGGTCTACTCAATGCTAATCAACGATATAGTCTTGAAGGCGACATAGCTGAAATCAGAACACAGCTAAACCGCATAGAGCATGCTGTAGCAGCCAGTCCCAACCGTCACAGCCAGACTCCACGCCCGGGCAATCATGACTTGAGTCCCCAGACGCTTCAGGCTGCACCAGCCCCTGCTACAAGACGCACGAGCCTGTCGTGGGATTTCCCGTATATGCAGGTCCAAGCAAGTAGCTTCACCCAAAGAGCTGGCCTAGGCGAAAACTATGGGAATCATCTGCTAAAGATGGAACGAAACTGTCAGATTGACTCAGCCTCGGCATCGCCTATCTTTATGCTTCAACACCAAGATTTAATGGCCGCCTTGCAGAGCTTTTCTGAGAAGATACATCCTTGGTACCCTATCCTTGAGAGTACGTTCTCGAGGGTCGTTGAAGCATGTCTGAAGAGCTCTTTCGAGCCAAGCACCGATTCGTTCTTGGTTCTCATGGTGCTTGGTAGCGGGGCCGTTGCTCAAGCTCACACCCACAGTACGGCACTCCATGACAGACCAGACCTAATGTATCTCACAACGGCCCTCCGAATGATGCACCTCATAGTGCTTGAACAGAGTCTGCGCAGTTTACAATGCCTGGCTGCAGCAAGCATTCACTACTATCTCCTTCTCAAGCCGCTCCAAGCCCACGACCTGGCAGTTTTGGCCATCAAGAAAGCCCAGGATCTATACTTCACAGGCGCCTTCAAGAACGACAGGAGAAATCTGGAGCACTTGGTACGCGTATACCGATCGGTGCTGCTAATTGAAGGTGAATTAGTTGTGCCCCTCAAGCTCGCAGAGAGTAATGCCTCGGAGTACGAGGAGGATATCCCCCTTCCATCCGGTATCGACATTTGGTCGTTTGAAATTGAACCGGCCACTCCTGACATGTCTTCCACTGGAAGTATTGGCAGCCCTCCTTCGGACCAATTAGCAACTTACCTGCTCGCCCAGATAGCCATGAGAAGGATGTTGCGACGTAACACTACAGCGATCACCCTTTCAGCAAGAGGCACATTTGAATATGCGCCGATGATTGCACGAGAGCTCGAGGAACAGGTTCATCACTGGTATTCTCTGTTGCCAGAATCGTTTCGCTTCTTACCAACGAGCAACCCACCAGATGAAGAGCGCTCTCCTCAAACAACCTTTCTCTGCACTCAATATTGGGCTTATCTGGTTTCAATAGCATGGTCCTCCGTGGTCAAAATCATAGACTCTCAAGACATGGCCGTGGAACTGCAGGACCAATGCCGCGCCTACTTTCAATACTACCATGAATTTATCAAGAGCGCCACCTCAGCTTTAACGACCTGTCTACCGAACAAATGGACCCTCTATGCGAGGTGAGTCGTCCTTGAGGTCAAGCAAGCTGAATCTCTTTGACGGCAGTAACACTAACCTGTCAGTATTTTCGCCATCTCGATTGGTGCTAACATGGCGGCTTCTAATCCATTGCTCGCGTCATTAGCCACACCAGAAACCTGGACTACGTTGAGACATGCGTGTGATGCATTCGGCGACGAAAGTGAATACAGTCCGTCTCTTCAAGCGATGCGTCAGGATCTTGAAAAGACACTTTCGTCTCTACCAAACGAACACCAATGACCTGCAACCGGCCAATGCCATGGCCTTGGTAGCGTCCAAGGAAGCTTTGATCGCCCTCTCACATGCAACGCGCTAGCGGAGTTGGAGCAGGTTTCCGCCTACAGAAGATCGATTATTCGACTTCTACAGGCAACCAATAAAAGCCGATCTCCAATATCGCAAGTTCATGTCCCTTCTTCGAATACGACCGATGAGCTTGCCAGCGTATATGGCGGGTTGCATCTCCTGCTTACTTAGGTGACAGTCTACAGAGTCTCCCAATAGGCCTTTCCTTCCCGCATCTGTACTGAAACTGCCCGTCTCTTCCTTCCACCGGGGGATACGTGGATGCTCGACATGGCGTTCTGCACCTTTTGGACGGTCCTACTGCTGTCGGGCAGCTTCACTGGAGCCGTCCCATCCCTGTCTCGTGCTTTACCGAAGCTGAAGAGGGCAAGTGGTATTACCAGTTTCCTGGTGGAGCCCGAAAGCACTTTCTTCTCGACCGCCAATGTGGCGTACTCCTCTACACTGAACATTGACGCCAGCGACGGAGATCTATGGCCAACAACATGGGCTGACGACGGAAGTCTCTACACCGCAAATGGAGACGGCCGCGGTTTCTCGGCAGATCAGGCAGACTTCGGCGACATCGTCATGAACCGTCTCGACGGCACGCCGGAGACCGGCATTACGGGGATGAGGCTCGCATCCGGGACAGCACTCGGACCGGTGTGGACACCGGGGTCTTACAACCGCAAGCCGACCGGTATTGTTGCAGTTGATGGTGACGAAGACGGCCACGACGAGTTATATCTTGCGGTACAGGACCTGAACAATGGGACAGCTGGACCTGGAGGTGGACCGACGGGAGACGCTTTCAATGAAGCCCCCGCAGCAAGCATTCTCCGATCAACGGATTACGGAGTGACATGGACGCCAACAGGTAAAGCAATGTTCTCCAACCACGTCTTTACCACCGTATTCTTTCTTGACTTTGGTCAAAGCAACTCTCATGCATCTGTGCTTGGGGCCAACGACGCAAAGTATGTCTATGCTTACGGCTTAGACAACAACTGGAGAGATTCAGTCAACAATGCAGTTCCTGATCCGCAAGACCTCTACCTTGGTCGTGCACCTATCTCTTCAATCCAGGATATCACTACTTGGGAGTTCTTTAGCGGCACCGCTTCATCTCCTGCATGGGATAGCGACATCAACGCACGTCGATCTGTGCTGCACGACAATCGGCGCGAATACCCCGGTGGGACGACCACAGATGGATTCTCCATTATCTCACAGGGCAGCGTCGTCTACAATGCGCCCTTGGACCGGTACATCTACTCGAGCTGGTCCGACTACAGCTTCGAGTTCTATGAAGCACCACAGCCGTGGGGTCCATTCACGCTCTTTCACCACAAGGACTTTGGCCCAACGCCATGGTTCGGCATGAACACCACGACACCCAAGAATGGTGGCTACGCAACTACCATACCATCGAAGTTTATCAGTGCCGATGGGATGGACATGTGGGTTCAGTCCAACTGGTTTGTCGGCGCTGCGGCTGGTAGTGACTGGAATTACTGCTTCTCTTTGCGGCCCCTTGTAGTCACCAGGTATGGAGGGTCCGCAGCAAGGCCAACAAACCAAGCCAGTGACGACACTAACTTGGCCCGAGCTGACGATACGGTTGCCATTGACAAGACCTCTCACTACGGTCACCTTCTCTACCTTAACAACGGGGATACGACTTACAGCGAGGACAGCTGGGACAACACCACCAAACCTCTCGACCGCTGGGGCTACACCTGGCCCATGCCCGTGAACACGAATCGTGTCGTCTACACGACTGGCGACTCGTTTCCTGATGGTGGCTACTTCTCTGCGAACCTGACTGTGCAGGTGCGTCAGAACCTCCAGTGGACGGATGTTGCGGGATTGAAAATCGATCCTCCGTATCCATACAGCGCAGCCGCCAACCCGCAACAACGATTCACATTCACGTTTGACGACGTGGTGGGCGACGGGGTGCAGATCATTGGCGTGCCGGGTGGAACGTCGTCGTTTACCTCGGTAGCGGAGCTGGAGGTGTACTATGGAGCTTCCTAGTCCTCTGTTCGAAGATGAAGACATATTTGGTGGCGATGACGAAGCGATGTTGGTAACTCGATGTATTTATATATGTATGCGTACGCTTTCATTCTCACGTACATGACCACCGACTGATGAGAATATAATCTATTCTGAGCTACAGCTAACCACCTATACTCAGTGCTACTAGACACCCGAAGCGTGTGAAATGACTTAATCTCTACTATCACGCTACTATTCCGTGCTTCGGAAATCCACTCCTTTCAGCGAACAGTGAATCGAGGCAAAGACTGACACATATTCTCCTGCAGAAAAATATGTACATCGACCAGCCTTCACGAGCTACCTACATGAGCGGCTAGAAATAGTGGCTATTCTGTCATCAAAGTTTTATGGGATACCTTATTGAATAGATATGGTTCTGAGGCTGAGGTCACGACAGCCCTTTTACCTTGCTTTTGTTGCCTCATCATTGGAGAAACTCTTTGCCAAGTGCACATTAAGCGATCCCAAGAATAACAGAGCTACGCACGTTGAAGAGTTAACTTGAAAGTTCTCGATCCGAAATCTACCCCACATATGGCGACCGTGACCCCCTTCGCGACGGGCATACCCCAGACCCTGCCCCTCCACGGCCCCACATCAGCCTTTTCATCGGCAAAGCGTTGAACTAGGACCTGCCTCTCATGGAGATGGCATGCGAGTGGGTTCGACGCAGAACCTTGGATTTACCTTCAAGAAGTATCTCTCACTCGCCAACAACGATACACTCCGACATCGATCAACCCAATTCTGCGGTTGGCGACCAACCTCTTTAAACCCTTACACGAACGGATCCATTTCAACTCAAGTCAGCCACGATGGGCAGCACGACGGACTGTGAGGTGCTTGTCGTGGGTGCCGGTCCAGTCGGTCTCCTTACGATGCTCTTTCTCGCCAAAGCAGGCATCAACGTTATCTTGGTCGAGAGCTTGCCTGATGTTGATAAATCGCCTCGAGCAATGGCATACGGTGCTCCAGCAATCGTCGAGCTCGAGAGAGCTGGCGTGGCGGCCGAAGCACGTTCGGTTGGGATGGTACCTTCCGACTACGATTTTCGTTTGAGATGGATCACCATCGATAACAAAACGCTCGGTGAGTTCCGCTCAGAGGACAGGATTCCTGGCTCCTTCGACGCAGTCCTCTGTGGACAATATGAACTTGCCAAAATCATGAAGCAACACGTGAGCCAGTATCAAAATGCCAGTGTGAGTCGACACCCCCCGCCGCCCGGAAATCCACTTCATTGATTGTTTCTTCAGATCCTTTTCAACCACAAATTATCAAATATCAAGGAGGTAGAAGGCGCTCTGATTGCAACAGTAGAAACGCCTGAGGGCAACAAGGAGATCTCAGCAAAATACCTTGCGGGCTGTGACGGTGGACGATCAACGGTCCGAAAACTCCTGAACTTGACTTACGATGGCTTCACTCTCCCACAGTGGCTGGTCGCCTGCAACGTTCGGTATCCCTTCAGAGCACACGGCTTCGACCGCTCCCAGTTCATTGTCCACCCAGACCATTTCTGTCTCGTCGGCAAGATAGATCCAACCGATCTCTGGCGCGTCTCGTACGCCGAAAAGCCAGATCTGACCAGAGAAGAAGTCTTGGCCAACGTCCACTCGAAATTCGAGGCTATCTTTCCAGGACCCAAGCCGTTGCCCAAAGACGCGTACACGGTCGAGATAGTTAGCCCGTACCGCATCCACCAGCGATCTGCACCTTCATATCGAAAGGGCCGGGCATTTCTGGCGGGCGACGCGGCACATGCCTGTTCGCCGTTTGGAGGTAAGAAAGACTGACTCGATCGTCTCGTTGGCCTCATCTACTGATACAGCTCTCAAATCCAGGTATGGGTCTGACCACGGGCATCTGCGACGCCGGGGGACTGGCCGACTGTCTCATCGGCGTCCTTCGAAAGGGCTGTGACGATTCCTTGCTGGACAGGTACGCAGACATCCGAAGACAGAAGTATCAGGATATCACGAACAATGTCAGCTACAGCAACACTTGTCTGCTGCGAGACACCGATCCGGAGAAGGCTTCGGAACACGAGTTCTTCAGGATGATGAACAGCTCGACGGAGGTCAGGAGGGAGATGCTGAAAAGCGCGTACATTCTTGGGTGAGTAGAGAGGGCGGCAGGAGTCTGGCCGTATTTGCGAACAATCTTGCTGACTTTCGGGTTCACAGACACGACTTCTCGCAATACTGGCCCGCAGAGAAGCAACGAATGGAAACTGCAAATCTATGAGCGTTGAGGCTCGCTCTGTACCCTTGATCGCAACTGCCACGCGCGGTATGTGAGGGCGACCGGAGAGGCCATGCTATCTTCCGGAAGCCATATGGAGTGCATCCCTAGTGAATGGGTCCGTTCGTACCCGCTCTCGAATCTGTACTCAGGATCTTCCGTTGTCTAGTACTTCACATTCTCACCACTCAAGGTGAACTCCTCTGGGCTTGCTTCGGCTTTGTCTAGGCCATCACTTTTCGCTCCAGATGTCATCCCACATCAAGATTCGGTGCAATGTTCCACTGCTCCTGTCCTCCACAGGAGACACTGCTCCCATCAAAATGTAATTTCCGAGCGATCGTCAAGGACGATGTCATGTGCTTGTAATGTCCTCAAGAACCGGATGCCTCAGCAAGTTGGCACGTTAGATCCTCGACCACTTCGCCACCCGTCCGCAAGAACGCCTTGAAATCGTCCAGTTTGACCAAAACCTTGGCCTTCCACATAGCATAAGCACTGACGAGTTCTCTCAGCTCTTTGTCGATAACGGTAGATGTATTTTCGTAGGTGTACGAAAGTAGGCGAATGATCTCGATAAAGTTGTCAGCCGGAGCAAGAGATTGAAGATCCCTGTGCAGCTTGTGGAGGCATAGCTTCTTCAAGGGCTCGATCATCCATTGCTGAGCAAACACGTACAGCTTCGCGTGGCAGCGTATGGCGTTCGTGGGACGGACTGGGGGGTCAAGATTCTCGAGATATGTGCGCGCCTCCGCATGGGATTTGGTTTCGAGAGCATAGACGAGGCTGCTGAATCCAGAATCCTTGGCATTGGGCTCACTGCCGCTTTTGCCCGTGCATGAACAAGCTTTTAGCGAATACCCAGTATGGTTGTATCTCCCACAAAAGCCGCAGTACGGTCCAACTGACTTGCGACCGCCGTAAGTAATGCAATTCAATATGCTGCATCTGCGGGGCCCGGAACCAAAATCACGTGAACCACACTGGATGCAGTGCTTCTGCACCTTCGTAAGAGCTTTAGGCGTGTCGACTTGCGGCCCCTGCCCAGCGACTTGAGATGGACTAGATTTTGGCGATCTTATAGGCGCTCGATAGACTCCCTTGTAGGCATACTCGAGAAATAGCGTGAAGACTTCCAGCTCGATCTCCTTCAAGTGAGTCTTCAGGTCAACGGATTCGCGCATGCCATTTGTGACCATAACTTGCATTGGTTTTGAGACCGCTTCGATGACGCCGGAGTGGATATGGAAAATGCTTCTCTTCTCGGCCAACCACAAAGGTGAAGATCTGACTCTGGAAGACCTCAGCCGACTCCGTGTCGACGGATTAGTTGCCGGTCCTCGTTCGCTGTACCGGGGTCTGGTTCCGAGAGACCTGATGGGGACCTACGAGGATGGCTCGAGGTTTGTGAGGATATAGACTAAAGAAGATGTTGGGTATCGATTCAGGCTGAAGGGCGCAAAAGCCGTCGGAGGGTTAGGATGGGTAACGACCCTCTGATCCGACGAGAGATAATAACCACCGAAAGGAAATGGATGCTGCAATGATGAGGGACATTGGTACTATGCAAGAATGTTATGCCGTGCGAACGAAGTTAAGAAAGCTGCGGGGCGGAGGTAGGAAGGCACTTGAAGTGCCAAGGAAGGCGTTGCGCTGCCTTGCCGCCAAGGCTTTAGACCCCTTTGATTAAATGCCGATTGTCCCATGCTGTGATGCCTCGCAGCTTCCACGCCTCGAGTGACAGAACTCGATCACCATGTGAATTGAAATCGCTCAGTCCTCAACGACACTGATCCACCGCTCGGCCGTAGCGCAGGTAATATCAGCAGCCAGTTCGCCCCCATCGATCATCATGTCTTTAAAGGCAGCGTATCTGACGAGGTCGTCCACCTTCTCTACGGCGTATGCTAACACAAGCTCGCGCAGTTCTTTCCCAACCCCTGTTCCAGATTCGCAAACCTCTGTAGCGGCGTTGCCGGACGTGTTCATGTACGCATAGACCAGCATCACAACAACCTCAGAAACAGTCTCTTTATTGAGTTTCAGGCAATTCAGATCACGATGAAGCTTGTGTAGACAAAGGTCCTTGAGAGGCTTGATTATGAACCGATCGGCGAAGACATAGAGATGCGCGTGGCAGGCGACTTTGTCGGACATCTGGTCAGACGTCCTGAGAGAATGAAGGTGATCGGACAATAAGCCATGGGCACCATAAGTCTTAAAAGCAAAGGAGCGCTCAATGGCGCGAGCGTTGAGACTTTTTCGGCAGATGCAGGGTTTTCGAGAGCTGCCATCAGGAGATTTCGGCAACAGACCGCCACAACAGACACAAGTACAGGGTATCGTCATCGGTGATCAGTATGCCGTCGTAAACGCATTCCTTGGCGTTGCAGTCATAGACATTCCTTCTGAGGCCACATGAGCCGCAATGTTTGTAGACTAGTCGCGGTGTGCGAATTCCGACAGCGGACTCTCCTTGCTTTGGTGGCGCACGGTACATGCCAGTGTACGCGTATTCAGAGAACAAGACAAAGGTTTGAGGGTCGATATCGCTCAATGTCGCAGTCCGCTCGTGTGACTCTCGCATGCCATTCGACACCATGGCCGAGAGTGGTGCGGAGAGACCTTCGAAGATCGCAGGATGGGTGTGCATAGGCTCTGCACCAGGACCGAGGAGGAACGTCAAGGAAGCTGTCTTGAGGAGGGTGTTGAAGTCCACCATGGTAACGAGAACTCTGCCGGAACAGAGCGAAAACGCGGCTAGTAGCGATAGCGATTTGTCCGAAAGACCAGTAGGGTGTGGCAGTGGGTGTGTAGTCTCGAAAATTTGGTCTATGATGAAGATAAAGGAGGCCGATGAAATAAAATTCGCTGACCATTGCCGCCGTTTGCTGGCAGTCACCTATGCTTGGCATTTCCAAGGCAACCATGCTTTCAGCCGCCTCCGAGGAGTAAGGACTGCTTTGAAACAGCCACCCTAGATATAAAAGCCAAACCGGGATCTCCTTGTTGTATTCAGGCATGTTTCCGCGTTGTTCGAAGCCCCTCGCAGATACATCATCAGACTGAAAGAGCTTCTGGACAGCTTGACCACGAACACACCGTCTGAGCGATCATCCCCCACCCGGCACCGAGGTGCTAGACAGTGTTAAATTCACGAGGTGTCGTCTGTTTAATTTTCAACAGTTGGCTCCTGTCGGCCATTCCCTCATCATCCCTCCCCAAAAGCGCCAAGGCCGGAAAGTCGGCGGATTCGGGCGATCCTCGGCGGCAACTTCCGAGTCAAGAACTCCTCGACGAGACTGCTCACGTTGCCATCTCACGGACACCGCTCTTTTTCGAACCAATTCTAGTTATGCCTTCGTTTGCACTGAGACGTCAGAAGAGGTTGGAGAATGCATCTAAGTCAGGAAAAACCGCCACAGTGACATCGGCGACGGACTGGGAGCGGTTTGTTGATATCACCTGATACCTGTTCTTGGGCGACTGACTATATTCAGGTTCCTCTCAGGCAGTCTCTTTACTTTCGTGTGCGGCGACGATGAGGAGATTCCATCAAAGACTTTTCAAGTCCACGCTGGGCTTGTTGCGCATGCTTCTGAGCCGCTCAACAGACTGATGAGCAATGGCCAGATGACTGAGTCCATCCAACACTCAGCTCACCTCCCCGAGGTTGACCCCCAGACGTTCGTGCTCTTCACCCAGTGGCTGTACACCGGCATCTACCGACCCTCTCCCCGAAATCTCTCGCAGGATCGCCAAATGTGTGCCTTTCACCCAAAAGCATTCTGTCTCCGGTGTGGCACCCTCAACGCCGATCGTGAAAGCGAGCTGTGGCCATTTTGCTCCGAGACTTGCGTCGAGAAAGACAATAGCGGCCGAGAATCATCGTGGAGGTATTGCACCGAGTGCCGGGGAATCATGCATGTCACCAAAGGCGTCAAGCAAGCGACCTGTCCAGCCTGTGAGAATGCCACATGTGACAAGTTGGGGCGGCATGGCGGGCAAGCCGTTCCTGACGGCTCCACGGCTCTCAGCGGCAAGCCGACAGACTGTGCACCGATCAACACATTCGCAACCATGATATACAACGTCAACAGCATACCACACCAGATCTTCGCTGCAAAGCTGGACACCCTTTCGCCGCCGATCGCTCACTCCAACGACCTGGCCTGCCACGCGAAGCTCTACTGCTTTGCCCAGATGTACATGGCGGACCCATTGAAAGATATTTGCACGCATATGCTGCACCGCGACCTGATGCACTTCGAGATCACGACCGACACCATTGGGGCTGTTGTCGAGTTGGTGAGTTTCACATACGACAACACCGTATTCGACACCGGTATGCTGAGCGGCGGGTCCGAGCTGCGCGACCTTGTGCTCCGCTTCGTCATCGCCCGGAAGAGCAGGCTGGCGCAATTTCATGAGTTTGATGAGCTGTTGGTCGCTGGAGGTGATTTTGTCGTTGACCTTTTTCGAGGAGAGCTGATGATGCCGTTTTGAGGTGCAAACAGGCTAGACAGTTCAGACAACTGCATCGTATGGTTCCTGGCATTTTGGAAGAGGTAGAGTATACCCATGGAAGGTGTATGTCCAGTAGAATGCCGTTAAGATAGACCGATGCAACGAACAGCCGCTGCAATGTCGCACGAGCGTGATGATGCATCAGGTGCATTTCCAGGAGTTGATCACGAGACAACACATCGCAGGGTGCGAGTAGGGGCAACCAGTCAAGCCTCACATTACCACGTCAGCTCGCACATTAGACTCCCTGGCTAACCCAGACCACCACTCCCCATCCCCGTCGCCGACGGTGGCGCGGGATAATTATAATGCTCGTCAAACTCCTGGCCCGAAAACAGCGCCGTGTCCTGGAAATCCGAGAAGATCTCGGGAAACAGCTCCTCAATGCTGCCCTGCTGGCCCTGGTAGCTCATGTACGCGTCGTCCTGCACGCCCGCCGCCGCGTGTGCGCCGCCGCTCTGATCATACCCGCCGTAGAAAGGGCCGGGGTGCTGCTGTTGCTGCTGCTGGCCCATGCCGCCGTTGTTATTCATGAGGGCTGGCTCCCGTGGTATCGAGTCCTCGATACGCCGCAGCATATTCTCGCTGGACGCCAAAGCCGTCTCCGCGAGATCCCAGCTCGTCTCGTCGTAGTGGCGACGCAGGGTGTCGACGAGGGTGCGCGCGCTCGTCATGCAGTGTCTGCGCACCTCGGGAAAATTCGTCTGCAGGGCGCAGCGCAGCAGCAGCGTGACCGCGGATGTGAAGTGGTGCGCGTTGTAGGGCAACCAGAAGCCACGCAGGTCCTGCTTGCCCAGCGAGCAGACGAGGCGCACGATGTCCTCGGCGGCGGCCTGGCAGCCCGCGAGCCACGAGGAGGCGGGCTCGGATTCCCGCTGGGAGATCTCGTGCCAGGCGATGCGGCGCAGGAGCATGCGCACGGCGAGGAAGGAGAGTTGCAGGTTGACGAGGCCGGGGACGGCGGGGCGGTTCTGGAAGTCTTGCAGGTTGAGCCAGGAGGGGCGGCTTTCGATCCAGCGGTTGAGTTCGATTTCGGAGCGCGAGGTTTGCTCAGCGGCGATGGTGTCGTTGCCGGAGCGGATGTGGTAGATGAGGGGGAGGACGTCGCCGACGATCTCGGTCAGTTTGCAGAGGTGGATGAAGACTTCGGCGGCGCGGACGTGCTTGACCGAGTTGCTGCGGCCGGCGGTGAGGAGCTCGAGCGTGGGTAGGGGGACGTCGTAGTGGTTCTTGGAGATGTAGGGCGGTGTGCCCTGAGCGAAGTTGAACCAGCGGTCGTGCACCACGATGCCCCACCAGGCTTTCCAGCGGACGCGACGTTCTTGCTCCAACATTTTCCATTCGCTACAGTCGTGATTCAGGCCGATGGCGTGGGCCAGGGCCACTATTCGAGCCACGGCGGTTGAATTATTGATGAGGTTTGTCGATGGTCGTCCGGCAACATTCATGGTTGTTGCCAGGATGTTGGCCAGGTTGTTCTTTGAGGCTTCGCTGCTGTTGACTGAGCAGGCTACCTGCCAGGCAAAGTCTTGGTCGGGTCTGGCGTAATTGGCCAAAGCTGGGGACAGATCCCAGTAGAACAAGGCATTGGATATTAGGTTGATTAAGAAGTTCTGGGGTATTTGATGCCGCGTCTTGAGGCGTGAGACGACACAGTGCTCTTCGGTGAAGGGAAACGCAGGGTGGACATTTTCGAAGAAATTGGCAACCACCTTGTCGAGGAATGGGTCGACTTGTTCCAGCAGCTCATTCGGCAGGTTTCGGGAGCATGCGCAGTCGTTGGGCGATTGCCTTCTAGGTGGTACAGGAGCACGATAGATTGGTTTCTGGTGAGAGTCCTTACGACCGAGATTCGGCTGAATCGGGACATGGCCGGTGTTGCTGTTGGCAGCCTGTGGTAGATACTGGTCAATGACCTGGTTGTCGCGAGCGACAATCGGTCCAACGATGTAGGAAGACTCATCGATTGCCATGTTGTCGGTCTCGGGCAACATTGAGCGATGGATGAAGCCGATCTTGGGGGTGACGCGTTCGTCCTTTTTGCCGGTGGCAGAAGAACAGGCGACACCGTGCATGCGACAGAGCAGACATGCCTGGCCCGGTACCTCGATGGTACATCTTGAACGTCGCTTGTGACAGCGCGTACAGGCCGGGTACTTGTGGGAGCGATAGGGACGTGCTGTCTTCATATTGGCCACAGGAGCATGATGTTTATCAGGGTTGTTGGAGAGTGGAGTTACCGCGCCGTGTGGTTCTATGTCGAGCGCCTCCGAAGACCTCTTGCCAGCTGTTGGACGTGGTGATGGCGCTGTCGAAACACTTGAATCGCGAATTGGCGTTTCTCCGGGTGTGGGAAGAGGTGAGTCGGGCAGAGAGAGCGAATGAGGCCCCTCGTTTTGGCTGTGGATCATTTTCCTCTCAGGTTCCGCCTCCATCTTCACCACGCTATACTCCTTTCAGACGGTCAGCTCTGCATCTGCCACTTCTGCTCTTTTCCCAAGGTCTTCTTGACACTCTCTGGACTATAACGCTGGGCGATAAGCCTCTCCCTTGTGGTATTGGACAGCTGTCTCTGTGCCTGACTCCAAACCAGGTCCAATTCGATGTAGATCAGTCAGGAGCGGACGTTGACGTGGTCTTGGCGGAGCGCGTGCCTCAAAAGAACACACAGGTATGTTACAGGCGATAAGTAGACTACGCAACGCAACGCTGGCAGATGTCACCCATATGAAGGCTGCGAGCACGTGGTAATTAACTTCCTCAACCGAGCGATGGCTCTTCTTCTAGGGCATCCAACGGTCGCGCTTCCGTAATGATGGGACCGGCGACTTACAAGTACTGCCGTGGCTGATGCAGGTGCCGACGGGTAAGGTAACGAGTGGTTTCGGAGCTGTCAGACGGCCGGGACCCGTGTGAAGCGTGAGCCTGAGATGACGCGCCTCTGGCATGTTTGACCGGGCATATGCAGCATCCGACATTGTGGTCCGATGAAATGACACAAGCCGATACCGGGGCCTCAACGTGCGATGCGTGTTCGGGCCCCTGGGGGGGTGGCGTTTTCTGCGTCTCCATCCACACGAATCAGCACCTACGTAGGCCTAGGGTCGACTATCCCCAACCACTTACATCTCAATCTTCACAGCTGAACGACCGTTTGTGGAAGTTCCATATTCTTGCCTTTATCCATTCATCATACTGCGATTCCGTCGGGCGGAGCGGACGCTTTTCCTATATCTTTCGCGATGGCTTCGCAACACCTCAAGAGTAGTGGACAAACCCAAGTCATCTCCACCGCACTTCACGAAGGAGGCTGACTTATACGAGCAATTTCCAAAATGGCCCCTATGCTGGATGCAAACCCCGACGCATCCGGAAACGCCTCAGTAGCCAACGCGATTCCTTATCAGGGTGTCAGCCACGCCAAACTGCAGGCGCTGGCGAACAAATGCCTAGCAAATTACGGCACAAAGTTTGAAAAGGACATCATCACCCGCACTGACGGTCTTTATGTCTACACCGCCGACGGACACCGAGTCCTTGATTGGACCTCCGGCCAGATGAGCTGCTTGGTCGGCCATGGTCATCCAGAAGTCGTCGAGACTGTGCACAAGCATGCCGCTCATTTGGATCATCTGTTCTCTGGCATGCTGTCGCCACCAGTCATTAGCCTTGCCAATCGCTTAACGTCAGCTTTACCTTCAGGTTTGGACAAGGCTTTCTTTCTAAGCACAGGCGGGGAGAGCAACGAAGCCGCCATCAAGATGGCCAAAGTCTACACAGGCAAATTTGAGATCGTCGGACTTGGCGCTTCCTGGCACGGCATGACAGCCCAGGCGCTAGGTGCACAGTACCATTTCGGTCGTAGTGGTCAAGGTCCTGTCATGCCTGGAATGCATATGCTGCCACCGCCAAACGCATATCGATCTATCTTCAGAAATGCTGATGGTTCGTATGATTGGGAGAAAGAGCTCGACTATGGTTGGTCTCTCATCGACCGGGCGTCCTGCGGCTCGCTCGCCGCGTGCATCGTTGAATGCATTCAATCGTCTGCCGGCATGCACGTCCTCCCGCCCGGCTATCTCAAGGCTCTGAAGAAGCACTGCGAAAAGCGTGGTATGTTGCTCATCGTGGACGAGGCTCAAACTGGCGTTGGTCGCTGTGGCGACCTCATGGCGATCAACCATGAAGATGTGGTCCCTGACATACTGACTCTCAGCAAAACTCTTGGTAACGGGCTGCCGCTCAGCGCAGTCATTACCAGCGATGAAATCGAGCGCGTCTGTACTGAACGAGACTTCTGCTTCTACACAACGCATGTCAACGATCCCTTACCCGCTGCTGTGGGCGACAAAGTTCTGGAGATTGTACTCAGGGACAACTTGATCGAGAACTCTAGGAGACTTGGTAAGGTCCTGAAAGATGGTCTGCTGGCGCTGCAGGAGAGATACGGCTGCATTGGCGACATTCGTGGCCGAGGACTCATGTGCGGTGTAGAGATCGTGGGCGACCGCGAAACCAAGGCATTGGACCTCGTGCTAGCCAAAGACATTGCCAACGCCATGTATGATCGTGGCCTATGGGCCAATCTTAGCAGTCACGCAAGCTTTGGTGGTGTGTTCAGAATTGCTCCGCCTATCATCATCACGGAGGAGCAAGTAAGGGAAGGGTTGGCAATTATGGAAGACGCATTCAAGAACACGCCTGGTAGCAGGCCTCTATACTAGACGAGAGTAAGATAGACAGAACCTCATAATCAGACGGCAATACCATTCCTTCACTGCCTGTGTTTTACTGCCTGAGGCCGGAGAAACATTTTTCCATCTCCGTCGAATTTTCTCTGCCGTCCAAGTTGCCCTCTCCAAAATTTTGTAAACTTGCATCACAGGTCCAGACACTGCAAGATACCCTCCTCAATCGTTTCTTCGCTGATCATGGGTCCTGGAAGGCGTATGAAGAAGCAGGGTCCTCCTGCGACCCTTGAACAGCTTGGCCTAGCATCGAAGTCCAAGCGGAAAAATGTAGACGCCGCCGCTCAAGACGGCCCCACGAGGAAGCGCAAGAAGACCACAGACGAGCCCACCGAGGTTGCAGAGCCCAAGAAGCTGGTCAAACTTGACCGTAAGATCAGGCAAGATATCGATGAGAGCGTTGCGAAAAAGCCCAAGAAAGCGAAAAAGCAGTTCGTGAACAATGATGCGCAGATTACGGTGCCTCCCCCGATGCTCATAGAGGGTTTCGAAGATGAGGACGACGAAGATGCGCCTGAGCTGGTGGATGGCGATCTTAGTGATGCAAACTTTTCGCAAGAGGAGGATGAAGAAGTGGACGAGATGGCTCTCGAGGATGTCTCCTCAGGCTCGGGTACAGGATCAGACTCGGTGTTCGACTCAGACGACCCGGATGCGGGCCAGCAAAAGCGTGGAGCCATGTTCTCCGATGACGAAGATGCCTCCGACGCCGAAGCACAACTCACAGCGGCCAACATTGAAGGCCTCTCCCGGAAGCTGGACCAAGAGCAAGCAGATCTCGAGGCGGACGCCCAGGCTGAGCTACAAGACAATGCGCTACAAACAAACATCGCGGCAGACTCAGACTTGCTTGACACTGCCGGTGCCACCACAAATCTAGCACCCGATCTAGCCCTCATTCGCAACCGGATCACAGAAGCAATTCGGATCCTCAGCAACTTCTCGACTAGCAACCCTACTAAATCTCGCTCTGAATACACCGACCTGCTCATCTCCGACATCTGTACCTACTACGGCTACAACGAATTCCTTGCCAACAAGCTTTTCTCTCTCTTCTCCCCGTCTGAAGCCTTCGCATTCTTCGAAGCCAACGAGACACCACGACCCATCGTCCTGCGTACAAATATGCTCCGCACAAATCGACGCACCCTCGCACAATCTCTCATCAATCGGGGAGTTGTCCTCCAACCTGTCGGCAAGTGGTCCAAGGTCGGCCTTCAAATCTTCGAGGCACCCGTCCCTCTAGGTGCCACTCCCGAATACCTAGCAGGCCACTACATCCTCCAAGCCGCCTCCTCCTTCCTGCCCGTCATGGCGCTGGCCCCACAGCCCAACGAGCGGGTACTCGACATGGCCGCCGCGCCCGGCGGTAAGACCACCTACATCTCGGCACTCATGCGCAATACAGGTGCTGTCTTCGCCAACGATGCGAATCGCAAGCGCGCCAAGGGTCTCATTGGCAACATTCACCGCTTGGGCTGCAAGAACGTCATCGTGTGCAACTACGACGCGCAGAAGGCGTTCCCCAAGATCCTCGGCGGCTTCGATCGCATCCTGCTGGATGCGCCCTGCTCCGGCACGGGCGTCATTGGCAAGGACCCCAGCGTCAAGACGAGCAAGAACGAGCGCGACTTTCTGATGCTGCCGCACATGCAGAAGCAACTGCTGCTCGCTGCCATTGACTCGGTCGATCACGCCAGCAAAACCGGCGGCTACGTCGTCTACTCCACCTGCTCCGTCACGGTGGACGAAAACGAGAGCGTCGTGCAGTACGTACTGCGCAAACGTCCCAACGTCAAGATCGTCGAGACGGGATTGCCCGAGGGCTTTGGCACCGAGGCTTTCAAGGCCTTCGAGGGCAAAAAGTTCGATGAGCACATGAATTGGGCCAGGCGGTGGTACCCGCATAAGGAAAATGTCGATGGCTTCTTTGTCTGCAAGCTCCGTAAAGTGGGCCCGTCACCGAAGGGCGCAGGTGTGGCGGGAGCTGCGGACGTGAATGGCGAAGCATCTGTGGCGATCAACGGTGTTAGCAAGAGGGCAAAGGGCACCAGCAGCGCAGAGGAATCCGCGACAGACACCAAGGACGACGACGATGAGTTCGGCGGCTTCGACGACGAGGCAGACGAGCAGGTCATGCAGCGTGAGGAGCGAAAACGCTTGAGGCGTAAGGGCCTTGATCCCCGGACCGTGGGCTTCAAGGCCAGCGGCAAGGCGAAGACGAAGTCGAAGTCAGGCAGCGGAACTGAAGAGAAATCCCGTACAAACGGCGGCACGAATGGCGTAGCAACGACAGTGGACAAGGCGGAGAAGAAGTCACTGCCAGAAAAGGCTAACGGTGAAGCAAGCGCCGCGGAGGTGGATCTGTCCAAGGTCAGCGGTTCCACGACGTTGGAGAAGAAGGCGCGGGCAGGCCAGGTGGTGAGCGAAAAGCCCAAGGAGACGAAGCTGAAGAGCAAAAACAAGGACAAGACGGAGACGACGAAAAGGGGAAAGAAGGGCCCGGCGCCTGCGTCCGGGGCGTGAGAAACGGATCTCTAGTGAATATAGTGGGGATCGTGTACTCAATGAGCACATGGCCATCAAAATCACTTTCTAGGTGGATCAGGTCTTCTCTCTATGATACCGTGGCACCACTAAAACTTGAGCTGCTGTTGACCTCTCCCTTACGCCATGTTATACGAAGCATCCCCACGAGACCACCTATCAGACTACTTTGGCCGTCCTTGTCCGTTGGACATTGGATATTAGCACCCACTGAGTGTGCTAGGGCTCCGATATCGACTTGGAGCTCCTCTACGGGGAGGCTTGCTCAGGAACACGCTGTTTCGTCATTGTCTAAACATCAAGGCAGTGAATGTCTTGGCATCCTGGTAGCCCCCCATCCGTATTCGACCACAGGCTATGGAAATCAGGCACATCAGCAATTAGGTGGATTGCCTGGAGCATGGCAGCAGTGTCTCGCCGATGGGGCCACAGTATGATTCCAGTTGTTCCATTTCCGTGAGGCTTCCTACTAGTCCAGCAAACCTGACAAATTACATACACGGCTCAAAGCAAACCCCAATTCATCAATTCAACCGGTTGCCCATGAGCCCTGACTTCCGAACGGCTTCCTTGAGTGCTTTGTATATCATTGGAAAACCAGTCTCAAAAGAATCCGCCATCGCCTCCAGAGTCGGTCTCAGAGCTTCTCCGTCCTCGGAGTTTGTTTTCTTGTAATCCTTATACTCGTTGCGGAACCTCTTAGCGTCAGCCAGCATTGGAGCGACAGGGCCTCTGAGGAATCGTAGTTCGGTCTGACTGGAGTTTTTTATCGCTTTGAGCACCGCCTCGTGGTACCGGTGAGTATCGTCCGACTCCCGGTCAGGATTTGCATCCATGGGAAGTTCGTGATGAGCAATCAGCCCTACCAAGATTTCCTCGATGTACGCATACGCGATGTTTAGGTACTGGCCGCGCTCCATAAACGTGGGTTTCTTTTTGGAGAGCTCCAACATGTTGTTGAGAACCTCAAGACGATGACCGTAAGTCCCGGAAACGATGCCCCGTTTGGCCATCTCCTTGGGAGTAACATTTGCCATGGTGTTCACTCCTCCTCGATCTTATCGTCTTCTGAGTCTCGGATCTGGTAGGATGCGGCCCTCGGGCTTTTCACTCTGTCGCTTCTGAAGCAAGTACCTAGCACCACCTCATGCTGTTCCGAGCAGAGATTTATACGAAAGAGGAGCATGCTCTCATTAAAGGGCGTGTCAGATTTGTATGCCCTCAGTGTCTTGGAATACGACCGAGGGCACTACATCAGTAAGCCGAGCCCTCGCTAAAGACAACTTGACCTATCGTGCTCCGAGCCCGGCGCCGTGATTGGTACTGTCGCGGCCAGATCAAAACACAGGTAATCGCAAATGACACGAGATGGTGCGCCAGTGATTACTATGCGTCTTGGTGCTTCTGATGTCTTGACGGTCTAGATGCCCAGTCGGGCCTCGTAAGGGAGGGGCAGGCAGACATTTGTTACCTGCTGTAACATGAAATGCCAATGTGCTACGACTTATTCCCCTTCTTGATCGATATACCTTTGAGCAGTTGTGTTTCTCTGAAAGAATAGCGTCTCGAGGTGTAGGAGCCTTGTCGGCAGTTCTAGGAGCGCATGGCCGAAACTAGTTCAGATGTCTTTCGTCAGCCCACAAAGAAGCTCGATATTGCTGATTTCAGTTCAGCTGGGTCATATTATTGATTTCAGTCCCCCAAGACCTGGTAGCTCACTGACTCACTTGTTGTCATGCTGATCGATACTTACAATAAGACGAGCAGGCACGTTTCAGCAGCCCGTGAAGACTTATAGTCAGCGAACTGGCCTACTGGAGACAAGATGCAGTTCACCGGTCTCCGTCATAGCACTCACGCAGAGAACCTTGCAAGATATGAGCTATCTATAGTTCTCGTCCCTACGAGCAGATCGGAACGTAGTAGATCTTGTTGCTAGCTATACTCATATGACATGAACCCTGTAGCACTGAGACAACAGCTTAGGCAAGCGACTGTGCAACTCAAAACCTTCCAATAAACTCCTCGACAATTCATAATAGCCCCGAATCACTTGACATAGACAAATCTGGCCTGTTGCTTGTCGGTCATATCCAAAAACTCTTCGTTGCGGACATAGATAGCGGCTTCCCCGCTTGCCGCCAACTTTTGAGCGTTTTGCCGGTTAACCCAAGTGATGTAGGCGAAGTAAAAGCCTGGCATAACAAGGGCAAAGCAGAAGCAAATCATCATAGCTCGGAAGCCAGTTTGATACTCAGGTGCTTCTCGACCGAGAAAAAACTGTGGTCCCACGATGAACCCTGCAGAATACCCAAGGAACTGGATACAGTTTGCAGTTGTGCGTTTGGTGTGCCCGGCGATGTTGGAGTTGGTCAAAGCCCAAAGCATGGGAAGGGTGCCGTTACTGAAGTTTGTGAGGTATAGGCCGCAGAGGCGACCGACTCTGTTCGAGGCAGGAAGCTGATTGATGAGTACTGCGCCGATGACCGCGGGTACATTGCAGACTATCTGCATGAGGCATCGCGTGTTGGGAAAGTATAGAACGGTGAGCCCGGCAACCAACAAGCCGATGTTCTCGGTGAGACCAAGTGGTGCATTAAGCAACGAGCTTTCGAACGTACCATATCCAAAGCCTCGAATAACGAGAGATCCAAATGAAGCAACTGCAGTCATTGGAATCATCCAAATAATTGTGTAGATGAATGACCACCAGACTTTCTCGTCAGTCAGTGCTTCAATGAATTGATCCTTCTTGAATTGCTTGCTGGCAATACCGGTGCGATTGGCTCTGATCCGTTCAAGGGCGATAGCTTTCTCTTCTTCGTTCAAAAATTTGCAGTCGACAATTGTGTCAGGCATCCAAATCCATAAGACGATTGACCATGCCAGCCCCAGAAGACCGAAGACGATGAAGAACCACTTCCAGACTGGAATGCCAGTCTCAATATGGCCAATGCCGTAGGAGATAACGGACTGGAGGATGATAGCCAGTCCATTTCCACAGAACCAAATCGTCATCCGGAGCGGAATTTCGTCTTGCTTATACCATGATCCGGTAATGAGAACATAAGCAGGCGAAACTCCACCCTCGGCGGCTCCCAGAAGAAACCGGCAGACGGCCATGCCAGCGAAGTTGTGTACACCAGCGGTACAAAACAGTAGGATCGCCCATAGAATCGACGTGACAACGACGAATTTACCAGGAGGAAGATATGTCAAGCAAACAGCTGCTACCGGTTGAAAAGCCAGGTAACCGAAGTAGAATATTGATCTGTGCACAGAGTTAGCAGAGAGACGGTCTGGCAGTCGTAGGTGTCCTACATGCTCCATGAATAGTCTTGTCCATTGAGGTTGATGTTCTCGAGTAGACCGTAGATCGCAGCTTGGGGAAGCACACTCTTGTCCATGTATTGGATCATATAGCTCGTAAACATCAGCGGCATCAGACGCATGTCAATCTTGCGTAGAACTCGCTTCTGCTGCTCCTCTGTGTATGTGACAGAGATATCACCCTTTTTCTCGAGAAAATCGAGCGCAATATCGGCCTTTCCGCCCTTCTGTTCGCCCAAGTCCTGAACATCACCGTCGTGGACTGAAGCAGACAATGACCTTGAGGATGGGAGGGCATCGCTTTTCTCCATAGGCTTCTCCATCTTGGAGGATCTAGCTGAACAATCAAGTTCTTGATGAATGTTGTGGCGAACAATCAATCCAAAGATGCAAAGAGATCTAGGCTGCTTTTCAAAATCAGCCTGCCTTGGGAATTCCAGGAGCACTCTAGAGAGAGCGCTCTAGAATTTGAGGGTATTTGTACCTCTTGGGTGTCTTAATTCCGTGGTTGTTATCAAACCGGCCGCAGCAAACCAAGAAAGGGGCAGCAAGGCCAGAACGTTATCAGTGCTTTGGCTGGTCCTATATACCGTATCTCTCGTCTCTTTTGCTTCGGTTCGTGAAGACAGTCTAGCGGGTGGGTCCCGAAGAGGCCGGGACTGGTCCTTGTTGAGGAGCTGACGCAGCGCTTCAGTGAAGCAGGAACAACGTTTAATGTGACCTAGAATCGCTCCTGAACGTCTCGGCCTGTCTCAAGCGTTATCATACCTTCTCCGAGCTGCGGGGTGATTCAACCCCGACTTAACGACGAGCAAAATTGTACTTTGAGAGTAGGATGCCCTGGAAGTTCAGGGACAGCCCCGAAGCGGCCCCATAGTTTACGCTAATGTTATCGTTAGCGCCGTCGAAACGCTGGACCTAATCGGGGTCTGCGTAACGCTCGTAGAAGATACTCTGGCCCACCATCTCCGCATCTGCGGTAGACGATACCCGCGGCTGATGAGTTCGCCTGCTATCGGTCGTATCTGCGGCTTGCATACCTGAAACATTTAGTGCCTGAATCGTTGACAATATCGATGCATCTGACGCCTTCCCTCTTAGATGCGAAGAGCATATAACAAGTTAACAACCACTGTGATCCGAAGCGGTAAATCAAGAGCAGAAAAGACTTCCCATAATCAGACATTGGCGCTTCATAATCTGCACACGACAGAACAATCATGGCCCTTACTGAGACCACCACCGACAGCGTGAAGACAACTTTGTCTGGCGCAAGGTATCACACTTGCGTGGTCGAGAACCATGATTTTGTCCCTCCAAAGGACTTCGAGTTTCCGGGCAATCTAGTCCCTGTGCAAATCAATCCTAAGGGACCGACGGAGGTTCCTGTCAAGACGTTTGTTGATTACTCCAAGCCAGAAAACGAGGTAAGACACCCGAGAACTCAACGTTCTCAGTTCATTGTAAGTGCGACGTTACTTATAGACCACAGTACAGATACAAGGACTTCTTGCCATACAACACGCTGACATCGGAGGACGCACTTACTCCGTATGAACATGTGGATGCGGCATCTCGAGCTGATCCCGACAAAAAAGCGCTTCTGGATGCCATTCCTGACAAAAAGGACATGACACCTAATATTGGTACCGAAATTAGGGGCATCCAGTTAAGTGGTTTAAGCAATCAGCAAAAAGACGAACTGGCACTCCTCGTTGCCGAGCGCGGTATTGTCATTTTCCGCGAGCAGGATTTTGTCGATCAAGGCATTGACTGGTTGCGCGAGTTTGGATCTTACTTCGGTCGACTACATGTACACCAATGGGGAGTCCACCCAAAGGACGCTCCTGAATTGACTGTTGTTTTCCGTGATAGTGACAAGGGCTCATATTTCGATAATCAAGCCGAGGGCTCGCTCAACACAGTGTCATGGCACACAGGTACGTAACACAACTGTGAATCATTCAGAGGTTTAAGGACTCACTGTAAGACAGACATGTCATACGAGAAGAATCCGCCGGGAGTGACCTTTCTTTCGTCACTCAGCGGACCGAGCTGCGGAGGTGACACTCTGTATGCCAACACCATGACTGCTTACGATCGCTTGTCGCCTACCATGCAGAAGTTCCTAGAGACTTTGGAGGCCGTGCACTCAGGGACCCGCCAGAATCTGCTCTCCAACAAAACCAACCTTGTTCGACGACCTGGTATTGATACGATCCATCCCGTGGTTCGCAAGCACCCCGTGACGGGTCGAAAGGCGCTGTGGGTGAACCAGGAATACACCACCAAGATCGTGGGTATGAAGAAAGCGGAGAGTGATTTGCTTCTGAACTTCCTTTTTGATCATATTCATCGAGGCCTGGACTTTCAAACCCGTGCCAGGTGGGAAAATGGAACAGTTGTTGTGTATGATAATCGCATGGTGCAGCACTCGGTCACGCTGGATTATCCCGTGGGTCAGGGGGGACGCCGTCATTTGGTTCGGGTCACACCTCAAGCTGAGCCGCCATCTCTATAGCAGCCTTGCCACTTCTGATCTGGCCCAGGAGTGCTTCAGGCAAACCAAGAAGTCTTACGCCATGAAAATCTCTATTCACTCACGTACAGATTCTGTCTGGTAAATTTGCCCCTTCTGTCTATCTAGGACTCTGTTTCGTGGATGGTAAGATTAGGCATGTAAGTTTTCTCCCCTCGTTGATGAGACTGAGTGTGAGATTGACCTAGTTCGAAGGATGTCGTGAATCTAGCGCGCGATACAAGCTGGCTCACATATACCAGTCTCCCAGCTCAAGCTCGAAAGACTTCCATGTTGTGCCGTCACTTTCTGCGTGGTCTACACGGAAAATAAGAGGGCGAATGGTGCCAGGATGTATACCATGTAATGTGTCAAGAGAAAGTGTTTGCGGGTTGTTTCATCTTATCATCTTAGAAAACTACCACCAGTTTCCTCCAAGATCATCTCGTACTCAGGCTGGAACCATTTATACATGACTTCGGGGGTGCCGAGCCAGGATTTCGTGAATGCCGCTTCCTCGTCGCTCACAAGCTTCTTTTGGCAGCCGTTGGCAGCAGCAGATTCTGCCAGTAGCTGAGTCTGGCAGGCACGCTCGAGACAGATAAAGTAAGCTCCAGCCTCTGCCGGGTTCGATCCACAAGTAATCAATCTGGGATATCAGCTGATCTGTGTGAATACCAGGAGGGTGGGCGTTACCCGTGGTTTTGCATGATAAGGTGCTTGTGTTTGGGCCCTAGTGCCGCAGCAAGAGCCTTCCCTTCGTTGGATGCCAGAATCACACTTCCGAGACCAGTGTAGACCGAGAGGTCATCGTAAAAATAGCATGCATCTGAAGGAAATGGTCAGTGTAGTTCTTATCAAGCAGTTCATCCTCCTATGGCATACCTTGCGTAAGCATCTCGATAGGCTTTCCGAAACACGACCAGGCCCGCCCATATGGTGAGTGCGCGTGGCATATAACGTTGATATCTGGCCGCGCACGGTGAATGTTGGCGTGAATGACAAATCCAGCGATGTTAATGGCCGACTTGGAACCTTCAATGAACGTGCCATTCTCGTCAACCCGAACGAGGTCCGATATACACATCTTGCCAAAGTGCTTCGCATAAGGATTGATCCAGAAGGTCGCTGGTTCAACTGGGTCTATGGTTTGATGTTTAGCTGTTGTTAGTGAGACAACACAGCATTCACGCTCGTACCTCGTAGACTGACATGCCCATTGAAACCGTCGGCAAAGCCGTGCCTCGAAAAGACTCGGAAGATGGCTACTGTTTGCTCCTGTGCCCAGCGCCTCTCAGCGTACTTGTCTGAGAATGTTGGCATGATATTCAAATTTGTGGTTGGGTCGTCGGGGTCGTAGCCTGGTGGCTTGGATGGTAGAGAACGCTTGTCGACATTCTCTCCTTCTCCTACGAAGGACATGATAGCTGTTTCAGTGACAGTGGACATTGCAACGATGATACGAGTGCTCTCGCTATACTTCTGAGTTCAACTCCAGCAACCTTTGATCAGTATGAATGACAACTACTCGGGGTCACATTCGAAGTCAATCAATCTTCTTGATCGAGGACCCTTAGGATTAGACTGAAGAGGTAGATCTGGCGGTTGATACCCACCTCAGCATGGGACCCCCTAGTCTACATCGACTTGACTGCGGAGCCAGAGCGATAAGGCGCCGGCTTGCCGGCACTGATACGCAGTTTGGTAGAGTTGCCTTGGAGGCTTCGGCAATGGCAGCGAATCGACATACCAAATGGGGCAGCTTCGCCCATCTGCTTCCAAGATTACCCCGCATCTACCCTTGTCGGGGCACTCGGAGCAGAGGTTCTACGGCTTCTGGAAGGTGACACTGCACAATTCTTTGATCAGTGGAGGGTTGGTCCTGACGGCTTTCGTCCGGCGTCTTGCAAAAATCTGAAGGGCTTTGGCTGGAATGACTCCGGCCACTTCCTGCCACTTCGGCTTGAAGTTGAATGCATATACATATCTTAGCATTATGCAAGATTATCTTCTAGATGTATAAGGTCTTGTAAAGACTGGTCCAATACATCGACAGCAAACCAGAGATCCTCCTCTTCGATAATCAACGGTGGAGCTATTCTGATTCGGTTTTCGTTCGCATACAGTAGCACACCTCGCTCGCGCATGACCATTGCCAGTCGGGCCGCTGTCATTCTTCCCGATGGATGAGACTCATCGATAGAGAAAGAGAAAAACAGACCGCGACCAGTGATCCTAGTTGTAGTGTAGGGACACTTGATGGCTAAAAGCCTCTTGTTCAGGGCCTGACCAAGCTTAAGAGCCCGCTCGGGCAATCGTTCATCAAGGACGACATCAACAGCTGCCAGAGCAACAGCACTGGCGACAGGGTTTGCTGAGAATGTAGAACTGTGCCTGCAATAATATCAGTTTCTGCTTAGGAAGGAGGATGGCAGAGCTTACTGTCCAGGCTGAAGTTGTTCCATGACCTCGCGGGAACCTAGAACCATACCCATAGCATACACGCCCCCTGTTAGTGCTTTGCCAATAGTGACCATGTCAGGTTTGATATTTTCTTTCTCGTATGCCATCAAGTATCCAGTCCGGCCAAAACCGGACTGAATCTCATCAGCAATGAACAAGACATTGTATGCTTTGCAGAGGTCGAAAACTGCTTTGATGTAGCCGTCTTCAGGAACCAGACATCCCGCATATCCCTGTATACACTCTATCATCAAACCGGCAATTTCATGCCCATAGTGCTTCAACACATGTTCAATATCTTCAAGATTGTTGAATCGTACCAAGTGACCCTCGATGTCGGGTCCGACACCTGGGAGATAGGGACCAAAACCTGATTCAGTTATGAATTCTGTTTCATGTAAATGTAGGAGGGAATGGCGTTACCTTCTCTGATCTTGGAGTTATCCGAGGCAGACAAGGGTCCCGTCAACTTTCCGTGGTAGTTCCCAGAGATGGTGAGAATTTTGGCTTGGTTTGAGGGAATTCCTTTGACACAGTAACCCCATTTTCGAGCAATCTTGATGGCTGTATCCGTTGCTTCAGATCCCGAGTTCATTGCGAATGCCATATCATAGCCCAGTAGCTTTTGTAAAGCGTTAGTGTGGTGCCCTGCCAAGGTGAGGCATACTCACAGTGCATAGCTTGCGACACAAAAGAGGATAGTGTTCATTATGAAAGGCTCTTGAAGTGATTGTGAGCTTTTGGCATTGCTCAATCATGGCCTGAACAATCTTAGGGTGGCAATGCCCTTGATTGGTAACCGAAAATGAACTCAAGCAATCGATGTACTTCTTCCCGTCCAGGTCCCAGAGATGTGCTCCACGGGCACTCGTCAACACCAGCGGCAGCTGTTTGAGAGACACCGCTCCATACGTGTCTTCGCATGTGATGTACTCAGCCGTGGTCATCGTCTTGGGGGCCTTGGAGAACATCGACTCGCTCATCGAAGAGGTGATTTCAGTGACCTCTGATATCGAACCCATTTTGATGTTATCCGCTTTTGAAACGATTCTAGAAGTATTGAGATAAACCACAGAAGCAATAAGACAAGTGGTAGACTGAAGCCTCTGCGATCGCTTCCTATAGCATCAGGATGACAATATCCGCAATTCTGGAAAGCCTCACTCTTATCGAAGTATCACAGTGTTGTAAGGCATTTCATGAGCACTCCAGCTATTCTTCGAACAGCCATACCGGAAGATTGGCCGCTACAAATGGACAATCAGCCCGATTCACCACCGGCCTAAAAGCACGTGCAGAAGCTAGAACTCTAGGCTGATTCTTATCTGTATTGGCCAATCCTCACCAATTAACTTCGTTGAATGCCCTTATCGTGGGTTTTGGTGGGGCTAACCCCACGATACTCCAAGCCTGAGCGAGAGTGGTCCTAGAATGTCTAGAAAGGAAAAGCGATTCCCAACTCAGTTCCTGGAGACCTTCGGTGAAGCCCGCTTTCCACTCTCCTCACAAGCACAATAGTACCAATGATTCTGAACATTACATTCAGCAGGGCATGACAAAACACGTCTCGAACTAGAAGTCGGTAACGCCTATAAGCCTGAGAGCCGTACCTGGGGGCTCAAATTAGCTCACCCGGAATACCGGCAGCCAACATGCCGGAATTGCGATCACGACACGGCTGTTCAACATGCCGTAGAAGACGACGAAAGTGTGACGAGGCTAGACATAGCTGCCATTTCTGTCGACAACGTCGGGTCAGGTGTGAATACGATCAGCCGTTGCGATGGTCCACTATCGCCACGACCGACAAAGGTAACCTTGGCGTCGATGTCCAGGATAATGGCACTAGCAGAAACCGGACATCGCGCAGACGTCGGCAACATGATGGGAGTTCTGAGATTAATACTCAACGACGCAAGGGCCCACAGCCTCGAGCAGCGAGAGAGCCACGAGAAGTCGGACAGCTACCACTCGCCTCTGAGCAGCAGCGAGTCGCGGCCCAAGAGCCCCTCTACAGTCCACAGAGCGCATCAACTGTTACCATCTCGGGGCAAGGCCCTCGAACAATAGTGGATCACAACCAAGAAACCATTTTTATCACTACTCCACTGGCACTGGATGAGCTTTACTCCCACAGAATCAATCGGAGTCTAACATCGGCTATCAACACACCAGACATCGAGGAGAATGCGACGGAATCTAACGTCGCCGCTGCACCGCAGTTCAATGCTCTAGTCCACAGCGCTATCAATATAAATGGCTACGGAGTGTGGGAACTGGAGGCTGACAATCTGAATCCTGATGACAACGCTGAAGATGATGAAGGGAGAACTGAAACCCTCGAATGGACCCTCGACGACGAAGATCTATGGGAAGGGATTGATCCAGACATATTTGCCAGTCCCAGTGAGAGGCTGGCTTTTGCATTCTGTAAGTGATGCTGCTGCGTTGTCTTTGCCAAAACTAATCACGTCTGCGTTTAGGGTTCAAATACTTATCCGGCGTGATTCCAGCGTACGACTCCGCTTCCAATCCATACCGAAGATTGTCATATATTGCCCTGTCATCACCAGTGCTCTTGGATACCATCATAAGCCTGGCGACGGAGTATATGTACTGCCATGGTCGCGCGAGGCCAGAGATCACAATGGAAAGGCACTCTCGCGCCCTGCAGTCGTTGCGAGAATCTCTGGTTTCTGATGCTTGGCTATTACCGCCCACCAGTCCTGGTACGCCAGCCACTGGCAACATGGCGATCCAACCACAACAAGCTACACTGGCAGCAATACTACTTCAGGTCGCCAATGTCATCTTTACTGGCGGCTCGGGTGTTGACGTGCACTTGTCCTGCGCGATGAATTTCTTACATACACTGGACTATGTCAATCACCCTGTCAGCGAACCGATGGCAAGACTCCTGGTGCAGCGTTTTGCCATGATCGACGTCATTACTTCTATCCTCAGGCACAGACGCCCACATCTTCCCTCGGACTTTTGGCTCTTCATGCCCGATGCCCATTACGATCGCACAGCGCCGTCCTTTCGCGAGATGACAGGATGTCCCCAGCCAGTGCTGGGGTTTTTAGCGCGCCTAGCGAATCTTGCTGCCGACCAAGTCGACCTTGAAGAGACCGTGGAAGCCGACACCCCGGACTATTATGAACGCCAACACGACATCCTTCGATTGGCATCAACACTTGAAACCGACATGCGCGTCTACGCACGTAGTCGTGTAACATTGTCCTCTACAGGACGAACTCAACAGCAGAGCCATCTCGATGCGCTATCGCAATGCTTTTACTGGTCGGCACATCTAATAATGCAACGATCAGTATACCGGGATGCTACCTCATCTCCACGCGTACAGCACACTGTCGATAACATCGTACGTTGCATCAAGTCTATGCCTGTTGGCTGTGGACCCGACAGCTCACTTCCCTTTCCATTCTATTTGTCGTCTCGCGAGGCCGTTACCGAGAGCCATCGAGCCTGGGTACGCGAGCACAACAACCTTCTGAAGCAGTTCTACCCGGGACGTCTAAGAGAGGCTATTCGGAACAGCCTTGAAGAGCTCTGGACATTACTAGATGAGAAGCGACCGGACAGAGATCGGCTGAACACCGAGATCGATACCAAGATCAGGGATTTGGAGCGCAGGAAAGACTTTTGCTTGTTTTGAGCGACGTGTGATCAAATGTATGAAGAACTCTGTACTCAAAGTAGGCGTTTCAAGCTAATTGAGATATCGTGTTTAAGGTCTATGCCCTTTCGCGACAGGCAATGAGTCAAAGGGCAGCATTCAAGTCTACACGATCTTCTCGAGCAACACTAGCGTGTCGCCCACCTCCACCCGATCACCAGTTTGCCGCATGATTTCGTGAACTCGGAACTTCTGCGATTTTGTGCCATTCTTGGGCGGTTCTGGTACGCTCACCGAAGTTTCCATCTTCATCGCTTCGATTTTCACCAGGATTGCACCTTCTTCGACGATCTGGTCAGGCGTGACTTCAATTTTAGTGATAGCCGCGATCATATTGCACAAGACCGGGATTAAACCCTTCGCTCCTAGGAATCGCCTGTCAGCCAAACTGCGTGAAAGAATAAAAAGCTGATCACTTACCGTTGACTCTGCGCTGTCTTTCCTCTTTCGTCTGCCTCTCCTTTTCCTCTGTCACGCGTTTCTCCTCCAGCCACTCTTTATACAGCTCTGCTTCTCGTCTGATCTCGGCCTGAGTACAAGAATCCTGGATCTCTCTCAGCTGGCGTACTTTTTCTTTCGTGCTCTCGGCTAATTCGTGATAAGCCGCCATATCGAAATCGCCCACTTCGATGCGAATCTCGTACAACCCTGCCTTGAATAATCTGACACTCTCATCAAACTCTTCGCGGCTGACTTCATGGAAGATGATTTGATCAAAAGAGTTGAACAGCCAGGGTCGTTCTGGGCTAAATCCTGGCTTCTGACCATATATGTCCCAACAGCATCCGGGTAGAGTGGCACCCCAGAGAACGTAGCCACCGGGAGAGTCGCTGGGATAGATTGAACACGTATTGCCACCAATACCCAGTGAGCCAGCGGCTGTGAAAGTTCGAGAGGGGTTGTACTTTGGCACATTGAGTCGACGTCGAGGGTCAATCTGAATGTAGATGGGCAGCCCCATCATCCATCCGACAGCATTAACCAACATTGGTGTCTCGAAAAAGCAGTTTTTGACCTCGGTTATATCTTTCAAGCCATTGCTTCGTCGGATAAAGTCAATGTTGTCTGGCAAGTATGCTGCTTTGGATCTTTGAAGGTTCATATAGCGTTCGATTGAGAGCTGACACTCCCTGCCATCGAAAACTGCAGGTAGGTGAATGATTCGACATGCTTGCTTTGACACACTCAGTGGCGGCAGGTCTTTCTCGAGCTCCAGTATCCAATTGACCACTTTTGCTTGTGAGATCTTATGGGGGTCGAAGTAAACAAGGATTGAAGCGTTCTCGGCCACCGAGAACTTGCGCAAACCAGGGGGAGTATGCTGCTGGATGACATTACTCAACTGTTGGAGACGAGCGCGAACTGCCATATCGAAGACTCCATTTCCCAACACGCAAAGAACGGCGCGATCTCCAGACTGTCGAATAGTCATGGCGAGTTGATCTTCTCCACAAGCGTTGTGTTGGTAGAGGATACCTTCACCTGTAGGAACAGACTGCACGACCCAATCGAGCCGCCGATCAATTGTTTGACAATTCAATGCACTCTCTTGGACACAGTGAGTGACTAACTCCAGGTACGCGTTGGTCCGATCTTCAAGCATCATTGCTTGTTCAAAGGTGATTGATTGGAAGTGGAACGCAGCGCCAGGCTTAAGTTGGGCCACTCGCCACAAATCCGCACGTGCCACAGTATGGGTTGTGATGAATCCTGTCTGGTTTGGGGCGTCAGCGGGTAGAATGATACCTGAATCTCCTGTGAAGCTAACGCCGCCAACTGTACAGCCGTAGCCGACCATATTCGACGGGTGACTGCCACCTTCACCTCCATCCTTTCTGGACCATGACGGAGGCGGCCCATCGAGGCGGATACCAACACGGCTTGAATTGAAAGAGACTTTGTATTGGGATCCCCCCATGAGAGATTGTTGACCATTCTCGGTAATATATCCCTGATCGAACCAGGGACCAGGCAAGGCGTAGATGCGTGGGTTTTCTTCCATTAAGGGAACCATGTCCTTCGGCAAGCTGTAGGGCCTCGTAGTTGTGGTGCTTTGGGCAGCGGAGGAGCCCAGGAACAGGAAGTCTCCAGCACGCATGATTCTGCCCTGGAATCCACCCCAACTGAGACTGGGTGTGGTACTCTTAGACTCAAGGTACCGTGCCACGTGTGGCAGTCCTCCTCGAATGGCCAAATACCCTCTAGCTCCTGTTGCTGCTTCTCCGATCTCAAGAACATCGTTTTCTTTCGCAATAATTCGACTCCAGCACGCGACAGGCTCATTATTCACAGTCACGGAAAAGTCGCCGCCACATATGGCGATAACAGCCGATGCGTAAAATTTGATCTTTGGTCCTCTGAGAGTGATCTCAAATCCTTCTGTTCCCCTGGGGTTCCCTACTAAAATGTTGGCCACTTGGAACGACAATGCATCCATAGGACCTGACATCGGCACACCATTTGGAAAATTCTCTCTGCCAGGATAGTCTTGCACCGTTGTGTACGCTCCTGGCTCGATGAACTCCATTGCGCTAGGCTGGTATCGAAAGTGTTTAGAAAGCATATTGGTAGTCGTGAGACCTGCCAGAAATCTCGAAGAGACAAGTACTTGTCGACAGAAGTCCATGTTAGTTGCTGGGCCTTGTAATATCGTGGTATCCAATGTCTGCCCCATCGCCGCAATTGCATCGCTTCTTGTGTCCGCATGCGCCATGACTTTTGCGAGAAGAGGGTCGAACGAAGGGGAAACTGTTGTCCCTGTCTGGATCCACGTATCGACTCGCACTTTCTCGTTTTCAGGAAATGCCACATGTTGGAACAAGCCCGGTGATGGGGAGAAATCTTTGGCAGGATTCTCGGCATATACTCGCACTTCGATCGCGTGTCCGTTCGGTGCTGATCTCTGGAAAGACTGCATCTGAGTTTTCGAGAGCCCGCCCCGGCCATTGAGCTGTTCTTCAGCCTGTAAGAGCATCATCTCACACAGATCGACATCATAACATAGTTCCGTGATGCCATGTTCTACCTGGAGCCTTGTATTCATTTCGAGGAAATAAAAAGCTCCCGTACTGTCATCAACCAAGAATTCGACGGTTCCGACTGACTGGTACTTGACTGCAGAAGCTAGCATCACTGACGCCTCTTTCAGTTTCTGTCTTAGCTCAGGGTTCTGTACGACGAATGGACTGGGGCATTCTTCAATGATCTTCTGATGTCGACGCTGTATTGAACATTCTCGTTCTCCGAGAAATACGATGTCTCCTTGGCCGTTACCAAAGATTTGGGTCTCGGCATGACGCCCCGACTCCACGAACTTCTCAATAAACATTCCGTCATTTTTGAAAAGGGCATTGCCACGACTTTTGACCATGTCGAAAGCTGCTTTAAGCTCGTCGGGATGGTGACAGACCTGGAGTCCAATGCCCCCGCCCCCAGCTGTGGCTTTCACCATAACCGGGAATCCGAGAGACCTAGCTGATTCCTCTGCATCCTCAATGGTCTTGATCATCTCACTACCCGGCACAACCGGCACGGCGGCATTGATTGCAAGCTCTCGAGCCCGATGCTTTAGTCCAAATTCTTCCAGAGTCTTTGCCGCTGGACCGATGAACAGGATTGAAGACTGAGTCAGGGCTTCGGCAAAGGTGGCATTCTCGCTGAGGAATCCGTATCCAGGAAAGACTGCCTGGATATTCCTTCTTCTGCATATTTCAATGATTTGGTCGACATCGAGATAACCAGCTGCACGATCGCCGCTCAGTGCATATGCTTCGTCCGCAACACGAATGTGTAGAGATCCAGCATCCTCCTCCGTGTAAATGGCAATGGCAGTGACGTCTAACTTCTGGCAGGCCTTAATCAAGCGGACCGCGATCTCCCCACGGTTCGCGATGAGTACACGCTTCAACAACATTCTTTCGGTACGAAGTTCGGTTCTTCAGCGCGTGGCGGGGCGCGACACGGGGAAAGTGCAGCTGTATTGACAATTCCTGCTCCTGTGGTCTAGAGATGATGACAAAGTTGGAGCGGTATCAATTTGCGACGTGTTCCCGTGGCTCTATACTTGATCTCCTCCAGTACATCTCGACCGGACGTGAGCTGTAATCTGGGCTGTTTTCCACAATCCACAATGAGTCGCAAGGGCCCACCCGCAGATACCGTGGTTGTGGGGGCGGTCGCTCGGAAAAATGCGTTTCGAGAGGCCCGATTTGGATAGAACCCTTCTTACGGCACCGAATGCCGAATCTGAACCGACACTCTCACCTCGTCATCGAATCACGGCCTGAGGATATTTGTGAAGACAGACAACTTCATCTCTGGTGCTGATGTGGCGCTCATGTATTCCACGTCGCCCTGTTGGACTACGGGTGAAGCACCCTCTCAACATATTTCTGCGTGACTTGCTCCTGTAGGGCATTTTTCTGGGCATACAACACTCAGGGATGGCCACAGAATCATTTTAAAAATAAAGGTATAACGTTGTACTTTACAAGCATAGTGAACTCCGATATATAATCATTCATACAAATCGAACAGCATCCAATCGCTACGATGTATGGCAAGCGAATATGTTGATGATGAGACACGGAGATCTATGTTCCTGTCACTAAAGCTTCGGGACGCGCAGTTCGAATAGCCTCGCGCACAGCCGTCAGTGTCTCAAGAGGGCCTGTCACAAGTGATTAGTAACAATTACATAGTTGAGTCTTGTTGGTTTGCGTACCTGGCAGATCAGAATGAATGCAACAACTGAATTCACGTTTGGCAAGTTTCATTTGAGCCGGGGGACCGCCACTCTTAGGTACGACCGTATCCTCCTCAAGCACCCGGAGGACCTTGGGCATAATATCAGCCTGAGGGACTCGACCATCCCTCCTGGAACTCGATTAGAACTGTATTGAAGACTGGCAAAGGGGTTTGCGTGACACTCACAGTATAGACATCAGTTGGCCATTTTCGTTGTAGTGAATATCGGGATAGAACTCGGGAATGACTTCAAATCCCATCTCCGTGGCCATAGTCTCCATTTTCGTCCCTGCAATGACCATGATCCGAGTATCAAAGACTTTGACTGCGTCCATGACTGCTCGACAGTGAGCGTCACTGTTCTGGCACATCCTCCACAGATAACCATGTGTCTTCACATGGTGCAGCTTCATCTGCTCCGCTCGTAGCATACCTTCCACAGCACCTATTTGGTATACTAGCTGGTCGAATAGATCAGATGGTGAGATGTCGATATATCGCCTCCCGAAACCCTCCCGATCAGGCAAGGAAGGGTGCGCACCAACTAAAACACCATGCTTCTTCGCAAGCTTGATGGTTTTGTGCATCACCACTGGATCACCGCCATGGAAACCACAAGCTACGTTGGCGATATCGATTAATGGCATCAAATCTTCGTCCGGGCCCTGGTCGTATCAGTGCTAGTGCTCTTTCATCCAAGCTCATGAAACCAACCATCTTCCAGGTGCCGTATGCTTCCCCCATGTCGCAATTGATTGTGACTCGACATGGTCTGCTTGATTTCTGCCCGTTGCATCCTTCCGGCGCCGAGGTTATGTTCGTCGCCATAATAGCCATTGCGAGGCTTGTCTACAGAGGCCCGGCGACATCAGGGTGAATCTTGGGCTTTTTGGACAGCCTTCCGTGAGCATGATTAGCGGTCGAGATATGCTGCCGACATGAGAAATGGGCACCCATGTGGATTCAAAGTTGCGGGGAAGCCAGATAGCAAAGCGGAGATGTTCCTTAGAACATTGGGACAAGGCACGTCGTTACGGGGTTCCAATTTCAGACTAGCCTCTCCCCTCAACCCGCTCGTGGCCCGCGTCTCGTGATGCACGGCACGTGTGATACCCTATCTGTTACTAAGCCGCCGATTCCTGTGCAGCCACGACTTCGATCCGGACATGTCCCGGAAAATTGTGTTCAGGGTCAACGGCGCCAACAAAAGCGACTGAGCGCCATGCAAAGGACCGCTTCCGATCTCCGCCATGGACGAGTGCCACTTTCCAGATCCCCAAAAGTGGTCCCCTTCGCCCTTCGTCCACTTGTAAGGCAGTCGACGTCGACTACACGCGAGCATACCTATTCTACTTTAATTGTGTGCAATCCAATTGCACATACTAGTGCCGGTTCGCCCTGCCCAGCGCGCAGCCTGCTTCGGTCGGGTGTGCACTCAGCCGTCGCGTGACGCGGGTGAGGAGCGGGTGAGTGTGAAGCGGGCTCACCTACATCCTGATTGAACGATAGCTGCTAGTGATGGTGTCTGTCTTCCATAAGGTGTAATTTGAGCGGGATGCCCTAGGATCTCGTCACAGTCGATCGTTCTACAACGGGAGCATAGGAGGTTTATGTCGGCTATGTCTTCACTGCTATTGCCGCAATACCCGAATGTGAAGAAGTGTTCAGGACAGATTCCGACTGTGTATACGCGAGAGATAGCTCAATCTCATTTGTGTGTTCAAGCTGAATATGTTGATTCGAAGAGACCGTCTGGATTCGGTTTTCATACTCTGGCAACAGGGAGGAGCAGAACAAGGTCCTTCTTCTGCCATGAAGACCAGATCTTATGGCTCATCACAACTAGCCGCAATGGATTGTGCAACACGCGCTGAGGCAAGATAGCGAGCTGGTCGTGACGCCCTTAGCTGCCATCCAGGCTCATACATCCGTAGCAGAAGGTCGTGCATTGGGCGCTGACCCGTGGACCACGAGTACCAGAAGACTTTCGAAAGTCCCTCCATATGTCACCAAATGACAACAGCCACGGCCCAAAGTACCCATGATGTCCGCGTGACACGGCCATGCTGCTTGCTGCCGCTACTGGGACTCGATCGCCACGGCTAAAAAGCTTAGACCATGTACAGGCCTTGGTTCATCATCTCTTCGTTTTTGTACTATTGTGCATCAATTACTACTCAGTACTGGGCTCATGTATCTCGTTTATCACCTCGTCTCACTCATCACTCTCAGCTTTCTTTCTATTCTATTTCCGCGTTCATATATACTATTCACTCTCCTGTAGCCACCTGAGACTTACTTGCTCTTCTCCGTCTGCCCCAAGCCCAGACACTCCGCCATACCGAAGAAGATGTCGATGTTGCTGCAACACACAATCATTAGCACCTGTCATTTATCTCTCTTCTTCTCTTTCTTCATCACCACGTTAAGAAGGATGTAAGCTTACTTGTAGACACCACCAAAGAGCTCTTGGCAAGGGCCCTGCGCAAACACAGGCACGTCGGTCAGCGAGTGCACGCCCTGGTCGGCATCGACGGGGAGGGTGCCGTTGACGATGAAACCGGTAACGGCATCGACGTAGTTGACATAGAACTGTTGCGAGTATCGTCAGCGATCAGCACATTAATAAGATCAGAATCTCAACTTACGTCCTCCTCATCAAAGCCCGTAACATTAATCGCCGGCCTCCTGGGACCAGACTTGTGCACCTGGTAGTTCTCGCGACGATCCGGGTTCGCCATCAAGCCGTCGAAGAGCGTATATCTGGGATCCCAGTTGACGGGAAAGTTGGTGCCAGGCGTGTAGACGAGGTTCTGGTCGGAGCCCTGCGGCGCGGAGCTATTGGCGATCTGGTAGCCCGAGAGGCCGGACTGCTCGTAGATGCCGACGGCCGAGCGCTTCTCGCGGTCGTCCTCGGCCTGGTTCATCCACTGCGTGTCGACGTTGCCGGCGACGTCGAAGCCGTGGCCGTGGTCGGCCGTCACGAGCACGAGCGTGTTCTCCAGCTCGCCGTTGTCTTCCAGCCACTTGAGCGTCGCTTTCACGGTGTCATCGAGCTCCAGGAGCTCGCCGAGCGAGCGGTCGTAGTCGAGCGTGTGCATCTGCTTGTCGATCGAGGCGGCCTCGGACATGAGCACGAAGCCGTCCTCGGGGTGGCGGGCGTGCAGGACGTCCAGCGCCTTGAGCGTCATCTCTTTCAGGCCGGGCTGGTCGAGCGCGGGCTCCTCGGAGCCATCAGGCTTTTCCGTGCGATTGAGGTTCTCGGGGTAGATGTTGCGGTCGAGCCAGACGGCCATGTTGGAGACGGAGAAGATTCCGAGATGCTTCTGCGAGTTGTCCGTGCTGTTGAGAGCGGATGCGTTCTGCACCACAGTGTAGCCAGACTCAGCGAAGAGCTCGAAGTAGTCGTCGCCATTGAAGGAGTCTTCAGAGGGGATGAACTGCTCCGCACCGCCACCGAACAGGACATCAACGCCCTCCCAGTCGGACCAAGTGTAGTTGGGAGTGCCGTGGAGGAACGAGTCGACCACATAGCCGTACTCGCCGCGGAGACGGGTGTGCGCAGTGACAGCACCGGGTGTGGCATCAGCAACGAAAGCGGTGGTAACGATTCCAACACCGCCCTGGTACAGACCTGTTCAAAAGTTATTAGCGATGGGCCGGCCATTCATTCGAATCAGCGTGTCTCCAGTTCGCCAGATCTTGCTGGCTCGTCGAGAGCTCGGACAATAACTTACGGTGGAAGATCTCCTGCACAGACTCGAATTTGGGGTCATCGAACGGATCCTCAGAGCTGTCCGCATAGACACCCAGGGCATTGACAGTAGTCTTGTGGCCAGCATAGAGAGACGTGGCAGAGTTGGCGCTGTCAGTAATGAAAGAATCGAGGGAATGGGTCATCTGGTGACCGAGGACTGGGAACTGGTCTAGGGCCATCTTGGTCTGGTAGACACCGTTGACCTGCTGGTGGCCGATCAGGCGTGCAGCGGTGATCATGTTGGTAGTCATACCATCACCAACGAACTACACTATCAGCCATAGCGCGGATGTGGACTGCGTTTGTACTCACTAGGATGACGTTCTTAGCCTTGCGCTCGGCACCAATATCTCTGACGGTCCAGTTGGCAACGGTTGTCTCGCCATCCTGGTATGTCAGAGTAGCAATGTAGTGACCGGGCTCATACAGAGCAACCCGCCTGTAGGCCTTGGAGGCCACCTCGACCGCCGAGGGTGTCTCGGCAGCTACGGCAAACAAGTCCTCATACCAGGTGAAGTTCCAGGTCTCGATCTCCGGCTCCTCGATGCTGAAGTACTCGGCGGCAGTAACGCCCTCGCCCTCGCCATCCTTCTGGATGGTAAAGGTGAAGTTCTGGTCAGGCTCCGTGTAGCCCTCGATGCGCTCGCTACCGTTTTGCGGAGCGTGAATCTCGAGCCTGATATCGAAATACTGGCCAGGCAGGAAGTCAGCCTGATCAGGCGGTAGGATGCAGCCTAGCTTTGGGCATGCACCGAGACGGTAGAAGAACTCAGCAGAACACTGGCATGCGAACAGGCCAAGTGCCGCCGCTGCGGCGGTCAAGGTACGAAGGGGAGCCATGGTTAGTAATACAGCTACGCAGGACCGCTGAGCGAAGAAGAGCTGCGTCGAAGCTCACAGACCAGCTTTTTGTAGCTCTCACCTTTTTCTAAAAGCTGCCATGAGCTCTCAGCTCGCAACGATGTCATTGGAGTGGACCGATATCCCAGACCGTGTCCAGTGGGACCTTGTGGCATCGGCAACGTGCATAGACCTACGCCCATAAGCTCAAGGCACACCAACCGAAATGCTTGTTGGTAGACTGTGCTAGGTCATGAAGGGAAGGCATATGTCGACCTTGCTGTCTTAGCGACGGGGCGCACCAGTGACGGTGCGGTGGAGGGCGGAGCAGGGCGGCGCCCAGCCTCTAGGCGATTTAGACAGCTTCTCGTATACACTTTCCACCAACCATTCCCAGCACGTGCTCTTGGCATCACGTCGAATGCGCGGGACGATGGCAGGATGCGGTGGGACTTTGTAGTGGAGGCCAAGAAGTTCGCCGACCTTCATGCTGTAGGACGTGTTCAACAGCATCCTCGCGTGGAAGGTCAGGGCAGTATGATTGGTTGTTAGACGATCGCGATATACCGAGAAAATTCTCGAAAAGCGACACATGGCTGCGGAGTGCCCACTCCGGAGTCCACGGAGCCCCATATCATGCCGGCTCGATGAGCTCAAAAGGCCAGATGCGAGTAGCTTGGTCTATCTATAGTGTATGCAGGTCTTCGATAAAGGTCGAAGCGAGCTTGGACGTTGCTCAAGAACCGGCTCAGTAAGCACGTGGTACCTTCGCCCACCCGCAAATGGTCAGCATCACAAAAACCTGTGCGGAGTGTTCTGGCACCCTTCACCAGAAGGAAAGTCTAGGCCAAGAGGCGGGCAACGGGGAGAGCTGTTGGTTCGGTTCCCGATCGGGCGTCGCCGAATCCTGCTGATCTCATGCAAGCCGTAGCCCCGATGCAGATAGTACTTGTGAGGCCCGGGGATAGATATCATGCCTTGATGTTTGAATGCCATCATTTCTTTCATACACGATATTGCGAAAAGACATAATACCCATCGAATTGACAGTCATTCGTGGTGTGATATCGGGAGGGTTAGGATCGAGGCGGACGGGAGGCTCGGATATGTTTCCCTTCCCCCGCAGAGTCGCCACCCCAAGGCCTCCGATCCCGCAATCGCGGCTCCGTATTAGATTCGTGACACCGGCAACGAGTCCGGCTACCACGGGCTTTCCAAATTGCATATATAGGAATGAGCAGGACCAGCCGTTGACCTTAAGGTGAACTGGTGGTAGATCATAGAACGATTTGAGGTCTTTGAAAGTCTTTGTCCTTAACTCATTCTCAATCGCACTTCTGCATCTGCACTACTGGCAAACGTTGGACCCGTACCAAGATGGGCGGCTCACTTGAAGCTTATAAGCTCTTCTGCAAGTTTGAGGCCACGATTGTACCTTCCAGCCACATCCAAAAATCATCAAAGACGACATCCAAAAGCAGCAGTCCAGTCCAGTCAAAGCCTCGGGTCGTTGCCCAGACCGAGTCAGAGCCAGACACTGTCCATGTGGATCACCACAGGCCATCGATTGATACTCCAGAGCCCATTGCACCTTTGAAAGTCTGAGGGAGGATGCGAAGCATGTATACAAGGTTGGATGAGCGCGTAGGAGAAGATGACACCATTGTAAGCTAGCGACAACGATGCATTTGCGGGACGGGAGATCTATTGCGTTGTGAGATGTGGAGGGATAACATTGCGGACGTTGAACACAGAGCAGTGAAGGTGAACGGACCCTAATCTCGTACTAGGTAGTGCGACGATGGGAGGTCGAAAGGTGTGGGTCGATCGAAGCATTCACTGCCTCTTGGCAACAAGGCGTCGACACTGTGAAGAAAGCAGGCGCAACCACATACCGACCGGAATTCCTGGGTGTCTCCAATCTGCAATACTGATTTATTTGTTTACTACTTTCTTCGGCTCTGGGTAACCTGGGCCAGCCAGAAACTCTGGCCCTGCATACTGTCCCATCGCACTTTCATGCCGACGCCATAAGCTTGTCCAGCAAAGAGTGTCCACAGAAAGTTGTATGACATGAAGCCGGCGACCTCTCGTCTTATCAATCAGGCCGCCGTCACGCGTGCCCAAGCAGCGACTCGAGCATCTCCGCCTTCCCCGCACCCCAAGTCACTGCCTAGCCAACACTCCGCACTCCGCGTTATCTACCGAAGAACAGTACCGCGGGAACGTTGCAGGAGGCCGGCGCGAGCCTTGTGAGATCGGCCACCCATATGTAGAGATCTTCGTATCTCTCAAACTGAGAGATTATCTCGAGCTGTCTGCTGGATATCGCCGGCTTCGTGTACGAGGGGGTGGCCATTGCGGGAGATTTACGGCCGCATCGATGAGGCCTCCCACTGGTCGCGCAGTCCGAAGCATGCCGATGAGCTCTCGCAGGTGTTGATCGCCACTCTAAATGCCTGGTCTTCTTTATCGAGGCATTCAAGATGGACTCTCAGTATGACCTTATCATAGTCGGTGCCGGCATCCACGGCCTGATCCTTGCCAAGACCTATTTGGAAGCCTCCCCTACATCGTCGCTACTCATCATCGATTCCGCCGTCTCCATTGGCGGTGTCTGGGCCAAAGAACGCTTGTATCCCGGTCTCAAGACGAACAACTTGGTCGGCAGCTATGAGTTCTCCGACTACGCTTTGGACCCAGCCCGCTATGGCCTCAAGCCGGGGCAGCACATCCCGGGCACCGTGGTGCACTCCTACCTCTCCGACTTCGCCTTACATTTCAACCTCATGCAGCACATTCGCCTCAATACCTACCTTGAAACTGCCGAGCTCTCCGCTACGGGCAGCTGGCTCCTCACTCTGACAAAGACCGATCCTCCCTCCCACTCCGGCACCACCTTAACCACCCGCCGCCTCACTCTGGCTACCGGCCTGACCTCCCTCCCCAACATGCCCACCTTCCCAGCACAAGACACGTTCGACCGACCAATCCTACACTCTCTACACCTCCGCCAATCCTCCCGCCTTATATCCACGGCCACCAGCGTCGCCGTGCTAGGCGGCAACAAATCCGCCTTCGACACTGCCTACTCGGCCGCTACCTCAGGCTCCGAAGTCCACATGATCATGCGTCCCTCCGGCGGCGGACCCTCGTGGGTGTGGCCTGTAGCAATCACACCGTGGAAACTGAGTGTGCAACGCATGGCCACCACCCGCCTCTTCACCGCCTTTGACCCAACCCCATCCGTGCACGGCTGGACCTGGTCAGCAGTGCGCTACCTGCTCCAGCGAACCTGGATCGGGCACAACCTCATAGTAGCAGCCTTCTGGTGGGTTGTTGGATGGTCCATCATCCGCGCCAACGGCTACGACGACCCCTCGTGCCCAGAGCTACGCAAGTTGAAACCGTGGACGGGCGTCAAGTGGATGGGCAACAGCCTCAGCATCCACAACTACCCGACCAACTTCTTCGACTTGGTGCGCGAGGGCCGCGTCAGGGTGCACATTGCAGACATTACGCGCCTCAGTCAACATGCTGTCCACCTCAGCGACGGTGACGCCCTCGAGAACCTAGACGCGCTCGTCTGCTGCACAGGCTGGCAGGTCAAGCCCAGCGTGCGCTTCTTTCCCGAGACGCTGGTGCCTCACCTGGGCCTGCCGGGTGTGCCGAATCCCAGTATCACAGTCGAGGACATCACCGCCGCCGACCGTGAAATCCTGCGGCAGACGCCCATGCTACGACGAGCCCCGGTCCGCACATTACCGCATCCAATCAAGACGCCAACGCCGCTACCGCCTCCAGGGGCACACAAACGACACGGCGAGGCGCCTCCCTCTCCAGGCACGCCCGCCGCGCCCTGGCGGCTCTACCACCACCTCGTCCCCATCCCCAGCTCAGAGAATCCGCACCACAACGTCGCCTTCCTCGGCACCCACCTCTCCGTCGCTGCCACTCTCGTCGCGCAGGCGCAGGCCCTCTGGCTGACTGCGTATTTCCTACAGCCGTCACCATCCGATCCCAACGCCAGCACCAGCACCAGCAAGCATTACCCCAAGCTACCGCTCCTACCGAGCCCTGAGACCATGAAGCGCCAGATGCTGCTGGAGACAGAGTATCAGCGGCTGCGCCACCCTCCAGAGGCGGGCGGGGCGGGTGAGCGATGCCCAGACCTAGTGTTTGAGAGTCTAGCGGTGGTGGACGAGTTGCTGGGCGAGGTGGGTGTGGAGCGGTTTCGGAAGAGGCGGGGCGGAAAGAGCTGGTGGCGGGAGGTGGGTGGGCGATACTGGCCGGGGGATTATCGGGGTTTGGTGGGCGAGTGGTTGGGGTTGAGGGACGAGTGAGCATCAGGGGGGTTGGGTACAGGGGTGTTTGTGGGGGAGGGGTAGTGATAGAGCTTGATTAGATAGATGAGAGATCAATAGAGCAAGAGTGCTGTGCAGCGGTGGTACGATAGTACCGTTCCGTTCACCTCGTAGAAAGTCATAGTCACCGGCGATTGCCAGCAGTGCGCTGCCCAACAACACTTACCGGCCTCCCACTCCTCCTCAACTTACGGTTCAGAACCCCTTCCCTACCACTGACTTATCGTCCACAGCATGCTCCCCATCCAGGCCCTTCGAAACATGAGCAGTACGAACTGAGTTCCCAAGGCTCGCCGCCTAGGCAACCGCCGACTCGAGCGCCATCAACGTCCCAACACCGACATTTTGGACATGCGCGAGGCTGGGAAAAGGACCAACCGAACTCTGTTTAGACCCTTCCTCTGCAATTGCCTGTGCCGGGGCACAGAGTGCGTCGTCTCCCACAGCTTCCCTACGTTACCCTCCTTGGGCTTTCACATGCCAACGACAACGCTGGTCAGCCGCACAAAGTCCAGACCGGGGGTTGGGGGGCAACGGGAAGCATGCGGGTTTCTATGAAAAGTCCATCGCGCGAAACGCCCGCTGGCCACATGTCAGGGGAGTCAGGCGAGCGGCGCGCAACGGACTTTGTGGCAGAGCCATGGTGCCAAAGGACCCCCAGAGAGTGTGGAGTTTGGTGGTGGTGGTGGTGTAGTAGCGGGTAGGTGGGGGCTGCAGAGTCAACCTTGGGAAGTGCAGGGCCGTGGCGGACTTGCGCAATGATAGAGTACCAGGTACACCAGGCCCATTTGGAAATGATGATGGCGATCGCTTTCGGGATCTCGCGCTATTGCTGGAACGAGGAACCATCACCATTGAGGGCGCGTCCCATCGTCGCCACCCAGAGAGTGGATTCTCGAGAATCAATATTCGAAATCAGGCCGCAAGGAAAAGTCGTATCTCATCGACACTGATCTCATGCACACAACCACACTCGTCATCGACCTGGTACGTACCTCTCGACCGCCCGAGAACGGTGAATCAGTTGACGTCAGCGTGCAGCCCGCGCGCGCGGGCCCTAAAAAACAATGCCTCGAGTTCCATTCTCATGGTAACGATAGTTCGGCAGCCTTGCATGGAACCTGCGTCCGCCCGCGTCGGATGTCCGTAGCTTACTAGCTGTCAGGGTAAAAGCCTCTGGAGAGATCGTCCGTATTGTCATTTGTTGAGATTTTCTAATTGGTGAGGAGGGAGACAGCTAAACGATGATGTGAAGGGTTTTAGGTACATTGTTGTTCTGATTGTTTTCGGTGAGTTTTCGTCATGATGGCTTGACCAGCATTCCTCGGTAGTGACTGGGGGATCACAAAGGAGGAACCCAAGTGGTTGGCTGGTTAGGCATGGACCTGAGACACAATCCGCTGCCGTGGCGGCCGTGATATCCGGAGGACATTGCCCCTTGACAGTAACGAGTATTGCGCAACGCCCCGGACGGAACATGTAACACGTACCAGTATGCGTACCTGTACATGTAACTGTACATGTACCAGGAAAGCTACAACAGCGCTCTAGCACAGGCTAGCGCCCAATTGAAGATTCCGAGACATTCTTTTCCCATAGCACGAATCTCAATTAGCCACTTTTGTTAGCAAGCTCGGATTGCGACACCCGAACGCTCTGGAGCAATGGCAGCCAAAAGTCAGAAAAGAGCTACTCAGTAGTTAGAGGAGAGATCATCACCAACCCATATCGTTATTTGGGATTTTTGAATCGGGATCTGGCTGTTCCGAGGGGCTTAGCCTTAAGCTACTAGTAGTCTACGCATCGAGATGGGCCTCTGGTAACTTGCACTTTGTGCCTTTGCGTATAGCAGCAGTAAACTATTGGGGATCTTTACCACAGCATCGCCGAGTTCCGACTTTGCGAAAGGCGTTCCAAGGCCTCCCAGTTCTCCGTGATGATTGTCGCACCGTACTACAGCGGACCATGGATCGAGATCCGCTGCCGCCTTTGCCATTTGATGAGGGACGGTCTTGTCAGTAGGCGTAGATTACGGGGGCGGCCTATGGAGATTGGATGCGCGAGGGGGGAACATTGATGCCTCCGTACATCGCTCGATGGGTATTGGATAGTGATTATGATCGGCATCGCATTTGTAGCAAATTATCAGGTAGGGAGTATCATGTGGTCTACCATGCATGGCTGGCTGATTGCCGGGATAAGAGCTCCTAAACGATGCAAGAGAGCTGCAGAGCTGCAGAAAGCGGAGGTACTTCATGTGAATGACCCTCCTCAGAGACTGACTTGCAGAATGGGAGGTCCAGGCCCAGGCTGACGTGGAGTAACGCATGGAAGACATAACCTGTTGAAGCCGTTGATAGCAGACAGGAGAACGCGGCCAGTCACATCAATCACACGAAAAGGTCGAGATAGAAGTAGTAAAGAAATGAACATTCTGTAGAGATGGCACAGCAAGGAATCTCGCGTCGTATAAGAGAACATTGAAATGCTCCAACAACCCCCATCTTTTATCATAACGCCATATCCTGAACAAAACACAAAACACATCTGCAAATGCCCATCAAGATCCAAGCTCCTTCAGATAGCATCTCCATTAAGATCTGGTGTTGTAGTATTCACAATCACGCAGAGGTTAGTCTCCGCTCGAAACCACCTCTTCCTCGTCTCATGTCCATCCAAAAAGCATGAATGGTGTCTCGCAATTCTATGTCCAAATCGCCCGTTGTCGGGGGCCGCCGCCGTCCCTTCAATCCCAATATCTATAGCGCGTAATGGGTGTAAGCTCCTTTACTGTAATAAAAGCACAAGGTCGTGAAAAATCGGTATTGATAACAGGAAAAGGCGCGTCGAGGCCTCTAGTTGAGGGACTCGCGGATGAATTGACCGACACCCTTGGCCTGGAGACATAGTTAGTGCTAGCTCACGACACGACAGGATAGGGAGAAAACTTACCACAGGGGGCTTCATCATCGTGAAGTGGTTGCCGACAACCTGGACCATGGTGCAGTTCTCAGCACCGAGGAGCTTGTCCCAGCCATTAGGACCGAAGTCGTTGCGGTTCTCCAGCAGCCACTTCATGCTCTTGGGGTCATCTGCCTGTGGCGGTGGGCGGGGGTCACCAGGCTTGCCACACACACCCTCAGTGGCCCAGATGAGTAAAGTTGGCGGCGCGTTGAAGTCGTGCGTCGACTTCAGCTCAGGGCGGTAGGCAGTCAGCGCCTTGATGCTGTACTCAAAGTGAGGCAGCAACCAGTTGGGCGTCTTGCCAGTGCCGGTACCGAGCAGCCCGATCTCATCGAAGAAGTGATGCAGACGAGCAGGCAGGGGCTCGAGCCTGATCGGGCAGGGCGAGTCGATCAGAATGAGCTTCTCCACATAGTATTTCCGGTCAGGGAAACGCTTGTTCAGGTCGGAGAGCTGGCGAGTCACCTCGTAGGCAACGACACCGCCCGCAGACCAGCCACCAAGGATGTATGGGCCGACGGGTTGGCGGCGCATGACTTCCTCGAGGTACAGCTTCGACACACCCTCAATTCCGCACGTGTAGTTGGTGGGATCCTTCATGAAGGGGCAGTTGAGACCATATACTGCGAGGTTCTTGCTGTCAATGGCGGGGATAGAGACGTAAGAAGTAGCTGATCCGGATCCATCAGGGAACAGGAAGAGGTTCTTGGTCGCCGTTTTGGGGTTACCCTGCAGGAGGACCGAAGTGGCAGGAGGCATTTGCACAACCACCTCGACGGGAGGAGCTGGAGCAGGAGCAACAGCGACCTGAGCCACCACCTCCTGCTTCTGGGCTGGAGCAGGCGCTGCCTTGGGAGCATCCAGGCCAAGCGCCTTGCGAAGGTGACCAAGCGATGGGTTGTCCGCAAGAATGGACGGGTCCAAGTCGATCTCGTACTCTTCGCGGAGCTTACCGAGCACAGTGAGGGCCATGAGAGAGTCCATGCCAAGGTTGCTCAGGTCGGTGGTCTCAGTGATCTCAGCAAGATCCATCTCCATCTCCTGTGCAATGACCTGACGAATGGTCTCGATCATGTCGGCGCCACCAGCAGCAGTCGGGGCAGGAGCTTCGGCAACGGCCTCCACAGCAGCGGACTTCTGACTCTTGACGGGAAAGTCCTCGGTCTCAGGGGTGGTAATGCCAGACTCAGCGGACTCATCGTCGCTCTCGGAGCCAGAGTCCGTGGACTCAGTCGAGCTGGACTCAGCAGCCGCATCAGGAGCTGGCTCAGGGCCAGACATGCCGGAGAGATGCTTGCGCAGGGCACCAACAGATGCGAAGTCAGTGAAGAGACTGCTCTCGACTTCCATATCAAGATCCTCGCGGAACTTGCCTGAAATGGTGAGGGACATCAGACTGTCGACACCAAGGTCGGCCCACTGAATATCATCGAGAAGCTCAGAGTGATCGACTGCAACCTCGGCTGCGATGATGTCGAAGGCCTTGGCGCAGAGATTGCCAGAGGAGGCAGGCTTGGGAGCAGCCTTAGGAGCCTTGGGTGCTTTGACGGGCTTCTTCGCCTTCTGCTTGGGGGCAGCCTTGGAGGCCGAGGCGGGAATCTCAACCTTGACTGGGGAGGTAGCCGCCGCTTTGGCAGGCGCTGCACCAGTAGCCTTGCCGGCTGCTTTGGGCTTCGGCATCATGACATCCATGAGCTTCCGGGGAATGCACTGGAAGCGAACGCCACCGGCCACGCCGACCACCTCTCGTTGGGCGTTGAATACGTAGACATCACCCTGGCGCATCTTGCTGCCAGCCATAGGCTGCATCTTGACGTAGCCAGTGTATGTCTCGCCAAACTTGAGAGGCTCGAGGAACCTCAGGCTTCGCCAGCCATGAGAGATGTAGCACTCATCCTGAGGATTGACAGTGGCGTTGACAATGAAGCCAGAAAGATGGCAAGCGCTGTCGATGAAGTAAGGGCTGAAATGGAAATTGCCAAGCTCAGGACCAGCACGCAGCTTGATGTTACTGGTGGCCTCGAATTCGGGGCCGTCGAAGGTGACGCTCTGCATTCCCTGGAACGGGTCGGAGTAGTCGACCAAGGCAGTGAAAAGCTTGTAAGCCATGGACCGGCTGACCTTGTCAGCCTCGCCATTCTCCATCTTGTGCTTGAGGAGATCGATGCGAGACTGGATCAGGTACGCAGTCCGGCTCCACTCCTCCTTCCAGGCCTCAGGGTCCTCAAAGGTGATTACTGACTCGGCATGAGTCACGTCCTTCTTGCCGTTGTTGCTCGTGACGGTGAAGACGGCTTGCTTCTTCTTGAGATCCATCTTGAGGGTAGAGCGCATGATCTGCGTCTGTGGCTCATTGATGTTCTTCAACAGCAGAGGGTTGTTGTTCTCCATGCCACCAATGTTGATGGCCACCTTCTCGCCTGGCTTGACCAGCTTGTATGCGTAATCGCACAGAGTGTATGCAATGTCAGCATACAAAGTCGAGGGGCAAAGGCCTGAACCATTGACAAGATGACCGGCGATGACAGGGAAGAGCTTCGGGTCGCCCATGTCAGACTCAGCGACGAGAGTCACATTGTTGCCGTTGACCTCCTCGGACACAATACCCTGAACGGCAGTAGAGAGGTATTTCCTGGGCTTGGTAGGGGCAGCAGGGGCAGCGGCTGGAGCAGGAGCAATAGCCTTGGGGTAATCGCCCTTATACAAGAGCCAGTCGCCAGTGTATTGCAGCCAGTAGTTCTTGAAATCGAACCCGTAGGTGGGGATGTTCAGCACACGGAGGCTGTCATTCTCCTTGTGGAATGCATCCCAGTTGATGGCCTTGCCGGCGATGTAGAGACTGGCAATGGAGTTCGAGATGATCTTCCAGGGGTCCTCATCGCGACGCATGGTGGGCAGCGCCGAAGCAGACAAGCATGACTTGACCATGCTGGAGCAAAGCGGGTGAGCACCAACCTCGAGCCAGATTGAAGAGTCGCTGATGGTAGACGTGGCCATGCCGGCAGAAAGACCGCCGACAAAGTCGACAGTCTTCCGGCAGTGGCGGCTGAGGTAGAAGGCATCAAAGACACCGCCAACGCTGACAACGTCGCTCAGGAGAGGAGAGATAACTGGGACGCGAGGAGCCTGGAAAGTGATGGCGCTTGCAACCTTCTCGAAATCTGCCAGGATGGGGTCGACTTGCGAGGAGTGGAAGGCGAAGGGCAGCTTGAGCTTGGTACACTTCTGACCGGCATCAGCCAGCTTCTGGGCAACGGCATCGATATCAGCCATGGTGCCAGAAAGCACAGTGTCCGAGACACCGTTGATGCAGGCAATCTCGATCTTGCCTTGGCTGTTTGCAACAACGTCTTGCAGGCCAGCAACAGGCGAGCGCACAGCGAGCATGGCATGGGTGCCAGCGGTGCACTTTTCCTCGAGCAGAGCAGCACGCTTGCCAACCAAGTAGATGGTGTCAGCAACGGACAAAACGCCAGCAGCTTGGAGAGCAGCATATTCGCCCAGAGAGTGGCCAATGACAACACTGGGAGTAATGCCCCAGGTTGACCAGAGACGGGTCAGAGCCATCTGAATGCAGCACATGCCAAGCTGAACAACAGTGGGAGGCAGGTTCTGCACCTCAACGGAGCCATCAATCAGGGGCATTATTGAGGGAAGACCCTGGCGAAGTGCAATCTCGTTGAACTCTTCGATATCACCGCGGAACTGAGAGGACGTCTCAAACATCCGCTTGCCCATGGCAGTGTACTGAGAACCTTGGCCAGTGAAAGCCATGGCGACCTGAGGGGTGGCTAGCGGAGTGGGAGCGTGGTTCTGTTCTTGTGCAGTCTTCAGGGCAGTAGCAAGCTGAGCCATCGAGTTGACAGGCAGTGCTACGCGGTAGGTGTAATGGTTGCGGCGCGCAGTGGTGGTGTAAGCCAGATCTGGCAAACCAGCACTGGGATTCGCGCCAACCCACTTCTCCAGATTGGCCAGAGTCTTCTTGAAGGCACCGAGAGACTTGGCCGAGACTGTGACGACCTGAGTACCTCGAGGATCAGCAGTGGGGGTCGATGGGACCTCGGGGCCATCTTCCAGAAGCATAGCAGTGTTGCCACCAGCAGCACTGAAGTTGTTGATGAACATAACACGCTTGCCACCAGCAGGCCGAGGGAGAGGGGTAGGCTTGAACGCGATGTTAACATTGCGTTCCTTCAGATCAGGTGCGAAGTTCTTGTTGATTTCCGTCTTGATGCCAGTATGGGGAGGTATTTGGCTCTTTTGAAGCATGAGAAGCACCTTGATCAAGGCACAAACACCAGAGACGGCTTCACCGTGGCCGATGTTGGACTTGACAGCGCCCACGTACAGAGGCTGATCAGGACGGCGCTTGTTCTGTCGAGGAGCGAAGACAGATGACACAGACTCCATCTCAATGCCGTCACCAGCCTGAGTGCCGGTGCCGTGCATTTCAACGTAGTTGACATCGTTGCAGGGAACATTGCATTCCTTGAGGACCTTGTCGAACAAGAATGACTGGTTCTCGGCGCACGGGTGCGTGATTGAAACAGCCTCTGCAGAGTGGTTGGTACCAATACCGCGAATGACACCCAGAATTGGGTCGCGATCGGCGACAGCATCGTCGAGACGCTTGAAGATGGCGCTACAAACACCATCGCCACGGCAGTAGCCATCAGCGTCGTTGTCCCAGGTCTTGCAAGATCCGGTTCGGCTCAAAAAGTGACCTCTGCTAAGACCTGAGAAAATGTCCGAGTTGGTGAGGACATTAGCACCGCCAGTGAAAGCGGTGTCGCACTCGCCAGCGCGGAGTGAGGTGATGGCAACGTTCATGGCCGCGAAACTGGAAGAACAGGCAGTATCAACGGAGAAGGACGGGCCACTGAACTTGAAGAAGTAGTTCAGGCGACCCGGTCCGAATGCTCTGACACCACCGGAAATGAAGTATGTGTCAATATCCTGCGCCGCGTTGACCTCACGCCAATCGTCGGAGGTCTGACCATAGAAGGTACCAATTCTGTCGTGCTTGGTGGAGGGGGTTCTGCCAGGAACAATGCCGGCCATTTCCATGGCTTCGTATCCCGTGGAGAGCATCAGACGTTGCATGGGATCGGTCTGAGCAGCCTCACGAGGCGACATGTTGAAGAAGCGAGCATCAAAGAGTCCGGGATTCTCAATGAAGTTGCCGAACGGTGTATGAGAGGTGTTCTTCTTCTTGGATGTAGGATCGGTGTGAGAATCGACCGGGAATCTGTCGGGAGGGACGGGCCTGTGGACATCGAGGCCCTTGACCATCAGGTCCCAGAAAGCCTCGTGGTCTGCAGCATCTGGGAAGCGCCCAGCAAAGCCAACAATAGCAATGTCGGCCTCCTTGCGGGACTTCTGCGTGCCTGCAGCGGGAACAGTCGCCCAGGTTGATTGGTCCTCCAATGACACCTTCTTAGTGGACGCCTTGAGCGCCGAGACTACACTGCTGGCAAGGTTGGTGGGGCCAACAGCGAAGACCTTAGCCTCCTCGCCCTTTCCAGAAGCGGTATACTTGAGAACTCGGTCCCATCTCAGGGGCTCAATGACGATTTCTCGAAGAGCCTCCTCCAGCAGCTCATAGCCGGTCTTTGCGGAGATGGGCTTGCCAGACACGCTGGAGCAGACAGCGAACTTTGGTGTCGACGATCCAAATACCTCTTTCGTCTGCGGGCGCAGAATCTTTTGGATATCGGACTGAGAAACCAGGTGTGCGGCGTGGTAAGGAGCATACACGGAGACTGGGGCGTTCTTGTGTGAACGGAAGAATTCGACCTTCTCGAAGGCAGTTTGCTTGGTCGCCGGAGGACCAGATACGGTGACGGAGGTGGCAGAAGAGGCACTGATCCATAGCTTGTTTGATGGTGCGGTCTTGTGCTCAGCGTGGAAAGCATCGAGAGCAGACTGAGCAGATTTCTCGTCTGCAGCCACGATGGTAGACCATGATGGAGTCTTGCCCTCGCCCTGGATCTGCAGGGCTATTCTCCCAACGTGGGCACCAGCTCGAAAGGCGATTCGGACGGACTCGACGGCCAGCGGAATCAGGGCTGTGAGGGAATCGACTGAGGCCACGGCAGAGGCGGCAATAAGACCGGTACATAGACCGACTATTCTCGAGTCGACATTAGGAGAAATATATGATGTAGAACGCTCTTCAAATGCACTACGGAATGTTAGCTTGGAGAAGGCCAGCCCATCTGACTGTCACATACCCAATAAAATGGCAAAACTGCGACAAGCAAACCAAAGCACTCTCTATGGCGGGATCCTTGAGGTCGCCGCGGTAGTAACGATCGACTAGTTCCTGAACTGTGGTGAAACTGGGGACGGCTTTCGAAGGATGTGTCCTGTTCTTGTTTTCTATTCTGATGGCTTCACCGGCTCTCTCGAGGAAGGACTGTAATAGGACATTGTCCTTCCGGGGAAAGACTTTGGTGAAGAACGCCCGGCAATCAGCCGTCTGATCACCGAAGACGTAGACTTCCTCCATTGTGACGGGGTGGGCGAAAGATCAACGAGCTCCAGGTGAGCGTGCTTGGGCAAGAAGAGAAGGGGGGACGGGTAATTCAGGTATCATATAATGGGCGGATGGGACAGACTCGAATTCAAAATAGTATCTGGGACCCAGAGAAAGGAGCAGGGACAGCCCTGGTGGGTCAAGCGGCCGCTTCAGATCTGCATTGGAAATGAAGGCCTGGCGTATGTCCAAATCTGGAGAGGCTTTGTCCATGGCTCCATGGCGTTGATGTTGCGGGCATGAGGGAGACCCACAGCTAATCGCCATCTGCTACGAGGCCGCAGTGGGTTTCGGGGCCCGAATAAGAAATGGAAGAAAGGACGATCTTGTACGGGGCAGCGTATGGTTCGTACGGAAAGACCGTTGCCCTACGGACAGACCGCCAGCAACCAACGCATTCTGGGAGTAGCCTTGGCCGTGTTAGCCGCAGAGGCTCGGTATCGATGGTAAATTGAGGCTGGGTTGAGGCCGCTAACGATACGAGGCAAGCTGGAATATCAGGGGGGCACTAATCCTTTCGCGAAGTAGCGCGACATGAAGTCCGGACGGCATTGGCCCCCCTGCCACCGCACCCTTCGATACAAATCTCTCTGTAGCCGTCGGCACAGCGTCTAAGCTGAGACAACAGTTCAAGGAGGTCGCCTTGTACGGCCTGTGCCTCGCAACCGGTGTTGCTCATAGACTGCCTAATGCTATGATGCCATTTCGCCGGCGGCGTATGGTTGGCGCAGCTTCTGCAGGCCAATGATACGTCACACAGCACGGTGGCTTACCGTTCTGCAAGTTGAGGTCAACTACATGGCTGAAGAAGATTCAAGCCACCGAAACCGAAACCTCCGGTACCGCTGCAGGCGGAGTTGTAAAGACAGTATGGGAGGCGAGCAATCTAGACCCACAAGGGCTTGACTCCAGCTTCGGCAAGGAGAGTTTGGTCGTGTGAGAGTCAAGTCGTAATAGACGTCAAGCGGGACTCCGCCTTGTTTCGTGCAACATTCCTGATCCTCCTGTACGTGATATGGCATGGGCGTCTATCCACTGTGATTCTTCCGCTCTTGCATCAAGCAAAGTCCGTGGAAAGGCGGCCGCTCTGCGTGGGCAGCCAGAAACTGGTGCTGCTCGCTCGGACACGCGGGTAAGGATGGTCTTGACCGGGATGCACGATACCCAACTGTTGCAGCAGCTCCAAGGCAATTTCACGACCGCCGTGGCAATTGGCGGAGTTCAAGGCAAATCGGCTTGAAGAGGGGAGCGCAAGCGAAAAGGGGGATTCGCCAAGAGTCCAACCTCCTCCGACTAGTGCCCGCACTAAGCCTCATGGGGCCTAATGCGGTGGCTTCTAAATTTACCTCGAACGTAGCGTCTTCACTTCCACCACACCTCTTCTCCAAGCCATCGTACAGCCTTCCACAGCCTCGAGCTTATCGGACGACACATGCCTGCGCTGCTCGTGCCATCAAATGTGACATGGTCGTAGGAACTAGAGCTTCACAACGGTCACGGCTGCTCAATCGCGGTCGACTATAACCCACCCAACGACTCCGGATATAGCTGTCGCGGGGTATCATGGTTAGTTACCTTTGGAAATGCTGCTGTCAGAAATGCGAGTTTGTGGTTGTGCCGGACAACAGCGCATCATTTACTCACATGAAGCATGAGAGTCTAGATCCACCGCTGTTATCACTTTACAGAGTCTCCCAATGCGATTTAGCATGATTTCTTGGAGCTTTTGTCCGCGCGGATAGCTGAAATTGCCGGAGTTCTCACTGATATCACCTTGCGGCATCATCTGCCATTCGCGAACAAGCATTACAAACATACGGAGTCCCAGACCCAAAACATGACGCCGTAGCGTGCAGAAGGGTCCTCTTGCCCAAGCGTTTTGCCGAACAACTCAGGGGTGCATCCGGTGGGAGCTTGACTCCATGAGGCACAATCGATATGGCAAGGCTGAAAATTTCCGGAGACTTTCCGCGGGATGGACCATATTCTGTGACAGGGGCGGCAGCGGAGCGAAAACCCGCTCCTGGCAGCTATCCTCGAGGCAAAGTCGAGCTAGGCTAGAGTAACGATCCTCCCGGACAGAATCGGGCAATTGGTTTTGCTTTGCACTGATAGAGGCGGACGGCTCAGTGGCATCGGCTAAGTACATCCAATCTGTTCTTGACTGAGAACCCGCACGAGCTCTACCCTACGAAACGATCCGCTTATCAAGCGAGAGCCGTGTCAAGTCTTTACAGCGTGTCAGTCGCGCCCAGCCAGCGCCCAAGACTCTCGCCTGTTCGGAGTCGAGGGGGTAGTGCGGAATTCCATTGTCATAGATTGGCTCTGGGTCTTTCCGTCACGACTTGACTTATCCGCATTAACCCACCAGCTAGCCACTCAAGCGATCTTCAACCCTGATTACCGAAAGTGCACCAAGCAGGTGGTGTGATATCGGTTTGAACACACCACGTGCAAGCTTTTGGTGGAAGAACGGCTTTGACTCCCTCGGCAGCATTCTCAAGGCTCACTTGGCAACCCCATTCCTCACGTTCCAATCACACGGCGCTGACTAACAACATTAAGGAGTGTTCAAGGCGGACAAGTGTTCGTTACCATAGCCCACACGGACTTCACGAGCTGCCAGAAGCGAAGCACACACTAATACGAGCAGCCCGGTTCCCCTTCGTACCCCCCGCCAAGTCTCGACAGCAAGCATGCAGTGGCTTGGGCACCGAGCCACAACAAAGTCCCACTGCCCGCAAGCTGTACGGGTACCCCTGCCACCCTTGCTTGAAAAATTGCCTTACCGCCTCGTCTTAGCCACAACGCCTTTGCCCTATCTATATATAGGCTGCGGCTGAGAGGGATGCCTCCACATCTATACCCTATTCACCACTGCAGTCCGAGGTTTCGCGTATACCAGTCCATCACGGGTGGCCTGAAACAAAAATTGTATGAAACAAACCGTTCGGTTCATGTGTGGACTGGCCGAATGGGTCGAGGGCATCACCCTTGTCCTAGCGCAAGCTATGTCTGGCCGATGCCAGTGAGACGGAGTGTGCGGGCCTATCCTCAGCTCTCCTGAACGCTTTCTGCAGTCCCTACTACTATGGCCCAGGTAGAGTGCTATATGCAGTTGATTGGTCCTGCCACAGCACGCACCACGGTTGTGATGTGGGACAAGGCACTACTGTCGAGATAACGCACGAAAGTCGTCCAACAGCTCCCCGCGTCCAATGCCAGCTAAAGAACAGAGGTAAGCGTGAAAGACTGTTCATCCACGGTCTTGAAAGTCTCATGAAGGACTTTGTCGTGTCATGCATTCGCCAGACTAATCTGTGCGTCGGAGCAAAAAGAATCGAACGCTATTGACCTATTCGAACAGCCTCCCCGTCCGACCTCGAAATGGCTTGTCTACATCTGCGCAACAGCTCTGCTACTCTTCCAAAGCCTTGCACATCAAGTTATATAATCACCAGTCCGCCTCTAGCGGATGGACTTTCTCTCACTTCGAAGAATCGAGACCACACGTAGCACTAGCTTCATATATCTGGACATTTAGGAGGCGTTCAGCCCGAAACAGCCACAGTGCGAGCGATTTTACACGTCTCAAGTGAAACTACGTACCTGAGCAGATTATAGGATCATGTTTGAGGGCAGCGTTCAAGGATGGGTCGGAGACTTCCTAGGCGAGAGGTCCAGATCTGACTGATCGTTTCTGTCCTTAAAAACGGCAAGCCTGCCTGACAGCACTGGCTGAGTTGCTCGCATGATCTGTCCAGACACAGTCTCAGGCTTATAACTTAAACTCGGCCGCTTTGAACGTCAAGATCTGTTCGTGCAGACGCAGATGATGGGGCAAGGCTTCGAGAGGGCTGTGACAACTTCCCACGCGGCTTGCAGACATAGTTGCCTGCAAGGTCTAAAGAACACTCTGGGAAGCACTGTAGGCAGCCTCTTACCGGCACTGCTGATCAAGTACAGATCTTCATTCTTGGAGACACCATAGACCTTACCTTAGCTTGCAGAAGAATATCTGGCTGCAGACTATGCAAGATTTCAAACTTAGCCAGGGTCTGATTGATAGGTTGTTCGATTAGCAGTTTGGTGGTACCTGGTAATTCCGGTGACCGACGGGAAGGTCGTCAATCTCAACGTCGACCCAGTAATGATGAGTCATCCATCTGCGCCACTATGCACGAAATCCAAGATGTTGCTGTGCCACTCTTCGGGTGCCGGCTATCCAGAACAAGGCGACGGGCCCCGCAAGCATGCACGGATTAGGGGCAGAGCTTGCTATTTCGGGCTGAGAGTGCGAAGCCGAGGAGCTCGACAACCAATGGCCATACACACCCATGTACTCTCCAATTGGGGCGCGGTGTGTGAGCTCTGCCGTCTGCCCTGCCCTTCCCCTGCCCCTGGAAAGTTATGTCCCTGGTTGGTGCTCTCTGGGAACTTCGGTGTGCGGTTTGAAAGTGGCACAGACCGCGGTGCCCTACCACCGGACAACTGTCAGGCAACGCAGCTGGGGGCATGATTGGTTTTGAAGGCCTTCACTCCGCCTTCATGCTGGCCAGATCTGCGATCAGCGGGATCGCTCATCGCAAAATCTTGTTTATTGCAGAAGTTTCTATATTCTCAAGGCCCCATCGATCATGTAACGTGCCCCAAAGTCGTCTAGGCGGATGTGCCTGCGGTGCCCTTGATGGCCTTCGAGCAGCGGTCAGGGCTCACGGAGACCTGCAGGTGTCTGAGCCATGTGTAGTTTATAAATTGCATCTTGGTCTAAAATACGAGAACCAACCAACGACCATACCTAGGGGGCCGCGGTCAAAGGGTGCTGCCTAACACGTCCTCTTTTGGGTCAGTTCAAACACCGCCTTCACACTGTGTGCCGGGGTCTATATCCGGTTTCTCGTCACGATTCATTTACCGTACAGCTTGCTTTATCCCCAGTCCTCGCCCCCTCTTTCCTTTTTTCCTCTGCATCCCATTACAAGACAACACATACCTTTTATCTTCAACCCTTCCATCCATCCCTCACGTGGTGAACAATTCCAAAGGTTGCCCAGGCGTGGGTATGCGCTAAATTGCGGACCCAGGCCAGCGCAATCTCCCTAGCCCCTCCACCAGGACCTCCAAGAAGTTCACTATGCCCAATAAGCTTCAGAAGCGTGCATCCCCTTGGTACGATGGGAATAGCCTCGCTACCACCCTCGACGGCGGCCCTCGTTATGAATCCCTTCCTCAGGGCACGAGACAGCCCATTCCGATAGCTCCCACCCGAGACCAGGCCGTAGTGTCAGGTGCTTTGTACAGCAATAACCCCTACGCCCCGAGCTCGGTCGCTTCCACCTTCTCACCTGTGTCACCGCTTCAGCCTCCGGTGCCTCTCGTTATGGCGTCAATATCAGATTCGCAGAGGCCCACAAGCTCGCGCAGCTCAGTCGACGTCCGACGGCTTGATGGCACGCCGTACTCAGCGGGCGAGAAACAGATCCGAGTCGCGAAAGATATGCACGCAGGTGCTCTACCCCCCGCCTACAATCCGTCTACCGCAGATCTCCCGCAACAACCTTCTGCCGACCAGAGCCATGGATGCTCCAAACCGAACTGTACAAAGTGTGGCAAACGCAAGACTCTGCTCGAACAGGCACAACCTAACGCCTCACGCGCCGTCCCACACTACTCACGTCCCATCTCCCAGGGCTCAACCATTGCAGGCCCGTCTACAGTTCCTGCAGGACAACCTTTGAAGAAATGTCACAAGTGCGGAAAGCACAAAAAGCCTCTCATGGTTCCGCTGCCTCCTCAACCGGTGTTCAGCACACAGAACCGTTTCTCGTCCCAATCTACGATCGTGCCCCAGCCTACGCGGCCGCAACAGCCTTCCCTGTCAATTCTTGCTGGCGACAACCTTCCGCAGCCGTCTGTGCCGCAACTTGATGTGATTCCTCCCAGCGCATCGACGTATCGTCCCGTCAACTCAGCCCTGAGCAACTACACCGATTCAGAACCTCTCGTCAAGCAAGAACAACGACAAGGCTACCAGGCTTTCCGGCCAACGTCCCTGATCCGCTCGCTCTCCCGCCGCAGTAGCAACAAATCCAGATCTGGGCCACCCACACCTGGCTCCGACTCTGCCGAACAAACTTCTGGTGGCTTCATGGGCATGATACGCAATCACAGCTCAAAAGATTACCGCAAGCTCACCGCGGAAGAGCCGCTTTCGCGACCCCATAGCCCGGCTTTCTCCTTCATGGAAGCCGCCAATGATGACGCTTTTGAGTTGCGACCCATGACCGGCGTCAACAAGGATTTGGGTAGCCCGACATCTGACGGCACCCGTTCACCGCCCGTTCAGTCACCCAACGAGTCTCTGAGCCGCCCTAGCCACAACCGATCGACATCGATTCAACCTGAGGGCGACTTAATGCTCGCGATCCCGGAACAGGGCGGTGACAACCGGCCGCAACTGACCCGCTTCAAGAGTTTGAGGAGCGGTGTATCGAGAGCGGCCAGCACCGTCAGCCGGTCTGGTAGTTTGAAGAGATTGGGTAGTATTCATCAGGCATTCTACAGAGACGACTTGTCGCTTGATGCGCACAACGATGGTGAACGAGGAACTGTCGCGGCGTTTTGATGTCGAACCTTCTGTTATGTTCTGCGATTTCGATGATATGTAGCAAGCGTTATAATGACTGGCACCAGAAATGCAATTCTTTCGACCTCACTCCGAGGACTTTTATTCTGCAAGCATTGCTAAGATCCGTACTTTGCAGCCTGCAGCCATCAAACATTAATCGAGGAGTATGGGATCCATAGTTGTTGCGTGCATGCCAATACCTACCTAATATCGTGGTTTGCCTTGTCAGGCCGCACGAGGCGGCGGAACAAGATGATGTCAACTAGTCCACGCATGGATCCGCGGTGCAACTTCTCAACCCCAGCACGGTAAGCTGCATGAGTACTCCGTGGCTCTTTCACAGCATACGTTTCAAGATTTACTGACTCGAAAGTACCCGATAGTATTCACGTTTCCATAGCTGCAGCGCACCAGTACATCCCAACCCGGCTCGCATCCCGCCATTGTCGGCGGAGCTCAAGCAACACCACGAACCCGCCACTACCAAGTCAATCTGGCAGCATTCGCCCTCCTCCATAACCTTCGGCGCCTTGAAGCTCAGCGCCTTGCCGAAGCAAACATGAGCGAACTGCAATTCGCCAAACAGTTCCTCACCAGTCTTGACGCCAAAGCCGTCAAATTCCAACCCGACCATGCCTTTGATCCCAAGACATTTGCGACGAGGATACCCGTATGACTTTCACCTACTCCTCATATACCACTACAATCCAGCTAACAGCATCTACAGTACACACTCCCCAAACTCTCGCACCCTCCACACCCTGAGCCCCCAAAGTCCGGTGCTACCCTCGATCCCGCCCCAGGGTCAGAGCCCGCACCCAGCAGCGCACCACCAATCACCCTCACGCTAAAGTCCAACCGCAATCCCAACATGTCCTTAACGCTCACGTCCCTTCCCATCTCCACCCCCGTCGCTTCCGTCAAAGAGCGCATCCAGTCCCACCTCGGCGGACCTCCCGCCGTTTCCCTAGAGAAGATCAAGATCATCCTCAACAAAAAACCCATCCCCTCGAGCAAGAAGACGCTTGCGGACGCTTTCGCCGACACCGACGTCGCAGATACGACCGATGTGGCACTGAGCGTCATGGTCATGGGCGGCGCGGTCGACCCAGCCGTCACTACACATACCGAAGCATGGGCTGAAGATGTAGACCAAACGGTCGGGCCCGAGAGCGAAAAAGCCGCCGCAGAGGCTTTAGCGGCTGATGCTGGAGGCATGGAGGGCGTCATGCCGACAACGACATCGTCAACTGCCGACGATGAGTTGGCGAAGCCAGAGTTCTGGAGTGATCTGGAGGCGTTCCTGGGCCAGCGATTGAAGGACGAATCGAGAGCGAAGCAGCTGCGAGGCACGTTTGAGAGTGCGTGGTCGAGTTCGCGCGCGGCGCCCTAGCCTGGACATGTCGCTTTGCAGGGCATGGGCATGAGCATGGGAGCAGATGATGATATGGACACGGCAGGTCGCTGGAGAGCGGGAAAGCGGGACGTGAGCTTGTCGGACAGGGTGTACGGCAGGCTGATGCGCATGGCGCTTTGATGATGGCCCAGACAGACTGGGCCTTCCTCGGGAAGTTTTCGAATGAGCATCGAGATCTCGCTTCCCGCCGTATTGCCTCACATGGCGTGCCGTACAGCGTCGGATCTCTTCATTGAAGACCACGACGAGCTTCTGGCCCGGCTGATGTCCTTTCTGCTTCAGGAAGCAAGCGCTCAATTTACCAGCCTCATCAATAGCATGTACAAATGTTCAGAGGGGGTAGACTACTTCTATCAACAAGCTGGGTTTCTATACCCGTCAAACTTACACCCAGCCTGCGCTGTATACAAACCACTCCACGCAGCCAGCCAGTATTTATATTCCGTTCCGTCGGCTGCAAAGAATCCATTGCCACCAGGCACCAGCTGTCACCGGTCGCGCAGTATGATACCAGAACCAGTCTTCTCTACAGCCCGTCGCAACGCACGAACATCGTGCCAGCGCCGTGTCCCCAGCAATTCAACATTCGACGGTGCCAAGCCATCATACCCGCAACGGCACGAGACGAGGCAACGAGGCAACCCACGAAATAAGCACCCGCAGCTCAATCAGATGCTAAACGTACGGCAGAGTAGTGGGAAGAAAGAAGAAGAGTATTTATTCCAAGATTATTTTTGCGTCGCCTAAGCCGTGTGAAGTTCTCTGAACCGAATCCCACCGCCACACCACCATCGTTGTGACCATCATCGTCTTACCACCGTCCGCTACGCTCCCAGGAGAAAAAAAAGGCGTCTGAGAGCCATGTCGCATCGGTGATGAGCTCGACAGCTTCTGTGTCACGCCTCTTGGTACTGTTGCCAGACTTCTTCGATTCACACCTGCTGCAATCCCACCCGCTCTTTTATGATGACCACGTCATGCCATGTCCATAATACACAGTATTTGTTCACCCACGTCCCAACAACCATGCATGACTCATTGCTCGCTAATGCCCTGGGCCGACTGCCAACCTCCACACCTGCCACATTGGCGAATATGCGGCGCGAATCCCAATATATCTCCTATTCGACAGCGCTCAACGTCGCTCGCCCTGACGCCAGCTGTGTAATCTTCGTTTCGACTTCAGCGCCGCCTTTGCCTTCAGCTGGGGCGGTCTCGCCCAGAGATCGTCGCCCTGCTGCTCGTCGACTGAATCGTGTAATTGCACCTGGGACATGCTGACGCTTTCTTTCTCGAGCGCCGGCTGGTGCACCAGACCGTCCACGTCATCCATTACCGACAGCCAAGGGCTGTAATAAGCCACACGCGAATTAGGTTTCCCAGAGGCCTCCTGTTCTTGTCGTGGTGGATGATGGACACGAGCGACTGTCAAAGCCGACGATGCGCGCCTCTGTGACGGCGACGCCCTGGGTGTGTCCGGCCTTGCTGGCACATCGCAGCGGCTGCCATCTTCAGCTTGATCGTACTACGATCTCGAGAACACCTTGACAGCCCCATCTCCGCCACAGCTAATGACCCATCTCCCGTCGGGACTCCACACGACGCTGCACACGCCCTCACCACGCATTATGCGATGGCTTTGGATTTCCTGCGTGCAGCTGCGCTTCTCAAGATTCCAGAAGCGGAGACTGGCGTCGTGGCCACCAGACACGAGTTCACGACCATCCGGAGACATGGAGAGAGACGAAATGGCGGCTGGATGGGCGAGCATAGTGTAAGTGCATTGACCTGTGGGTGCCATTAGTGGATGTCCGAAGTGTGAACGGGAGAGCAACGTACCGCTATTAGCGTCAAAGAATCGGATGAACTTGTCCTCGTAACCTGCAATGACCACACCTTCGACGCCGCCTTCGCTGCCAGTGGCACCATGAACGACATCGTCCTCACCGATGCTGCCTCTCCGCCCGGGAGAAACAGAGGCTGTAGTATCAAAGCCTGTAGAGGTCGCACAGACAACGTTGATGCCGGTGTCTGGCGTGCCGTCGTAAGTCTCCTGGCTGGCCATACCAACGACTTCTTCGCCACTGCGAGTATCGAAAACTAGCACGGAAGCATCAGCGTAGCTGACGACGAAGTTCTCTCCATTTGGCGACAAAGGTGATATCGAGGTTGGCGACGAGCTATTTGGTCGCTCTATACGGTGCACGAGAGTATAGTTGAAGGAGGTGTGACTGGCAACGCTTGGTTGTGGTGAGCTGGGGAAATTGGAGCCAGCAGAGACCGAGTTGGCACGTCTGCTACCACGAGTCCCACGATTAGAGCCAGCGTGGGGAGACGAGAGCTGGGGAGGCTGGCTGACTGCCCAGATGAGGATAGTGCCGTCCGCACCACCGGCTGCAAGCAGAACACGATCAGGTCCGCCGAAGGACGAGCAGCGCTCGCCGAAGATAGTACCGGCTGTGCCAGGGAGAACACAGAGCGCCCAGACAGCATCACGGTGGCCCTCGAGGGTAGCTTTAGAGTCGACTCGGCCGCGTTCCCAAACTCGCACAGTGGTGTCTTCGCCGCCTGAGAAGATCCATCCGTCACCTATCGCCCGACCTCCGTTGGAGAAGTTAGGTGAAGCTGGACATGCGGCAAGGGATGTAACGGCTCCAACATGTCCTCGATGGGTGAAATGAGCTATTCGATCCAGATCTTCGCCCATTGCGACACTTGTGTGAGCGTACGAGGCTGGAATATGCCACCGCTTCACGCCCCCGTCATCGCTTCCTGTGCAAAATTCTGGCTCCGAAGGACTGCCGCCGCCGGTGAAAATGACGGTCCGGACAACGTCGAGGTGACCTCGCATGGCAAAGCGAACCTTGAACTGTGTGTTGTCTGTTTTTGGATTTGAAGCGAGATCGCGGATATCGTTCTCACTCCGCCTTCTCGCACCGGAACTTTTCCGTCTGGAACCAGGCGGTCCGCGCGGCGGCGATTTGGATGATAGCTGGTTGGCGCTAGGGAAGATCTCCATATCTGGTCGGTGAGGTGGCGGAGGGTCGTGTGGGATATCCTGTTGTGGTGGGCTGTCATCGAAATCCCATCCATCGGTGATATCAACTTTGGTCTCGCTGATATCCCTTGGAGACTGATTTTCGTCGGTCTGCTGCACTTGTCTACCATAGGCATCGTAGCTATGAGAAACCGACTCCACCTGTTCATCTGGTGGCGGCTGGTCATAGTACATCGGCTTCTGTAAGTCAGAAGGATTCATGGATTGCGGCGACCGGTCCTGGGATTTCCTTTCCTGTTCGCGAATCGCAAGCTGGGAGTGGTTGATCTGGGTGTTCGTTCGTTGTAGCGGAGCTGGATCATCCTGGGACAGCTGGTGCTGCTGATTTGAGGGTACGGCATTCTCTCGTACCATGGCATGATCTCTTCCATACCGCTCCTGATTCTGCTTTTTCACCTGGATGTACGCATCTTGCAGTTCTTGTTGCGTGGGCTGTCCATACTGAGTTATGTTGTTTGGCGGTAGGGGGTCTGATACGTCTGGTGGGATGTGTGACGCTGGAAGAACATGGTATGAGACCTCGGAGGTACACTTGACAAGGTAGCCCTTTGACTTGTCGCGCTCCTTTTCTTGTCGGATGCCCTGCAAGAGGTGATCATCCGCGTCGATCTCACTGTCAAAAGTGCTGATGCCTCTGACATGGAATTCTGTATGTGTGAGACCTTGACCATAGCAGAGACGTTCAACTTACCCTTGCCGGCAGCTTTGAGCTCTTCTCTAGCTACATCTCGTACATCCTTCTGGACGTCAACCGGCTCGCCATTATTCAGGGCTTTGACCTTCTCCCGCTCTTTCTTCAAGGCAATTTCGAGGATTTTGACGTGTTTCTCGAGGGAGACACGAACGCCCCGACTGGTTCTTGTATCACCCTCAAGGTGGGCTATCCGTTTCTTCATCTCCTCGCGTTCAATTTCCCAGCCGTTGCGGTCTCGCTCATGTCGGTGCCATTCTGTTTGGAGGAATCGCATAACACCTAGTATAATGTCAGTTTCACTCATGCACTATTCACCTGCCAACCTACCTTGCAGCGTGTATGCTTGAACACCACTAGACTCTTGCCCGGACATCGCATTCCCTCCACCAGCACCGGCCCCTGACTGCCACGCCATGGTGCGCTTCCTTGCGCCAGTAATTCGTGGTTTTTCGTATGATCATCTATCCATAGTAGGAGACAAGCGAGCTCAGAAAGACAGTGGGCACCGGTGTTGACCCTGGAGTTCGGGCCGATCACAGATGGGATGTGCGCTTTGCTCAGCAGGGAACTTTGCTCGGGGATGCACGCTGTCGAAATGAATGCAGCGGAAACAGTCCTCAATTGGCCAGAAGACCACCGAGATGAAACTCGTGAATAAGAATCGAAAAGGTGTCAATGTTGAATGCGAGTCGCGAGGTTGCTGGCTGGCAACCAACAAGTTGCAGTCGGAGATTCGCTTAGCGCGCAGGCCGCTTGGAGCTGTCGCTCTTGCGGCGCGGGCGGGCGCTTCCACCTGCAGTCTGCAGCTTTTTACCGCAGGCGGTTACCCGGCCTCCAATTCGCGTTCTAGCACGAGCTACCTAGTACTACGGCCACCATGTTCAAAATGCTTTCACGACACCATATGTAATACAAAGATGTAATTTCGACAATTTTGTGCCGATGCTGGGGTATCATTTCTACTCTGTGGTTTGCAGATCATCGTCAAGTTCTGAGCACTGCTGACACTCCTCCGGCAAGCCCTCTACAGCTCCAACTCTTCGACTTCGAGTCCGCATGATGTACATGTCTTGATCGGCACGCCTGTCTCTGGGTTGTCCACTGGTCTCCCAAAATCGTGAACATGTCTGCCATCCCCAAGATCTTCGCCGAAGTTTGCAGAGTGTTGGCCCTTCATGCTGCGCTTGTGGGACTCGTATTTCGTCCGCTTCTTCAACTCTGCCAGCTTGTTCTTGAATTTGGTTTCTTTCCGCCGCTTCGTTTCAGCAGTTCGCCGCTCGAATTCAGCGTCCAACGCTTCGGCTGATCCCCACCGCTTATCTGAGAAAGCATAGTCTTCGATCTGGCATCGCAAATACAAAAACATATTGTGCCATGTGGCTTTGTGTGGGTTCGGCCGTTCTAGGTGTGGCAACAAGGCCTCGTCTTTCAGCTCGGGATCCGTTAAGAGATAGTCTTCTTTGGCCTCGGTCTTGGTGAGTAGACTGTACTTTTCTGGGACTTTCTCCTTGCAGACCTGGCAAACTGCAAGACCAAACACGTCCAGCCACTTCCAATCCACCTCTCTGGCTCCGCATTCTCGACAGGCTTGATCTACGTCGTCTTGAATGGCACTGATACCGGGCTCGAAAGGGCCGGCTTTCTGACTGCGTAAGGATTTGAGTAGTTGCTGCCTCTCCCACTCCTTCTGTGTTAAGCCAGCAGGCTTGTTGTCTTTTTCTTGTGTGTGCATGGCTTTATTATGCGGGTCATCGTCCTGGGTCATGAATCCGCCCTTGGTATCAGTCATCTTACTGAAATCATAGTCAATGTACTTGGCCATTCGAGCGGGCCGGATGTCATCCAGCGGCTTGCTGTTGGTGGCACGGGCATCTCGATTGGAAGCAGGCGTCTGCTGTGAGAAGGCAGTATATGATCGCTTCGACCCCGCTGAAGTAGGTGCTGATTTAGCGGCGGCGGCGTCGGCCTCTCGTTGCTCTCGTAATGACTTGGCCTTGAGACGACTGATCTCCATGCGCCGCACCTGCTCCGGCGTCATGGGAGACTTGTGTCCGCCGCCGGAGGCTGACGTAGCCATTGGAGGCGTTGTTGGTCTGTCAGCCATAATGTCTAGAGCGACACGAGGGTCAGCAAGTCAGGAGGAGTAGTAAAAGGCGCCAACACAAGTGGCGACAAGTACGAAGGTCGAGGCAACAATGACGTTCTACGGTGGCCCGGTGGACCGCGTTGCATCACTCCATTATCACTTGCCCATTGGAGGCAGGTTGTTCGCTAACATTCATTACCTTGTCAATTATACCTACATCTTGTATGTTATGTATATCAGCACTGTCAACTCTGCATGTGCATCTACTGGTAACTGCTTTGCTATCGCTCAAGATCTGCAATATCCAATGCAAGACCTCTTCTCAAAGTATGACTAATGTAGCTAACGTCTTGATTCTGTATTCTTAATATGGTCTTCAATGTCGCGGCAGCCGATCTTCTGCGTATAATGCTGCTCTCAAGTGGCCTCCGCGGATGCTTGTATCGGTGAGGTCAATCTCCAACATGCTGATAGCAGGCCAACGTGGCAATTCTGCCGAAACGCGTTCCCGGAGCTGAGATGAATTTAGCTCAAGCTCCCGTCGTCAGCTCTCTAGCAAGTAGGTCCGGGATGTGTAGAGCGACCTCCGCCTCGCCCTTTGATTACGTCTCGAAGTGGACTGTTCGATCATCAGTCTGGAAATGAAGACATGATTTTACCGACTTCCTAACAGAGAAATGAGGTCTTCGACTGTCGAGGTTGCGGCCTTCAACCAGAGCCTGTTCAGTCGACAAAGTGCTCCTTGCGACTTGACGGACTTCGAAGCCAATGTCGACTTCTACGGCTTTGGAATTCGACTCGGTGTCTATCTGCAGTGGTTTTCAAGCTGGATATCGAATACCCTGGACCCCGAAAAGTGCGCTGACAACCACGAGGAGAACTCGATTTTCGTGCTTTCGATCTTAGTGGCTCTCGCGGTGGCTTTTCGTACCAATGACTTGAAGGTATCAGAAGTCTACATCCTGCTGTTGCTGTGCACAGGCTACTTTTGTATCTGCTTGAGTACTTGGGGAATCCGTCTACACCTGTTAAGGCCTGGAGCAGTACAAGTCTCACCTCTATTCTGGCATGGCAATCAGCTGCAGAACCGGCGGGTCCGTCCATCCACCTTCTCTCGGCTTCCTGGAGGCACTTTTTTAAACGGCATGGCCAACCAATTTCTTTCGCCTCGACATATGCCGCTCAGCCAAGGTGGCAGCGTGAAGCCCTCAGGGCTCTCTTGGGCGGGCGGACTATGGAGATCGATTATTGCCAGTTTCGTGGTCGCACTCAATCTGTACCTATGGTTCTCCTATGACCCAGACGCGAACACAGGTTGCGAACCATACGTCTACTTCTTTGGAAGGCAAAAACTGACTGCAGGTCTTCAGATCTTCTTCATCGCCGTATGTATAACGGCAGGGACGTTTCTTTTCCAGCTAATCTTGGCCATGACGACTGTGCTGTATTACTTAACCTTGAAGCTAATCATTGGACCTGTTCTCGATACGCTCAGGCTAAGTGGGCTCAAGGAGTCCCTGCTTGACTTAATTGCGGTGCGGCTGCAGGTTGCCAACCATGAGGGAGTTATCCCATCGGACCAAGTTACGTTGCAGCAAATCAAATCTGCTCTTTTCGCCCTGTCATCGCAGAAAGATTCGCCGGCTTCTGCGAGACCGCATGTACATTCACACCACCAGGCGCACCAGCAGGGCTATCGGCTGTCGATGAGTCTTGTAATATGCTGGCATATCTGGCTACTTAGCCTTATGGCATTATTCATCACCTTCATCGAGCAGACAATTCAGATCAACAACATCCAAGGAGCATTTATTATACGGTCGACCTCGCAGCTAATTCCCTTTATTATCGGGTTGATATCAATGCTCAACACGGTCCGACAGCTCCTGCTGCAGTGGTATGAGGAGGATCACCCGAATGAGGAGAATATGCATTTTGTGCTTACTGGAAGGTTGTCGCACATGTCTATCCTTGGAATGTTGATTGAAGGAGGCATTTGGGTTGCTGCAAGGCTTCGAGGGGATGCCGTTGCTGCAGATGCAGACGATGTTGCAGCTGGTGCGGGTGAATTGCGCGAGGCGAGGCAAGCAAACCCCTCTATCAGTGCTGATGCGCAAACTCATGAATCGTCTAACACCTGTTCCAAGTAAGGATGAGGTAAACAGCAAGTTGCTGTCGATCCTTAAGCATCAAGTTCGGGGCATGTATGAGCTTTCGACACGTTTGAGCCATCTTCCATCGCACGCGCTTTGACGGGAAGGCACTAGGTACTTCGTGGCGAGTCAAGAGGGAGCCTTGGCACTCCGCATCTGAGTTTCAGGCACGAGCCACTCGGAGAAACGCAGCCAATTTTCCGAGCTCGGACTGCGGGTGCGCGGGCGGTCAAGAATCAACACACTTTTTTGGCGTCTGCCCCTCAGACTGCACTCACTTCACTGCTACTGGACGAGCTACAGGCAACATGTCGGGCCCTAGGAAGTACTCTCGCCAGGAGTTCTTGAGCATATTCCCGTCACTTGTGGAGGATATCAAGCAAGATGCAGCCAAATACAAGTTGCCTCCAAATGCAATGGAATGGCTGGAGAAGGTAGGCCACCGACTACCGGTTCGTTGAGAGAGAGTACTGATAAGCGCAGTCAATCAATGTGAATACACCCACGGGCAAGCTCAACCGCGGCATGTCGGTGCCGGACTCGGTGTCGCAGCTCCTTAATCGACCCTTGACCGACGAAGAATTTACCATGTCTGCGACCCTAGGATGGCTGACCGAGCTCCTGCAAGCATTCTTCCTGGTGAGCGACGACATTATGGACGGTAGCATCACAAGAAGAGGGGAGCCGTGCTGGTACAAGCAGCCGAACGTGGGCATGATTGCAATCAACGACGCCTTCATGCTTGAGTCGGGAATCTACCTGATTCTCAAGAAGCGTTTCCGCTCACACCCTGCATACCTGGATCTGATAGAACTCTTCCATGAGGTCACCTGGCAGACCGAACTTGGTCAGTTGTGCGACTTGATCACTGCGCCCGAGGATCACGTCGACCTGAACAACTTCAGCATGGACAAGTACACGTTCATTGTCATCTACAAGACCGCATACTATTCGTTCTACCTACCTGTTGCCATGGCTTTGCACTACCTCCAGCTGGCGACTCCGGAAAATCTCAAGCAAGCACATGATATCCTTATTCCGATGGGCGAATACTTCCAGATACAAGACGACTACCTTGATGCGTTTGGCGATCCGTCGGTGATCGGCAAGATCGGAACAGACATCAAAGATAATAAGTGCGGGTGGCTGATCAATCAGGCGCTACTGATCGTGACGCCTGAACAGCGGAAACTCCTGGATGAGAACTATGGCCAGAAAGACGATACCAAGGAGGCAAAGGTCAAGGAGCTGTACAATGAGCTCAAACTGGAGCAGCGGTACCAAGAATACGAGGAGAAGCGGGTGAGCGAGCTTCGCAAGATGATGGGCGGTGTTGGGAATCAAGGTCTCAAGGGGGCACTGGAGACCTTCCTCGCCAAAATTTACAAGAGAGGAAGGTAGTGTGGACAGTGGATTCTCATGATGATAGACTTAGACAATACCAGCACCTTGCGGTGAACAATCACATGGGCCAAGCAGAAGACTGCAATTCTGCACCGAACTGTGGGATTTGCAAGGCGGGGATCCGCGCGGGGCAAAACTGGCCTGGAGAAAGCATCTCGGCGCTCTAACGGGCGACTGACGTAGCGCCCCCAAGCGACTATGCATCATCGTGCAGTGTGTCCACAGCGAGCTTGCAATGCACGAAGATATCAACTCAGTTCGATTTACCGAGCAAGTCATATGATAATTGCCATCTCAACCTTGACTGCCTGAGAATTCTTTTCGTCCCAAAGCAAGCACAGTCAGCAACATCAGACACAACGGCAGCATTCTCTGTTGCCCTCCGCTACCCCAAAACTCCACCGGGATCCAGCTAAATTATTAAGTTAGCCTCCCGCCCATTGTTTGAGAGCTCGACGACCACCCCAGCACTTTGCTCGGCAAGCACTTCCCCAGCAAGCTTTGCTGTGTTTACTGTGGTACTGAGCTCGAAATTTCTTGCTCCCTTCTAACAGGTACTCTGCAGATCTTGAACGTGCTAGACCTTACGGCCTAATACACTCGAGAAACTGAGGGTCAAACAGCGAATTATCCGTGCGTTCGTGTGGGGAAAGAGCTCGCCCCAGCACATAAAAACCACCGCTTCCGCTTCCTTGCGCATTCCCCGCCAGCACAAATCCTACCAGCTTCATTCCTCAGGCTACCCACCAGCACCTACCACATCGTCAAGATGAACGGCGAGTCCGGCAAAAGAGATGTTAAAAACCATCTGTTATTCGAGATTGCCACCGAAGTAGCGAATCGAGGTAACCCCGACTGATCTCCATCGTATCTGTATCGGCGTTAACCCTTCGTACAGTTGGTGGAATTTATTCAGTGCTCAAGTCTAAAGCTCCTGTCTCTACTGCCGAGTATGGCGAGCGCTACTGCCTCATTGGCCCTCTCAACAAGAACTCGGTAAGCTCTCCTGATCAACTTCTTGAGCAAGACTAATGTGGGCAGGCCGCCGTTGAAGTCGAGCAGATCGATCCTCCCCCAGGCCACCTCCGAGACAGTATAAATGCCATGCAAGAGAGGGGCGTTGAGTTGATGTACGGACGATGGCTTATCGAAGGTGCACCCAGAGTGCTTCTCATCAACACCGGAACTGGCTACCGATGGCTTGACGAGTGGAAAGGCGACCTCTGGACCCAAGCCGCCATTCCCTCACCTGCAGGTGACCACGAGACAAACGAGGCAATTGTTTTCGGCTATTTGGTGGCCTGGTTCTTGGGCGAGGTGAGCACAGTCCGTCAATTTCTGGAAATTCGCAATACTGATCTGGCTAGTTTGTTGCGCGAGAACAAACCCGGGCCGTTGTCGCCCACTTCCACGAATGGCTTGCTGGGGTTGCGATTCCTTTGACGAAAAAGCGACAGATGGACGTGACAACCATCTTTACCACTCATGCTACCCTGCTCGGCCGTTATCTTTGCGCCGGCTCCGTTGATTTCTACAACAACCTGCAGTACTTCGACGTCGACGCAGAAGCCGGAAAGCGTGGTATCTACCATAGATACTGTGTCGAGCGTGCCGCTACCCACTCATGCGATGTCTTCACCACAGTCTCCCACATTACGGCTTTTGAAAGCGAGCACCTCCTCAAACGGAAACCTGACGGCGTTCTTCCAAACGGTCTCAATGTCAAGAAGTTCTCTGCTGTCCACGAGTTCCAGAATCTACATTCCGTCCAGAAAGAGAAGATCCACGAGTTCGTCCGAGGCCACTTCTACGGTCATCTCGACTTCGATCTGGAGAACACGCTATACATCTTCACCGCAGGGCGATACGAGTACCGAAATAAAGGTGTGGACATGTTCATCGAATCTCTGGCCAGATTAAACCATAGGCTCAAGGTCGCCGGCAGTAAGACCACAGTAATCGCGTTCATGATCATGCCTGCACAGACCTCGTCCCTCTCGGTCGAGTCGCTCAAAGGCCAGGCTGTCACCAAGGCATTGGCAGATACCGTGGGCAACATTGAACGTGGTATCGGTCGCAGACTCTTTGAACGCTCGGTACACTGGAAGGAGGGCGATCCTATGCCTGATGAGAAGGAATTGATCACGCCTGCAGACCGAGTCGTGCTCCGAAGAAGACTGTTCGCCATGAAGAGAGGCGGCCTTCCCCCCATCGTCACGCACAACATGGTCAACGACGCAGAAGATCCAGTCCTGAATCAGCTTCGCCGTGTCCAGCTCTTCAACCATTCATCTGATCGTGTCAAGGTTATTTTCCACCCGGAATTCCTCAACTCTTCGAATCCTGTCCTCTCGCTGGACTACGACGACTTCGTTCGTGGTACCCATCTCGGCGTTTTCTCATCCTACTACGAGCCTTGGGGTTACACACCTGCCGAATGTACCGTCATGGGAGTCCCTTCGATTACCACCAATCTATCCGGATTCGGTTGTTATATGGAGGAGCTGATCGAGAACTCATCTGACTACGGCATCTACATTGTGGACCGAAGAACCAAAGGCGTCGATGAGTCTGTCAACCAACTCACAGATTACATGTTCGACTTTGCTCTGAAGAGTCGACGACAAAGGATCAACCAGCGGAATCGCACCGAGCGTCTCAGCGATCTACTCGATTGGAAGAGAATGGGAATGGAATATGTTAAGGCTCGACAACTTGCTCTTCGTCGCGCATATCCGGCCTCATTCCAGGATGAGGCTGATTCGGAAGATTTCTTTGGCGAGACTGGCCAGAAGATCTCCAGACCACTGTCTGTACCCGGTTCGCCAAGAGATCGCAGTGGCATGATGACACCTGGTGACTTTGCGTCGCTGCAAGAAGGCATGGAGGGTCTCAGTACAGAGGACTACATTGCCTGGAAGCTCCCGTAAGTACAGCTATCGCCCCTAGGCTCAAGTTGCTAACAGAACATAGTGAGGAGGACGAGCCTGATGAGTATGCCTTGCCACTAACCCTCAAGAAAGGGAAGGGTTCTGGTGCGAACTCGCCGGCTCCTCTTATGGCTGCTGCCAACGGCGCCTCGTAACCAGATGCTGCAACGACAATCCCTGCCTCGAAAACCCACGATCGAAAGTGTTGCGAGAATGGCGACGGTGCAATACATTGCCCAGCGAGGTCCTGCTTTGGTGTATCCAGTTCTGTCTTGTCGTGCAAAGCATTTGTTCATTTAGTGAGTCAAGAGTTTGTGTGCAACCGGAAAAGGATGTGACGGAGAAAAGATGACATGACTGAAGCATGCAGAAGGCTTGGGCGGTTTGTAGGATAGTCAGCATAAGTGCATACTTATTCAACTTGATCTTTTCCAACTTAGTCTGCAACGCAGATGTGTCGTGACCCAGTCGATCCCTATTGCATTCGTTGGCTTTCGGCATCAACAGTCACAACCAAGCTGGTGGTTGGACCGGTCTGCCAGACGCCTCGTGCTGCTTCTCTAGTGTGTCTGACAGTGGTGACAAGCATGTCCAGCTGGGTGAACTCGCTCCAAACGCCAGCACTGTTGCACGTTGGCTTTGTGAGCTGTATAGTTGCTTCTCTGACAGGCAATCCCGGAGCTGTCTTCGCACCACTCTCAACACTCGGATTGCGAAGAGTCTACCACTGTTCGATCCGCCCGCACTTGCACACGACGAACCTTTCCCTGGGCCGTGATTTCTGCGCATCGATAGCATTTTGCGTACCCACTTCAAACAACCTCATAAGCTCAATATGCGTTTACAAAGCGGTGTCTTGTTGGCTGCGAGCAGCGTGCTGGCTGTTCTGGCTCAAGCGGATGCCTCGCCCGTCGATAAGGGAATGTTTCGAGTGCGGATGATGCGTCAACAGGGGACGACTGAGGTTGTTGACACTGCGGCTACACCATCTCTGGCAGCGATCTCTCCAGCCAATGCGACGACAACACCACTGCTGCCAACGACTCCACCTACCAATGCGACAACGACACCACTGATTGCGACGACTTCTTCCGTCAACGCGATGACTTCTCCCGTCAACGCCACAACTCCATTCTTGGCCTTGTCGGTATTTGCTGAGGCAAAGTCCAGTTTAGCTGCGAAAGCGGGAGTTGCTCCTACGAATACTTCTGAGGTCGCGAAGCCGTCGGCTGACGGTGTGACTTCAAATCTCACAGATGGCGCTCATCTTTCAAGCCCAACCACGAGCGCGGCAGCCTCTGGTTGTAAGGGTTATACCATTGTTCAAAATGATATCGGCGACGGCATCGCTAAGGAACATGGCATCACTCTCAACGAGCTGCAAGAGCACAACCCTGGAGTCAATCTGGAGATATTGCAGCCTAGTCAGACGCTAATACTGCCTCCATATGCTACTGGTGCAGATCTACATGCTGCAGCATCGTGTGGTATCACTCTGGTTGGCCCGGCTCCCTCATCCAGCACACCCTCTACGAATTCCACGACACCTCTTCCTCCGGAGACGCAGGCGACGACTACTTCTGTGCCGCCATGTGGCACTTTGTGACACTACCAGCAGCCATAGTTCGTAGTGAGCGGAACCTATATGATCCCAAAAAAGCTTCCACAAAACAAATAACCTGGTAGGCTGCCGGCAACGCGAATCTCAGCTGCCAGTTTCCCGCCTTGACGGGACGACAAAGCATGTTCATCAGTGACGCAGACATTACTCTCGCAACCTGGCTCATGACTATGCGTTGTGCCTCGGCCCTTCCAGGAAAGCCGTGGAGAATGGTCCTGAGGGGGAGGGCTTCATGCTTGGAGCCCAAAGCGAGTAGATGCGGGGGACCTTACAGCGACTAAGGACAGCAGTGGCTCTAAGGGGGGCTGCAGATTAATTACACTGAAATCACGAGATCCTAATGTCTTGGATGTACTACATGCTCAGAGTACAGATGTAGTTGAGTGGCCTCATAACTGCCTGAAAGCACGCCTTGTTGCCTCATGCCAGCTGACAAATCAGATCGCAGGGAACCGCGCAGGACTCCGAGGGTTGCGGGGTAAGGCGTCGGCCTTTGAACTGCTCCCCCTCACTGTCTCTTCGCATTGCTGCATTGGGAACACATGCTGAAGCTGCTGAGTGGCTGTCGTCCTGACTGTCAAGCTATCGAAGGTGGTGGACATTGACTCTGTGGCCATCTTCCCCCACCTTATATACCTAATATTTCCTTCGTTTGTTCCCCACCTTCATCTCAAAACTAGCAACCATGTCCCAAATACGGACAGAGACCCGAGAGCCCAAATCCACCAACGCTGGTCCTTCAAAGTCCGTCCTATTCTTCGGCGCCACGGGCGTCATCGGCACCTACCTCATCTCAGGCCTGGCGAACGCCCTGGAGGCCGGCACGCTCTCCCGCCTCGCCATTTTCACCTCCAACTCGACCGTGACCTCCAAGTCCGACACCATCGACAGCCTCAAAGCCCATGGCGTCGAAGTCTTCGTCGGCGACGTCAGCGACACTTCCTACATCCGCGCCGTCCTCGACGGCAGCGCCGCGCCCACGAACCCCAGCACCGACACCACGCCCTTCGACACCGTCATCTCCGCCGCGGGCCGCAATGCGATCCTCACGCAGATCCCTATCTTGGAGGTGGCGGAAAGCGTCGAGACCGTGAAGCGCTTCTATCCGTCTGAGTATGGGACCGACATCGAGTACGATGCGCAGACGAGTCCGCACGAGCCGCCGCACCAGCTGAAGCTCAAGGTGCGCAAGTGGATCAGGGAGAATGTGAAGCGGCTCGAGTACACGTATCTGGTGACGGGACCGTACTCCGAATTGTGGTTGGGGAAACCGCCGGCTGCGGCGGAGATGGTGGGCGGGTTTGATGTGAAAGGGAAGAGGGCGGTCGTGTTGTACGATGGGAAGGGGAGGGTTTCTTTCACCTCGATGGGAGAGTAAGTTCCCTGTGTCTATCCCCATTGCAGGGTTTCGTCATCATGGTTTGCTGGGTATGCTAACAGCACTGTCACCAGCGTCGCGAAGCTGCTGGTGGCCTCCCTAGCCCACCCCGCCGAGTCGCGCAATCGAGCACTCAAGGTGAATTCATTCACCACCACGCCACTAGACGTCGTAGCGGAGTTTGAGAAGCAGACTGGTGGCGAGAAGTGGAAGGTCGAATTCACGGATCGAGATGAGTTAATCAAGAACGAGAAGAAGGCGCATGAGGAAGGGGCGCCGTTTGCCACGGCTTACACGCTGCGGAGAATCTGGGCAGATGGTGGAACGCTGTACGACGTGAGGGATAATGGGAGAATTGACTTTGAAGGCCAGGAGGAGAGCTTGGAGAGTCAGGTAGCTGAGGCGGTGGCGAAGCAGACTGCTTGAGAAAGTGTCGCGGGCCGATGGCGGGGTTTGGCGAGAAGGCAAAGAAGAACCGTGGGAGCTGTGCGAGTAGTGGAAGAAACGCCCAATGGATTGATTGTTCGTAGTAAAGGACCCGAGATATAGGCCATGATAGCCCCGAGGCATTCATTACACTTGGAAGTCTAGGGATCGGAAAAGGGGCCTCAGCCTCGCCAAGAAATTTCACTGCTCTGTACGAGTCTCACCCCCATCCAGCATTGCGGCTCCGAGACTGACAGCTCTCTGCAAACGCCGCAAGAAGTCAGTGACCACGTTTGTTGGGCTTCCGAGTGCCAGGCGGTAAAATGGGCCACGCGAGCCTTGCCTCTTTGCCGCAACGTGCCTTCGCGCTTCACGAGGGCGTCGTGAGCCGTCAATCGCAAAGTACTGCGCCATTTGATATTGAACACCGAAGCCTTCGTTTGCGGCCGGCTCTAGACAAGCATGTCTCTGGGCGAGGATACCACGAATCTATATCCTACATCTGTAAACCTAGCACATAATCTCGAGCCCGACACAAAACCGACATGAGCAGCCCGTTCTCAACAATGCTTACTCTATCCCCCCTCCTAGCGCTCTGCGCCCTCGTTTTCGCAGTCGTCCAGATCCGCGAAGCATCACCATTCCTCCCACCAACTCCCACTGATCCAAACCTCCAGGAAACCTTCCCCCTCTCGGCCCGCTTCTATCCCTACCCCTACCCACCACTCAACACAAGCACCGCCCCCGCCCCAGCGCAGACCTACATCCTCAGCAGCAGCATGACCGTCGACCTTACCTCCCTGCTGCCCGATTCGCTCTCTCATGGCGTCAGCATGCCGCTCGTGCTCGACACCATGCAGGCCTGTACTTGGGTGCCGACGCGGGGTATGTCGTGCCATACCTATGACGGCAACGGCGGTACCGGTACGGGAGCTGAAGGCGATGGCGATGCCAACTCTGTCGCAAGGGGTGGCGGCGGGGTGAATTGTTCGCAAATTTCAGCGGTTGACCCGCCGCTGAGGGCGCTGTTTGGGCAGGTAAACAATGGCCTCGGCGCGGAGACGTATATGGAAAGGAAGATTGCGCTGCTGGCGCCGCGAACAGCGTGCACGCACTGGCTGGGCGGGTATGTCGTGGGCGATGTGGTGCCTACGGCGTTGAGGTTCGCGGGAAAGGAGATTGGTGGGAGTGAGGTGCTGTTCGCGGACGAGTTCTATGCGGCGGAGGGGAGGTCGTTTCTGGACTTTCAGAGGTATTATGGTGGAGGATCGGGAGTGTTGGGGTTGGGGATGTATGAGGATCTGTATGCTGTGCAGAAAGAGGGCAAAGGGTTAGAGGTTGGCGGAAGAATGGTTTCGGGCCTGTTAAGGACCTTGTGGATGCAAGATGATGCGTCAGAGCGGGGGCTAGTGGCGAGAATGTTCAGCATTTCGCTGCCTAGGAGAAACGAATCGGGGAAGTTTGTGGTTGGAGGGGCGGTGGATGACGAGAGAGGGTTGGAGAGTGTTGATGCGCAGCGTGTCAGTGTGTCCTTGCCAAGGGGAGAAGAAAGAGAGCTGGTTGGATTGTTGCACAAAATGCTGTATGCTGTGCCGGGAGTAGGACTCAGTGTCGGCGGGACAAGTGCTGACAGGAGCAAATACGGTGATGAGTACTTCCTTGAATCTGCCCTGCCTGTTGTCTACACCACTCGAGAGCTTGCAGAGGGCGTCGCAGCAGTCTTCGAGCCGCCAGGAAGCCTCAATGTCAGCTCGAGAGTGTACGAGGTCAGCTGTGGTGCTGTTGCTCCAGGGAATATCTCCTTCAAGATCTCTACCGGCCAAGGCGATGGGTCAGTCTCGTTCCCGATCTATCCCGACGATCTCATCGTGCCTATCCGGTTGGACGACACAGGGGCATGCATGAGTGCTTTTCAGGTCGATTGGCTTAATCCTGACATGAGGCGGCTCGGATGGCCATTCTTCAGGAACGTGATCGCATCTATCGATGTTGGAAAGTGGACGATCGATATAAGGGGCAAGGCTTGGCCTAATTCTCGTCAACAATCATCGAGCACCTTCGCGTCGCCGAACATCAGCTCCAGCCCTTCAGGCCCAGGGGCCGCCATGAGCTTCGAGGTCTCGAAGTCCTTGATAAGCAGTATCACATCTTCCCCTGCGTCGCAGCCACCCGCTTCCGACCCCCTTGGGATCTCATTCACGTCCACCGCTCACGGTACGGGCTCGAGCCCCACAGGCAGTAAATCAATCACAGGCGGCGATAACATCGCCAATGCTCCAGAGAGCCTACCACTAGTGTCATCGCCTCCTCCAGGCAGTATGCACGGAGCGCTAACACTGGCGACCTCGACAGCCCAGGTTGCGACACCAAGTCCCGTTCCAGAGACAAGTCCGAGCACTAAGAGAGCTAGGGCACTGGATGTCGTTGATGAGCAGTCTGGGGCGACGAAGTGGGCCGATGGGGAAGGTAGAGGCCATCGGTGGCCGCGGCGATTTAGACTAGGTGAGAAGTGGACGCTGTGGGATAGTGCTGCCAAACAAAGGACGGCTCAACAACGCGTCAGGAGGGATACTGGTGAGCACTCGAAGGGCCAAGAGCTCTGAAGCATTGCGCAGAGAATGGAGCTTGGGTCTAAGGATTTTGGCAGCAGCCGAAGCCATTGAGACGAGTCAACCCAGTGCGTGTGAGCTGTCGTAAGGCGCGTGCCAGGACTTTGGTGGGAGAGGTTGCTCCAGACCCGTTCACATTGTCCATTGAGGAGTTTCAAACTTACGTTCTTCCTATCGGGGCGGCGTTCTGGATAGTTCGCTACCGTTACTTGGAGAGTGACCATGCTGTCGAGATCGAGGGGCAGAAGAGCACTCTGTGAGCATTAGACAAAGATGACCGTCCAGAAAGGAGCGAATGGCTCTATGAAAGGCTACTCACAGGAGAAGATAGGCGCCAGCTTATGAAGAGAGCAATGTCCTTCAAATCAACGATAGCTGATTTCAGTCCTCACACCTGCCTCTGACGATTGCCGCTAGAGGCCATGGGTCTAGCTTTGATTGGCAGTCTACCAAGTGTAGCCAGCCAGCTGTGATATTCACGTCCGCGGCGGGCTTCAATCCTGGTCTATCAGCAAAATATAGTCATCCTGTTCAACGAGTGTGGGAGTCCTGCATGATGCACTACCAAAGAACCCATAATCTGACACGTAATGATGGTCGAAGGCCTCCAGTACCTTCTAACATGGCCCAAGTGTTGATAGATTTTCCTCAACGGGTCACGATCTTTCGAGGCTGAGATGACCTGAAACTTGGAGCATTGCTAACACTGAGTTGGCCAGCGGGTCAGGAAGGATTGAAGTCGTTCTGATCAAAATCTACTTTTGTCAGAAGGATGAGATCAAGTGTACGAGAGTCGAAGGGGAATGATTACACTACTAGAGACGTAAAGTGGGCTTGCTCTCTCGCCATGGAGGGGCCTGATCGGTGTTTGTAGTATACTGACAAGTTGCCTGAGGCTCTGCTGCACTGTTAGCAACAGGACCAACGTGTCAAGAGCGTAGCTGTAGCCACTGAGCATCAAGTTGACCATAATGTGCCTTAGGCTGCGTAGTAGATCTAAAAAAGGAGCATTACACTGCGCAATATCCCTCTTGATCTTGGTGACATCCCAACCACTTGTGCAATCAAAGAACTTCTCACAGCAATAGCATGTACTCTCTAGCATTTATCTTTCCGTGTATGCGCACATCTCGACACACAGCCTGCTTCTTTGTGTGAGCCAACACGGCTCAAACCCTTTCCGTAACTTCAAGAAGCATCACAGCCTCTCCACCATGACATCGCCGTGGTGCATCTTCACCGGACGGTGTACGCCTACCGACAGCGTAACCCCAGCGACATCCGATTCTGGCACCGCAACGTCCACGATCTGCGATACATCGGTACGGCACGGAACTTGCGGGAAGACGTGGACGAGATGGAGGCTGAGGCTAGAGAGATGCTGATGGTGGTGCTCCAGAGTCTCGAGGATGGCGCAAAGCCTCGAGGAGCCAAAGTGCGGCTTTTCGAGACGTAAAAAGCAACGACGGGTAGTGCAAAAAGCTGTTGCAAACATCCGTTACCTTCCAGTATAGAAGACAGGGACATGGCCATTGGGGGAAGGGAGAAAGGTGTCTCCCGAATGGGCGGACTCGAAACGCTATGGCTTCGATGGATGTTTTTCTCGCTGCTTGCATAGAACATAGTCACCGCTTGGGAGAGGACCGGGCGACATGGATACGAGTGCCCGAGGATACCTTTCCAAAAGTCGCGCCACCAGGACACATGCATCCAAATAGCCCAAAAGAAACGAGGTCCATAAACCTTTGGTGAGAGTCTTGAGCATGATAAGCGTATTGCGTGAGGACAATAAGGCGCTCAACACCTTTGTCATTACTGTTTTATGAAGCCGTTCATTGTACCCGTGAGGTGGGTAAGAGCAGACTTTTAGGTCCCAAGCCCGATAAACGACTTTCCTAGATAGTTAGGTAGTAGGATTTTTGCGGATCACCCGGTCGTTTAGTGGTTGCCCTTTTGATCAGCTGTACTCGCGCAAGCCACAAACGTACTTTCGACCCTCCTCTGTTTTCTCCTTCTTTTCTTAGGCACATGACTGGCCAAGTCCCCACTCAATCAAGCAGTTCCCCCAGACCTATCCTAACGTCGCAGGTCCGCGACTGTAGACCACATCTCCAAACTGCCCAGCGTCCATACCATCCACCCTGTCCCAAATGCGCAAGAAGCTGGCTACTTGGCGCTTTGTGACCGCGACATCGATCAGCTGCCGCTGATCGAACAGATCCGGCCACTCCTTGAGCAGCCAGTCCGGGCTGGTGACGAGGGATATCTCTGGAATCTGGTGCCAGAGGAGGGGCAGGCCCTCGCCGGGTTGCTCCAGCTTGCTTTCGATCGGATTGGAAATGCGCAGTTGCTGGTCCGGAAAAGCGCCGCTCCACTCATCCTGGACGAGATTGGCAAGGGAAGGAGTAGCGGCAAACAGCATCTCGTCGTCAGGCTTGCCTGTGGGCCAGTACAGGTCGTGGGCGAGATCGTCGAACCAGCTGACCGCCCCGAGATGCTCGACGCACGAGCCAAAGACAGTTGTTGTACCGCCATTGGTGCCGTTCCAAAGCTCCGGGTGGTCTTGCATCCAGCGGTACAGGACTCTGCCTGTGGGAGTCACGGCGGGAGTGTGAAGGTGTCCCGTGAGGAACAAGAGGATGGTTGTGCGTCTCGGAGGGGACGCGGCCAAAGCCCTAGCTTGAGCGAGAAGGGCGAAGTAGCCGTCCTCCTGCACAACATTGTTTCCGTCTGTGTGTGTCGAATATATAACGGTTTCGTTCTGAAGCTCAGTCCCTGGGACCACCACCCAGAAGGTTCGCGTGGTGGTGTTGGACACCATGCTGCCTTCAAGCTGCAGACTCGCCGTCGCGCCCGCCTCAGTTGCCTTCACCACCTTGGAAGCAGCTTCGCCTGCCAGGTAGACCGCGGGAAGGTCTTGGAAGAGCATCTTGAAGGGACCATACTGCCCGTAGACATTGGCAGCCGTAACGCCATCCCACAGATAAATGGCCGCTTTGACGCCAGCCTCAGCAGCGGCTGTCATGTTGACACCAGTATTCGCGATGCTCGCGGGTACGCCGCCCCTCATGCCCCATTGAGGCGAGCCAGGCCAGACAGCAAGCGATTTGGAGGTGTCGGCAGGACCGGTGGTCAGATTCAGGACAGCTACCTTACCAGAAGCATCCTCCCAAGCGGGCCCACCAGCGACGGGATTGTTGAGTTTGAAGAGGTCGCCAGTGACTCCTTCTGGGCCGGTCACCCCAGAATACGGCACGTACATGGCCGGCTCGATGTCCTCGCCATCCACCGTCAACTTTGGAGGGGTTTTCGGCGCATCGTAGTACTCGAAGTCGTAAATATCGGATTCGGTCTGAAACCCCAAGTCCTGCAGCTGGGCCTCTATACGCTCAAGCAGTTTGTTATGGTTAGGGGATCCAGTCAGGTGGCTTTTCAGTTCGGCAAGAAACTCGACTTCATCGTCAATCCAGTCCAAGGCAGAAGTCTCACGCTGCCGGAGTGGGAGTGCAACGAGTAAGGTGGCGGTCAGAGACCAGAGAGTCAAACAGTGGCTGATGAGGCGAGTCATTTTTGCTGGTGTGCGAGACAGGATCTGCCCAAATCTGAAAATCTCTGTCCAGCATCAATGCCAGCGAAGTACCGGCCATGCATTCTTGTACCCTTCGGCACTGCAATCAACATAGCTGTCGCCGTTGGAGTTCATTACCCCACAATCTCCTCATCGCTTTCGGATCCGGATGTTGGTCGAGGACCTCGTGTTGAGCCCAGAGGACTGTGCAGCGAGTTTGCATTTGCTCCATGGTGGCATGAGAAATGTGTCAGCAGTCAGAGTATTTCGAAGTACCATCGACTTCGTGCATGCTGTATAGGCGGATTTGACAACCGCTGAGTCCAATCCAGGGTCGTGCTGGCACGACTATAGTGGAGCTGGCGGATCCGAGATACTGGTCGCTTAAAAGACTTGACGAGCACCGTATCCCGAAGAAAGGAAGCGAGAGTAGGATCAAGATCAGGAACGATCAGCAGAGAGCAGAGCTGCTCGGGAACGGAAGCTTGCCAAGGATCGGCAGGTGCGCGGGGAAGGGGGGGCGGGGAGGGGGGAGGGGGGTTACGGGGTTCGGCTGGTATTCCACCGTTCACGTCGGTCCTTGCGAACTGTACCCGAGCAGTGTCTGACCTCGGTCGGCAACTGATACCGTACCTCGGATCAAAGCTTACACCGCTGGGATGAGACCTTTTAAGAATTGAAGGCTGACTAAAGGTCAGCCGCAGGCAGGTGGCCCGAACCCTAGCCATTGGCAAGTAGCTTGCTGCTGCCTTGATTGCCAGGATTCTTTGCGAGTCTTGCGTGGCCCGATCGATATTGAGGTGGATATGGTGGAACGATTCGCTTGGGCAAGCCACTCTGGGAGCTGGGAAAAGCTCTATTTGACTTACATTATGATATCTGATAATCGGCCATCTCAAGCGGGTCGTTTGCACCGAGGCCCCCCCTCGATGACGACCACAGCGCATGCTCCGTGCTTCGTCCGTGCGGTCGCAGCAGTCGACATGGAAGGCCATGAGTCAAGAAATGCATGATCATGGCTGCATCATCTGACAAATGCGGCTGGTGAGAGCTGCCTTATGTATCCCTGAAGTGACAGGTTGCTACTGGATTGAGATCTAATACCCGAAAGCGGCGTTGATACTCTCGCCCAAGGTTTACTTTTACCCCAACCATGCTGTCGATCTGGGGAAAGTCTGGTTTATACGAGGAGGGTTGCCGATGCGTATGCATGCACAGTTACCTGTTGCAGCAGCAACCCTGACCAGTGGTACAGCAACCCTCATGTCAGAGCGGTTCGAACTCGGCTTCATCGGCTGGAAGAGCTCTACTTAAGGCGAGCGGTGTCCACCCCACCACAATCGTGGGTGCAAAAGTGGGTATTCCTCCAGATGTGAGGTCTCGGATGATACTCTGCACGAGTGAACCCGCATACAGTCGCTGCACGATCGCCGACAGTGTGCTGGATGCAACCAGGGCTGGGTCTTCCTTCGGCAGCCCAACCACTCGCCTGAAGCCATTGACAGCCTGTCCGGGATGGCATGACACAGAAGCCGTTGCACTAGCCAGGATCATGCGATCGGTCGCTAGGTTTTACCAAGTATTGGTACACATTGGCACATGCTGTACTCAATGACTCGACGTCTCCTTGAATTTGCTTTTTCGCCGAAACGCTCCGTCATATGAAGCTATCCAGCAGTGGTCTTCATGTTTGTAAGCATCTACCAGAACGAGTGCCCTTGACGCCACTCAGCGAGTGTCACTTGAGACATCATCCTGCTTCGGTGGAGAGGCCTGGTACAGCGCAATCAGTCGCGACAGGCAGCACCAACCGCGGCTTGAAGCATACGCAAGCCCACAGGATCATCGTCACAGGCGAGAATAGGCGAAACAAGACACCATTACCTGTCACAATGCGCCGAGGCCTGCAGCAAATTAAGATACTCCGTAGTTTGATCGAGGCCAATGACTCCCACCTCAATGGGGGCGTCGAATCATTCCATCATTTTGGAGCAACGATGCAGCGAGACCCATTCCAAGATGCACATGTGCACACACACAGGGTAAAAGCAAAATCGCATCATCTCGGACGAATTCTGGGATATGATCAGAGTTCGGTCTTGAACTTTCCCGTTGCAGGGAGCCCACACCACACCCGCAAAAGAATCCCGCAAAAGCAGCGAGGTGCCCCTGTTGAAGGGCAATTCTCATTTGACCCATGCGACAAGTCCCATCCTCCCCTCCACTTGCACACACACACACACCACCCCTGCTGTGTTTTCGTGGTTTTTCGGTGTTGGAGAAAAAAAGCTCCGTAGAGTAGGATCGAGGCATACGGAGTATGTTAGCGCACAACTTGTGGCTTGCATGTTATGGGGCCTTGCTTTTGCATCCGTGGTTGGGTCGGGTTTGGTTTTCGTTTTTTTCAATCCTTACCGCAAATGGTAGCAGGCTCACGAGGCGCGACTGGGCCAGTTGGCTTGCTTTACGGATACCTGGGGACTCCGTATGTGGGTTGGCTCCCCTTTGATGTTCGCTAGAGGCAGTCCGGTCTCGCCGATGGGGTGTACACTGTATGGATCGACTGCCAGAGGAACAACACTTGCAGGTACTGGCACCAAGAAGATTTGTTATTAGGTATGGTAGCCACGACTACTACTATACAGCAGCTGACCAAACTTGAACACAGTGCCGTAACAAACAGGCATTATCTAAGTCGTAATGGTCGTCAATACATCGCTCGCGGGCATTAGTAATTGCACACGGTCATGTCGCTCCTGCTCATGCACAGTTTCAGAAAACATCCTCTGGCCATTCCCACTCCTCTCGTCGTGGCTTGACTGTCCCGGTACTAGTAGCGACCGTGTTGATGTTCTCGCCTCCCACATCTGCAGTCATTCCGAGCTTGGCCGATCTAGTGACTCGCTTGGTTGTTCCAGCATCCTGTCGAAACGTCGAAGCACTTGTCCCTGTTCCCGGCGCCTCTTGAGCATCCAGCACTTTGTTGCCTAGTGATTCTAGCACCGCCCGACTCGGTAGTGGGGGCACCGGAGGTATGCCAGACCGCCCTCGCTGCTTTTGTGTCTTTTTCTGCCTGCCGTCGTTGGAAGGAGTGGATGTGATTGCACTCTCTACGGTCTCGACATCGCTTTCTTCCAGTGGCAGGTGCAGTGATGAGCGAGACGCCGATAGTTGCAGGTGACCCCGAGATTGTGCTTGCTGTTCACGGAGCAACGCTCGCAGTTGCTGGTTCTCCTTCTCGAGTTCGCGCCTGCTAGGCCGCTTGCGCAGGTCAAGGCTTGCCGGTCCACGCACATTAGCATATTCCTGCAGGGAAGTAACAGTGGAGCTGGACACCTCACGGCGCCGGCGGGCAGCTGGGCTGCGCTGTGCAGACACACTCCGCTTCTTAAGCGTTCGAGGCGGTAAGCTATGCGCAGGTTCTCCCTGTTCAACTGATAATCCATCATTCCCTTTCTGCTTCTTGGTCCCGAACTGCTCGGCATAGATCTTTTCGGCTTTGCGCTTGCGTTCGCCAAGCACATCCAGCTTTTCACCATCGCTGCTCTTGGAAGAATGGCCATGACTATCGGACGAGTCGCTGGCAGTGGCACCGAAGAACTTGACTTTTCCACCAATGTTACCAAAGTTCCAGAAAGAAATGCTTTTTCTTAAGCCCTTCTTTTGGAGCCGCTTCGGTTTGACCTCCGACTCTCTCGTCACGTCCTCACTCTCACTAGACTTGAAGTTGCTTGCAAATCTGGACAGTCTCTGTTTGATGGTCGCCGGGGTTATTGTAAGCGGTGTAAAGTCTGCAACGTCGGTAGAGTTGAGCGAGTCAACAGACACTCGACCTGCGCGAGGCGTGGACTCGTTGTCGTCATCATCGACATCAGCGGTAGTGCTGTCAGTACTTAGTCCTGCACCGTGGTCAAGCCATGTCGATGAAAGTCCGACAGATTTCTCATTCATGCTACCCTCAAGGAACTTCGACTTTCGTCCAACAATCTCGTGACCTTTGGGTTCGGCGTCATGATGGGGAAATGTGCCAGGCATGGAAGTGCCTCGACTCGTCCGGGGCCGGTCACTGGCGTCCGAGATTCCATGGGAAGGACCGAACGGCTGCAGATGCGTAGACTGGTCTGATGACTGGGAGCTATCGGTTGAGAGTCGCTCCTCGCTAACGCTGTCCAATACTGGACGGTTATCGCTTGTAGTTCCTTCTCTTGGGACGCCGACCCATGCTGCTCGTTCCTCGGCAACGAAGTCAGGCTCTTGCGTAGTATAGCCGAATCTTGCGTCTGGTAAGCGGCATGCGCCAGGACTCTGCTGGTGCACATGGCTCGTAGGAGATGTTACGTGGACTCGCAAGCTCGATAGACGCTGCAATTCAGCGCGGCGATGGGGTGACAGCGGGGGACTTGGGACCGGAAGCCCATCATGACTTAATGTTCGGATTCCTGATTGGAAGAGCTGACGAGGGGATAAATCGGCCGTGAGAGCATTCGAAGTTGCTGTGGAATGTTGTCGGGGCTCTCGTGTCTGGCGCTTTGACAGGTGTCCGTGGGTAGAAGCCAGCAACTCGGCCAATTCGTTGCGGTTCATGCCGTACACACGACCAGGTTCAGACCCGACGCAGTACCGATCGACGCTGAAGTGGTGTAGTCAAAAGGCCAAGATCAAGAGAAGCGTCGTGAATGTTGGAGTGCCTCCAACGTTGCCATTGGTCTTTGTTTACACCTCCGAGTGACGCAGGGCAACGTGCAGCCTTGTCAGTGGATCACGAGGCTGCGTATCTGGACAGAAATGGGGTTTGTAATTTATTTGTCCTTCGCACATCTCAGCCACGAGTTTGTTCATCGATACTGAATTAATTGCCATGTTGATGTTTAGAACGGTAGGCTGCCATTAGCCCGAAGTTCCACCTCATCATACTCGTGAAGCTCAATTTCGTTGCAGCTATACCGCGACCTCAATGTTGCCTTGAGTTGGGGTAAAAGCAGATCAACTCGCTGCTTTAAGCAACCAAGCCCCTCTGGCTAGGGCACTTGCGCGTTCGGGCTTAGATGCCTAGCCAAGCCGGCCTCAGGTCCGCACTGCTCAACCGTCGGGGAAGAGATCACGACGGGTTCCCCTGGCCCACAGCCCGAGCTGCAGCCAGATTGTCGGAAATCATACGCTACGCTTCGTTCAGGCAAGCGCGATGGCTGTTACTAAACCTTGTACGCCTGTGATCATCAGTGCCTTGACAGCAACCCCGGCTAGACATATCGAAAAGTCTCCATTCATGTCGAGGCCCCCAAACCCGAGCATACTGCACTGTAGACTCCCGACCCTTGCGCACGAGCCATCCTTCCTTTCTTCTCTGTCGTCTGCTAAGGCCATGCTAGCAATTGCTACCCCAAGCCTGTTCTGAAACTCCCATACGTGGCGCTCCCGGCATTGCAATTCATGGTGCAGACTTCGTCAATGTTACCGTTTTCGAACCGAAACGCCCTTTGGCCCCAATTAATATTGACAAATTGACTCCAGGCTCTTATAATACTTCTTGCGTATCGCTTGAGAGCAATGTCCTAATCGGACTGGCAGTCAACTGGGCTGCTGACTTATCTTATTCAACGTCCATCCAATCCTCACGTCGACCATGGTCGGTGTACCTGGTAAAAGTAAAGGTTGCTCTACTTGTCGTCGCCGGAAGAAGGGTGTACGTTACCTCCGGATTTCCACTCTAGCCGTGTGCTGACTGAATACCAAAAGTGTGACCAGAAACGTCCTGTCTGTGGTCAGTGTGCTGCTGGAGGCTATGTTTGTGGAGGTTATCAACGAGATCGCACATTCATTCAGCATCCAGCAACAAAGGGTGCAGAAAAGAGCTTTTACATACCCTACATCCGGGTCAGCCCTTCCTCGCTTACACAGTCCTTGGACCAAGCCGCCATAACTCGTCAATGCCGAGGTCTTTTTTGGAATCTTTACATGCCACACGGCGACTGCATTGTCAAGGATGAATTCATCCTGAAGTGTGGTCATCCTATGAATTGGACCGAAGTAGTCAACGAGCTGCCCAACGAAGAATCCTGTCTAGAGTCTGCTTTCTCTGCTCTGACCATTTCAAGGGTAGGCAAAGACAGTCAGGATGATCGGCTGGTTCAAGAAAGCACCAAACTCTATGGTCGAGCGTTGAAGGAGATGCAACTTGCTTTGTACGACACGGATCGGATGCACTCGGACGAGGTTCTCACAGCCAGCATGTTGTTGGGCCTCTATGAGAATTTCGAGGGCTCGACGCTGAAGTCTCGGAGCTGGCTGAGCCACGCGCAGGGAGCTGCCCACCTCATTGAATTGCGTGGTCCGGAGCGTCACCGGAATCGCCAGGCACATCACGTTTTCCTCGGCTCCAGAGTGCCTACCATTTATGCTGCCATATTACAGAGGCAAGCCACATACCTTGCTGCCACAGCGTGGAAAACAATACCGTGGGAGAACCAGCACCGGACCTATATCGACCGTTTAGTCGACACCACTACTGCTATTCCAGCCTATCTCGAAGACCTTGATACGCTGTGCACCGGCACAGCCGATCCCAAAACCTATCTTCAGAAGACGGAACTCATGCACAATTTGGCTCAGACACAAAGAATGATGGACGTATGGAAGGGTTGTGTCAAAGCTGATGCACTGCCAATAGAGAAAGTGCATATCACCGGTGGCACTGATGACCGATATCCTTTTGAGGTGGAGATGCATTTCGACAATCACCTCTTCATGAACGCGCATGCCATCTACTACTGCTGCTCCCTGGTAGTCGCGGAAGCTGCAGAATTGCTTTTCGCTGATCTGGCTCTCTACGATCTTGCTGGCGTTTTGAGAGATCCAGCTATCTGGAAATTGACCAGTCTATTCGATGCAAGAAGACATGCCACCTCCATTGCTTCAATGATACCATACTGCATTCAACCAGATATGGGTGCGCTGGGAGGTATCATCATCAACTTCCCCGCCAACCTAGCTTTGCATTACTTCCGCAAAATTGGGGACTACCGAGTGACTACCTGGTTGACAGATGCCTTTCACGAAATGGGCATCCGCGGTCTGACCAACTCTCCACACGCAACTAGCAAACACGAGCGAAGAATATCAGAAATCGAAACACGACTAAGAGGCGCAAAGAGGCCCAGCCCTGGTGCGAGAAGTGACTCATCAGAGGAATCTAGCGAGGGAGGCTCCTCTCCCACTTCGACAGCAGCTAAACGCACAGCCGTCGTGGTCAGATTCGTTCACGAAGACCCAGCTCGGTATTATGCCGACTCAGGCGGCGAAAGCAGTTGACAACTAAGCTGGTGGTGTTCTGAAACATATATCGACGAGCTCGATCTGTCGAAATGACTCAACGCCACCTACACATTTGAAATACCCCGCCAATGCAGGACTCCGACAAAGAGGAGGAACCACAGGTCCTACCTCAGGCTGGGTGACAATCCCTAGCTACTGTCTAGACTGCATCATCCTAGGCTACGGCGATGCCAATGAGCATACCGCGCCGCTGCGTTCGGTATCATCGTCCAACGCAAGGTGACCACCATCTTGGAGATGGCGAGGGGTCCAAAAGACCCGAGAATCGTCCAGCCCAACCCGTGGAGGCAATATACCGCGGGTCCACCAGACCAACTGCTTGGGCTGCATAGTTGACAGGCTGGAATGTACCAATAGAGCATCAGCGCTCGAAATGTCTTAAGTGGTGGTTTCACTCAAGTTATCACGACTCAGACAGCAGATTGGCAGTGGCGCACATCGACCTGGCTTCAACAAATCCAACTGGGGAGGCGGCCCCCGTAGCTCATTCGCGTTGAGGAATTCAGCACAATCATGCCACGATCGTCTTCGATCATATCGACCGTGAGGGTGAGTGCCTCCTCCTGCGAGTACGCTATAAATCAGATAGACCACAGGACTTTTCTGGTCAAGGATGACCCGAATAAACAACAATAATAGTCCGTACTCCCCGAGGTCTGGGTTCTGCCGCTTACCCCCGCCAACCCACGCCACAGAATGCAACCGTAGATCTAAACCCTTCCAAGCATCCGCCTGTCTGGTGGAGACTCGGACCTCCTAAGCTGGACAAGTTCACTCCCGGACCGATAGTGACGCCGAATGCGCCGACAGTTCACCGAACAGATGGAAACTCAGCGCAGCCGAGACTCGAGAGTTGAAGTATCACCCAGCAAGGCAACTTAGTCATTGGCTCGTAGGAGACTGCTCGTCCCACTTTTCTGTGCACTGTACTGGAATAGTTCAAGATAGCCGAGCGTGGCGGCTGGAGATCCTGCATGCAATGCAATGCACGTCTTTAAAGTCCTGTCTCGCCCTTTTTGACTACCATGGCGCTATGCTGACATGCGCGCGTTGAGTAGTCAGAGGGCTATTTGGTATGCTAGGTGATGCAGGTCTCGGTTCACGTGTCATGAACGCGTAGAGCGGCGACAAGGCAACCATGGAACCTGACCGCCCGGTGAGGCGTCGCGCTTTGCCTTTCGGTTGAGGGTACTTTGGAGATCATTGATGCTGCTGACGATACAGTGCTGATTCAGACATGGAACACGAGCAATTCATTGATGAGATGTTGTCTTCCAGGCACCTAACAAATATTGCACTGTTGTCAAACACCTACCGCGTCGTCGGGCGGCAGCGGTGCGGCCGGAATATAATTCCATGTCGTACCAGTGACATCACCCGAACCGCGTCTCCCTGATGGGTCACCACAGACAAGACGGAAATGCTTTTACATACCATGCTCGCGGCCCGTGTTCTGTCTCATTCAAGTACTAGTCGTCCATTGCATCAGTCTCCATTGAAGCGAACTGCACGCACAATGTCCCAGGTACAACCGGCCCGCTCAAATGCTGGGACAACCACCATCTCCAGTATAGCCGCAGCAGCGCTACGCTGGAGTCCCACGGCCTGGCTCAAGTCGTGGCTCCTGGTAAGTCTAGAAACCTTCTCTGTAAACCGATCGACACGCGGAACGCATGCCTGGCCGTCAATCGCTTCACATCTTCTCCTGCCTGAAGGCTGACCAACATCCACTGCCTCCCCCACGTCAGCACTCTTATACCTCCACTTCCCACCCATGCCGCATCACACCACGCCACAACCTCTCACTAACCCTCCTTCCCCTCTTCCACCACCGCAGTACCTCGGCATCCAAACGCACGTCCGCAGCACCGCCGACCCAGACCTCCGCCCCCTCCACAACGTCTGCGAGTACCTCAACGCCCTGCACATCTACGCCGACGAAGCGCGCCAGGGCGTCGTGCGGTCCGTCGACTCGCACCACTTCTGCTCCCACGTCAGCAAAGACTTCCGACAATGCCTGATCTACGACTCCAACACGCCGGGGGCCCGGCTGATTGGCGTCGAGTATATGATTCCCAGAGCGAGGTACGAGAAGCTGCCGCCGGAAGAGCAGAAGCTGTGGCACTCGCATGTGTTTGAGGTGCATTCGGGGTACGTGTTTGCTTGGATGGCAATGCCCGCGTTTTTCTTTTCATCTGATGTCGAGTGTGATTACTTCAAGACTTCACCCACCCCACCGAAGATGTCCGTCCCCTGCCATACGCGCTCGAAGCTATTGTCGCTAGATAGAGCCACTCCTGCTTTCCTCACTCGCGTGCATTCGCCATCATCATCGCCACGACCGACATCCGCCATCCAAGAGCGCAACCAGCAGCTTTCCTCCCCCCTCCTTTGCCAAAACCCCCCTCCAAACTTTCTTCACAAAATCAACACTGGCACCAGGCTCACCCATTGAATTAACCTCTAGGATGCTGATCCTCCCCTACCCAACCACCCACCCCTCGACCAGCCCCCACGCCAAACGCGCCTGGGACGCGCTCGAAACCGAAGCCCTCGCCGAAGTCACCGACTGGTACGGCAAGATCTACCACTTTTGGGAAGTCGACAAATCGGAAGGCGGCGATTTGCCTTATGGGGCGCCCGAGTTGATGGGGAGTTTGACTTCGTGAGTCACACTCTCTTTCTTTCTTTCTTTCTTTTTTTCTTGCTTTTCCCCTTTGGCTCTCTCTGGTGTGTGGACTTTTCTCTTCCCGCAACACCCTGCACATAGATACGCACGCTCTGGGTCGACTGCGGTGCATGGTAGCTATACTGCACACGGGGCCACAGTGCAGAAAACCGGCGCTGGAGGTCATCAGATGCTAACGATCGCCACTAGCGACAAGCAGATCGACGTCGACGCCGCGATGGCGCAGCGAGATCGGGAGGCGGGCGCCGACGTGAAGGAGAAGAGGGCGTTGCGTAAGGACTTGCCGAGGCCGCAGGTGCATCCCGCGGCGGATAGCTGGTGGAGGGAGGCGGAGGAGGGGGGGAGGGGGATCTATGCTTGAAGGATGAGGTTGGGTGTGAGTATGAGGAATTGGGGGAAGGGAAAGGCAAAGTGAGGGTTTGGGGGGTGAGTGCCCGACGGGCGGGGAGCTACGCTGAATTCGTGGGAGATGACTTGCTGCTGTATAGCTGTGAGAGGGGCTTGTAGGGACGCAGTGGGCGCGGGGGAGGGTCGGTGTGGGGTGCAATGGGATACTGTTCAGGTCGGCGTGGGAATTCCTTCATTCACAGGACTGTGAAGAGAGGCTCGCGGAGACACGAGTGGAATGGCGCGAACAGGATGGCTGCTACGGGCTGATATCATGCTCGAAACAGAGCGATGCCATTCGCAGAGGCTCGAGGACGTTGTGAGAGGCATGAAGCGAACGATCACATCAGAGAATGATTCATCGGCATGGTCTTGCTTGACACAAGATCTACTGTCTGGGGAACGACGTATCGTCGCTGCATAGAAGCTGGATGCCACCCACCCCGTAGGTCTCTTTCGGGACCGATAGATCCAAAATCTTGTACCTATGGCTGTAGTTCGCGCCATGCCGTACCGAAATGGTAGTCACGCAGCGCGGCTGGACTGACAAGACGGTACCCAGTTGATCCTGCCGCGTCGTCTGCCGCGCCCTGTTGTGTACGCTACGCCACCTTCGTGTCGGAAACACACGAGGCGCTCATAGGCCACTAGAGCGTTGTCGTGAAGGTAGATGAGAAGTAAGAGGTCTCCTCATGCAGACGAGCTGCACGCTCGTCACTGGAATCAGCGTGACCTTGCCTTCTTGAACACCAGGAGAGTAGGATTGCGGTCTTTACTCAAGCAGCTGCTTCGCACTAGGCGCTGATGTTGCCGTTGCCGCGACTACGAGCATCAGTATCGCTGTCCGGTTGCGTCGTGACTGCCCAACGCTAAGCTGGCTTATCTCGCCGCCGAGACCAGAGGCACTGTCGGACATGCCGCGCAAAGGCTCACGACTTGCCGCCCTTCTTCTTATTCGCCTTATCCTCCACTTTTACCCACTCAGACTTAACACCACGCTTGAACACCTCATGTTTAACAACATCACGCTGATCGCCCTGGACCGTAATCTCAAGCGTGCCAGGCTTGCCGCCAACCAACTGGCCCACGGACGCCGACCCCGCTGCCTTTCTCTGCAGCTCCGGTCCTAGCGTGGTAGGATTGATGCCAAAGGGCTCCAGGCCGCTGACGCGTGTGACCGTTTTGGAGCCCGTGCGCTTCTCCAGCGTAATCAGCACGCTGGGTGGTGGGTAGGCGCGCGGCTTGTGCGATGCTAACACGGCGGTCGGATCGGCCGGATTGTATGCGGCAAGTGCGGCGGGACTGGTGAGGAGAATGTAGTATGGTGACAGGAGGGTGGGCGTGTCGAAGAGGTGGCGGTTGAGAGCGTTGCGGGTGATTTCAGGCTGATGATGTGAGGGCAGAACCGTATTAGCGAGAAAGGGGTTGAGACGTAGGTGTGCCGGCGAGGAGGTTCCTTTGGTAAGGTCCGGCTCAGACGCAACGTAGGCTTTCAGGTGGTTCTGAATCTGAGAGGCCGTGTAGAAGGTGCCAGGGCTGGGAAAAAGAGTAGGCGTGATCTTGGGAGACGGTTTGTAGATGGTGACGATTTGAAGGTCTTGAAAGCCCGAGTCGCCATTGGCAGTATTTGTGGTTATGGCGGATGAGGAGGTTGGCTTAGGCTTGGGAAGCCGGTAGGGAACGAATTGTTTTACTTGCTGATCATCGAAATCGATGTCGAGAATAACAGTCTCACCGCCGTTGCGGTCCTTGGACTTCACGAGGACTTCTTTGTCGAGTTGTTTAATGAATTTCTTGGTGTTTTTCCAGCTCGTCTTTTTGATATTGTAATGTGGCGACTGGCGGCGGAGATAGGGCTGGACCAAATTCTGTATCAAAGAGGTAGGTTGAATAGGGAAATCGAGGCCATAACGGGGTGGAGGAGCACCACTGTTCTTCGCCTTGTAGATGGCATAGAGGAAGGCTTCGTGAAAGGCTTGATCGACTTCTTTGGTAGTAGGCTCGTGCTCGAATTCCTCCTCACTCAAGTCATGGTCTTGATCGGCGTCTCTAGCATGGCCATTGGTAGTTGCTGGTTCCTCCTTCAAGGAAACCCCACCATCCTCCTGCGCACCGTCTTCATCGTCGTCTACATCCAGGTCCTCGAGGTCATCGACGAGCTTGGATGCAACGCCATGCCACCCTTCAACAGTGTCAGGGACGGCCCTACCACCACTGCTAGTTTGGCTCCAATTGTAGATCTCATCGCCTGCCCAGTGCAAACCTTGGACTGCGGCACCCTTCATGCCCTGCACACGCCCAAGAGAGCTGATGTCAATCTTGCAGGTTCCTACCCAGACGGGAACAGTGTCCTTCTGAACACTAGCTACTGACACAACGGCACCTGGTATCGCCTTCTCAGGCCAAGGGGGCCCACCAGCAAGTCCAGGGGTCATGAGGTCTGCTCCGGTGCGCAACTTCTCAATTACGAAGTCCGGGGTATGCAAAAGGGGGACTAGGCCAGGATTCTGCCAGAGTGTATACACAGTGGGAAACATAGTGGATTCTTTGCCATATTGTAGCCACAGTATCCTTTCCTCTTGACTAGGATGCGCTCCAACATAGACGGTGCCAGACACGAGAGTGGCGTTAGGCCCAGAATGCGTCGTGAAGCGAGCGGACAGACAACTCTCGGGGAGGAGTGATGCGCGAATGGAGGTCAGAGTAGGGCCCAGGGCAACATCCCCGCCAGTCTCAGACGCACTCGGGACAGACACGCCATAATCTGCGATGATTTGGTCTGCGAGTTTTCGGCGGTCTGAGGATCGGAGGGGCGACAGATTCTTGACCTGGGGTTTCTTCTTGAACATGTTGGCTGGCCCCGCGAGATTCTGCCCGTGCGTGTCTGCTGCTGAATAGCTCACAGAGACCACAGATCTAGTCTGATAGCGGCTTATACACTCGTAGCACGGCGAGACAATGGCGCATCTGCATACCAAAAGTCGAGTCTCGTCGAGTCACGTCGAGTCACCATTGCGGGGCCTACGTCATTGCCAGGAGATAGACTCTTACCTCCGCTGCTCGCGAATGGTGTACAAACACTCGTAGAGATTGTTTGCCTCATATGGCACATGGTGGAAGGTGATAGTAATGACCAGGACATTGGGACACGGTCGTTCGTACGACAGAGACTGTTTGACGTGGTACGCATGCACCTAATGTAAAATTTCGTTATTATCTTGCTTCTATTCGAATATACGAAGGTCTGTCTGCCGGTAGGCATGAGTGCCGACTCCATGGCAGCAGTCACATCGCCTGTCCCTGGGTCTGGGCCTGCTCCATGACAACAGCTGTGCTCCTGACGAATTCTGTTTCCCGAACTCCCAATGAAGTGGAAGCTACCAGAGACTTTCGCTGCACAGTCGTACCCAGACATCATGATAGTCGACACACCTCTCTTATCCTTCCCACGAGTCAGAGGCCTGACGACGGAACATGATCCCGTTTCCCTGGGCCTGAGAAGCCCTCCTCGAGACGTCTAAGCGGATCCGCTTCGCAACTTGGCTCTGATCTCGGTTGGCTGCGGCAGAGTCAAGGTAGGTAACGCCAAGGCCCGGGACGTCGACGACCGCAGTCGTAAGGTTGGCTTCCGGCGGGAACGGGTGCCTATGGCGTTGTGGTTGCATCATTACGGTGTTGAGGAGTGTAGCATGACTTGACCTTCAACGCCCAACCAGAACAGACCTTATGCTCACACCCACCCGCAACGGGGCATCATTTCAGCGCACCTGCTTCACAACTGGAGACCGTTTCGCTCCAGAATAGAGAATTGAAAGGAGGATAGGAAAGCCCTTCTGCTCTGAATTATTCATGACTCGGTAACTTGTTCAATATGGAGTTCAAACGGTCATGCTAATCCCAGAGGTGTGGTGTGCTGTCACCCGGATCCGCTGGTCGAGGTTTAGCGAAGCAGAGGGTGTAGTACTTTGAGTTGCGGGGAGTGGGAGTGTGACTTCCCGAAGTTCAGCAAACCCTGAAAGCTCAAGCAGAAGTACATCTGCGACGTCACCTTGACATCAGACAGGGTGGGCCCTTGGTTGGCCAGACTCGAAGCACCCATATGATTGTCATTCAGAGCGCAGTGATCTTGGTTGTGGAGTGGGCCCACAGATGGGTGGACGGAACACTGACCGTTGCCTCGGGGAAAACATCCATGAATAAGGACTTGTCGCACGTTGAACCCATCGTCGACACCCATGAACGGGGAACCTGGCCTCAGCCGCAAGAGCCCCAACAACGTCTGGGAAAACGGTGCCTAGTGTATGGGATTGCCGAGATTATGCTGCGCATTTTCGCTGTCTATAGGCAAACTTGGCACCTGAAGATTAGTGACACTTGTCCCTCGAAGGTATTAGAGATTGAATACATCGCCATGAGAGTGCCATCAGAAAGTATCGATTCGTATCGATCGGCCACTGAAGTTAGCATTTCCACCGTCACTGAGGAGTGGATAGATGAGGCTGAGGGTAACAGGCGTGAGGCTGGTATCAGCATCAACGATTTGACCTCAATCGAAGTAAGTGATCGCGGGCGCCGAAGTGGTGACTTTGGCTGTGGTGAGCGAGCACACTCTTGTGAGCCTACGGCGCACCCAGTGGCATATCATCGATGCATCATTTGCCGGAGCGGCGCCGAGCTGATGGTAGCGCGAAAGAGCACGACGGCTTTTGCACGACTGTGGTTCGCTTAGAGCAGGGCTTGCAGCAGACCGAATTGTCGGTGATACACCTAGGCCGCCAATCACGTACGACGGATGTCAATCCCGCGTCATGGATTTTCGCAGGTTGAGACGAGGTCTGATGAGGGTGTGTAGCGGGTGCAAGAGCCTCCAATGTTAGACCACGCCGTACAAACCTGAAAATCAGTAGGTGGTGCGTGAATATAAGGTTTCTTGCAGAGATACAGCTGCGCAGCCTCCAGGCGGAGAATTGTGGTCTGATATCCACCGTTGTTCTTAGCCTAGAAGCTGTCGCTGGAAAGGGAAGCAGGGGAGGCAAAGAGAGCGACTGTCGTTGGGAGACAGGCCGCTCTCGAGTTTTTCAACGGGTGCTGAACCGGGCTGATTCAGTGACGTGAGGAAGTCGTCGGGGATTTCTGTGGCCAATAAGTCTCTAAGCGAGCTGAAACGAATCTCGGTCCTCAGCCTTCTGGAATGTAGAGTTCAGTTCAGCAGTGTTCGGCGGAGCTTCGGGGCACACCGGGAACAACCACGGGGTACCACCAACACGAATCCGCGAGTCAGGAGGAAAATGGCCACGCTTCAGTGAACATGCTATAGGGTCCTACCAAGTAGGTGCAGCAGATTTTTTGCTCGTTTAAGCGCTATCCGTGGTGTTCCTGCATTGGTGCTGGGACGATAAAATTCTGATCACAAAGGGCTGCATGAACGTTGATCGCATAGGATGATCGGATGAGAGTGTTGAGTCTGGAACAGAGAACGTGCGTTGCAGCTAAGAAGAGGCGAATGAATCGTGCAGGCAGCGCAGGCGCAACTCCGAGTCATTGCCAAGATGCTTTTCAGGTTTCCATTGGGCCATTCAGGCTAAGCTTCGCTTCTGTGAGTCAGACACCATTGAGCTAGAGTCAGTACTCCTTACTAAATGTGCGAAGCTTCCCGTGGCAGGACCGAACATGATGATACGATGTTGTCGTCTGTGCGTGACTTCCGGCAACTCTCCAGTCTTACAGAGGCGGATCCGTGCTTTTGTTAGACATGACATTCGATCCCCAGCCGGTTCCAGCGGTTCCCAGCATCGTCCCGGACTTTGGTCGCGCACATGTTGGCGGTGAGCAAAACAGGAAACTGTCATATGGGGTCGTCAAGGTGCCACACACGAGGACCATCAAAGGCACGACCAATGGCTACGGGCGACATGACAGATGACATGTTGCACACACGAGATGGTGTATCCCGTTTGGGGGGCAGGGGCGTACGAGACTGGGCGTATCGCATTCGACTCGCACTTCTCAAACTCAACTTGTGGCGAGCGTGCATTCGCGTGCCCCAAAACTGGCATCGCATTCCAAGGCAGTGGTTGTAGTATCAGCCCCCTGTTGAGGTTCATCGTCAGCGTAGTCTCAGACTTGCTCTCGGTAGCCCGTACATGATCTCGCTTGGAAGCCATGGCGTCGGGTCTTGACTCTTGCACAGTTCGTGTTTGAAAGCCATGCACAGCCAGGAATGTCTGGGACGCATGACTCGCGCAGGAGGCAAATGCAGCATTGATGGGCTAAGCGAACATGGTTCGCCCATGCCAGAAAAGCACATGGTGCCCGAGCCTGGCAGCCCTTAGACGCTGGGGATGGGCCAGGGATCCCGACACCCTAGGCCGCAGGTATGGAGCATTTCCCACCCAGCTCGCTGGTGGAGGGCGACTATCCCCAGACCTAGGGAATCAGCTAAGCATCAGAAAGGCATGGCTGGCCCTCTAAGCTCCTGGTGATCCCTCCGTACCGAGAGAGACGGGGCGTGGATGGTGGGTACGCTCTAGACTCAAGGTGGAGGGCAAGCCCCGGTTGGATCTGGGGCTATCGCTGAAGCTTCCTCCAGGCCGCCCACTGGACACGGGCCTGCCGCCCCACCGGTGCACTCCCGGGCTCGCGCAGACCAAACCGCCAAACCTCAATTGCCAGAGGTTTCGCTTTCGCTTGTCCATTAGTCGTCCCTCTTGAACTCCTGGCTTTCCCGCCTTCCTACACCTGCCCTCACCTCACATCACTTCTACCTGCGAAGTCGTCGTCGTCTGTCGTCGCCGTCGATATCTTCCTTCGAAAATTGTCAGTAGGGTCACTCTCGCCCTGAAGCTGGCTGTGCCGAGCGTGCCCTGCGCCTAAACTTGCTGGTTCTTTGTCCGGAACTCTCCACCTGTGACAACGGTTACCACTCTCCCGGATTCCTTTCGACCAACCATCATCCTCTACCTCGAATTTCCTTCCAAAACACACCGAACACTGTCGTTGTGTGAAACAAACAGCCTGAGTTGGATTACAGTTGCGCCAAACAAGAAGCCAACCCCTCAGTGTACCAAAGACCTGCAGCGAATATCCAAGGAACAGATCAACACCACCATCCCACCGTTGCAGAGCCGCAACCCCCAGAGTTTTTGCTGTCTACATCAACACATACAACCTGTCCAGTAGGGACTTGATAGTGGAGGTTAGTGAAGTGTCCTTTCCCTTTTCACAATGTTATTCTTTGGTTCGATGGAAACTACCGACGGAGGCTCTTCCGCCGCTGCCAAACTTGGCTGGTACCAGGCAACCCCCAGCTGGGCAGACATATGTCTTCCAGCACAGTGGTTTAAACGAGCCGCACACATCATTCTGCATGTCCCATTTCTCTATTCTTTCCCTTACCCTCGGATCCCAACTTGGCCGGCCATGGCCCAAATCAATCCTCTCGTGGCGAGTGACATCCAGTCCAACGATGCTAACAGCAGCAATAGTGATTCACCTTGCAGGCCTCGTCTTCCCTCGCTTGCTAGTGCTGTGCCTATCGAACCGAAACCAATCGTTCCCTTTCCTCGGCAGAAGCCTACTTCATCTTTACCGCTACCACTCTGGGTCCCGGGTCAGTCTGAAATACTTTTCCTAGGACAGCGGGCTGCATTCTACTGGATCGAGGAGAAAAAGTTCATGATGTTGAAAGTCGAGAACGAGACCATTTCGGAGGTCGTCCGCACCACAGTGGGCGGCCGTCAACTCAGATACGTTCTCCATGTCATCCAGGAACCTGCCAAGGCTCGTGCTTGCGGCTCAGGACCAAGATGTAAGTACACAACGATCCTAGATGCGTCCTTCTGACTAACTGTGAACAGCGTCTGCAGATCGGCGCCCAGTCGACCCACCTCCTGTCGTGTCTCTAAACATCTTCGACATTGCCAAAGGCGAAGATGTCACAATGAGCTACGACTCGGGCTTCATGCTCTACGCTTCGCTTGAAGTTGCCCGCCCTATCGCCAACGGAAAAATGGCACCAGCCCCTCCTTGCCTGCCGGTCCTCACCGGTGTCTGCGTTGCTAGCACAGCCTACCTCGAGCGTCCTAATCGAGCTGGCTACTTCATCTTCCCTGATCTTAGCGTTCGACACGAGGGTTGGTACAGACTCAAGTTCTCCCTTTTCGAGCAAGTCAAGCACGCCAGCGACGCCGATCTCGATAGACCATTCAAGGGAGCGGAGACGTCTGGTGGGCAACCAATTCTCCATGAAAGCATGGCCAACCGAATGGAAGTCCAGTCAACACCCTTCCAGGTTTTCAGCGCCAAGAAGTTCCCGGGCCTCAGTCAGAGCACCGACCTATCCAAAGTTGTTGCGGAACAAGGTTGCAGAGTACGCATCCGCCGGGAAATCAGACAACGGAAACGCACGGCCGATGAGAAACCAGATGTTGATCACAGTCGCCACACACCTGACCTTTATATGGCTGGGCATCGCCGGGCGGACAGCCGGAACAGCATGGATGGTCATTACGCTGCCATGGATAGCATGCGTCGGGCCTCAATGGAGAGCCTGTATCACCGCCCAACCATCAGCCGGGCGCCATCAGTCACGAGCCTGCATCAAGCTAGCCCCACTACACCGACAGCCCCTCACATGGCTGCCATGCCGCCACCAACTCTCAAGGGTTGGGAGCATGGTCCATCTTCATACCACGCATCGCCCTACTCCAGGTACACTGGTGGCTACTACCAACCACCGTCACCTGTTCGACAAGCGCCACCACCACAAGAGCCCTTGACTCTTCCTCCCATATCGGCCAGCACTAGCACAGCGCCTTCCGCACCGTCCCGCTACTATCCTGCCTCCGAAACCACATCAACGAAGCGGTCATCGAGTCGTACATTCAATGATGACTATGCGATGAAGTTGGGAGCCAGACCAGATATGCCTATGCGCGCGGAGTCGGTCAGGTCGCATGGCTTCATCGAAGCCGACACCACCGAGGAAGAGGACACGGACAAGGGTGATTACTTCTACTCTCGAGCGAATGGTTCTCGAGGCTTGAAAGTTGCGCAGTTATTGATTTGAACGTGACTAACGAAATACCTCATCAAGCAGATCGATCGCTCGGCTAGGTGTTTGGAGTTACACATAGGGGATTTACACATTTTTCAACGGGAGAAACAGCACCGTCCTGTGAGCGGGGCTCATCAATAGTGAAAGATGGAATACGCTGCACATTGAGGGAGTAACAAGTGCCTGTCTTCTTATGGATACCATTTCTCGGATTGAGATCTTCTATGTGACAAAGGCTAGGGTCGGTCGGGTTTACGGAGTCGTGATACCGGACGGGTCACGGGATTCACGCAGTGATAAAGCAATTTAGGATAACCCCCGAGCAAAAAGGGGAATAACATCAGCTTCAATATTCAATCCTTGCATTCTCCTGTCGCTGTGTTACCGAACTTGCTCTGTCCCCAACGCACCAATCAATCCTTTCCGGCTATAAACCTCGTCATCCTTTGGACACTTTTTCCTACAATTTTTCTGATCATGCATGCACGCATCCTTCACCTGTCGGAAGCAATGACCAGATCTCTCAAAACCAAGGCCGCAGTCAAGGGCATCGTTACGAACATATGTTTTCTGCGGGATATGGGCTGCGCAGTCGAGGTCTCGAAATGGAGCAGAGAGGGTGTCTCGGCATATGTGTCGAGGAAGTGAGCCGGCAGGCGGGCAGTGCGTTCGACGACGCGTCCCTGGGGAACTGGGGGGACGGTGGCGCGTCTTTCGGGTCGTTGATCAGTCACTTGAAGAGGCTGAACAACAAAGGGCTTCTGCGCTCGGAGTTCTGGTCTTCTGGACAACAGGGCATGGCTTTGGAATTATGTCTTTGACTGCGGCCGCTACGTTGTATGCGGCGTGTATCATGACGCCCGTTGAAGCTATGGAGTGGTGCTGCTGCAGACTACCTTCACGGCTGTGGGCTTTTCCTTCGTGACACGGGCGGTCTTCATCTTTCATTCTACCCTGTCATCGCTCGGCTCGCAGAAGGAAATTTCGGCATCTTTGACTTCCTCTGATCTCGAGTTCACGTGAGAGTCGCATAGGTCTCGAGGACGGAGCCCGTCTTTGGACACGATGAAGCTTCAGTAGCGGCTGTCCAGCTGCCCACGACGGCATTTGAGCCCTCGCCACGTAAAGCAAGCCATTCGGTCTTCAGCGATTAGCGCTGCGTCTGAGTGTGCCTTGTATGCGATCATCTGCCGCCACCGTCGCCGTCACCGCCGGTGGTGAGGTTTGCTGTGGCTCGTTGGTACTGTTTTGTTCGTGTCTAGTGGAGACTTGAGCTAGTGCTCGAGCTGAGGGTGAGGAGTCAGACTGACTCGAGGCTTTCTTCGGGGTGGAGAATTGAAGTCGACGTGTAAAAGATGGATGAGTGGTTGGTAACTGCGTGGGAGAGGGATGCTAGGCTGTCGTTCCCGCAGTCAGGCGATGAGAACTTTTGACTGGATGTCGGTGGCGGCTACTTGGTGACTCGAAGATGTTGGACGTGGCGTGTCGGCGTTATAGGGGCTTGGATGGCGGAGATGAAGATTCGAGTTTTGAGCTTTCTTCGTGGTTTACGCATCGTGTCTGAGGAGAGTGTTGTTTGGTGGCTGACGAAAGCGGTTGAAGATGACTGTGGAACGCCATCCATCCATATATTGCTTCAGTGAGTTGCGAGAGCGGCAACGGACACGACAGCGACACACGGATCTGCTGTCGCCTTGACATCCACCCTCCGCCATCTGCATCCGCCTCGACCTTCTCAAATTTGTGCTCAGTCGCCTGACATACAGCAGTAGTGATCAATATACACTGGGCCCCTGTATGTATTTCAATTGACCATAACCAACAAGACTTCAACTTCTCTCTCTTCCCCAAAGCCCTTCAGCCCCTCAAGGGAGGCAGCCAAAGCAGCAGTGATGAAAAGCGTTTACGCATCATAACAGAAATTAAAAAATTACCAGTCAAGATCTCGAAAGACCAACTGGATCGGTCAAGGTTATGTAGTTTTCAACTAGCAATAACACGGCATCGGACGAATCCTCACTTGCACGCGTAAAACCCCTGCACTCGGTTGTGAAGAAGAGAAAGAAGGGGAGAGTGGGAAAGAGGGAGGGCAGATTTATAGGTTTGGGGGGGTGGGTGCCTGCTTGGCAAGGCTGAGGATATGCAGCTGCCTATGGAGACGAGGCTGCCGAATGAGTCAGATATGAGTCATCGGTCTCTAAGCCCGCCATTGGGTAGGGTACCTTGCTGAGAGGGTGCCTGGGTACACACACGTCTAGATCATGCTGATGCCAACTTTTTGACTGGTGATCGCCGACGCCGCTTGTGGTCACTCCCACGCCCTGCACAAAGACCGAGATCTCGAAACCGCGAGCGTTCGGAGCGACCTCAATGCAATGGCACGCGCCGCCAATGAGCGCGATGTAGCAGGACGCGAACACATACACTCGAGGCAGAATCCAACGACTATCTGCAGTTTCCAGCCTCACGGCAAGTCATGTAAGGCTGCATGCTCGCGTCCGTCATCAATTCGTTACATACTTGGCTGTATGCAGAGGCGAAGGTTGCTTGCCACTCTACTGTAGAAACCAGCCGGGCGGTACGTAGCAGGCCGGAGAATATGCAGTTCAAGGAACTGCTGGCGCCCTTTATGTGCCTTCAGCGTGTACGGTCTGCGATTCGGGTGACCAGTAGACGGTCGTGGTTAGGGGGAAGACTACACTGTCACTACCAGGGAAGCATGGTATACACACTTCCGGGAGAGTAGTAATGGAGATGAGGATGCTTGGAAATCTAACTGGGGCATTGTGCGAAAGTACGAATTGTTAGTCAGATACCTATATGTAGGTCTGCATCTTTGTACATCGATATCAACTCAGTACGGGATGGTGCGACTTATGTTACACCAGGCAGCTCCCGTGTCTCCGTCTCAGCTCCGTCTTCAATTTGATGTGCAAGCAATCGCGCTGCGGTTTCTGTGCCATCGGCTGACTACTGCGCTCCAGACCTGGCGCGCCATTAGACCTTCGACTTTGCCCTGGCGACCAGTTGTAGTAGTGAATAGCTCCATTGGCGCGGTCTTCATCGCCCTCTCGGTCCTCGGCAGTAGTTGAGCGATGCATGACTGCGAGCGCGTCCACTCTAGGCCTCGCTATGCTGAGCATCGATCGATGCGAGCATGCCAGGCGAGATCGTGATCGGGTGGTCAGCGACAGCATCGGAGTCAATCGCATGCGAAGCATCGGGTTCGTCAAGGATCTCATCGTCTTCGCATTGGAAAGGCTCGATCGCATCATCAGTCGATGGTTTCCAAGCATGGGCGTCTGTGACGGGGCCCGGGAGTTGGGGTATCGGGAAGCCGTCCGCTTCGCGATGGGCCAACAGGTTCTCCATCGTGTCGTCAGCCAGCCGTACCAAAGCCAATCAGTGGTGTTCGTCGTCCGAATCGGGATCATCGAGCAGTTCTTGCTCGTGACCATCGTCCTCCTTCTTCGCCGGTACAAAATCATTTTCCCAGTTATCAGCGAGGGATAGCGGTGGCGTAAATCTGCTCAGCCCGTCTAGCGCTTGGCGATCGTCGTTGTCGATTGCTGCGTTTTCGGAGCCAGGACGAACAAGTCCAAATACTCGCAAGCCTGCCCAAATGCCGCGCGGAATTTCAGGGAGGAACATGTTGCGGATGATGCAGGGTATGGAGGGAAGTCTTGTAATAATGAAATCGTAGGAGTAGAACCCCTCGGCCACCTTCGTTAAATTCTCTGAGTCTACTCGGTTGTCCTGGGGCCCGAGATCTTCAACAGGCTCCTTGTCGTCGTGGTCATCAAGGTGTTTGAACTGACTCGGGGAAGGGGGGCGTTTCTGAAAATGTTGATGATAGCGCTTGATCGCTTGGTGTCTTAGCGAGGGCATCGTTCGAGAAACGAGCGCGCTTGCTTGAAGGAGGAACCTCGATTTCATCGTCAGACGCGTTCCAAGCCTCGTGGGGGCGTTTGTGGCCAATGTGTATAGCCAGTGGGCGATTGTGGCTAGTCATACTGAGAGAGAATGCTTGCTGTAAGGCTCAGTTATCTTGGTCGTTCGTGAATTCGCGAGCTGTTGCAGGCAGAAAGAAGCTAGTGGTGCCGTGTCAAACGCGTGTTGCAGTGGTGATGTAGTCTGTAAAATCCTGCTCCCTTTCTGGAGCTCATGACAGTGACGAAGAACGTGGCAGAACAGCCAAGAAATGATGGTAGATGTGGCCTTAGCATACAGGCAGTTACACACTCAATCTACGACCTCACCACATCCACAATGGCATGGCTCCAAGAGTGCTATCACCTTTACTGTGAATAAATTGACCAGCGCCGTGGATAGTATCTCCGGACGCAGCTTATTCACGGTGAAGTAAGCAGGCCCTCATTCCTCTCTCGCGATGCGATGATGAGTGTCGGAGGTCCAGACGAGGTAGATATGATATAGGTTTGCAGCAGTACTCAAGCCCCTAGATGGGAACCTAGAGTCTTCGAATACTCTGCATTGATTTGGCGAGGCCCAGGTTAGAAGTTGAATGAGGCCGCTAACAGATGCCGTACCCAGATCCCCGGATCGAGAATGAGACTTCAAGTGTTCTGCTCAATATCGCCATTGGGCTTCCTGCTGTGCATCGAGGAGACGGTTTCGACGTGCTCAAGACGAGCCAGATCGAGATCGAATTCTGTGACGCCATGACGAGCAACAGAACTCGTCCTACCGGCAGCTGGAGACGCATGCGTCATGTCTGTCTTGACGCGAGACAGGTCAACGAAATCCGGAACATCGAGGTTATTCTGGCGGGCTGTGCTTGAGCCGCTAGACTTTTCGGCATCTGGTGGCCCAAATTCATCTTCACGAAAGTAATTGATGGTCTCGCTTCTTTGTCGGGTTCCGGCGTCGCCCCTCCCCACAAACTGGACCAGTTTTGAGAGGATGGCAAATTCGAGCTTGAGCTTGAGTGAGTATAGGAAGCCTTTGAAGATTGTTTCGAGAATGTACAGAGATGCAGCTTCCAGGCCCAGGAGACCAAGATCCATAATGATGATCAGTACGTTGATAGCAATCAGTTGATACATGAGTCTTCTTGTATTGCGCTGCACGGAAGACCGGAGGATCTTGACGGTTTCGATGATGTAGATGGACGAAAGAACGACCTCTTGGACGAAGAAGCCGCACATTTGAAGCTTTTCCATGACGTTATATCCATCGATAAAGGTTTGTATGTTTGCGTTGGAGCCAAAGGTCAAGACCGTGGTTGGAATGTGCAAACAAATAGCATTGACGATGATCATCCACTTGGTCCAGAGGAGGATCTTGTCGCCTCGCCCTCCGTGGACGACGAGATGCAGCCTTGACCAGAGAACTATGGCTTGGCCGGTGACCATGGGGTACCATCCGATGCTCAGGAGGAAAACCGAAGCCCATCTTGCGCTGCCAGTCAAGATGTTGAAGTATTTGAACAAGAAGCCAAGTGCGTAAGGAATGATACCAACGCCAGAGACGACCAGAGACCAGAAATATAAACCGCGAAACCTGCCATAATCAGTCGAGAAGGCGAAGTCGACCGGAGCTTACTTACTTTTGGAAAGTGCCAAATATCAAGACCAGCAATTCCAGAACGTTGTAAATGGCCAAACTTAGGAAGAAAGCAATGCAGACCTTAAGTGCTAGCGAATTGCCCTCATAACCACCAGTGATGCCTGCTCCGGCAGACGACGGACTGCTGGATGATGCTGTAGGCGACGAGTCGGATTCCATTATCGACCTCGAGAAGTGCGTTGGAGCTTTCTCACATGGTTAATCGCAAGGCAGCTAGGAGCCACTTCGTTCCCAAGATGTCGTCTGCGCAAGTTCTCGAGTCCACGGCGCAGCGCAGCGCAGCGCAATCATAGCCCAAGGTGAAGTGGTCGTCGTCGATTGAGAGCAAGTTAGACGGAAGGACAAACTGCTGGGTGGGTCGTCTGATGGCAAGAAATGCGACGCTGTCAGATCGCGACGATCGCAACTGAAGAGCGGATGAAATTGGCAGTCCGGCTTGCCAAGCGTGCGCTCCAATTTCAGGAGGGGTCCCATGGGCTTTGATTTGCGCCCGGATTCCCGAGAAGGGCAAGCCTACGAGGAGGCGCCAGAACCCTGGAATACGGGGACGGCCTAGATCGCGGGGAAGAATCTCGTCCGCCTAAACAGGGGAGTGGTTGGCGAGCCACGGCACGGTTCAATAGTTAAGACAAGGCGAAGTTGCCGTGTCGGATTCTCAGACCAGCCGCCGGCGATGCCTTGGAACCCCCCATGCCACGACGAGCAGGGCCGAGCCAAGCGGGAGCCCAAAACAATAATATCAAGCATCAATGCGCGCTCCCGGGTTGCTGCATCTGAGACTTTCCCGCTCGGGGGCATGTACAGTGAACCCCCGAAATAACGTGGTTGCACAAAGTAAGGCTTGAGACCTCGACGCAGCGGGATGTTACTTAGAGGCTGCCACCTACTGCGCGGCTTGACCCCCACCCCCCACCCGCCTCGACCACCTGGTTCTGATATCGCAGGTCCCCCATGCCATTGTCGTTGGCGAATTGATCTCCTTGCGATCCTTACATGTTCATCTGCCGAGCAGCTTGTTAGCTTATCTGATCGCTCACACGTGGCTAAAGGCACGCTGGGGCTGCGAGTCATGGCACCCGGTGATTGGTCGCAATGCATTTCCGTGCGCGACTGTCGCCGGAACTTGCGATGACAATGCTCGAGTCCCACCGCAAATTCATGTGGCTAATGCTAAGTGCCGGAGCCGCATGTACGATAGTGACCTCATCATGATGGCCATCAAACTGTTTGGCGAGGAAACACCACGTCACATTCGTGTTGATGTTGTCGGCAGCTGGAAGAAATAATTTGCTGTCCGGACTACTTATGCTTCTGCTGTGCACAGAATAACCCGGTGGTAAGTCACTGAATACTAGTCTACACATTACTCCGAAAAGACACTTCAAAATGGCTCTCTCTCAGGCTGCTGCGCTCGTTGAAAAGGTCATCGGCCATGGCGGCGAGGCCACCACCGAACAGAACCTCACGAACCCGTCCAAAGATCCTGGCAAGTACGCCGACCCGAGTGGTGAGAAGATGAAAGCGCTGGTATGGAATGGCAAGAATTCAGTCAAAGTTATCGAGACGTTCAAGCCTGCCAAAATCGAAGACACCGACGTTATCGTCAAGGTCACCGGTTCGACGGTATGCGGCTCTGATCTCCACCTTCTCCACGGCACTGTTGTCGAACTGCAAAAGGGTGATATCCTCGGCCATGAGTTCTGCGGTGTTGTTGACTCGGTCGGCCCTGCCGTCAAAAAGGTCAAGGCGGGCGACCGAGTGGTGTGCAGTTTCCAGATTGCATGCGGAAGTTGCATGTACTGCAAGAAGAAACTCAGCAGTCAGTGTGAGAAGACAAACGACAACACCATTGAGAACGTCATGTATGGCGGCCGGACAGCCGGTATGCTTGGATATTCTCATTTCACAGGGGGCTATGCCGGCGGCCAGGCCGAGTACGTAAGAGTCGCATACGGCGATGTCAACCTCCTACATATTCCAGAGGGTGTGCCGGATGAGAAAGCCCTTTACCTCAGTGACGTTCTGGCTACAAGCTGGAACTGCGTCGTTGACACTGGCGTCAAAGAGGGCGATGTCGTGGCAGTCTGGGGTGCTGGGCCCATTGGTCAGATGTGCGTTGACTTCGCTTTCATGTGCGGTGCGAAGCGGGTCATTCTGATTGATGGTGGCGCCGGCTCTTGGAGACTAGACTATGTCAAGAGCAAGATTCCCAAGACTGAGACGCTCAATTTTACAGACCTACCAAAGGGTGAGACTATCACGAGCCAGCTCAAGAAGATGGAGCATGGCGGCCCGGATGTCGGTCTCGAGTGCGTTGCCGGCGAGTATGCGAGTAAGCCGCCCCCCCCCCCAAAACACTACTTGAATCAATGCTGATCAAGTCTCTCAGAGGGCTGGGGTCACTATTTCGAACTCTTGCTCGGAGCTGAGACTGACACCAGCGAAATCATCAACGAAATGATTGCCAGCGTCAAGAACTTCGGCCGTGTGGGTGTGACTGGCGTTTACGTTGGCTTTGTACGTCCCAGCACCTCCCTCTTTGGTTCACCACTAATTATGAATAGATGAACCATTTCGCCATCGGCTCGCTTATGGAGCGTGGCATCCGCCTCATCGGAAATGGTCAAGCACCAGTGCATCTTTACTGGGAGGAACTGCTCAAGAAGATCCAAGACGGTTCGATAGAACCTCTGAAAATGGTCAGCCACCGCGTCCTTCTCGAGGAACTGGAAGAGGTCTACAAGAGATACGATGAGCGTGAAGAGGGCATGCAGAAAGTCTTTGTTCAGACCAAGTTCAGCTTCCCACCTTCCGAAGGCGCTCCGCAATTGACCAAGTACGGTACTGCCTAGAGGAACCTTTCGGCAATGAATGGTTCAGATCTCGAATGAACAAAGTCGGAAAGCCGACTCGGTACCGATACTCAGATACGGGGCATAGACTTATAATTTCAATCAGTCGCACAGAGTAATCATAACTCTCCAGACATCCGCATGTCCGGAATCGCCCACGAGATCACTTTCCCCATGAAGACCAGGTTATGCAAGTGTAGAGCACCGTCTAGTCTTGGCAATTACAAGCCAGTAAATGCACACCTCTCAGGAAGACGAGCATGCAAACTTACTGACTCACTACAGTAAAACCAGCCTCCATCCGTTGCCGCTGCACAACCCCTGCCAGCGCGGGGGTACGCTTCCTCGGTCGGCACTGCCGTCCATGCACCCCTCTTCAATGATGTATACCGAGGCAGCTTTCGGAGACACCAGTCCGTCCAACTAGCCGATCAGCGGGCAGTAAAGACCTCCTACGCAATGTACGACACGGTTGCAAGAGTAGTAGGTTCTAGATTCCACAGGGACAACCAGCTCCACGGCCTAGCCTTCAAGCTTCTCGTCTGTTAGCTTGACACACTGACACTTCAACCTCCAATTGTCGGGGTAACCTTCGGTACCGAGGATATCAGAGCTATTCCAAAGCATCTGTCCAAGTTCTCAAAGACACATATAGCACCCCTCCGTGAACAGCTTCATCATGACCGACAACATCACGAAGCCACTCCGCCGTCTCTCCCAACTCGCCGGCTCTCTGACCGGCTTGACCACCATGGCTGGCCCTGAGATCCCTGTAAGTGAACCCTTCCCTTCGCAAGTTGGAACACAGGGACCATGCCAGCTGCCTTGTGCATCATTGTCCACTCGAAAGTCCAGAACCAGTCGTTCAAGCCTACCCGTGACAAAGCCTGTTCACACCCACCTCATCTCTCCCGGCCCCATCACCACTCCAGCCACCCACTGAACCCCCCGTTCCCGTACAGTTCGATCCCAACAGCACCACCTTCCCCCGCCGCGCCGACGTCCCGCTCCTTCCCGGCGCCCCCGAAGGCGCCTGCTGGGTGTGGGGCCCGTCCGACAACCTCGGCCGCCTCAACCTCCTGACGCCCACCCGCATCGCCGCCGCCGCCAAGGCAAGCATCGTGACAGGCGAGTCCGCCCGCCTCGACCTCCCGCTGCACGTCCCCGCACAACCCGCCTTCGGGCGCCGCGTCTTCGAGCACCGCATCAAAGCCATCCATGAGGGCGTCGCCTACGACGACGAATACACGCTCAACACGCAGAGCGGCACGCAATGGGACGGCTTCCGGCACGTGGCGCACATGCCGACGCAAACCTTCTACAACGGGGGCAAGGCGGGGGATTTCCGGGGACCCAAAGGGGACGAGGAACCGGCGGGGAAAGGGGAGGATAACTTGAAGAATAGCACGCATTGGTGGAGTGAGGGGCGCGGGTTTGCGGGTCGCGCGATCCTGTTGGATTATAGGAGGTACGCGGAGGGGAAGGGGATCAAGTATGACACGGCGACGAGCCATGCCATTACTCTGGACGAGTTGCGCAGGTGTGGCGAGAGTCAGGGGCTGGACATCAGGCCGGAGAGTCAGGGTGGGGATGTGAAGCCGGGAGATATCTTTTTGATTAGGACCGGGTGGACCCAGGATTACTATGCGCGGAGTGACGAGGCGAATCGGCGGTTCGCGCTGCGGGAGGGGGGAGAGCAGAAGTTGGTGGGAGTCGAGCAGAGCGAGGAGATGATCGATTGGTTGCATGACTGCTGGTTTGCCGCCGTGGGAGGAGATCAGCCGGCGTTCGAGAGGTGGCCCACGCCAGAGAAATACCTGTTGCATGAGTATTTGTTGGCCCTGTGGGGGTGTCCGATTGGAGAGATGCTGGATCTGGAGAGGGCGGCCGAGGTTTGTGCCCGGTTGAAGAGGTGGACGTTCTTCTTTACGTCGGCGCCTGCGAGGTGTGAGGGCGGAGTGGGGAGTCACGTTAACGGTACGGCAATCTGGTGAGATAAGGGAAGAGCGGAGATGCAAGTTAAGATAGTTGGGAAGTATTCTTGATTGGAGCTATCTTGGGCTCTTCAAGCGATCTTGGGGATATTCATCACCACGTTTTCTCTCGCCTTCGTTGCAAGTTTGAATCAGAAACGCCGTTGCTGCACACATCACCCTTCTAGTTGGTGTGAAGAGTCTCGATGAAGACATCGGCGGGCTTGGCTGGCTTGCCTCCCTCCTTGAGGCTCTGCTGGCCAAGCTTGTCCTTGGAGTACTGAGCGGCATAGGGGTTGAGGCGGAGCAGCACCTGTCTGTTGCGGAGAGGATTCTTCTTCTGCACGGCAGTGCGCTTGGTAGTGGCGTAACCCTTGGGCTCGTTTAGCACGGACTGCACTTCGGTGCTGTTGATGAGGCGGGTGATGTCGGCGTTGGAGACGACGTTCTGGGGCAGAAGGAAATCCTTCTTGAGAGACGAGGCCTCGGTGGTGGAGCCGTAGATGTCGTCGAGAGCAGCGAAACTGCCAGAGGTCCAGATGACGAAGCGGCCGAGGTGACCACCGGGAGCCAGCTGGAGGAGGTTGAGGGAGAAGACGGAGGCGGTGTCAACACCAGGAATGTTGCGGAAAGCCTTGACAAGCTCCTTGCCATCCGTCTCGGGGTTGTAGACCACGAGAGGTCCACGTCTCTGGCGGTGACGACGGCCACGGAGCTTACCCTTACCAGCACGGAGCTTGCGGGACTTCTGAACCTTGACGATATCTGGACCAGCACCGACAGCCTTCAGGAGCTCAGCAGCAGCCTTAGTCTTGACAAGAGCGGCGGCCTCGAAAACCTTGGAGTTGATGACGAGGGGGACTTCGGAGACATTGGAGATGCGGTGTCCGCGGGCGAGTAGCAGAGCGGGAACAGCACTGGCAGCGATAGCCGACGCGGTTGCAAAGCGTCTGCAGTTGTTAGCCTTGACCACTACCTCTATTCACCATCGACTCACCTCTGACCCTGGTTGATCTTCTGGTGCCACTTCCGCCAGACCTTGGTGGGAGCGAACATGCGACCGGAGCGGCACTGGTTACCGAAAGCAGCCTGACCAGCGCGGTGAGTACCACCACCAGACACACGAGGGATACGGGCGACAGCGCGACCTGCAAAATGTTAAAAAATCGTCCTCTGCTCTCGCTTCGCGTTGAATGCGTACCGGTACCCCAAGACTCAGCAGAGGTCTGCTCGCCTGCCTTCTCGCTCACAGCATAGGGCTGTCTCTTGTTCTTGGCCATGCCAGTGTGGACGGTCCTGTAGAATTATGAGCCTCACGTTGCGCTTAGTTGTGGATTTCTTCGTACTGGACAATATCGGGTCGGATGGGAGCGCTGAAGACAGCGGGAAGAGGGTGGGTCGAGCCGCTGGCTTTGCCATCGCCGCCGATGATGCCGACAGTAGGACGTCCGGACATCTTGAGAGATTGCTGTGGGATTAGTTGTTGTTGTAGAGACTGGCAGCAATGTCGAAGTTGTTCGCAGGCTGCGGTAAATCGGAATTTCAGATGTGTGCTTGGCACGAAATCATGAAATCTTGGCTGCTGGGAATGGATTACATAATCAACGGCGGATCTTATCTGCCATTAGTGCAGTTAGCACACGTACCTACATCGATCAACTCGACATACACGGTGAATCCACCTTTTATCTTTCTTCAATTTAGCAATTCTCGCGAGAGCAGTATCTGCGTGACCTATGAACCATCTAGGATGTGGCAAGCCAATGTAGACGGCAGTGAGGTCATCTGTTGGGAAGGATGGGCCCTTGTCTTCCAGACGCCTGCCAGACCTGGACCAGGCTGTTGCTGCATCCTAGCTCGCAGTCTAATATCTGCTCTGGAAGGTACTGAGGATCCATTTGCCTTACGGAACTAGATGATGCAGTGCTCTAGCTGTGGACCTCGCAGCTGCTTCTTGAAGTCTGTATCGCGACGCTTTTGACCAAGCATTCCCACCTAACCACTTTGCCATTGCTCGTGTTTACAGGCTCGATGCTCTCAGGCGCGTCGCACGAACTCCCGAAACCTACCCTCGTCGGTCACACAACTGCGAACTGAAAAGCCACCAGCTCCGCCACACGCTTTGCTGAAATGGCGGCCCGCCTCCCCTGTCTGGACCGAGGAATGCTAGTTGCCATAGTTCCGCGTTCTGGAAACACATTCCTGCGGCTGCAGTACCACGCCGAAATGGGCACGATGCAACGCAGCGTGAGGGTGGCGGGTTGCCTCATTCAGGCGACGGCCCCCATCTGGAGGCCGTGGAAGCATTGCAGCCAAGGGGCCTCACAAAATCAAGAAAGCAAGGAGAAGGCGAGTATCAGAATAAGGATCATTTTTCTTGTGGGAAGTCAATTTTTTCATTGATTGCATTGCCAAACACTGGCAGTTATCCGTTTGGGACGGTTGTCTCTGGGAAAGGAACGGCCCTAGTGGCCGCCTCCCCCTTCCAAATCCCCGCCCTCCCTCTTCCTGAGAGATGTGTCGCTCTATCTCTTTCTTCAACGCTGGATGCACAAATTTTTCGTCGTGAACATGAAGCCGTTATGGAAAACACAAAAAGGTATTTTTCGCCATGCAGAAAAAGGTGGGAAAGCCTTGATGAGAGAAAAAAAGGCTTCGTAATGCTGGTGGTGGTGGTACAAGTGAAGCAAGGCCAAGTTTCGCTATTTTTTGGAAGTCGTGAAAAGAAAGCTCAAGCCCGATCAGATCAGATCAGATCAGGGATTTTGGGCATGTCGCTTTGTTTTAGACGACGATACGACGAGGCTCGCGCTTGTACTTGGGGACACCGCCAAGGCGCGACATCTGGAAGTTGGCAGAGGCGCCTCCGGGAGTGCATTGCATGCCGGCAGCCATGGATTGGGTGACGGACCAGACGCCAGAGGCGCAGCGCTGGAATGATTGGCCGCCGGGAAGACAGAGCCAGGCTCCCTCGTCGGTGCAGGCGGAGCCTTGGGGCTGGGCGCCGGAGATGCTGCCGCCAGAGGAGGCGGGGGGCGCAGAGGCGGTGCCGGTGCTGGCGGGAGGAGCAGCAGGGGCCGAAGCAGCAGGGGCGTCGCCCGAGGGGGCAGAGCCGACATCAGGAGGCAGGGGGTTAGCACCGGTGGCGAAGGAGCCGGGAGCGCCGGTGCGAGTGCCGCCCTGGCCGCCAGAAGGAGGTTGTTGAGGCTGCTCGGGTTGTTGGGGCTGGCTACCGGTGGGAGGCTGCTGAGGCTGACCGCCGGCGCCGCCACTAGGCTGAGCAGAGCCTGGGTTGCCGCCGGCACCACCAGTAGGAGCAGTGGCAGGAGCAGACGAGGGTTGAGTACCGGAACCAGGGCCGGAGCCACTAGCAGCACCAGTAGGCTGAGGAGCAGGGTTGTTGCCGCCAGCGCCGCAAGCTAGGTTGGTGTAGGGACCAGTGCCAGCGGATTGAACCTCCTGACCGGGGTTGGGGTAGTTGTAGTCAAAGGACTCGGGAGTCTTGCAATCGTTGACGCTGGCGAGGTTGGCAACAAACATGTCGGGGAACGAGGATTGACGGCGGGCAAGAGAGACGCCAGCAGGGGCGTAGCGCTTCTTCTTCGCACCAGTGACAGTGGCGGGACCGCAGTTCATATAAAACTCGCGGTTACCGATCTTGTTGATCCAGGTCCAAGCAATGACATACTCGCCAGGAGCGATACCCTCAGGGATGGTGTACTGGAAGGTAGAAGCGCCGGAACCGTTGGGGTCAGCGGGCAGGTTACCGGCGACGGAAGCTGGGCAACCACCCTCGATGGACTTGATGACCATCCACTTGGAGTCCTTGGTAGGCTGGAGGTCGGTGGTCAAGCTGACTTGGCAAGAACCTCCACCGTGGACGGCTGAACCGGTGAAGGAAAGGGTTTGAGACTCGCCAATGGCCATAACGTTCTGGACGCTGCTGCGGTCGTAGGGCCCACCCTTGCAGGGGAAATCGGAGCCGGAAGCATCGAGAGGGCTGTTGTTGGGGTTACCGAATGGCTTGGGGGTCTTCATAACCATGTGGGCGTTGACGAGGGAAGCGCAGGCGAGGAAAGCCGTGAGGGCCATCTTCGAGAAGGAAGGCATCTTGGTGGAGGGTTGTGTAGATCTCAGGACCAGCCGTGGATCTGTTTGTGGATAGGTTGTGCTTGTAGTGAGTGGATTGGCACTTGTACCAGGAACTCTGGGGTCTGGTATTAGCAGTTGGTAATGAAGGCCAACGGGTTTGGGGGTAAAGAGGGTTTGTTGTTTGGTGAAGTATTAGGAGGGAGCTAGAAGGGTCGAGATATTTATCGACTCGAATGCAAAAGTCGCAATAAAGCGGGCTCGACAAACGGGTCTCGGTGGTGACAATGGCGGGGAGACAATGGCAGGAAGACAATGTGGGCAGTACGTCGTAGTGGCAACAAGGCAACAATGGAGCGGCAAAAGGCTTTTGACGGTGGAACAAAGGATGTGGATGACGAAGATGGCGTACCTTTCTTTGGCTTTGAGGCTGATTGTCAGGAACCGAAGAGTCGGAATTCTAGAACAAAGTGGCCGGTCTTGGTGAAGGAATGGTCGCTGACTTGTCGCTGGGGTGAGAAGGAATGAATGTCTGCCGCGGGCGAGACTGGGGGGTTGTCAAGTCAACTGAGATGTGGAATGAGGGTAAGGCAGGACTAGCCTGGCGCGCACAACGAGAGGAGGCAATGAATGAATGAAGACTTGCTTGAGGAGGAGGGAAAGCCATTCCTGTGTCTGGCGAGGAGTTCTATATACCCAAAGAGGAGGAGGGGGGTGACAAGGTAGCTGCAGGATTGTCGGCTAGCTAGCACGCGTGCACGACATGGGTTGGTGGGTTGGTGGGTCTGTGCCGACAGATCTGGTCCTACGAATCACCTTCGCCACAACTCCTTCAACACGATCTGGTGCGCGGTAGAACATACCAGGGCAGCCTGGATGCCGACTCCTGAATGGCCCCCGCGGTCTGCCACCGTCGACAATATGGAACAGCCGACTTTCTAGACTTTGAGGTGTCACCATACCAGCACACGCGGTGCCGCTGGTGTTGCTGCCGAATCAGAATGTGTGGTCTCACTGCCCCTTAGCCATCCATGCTTAGGCAAGCTGATCCTTGGGAGACCCGCATAGCGATGGCAAACACTGAGAGGCGAAGTATTGGCTGTGCATTCTCCCGCTTGGCAGGTACCCGCAAGCTTGACCGGGGTGAGGACGGCGTGGACTGAGCTAGCCTTCACCCTTGGGCAAACCCCTGGATGAGGCTGAAGGCAAGGCTTCGGCCCAGCAACATTCTTGCCCCTATTTGGGTCAGTGTGGGCCAATGACGATACAGAAATGTACCAAGTCTCTGGACACCACGCCGCAAGAGGAATGGTGCCCGGCATGGAGAAACATGCGAGCTCGCGTCTCGTTTTTGCCAACCTCGCGCCGCGGCTCCCCTTGAGAAATGACTGGCCTCTTCTGGATTTTCTCTGCGACGTCAAACGTTTCATGCCATCCCGACCTCACCGTGATGGACCTTTCATCCTCTCCACTCCTTACCGCCGCGATGTGCCTTTTCGGCGCATCCCCGAGAGACCAAGCTACGAGGTAGTACCACCCAACGTTCTGGCATGAACTACATTGCAACCTGTGGTCTTTCGACGAGTGTCGGTCTGAAAATGGTCGAAGCATACACAAGAGCCGCATGACTAAACGCGCTGGATCCGGCAGGAGCATGTCTCTTTCTTTCCCTGGGTGCACATCCTTTTGGTACGCGCCGCACCCGTCCTCAATTGTTGTCGAGATATATCGATACATGACATAACAGAGATCGGCCCCGCCTCCACAATGTGACTGGAGCCTCGCAAAGCGAAATTGCTCCCAAGTCCTCAAAAGCTCGCCTTTGCGCCGCGCGATCGTATGTCGTAAGCTAGGCAGCAAGCAGTGAGTGACCCGAGAAAAGGCAAACTAGGCCAGACTGTCCCCTTGACATGGCTGCCTCAGGAGGAACTGTCCATCTCAACGACAAACAAGATTTACGCAAGGCAAACGCAAGCCTGGCGCTTTCGCAAGGATCCTGCCAACGCGATCGGCCAATGCCTCTGGGATGTTACTCCAGCTCTGCGGCATTTGAAACGCAGAGCCCCTAGTTTGACACCCATGTCACAGTCACGTTGTTTGCTCAAAGCATTTGTTCGGTCCGGCAGTATCCCATTCGCGTCCGAGATTACCGTTGCAGCATCAGGATGACCCAGAAGCAAACCTTCCTTGCATGTCTTGTCGATCGGTTTGCTTGACAGGACGAAGATCCTTCTCTGCCTGCCAAGTCTTCAATCTAACATGATACTGAAGCACCTCACATGTCCCTTGCGGATGATTTTGGACGACTCGTAAAGCAATAGTCCATTCAGCATCGGGCGAGCGTCCCGAGGAGATGGCATCGACTGCGACAGCATCGCTAGACAAGGACCAGCATCAAGGACATCCCTGGTCTTCAGCAACTCGGGCTTGTCGGCGAGCTTGGACCAGATGTGTCGGCACCACCATCCCTGTGATATCTGCATGTGGCTACGGCTAAGCACAATTGTGGCGAGGTAGCATCGTGACAGCAAGGGGAAGACTTTAGTCGACGGTACCGTGGGTCTTGTTGTTGTTGCTGCTCAGGGACGTGAGGCTCTTTGTTGCGCACATCTAGGCCACAGTGACATTGCTCCTGGGTGTTTTGTAACCTGGGGGCCTGTAGCACAGTGAGCCATCGCAAATTGGATCAAACTGAATTCCAATGCATGGGTACAGTTTATCTGTTTTTGGCCTATAGTCCGCGGGCATCTTTCCGAAAGATCAATTCCACAGGACCTGGGCAACATCCGCAGAGAGCGAGGTTAGCAGTGCGCCCTTGATGGCGCACAATCGACTGATCGCCTCTGTCTGAGAAGTCACTTACCTCGAGTGTCGACTCGACGCCGAAAAGCCAGAGCAATCTTTATCTCGCAGTGCTTCTGCATATGCAGCCTGCAAACCCAATCGCGTTTCGTGGACCAATGCATGCCATTTCCTCTGCTTCTGTCACCTGTTCGTTGCTCTGACATGTCATCCTTGGCCCATCCCTTGTACCGATTACACTGGTAAACGCTGATTGCGGCATCTGGTTCACGTCTCACTCATCACAAGCCGATGTGTTTGATCGAGACAGAATGGCCGTTGGAAGGTGATACTGGCCAGAGGAGGACAGAATGCTGTGCCCGTAACACCAAAGAAAAGAGACGACAAGACCTCATACGTGCTCGCCGAGAGGAGTGCGGTATCTATATTCACGCTCGGGGCCCTTGCATATTTTCCTGCAAGACAAGGGCAATGAAACATATTCTCCTTTGCCTTCCATCTACAGTGAGAGGCGCTGGCAGTTGACTGGCCCTGTTCTTAGACGCTCGTCTGATGCGTGCCATCTCGTGCGACCGCCACAGCATTGCAGCGATAATTTCAGAGCCACTTTCGAGCCGTTGAGACGATGTTGGCAGCTGCCGGACAACCCGTGTTCCGGGCAGGCAAGTGCCACAGATGGCAGTTGCTTCAACTGCTTGCTGGAGTGTCAGTGATGCTCTCGTCTTGTCCCCAACCATCCTCGTAGGATCCACGAAAACCGAGCTGGTTGATAGAGAACAAACAAATCTTGCCTCGGTGACTATACTGGGCCCCGGCCGGCGATGTTTCGGCAACCCTCCGAACAGCCTAGAAAATTCAGCCTCGCCACCTAGAAACACGCGAGACATGCCCCGGCTAAACGTTTACAGGCGCCTAAATGGCTCGTCCATACCTAACGCAGCAATACTCAGCGGTGTGTCGGGGCGCGCCGGGGGCTCTCATCCACCCTGTAGCCGCTAATTGCACAATTCCTTCGCCGCCCTGACTAACAAACTCGCTGCAGGCGCTTTCGGCGGTGGTCTGATAGCTACCAATAACCGCACAGGCGAATATGCCTCTGAACGGCAAGGCCCAGCAGGCCCACTGGACCTTGGAACGTGCAAGTTGACTGCCCGGAAACCGCTGCCGGTCCGTTTCCCGAGGCCTATCACAGCATGTAAGCGGTATGGCCTGATGTCATAAGCTTTTTGCAGCTACCAAGCTCTTTTTGCGACACCACCACCTTTCTCCGCGCGAGGCCATTACCTAACACGAGGCGCGTGTTTCATTTCGCTCACTACACAGTGCTTGACATATAATCCACCGGCCGCTGCGTTGTAGCAGTGAGCTTATTGGTACCACTCGACCAAGCTACCTTTGTCCAACAACGTGCAAAGCGCACCCAATAGCTTTAGTTGGAGAAGCTTGCGACCTCTGCCGTGGCGGCGAGCGTTGACATCACCCGTATAACAAAATTGACGAGAAGTCGACCGACCTACGTAATCGAGCAGACCTCCAGGCTATCGCCCGGTCCATCCAGATCTGAGCTCATACCAGCTTTCTCTGGTCTTGCAGCCATTTTCTAGCACCAACATCAGACCACCTCCAACTCCGCCATGAAAATCCTCACCAAAGAAGAGGAAGCGGCCCATTACCGCGAGACCCTTAAGGGTGGTGCCATCGGCGGCTTCTCAGGACTCGGTCTGGGCCTTGCTGGTGTAGCAATTGCATCAGGCCGTTACCACTTCTTTCGCACACTCACTCTACCTCTAAAAGCCTTCCTCGTTACCTCAGCCGGCACCTTCGGCGGAATTGTTGCGGCTGACCACTGGTCAAGGAAATTTGAACAAGACCGTAATCCGATAGATCGCGAGTACCAAGAAAGCCAAAAAGAGAAGAGGGAGGAGCAGGTGGCGGGGAAAACCTTTACACAGCGAGCGATTGATTTTGGCCGGGAGGAGAGATACAAGATTGTCGGTGGCTCCTGGATTCTCTCTATGGTCGCAGCGTTTTCGATTGTCAATCGAAACAAGTATCTCACCGGCGCACAGAAGCTTGTACAGGCCCGTGTCTATGCACAATTTCTCACACTCGGCGTTCTCGTGGCCTCGGCAGCGTTCGAGATCAGCGATCAGCGCCAGCAGACGGGACGATGGGAAACAGTCAAGTACATTGACCCTAGCGATCCGGAGCACAAACGCATCATTGAGAAGGAAGTCGAGGTGAAACAGGGCTTCGGTGGTGAGAAGGAAGATCGGTCCGGCCGAGACCGGTGGAAGGAGATGGTAGATGCTGAGGAACAGCGCTTGAAGGGCAGGCAAGACGATGAGAAGCGGTGGAAGAAGGACGCAGAAAAGAGGCACCACAGCGCAAATGGGAAGAAGAATGGGAAGAAGGAGCAGCACGATGAGGATAAGGAAAAGAGCGACTCCAAGGCCGAGGACAAGAAGGGAGAAAAGGCCCAAGACAAGAAGGACTGAAGCGATTCAATCAACTCTGACGGCTTGGGTCAATACCACCTCGAGGTCGTCGCCGTCCGATCATACGCCACCCTCGCCTGGCACGTCGAGGACCCGATTCATCGACTGCATCTTCGGCATGACAAGCAAGCAACCCGAGCGCGATACTTCTCGATAGTAGCTCCCCGGCGCTCCCGCCGACAATCCAGTCAGCCAGTGCCAACAACTTTGACACGATAACGATCTCCCTAAAAATACTTGTGTATAAAAATCTGCTCGGTAGCAAAGCAATATATTATGCCTCCTATCTTGGTTCTGGTTCCTCTACGGAGAACACACGTCTCGAAGCACGGGTGAATATAGATGTAAAAAGTGAAGGGCCAAGTCCGGCAACTTGCCACGACACTTCCCTTCCCTTGTCCTCGTTGCACTGCGAGCCCGATTTTCGCGACGTGTTTCTCGTTGGCGAATGCGCCGGGATATTCGCCTTTTCAAGGTCTTACAAGTTGGCTGGCTAGCTGGTAGAAAGTAGCGCCCCCTTTCACAGTACCTATCGTCTCGACACCGTCACGCATAATCTGCAGAGTACAAGTGGTTGAAAGCCGTCCCTTCGAAGGGTATCGCATCTATAAGTGTATAATCGCCCGACGTGAATCTGTCTTGGTCGGTCTCGGCGCTACGCAGCACATCCCTTCAATCTACAGTTCATGCTCGAACTCCTCTTTCAGACTCCCGTCCAAGGCCATCCACGCCTCCACGATCTTTAGGCCGCGTAAGCGCTCCTGCTCAATGCGATGCCAGTCCCACTCGCCCACCACTCCATCTACTGGCCCCGCGGCCGCAGCCGCGACGGGATCTCGAATCTCCTCTGCCTCTCCTTTGACCTTCTCCAGCTTCTCGACCACCGCCTCCACCCCCTTGGCCGCCGTGTCCACTGCCGGCGCCAGCACCGGCGTCTGCGCCTCCGTCTCAACATTGGACGGCACCAGCACGCCGCTGGCCTCGACGCCGCGCTCCGCATCCACTCCCTCGGGCCGGGCGGGCAGCCAGCCCGCCACCTGAAGACAGTGCTCGGGACTAATGGTCCGCCGGCCTCGCTTGATCACGTACTTGCTCAGCGCGCTCGCCAGCAGCGTCTCCTTGCCGCCCCTGGGCGCTGGCCTCACGAACCAGCTGCCAACCAGCAGCCACTTCCGATCCCACCCAATGATCCTAGAACGGACTTCGTACGTCGAGTACATTTTGATTTCTTTGTGAAAACTGGTGTGAACGGAGCCGAGGATGATGCTCAAGCGGCCCTTATTGGCGCCTGACTGCTGCTGTTCAGGCTTTGGTGCCTTCAGGCCCGCACTAAGCAGACGCGTACACAGCGCCGTGCGCGATTCGTCCAGGTCAGTGAAGTAGGTGGAATTGGACTTGTGGAGGTTGTAGTCGCCTTCGAGGAGAGGGGAGGAAGTGCGGATCGTGGCGGGCGCGAAGATGGGGTGGACGGCATTGGCGGCGGCGGCGGCGCGGAGCGATTGCGTTACTTGCTGTGGCGTGAGCAGGTTGCGCACGAAGCGGTAGGTGAGGCGGAAATGCCAGGCGAGCGGGAGGGATTTCAGGTTCGTGACTAAGAGCAAGAGTGCGAGCGTCCGCCAGGTCAAGAGGACGGATGTGAGACTGTGGAGGTTGAGCGTGGATAGGAATTGGAAAGGCATGCTGGCAATGGCGCGTGGTTGTGGCATATTGAACGAACTGCAGGCCGTCGAGGCCTGTCCTGATATACAAGAAGATGAGAGCAATTTGTTGTTCCAGTAAGCATCAGAGTGTGAAGGTAGCGGCAGCACTGCGTATCAGGCAGGAAATATGTTTAGCACCTGAGGATCGACATAGCGAATGGCGCGTAAAAAGGTGCCGAGGCATCAGTCGCGATTGCACGTGGAAGCGCAGATTGGCTCTTTCCACCTCAGAAAAGCCAGTCAGCATGACATACGTCTCAGCTGCTGCGCAAAGATACTCGTTCCAAAGTTGCCGTGGATCTAATGCTCGGCTAGACCTGCGGATTGCCTACCTATTGCAGGTGGTCACAGGCTCAGCTCAAAGTGATAGTCCAATGTAGTCAATTGGTGGCCGCTCGGCGCCATGGAATCTTGGTGATACAATGCTACGTCGACTGTTCAATCTATCTGAACTCGGCCAATTCAACGCTTTTGCCTTCTATCCGACGTCTAGGTGCGTCTGAAGAGAAGGGCTGCAGCCTTGTGCACCCTACGCTCGTACAAACCAATGCCCCATGTGTGTCTCTTAGAAGCTGCTGGCACCTGAGACTTTTGTTCAGAGTCGCCTTCCTCAAACAGCAGCAGAACTTGACGATGGTGGTATGGCGACAGCATCTGTTGTGGGTAAGACTTCGCTCGAAACACATAGTCCTTTGATGTCGGAGCTTCGCATGTCCTTCGCCATCACCTCGGTCTAGACGCCATGTTGCTAACCTGCGGTGCAATAGTGTAGCTGAGAGCGCCATGAAGCGGTCTCGCACGGTTCGTATCTTTCTTTCCGGGACCAACGGTATCCGCCGCTTTCCGTGTGACCTTGGCTGCGCCCGTCGTCTCGGCCTTGGTGCTTGGGTCATAGTAGACTTTCTTGAACTGCTTCTTGGTGTAGTCATCACTCCGTTGCAGCAGTGGTCTGGACCATTCCTCCATTAATTTAGTGGCTTGCCGCTTGATTACGGGCTCGGTGCGTTTTGATTTGCGGTAGAAGACGATGACTTTGCCAATGCCGGAGGAAATAAGTGCTTCCTTGGTCATGGGCAGCTTAGCAAGGGATGCGAAAAGCTCGCGCTGAATGTTGTAGGCTGGTAGTGAGCCGTCTGTAAGCGGTTCGAGGAAGAAGCGAACCGCCTCGAGAAGGTTCATTTCAGGGTCAAGGATCGCTTGTGTGTATTGGTTGCGATTGAGGAGGGCGACGACTTGCGGCAACATCTTAAGCTTCTGGGATGCTGGTAATCCTTGCCGGACGAGCTCACCGTCTTCTTCAGCGGCCTTGGTCATACGATTGCGCATATCCTCAATCTCTTGATCGGCCATCGACTCGAGATCCTAACTCGGTCAGCTCGGTTCAGCAACAGACTCAGCAGACTTACAATCTCGCCCTTCTTGACGCGGCGCGTGGTACTTCTCTTTACGGCTGCATCCATAGCACGATCCAGCGCCCGCCGTCTCCTCTCCTCCGGTGGCAGATCATCTTCATTGATCTCTACCCGTACGGGCTTCTTCCTCTCGCCATCACCACCAGGCTTTGATTTGCGCTGGCGCTTCCCCTCGATCTCCTCACCTCCAGAAAATCCATCCTCGCTATCTTCTCGTCCTCGCTTGTTCCTCTTGATCTTCTCGCGCCGTCCCTCTTTGCGCTTTTTGGGAGCCTCTTCGCCTTCAGGTCTTTGACGTTTACTGACTCGGCCTAGTTTGTTGAGGGTCTCAAAATCTGGAGCGACTTGCACCGATTCTGGATCGAAGTCGGCGAACTGTGCTTCATCGACTTCTGATAGTAGCGATTCGTCGTCATCGTCTGACGCAGCTGCTGCCGGCTCGGGGTCGTCAAATTCGGGACTCACGTCGTTGAGCTGGTCGTCGTTATCTGAGGGTCTGTCATCGCCCATGGCATCTGGAGGAGGCATGTTTGGATCGTCGTAGTCTGGCTCAGCCATCATGACCGAGAAGTGGAAGTCGTGTGCTGACTATCTCAGGTGGCAGTCAAACGCCTTTTCTGAAACTCGCGCTAAGACCGTCCAAGAGACAGGGCTATTCTCGAAGTAAAGTAGAGGTTCGAAGCGTGAACAAGTGGCTGAACAAAGAAGTGCATTCCACACATGCGGTTTTGTACGGTTGCCGAAGAGTGCCCGAGGCGTCACAATTCGCGTGACGGCATTGCGCATGCGGACGGAACAATCTCGAGTTGCTTTCAGAACATCCTCAATTACTAGTTCGGTTCACCAAATACTCGTCAATTCGTGCATCTACCACAGTTTTCCTGTCCACGCCTTTCAGTCCGCAGTCGCAAATATGTTCGGCGGTCGTGCGTCTACCTCTTATGCGTTGAAAATGTTGCTAATCAGACCTAGCTCCGGAGCAACCATCAGAAGCTGAGCTTCAAGAAGCCAACCGAGTCGCTGGCGCCAATGTCCAGCTCTTCGCCATCACATGCACCGCACTATGGTTCTGTATGCGATCGAACCTCAAATGCTAGGACCCAGCTAACGTACATCAGCACCGCATGTCGTTGACTGGGCAAGAAAGTTGTTCTAATCCCGATCTCTCACCCAAAGCCGCCCCCTTTGCGCCTTGCAGAAAGTGGCGGTCGATGTTGTACACTATCCTGATTATGCATTGGTAGACAAGTCCTCATCGCGATACCCATGGACATGGCGGGTGGTTGCGCAAAATTCAAAAGAACTTTTCTCCTAAACTTCATCTTCTGCGCAACGGATTTGAATCGTTACCTTTCGAGAACTTCTCCCAATCCTGGTATTCCTGTTGGACAAGCTGAAGCTCCTTGTGAAGATGTCGGAGCTGGGTGTCATATGCTTCAAGAATCTGGGACATGTCAGTTGAATGTAAGACGCAGCTGTCGAATTCTGAGCCTACCTCCTTGGCCTGCTTGACAGTCTCTTCGTCTAGCACAGGCTCCTCCGCAAGTGCAGCAGGTGTGATCTTCTCCATTTCAGCCTTCAAGCGCTTCGCGCGCTCCCTGATGCCCAGCATACGTGCCCAGATCTCTTGTTCTCGAGCATCGAGGGCGGGATCGCATACATCGCGTTCGAGCTTCTCGAGCTTCGATTTCAGCTCTTCCTCCGCATTGTCCATCACATAACCTTTGTTGCGTAGTATCTGTACCTTGACGGCCAAAGCTAGTGTTCGTCTGCTCGCAGCTGTTTGCCGCCGCTTACACTCGGCCAGCCGTGCAGTCACCTTCTGGTTGTGCGTCTCAAGTTGCATGTCCAGAGAAGTATTGATCTCGTTCAAGAGCATGTTGCATTTCGCAATCGTCTCCATCTGCAGTTGTGCTTTGTTTGCCATGTTACCGAACCCACGGACAAGGACGGGAACCCATGCAGGCCCTGGGCGTTTCGTAACCGCTTCCTCCCACTTGGTCTCATCTTCATCAGGCCCCGGCCGATAGTGCAGAGCATTCCTCTCATCGCCAACATACGCGTAGAGATAAGCTTGCAGTGGCGAGGATAGCGTGGCCGCATCCCATTTATCTTTGACGATCTCCATCTGATCCGGAATTGATCGATAGACACCTAGTCCACGTCCTTCCTCCCAGAGCGCCTGTGCAGCTTGTTGCGCGTTCACCACCGAATTGCCAAACCGCAGGGTCTGGCTGAGGTCTCGTTGCGGCGGATTATTCGCATCTTGTTGCTGCTGGCTTTGGCCAAAGGTGAACAAGCCAGGTTTGCTAGATGTGTTGTTTTGTTGCTGAGTCGAACTCCCAAAGACGGACGAGCCTTGTGTTGTGTTCTGATTTTGTGTAGAGAAGCCAAAGCCTTTCAACTCCCCTGGTTTGTTCTGCTGTGTATTTCCAAATAACCCGCCAGACGGTTGCGTGTTCAACGAGAATATTCCTCCAGGTTTCGCGCCGGTGTTGGCCGTGTTGGTAGAGTTGCCGAACAGAGAAGACATCGTCAACCAGTGCTACAGCCAGAGACGCTACGCAAGGTTGGAGCAGATTGGTGATGCTATTAGGGCAGTTACCGGCACATATTAAAAATATGTAACAAAGGAAACCCGTGTCATTGATTGTAGTTGCAACTCTTGCGCCTGAGAACGCGACTGCGGTATCTGAGCGCGCTGCAAGGCTTCCTCCGCAGAGGCCAGTCTTGGCATGAAATGGAGCTTCAACTCGACGTTCAAGCTGCTCCTGTACACTGTCTAGCGACCCCACCAGGCCTTACATACTTCGCAACACTGTCACGATGGCGCGCCGGGAGTCAAGGTATGGCCACAAAGCTCTTTTGGCCCGGACAGCCTTCTAACAGGACCTGCAGATTCAGTCAAGATGTACTCATCGACACGACTCCTATGCCCGACCACATACCCAAGGTTACAGAGATAGGCGCTACCTCTGCACCTCTCATGAGTGCTTCATACTTCATTGGCGCAAGATGTCGACCATACAATGACGACTACATGCAATGCAAGACCGATGCATTCGGCAAGGGAGAACTGGACTGCATGAAGGAGGGACGTAAGGTCACCCGGTGCGCCGCGAGCGTGTTAGTGGTCCTTCCAACCTTGCGAAGAGCAGATGTTGACCTTTCCACAGGCTAGCTGATATGAACAAACACTGCTTAGAGGAGTTTCGGGCGCACTGGAACTGCTTGGAAAACTACAATCACCACTTCTTCCAGTGCCGGAGACCGGAACGAGTGCTCAATCGATGCGTCTTCAACAAAATGGTACGATCGATTCGACTACGAGACCGGGAATACATGCTGACTAGCCGCAGGGCCTCGACAAAACCATTCCAGATACGCCAAAAGGCCAAACTCCCGTACATTTGAGGGACTACCAGGTTATGGCAGAGACACGGAGTGTTCTGCGACGAGGAGAAAAGGATGTCGGCATCCTTAAGGACGGTACGGTCACCGGTCAGGTATACAAGACCACACCTCCTGATACGGAGAGCAAGTCGGTCCTGAATGCACCAACCCTGAAATGATGAGTGGCGGCCACCGACCGGGCCATAGTGTGTGTGTACCCGGGAGGCTCTGTACATACTGGGCAGGACATCATACAATGGAGTCAGTCATAACGATGGGCCAGAAGTGTTTGTGATCAGCTGAGATCCGCTACGAAGACATACGGCTGCGATTACCCTCGGCCCGATTGCACGTCGATGAACCTAGCATCACAATTCTTCGACTTGCTCCTTGTTTCATCTATCGTCTGCCATTTACCAGTGTAGTCGATGTCGGTGATCTCCCTGGTTCCATTAGTCGGTGAGATAGCACGAGCTGTACCGCTGAATATACATGCAACTACGGGCGATGAGCATCCGCCGTTTGACCAATGGCAAAACCTGAATACCACAAAATACAACATAACAACCTGCCAGTCTGACAACTGGGCCAACACACGGAGTTTTCAATACTTGTAGAATGAATGCGAGGCATTGAAGAGGCCTGTGAATCTCGAGAAAGGTCTGGGCCACCCCACGGTTTAACGAGCGAGGCAGCGTGGGTGGAATAAGCCTCCACCAACCAAGCACTAGCCACCCTGGCACCTGGCTTCTGGCGGGAGTCAAAGCGCAGCCACCACAACTACCGTCACCCCAACTTATTCCTGCTCAGGTGACTGGCTCAACTCGTTTGTACTGGCGCAGACGACGAATTCCAGTGGCAGGGATCTCACTCGCTTGCCGTCATGGCTTCGACGCTTTCGCCGCCGCTGTCTCCGGCAGCCTCATCATCCCTTCGTCCTACGGCGGTGAATAGATCCTTGACTGCTCCGGACAAAATGGCTGTCAATGGCCATTTCGCATCGGCTGGCCAGAATGGCACCGCCAATTTCGAGCATGGCGTGCAAGTTATTGACGAAGAGAAGGACTTCAAGTGAGTACACCAGTGGCTCCATCTAATACTTGACTGACCGCCTCAGTACGGATCTCGCGAAATACTTACAATTTGCCGATGTTGCCCACTCTGGTTTCAATTACCATGTGATCTCTGTGTTTGGTTCCCAATCCACCGGGAAGTCCACGCTCCTCAATGCTCTATTCAACACACAGTTCGGCGTCATGTCCGAAGCGGAACGCAAGCAGACCACTAAAGGCATCTGGCTCTCCAAGAACAAATCCAAGACTGCGGGCATGGCAGACAATATCCTGGTCATGGACGTGGAGGGAACCGATGGCCGAGAGCGAGGAGAAGACCAAGACTTCGAGCGCAAGAGTTCTCTTTTCGCTCTTGCAACCAGCGAAGTTCTAATGGTCAATATCTGGGAACACCAAGTCGGTCTCTACCAAGGTGCCAATATGGGTCTTCTGAAAACAGTCTTCGAGGTCAACCTGCAGCTGTTCCTCAAGGACAAGAAGTCCACTTCTCGAAGCCTCCTATACTTTGTTATCCGCGACTTTCTGGGTACTACGCCGCTACAGAATTTACGCAATACATTGATGCAGGACATGGGCAAGATTTGGACCAGCCTTTCCAAGCCCAAAGGTCTCGAGAACAGCAGTATTGACGACTATTTCGACTTTGCATTCACCGCTCTACCCCACAAGCTCTACCAACCTGACCAATTTCAGCAGGAAGTCAACAAGATGGCCACACGCTTCAAGGATGGGCATCGGGATGCTCGAAGGGACCCCCTCAAGAGCGAATTCGAATCCGGCGTCTTCCTCCCGGAGTACCATCGGCGCATTCCGGCGGATGGCTTCTCGCATTATGCTGAAGGTGTCTGGGATCAAATTGTTGAGAACAAAGATCTCGACCTCCCTACACAACAGGAACTCCTCGCTCAGTTCCGGTGTGACGAAATCATGCGCGAGGTTTTGGTTGCATTTGATTCGGCCATTACTCCCCTTGAGTCAAAGCAGTTGGAAGCAAGCAAGACAGGAGAAAGCCATGTCTTGGCCGACCTGGGCAAAGTCATGACTTCGGCCAGAACTGACACGATAGCTAATTTCGAAACCGAAGCGGGCCGCTACCACAAAGGTGTCTACCAACGAAAGCGTACCGAGTTAGAGAACAAGATGGACACTCGTTTGAAGGCACTCTTCGTTGGGCAGCTCACAGCGGCTCATAAGCTTGGAGTTGAAAACTTTAGCAATGCTGTGAGCTCCGAGGTTAAGGCTGGTCAGAAGAAGGGCGCCTCATATGACTTCGCTGAGATCGTAAAGGAGCAAAAGAGAGCTGCCCTTCAAAAGTTCGACTTGGCCGCTAAAGGTTCTGTGATCGCAGGTCTCCCATGGGCTAACTACAGCCAAGAGATGACATTGTACCAGAAAGAACTTGACAAGGTTTCCGCACAGCTACGCAAAGACGAAATGAGAAGGCTCGCCACCCGTGTGGAGCGTTGGGTCCGAAGTAAACTCAACGACAGCGTAGGTCTGGAGTTCAACGCACTTGGCTCGGGACGCGGCGGTACCGGTGCACCAGAGAAGGGCGACAAGCCTGTCGAACAAGGCATCTGGGACCGAATTTGGGTCCTTTTCAAGAAAATCGTTGACGAGGCGGAGACGCGGTTCGCAGATCGAGCACGATCTTTCGACGCAAGTCCAGAAGAAGTTGAAGTTGGCATCTGGAGACTGCGACGAAAATCGTGGGGTGTCCTGCGCGCCAAGATCGATGAGGAGATGATGGAAGGCAACCTCCTCCTGAAACTGCGCGAAAACTTTGAAGACAAGTTTCGCTACGATGAAGAAGGCGTGCCTAGGATATGGCGCCCAACAGATGACATTGAGGGCATCTATACCAAGGCAAGAGAGAGCACATTACAGTTGATACCTTTGCTTTCGCGATTCAGGCATTCTGAAACTGGCAGTCCTCCACCGCTGGACGTGTGGATCGGCAACCAGCCTGCCTCAGCTACCGCCGCAGATGAAGAGGACCTTACGCCTATCGGCGGCGTTGACGAAGACGAGGGCAAGAGTCTTGAGGAGGAGACCACAATCTTGAATGAAGCCAAGCGCCAGGACTTGACCGTCCGGTTCAAAAAGTCGGCTGATGGTGTGTATGTGGAGGCTAAGCGTAGTGCTATTGGCGGCATGACTCAAGTACCGCTGTACTTCTATGGTTTGTTGCTGGCTCTTGGATGGAACGAGATTGTGGCTGGTGAGTATCTTGAACCTCTCCCTTGGAGTACGTGCTAACGTGTCGACAGTGCTTCGAAATCCGCTCTATTTCATCTTCCTCATCCTGCTTGGTATCGGCGCTTACGTCACGCACCAGCTGAACCTTTGGGGCCCAATGCTCAACATGGCGAACGCAGCCTCGGCTCAAGCCTTGGAGGAGGGCAAGAAACGACTAAGAGAGTTCTTGGAGTCTTCAGAGACTGGACGAGCAGCTCTCTCGATGCCCGCGGATGGAGGAAGCTACGAAATGAGAAGAATGAATAGCTCAAAATCAAGTACGCCAACTGCCACTGCTGAAGAAGATGACGACATATAAACATAACGACAATGCGACGATTGGACATATGCATAGCGTTGGAACCCAAATAGGACTATTGTGAACAGTGCTGTTGTTGGTTGGACCATGCATATTGGATGCAGGCCAATTATTACGACCACCATCCAGTCTCCCTCTTCTGGACATTGTTCCCTTGCAGATTCGTCTGAAGACCACTGATGTCCAATGCTCGCTCTGCCACTGACCGGTCGATCTACCTGCCAGCAGTCACCAGCATCCTCCTATGATGTTCCCGGAGAGCGAAACGAAGCCAGGACGCTGCCAGTTTATGTGAGTCTTCACTGAGAGACCAGTCACATTCGCGTTGCCCAGCAGGATCCTTCATGCCCTTATCGATTTGATATGGCCCGCCACAAAGCTCATTCACTTATTCATTCACACGCTAGTAGGAAATAATCCAGAATCACCTGTCTGCCTACGCCTGGGAACCTTGTTAATAACTTTTGTCCCTTGCTTACAACTAGCCAGGATATTGCGTTCTTGGCTTTTTGATGTACACAAGACACTGACACACTGACGCTAGCACAGCAGGATCTATGTGCCCCTGGCGTGAGCGCGACAGCAACCGCCACTACGGCAGTAGCCATATCCAGCATGGATATGGCGGTGGTAGAGGAACCGGCAGTAGTTGGCGACCATCGGACGAGCCACGTTTCGCTCGGCGAGGCCACCACAACCGAGAGCGCGGATTTACTCGGGTTGTGAGCCAGGGCGAAACTTATGGTCAACGTGGAGATCTGGGGCAACTTCGCCAGCAACAGCAGGATCGCAGCAGCTACCAGGGTAGCTACCAGTACCGATACGTGTGCCCTGAGCCGCAACGCCGACAGCAGCAGCCCGCCCTTCAGCCTCAGGTGCAAGCCGTACGGCCAGACGTGGCCTCTGCATCGACTCAGGACCCCATCCTGTCCCAAGCTCTGACTACGCTCTGCAATCTGATCGACTACAAGGCTCTCACGCAGCGATCTCCTGATATTTCCCTTGGAACGCCTTCCCATTCTGTCATCCTTGGTGATGCTCTCAACTTCATCGAGCACCTCAGCAATTGCTCGCTAACGGAAAATGCGAGAGACTTGAATCCTTTGGTCTTGCTGTATCGAATTAGGAACAGTGTGCCCGAGGAGGCATTCACTCAGGCGGGAATGGACAAAATCTTGTTCTTGGAGGAGAATTACGTGCCGAATGCATTGAATATGGTGCGTAATATGACGAGCGTGATCAGGACGGGGAAACACATGAGGTCGAGGCTGCTGCGGCAACTCAATGAAGACAAGGCAGGTACTGTGACCAGCACTGTCATGAATGGCGAGGAGCAGCAGCCCCAGGCTCTGAATGGCCACATCGATCGGGAGCAGAGCCGAATGTTGGTGGACAAATACTTGAGAAAGATGGATCAGTGGATTGATGCCTGGCTAGACGGAAAGCTCAAAGATGGAGATTGGACAACTATGAAGGACTGCATGGATATGGAGATCCCTGGAGTGAGGAAGTAAGCTCCCTGGCCACGTACGACGCCTGACGACACAGCAGGTTTGGCGCCCGAGGTGAAAGCAGATCGAACATGGAAAGCCAGGACTGAAAAGCGTTTGAGATATCCAAAGCTTGGAAGTTGGATTCGGCCAGACATATCCTTCCTTTCGTGCATGTGAAGGTGACTACAGGAGAACTGCCAAAGGTGAATGATATCCGACTCGCCGATATCCCTAACTTCTCATCTACGGACCGGGGAGGCACCTAGCGAAATGCCCACAGAAGGCCTTGCCTTGATTTCGCGGAGGCTTTTCGTGAATCTTGTCGGTCCCGCCTTAGGCCTGAACGGCTTTGCGGCAATCAAACGTACGATAGGACAACAGAGCAGAGCGATGCTGGTAACATGAAGATAAGCTGCTCTTGATAACTTTGATAAAGTTGTGCCGTCGTTAGCCGATCAGTCAACGCACACGTGGAGCAGACTACGGGTATCGTCTTTCCGACAATCACAACATTGAGTTTCTGCAGCAGAGCCTCAACTGCTGAAGCCTCAAGTGTGGGTGGATTTTTCTAGGTGTGTGGTTCGGGCACGTCATTGGCAGCTATCAAGGATGCCTGACTGCCTTCAAGGGAACCGGCGCTAGCCGCTAGCGCACTTGCCTGAATCGACATCGCGCTACACCTTCTTCCGACCTACATGACGATTTTGCCCCTCAATGAGTACCTGCAGTCGTTCCGGAATCGCGCACGCGAAACATTTGTTGTGTTGCTGTTCTTGCAACCCATCTCCGCCGTCGCTGTGGGTCATCAGGAAACGCAACCGTTCTTTGGGCCTCAGTCTCTAGCGCAGGCCTGTCTCAGTCGTGCACGCTTGAGAGCACTTCGATGCCATACTGAAGCATTCCCCGCGAGAGTCTCCGTAGTAGTGACGATGGGAGTGGCATGGTGTGACGCAGCTAAAGCCCAAAACCGAGGAAAGTCCTGGCCCCCTAACCAACAGCCCATCAGCGCAGGTGAGGCCTCAGGACTGCTCAATGTGCAACTGCCCCCAATTGACATGCCTTGCTCGATATCTGCCATAACATCCATTTAGCGCCTAACAAGCGTTCTCCAGTGTCAGCTCGTGTTGCATGCTGTTCTCTAACAACACAGCCGAATTAACGCGCAGGCATCATTCGATTCCGATGCGAAATCCACATGGCAATGACGAGGGCAAGCCGCACTCACGTCGGACTTCAGATTCTTTACGTACCGCGGTACAGTGTTGCCTGCATGGAGACTTCGGTATGCTCAGAATTTTGTGAGTAGGACCACCTTCGTCAGCCAATGCAGAGCGACTTTCATTCCGACTCCCGCAATTCCTTTTCTCATTCACTGTCTGCGCATTGTTGATGATTGCACCTCGACCAGCCACCCCATTGAAACGCAACGGTCTATTCATCGCGAACTTGCAACGCGTTGTGAACAGGCCCAGCCGCCTACAATGGCTGGGAATTATTCGCCATCGACCTCGGGAGGGGGGCTTCCATGCATCAAGTCCGCTCGACATTTCCAAACTTTTCCAAACCTTTGTCTTTCCCTATCACTTCCACACCATCTCGGACTCAGGCAGTCTCTGTTTCAATTCTTCCAGGTCAGGCACCAGTTCTCGATTTGTTAGCAACCTCCTCAGCTGCGGGCCAGTTGAGTACCTTTCAGTGCCACACAAACACATTGTACCATATTTCTACTCGTGGACCACTGGCTGGTGCCAAAGTTTGCTTGTTTCAAAGTCCTCTGAGCTGTGCTCAGAACAAGTACTTAATCTCAGCATTCCCTCTCTCTGGTAAGCCATATTCCCGATACATGCACAAATGTACGTGAGATAACAAAGGGCATTTACCAGCAAATAACCGTCGCCCCTGTACATATGTTGACCAACATGTCTTCTGTTGCGACCCTTCCACCACAAGTGACCATCGACCCCAGCAGTGAGGTCGACGCTGTATTGGGTCTCGTCGATTTGGCCCGAGAGAGTCGCCAGCAAGCCCGCATGATCCCCACTGAGCAGCAAGCCTGCCTTGAAGAAATGCAGGGCTGTCCAGTCACTTGGGATCGCCTACAGCAGGGCATCTACAACGTCTACTACGAGAGATTTGGAAGGTATCCGCCAGTGCCTGAGAAGGAAAAGTGGCTACAGCCTGCCCACTCGATCGCAGAGCCCGAGCAGGGCAGTAAGCGCAAGGTCGACAACGATGATGACGTTCCCCCTCAGCCACCAAAGAGGCAAAGGCTGTCCAGGAAGGGCAGAAAGATCAGCAAACCCGAGGCTACCAATGATGTCCTTGCCACTGAACAAACCCAACAGGAGATCGAAGAGCTTCATAACCTTGAGACCGCTGACATCGATCATGCTATTGAATATTTCCAGCCTCAAGAGAAGCAGAGGTCCAGCCCTGAGAAGGCAACTCGCCGACGTGAGAATGTAGCGGGCAGAGGCAAGGCCGAGAGCTACGACAAGTGCGTTGCCAGAACGATCAAGGTTCACGACAGCGGCGATAAGAGCCAGGAGCCCATTCCCGACTTTTCGGCCAACTTTTCGGACCCTGCCGAGGTCAAGCTCATCAATACCTTCTTCAACAAAAAAGAGGACAAGTACCAGATTTTCAAACGCCGCATGTTCTTCGTTGCTGCAATGCTACATGAGCACAATCAAGTTGTCAAAGCCGAGCACGGCAACAATAACGGCAAAGGCGACAGAGCATTCCTTTTCCTGAACACTACTCGTCTACAGTCTATGGGTGGCATCGACGTGAACAAGTGTGGCAGACTAGCTTCTGCATTCCGTCCTGCTGATGACGTACGCTTCGTGAAAGCTAGCCGTTCCACCACCGGAGAAGTCAGGGCAGATGTCGAAGATGACAGCGCCTATAGAGCTATCTTGGCTCACTGCGGCTGGATCCCCGAGATGGTTTCCAAAGCAGGCAAGGAGGTCACCTTGAGCAATGAGGAATGGTACGATCAACTCGGCACCAAAGAGCAGCGACAGCATTGGCTCAAGATCTGTGAAGGCATGCGCGACACGCTGCGCGAAGAGGAGGATAATCTCAAGGCCAAGAGAGCCAGCGCTCCGTTACGCGAAGCTCAAGAGAAGGTCAAGCCGAAGAAGGCCAAGGCCCATAGCGAGAAGAAGGAGGACTATGAGGAAGAGTGAGCGTGCCGCAAGTGAGATGACCACACAGGAAGACCGACCTTATCAAGAGCATCGCGACTGTTGGGCCTTGCGTGGGCGTGTCCGCAATCTTCGACCAGCCTGCGTTGGATAAGATCGGCTGGCGTGGTGGAGAATATTGGGAGTGTTAAGCATTGCAGGCGTTTTCAGTATTGTTGGTTTGGGTTTACTTGGGGATGGTCTGATCTGGTTCATGCGCCTTTCGTTGAACCCGCTTGCTACGATACCGAGTCACTGTCTGCGTTACGCACACGCAACTCTTCTCCGGCGACTGGCACTCGCAACGACCGCCCAGAGCCCACACGAGGTCACGAAATTGAACAAAAGAAGGGCCAAACAGCACCCGCCTCCGAGGATCACAGCAACCCAAGTTTTTGCACATTACCGCCACCACAGCACAAAAGAGAAAACAGAAAACCTACATGACCGTCGAGAACAGTTCGACTTTGAAGATTACAGCACAGACTCTTTGCACATGCCCGCGTTCCGACAGAGCAAAAAAAGAAAAAAAAAACAAAAATCCCCACCAGAATGACTATCGAGAATACTTTCGAGTTCGAAGGATACAGCACCGATTTCTGCACATTGCCGCCACTACAGAAAACACAGAAGAAAAGGAAAAAAACAAACAAAAACAAACAAAATCTATGACCGCCGAGAACAGTTCGACATTGAGGTATTGCAGCACTTTATTCGGAGACAGGAAAATAGGGATAGAAAAAACAATGAGAAATCGTTGAGCAAAGCTTTCTGTTCCAATGGTGAGGTCTGAGCAAGAGAGACTCGTCCTGGATTTTGACGCCGCATTGCTCGTATTGCTAACTACGTAGTGCCTCTTCAAGTCCAAGGAGACTTCCGACCAAAGCGCGCCTTCGAGGCGCTCTGTTGTTAAACCAGCCGGAGGCGGACGTCCGCAACGATGTACACACACCCACACACACTTGCGCTGAGGCCCCGATTTCCAACACGCCGCCGTTTTACCCTTGACCTGAAAATGATGATCCCTCGCAGCAGCTCGAACCCCGCAGAAGATCCCTCTACCGCCGCGGACGCAACCACTGTCTCAACCATTCGAAACCCGACTGAGGCGTATAACGCCGAGCGACATCGGCACCCTATTTCCTCTGCAGCTCCGGCAAGAACGCGCCCGCCGCCAGCGCGAGATTCATGCTCGTCATCTTGACATAGTACACCGGCGTGCTCTTGGTAGGGAACGCGCTGATCTGATCCGCCGTGACGACGGCGTCCTTCTTGCCCTTCTTGGTACCGCCTGCCGCGCTACCCTGTAAGATCGTTGGACCGGAAGTCCCAGCTTCGCCGGCCTTGCCGGCCTCTCCTGGCTTGGCGCCCGCCGCAGCGGCTTCCTTGGGCGGGCCATAAACGTCCCAGACGCGGACGGTGTTGTCTGCGGCGCCGGAGATAAGGACGTTGGACTCGGCGGACCAGGAGAGCGACCAGACGCCGCCTTTGCCGTGGCCGCGCATCTGCTTCATGCGGCGCCCGCTGTTGAGGTCCCAAAGGATGATGCTGCCGGAGTCGTCGGCGGATGCGAGGACTTTGCCGTCGTTGCTGCAGGCGAGAGCCGTGATGGGCGAGGTGTGGCTGGTGAACATGCGCACGGCGGAGCCGGTCTGCACCGACCACATCCGTACCGTCTTGTCGCTTGAGGCGGTGAAGACGTAGGCGGCATTGGGGTGGTATGTGACTACCTCGATATCCTTGTCGTGGCCAACAAGGAGGCGTACAGGTTGCATTTTGTCGGTCGTCCAGATGCGGCCCATCTTGTCGAGACCACCGCTGAGAAAGTAGTGCCCGAATGGGCTCCAGGAGATATCCCAGACGGGGCCGACGTGGCCTTTGTACTTGACCATTGCTTGGAAGGTTGCCAGTGACCAGAGGATGATGGTTCCATCGTTGGCACCTGACAGAAGCCATTTGACAGGCGCGCCGGGAGAGTTTTCGTCATATTGACCTATAGCTGGTGCAAATTTGACACTGTAGACGGGACCGGAGTGACCGATAAGACGTTGAGAAGCCTGAGGTTGACCACTGTCGGAGGTACCAAGCGCCGAGCCATCGAGGGTCCAGACGCGGATGTAGGAGTCGTACATGCCAGTGGCGATGAGTTTAAGATCGCCCGAGATGTCCATACAATTTATGCTGTCGCTGGAATTGTGGAAGGTATACATGCATACACTGATACCAGGCCCTACGCCACCCGTGCGACCTTCAATTTTCAGACGATCACGATTCTCGCGAATCTTGGTGACTTCCATGGCGACGTCTCGTGCCGTGGATGCGGGGAAAGGGATCTCGACTCGGCTGGGTCCTTCGTCTTCGTCTTCTTGTTTGATGTTGAGCTTCTCATGCGTCTCAACAAGGCTTGGCTGGCCTTCTCGTGGCGGAACTTGCAGATCAAGATCGGCCAAGTCTCCTCGGACATCTTCCTCGACCTCTTTGTCCATCTGCAATTTTCCCAGCTTCAAATTTGCCAGGGTGTTGCCAACGTTTGCCTGATCGGTGATGATGGCATTGCCAGGCCGATGACCCGGAATACCCTCGTCCTCGGGAGGTAGGTCTTCACCTTCTTGTCCCCGAAGGATGATTGATGCGAAGCTGAAACGATCATCAGTAGCCCGATCGACGGCGCGTAAGTCGAGGTTGGTTTGAATGACTTTGATGAAGATGGCGAATATATCCTTATCAAGCGATTCAAGGAAGCTCATGAAATACATGTGACCAGGATTCGAGAGATTGACCCGGTATTTGTTCGTGAGATACCGCTTTGCCTCGCCATCCTGCTCAAGGTGCTCAGGTAGTGTCGTGCTCTGCAGCTGTTTCATGTCGTAGTCGTGCTCCTTGCGAAAGTTTTCACTGAAGCGTTGCCAAAACTTCTGAGTTCTGTCGCTTGATCCTGGAGTTTCGACTAACGCAAGGTACAAGTAGACGAAGAAAGGCCAAAGCAGCCTCTCAACCTCCGGCTTGTACATTTCGAGAGCATCTTCAGTCCAGGCCTGAAGACGAGCAAAAGCCTCCGCATACTTGGGGGTTGATTGCACAACCTTTGGCTTTGAGTCATCCGTCTTTGGGACTTCTTGATTTGCGGACTCGGCGCGAAGAACGGCTTCGGTTCGGTGGTAACCTTTCTTGGCTAGATAATCGATCACAATCTGGTTGAGGTTCTGCTGTGTCATCTGACCAGCCGGAATGCCTGTGCTGGTTCCTGTGGTTGTCGAGGTAGCCGCTTGCGATACCGTGTTTGGAGTGACTCCATTGACCAAAGGCGCCGAGGTTGGGGTGGCAAGTGGTCCATTTGGTCCAGTACTCGCGCTGCGAGGCCCTGGGCTGGGCGCAGGTTGTTGTCCGGACATCGTGTCCCTCTCGCAATTGCGCTTCAAATCATCAGTGTCGGAGCGATTGCCCTATCGGGCTAGACAACGATGACGGCAGATACACAAGCCTGATGGGATAGTAGTAAGACGTACACCGAGAGAAACACAAGAACAGGAAGGCAACGCGATTGATACGGCCAAGCATGTGCGGAGCGGCACTACTTGGGCCCGGACATTGCCCAAGGCTGAGGCAAGGCTGTGATCATCGCACGTGACCAGTACTTTGAACCTCTTCGATATGTACCATCCGCACATCTGGAGCTGCTAACTTTAGCTTAGCTGTGACTCTGGAGGCGACTGCCAGAATATGATATGAAGCACTCTGTTAACGAGATTCTGATGCGTTTTGTGCTTCGTGGCCTCTAGTATGGCCGACTCGGACCATTCCCCTTCTGCTACAGCTTCGGCGAACAAGTTCACTGCTGCGCAACGCATCGCTGAGCTAAACGAGATCGACCAATCTGTATCAGGACTCCTTGCCTCTGCGGCCGAAGCAATTGGCGTCCTAGCCAACAAAAGAGACGAGAACACACCTTTTGCGACCTTTGAGGCACAACAGGATAAATTCGCCCGAGCGGCCGATGCCTACTTCTCAGCCTTATCGTTCATTGAAGTGAGGCTGAAGAGACAAGTGTATGCATTAGAGGAAGCGGGTCTCATCCAAGAAGGCCAGGATAAGGATGCCAAGCGAGCGAAGACGAACGAGGGGGGTTTTGATCCTGCTAATGGCGGAGGACCCCTCGACCCAAGCTGGTTGAACGCACGCGCTGATGACAGTGTGGAATTCAAAATGGAAAGAGAGCTCCTCGACCAAGCGAAGTCTTTCCTCGAGACTAAGAGAAATGAAAGGGACGCAGGGGACCAGCCCTCATGAGCCAAATTTTCGCGACAAGTATCAGTCCTACACAGACGCTGGGAGCAATGCACAGAAAGGACCCTGTCTTAGATGGAGGCAATGGCTTTTTATTCGGTGGCATGCCTTGTGACAGTGTTTGTCAGAACGTCCGCTGCGAGCATCAGCTCTCGATCCGGGTGTGTCACAAGCAGATCTCGTGGCCCCGACAGCAGGTCTCAGCAGCTGGAGAGCCACAGAGAGTAGCTCTGCGAACGTCTTTAGACGAGTTGGTATCTCGCGCAAGCGCTAAAGCTGCAGCCTCAAAGCCGGTCAATGGCACGTAGTTTCACGGCCTGCGGCGTCGCCCTGAAAACCAATCCCAACCAGATTACCATCATTATTGTCTCAAGTGCTGTAAACTGATACGCTGCTCTTCTTCTATTCTTGATTGTTAGATCGGTCTAGATTGCAAGATCTCACTTCGCTCACCCATGTTGACACGCCATCCGCTAGAGTCTTGGCATCAAGTCTCCCGACTTCGTTGCTTTTACAACCTCGACTGTTTATTGCTTCACTCCCACCATCTGCAGAATAGCCACGTAAAACGTCTGCTGACAGAAGTCGGAGGTGAGGCGTACCAACCGCATTCGGCGGAACACCACAGCGACCAGGAGATAATCGATGATTTGTTTAACGCCTCGAGTGTAGGCCAGGCTCACCTTTCGGGAGGCGCGTCCGGAGGGACGCACCGTTATTGAACGCGAAGCCATTGAGCCATGGCGGATTTAGATCCCACAGAGCGTCCACAGACGCAGCAGCTCTTCGTGCGAGCTGATGAAGTCGACGCTGGTACCAACATCATTACTCCAAGCCAGCAACTTCCGCTCAGCGCCTTGACGCCTTCTGATGGCTCTTCCGCGGCTGGCACGGCGAGACCACGAGCGCCCCCAAGACCTGGTCTACGAAGAGACGGTTCCGCACCTCCACCACCACCGCCATCACAACCTCCTCCAGCACCTCCAGGCCCGCCTGAGGTCACAGATTCACTTAGCCTCCCGCAACTTCGGCAACTCGTCGGACAATTTCCAAAGACCGAGCAGAGAGCTTACGCGTTTCAATATACCGAGATTGACAGCTATGAGACAGAGATTGACGAATGGTTTCAGTACACCGAAGCTGAACAGGAGCGAGAGCATCTCTTAGCGGCAAGAGAAGCCTTCGAGACCGCTTGGAAGGCCTTCTGTTCCTCCGATCTTGACGTTGGTGATGTTTCATGGATGGAAGTCAACGAAGACGCCAGGCTAAAGTTCCTCTCCGGCTTTCAGGGCGACCTGGGCGACGCGAGCATCGAGATTAGGACTGAGGGTCTGGGATGTCTGTACTATGTCCTTGCCGGCGCTTGGAGCATAACATCGGGCCTTGATCCCTCTCAGTGCTCGGATGAATTTCGAAGGACACAAGAGATTTCGCCAGAGCAGTACAATGCAGTCCAGCTCGAGTGGATGCATCGGGCCGCGGATATGATTCTTGAAAGTGGTTTGGTTGTACCACTCTATGCTTGCTTACTTACGGCGGCCAAAATATCAGCAGTCGCAAGGGATATTGAGGGCGATGAGCAACAGACCGTCGGCGTCTTCGACGACAATGAGACCAGGGAGCTGTCACTGTGCTTCTCTTGCTTCTATCTACTGGTTGAATCGGCAAGGGAACGCAGACAGAGCGAGGCAGCGCAGAAGATACGACGAGCTCTCCAAGCTCTGAGCCCGAGTTTCCCCATTTTCTTGACCAGCGCAATCTCGCGATTGAGGTGGGATGAATTGTACAACATTCCCCTAATTCATGCTATCCAACTGTTATGGAAGCTGACGATGCTGCTCTTTGGAGATATTCAGCATGACCTGGAGGCGGTCAAGGCAGTTCTTGAGCCACGAAGTGACCCATTTTCTGCCAATGCGCCTCATCCAAAGCTCACAGCCTCTCCACTGGACTATCATCTCTTCCGACAAGAGATCACCTCGAAATACCCAGCTTACAACCCACCTTTGCCGCTCATACCGCTCGAAACCGAGCAGAGGACAATATTGCCCGTGCTGCCTCAACACGCTACTCGCGCCGAAGCACAACCCGGCTCAGGTGCTTCTGCCATCAATGCAACCACCGGAACCTCAATCCTCCACCAACCAGTGCATATCGCCACCCCAGCTCCCTCTCCGCCACCATCACCCGTCGGACCTGGAGGAAAAACAGGAAAGAAGCAGAACTATCAAACAAACCAGAATTTCCCATTCCTGTACCCCCCACTAGGACCATCAAGTAACGAACTAGGTGGCAAAGGCTCGACTGAGATACAGGATCTTATGGTTGGCAAGAAATGGGAGGGAAGTGACATACCGGCCTCAATCATCGAAGCGGGCGAACTTTTCGCGAGCCGTATGCGAATGACACGAGCAATGCGACAGCTATGGAAGCAGAGAGACCTCTTCATGAAATACGACCGCGGATGGAGAGCAGATGATAGAGGCAGCAAGGAGGAGTTGAAAGAGCAAATGTCCAAGGAGGCAGTCGAGGAGCTTGAGGGGCTGGAAGATCCCGACCTCCGCAAACGCATGGAAGCCGTCGAACACTTCTTCCACTTCTCCCTGTCCGACATGCAGTCCTTTGTCATCGTCCTGATGAAGGCCATGCTTGCGAATGTGCAAGACATTGCGGTCCGCAACGGCAACTACTCCGACCCTGCCCAACCCACTGGTCTTAACCGTACCAAGTCCAATTCCAATGTTGGCGCTGGTGCGCAGAACCTTCCGATGCCACCTCCACCACCAAAGCCTGCCGATCTTACGCTCGAAGACCTCGACAATATTCGGTCCCGTGAGATCAGCCAGAAGGCTATTGCTGGTGTTCTGTTCGTGCTTCTCAAATGGCTCAAAATGTCCCACATCCTCAAGTTCGAGTATCTTACGCAACTTCTACTCGACTCTAACTACGTTCAACTCACCTTGAAGTACTTCGCACACCAAAACCTCGAAGACCTTGTCGCCTTCCGCTACGACCGCGACGACCTCTCTTTCTTTCACTATTGTCACATCCACTCCGACCACCCACCTCTGTCTCCCACTTCGCCCGACCAGCACAGCGACGCCTCTGATGTTGACGACGCCGTACCACCTCCTATACAACGCCACCGGCGGTCTCCCACCTCAACTTCTGAGTCTGCAACTCGGCCCCATGCTGCCGCCAACGACAGAACCACATCCGACAACGCTTCCAGTCAACGGTCCAGCGACGCCGACGCCGACGCCGATCCCTCGCACCCAACCGTCGACGAACTCGGCAACCCTCTCGCCCCCCTCCCCAGCACGCCGCTCCCCGTCTTCAGCTCGCGCCAGTTCCAGACATCCATCCACCTCCTGCGCACGCTCCAGAAGATCACGCGCGCCAAAGCCCACCGCATTTTGTTGTTGGTACAATTCAAATCCTCGCAGATCTTGCGGCGCGTGCTGCGCGTCCCGGACACGACGCTGCGGCTGTACGTGCTGAAGCTCTTCAAGTCGCAGGTCCCCTACTGCGGGCGCAAGTGGCGGCAGAGCAACATGCGCGTCATCACCGCCATCTACCTGCACTGTCGGCCGGAATTGCGCGACGAGTGGCTCGCGGGTATGCATGACACGAGTGTGGAGGGCGAGGTGGAGGAGGCGGTGCCGTTGGAGTGGGCCGGGAGGGGATTGACGCACTGGTGGATGAAGAGAAGGTTTGCGGATGTTATGAAGGGGAAGGTTGTGGAGGGGGAGGGTGCGGAGGAGCAGGAAGGGGGCCAGGAGATTGAGGATGAGGAGAGGGATTTCTTTCAGAGGGAGTTGGATGCGATGGGGTGGGGATTGGCTGGCTTGGGGCTGGTGGGAATGAATGGGCATGGGGATGAGGTGGCGTTTGGAGAGGAGGCCCCGGGAGTGAGCGGTGGTGGGAGTGCGATGGGGGCAAATGGGGTGCCTGCGCAAGGAAGCATGGAGACTGGGTGGACGAATGCGAATGCTTCGACGCTGGAGGCCTGGCAGAATGAAAGATGAGAGAAGTAGGTGGCTTTCGATGGATTTGTTATACGCAGTAGACACTAAGTCTCCAAGTAGCATTGAGCAGAATATGCTTATCTGTCAGTCCAACTCGCTTCATTTCGTCGCTTCGTTCCTCCTTCGTCTCACTTTAATTTATACTCCCAAGACTCCGGTGGTAAAGGTCGGTTCGAGGTAGGCTCCCGAGCTGCCTTTTAGTCACTACAGCTTCCGAAGCTGAGGGTGTGGTCGCAAAATATCCGGAAGGTTGCTGCAGGCTCAAGCTCCATCGCCCCAAATACCAACCACACCCATCAGAAAGCCGACCAAACTCACAGCAGTTCTTACGTTCTGTGTCCGCACTTCCCGTGCCATCTCGGCCTCAACCTTCTCTCCGTTGATCTCACTTGACTCTACCTCAACGTAGCCAGTCTCTTTCGATTGCCGCTTGAGTGTGAACCTAGTCCAGCCGTTGAACCAGTACTCAACGCCCTGCCCACCGATAAGACCAACAAGAGCTGTCCATAGTAGGTAGGGATGCTTCCCACGTGGAGAGGCGAGGGTGTAGCAAGTGACGAGTGATATCGACGAGACAGATGCGAGGGTCAAGATGCGTCGAGTAGCTCGCTCCTGGATGGTTGCAAGAGCGCGGGCGGCCCGGGCAGCAGAGGGGAGGACTGCGAGGGAGGGGAGAGTGATGGTGGAGAGAGAATAGGAAACGCCCTGCGCTTGAGGTCAGCGAATATCATGAATGCCTGGCAGGAATCAGAGCTTACCGTGAGCAAGCCGAGGGACACTGTGCCCACGAACTTGAGCGTGCTCATTGGACATACCATGATCGGCAGGTTGAGGTGTACGTGCGGTGTGTTCGCGGTTGGTCTGGCTTAGGCAGCTTTGACCGAGGGCGGTAAATGTCCTGGTGTGGAGGCGGGCAAGCTTCTTTCCAGCGATACAGTGGCGTATATCTGAGGTTCAGGCAGTGTCTGAGCTCCACATCCAACTATAGTATGGAGCGAGCGGTGGGCTGCGAATTGTTTGCAGAACCAAGGTGAAGTGGTACGGTACTTGGTTCCCGCCACTCTGCGAATGATGTCGTCCGCAATGAAATCGCCCGCCAGGCCGCATCAGGAAGGCATTGCCCGCGCCCCGAGCGCCGACTAGGTGCCGCAGCGCACCCACGACGCAGGTCCGGGCATCCTCCGTCGCCTTCTCCCAGGACTATTAAGTGTAGCTTTAGTGGCCCACCTGGCTTCGTACAGTGTGGCACACAGCTTCGACTGCACGATATTTGTTCTGATTTCCGGACTATGGCACCACGCAGCATAGTAGCCAAATCTGTTAACTGCTATTAGTGATTGCCCAGGACAGAAGCCGAGGCACGTCTGACACCCCGAGGAGCCCGGCTAACCCTGCATCTCCACGAACGTCCCAGCACCGAATGCTCGAATGAGACGACATTGACAAGGTTTGTTATATCGTACGAAAGCTGGAGAATAGTTACGGCCGTTGGCTCGAAGTACTATAACATAGACCACTTTCTCTCCACGACTGGGCTTCAAGTCAACTCCTCTCGCTACCCCTACCTCCAACGTTGCGATTACACTCATCATGCCTCTCAAGAAGTCCGAGTTCGTGTCGTCCGTGTGGAACGACAATCTATTTCACGACAAAGTTGTCTTCTGCACGGGCGGCAATGGTACAATCTGCAGCGCTCAAGTGCGAGCCATGGTTCACCTCGGTGCTAATGCCTGTATCGTTGGTCGCAACGAGAAGAAGACACATGAAGTAGCAAAAGACCTTGCTGCTCAGCGGGCTGGCGCGAAGGTCATTGGGGTTGGCAATATCGATGTGCGAAGCGTTGAGTCACTGCAGTCTGCTGTCGACCAGTGCGTTCGTGAGCTCGGCGGCATCGACTTCCTCATGTAAGTCACTTGCCGCCCTTGTCTTGTCGTCGCTGACTGTTCCTTAGTGCAGGAGCTGCAGGCAATTTCCTCGCGCCAATGGCCCAGCTATCTCCCAACGCGTTTAAGACCGTAATTGATATCGATGTGCTCGGATCATACAACACCACAAAAGTCGTCCTACCACACCTGCTCAAGAGCGTTCAGAAATACAACTCAGAAGGCGGTCTGCCAAAGTCAGAGGCCGCTGGGCCTGGTGGTCGCATTATCTATGTGTCTGCTACCATTCACTACACCGGAATCCCCATGCAGACGCACGTGGCGGCCGCCAAAGCGGCTATTGATGCTCTCTCACACAATGTCGCTATTGAATATGGTCCTCTGGGCATCACATCCAATATCATCGCCCCTGGCCCGATTGCCGGCACAGAAGGCATGGAGCGTTTGGGCGGCAAGCTTCAGAAAGGCGAGAAGCCTGGGAAACGAATCCCTCTCGGACGCTGGGGCAGTATCAAGGAGATTGCAGATGCCACCATCTACCTTTTTAGTGATGCAGGCAATTATGTGACAGGTCAGGTTACCGTAGTGGATGGTGGTTCCTGGCACACGCAAACTGGGCCTGGCGCAACATTCCCCTACCCAGACTTCCTGCTCTCTGGCGACGAAGTGACAGGCGTGGCGGGCGGCAAGCGAAAGTCTGGGAGTGCTAAGCTTTGAATGACTTTATGGAATGATCATTGCTGGCTCTGCGGTACGGCGTTCGACGGGTGCTCAGTCAGTGATTCAGCTTACAGCTACCTCTGAAAATGTGCAACCACTTCTGACATGCGTCGGCTACTTTACGGATCAAGGTCCACAAGTAATGTGCTTTTGTTTCCTGCTGTTATGGGCTAACAAGCAGCATTGAGACACGCCCATGCCTCCCACTTGTTCGCAATCGTCTCGAATCAAGAGTAATTCCTAAACAAAGACTACCTCTTTCCTCCGAATCCGACCACCGGTGACAGCTCAAGCGGCGGACCGACCCTATGAGATTCAGTCACAACGACAGCTACCTTGTGGTGTCAGGTAAATAATGCTTTCGCCAGGAGCCTTGACCAAGACTCTGCAGATGAGTGCCAGTAGGTCTGTCAGAGACCAAGGCATGCGTCGCGTCAGTCCCGACTCGTACTCAGCCTCTAGCCCATCGTCCTCTCCGAAGATACCAGCAGTCTGCAGAGTCCTTCAGTCAGGCTTCGATGACTCAGACCAACAAGGTCCTCCCAACAGCGCAGCATGTGCCCACTCGTGCAGAAAACATTTACATGACTTCACTCGGAGGCCTCTTGGACGAGCCTCATCCCAGCCTCAGTTTCGTTTGCTCCTTCACTCAAGCGCCATTGTCATCGAACAATATTTGAATGAGTCATTGCGGTGACTTGCGCGGTGGAAAACAGGCAGCCTGACCTGTTCCTCCTTTAATTGAAAACCATCCCATTGCCTCGTCTTTGCAACCTGTCACCGTCGTCCACTAGTACACGGAGGTCCTCCGGGCTATCGCTCACACGAACAAGCCCACCGAGGAGGTGATCCAGCACGCCAAGCTATCTGCTCTGGCGAGCACGTATGAGGTTGATTCCCTGAAGCAACTCAGCCTCTACAAGATGCACCGCGACCTCCGTGCCCTGGAGCTGACGGACAAAACGGTACCGCAAGTCACCGCCTTGATTGAATATGTCTGTCGCCACTTCCGAATCCCGTCCAGCGTCACCACCGCGTCTTCAACAGCAGCAGCGGTCAATGACGACAACATTCACACTATCAACGAGACGGTGCTGGCCTACACATTGTGGAAAGCCAAAGACTTGGTCGAGTACGACGCCTTCCTCGAACTGCTGAAAGGAAGCGGCGAATTCGTCAAGGAATTTACTGTCGAGCGTGCGAGGAGGGACACGTAAGGTGAAACTCGAGCTGTCGAGCGCGGTGATCGGGGGTCAGTAAGAAAGAGGAGAGGACACCGCGGTCCTGAAGCAGAAAGAGATGAAGCACTAGCCATAACCCAATAGCTTAGCATAACAAAGAAAGCCATAATACAAGCCAGCTTTATTGACGCAGTGAAAGTGATATTCGTCTTTCGAACTCTCATGCCTACCAGCCATGGCTGCCAGTGCCTCAATACTATACAATCGTGACAGATCCTCTGGTCTCCCACCGTCCTGCTTTCCCCCCCAAAAAATGGCCCTAGCCAAGAATGATACCCATTCACCGTGAACCAACAGGCCAAAGTCAACGCCACACTATGGAAACACTAAGGGGGTATCTCGTGTAGGGCAATAAGAGCTGCTTCGTCCATGTCATTCCCGAAAAGCTCTTGCTCCTCAAGCATAATCTTCATTCCTCACAACGCCGCATCCCCAAACTGTCATTGAATTGTCTGGTCCTCAGTCTTGGTCCCATGCTTATCCTGGGCCTCTTTCATGAGTTGAAATAGTCCGCGATAGTCTGTCGAGGACTGCCTCCCAGTGAGGCCTGCGCGTCGAAAAATTGCGTTTCGTCATCTTCGTCCATCATCTCAAGGTCCAACTTTTCATCGTCGACAACGGTCATCTCGCTCAGGAGTTTGACGCTCCTGGAGTTCAGTTTCATTGCTCCGTATGATCTGTCCATCACGGGGATAGCACGCCCCATATCTCTGGCTTTGAGTTCGCAGAGATCGAGGCCAGCCATACTCCACACAAAACGTGAGTGATTAGAGTAGTAGTGTCGGTACAAATAGGATGCCACAGTCAAACTCCAGCTGTAAAAGCCTGCCTCTTCACCAATTTCGAGCAATTGGTACAATACGTGATCTTCTTTGCCGGACACCTTCAGTGGCTCGATCTTCTTGTAAGAAGCGTAAACCTCATTGATTGCTTTGAGCCCTGAGCTGAAGTCCTTGCCTTGTTGAGGTCCACCCACTTTCTTCTTCCATTCTTCCAGAACGAGATCAAGGCTGTTTTTCAACTGGCGGAAGACTTGTCGGTAGACATCATTGTGAGGTTGCTTCGCCATCCTTTCGGCATCAACTCGCTTATCAACCGCACGGAAGGGCCTCAGAAGAGACTGGTCTTGTTTTGAAGGCCATTTCTGCGCAAGCCTCCACCATTCATCAAGTCTCGTCTTTTTCTGGACTCGAGCAATGTCAAACCGCAGATGATCATTGATGTTTTGGCTCTGGAATTCATCGGGGACTTCGATCTCTGACTTGAGGAAAGCGGGCTTGGGAAGCTGGTTCGGACCGCAGAGCTTCTTCCTCAAAGACAGCCATTCCTTGTGGGGTAGACTGTAGCCCTGTTTGGCACTGTCCACAAGAAACGAGGCTAGAGCGGCCAGCATCATAGCGCCGTGTGACTCAAGGGCACGAATACCCCCTCCGAAACCACCACTCAGGGACTGATGATAAACGTGCGCCACGTGGGTATTTGTGACAACACCAAGATAGCTTGGACGAAGGGCAAAGTCTAGGCAAGTCCGTAAGTGCTCCTGTACTGTGCGGTCGTCGATGCCATCCTTGAAAACGCTTGCAAGCTTGGTTGAACATTTCACCAAGCCAACATCCTCTGGCTTTATATGGTCTGGTGGACCGGGCGCGTAGTTCTTGAAATCGCAGACAATTGCTTGATCCCAGCACACAAATGCCTGATCGCCATCATAATCGCCTCCGCTCAAATAATCGGCGAGCGGGCGCTTGCCACGCGTAGAGAAGAATATGACATTAGAGTACCCGGCTAGCTCAGGATGATGAACAGCTCGAACACGTTGTGCGTCAGAGGGATGATTTGCAGGATTGCGGGCAACGATGACGTCGATGTCTGCAATGAAAATGCTTTCGAGGCCAGTCTCGGGATCGCACCAGGGCCTACCAAGACAAAGCTGGACCGTTCCTTCTTCCAGGAAGCCCCACACGTCAGGGACCATGTAGGCAAAGGTCGACCGTGGCAGCTCAATTCGCGGCTTCTCAACGAAGTCATCCAGGTAAGTTCGCAACGTGTCTTTGAACAGGTCACGCAGTGCCTTGTCTTCCTGAGGTCTGAAACCAACGTCGAGATATACTTTGATCTGCTCGATTTTGTTGACCGGACGGCCTCCAACAAATTGCAGCTCGGGTCTTTGCATCACAGAGTGATATTTCTGGAGCCAGTGATGCATCAGGAGCGGATCGTTCGTTTCAATGCTGTCACAAAGCTCCTCGTAGTACTCTTCGGTCAGAGCTGTTAAGCGACGTGCCAAGATCTTGCGGCCAACGCCTCGGTTGTAGAGTACATTAAGAAGCTGTGTATTCAGCGAGCTCGGCTTCAGTGCCTTCGACCAGTCTGAAACTTCGAAGGTCCTGAAGTGATCCGAGCAGTCCCGATAGCGTGGGTGAGGCTGGATCTTAAGTTGTGCGGGTGTAACTTGGATCCAATAACCCCTCCCAGCTGGATCTTGCCGCATAGAGTTGCGCTTATCCACAAGCCACATACCTTTCGCCCCACTGATTCGCCCTTGGAAGGCAGAAGGGACCTCATCGAGACCAAGCATTCGGGTGATGGCTATTGCGAGACCGACTGACATCAACGCACAGCCGTCGTTCATTACATTGCCTTCCGCCGACTGGATATCGGCAGTGTCGAGAAACTCATCCTTGCGTAACACGACCGTCGGAGTCGTTTTTGACAAGCCCAATTTGCTTCGAGCAAATAGCTTATGATTTGTGGACGCTAAGTTCTCTTCAAATGGAGCGTGCATATTCAAAAAGTCTTTCATGGAGACAGGATCTTGTTCAAGACCAAGTCCAGTTGTCGCAAACAGGTTCACTTGATTGAACCATGCTCCGGCCTTGGTCTGCTTAGGCTGATCGACAAAGAATGGTCGCCAGAAGCGGCCACCAATCTTGAGTCCATTGGACAGCCATTCGATGACCACTTCATGATATTGTTCAGGATCTCCCAGCCCAGAAGGAATGTCACTAGCTCGTAGAAATGGTACATTCAAAATCAGAAATCGTCCACCATCATAGATTCGGTGAAATCTGTTGCTCTTCTGGAATCGTGGAGCATGAAGTCGCATCTTGAACGGACTTGACTCAGGATCTTTGGTCTGGTTCCAGGTGAGGGTCACCTCCTGGTACAATGAACGGTGGTTCCGCTTCTCAGGTGGTAGTCCCGCGGCCGGTAACCATGAATGGCGCTGAAATGGCTCATAAGATCGACCTGCAGCTATCTCCTTGTACGCAGACAGCCTCTCTTCCACGCTAGGCGAGTCTCTGTGACAGATATTCCGCACCTTGTAGAAGATCTCCTTTGCGTTCATACCTAGAGACAGAGCTAAGCTCTGAAGCTCCCAGGCATATTCATAGTTTATTTTAACACCCGAGCATAAATCCAGTCGTGGATCACTGCATGTGCGCAAGAGTCGGGTGTAGATGGTACTGGACGTGCTGCTAGCATAGCCGCTGTCCAGAGACCTTAAAAGTGTCTCATCTTGCAAAAATTCCTCAGCATCTTGGGTAGGGAACAGGTCCATTGTGTCATCGTCCGCGAGCAAAGTTTCATCTGCGCTGCCAACGAGAGGCCTATCTTCGGCGGAGACAAACGTCGCCGAGGACTCTGAGTCATCCAAGGCCACATTCCGATCTGAGGTTGGAGCAAAGAAAGCACGAATGGTTTTTGACTTCCTTTGCTTGTCACCCTGATTCCCTTCGGTGGTACTCCGCCGCTTCTTGTTAACTACTTTCTTCGGCTGAGAATCACCTGACGAAGGCGATGGAGTCGATACTGGCTTGGTAGCACGAGCCATGTTATTGATAGTGGCTGGCTTTCGGGGTGGCGACATCGATGGCTCTTGAGTCTGCAATGAAAAACTATCGGACTGTCGCGATAGCGCATAGGGGTCTTCAAGAACACTGTCGAGGCACCGAAGGAGATCGTTTCGCTGTGCTGCAGTCAAGGCAGGACGCTTGCCCTTCAACACTGCTTTCGAGAGCGCCGAATCACCGGTGCTTCGACTTGGGGTAACACTGCTTTCGGCGAGGGGCTTGAACACCCATTTGGAGTAAATAAGCTTAGCGCTGCTCTCAAATTCTGCCAGCAGCAGGTTGAGGTCGATGTCTCGGTAGCAGAAGTATCTCAAGCGAGCAGAGCATCTTTTGGCAAGCGCCTGAGTTGATTCAAGCTGAACGGCGGCGGCGCCTCTTAGTCGAGGAAGGCCTAGGTCCCAGTGAGCATTAAGGTTTTCGAGAACTTCGTCTATGTTTGCTCGAATATGTTGAGGCGTTGGTGAGCTCGAACTGGGAAGCGTGTCATCTGAGAGGCGTGCACGGCGCGGGCGGGGCGTGGCCGGATTGTTGTCAGGGAATCTGGTCGGTAGCATCATAGGCTGCGGTACACCAGTAGCGGTGTTATGTAGACCAGGGGACTGGGACGGCAAGAGCGGCCGGTACAACGAAGGCTCGCAAGTAAGCCAGAGATATCTGGGGAAGTTCCAACCTGTGAAGCTCCCCTGATCCCGACACCTATCAGGCTGAGAATAGAATGAGGACGAGGCAACAGCTCCAAAACACTTGGAAAGACAACGGCAGCACTCATAAAGACTCGCTGAGAACGCCCACACGCTCAAGCTGAAGCAACAATCACAGAACAACTCGCATCAGCCTCGTCGTTATGCCTCAGGCACAAAGTGAGCAAAGAAGAGTGCAAGGCGAGTTTGGTGAGGAAGTTTGGTCTCCGCGAGGCGGAAGGGGACGGTCCGAGCGCCTAGTGCGCGGGCTCAGCCGTAGCAACGCCTTGGCGCGAACCACGCGCCTCGTGTAGGCGGGTTTGCCCATCAAACCCCAGAACGGTTTAGCCGGCGAAGGCAACCAACCACTTACCAGACACATTTCAGCTGGGGCTGCAGACCGAACCAACGTGAGTCAGCTCATCCTCATGGTTTGGTAAGTTAGCGCTTGTCCTCAGATATCGAAGCATGTAGCCTGGAGTGGAGAGCTCTTCGTGACTGCTACGACGTACTTACATGATGATCGCACCTTGCGAATGGTGAAAGGGGAGAGAGAAGTTGAGACTGGCAGCTGGACGGCAGGGAGTCTTTATTTTGATTTGGCCCGGTTCGCATGTCGTATGCAAGACTTGAAGCTTGTGGGAGACCAACATCGCAACGATGCGGAGATGCCTCAGGCACCAGATCCCATCATGTTTTGGTTGGCTCACAGCATCCCTCCTAATCAAAAGCTTCCAGCACTTTCATCATTCCACTCACTCGTCAAATCAGGTCTTCTGACCTCACTTCTATGCCAGTCATTGAAATCGTGATTGTCCTGTCATTCGGTTGCTGATATCCAACTTGTCTTCATCGAAATGGCAGATTCTATCTGTTATGACGGTGAGTTGCTCCTCCACCCTTGCCGAACGAAATCCTCCTGGCAACACCTGAGTTGCGTTAGCGATTGTCCCTTCGTGGGGACATACTGGACTTACCTTGCAGCGTAGCATCGTTCTCGGCATCCTTGGTGGCTTTCTCCAGCGCCGCCCGGCGGTCCTCCTGGCTCTTCTTCTCAATCTCCTCTGGCGACGGAGGTAGTCGTTCATTCTGGATGTCGACTTTGCGCGCATCTTCGAAGTTGTGGATAGCCTGCTTGATGCCCTCGGCTCCAAGCATGAGCGTGCCAGCGGGCAGACGCCCCCCAGAAGCAGTCTTGAGCTCGGTAACGCGCTCGCTCTCTTCGCGGAGCACTTGGAAGACGCGTGACAAGCGACCAATGGCAAGGATTTTGTTCTTGATCGCTCTCCTCTTGGCTTCGGTAGATTCGGCATCGGACAACGCTGGAGAGGCTGGACCGCCAGACAAGGGTGTATCATCCTCCAATTCTTCCTTAGAGCATGTATTGAGGATGGCGATCAACATGTCAGTGATCTTCTCGCCAACAAAAGGCAATGACCAGGTAAAGACATCCATAAAATTGGGCAGCCAGTAAGGATGTGGGGTGCAGTTGAATTGCCGAATGTTCATGACGTTGTTCTCGTATTTGAGCACCGCGGCCTTGTTGTTGTACACGTCCAGATAATTTGGCGCACTGAAAATCGTCATGACAGACGGAAAGCCAGTTGTCCTCGTCTTGCGGTACATGCGGTAGCCGGCATCTTGAGCTTCATGAGCTCGGATGATTGAGAGCAAGTTGTTCTTCTCCAGGAAATTGCAGGCTGCGGGATACGAGAAGAAGTAGGAACAGCCTCGGACATGGTTATGCACGTAGAACTCTCCAGTCTTCTCCTGCCCAAACTCTTCCAGTGGATCTGCCCAAAGCAGATCGCACATGATACCGTGTGTAGGGGGCTCTCGGAATCGATCAATGCTCTTGATGTCTTCTAGGGTGTGCAGCTCCGGGCTCAGCCCGCCGTGTATGCAGAGGAACTGTTTGTTCATGACAGCTGCCAGTGGTAGGCAGCAGAAGGCCTCCATACAAGCGTCATAGACCTTTTCAGAATACTTGTGCTTACACTCGAGCTTGAAGGTGAAGTAGTCGGTCAAATGGCGGCACTCGTGATTGCCTCGGAGGAGCCAAAGTGTGTTTGGGTACCAGATCTTGAGGGACCAGAGATAGAGCACACACTATGGACGTCAGCCGTGTCACGCGACGGCGCATGGAAACGCTTACCTCAATGCTGAAGTATCCTCGGTCGACGTAATCACCAAGGAAAAGATACCTAGTCTCAGAAGGATCACCGCCCACCTCGAAGAGCTTCATCAGGTCAAAATACTGGCCGTGAACATCGCCGCAGACAGTGATGGGGGCATCCATCTCCAGCAGGTTAGGCTCAGCGCGTAGCAGCTTTGCTCCCTCATTGATGATGAACAACGCCTGGTCTTCGGTCAGACGGCCTTCGCGGCAGAAGTGCTGCTTGAGAAAAGCCAGGTTCGGCTTATTGGGATCTTGTGGGGAGCGGAACTGCTCTTCGGTGGGCGTCTGCATCGCAGGAGCCTGGACATCTATCTCGCTTGTTAGGTCAGGATTCGAAACACGGGCACGCCGACGAACCTTTGCAGACGCGTTCTTGCGTGCTGACCTGAGTGCCATCTTCCATAGTATGTAAGGTGAAATCTATTTCGGGAACAGGCTTCCTCTCCACCACGGCTCTTGATATGTTGCCCTCCATGACGGCGGGACTTGCGCTCGCTCTGCGAGGCTGACGTATGGGTAGGAGTTATGTGTCGCACAAATGGTTGTAAGTACCAAGTCAGAGGTTGGGGGACGATAGCACGTGCTTTGGAGCCCAAGGGCAGTCAGGGGCGAGGGAGTTTAGTGAGAGGCGGGATCGGTGTAGCTGCGCTGACCGGTCGGAACGTGATCCAAAGGTAGTGTGCGGTGGGATTTGGGTGGTGTGCAGGGCGGTGGCGAGATTATGGTAGGAAGCCCGGGCTGATGCAAAAGAGACCAGATCAGGCTACGGGGCTACGAATCTTAGACAATCGAGACGGTTCGTACAGCGCAGCGTAGGTTCTTTTGATGTGCTCCTGAATGGCTCGGGAGCCGTGCGTGGGGTCCTTTGGGTGGCGGGGGTTCTCTGCACCCCGCCAAGCCTGGTGATGCTTGACCTCATCGGCGCCTGGAGTACAAGCACAACGCACGCCTGTAGTGCCGGTGTCCCATGTTCTATTATTAATATGTTCGACGCGCATAGTATGATTCGTCACGACGTTATTGTGGGTGCCCAGCTAATTCCTACCAGAGCCTGACCGGCTATTGGCCCAGGTGCCACTGACGGTATCACCCTTCCTGTCCATGCCCACGGCAGTGAGCCTTCCATATAGCTTTCGCCAGGTTCCCACCTCGCTACCGCCATCCGTCATAGATGATCCCAACTCCGACAAGCCAAAGTACATCACGTCCTCGAGCGGTCACACGGCGCACCCAGACGACATCATAGCATCTTGCAATGCGCTCCAACAGCATATCACAAAGTCACAGCAGGATGCGAGGAAGGTGATCGAAGAATGGGAGCAAAGCATCAAAGTCAAAGAGCTGGCCGAGAAGCGTCGCGTTGCTCCGGGATGGCTAGATAGAGACGAGAAGATCCTCGAACCCACCAAGGCTGGGTCAAATGCTCAAAAGCAGGGCTTGCTGGACGAGGACTCAGCAGATGTCAAAGCGCCTGCAATGTCTCCTAGCAGGGAGGGCGAGGAGCTTGACCGAGCGTTTGGGACACTTGCCATGAAGTGATGGGAGGTGCAGGCAGAACTACTCACTACACTGCCCTAGCAACGACGGCCGCCACATATCGACTTCGATCACGGCTGCGACCAAAAGGTATAGTCCCTCGACAAACACCGAAGCCATGAGCAGCACGTCGCCGGACTTTTGGGTCCGCGGTGCCCTCCTCCTCCTAGCCAGCGCCGCACTTGTCTACATCGGCACCAAATACCGGCAGCTCTTCCGCGGAAATCCCAACTCCAGCGCCGAGACGGCCATTCTCAACACCCTCCATCAACGACGCATCATGCCTCGCGCAACACATTTACCTCCAGACACGCTCCGGCCGCCCACCCCACGCAGTCCTCTCAGCCGGTTCAGCAACGCCTCACCACTGCGCTACGACGACTGTCCCAGCGCCACGAGCAGCAGTCTGGAGTCAGGCGTCCAAAGCCCAAGAGCGCGCTTCACCATCGCCCGATGGCCTCGCGTGCCGAAATGGACCAGTATTGGGAATGTGGACGAAGGCAGTATTGCGCAGCGGCGGCAATCTCAGAACACCCTGTGACAGCACCGTCACGCTTGTCTTCTGGGGAGCGAAGCTACAGCGAACGGCTCTGCCCTGTGCGAGCTTTGACCCGAAGGACGACGGACGGTAGTGTCTATTTGCGTGTTGCGGTCTTCATATATTCAGCAGCAGACCAAGCAGCCAGAGGCCGACGAAGATGATATGGCAGGTCTACGGTTTGTCTGAAGCGACGCATCCAAGGCGATGCCCAACATCCCAGATTGAAACAAATCTTTCCCTCTAGGCAGGCAAGACAAGCGTATATGCTTTCGTTCACTTTCATTTCATCGACTCCAATCAACACGAAAAAGTGCGTGACACCACGCTGAGAATAATAATACAAGCCACTACCTTTTCAGCCTACCAACTATCGACACATGAAGTGAAAAAAGAATAAACCCCCCGTCCTATCTCCAGCTGTGCTTTGCCATCATTGACCACATCACATTTCCCATTACGCATTAATCCCCCCTTTTCCCCTTAGTCCCGGTGAGACAATGACCCCTGCATCCGTCGAAACCGCCTCCCTTGGCCTCCCAACGGGCTGCTCATATTAGCAGCAGCATCCTCCTTGAGAAACCCATCGACATCGTAAAAGCTCTTCGTCGTCCGCACGCTTTCGCTCCCTGCGCCTGTGCCCACGCCTGGGTCCACGCTCGCGCCCGCACTCGCAATCATACTGATCACGCTGCTGCTACCGCCACGCCCAAGCGCGCCGTCCACACCAGAATTTGTACTGCACAGACTTCCTGCGGCCGAAAGTGGACTCCTCAAGCTATCCTCGCGCCTCGTTCTCGGCCTCCATCCCTGCTGCTGCTGCTGTGGTCCTTGCTTCAGCTGCTCTCTCGGTTGTTGTTGTTGTTGTGGTGGTGGTGGCGTCGCGAATCCGATCACCGGTCCTCCCGCGCCACCAGCACCCCGTTGGGGACCCGGTGCTGCCATTCCAGACGTGACCCGTGCGGCGCGCTCCCTCAAGTCATCCTTCAAGCGCTGCTGCGCAGGGCTGACCTTCCGCTTCTGCGCCTGACCCTGATCCTGACCCCGACTCCCAGGTCGCGATCCGGAGCCCGGCATTGGAAAGGCCCAGCCACGGCTGTACTGGGCGAAGGTCTGCGTCTGCGCTGGGTGAGGCTCTGATGGGGGCGTCGGAGGCGCCTCGTCTAGTTTGAGCTGCAGCTCGAGCTCCTTCAGCACCTCTGCCGTCACGGCCTTGTCGTCACTCCGTCCACGCCGATGGACGCGATTCATGGAGACACGTCCTGGGCCAGACACCGGCTTGGCAGATATAGGACTCACGAGTGGCGTAGGAGAGGTGGGCGTAGGTAGGACAGCGAGGTTCTCCGTCGGTACGTCCCCTGTGCTCCAATCCACATCGCCGAAATACCGCGTCATGAGCTCCTTCTGCGTCGGACTAGGACCCAGCGGCTGCGATGGAGGTTTGTACGCCAGTGGCGGTATAATAATGCCCAGGCCTATGGGCTGCTGCGGGTGTCTCTGCTTCGTCCTCCCCAGCTGCTCCTGTTGCTGCAGCGCCGCCTGCGGTTGAACAGGCTGCTGAGGGAGCGACTCCAGCCGCGGCGGGATAGCCACAGAGCCCCGTCGGCTTGCCTGTCCGGAGGCTGGCTCGGGCGAGTCGCCATGGATGCTGTCGTCTTCCCAAATGGAGACGCCGCCGAGACTGTACTGGGAGTCGCGGGAAGGGGAGCCGTTGTTGTTGAGGAGGCTTGAACGAGGACGGCTGGCGATAGGCGGCAGTGTGTTGCTTATACTGAAATCCCGTTTGTGGGACTGCGGCCTGTTCATCTTGCGCTTGGTGCTACCGAACATGCTGCCTCCTGGCCCCATACTGGACATCCTCGAGTGCATAGCGCTGCCGGTACCTGCCGTGCTGTTGTTGCGTGTATGGATGACAGGCGTGGCGCGGGTGCTCACCGAGGCCACACTGTTAGTCCTGCTGACCTCCCATAGTGCGTTGAGCTGTTTCCAGTCTTCGTGATTTTGCGCCTCGGTCTGGAACTTGGGCGTACCTTCGGGACCCCAGAGCCTGGAGTTTGTGTTGAGGAGTCGTCCGTTGGAGTCGAGACTGCGGAGTAAAGTCACAGACTGGCGGAGGTCGCTCACTTGATCGTCTGATTGCACGGTCGTGGGATTGGGGAGGGTGGTAGACGAACGTCGGCGATCGTGGGAGTCTCTTACTGGGCCCATAGTTTTGGGTGAGGTGGCCGGGGAGGAGATCTTTGAAAGCGAGCGATGCAAGTTCACGTTTGTGGATGGGAAAGCGGGGGCCTGTCGCGGTCCGAGAGGACGGGCGGTCGTTGGTCCTGTCGTGTCAGCCGCAGCAGAAGCGACCACTGGCGCTGGTTTGCATGGCGAAGGTAGGATAGGCGATGAGTTCTCGCTGTTAGGGTGCTCGAAGACGCTGGACTTGAATGGGCCGCCCAGTGTCCTCGCGCTTGTTGGAGTAGGGCTCAAAGCCCAGCTAGATGGGTTCGCGAAGAGGTCGGGCGTTGAATAATCCTCGCTAGTATTTCCGGGCTGCGTCCACAAGTCCTCGAATTCGCGGCGTTCATCGCTGGGAGAGCTATGGGTCGGGGAAGGGCTACGCTTTTGTTGCGAGGAGGCAAGCGTAGAACGGTTGGCAACGGAGGAGATGATTGGAGATCCGTTCTCGTCGACTATGGAGCGCCGAGTCTGCACGCGAGGACGAGTATCGGGCGACTCCTTCGGGCTGACGTCCACGACTTGTACTTTGTTCGGTAATGCAGAACCGTCCTCGTCACTATCTTCGGAGGCTTCGGAAATATCGGACGGCCGGCGGCTGCGCGCGTTGGGACTATTCATACGGGAAGGTGGCACGACAGGGATGCTGATGCGTACGCAATTCTGGCGGCGGTGACCCCTACTGACAGAACGGATGGGTTGGTTGTCCCGAAACGGCTTGCTGCTTGCAATCGAGGCAGGGCGCGGTCTCAGGGCGGTAGGCGACACGTTACCGCCTATTTGTCGACCTTCTCTCATGACTTCGTGGCTACGTTTCGAAAGGCGGGGACCCTGGATCGAATGTCGATGCTGCGCAGGGCTAGAATACTGAGAGCCGAAAAAGAAGTCTGGTCCAGGACTCCAGGCAGTAACATCTGTGCCAGATCCTGTTTTCAGCGCAGAGACTCGACCCTCCGGCGCTGCACTTGTCTCGCGACTGTGGTACTCGAAGGTCGGGACTACGGAGGGGACACCGAGACCACCACTGTGCCAGAATGGAGGCCTGCCTGGCGATGGGGCAAGAGGTGGCTTCGACCTGTTGAAACCGAAATCGAACTCCTGCATGCCCGAGTTCACTTGGGGAAGACTGAGCTCCGACGGAGATGGGAAGCCCAACACGGAGCTGTCAACCGTAAGCGTGGATACTTGTGAGCTTCGCCTCGGACCTGAGGCTTTGCAGCTCTCAAAAGTTGGTAGCGGCGGCAGTGGACTATCTGGTGCTTCGGACACGGAAGCCATGCCGGGCGAGAGTTGGGGCTCTTGTGACTGCCCGAAGCTCGATTCCCTCTTCAGTGATATAGGCGTGTCAATCTCGACGGGACTCAAGGGTGGAGGGCGCTTCTTGGTGCTAGGAAAGGACTCTCCGACCCTTGAGTGGATAGGGGACACAAGAGGCTCATTCTCGGCTGCTGGCAGTTTCGGTGTAGGTTCTGTTGGCAGTTCGACAGGCATCGGCAGTTCATTCAAGGGTGCCGTCGAGTCGGTCAACTCGGTAATGGCAGATAACGGCGATCGGTTCATGGCTTTCAGGGCTATCGTATTGTCGATCTTCTTCTGTCGCCTCGTCTTTGGGGCGTTGCTTCCGGAGTGACCATATATTGAATCGCGCAGGCTCTTTTTGCGCTTCGATTTGGGCGGCATTGGATTTGTATCGGGTCGCGCGGAGGCAGCTTCCACCGCCGCCTCTTCTTCGAGATGGTCCTGTGATCCGAGGGCGGACCATTCTGAGTGAATCTGCTGGACTTCTTGGCTACTCCGGGGATTCGTCTGAGGTGGCCCAACGTGTGCGTAGTTAGTGTCGTAGGCGGAAAGTCGCGTTCGGTGATATGCTTGCAGGTCCTGGTTCAAGCTATCCAGATGCTGTTGGTGCCGCTTCCTGACGATTCTACCGTGAACCAGGAAACCAACAGTAAGGAGCACTACGAATGCGCCCGTCCCGATCAGGGCGATCCATAGAACGTCCAACATCTCGTCGTCGACACTTTCTTTCGCGTGTGGCGAGCATCACTCTCGCGAGGCAAGGCACCGCACCCAGTATAGGCGACAACAAGGACCAGGCTGAGGGAATGCGGAAAGAAATTAGCATCAAGCACGAGGTAGGGGTGGAATGTGCCGGGAAGAGAACTGACTGTGTACTGGGCTCCGCGTGACACCGCGTCATGTTGGTCATAGCTGTGCTCAACAACAGGTCACAACACACCACCATACCACTGGTGAGATGGGGAAAAGTTCACTCTAGAACGGAGTCGAAACAGCGGGACGGGAAATGAAGATCCATCAATCGCAAGACTGGAATGATACTGAGATCGTCCGGAGCCGCAAATCCGACAGGCCTCGTTGGCACTTTTTGGCCCTGAAGGCGTCAAAATCAGCATCATTCCAGGGCACTCCATGGCTTCTGGGCGGTATGTCGCGGAAAATTGGCCATTTGGCACAAGCTTCTTCAAGCCACCCAAGGCCTTTGTAGAGACCCCTTGCTCATTAGCGGTAGCAGTCTCAGCCTCACTCGGTCCAAGTGCAGTATGCTAGAGTCTCGACGGGCTGCATAGAAGTAGAAGTAGGAGAGTCTGCCAGCTTGTAGACACGCTCTGAGCCTCTGACAACCGTCAAGAAGCTCGTTTGGGAATTTGCCCGGTGGTACGCTGGACTCCGTATTTTCGGCCACCGCCACGGCTAAAAGCCCACACCGGCGGCGCAGTACAAACGCTTCACCATGTTCTCCAATGCGGAGTGTGAAGGTTCCGCGGGGTTGTTGAGCGCGTATAAATGAGGTACAGTATGTAGAAAGAGCGAACGAAGAGGTGTTGTAGAGCAAGGAGGAACGCACTGCATTTATATTCACTGAAGCTTTATACCGCCCTACCCCACGAGTCATGGACGATGCCCTGATCCAAGGTACAAGTCGCTTCAAGCACTACAATACACAGGCACCAGACACCACTCGTATATTGCCACTGTTCTCGCTCAAGGGAAAGACTGCCATTGTAGCAGGCGCCGGTGCGGGCATTGGTCTGGCCGTCTGTCGAGGGTAACACCAAGCCCCCTCCATCTACCGTTGGTCGAAGCTGACAAGACCACCAGCTATGCCGAAGCCGGAGCCAATGTGATCATATGGTACAACAGCAATAAAGCGGCCGAAGATCGTGCCCAGGAGATAGAGGACGAGTTTGGCGTGCGCTGTCGTGCATACTCGGTCGATGTCACCAATCCCGAAGCCGTCGACACCGCCATCACCAGCCAGCTCAAAGACTTCAACGACCGCCTAGACATCTTCGTCTACAACTCAGGTGTAGCATGGACCAGCGGCGCCGCCATCACCGGCAGCCTCGACAACTATCGCAGCGTCATGAAAGTCAACGTCGACGGTCTCTTCTACTGCGCCCGCGTCGCCGGCCGTATCTGGCGCGAGCAGAAGCAGCGTCAGAAACAGTCCCAGGCCACGCCCCTCCCCAACTTCCGCGCGGGCAGCTTCATCGCCACGGCCAGCATGAGCGGCCACATCGCCAACTTCCCGCAGCTGCAGACGGCCTACGACGCGTCCAAGGCGGCTGTCAAGCACATGTGCCAGAACCTCGCGCTCGAGTGGGTGCAGTTTGCGCGCGTCAACAGCATCAGTCCGGGCTACATAGCCACCGAGTTGACGGACTTTGTGCCTACGGAGACGAAGGAGGTCTGGCGGTCGATGATACCCATGGGGAGGGAGGGCGAGGTGGGCGAATTGAAGGGACCGTATCTGTTTTTGGCGAGTGATGCGAGCTCGTACTGTACGGGGACGGACTTGCTGGTTGATGGGGGATATTGTGCTCCTTGACGGGAAGAGGGAAACATCATTCTGTGGATTCATGGACGAAACGGCATCTTGCTTACAAGGTGAGTGACAGCAACGATATGAAGGCCGTCGAATAGACGCCGGTCAAGCTGCTAGGTGCCGTCAAGCTACATTTCATCAAATACGCAAATTGCGGCGCTGCAAAGCACTTCGCTGCTACATATCTATCCAAATCTATGCCCATCGCTTTTAATGCCCGCTGCTCGAACACACGCAGCACAACCCAACACCAATGCAATATACAACGAATCGTACAAAATCGCGAACGAATGACTGACAAATACCAACCCCTCTTCCCCGTTCTCTGCGTCCGCACTCCCAAGTCCCCCTCCCTCCTGGTTTATCACCGCCGATTAAAGTTCAAATACCGACTCCCAATAAACAACAGGATCAAATTACTGGCGATAAACGCCGCGAAAATCCCCAAATCCCTCCAGCGATCCGCAAAACTGATCTGCAGGGGCCCAAAGAACTGGTCTCCCACGCGGTAAGCGCAGTACTCACACACCTCGGACACGTTACTGGCCAGATACCCGGGTCCGCCGCTCCCAAAGAACTCAGCCATGTAGTCGCCGCAGTCCTGGCCTGCGGGGGCGGGGAAACTATTGAGTTCGTGGGGCCGGCAGTTGACGGGCAGACCGTGTAGTTCCGTCGTGACCATGCCAGAGACCAAACGCGTGAAGGGGTCGAGCTCGTAGAGCCAGGCGCGCCAGAAGCCCGGGATCTGGGGTTTGGGGATGGTGACGCCGCAGAACAGGGCAAAGACGATGACGATGAAGGGGTTGATGAGGCTGGAGATGAAGGAGCTGGGCGTCAGGGCCGCGACCATCTGGCCCAGGGTCACGGAGAAGAGCTCGGTGATGAGGACCATGAAGAACTGGTAGCCGGCGCGGTCGCTGGAGCCGTTGAAGCCCGAGAGGTAGTAGATGGGGAAGAAGAAGCCGAGGGTGCAGAGTAGGCTGTAGGGCATCTCGGCCTGCACCATGGCGAAGGCGAAGGGGAATTGCTTGTACGCTTTGGCGGCGCTCTCGCGGTAGAAGATCAGGCGCGAGAGGTCGTACATGGGCTCGACTTGCGCGAGGATCAGGGCGGGGATGATGGTGACCTGGAAGATGACGAAGATGCGGTACTGCAGACTGGAACGGCTGTCGTCGAGCTGTAGGAAGGCCAGGCCGGATAGCAGCGCGATGGCGACGTGGTTGAAGAGCCGCGTGAAGCCGTAGTTGGGCGAGCGCCAGAAGGCCAGGTGCGTGCGCCACGAGACAATCTTGATCTGGTGCCATAGTGGCGTGGCGTATTCCTTCTGCTCGGGCTGCGACGTGTTCGCGATCTCATGCTGGCGCTCGCGCTTCATGGCGACGATGGCATCCTTCGTGGCGGCGCATTCAGGCGACGAGCGCCAGATTTCGCCCCAGTCGCGGTCGCCGACGCGGGCGGCAATTCCGGCTCCAATCGCGTCGAGCATGTATTCTGCTGGGTTGACGTCTGCAGGGCAGTCGGCGCCGTGGCGGTGAAGGTAGTCAAGCAAAACATGGGCGTCTTTGCCGATCTCGCCAAAGTAGACCGTCTCGCCTCCCTTCTGGAGCAGAAGCAGGCGATCAAAGTTCTCGAAAAGCGCGCTGTTAGGCTGATGGATCGTGCAGAGAATAGCCTGGCCAGCCGCTGCTAGCTTGCGGAGGAAGCGAACAATGTTGAACGCCGACTGGGAGTCGAGGCCCGAGGTGGGTTCATCCAGGAACAACAGCAATTGTGGTTTGGCGGCCAATTCCACGCCGATAGTGACGCGTTTGCGTTCCTCGACGGAGAGGCCAGACTCAGGGGTGCCGATGATGGCGTCTGCCAGATTCTCCAGCTCGAGTAGTGACAGGACTTCCTCGACATACGTGTACTTCTCTTCGCGTGGAGTCTCGTAGGGTTGGCGGAGGTTGGCACTGAAACGAAGAGCTTCTCGGACCGTTTGTGTAGACTCGTGGACATCAAGCTGCTCGGCGTAGGAGGTGCCGCGTTGAAATGCGATACCAGGCTTCTCGCCATCTACGAGGATGTCGCCGCCGATGACACCGATGTTTTTGCGGGCTGCGAGGACGTCGAGGAGAGTCGTCTTACCTGCACCAGAGGCTCCCATAAGCGCAGTGAGTTGGCCGGGCTTGACGTAGCCAAAGACATCTTTGAGGAGCCGCAGCTGTCCAGCTGGAGTCGGAACATCATATGTTAGGTTCTCCCACGTGAGGACAGCCTTCGATGCTATATTGAGCTCCGAGTCCTCAGTGGCCTCCTTGTTTTGCCTCTGTTTCTTCCTCTGCTGCAGCTTGGCGTTCAATTCTTTTCGTTCCTTGTTCTCCTTTTGGAAGTAGGTCACCGTCCGGCCACCGGCGCCATACTTGACGTACTCACCGAGTGTTGCATTGGTGAAGAGAAAGAAGGCGATCAGAGCCACGATAATGCCGAAGTTGCGCCACAAGTCGCTGGGGTCGTAAGAGAAGGCGGTGGTGATGTAGTCGGAACCGCTAACCACGTCAGAGCCCGCGCGGGAGCCTGGCAGCGTGCACACTTGATTCTCGAGGTTGTCGTAGCCTGGTCCGGAAGGAATCAGAGATTCAGATGTGCATTCCATCGTCAAGCGACTAAATTCGTTCATCATCATGGCCGAAAACCCTAGGCCCAAGGTATTGATATAAAAGATCCACCGCAGCCATACTTGCTGGCTTTGGTACTGGATGATATAGCCGGAGGTGATGACGAAGAGGGTGATGATGACAGCGGCGAACTTGATGGCGTAGTCGAAATCAGGACATAGGCAGCCAATTGTGCGGAAGAAGAGCGTCATACACAGATAACCAGTAATGATGATCAAGGTGAATACGAAGAAGGCGCCGGCATCTCTCACAAGACCCGTCATGAAGTACACGATGATGCTGAAGACGAAGATCTGCACTGACGCAAACGCCAGATCGACCAATATCTGTGCAAGCCACAGTGCCGATGGCCGGTGGAAAGTAAATGCCCTGTGCTTGTTGACAATGGGCCGACCCAGCATGGTACTGGCGAGCTCGGCGAACGCTTGAAACGCGTTGAACAGTAGGGCGATGAAGATAACACCTCCTCGTGTGAAGGCACCAGCCGACGTTTGTGGTTGGTCCAGCCAGACCGTACCGGTGATGATGGCGATAACAATGGACGTAATCCAAGACACAACCAGGGAGAATTTGTCCTGCCATTTGATGAGGAATTGCCGTTGCATGAGCGCCCACATCTGCAGATAGAACGGGACCGAGTAGACCGAGTGCTTTGGCGTATGTCTCCGTTTTGCGTCCTTGTGCGCAGCCTGAAAGTCCTCGTAGATCTGCTTCTCTTCGTTGATGGACTTGCGATAGTCGGCCATCTCCTGCTCGAGCCGCGTTGCGTACTCGGACTTGTTGAAGGCCTCCACGAACGACTCGGCTGTCGACGGTGCGTTCTCGGCAGACCTCCCAGGCTTGTATTCGCGCTCGAACTCATCTGTACAGCCGGTCAGGTAGTCAGGTGTCGTCTGCCGCGGCTTCTCGAGGAAGCCCAAGCCTTCGAAATAGGCACGCGCCTCCTTCGCGGGGCCGAAGAAGACCTGCTTCCCTTCAGAAACAACCATGACTTTATCAAACTGATTGTAGATTGTTTCGGAGGCTTGGTAGAGAGACACAAAAGTAGTCGTCTTGTAGATGTTGGTCATAATTCGTAAGGATTTGGCGTAGTCGGAAGCGGTCGACGCATCTAAGCCTCGAGTGCTGTTGTCCCACGCGCAGACAGTAGCCCTCGTTACCATCATCTCGGCGATAGAGACACGTTTGCGCTCACCGCCGGAAACGCCGCGGATAAAAGGATTCCCGACCACAGTATTGATGGTGTGCTCAATGTTGAACATCTTAAGTAACAACTTGATGATGGCGTCTTTGAAGTCCTTCTTGCTCATGCCATTCGGCCGCTTGCCAGGGGTCTTGGTGTCGAGCGCAAAGCCCAGGGTCTGACCTACCGTCAGGGACGGATGATGGACATCATCCTCCTGGTTGTAGACAGCTTCACCTCTGAATCGCTTTTCAAACGTTGCAGCGTCGAAGGGGCCATAGAGAACCTCACCGTCGATACCGGTGTAACCATATCGCTGATTTGCAATGACTTTAAGGAACGTTGTGCATCCACTACCGGGCCGACCGAGCACAAGCACCATCTCGCCAGGTTTGGTTACGCCCCTAAAGTTGTTGAGAATGTCGAATTCGCGACCCTTTTTCCCGTAGCCCAGGAGGTGCATGATGGTACCCGGCACATTGAAAAAGTCGACGAAAGCATCGGGGAAGACCTTGACAAAGTTCTTAACGCCGCCGATGCCTCGCACCGTCAATTTGTCCCAGATGACACCTGCAGTTTCTTAGCACAGCCACAACTCAAACCATACGCGTCTCTTACCAATATATTTCGATTTTATGCCAGCTTCATAGTCTGCTTCTCTCGCGCCTCTCAGTGTTTCTTCTAGATCCCAAGCTTCTTCCGAGGTCGCCTCGCTCGAGACCGCCTTCTCGACATCCTGGGCAATCGATGCCTTCGCATGCGAGTACGTCCTGGACATGCGCCGACTGTGCGCACTGAACTGCTTGCTCAACTCGGCGAAGTCGCGCTCGGCCTGCTCGACATCGACGCCGGACTGGGTGTGCGCGAGACCGTGGGAATTGCGCGATGCGGTGCGTACCGCTTCACGGCCCTTCTCGTAGTCATGTTCGAGGTCGCCGACGGTGTCGACGTCGGAGCGCGGTGGTTCAGAACCGACCTTCTCCTGCGTGTGATCGCTTGCAGAGGCGCCGTGTTGGTGGGTAGGCTTGTTCAGACCCAGTTCTTTGGATACGGCGTCCGCCATTACTGTTTGGACCTCGACGAATCGGGAAAGTCCAGTCGCAGGGTTTCTGAACGGGTCAAGCACCCCACCGCCCACTTGTGTTCCCGGAAACCGCCTCCACGAGCTGTCAGACTGCTTGAGGGTTGAACGAAAGGAAGCAGTCGGCCTAGGGTGGGCCTATGACAGTCGTTGGAGAAGGTGAGAAAGTCCAACAGCAATGGAGGACTTAAGGGCACTTTTTCTGCAGAACCCGACGGACGACGAGTGCCCCATGCATGCCCCCAAAGATGCCGGCTTGGGCTTGGACTGCTGGTATTATTCCGGGTAAGATGGCATACGGCCGGCTGGTGACTCCACGAGCCCCACGTACCGCCTGCTTGGCCCCGCGTTGCTCTCGGTTTCCGGGCGCATTGCTTCCGCATGGGTTCAAGCGGTGTCCTGGGAGAACGTTCGGACAAACTGAGTCACCAATTGCGGCCGAGAAAAAATGCATCGCAGGCCAAGATGTCGCGGCTGGGCTTGTCAGATCCACTGAGAGTACCATTGCGTACATATTCGGGCGACGCGCCCTTGAGTTGGACATTGTCACATCAGAGACCCGCGGCAGAGAAGCGTCCGGGCGCCGTCTTGGCTGTTGTATGCGGTGTAATAATACGAAAAGAAAATCACTCGATGCTCAGGATGGGAATTTCTCCGCCGGCAGCATCCCTCCTTGCGGTTAGTATGCGCTGGACTACGGGGTGCAGCTTCGGAACCTGATGTTCTGACAAATTCACCAGTTGGTTATCGCTGCTTGAGGTCGAATACAACATCCGGAGTGTGGAACAAGCAACATGCATTGGTCAGGTACGCTGCTGCACGAGTAGTTGCTGTGCACGAGATTCCAGAAACAGGGAACAATAATCATGTCTGGTAGCATATATATTCCTAATCTCCTGCTCCACACGTCCAGTCCGAACCTAGAGGAGCCACGCCACGAAGGTCCGATAGAACCAGCTGCCTCCACGTTTGCCGGAGTCCTGCGCAGCCTTGCGTGCGAGGAATTCTTCTTCTTCCCGGTCAATGATGTCTTTGCCAGTATAAAAGTCGGCGTTGTGCGATCTGACCCTTTCGCATTTGGTCCAGAACTTGTATCCAAAGATCAGAGCCAGGTATAGAGGAATTCCAAGATATCCAGTAATGAATGTCTTGTAGTCCCACGCGCCATATGTGCCCGGCGTAAATGCGTTGAAGTTCTTGGTGAGGGCCACAATGACGCACAGGAACAGCGAGAAGTAGCTTCCGTAGATGCCCAGTGGCGCAGTGTAGGGCATGGCTGTATCCGGGATACCCTGTGCCTTGCGAGCGCGCACGAAGAAGATGTGGGTGACCAGGATGGAGATCCAGGTCTGCAGGCCGAAAATGGTGGTCAGGTTCTGGAAGTAGATGAAGATCTGGCGGGCATCATCTGTCACGTTCATGTAGGCCAAAAGGCAGAACAGCAGGGATATCGCCAGGCCATAGATAGGCAGACCACGGCTGTTGGTCCGGCGGAAGATGTCGGGTGCCCGGCCTTCAGATGCAAGACCGTAGATGGTACGTGAAGCGATGTAGAGATCCGAGTTGGCGGCTGAAAAGACAAACAGACAAATGCAGCCATTCAGGATGCCAGGAAGGGCTTGGATACCCGAGAGCTTGATGGCAACCACAAACGGAGAGGCTGCAGCCGAGTTGGAAGCCTTGTTGGCAAAGGCCAGTTCTGTTGAGTCGTACGGGACCAGCATTCCCAGCAAGAGCACTGAGATGATATAGAAGAACAGGATACGCCAGAAAGTGAGCTTAATGGCCCGAGGAATAGTCTTGCGTGGGTTCTGGGCCTCGCCGACCGTCACACCGATTAGCTCCGTGCCAGAGTACGCAAACACAGCCGAGACCATGCAAGACCATAAAGCATAGAATCTGCCAGCAGCACCGTCGTCGATGTAGGTGTTGAAAGCCCCTGGATTATTCCAGTACCGGAAACCTTTGCGGTCGCCATCCGGTCCACCTCCCAGCGCGAGGATGAGCGAGAGCAGGATGACTCCACAAATAACTATGACTTTGATGGACGATAGCCAGAACTCAAACTCGCCAAAGAATCGGATACCGAACCAATTGATCAACGCGATCGTCACGAGGAAGACGGTGATGAAAACGCCGGGATTGACTTCGTCCTTGGGTTTCCAGTATTGAATGACCAGAGCGGCGGCAGTCAATTGTGCCGGCGTAATGATGATGTACTTGAAGAAGTAGGTCCAGCCCAGCGCGAAGCCGAGCGCCGGGTCGCAGAAGCGGGTAGCGTAACCAGTGAAACCAGAAGACAGAGGCAGCCACGCGGCCATCTCTCCAAGTGCGCACATGACGAGGTAGACCATGAATCCAGCAATAGAATACGTGATGAAGATGGCGGCCGGGCCACCACGGGCGAGAGCGGCGCCGGTTCCGATAATGAGACCTGTTCCAATGGCACCACCAATGGCCTAAGAATGTCAGCATGGGCTCCGAGCGAGCAGGACTGGGAGACAATACAATCATGGTCACATGGCGAGCCTTGAGACCGCGGTGCAAGGCGCGACCTTCCTCATACTCGATACCGTGGATACGAGCACCCTCAGGAGTTACATGAGTCTGAGCGGTGGTATAGTCACCCTTCTCGTAGTCGGCGCCATCCGGCGAGGAGCTACCTTCTTTGCGGTATTCGGCCATGGTGAGGACTGGTGTAGCAGAACTCGAAGAGTGCTGTGCGACAGCGTGGTATAAGAACGGAAATCGACTGATCTCCACGTGCGGAGTAGGGTAGCGTTTCTTATCTATAGTGACGGCGCCATGGCCACGAGGCTCACTCTCGGTTTTCTTCGATTGGCAGAAGCGTGCACACGACCGGGGTAAGCAAGAAAGGCTATCAACGGGTTTGGGTAGCGATGTGACATTCGCCCCAGGGCCAAGGAGCGCGGTATCAGCGTCAAGTCGCCGTAAGGCACCGCTTTGCGTCCGCTTAAACGAAAACAAAGACACATGCCAAGCAGGATCGTCGGTGCTGGAGCGAGAAGTGACCGCGCTGAGTGGTGGGAGGACGAGCAAGGATTGATGGCCAAGAGAAAGAAGATGCAGCAAAGTTGAACCCGAGTGACTGCCAAGTGAAGGATGTTTCCACCTCTGCTCCTGCCATTCCTCGCCGACCTATCACCTTCCCAGTCGACTCCTCGCAAAACTTTGTCGCTTGCCAGCTCCAGCAGAGACTCCGCCGCCCATCAACGGCGATCTCGTGTCGTGGACGGCTGTCTGCAGCATCCCGCCGGCCCTCTCACGATAGGCATGGTCCTAAGGGATAGACCCGACGACATCAGAAGGACCTGCAAGCAGATGCTGACGGTACTTCTTGCGTTCCCTGGTGCAGCAGACATCTGATGCGTGCAACAGAGCACGACGTCTCGCTTAGCTGCTTGCAGGCTCTCAAGGCCGCCTCGCCATTCCTTCTCTGGGCCAGCACCGTCCCTGTCCAGGGGTCGGAGGCGCACCGATGCTACCCGCCAATGCAGACGGTCACCTGCATATCCACACTCCGCCCGATATGCCGAATCGTCAACACGCGTTCTAGAAACCTTAACCGAAGGGCGCACAAGTCTTGCCTAAGTGGCCCTAACCTTTCCGCTGCCTGTGCGTATGCATGCCGCTTTAGGATGTCGGCCTACTAGATTTGCTTCAGTCATCTACAGTCTCGAAAGGGAGAACATCGATATTATCACCCCATCACACTCTCCAGCTGTCCTTAAAAGTAAAATCCAGTTATTCAATATGATACATTGGGCTGCAGGCCATGGTGACTCTCGCCGGCTCCGAGTCCACGGAGAATACGTGCTTGTTACCCTATGGGAAAGCAACCTCTCTACGCGCAGCGAAAACAAAGCTTGACGTTGTGTGGTGAAACGAGACGCGTTGAGACACTCATTGAGTGCTTCGTGTACGAACCGGTATAGGATTCTGACCCAATGATTAGTGAGATGCATTTACGGGGCCATCCAACCCATACACAAGCAGGACCGACCGTCAGCACGAACGCGGCGGCCGGACGCTCTCAATTTCAAGGTAAGGATAACAGGAAGAGGAAGAGTGAAAGATTGAAGTGAGGTTTGTGCGACCTCTGCCTACAGCTCTTGCTCACACCCGCAACAACCGAAGCCGAAGGTGGCTGAATCGTGACGTCGAGTCAAGACGCAGCATGGAATGCTAACGCGAAGAAGAGACGGGCGAGAATTCTACCTGTGTGTCTGCTAGAACATGAAGAGAATGAGGATAGGAGGGAGGCCACCGCTCCACCACCTACTTTTGCATACCTATGGTTACATATTATATTTACATGCCATTCTATCTCGTCAATCATGTCCCGCAAACAGGACTTTCCCAAAAAAAGGCGGAGCGGCGTTACTCTTCAGAACAATGCTCAGTCACCAAAGAACGCATCCCAAAGCGAGCTGAAGAAGCCACCACCGCCTTCACCGCCGCCACCTCCAGCACCAGCACCCCCGTCAGCGCCTTGCCAAGGATCGTTGTCGCCGCCCCAGACGTCTTGGCCTGAATCTTGCTCACCGAAGCCAGATTGCGGTGATTGGGAGTCGTACGGCTGCTGTCCGTAGTCTCCCTGTGGCGCCTGGGGACTGGCATCATCAACAGGCCCAGGCTGCTGCTGCGGTTGCTGCTGGTCGGGCTGATCACGGCCAAGACCTCGCTGCATAGCTTCATAGCCAGCCATTGTTCCGGCGCCGGCCATCGCGCCTTCTCCCATGCCACCTACACCTGCCGCACCCGTGACGCCACCGACAGCTCGTCCAGCCCCACCCACAGCCGCCCCGACCTCGCCAGCCCCCGCAGCTCCCGCGCCTGCAGCGGCTCCACCGGCGGCAGCGCCTTCGCTACCACCGCCCATCATGAATGGAATGGGCATGATGCCGCCGCTGCCGCTGTGACGGGAAAAGTAGTCGTAGTCCACCGTCACAGCGGTCGCGAGCATGACAGCGCGCTGATCGAGCGTCATGCCCGTCTTACTTTCCGAGCCCAGGGCTTCCGCATAGGCGCGCTCACCCTGGTGAGACTGTGAGATGATGTGGCGTTTCTCGGCCTCAAGCTCCAACCCGGCCGAATCCATGCGCAGTGCATAGGAGCCGGTGTCGGTGAAGATCTCCCGCGCGAAGCCGCGGAACGACCGGTTCACCGAGCCAAGAAGCTGATCAGAGGCGGACTTGAGGGAGAAGTCCCAGGAGAGGAAGGGCTCGTTGATGTAGGCGAATTGGATCATCTCTGGCGCGTTGGATTGTTTCTGGGTCGAAATAGCTTCAGATCGGTTCGCGGACGGGAGGTCATGGGCGAGGAAGAGATTGTATTTGCGGCGGAGCGGCGCCCACTCGGATTGGGCTTCTCCAATGATGCGCATAGCGTCGAGGGGCAGCTGAGAGAGCGTATGGACTGGACCAGCATCGGTAGAGGGTTGCACCGCCGTGGCAGAAGACAGTTTGACGCTGCTGTGGCCGCCAGGCTCGAGCGGATCGTACACGCCTATCCTGGAGTTGATGTAGCTGAATGGCCTGTGGAACCGCAGCACCTCGTCTCCATGGCGGTCGAAGACATTCGTCGTAAAGGCCCGATGCGTGCTGAAGAACTGTCGTCCCAGACTCCTGCCAATGCCGCCTTCGTGCTCCGCCATGTAGCCGATGTGGTTTCCGTGCGGGTCGAGTATGACGTAGCGATTCGCCTGTTCGAAGCCGAGGAACACGTTCATCATCTCGATCTGCCGCTGCACCACGATGCCGGACTCGGCGAGGAGGTTCGTCGAGGGGTGGCCTGACTTCAGCACCGCGTGAGGATCGTCGGGGATGTGTACGGGGGCGAGGAGTGGGTTGTCGGCGTCACTGGTTTGGGCTAGCATGTTTGACATAGAGGGCGGTGGCGGGCTGTTCTGCGGCGGCGCATCTTGAAAAGTGGGTGCGTCTGAGCCTGGCTCTTGTGGTGGTTGTGATGCCTGAGATGGCTGTTTCTCGGGGCGCTGCTGGGGCCCTCTACTTCGGACTGTGCGTACGTGTGGTGGTGGGGGGACGGGATGTTTGAGAGGCAGTAGCCCGCGCGGTATTCGTGGCGGCATGGTGGCAGATAGATATTTAGTGCAGCCTGCAGGAGAGACCCTGTGGGATGCGAAGGACGGACGGTGACGACAAGCTTATAGAAATCGGGCAGACTGGAACCTTCGTATTTGTTGAGTGAACAAAATCCGTTTGTCACCAAGAGGCGAGGGAAGATGCAGTCTATAGCAGTTGCTACGAAGCTTTGATGACATCCATGAATGCCAAGGCCGACCGCAACAGGGTTCGGATGTAGCCGCTATAAGGGCCGCCGCCGCCGCCAGTATTCGGCTAGGGCATTGGCTAAGCGGAAAGGCGACCCGAGAGCACTCTATATTCGACACAATGGCATGCGATCTATAGGTAGATTGGCATTGACGCCTATGGCAATCGAGAATCCTCTTCAGGTAAGTTGCGAGAGCGGAACTAGCGCCGCGAGACCGAATCACCCTGGACGTTCCCGGTCATGCTTTCATGACCGTCGTTGCATCTGGCATCGGACACGCGCGTGTGCTTTGACTTTCGCACAGGACGGGGCTGCAGGAGTGGCTCTGGATGACATTGACGACATTGCTTTGCTCAAGGTCAAAAAAGGCCATAGATGAGCAGCAGAAAGCGCGAGGTCCGCGTTGTCGGGTGGAGGTCTGTGTACTAGACGTATCCATCGAAGATCAGGTCTATGAGGTCGTGGGAGCCGGTGCAGAGCGTTTCGGCCGGCTGGACTATGTTGTGAACGCGGCTGGAATCGCCATGGATACGAGGGCGGAGCAGCCTTTGCGAGAACCGAGGATTGAAGATGGATCCTGGACATCAACCTCATCGGGACGTTCTTCGTGCTTCGTGCAGCAGCTCAGATCATGCTCAAGCCAGAGCCAATTCGATCTGCCATCGATGGGCGGCCGCTATAACGAGGCTCGATCGTCAACTTCTCCTCCGTCCAAGGCCTGGTCGGAATCACGCTATCGACAGCAGACACTACAAGCAAGCCCGGCGTGCCCGGTTCATCAGGACTGCTTGGAACGATTACGCCAAAGATGGCATTCATATCAATGCAATCTGTCCAGGATACACTGTGACCCGAATGACAACCAGGCATCCGTTGGTACGGCGGGCAATGTAAGAGCGCGTGGTAAGCGCAGTGCCGATGCAGCGCATGGAAAGACCTCAGGAAATAGCCGGCGGCGTTGTCTATCTCAGTGGCGGCAGGGGCCCTTTCGTCGCTCGTGCCGCACTGAGTGTAGATGGTGGTACACAGCGCGATAGAATGTCCGTAAGAAACTAAAGCCCCTGGCACAGAGTGGATATTGTGCCGGGAAGCTCGTCACGATGTTTTCTTGTCGACCTTGCTCATCATCAGGTCCAACCACGTGCAAGAAGTCCCATTCTTCAACAAGCGGATCCCCTGCCGGACATGCTTGACGTCTTGGATTGTTTCCGGCGCCGTCAGCAGATCCGCTCCATGCGACAATCTGCGGAGAATGGCAAACGGGATGGACCCCCGATTCTTCTGCTTCACACACAATGATCAATGCCGGCATTTTCGGTCCACCCGAATCGCGAAAAGCATCTGAATCTGCTTCTTTTCAGGCTAGCCAATAGTCGGATAGTTTTGCTCGATAGCCTGATGCTCCCAATCCAATATCGGGAGATAAGTACCCTCGTCCACCGCATCGAACCCCTGTATAGCCAGAATCTCAGCGAGGTCCGGCCGCTCAGCCAACGTCTTCGCCAATGCCTCCCGCAAGCCCTCAACTTCCTGCTCAGTGCGCCCAGCCGCCGTAATCAAAGGTAGCGTCGGGCTCTGCCTTGTCCGCTGCAGTATACGCAGGCCCTCAACGAGCTCCGGCAGGTCGCGCCGCAGATACCCGAACGTCACCGCGTCTACAGCAGCCACGTCAGCACGCCCTTGCTTCAGACGTGCCATGCTTTCCGCATGGCTCCCACTCTCGACCACCTGACTGAAGAAACGGCCTTGCTTCGCGAGCGGCGCCACGGCCAGGCGCAGGAGATTCATGCCGCTGTTGGAGTCTGGGCTGTTCATGGCTACGCGCTTGCCTCGTAGGTCGGCTAGGGTGGTCGCGGCGGAGGACGCTGGCACGAGGATGAAGGAGCAGTGCGTGGCGCCCTCGCAGCCGGGGAGGGTGTAGCGCGGAGCAGCGACAAGTTTTACTGTGGGGCGCAGTTCGGTCACATATGGGTAGCCGCAAGTTTGGGCGAGGAGGAGTTGGGGGTGATGCCATAGTGTTGGTAGATCTGGTGGCGGGGATTCCAGGGGGATACCGAGGCGTTGCGCGACCTCTCGGGCGAGTTCTTGATACGCGTTACTTACCGCCGTGGGTGGGGCGTACATTGTGAGCGCTGCTACGGCCATCTTGAACTCAACGGCAGCGGCCTCAGGAGATCATGCGGTTATTGCTGGAAAGCCAAAGTGTTTTGAGGAACGATTCGAACACCGCAACGTGGATGCAGGGTTCACCACTCTTGGCATGGCCCGTGATTGATCTCCTCGAGTTCTCCAAGATCAGTGTCTTTGGGGACAATTCATGAATCATGTCAGACGTCAAGGTTGCCTGGGTCGCTAAGCTACCGCGGAAGGTAGGGTATACTCTTGGGGAGGCGACGTTAACTGCACCACCCCCATCCACGCGTCAGGGAATTTGATTCGTGCAGCTCTATGGGTCGACAAAATCGACGAGCGGGCTTCCTGGACTTATGGCAGATCACTTTTGGTAGTCGACAAAATTGAGTGGCGCCCTCCTCGGACTTATATTGAAGGCTTTTCGGTACAGTCTACCGTGAGTTTCAGGAGCCCTGGTGCAGTCGGAAAGGCCTTCCCCGTGTCGAACTGCCTCGACCGCCTCCTTACACCAGCTAGACCGCCGTATCAGTCTCAATCTACCGCCGGTCCATCAAGCTTTGCGCTCGGGACATACTCTAGTCAGTCCAGGGGGGCCTCTGTACGTGGAAAGGACCAACAAAGCGGCCGAGATCGGCAAGAACCAGCTTATCTCGGATGGCCCATGAGCAGTCTGAATCATCTCGCCATGCGTGTGCAAATATGTCCGAAAGAATCTATACATGGAAACCGCAGTACACGCCACGCACTGGACCTCGTTCTTCGCGAGCCATTGTTCAAGCAATGCAAGGCAACACTGTCCAGGGCTTCAACCACCTCCGATGCTTGACCCCTCCCTCGCCTTCCTTCGCCGCGCCTTCTTCCTCAACATTGTGCTTGCCCACAATGCTCAAGAAGACCTGGTCCAGCGTCGCCCGGCTGACGCTATAGTACGCGACGCCGAGCTGCTCGCTCTTCTCCTCGAGCGCTCCGAATAGAGTCGCGACGTTGCTGGTAGCTTCTGTGATGGCTCCGCCCTTCACTTGCGCTTCGGGTTGTAACGGAAGGGTGAAGCGCATTTGTCCACCGTACGTTTCCCTCTCCACCCTCGCATCCGGGAAACGTTCCTGCACAAAGTCTCGCATACCCCTCATCTCATCGTCGCTGCAGTGAGGAGCATTCTTGTGAACGACGTGAACGTAGTATGCGTCACCGTGCTTGCGGCGCAGGTAGTCGGTGGTGCCAAGAGCCAGCATCTTCGATGATAATATGCCGGCGCGATTTGCCAGGGCGTCCGCCTCTTCCATCGAGTGCGTGGTGAGGACGAGGGACCGCCCAGGCACGACCGAGGCCAGAGTCCGCCACATGACTCTCTTACTGGCAGCGTCCATGCCTGATGATGGCTCATCGAGCAGCAGCACTGAAGGATTGCCCATCAAAGCGATGCCTAGTGACAGTTTCCGCTGGTTGCCACCAGACAGCTTCTCGGCCATTCGATCGGCGTACTGGGTCAGGCCCACCGCTTGCATCACAGCGTTAACGTTGTGAGCTGGTCGCTCCACCCCACGGATTTTGGCATAGAATTGGAGGTGCTCGGTGACCGTCATGCGATCCATCGCATCGAATTGTGGACATACACCAAGCTTGGAGCGAGCCGCGGCACGGGAGCGCAGGATGCTGATATCTTGGACAAAGATATCGCCACCTCGCTGAGAAGGCTGAATATCACCACGAATGAGCGAGATCAATGTTGATTTGCCGGCGCCATTTGGTCCCAAGAGGGCAAACACCTCTGACTTCGGTACGCCGAAGGTGACGTTGTTGACAGCTAAATTCTTCTTGAAACGTTTGGTAATGTTGAGCACACGCAAGCCATCGCGACTAGAAGTGACGCGAGTCAGCTCCTTGCTGACCTCGGCTTCGAACGTGTCCTTGTCTTCCACCTCGGAGGCCTTCTGCTTATTGCGAAACCGTCGAAGTGGCGATCCTGAGTCCCACAGTAGCAGCAGGCCAAACAAGATGATCGACTGGAGGATCAGGTAAGTGATAGGTCCACCGAAAGCCGTCATTGCCCCTGGATTGGATTGCTCCTCGTAACCCACACAGGTAACGCTAAAAATGTTGAGAGCTACAAACATAGCTCTAGTAAGATTGGCCACTGGTGAGATAGCTGCGATGGTGAAATGGCAGACGTTGAGCAATTCGTCAACGCGCTCGGTTGGTGCGTATGTCAACACCGACATAAACGCGATGAAGTACAACAAGAATAAAACGCACTGTCCGCCAGCTGCCCACGCAAATGCAGCAAGCTGACTAGCTGAGATGAGGGAGATGGTATAGGACAATAATGATGACGCGAGTCCGTAGAGGATGAAGACCAGAAACAGATAGCCGATGTGGTACCAAGCATTGGACACAGCTTGGAAGATGATGACAGAGATGGCGCTCGATACGAGGACGATGACAAAATCGAACATGGTATAGGCCGCCCAAAGAGGTGCGGAGCGCACCCCATTGCTGTAATGGAGACCTCGGACGTTGCGAAGCCGCTCGACGGTGACATAGAGTCCAAAGAAGGCGGGATAGACCGACATAGCCAGGCCGAAGTAGGTGACTAGCTGGAGGGCGTCGCCAACGTCGGACGGCCAGGGAACATCAAAGGGCTGATATTGCATGGTGATAGTAACGTTGGACAGGAAGATATCCAGCGCATTCTGCGTGATTGTCGAGAAGAACACGCCTCCGTTGCCTCTCCAAGCAAACGTTGGGGATGACGATTCATCGCCAAGCCACAATCCTCCAGGAGTGACATTTCTATAGTGGGAGTTGATATAGTCGTTGAACTCGGAAATGTCGTCAGCTAGCCGGACGGAGCTCTGCAGTTGCGTGGCATTCTCTTGAGAGTTTTCGCTGCTGGAACCGCCAAACGATTGGACATACGTCTGAAGCAGACTCGGAGTGATGGCAGCTGAAGGGCCTAATAGAATCTCATAGTCGCCCTCAGAGGACAACGAAGAACTGTCGAAAGACAGCGCAGTAGATCTTGGGTCACATCCGGGCCGCTCGTAATCATTCATGAAGAGAGTGACGAGGCCGGCAGCAATTATTGGAATCAGTAGCGCAGCGGTATATGGAAGCATGTTTCGCCGCAAGATCGTCACCCGCTTCAGGAAAAGCACCCACAACTGCTGCAGCATACCAATTCGGTGGCCAGGGAGAAGCTCGGGTGTCTCAGGCTTACTTTCGTGAACGACAACATTGGTACTTTTACCAGGCTGCTCGTCGTTGCTGTCGCGACTTAGGTTTGCAGAAAACTCATCCTGGTTCGTCTTGACCTCGTCGGCCAGCTTCAAGAAGACGTCTTCGATCGTGGGGCCGCTGACTTGGTACTCAGTCGCACCATCAGCTTCAAGACGCCCGAGGAATTTGGCCGTCTCGGCAGATGAAGGTAGCAGGTACGTGGTCTGCTCATCGTGACGTGCATGTGAGTATTCTTCGTACAGTCGAGGTTCCTTTTCGCCCAGTGTTTTGTACACGTGAACTCGATAACCGGAGCCAAGGTCATTCTTCAGTGCTACCGAGGTTCCAGCAGCCTTGAGATTGCCCTTGGACAGGATGGCGATTTGATCAGCTAGCAGATCAGCTTCATCCAAGAAGTGGGTGGTCAAGATAATGGTCCGGCGGCCCCGCTCAGTAAGTAGAATGTCCCAGATCTTGCGCCTTGACAAAGGATCAATTCCTGATGATACTTCGTCAACGCAGCAGACACTTGAGCCGCCGGTAAACATCATAGCAAGCTGTAGCTTTCTCTTCTGGCCGCCTGACAGCGTCTTAGCCCTCGCCTTGAGCTTCTTCAAGATGTCGCACGAATCTAACAGTGATCTGTTCTCTTCTCTAGGAGAGACGACAGTGCTCTTGATCTTGTTGAAAATTCGAATATGCTCCTCAACTGTGAGATTGTCCCACAAGACGTTCTTCTGGGGACAGAGACCGAGACCATCCTTTGCTTCAGAGTAGTTGATCGTAATGGAGCCACTGGAGATCGAGTTCAGGCCGGCAATGGAATCAAGTGTGGTTGATTTCCCTGAGCCATTGGCACCCAGAAGCACGAGAATCTCACCACGCCTAGCTTCGAGATTCAATTCGTTAACCGCCACCACAGGGTCAGCAGGCCTCCGGGTGACCTGACCCCAGAGTCTTGTCGCGACAGTAGGGGGGTAGCGTTTTGTGAAGCCATTAAGGGCCACAGCCGTTGAGCTGTCGGAAATTATAGTCTGCCGCTCCTTCGACGCTGTGCCGTATAGGAATCGTTCGAGCCAGGCTCCAGCCAATGGGAAGACCAGAATTTGGATGATAAAAAAGACCCAAAAGGCGATGCCAGGCAGTGTTGAGGGATTGTTCGGAGCGGATTCAACCATATTGGTGCCTTGATTCTCACGCTCCCACCTCGCCATGACAATGATGAAATTGACGTAGGTGAAGGGTGGGAAGAGAAGCGACAGAATGGCCACCGCGCCAGTACTGGCCTTGCCAGCAACTTGTGCAACGACGGCAAGAAGCATTGCAACAATGACTAGAGAAATACCGCTGAGTTGAGCCTTTCTGAACAGCGAGGCGCCCAGAAGACTCATCGAGGAGACGGATAGACCGCCCAGGATGTTGGCGATTACCACGATGCCGGCATTTGTCTTCGCGAAAACACCACCTGCCAAAATGATCGCCATGACAATCCACCCAGGCGCGTAGATAATATCAAAGGCCAGGTGATTGGCAATGATCCGGGCCATTTGAGGCTGCCATCGGCGTGGATTTGGCATCATGGAGTCCAATAGCTGCGCCATGCCTATCTCGCGCTCAGTTGCGACGAGACCTGTGAGTTGATAGGTCACCAGAACTATTCCAATGAAGAATGCGACCGCCAGAACGTTAATGATACCGCCCATATAACGGATGCGAATCTCCTCGTCGCGTTCCTCTTGGGTGATGTCTGTGTAGGGATATTCTTCGACCCTGCCTGGAATGCTTGTGCCGTTAGTGACACGTGCGATTGCGCTGTCGACAGCATGTTGAACAGGTAGCAATATGCGCTGTACATCGTTGCTGTCTGACTTGACGTCGATGCCCTGCTGCAAAGCGCCATCAGCGCGTAGACTATAGTTCCATTGGCCAGCTGCTCCTTCATCTGGGGAGGAGAAGAAAACCACACCGGCAAAGCAGCTGGATGTTCCCCGGATGGTGTTGCGGCATTCAGTCAGCAAGTCCGCCTCTTGTTCAAGTACCATTAGCTGACCACCCCAGCCACTTGTCTGTGATTCAATATCATTGATGACGGCTTCAATGTCTCCGCCCGTGAAACCACCATTCACTAGGGCTAGTCGGTCTCTGCCGCCAGGCGCAGCATTGAGGGCATCTGCAAGCGATCGTATTGCATTTTGTTGGCCGATGCCGTAGTTGGAAGGAGGCAGGAAGAGATTTCGGGCGTATGACCTGCTCCAGTCAGTGGAGGACTCCAGCACATTGGAAGCGATCGCACAGGAAGCCCACGAATATGACAGGTAAAAGAAAGGCACGGAATGGAGTCGAGAAAGGATGTCGAACGAGCGCAATGAGCAGATTCTTGACCGTCAAGGTCCAGATCTGCCTGAGGAAGAAGCTCATCTCGAGCCGCATTGAGTATCAGACGGGGCCGCGGGACGACATGGGGGAGTTATGTGCACCAGGTTAGCTGCACCAGGCAGCAGCGATTCGAGATTGACTGAAGACACGAGCGGCAACGATTAGGATGTGGCGCCGGATGTGGCTATGGATATCGATCGTCCCCGGAACTCGACTGGAAACATCATCTCGACAGAGGAAGCTCCGGAAAGAATGGCAGACACCACACGGAGAGCGCGAGCGCAGGTCATGATGCGTGTGGAGGGGTTTGGCAACGGTTGACTCGTCGTATCCGTCGTGAACTTGGCCATGTTTAGGGCTAGCCGAGACCTTCGACCCCAGTCCCTCGTGGATTCGCACCCATTCCAGCAGCTCCAAGGGCTTGGAGGTCATTGGCAGGGGCTTGGGAGCGGGGCCGAGAAGTAGGCCGAAGCCCGCCGAGGCATGTTTTCTCGGGCGCTGGTGCTTGGGCAGACATACGAGTACGAGTAAGTTCGCCAAATCCTCTTAACGTGAGGATGAGATGAAGATATTGCAAGAGATGAGGTTGAAACAAGGCGTCCATCAGACCAACACGGGAAGTGACTGATTGAGGCCTGCAGTGACCATCAATCTTGGCACGTCGTCTTCTCATCTCCCTGATTTCTCGCTCTGTGTCTCAGCACACCCAACCACCATCAACATTATATACAGCTCCAGTAACGAAAGACGCCTCGTCGCTCAGCAAGAAGGCTATGACACTTGCCACTTCGCCCGTCTCGGCTCTCCGCTTCTGCGCTGTTATCTGCAAGCTATGCTTGACATCCTCCAGATTTTTGCTGGCCGAAAGTGGCGTGTTCACTGGACCTGATTACGGTGAGTCAAGGATGGTCTCATGCGCCAAACAGCCATACCTGGAGCAATGCAGTTCACTCGGATCTCCTGATTCTCCTTTGACGCCGTTCGTGTCGCCGCTATGACAGCGGCTTTGCTCGCGCAATATGCGACATTGCCCGGCGCTCCAACCTGTCCAAACGGACTTGCTGCAGAGACCTGGTGTCGTCCGCTGTCAGCTGTGATCGAGCAGCCACGACGTATGGCCCAGCAGCAACTCACAATGCTGTCCTTAGCCCCGGTCTTCCGCATTGCCCTAACCTCTGCTCGCAAGCACTTGAACACCCTCGTCGCATTGACGCTCATTACGAACTCCCAATCCTTGTCCCTCCACCTGATCAACGTGTGCCGTCTTCGTGATCACGCCAGCCATGTTCACTGCGCCGTCCAGCCTTCGCAGCTTCTGTTCCGTAGTCTCAATCCACGCATCCACCGATCCTGTCGAGCGGACGTCCCCGGTCTGATACATATGCTTGCCATCTGCGGACCCTGGCAACGTGGCCATTGCCGTCTGCAACCCTGGTTCATTCAGGTCTGCAACAGAGATGCGGGCACCGCGAGACGCAAGAAGCTGCGCCGTTGCCCAGCACATGCCTGAAGCACCGCCAGTGATGGCAATCTGAAGAGCCGATTTGATCCTGACTATGGGCGGTTGTGATGCATACTTACGACTTTACCGTCGAATGAAGCCTTATTAGCTCAATCGAGAGACCATGGGAACGCAAAGATATGCATAGCACATGTATACCTGCTGTATGTCCCAGACTACCTGAAGCATATGTAGCTACTTGAAGACTGTGCCTTCAACGCGGTCACAAACAGCCTCAAAAGCAGTAGAGACAGTTCTGTCAGAGCAAAGCTAGCCGGACTGCACTCAACCAAACGACTTCGCCGTGATCCCACTCGAACGCCTGTCGATCACCTTATTCAGAGCAGTTTCTTCTGGTCCCCGATTCAAAGATACACTTTCGGCCTCCCCCATCCCTGAGCCATTTAGACGTTCAAGTCTCCTCGCTGGGCCTCCCCCCGCTTACGCCTACCTCAGCCCCGCACCTCTGAACCTCTCACAGCATGCCCTGTAGCAGTTGCAGCACCATAGGGTCCACGCCAGCACCGATCTGCAGTACGCGAGCCACATTCTGGGTAGGCTAAGGCGGCGCCACCAGTGCTTGTGATTGCTTATCTCTCGTCCCGGTGCAGGGTTGTCGTGGTGTTGGCCTGGGACCCATTGGCTCATTTGATTGCGGCAGCTGAGCTGTGAGCGAATACGCACGCCTGGGCTTTGCCCTGCAGCTCGTGTGATCAGATTAGCTACAGGGCTACCTGTGCAGGCGGGAGTATAAGTAAACACAGGCTGCCATCTACGTTGTCGTAGAGCTTGGACGTCCACAAGACGGCTTCATCGACTTGTAGCTGCGCAGTATTAGTGAACATCAGCGAAGCACCACAGCATACACCGTACGACCTCTTCTACGCTCCGTGCCACATCGGCCGTCCCCACGCATCGTCATCGTAACTCGCAGTTGCCGAGGCGGCGGCGCAGTCTAAACGCACCAGTTCCAGTCTCACCCACCCACTCCAGCACCAGCAGCTACAACCCATCCTAAAACACCAAAACCATGACCCGCGCCTTCGGCTTCGACGGCGACTCCGCCGCCTACGAGTCTCTGGAGAAAAAAGTCCTCGCCGACGAAGCCGCCAAGCGCCTCGCCGCCGACACCGCCGAGCGTGAGCGCCGCGCCTCCCTCGGCCTCCCTGCCGAAGACGAGCACATGACCAAAAAGGAGCGGCGCAAGTCGCGCGAGGCAGCGGCGGCGGAGCCTGGGAGGAAGAAGAGCATCGGGGAGAAGGTGGCGAATTTTGTGTTCAATGGGGGAAGGAGGACGAAGCAGCAGCGTTGGGGGGAGGAGCGGGTGGGGGATAGTAAAGGGGGAATTATCAGGGAGGGGAGGGGGGAGCCGATGCATGCGCAGCCGGCGGAGGTGAGGGGGTTGGTGCCGGAGAGGGAGAGGGGGGAGGTGGTGAGGTAGAGATGGGGAAGGGAAGGGTCTCGAAGAACAGCAGGCGCGAGTGAGGTGTACCAAGGCAGTGAATGCTGTGAGTAGGAGTGCGAACGTCGGGGCTACGGAGAGGAATCGATATTGTTGGCGCCGAGGGCTGGGCATGAGGAGGGTGGGAGGGGGGTGATCTGCGGAATGACCGTCATTTGAAGTACCGTTTGGGCGTCGATATGCTTACGAACCCCTGTTTTCACACTTGTACCTCAGTCTAATATGCTATGCAGTGCTTGCTTAGTCCCAAGAATCCTAGCATCCGGTTCTTAGTTGATCCATGGACGACAGAGTAGCTTTGCCTCCGGTTGACACTCGCGTCGGTGCTCTGGCAGGGAGGTGAGAAGCAACGTTCGTTGGTGGTTGGCTAAAAAGATTCTCGACATCACATGGTCTGCGATGACTCTAAGAGCCATCGACCACGCGAGAAGTGGCAGCTCCATCATCTACAAGCTTGCACGATCGCCCAGGAAAAGCATAACAAGCACAAGGAGCTTCGCCAGCTCGGCCACCCGATGGCAAATAACGCACTCCACGGACGTCCTCATCGTCGGCTCCGGAGGTGCCGGGCTTTCTGCCGCTCTACGATGTCATATGCATGGTCTGCGACCTTTGGTGATCGAGAAATCTGACAAGCTAGGCGGCACGACAGCTTGGTCTGGAGGCGGCCTCTGGGTGCCCAACAACGAACAGCACAAGAGCCGCGGTGTCCAAGACAGCGAGGAGCAGGCGCTCGAGTACCTGAATGCACTCATCGGCGATGTCGGCCCTGCATCAACGCCAGAGCGCCGGCTTGCTTATGTGCGCAATGCGAGCAAGGTGGTCGACCAGCTCTCCAGTATGGGCTGCAGATGGGTCCCAACAGTTGGTATGCCCGATTATCATTCGGACCTGCCCGGCGCCCTGGAGGATGGGAGAAGCATAGAGCCGGCGCTTGTGAATGCGAAAGAGCTAGGTGCCTGGAAAGACTTCTTGCGGCCGCCTTCCATCTTCGCTGGGCCACCTATGCACATCTACGAGGGAATTGTGGCTGCCAAGATCACGTCGTGGAGCGGCATCTCGATGCTCTTGAAGATATTGGTCCGGTGGCTTGGCCACAGAGTCATGGGTCGTGATCCGGTTGCGTTGGGGCAGGCACTAATTACCCATCTCCTGAAAGCCAACCGTGACCGCGACACCGAGATCTGGCGCTCTACAGTCATGCAAAGCTTGAGTCTCGACGAAAGTGGCGCTGTGACCGGCGCCATCGTCGTACGGGACGGTGAAGACGTCCGTGTCGACGCGAAGTCCATAGTCCTGTCCGCAGGTGGCTTCGCCAAGAACGACGAAATGCGCAGAAAGTATCACCAGCAGCCTACCGACGCCGCTTGGTCCTCTGTGACGCCCAATGACACGGGCGAGGTCATCCAGGCGGGTATCGACATCGGTGCCGCAACCGCGCTGATGAGTGAAGCGTGGTGGAATCCCACCTTCCTCAACCCGGTCAATGGCGCGCCGTGGATTAGCTTTGGCGAGCGAGGCCGGCCTGGCACCATCATCGTAGACTCCGAGGGTAAGCGCTTTCTAAACGAAGCCGAGTCATACAACGACGCCGGTCGCCGTTTCTACGAGCGCGATGGGACAGCACCTGCGATACCAGCCTGGATGGTCATGGACTCCAAATTTGCGAAGCGCAATCCACTCTCCTTGATTGGTCCACGCTTCCGCAAGAAGGACAGCCTGCGGACGCACTTCTTGCACGAGGCCAAGACGCTCGAGGAACTCTCGCAGAAGATCAACGTCGACACGAGGAATCTGCTCGCAACGGTGCAGCGCTTCAACGGCTTCGCCAAAAACGGCCGCGACGAGGATTTCGGGCGTGGAGGCACGGCCATGGATCGCCTCGCTGGCGACGCTGCCGCTGCCGCAGGCCCCAACCCCAATCTCGGGACCCTGGAGAAAGCGCCATTCTACGCTATCAGGATCTATCCCGGAGATATTGGTACCAAGGGCGGACTGCTGACCGATGAGCACGCAAGGGTGCTCAACGAACGAGGTGAAGCTATTCCAGGTCTCTACGCCGCCGGCAACACCTCCGCGTCCGTCATGGGCAGGCACTACGCGGGAGCCGGCGCCACTATTGGCCCAGCTGTGGTATTTGCTGCACTCGCGGTCGACCATGCCGCAGGCTCTCCTTGGAAGGCTTAATCATTTGAATCCTTCCGCAAGCATAGCGTTGCGGAGCCTATCTTCTTACGAAGCCTTACCCTTCGCCTTACTAGCAGCCCTGACCTTGCGCTCCACGACATCTACTTTGCCCGTATCTCTCACCATCCACCGTGTCGCCCAACCCGGGACCAATCCCTGGAACATATGCATCAGCCAAACCCGACTGGCGAAAGTGCCCCGCCAAATGCTCTCCGGCGGCCCCCCACCCAGCCAGCCTCCCTCGAGATCACTGACGACCCGCTTCGCGTAGACGGTCTGGTCCATGGCCGTCACCTCTGCATGACCACCTCCCATGAAAGCCTCCAGGTCCTCCTTCGCCGGCTCATACAAGCTTCCCTCCGGTAGCCGAGCGGCGGTCGCGCTCGCGGTGGTCTGATTCGCAAGGTTGACGAAGAAGTTTGACTTCACCGAGGCGGTCAGCAGCTCGACGACCTTGATGCCGAAGGGGCTGAGCTCGTGGCGCAGGGAGTGTGTCATGGAGGAACTGGCGGCTTTGGAGCTGTTGTAGGGCGCTTGCCAGGGGAGACCGCCGACGGGCTGGAGTGCCGCGCATGAGGTGTTGTTGATGATGAGGGGTTGCTTGGTGGACTTGAGGAGGAGCGGGAGGAAGAGCTGCGCGGTGCGCAGCGGCGCGAAGACGTTGAGCTCGTACAGGTTACGGAGGCTGGAGAGTGTAGTGTCTATCAGTGGCATCTGTGAATGGGGTGGACTCGTTAGCTGGGGTTCGAGATGGACAAGTGAGGGCGTCAGGCCACGCTGGTTGGAGATGAGATGCAATGGGACGAGACTTACAGAGAGGCCACCACCAGCATTCAACAACAATGCGTCGAGACTGCCACCGAGAAGCTCTGAGACGTAGGCCACACCGGCCTCGAGTGAGTCTTCGGAAAGGACGTCCAGAGTCATGGTTTCGATGCCTGCCGCCGCAAGCGTCGCCATCTTCTTCAGGCTCCGAGCAGACGCGAGCACCCGCCAGTGTCCTGTGCGGTGCATCTCATGGGCCAGAGCGGCGCCCAGGCCGCCGTCTGAGCAGCCCGTGATGAGGATGGAGCGCTTGAGGGGTGCCATTTTCGCAATGCAAGTTTTGTCTTGGGTCTGGCGTCTTGTGAGCTGGAAGCTAGATCCAGCGGGCAGATGTAGCTGCCAAATTTATCCGTGTCGATAGGCCATCATCCTCTGGTGCGAATCCAGGAATCTAGCTCATATATACTTCTTTTCCAATCCTCCATGTTCATGTCCTGTCGCCTACCAAGCAAAGTCAAATCTTAATGAGGCGTTGGCCCCCCAAAACTTCGTGGCAGCCATAGCCTGCTTTTCTCAGCCCCACGGGTTTGCGCTGTAATATTACCGCATCAAACGGCTTCCGGGCTCCACTTTAACCGAAACCCCAGGGCATATCACCATTTTGCGTAAGATACAGCGCCATCGTGACCGGGCCGTTGCATTAAGTCTCGACGCCGCCCGTATTTGGCGCCTTGCACTAGCTTTGAAATTCGGTTTGCGGAACCACTACAGGACGCCAAAAAAGTTCCAATGTGGCGACGAGGGAATGGTGCTGGCGGAGCGACTTTACCCCGAATTTGGAAGGATGGAGGTGACCCGTGAGGGATCGGAGCCGGATTCGGTGGCTTGGGTAACGTGACATCTAATTATGAGGGGGAAATCTTGGGCTAAAAGGACCGGTCACCACCAGATGTATATTACGGCGTAGTTTCGTAACACTGGAATGCTGACAGGCAGCTGGATCGAATGTCAAGTCGCAGCGCCATCGACGACATGTTCTTGGTCTGATGGATTTACACAAGATCCTGCTGCTTGTGTGTACAGGCGCTTACCAGGAATGAGGCTTCATGGTTGCAGCATGCGAATGTCTACCCGGCTTGTGTCGAAGATAGTGTCAGAGAGTCTCGCCGCGGCCTCTTCCAGGTCGCTTGCTGACATTGATGGCAGAGTAGAGTGTGTGTGACTCAAGAGCTCTCGCGAACTGATCCCAGGCATTGGCGACGACGCAAGACGTGGGCAGACGAGTGCATGAAAGCTATCTGGGAACTCATGTTTACCGGCAAGATGAAGGGTCATGCCAAGTATTTCGCCAAGAAACACGCGTGCGATGCTTGAACGAGCTTCTGGAAACAAACATCACCCCTTCATGACCACACCACTACACATAAAAGCCGTACTCGTCGCCAAAGAAGCCGCTGCTAATGCAAGCATGCTTGAGCCGTGTCATGGACACATCGTGAGTAGCCCTGAGACGCGATTTGAGGGAAGGCAGATGTGCTCATTTTCGAGCGGTTGACACCATCTACATGGCCTCTGATTCGCTGCTGGAGTCACATCTACCCCCCGAAGTACCCAGACCTCTTGGTGATCTTGTCTGGACTGCTTGACTTGGCTTCATCAATGTGGAAACGCGCTGAACTCCTCTGGGCTATGTCAGGTCGGTTCAAGCCAGTGCGAGGGCTTCGCTTTCGACCACTGCAGCAGGGAAGCGACACGAGGAGCTTGGCAGACGTGGAATTACCCTCATGATGCTGCACGAGTCGGTCTGTTGGAGCCTCTACTCTTTCAGCCGAGAATGGGACAACGTGGGCGTGGATCGTCCGGGTACATTCGACACTGTCTTCCCCGCGCGGCCATGGTATCTCCAAGATGCTGCTCGATATATGGCCCATATCTCGGTCAAGCTTCTATCTCGCTTTGTGATGAGAAGTTGCGGACCGGTTGTCAGCTGAGAGACAACTACAGATTTACTGATGGCTCTTGACGACACGAAGACCGCTCAGACGGCTGCCCATGCGGAGCACCACCACGATGACGTTGAAGGCAAGATGCGTGCGCCACGCGTTGAAGCTGTGGACTATGCCGGAGCACACAAGGTCACAGATCCTGCCGAGATTAGGCTTGTGCGCAAACTCGATTATCGCATCATGGTATGACATTCCCCATATATTGGATTCGTTTCTAACACCTGTTAGCCAACGCTATGCCTCATGTAAGCACACGCACACCAATAATCCTGCTGGTGTCGTTTCGAGCTGATCGTATGCCCAGGTACTTTCTGAACTACATTGATCGCAACACTCTCGCCTCCGCTCGCCTCAACGGCCTCGAAGATGACCTCGGCATGGAGGGCACCGACTTCAACACGGCTGTGTCGATCCTTTTCGTCGGCTATGTCCTCATGCAGATTCCAAGCAACATGATGATAACGCGCATAAAGCCTGCCCGATACATGAGTGCGTGGATGCTCGTATGGGCAGTCGTATCTGGTTGTACAGGCGCAGTACAAAACTACGCCGGCCTAGTGGTTTGCCGCTTCTTCCTTGGAATCACAGAATCCCCTTTCTATCCTGGTGCCATCTATGTTCTATCGATCTGGTAAGCTGAGCAATGGAGTAGAGATGGTCCTTCGTTGCATCCAAGACACCGCTGCACGCTTACTAACGGTCTCCCAGGTATACACGCCGAGAAGTGGCCGCCCGCGTCGCTGTGCTGTACAGCGCGCAAATCCTAGCGACCGGTTTTACAGGTCTCATCGCTGCGGGCATCTTTGCCGGCCTCGATGGCACACAAGGCCTTTCCGGTTGGCGCTGGCTCTTCGTCCTCGAGGGCATCTTCACCTTCGCGGTCGGGCTGCTGGGCTTCTGGCTTCTTCCAAATACCCCACTGACCACGCGCTGGCTGTCTCCGGAGGAGCGCGAGCTTGCGCATACCCGTATGGAGATGGACTGCGTGGAGACTAGCCCGCAGGATGCCACTTCCCTGGATGGCCTGAAGCAGGCAGTGCGAGACCCACGAGCATGGCTGTTCAGCGCGATGCAAATGTTTCATCTTTCCGGTTAGCTGGCGCAGCCCAATCCACTGTCCCACTTGGCCCACTACTGACACTCGCCCAGCTTGCTCCTTCAACTCCTTCTTCCCCACCGTCGTCAAGACCCTCGGCTACAACACGACCATCACCCTCGTCATGACGTGCCCGCCCTTCCTCGCCGCCGGCGCCGCCGGCATCCTCACGGGCTACAGCTCCGGCAAGCTGCACGAACGCACGTGGCACATCACGATCGGGCTCCTCGTCGCCATTGTCGGCTTCATCGTCGCCGCAGCCAACATGTCCACCGCAGGCCGCTACACGGCGTGCTTCATCTTTCCCATCGGCGCTTACGCCGTCAACAGCGTCATTATCGGCTGGGCGTCATCAACATGCGCGCAGACCAAAGAGAAGAAGGCGGTGAGTCTGGCGATGCTGAATGTTGCGGGGCAGATTGGCTACATCTATGGGCCGTACATGTGGATCGATGGGCCGAGGTTCGCGCTTGGGTTCGGGTTGTCGGCTGGGTTTTGCGTGCTGTGCATTGCGACGGTATGGGCGATGAGATTCATACTGAAGAGGGATAATGTTAGGATCAGGACGAGTGCTGCGTCTGAGGAGTTGAAGTTGTATGGATATTAGTGGGTGCCATAAGTGGTAAACTGGTCACGAAGAATGGGAAGGTGGAGTTTCTGTTGCGGATTCTTTACTTCTTGGTGAGACATGCCGGATGTGTTTCTCGGTGCGTGTTGGATGAGTTACGCATCAACGCTAGCTGTTCGAGCTCGAAAGAACTTCATCTGCTCGATGCTGCAATGCGTGGTCCCACAAGTCTATCTTCAGAGGCATCTCGATCAACGTAAAGGCCGGAAGCGATGGTCAAGCACGAGCGCTGTTGTTTGAGCATCTGAGCGTCGGATAACAGGCCTAGCGGGCTATTGGCATCTCATGAAGAGCATATCACACACCGAACAGACCGACTACAGGCATAAGTAACTGTAGGGACAGGCGGTCGCAGCAACTATAGTGGTTCTTGCGTCTCAATTCCCGCTGAATTTGCACATATCTGCTTGAGAGGCCCGACCGGGCTGGAATGAGCCTCGTCAAAAGGCCGCAAAAACGACGTTGAGAATAAGCTTTCAGGCACGGTCTTGGCGGCCCGCGATCCGGGTATTTCCGTCTGTAGGCGTTCTCCGAGTTGGGCAGCTGCAGCCAATGGTGACGTTGATGCCTCGTTCAGTCGTAGGGCGCGCTGGCTGTCATCCCAAGGGCGAAAATTCACGATCGACAGGTGCAGACAAAATCTACCTGCTGTCCCTCGGATGTAATGCAGGGCGCAAGCTGCAGATCTGGGGTAGGTTCTCCCGGACCGGTAACCTATATCATGCCAGGGATCCGTTGCTTCCGTATGCGGCGACAAAGATAGGGAAGAACTGCGAACTCGTTATCAGAACTCACAAGGCGTGCTGGGCAACCCAACACTTTTGTATCAACAGACCTGCCATCACCAGACATCATCGTCGTCCTTGCTTATTCTGCGACCGAAGTGCCTGCCGTCATTAAACCCTGCTTTCCTATCTTGCCGTCTGCCATTCCGCAGAGAACACTTACCTTTGCTAGCAGTGCATCTGCACCTCACCGCAACACCCAATACAGCAATGATGCTCGTCCAGCAGATATCACAACTGCCCACTGCACCACCACCACGACTACCGTCAGACAACATACACATTCGTGTCAACGATCAAGCACCACCTTCAGTACTCCAGCTCGGCAAAGACCACTGGTCAGCCTCGCAATCCGAAGCTCAATCCAAAACACCATCAACCACCCACTCAAGAGATCCCTCCCCCCACCCATCCACAGCCCGTACAAGCACCACCAGCCGCTCCAAGCCGAAACCGAAGCCCATCACACCCTCCGTCCAAATCCGCCCCGCCACCCCTAGCGACGCCGAGCAAATCCGCACCATCGGCGCCACCGTCTTCAGCGACACCTTCGGCTTCTCCATCCCTCCCGCCGATCTCTCCGCCTACATCACCAGCAGCTACGCCCTCCCCGCCATCCGCGCCGAGCTCGCCTCCTTGTCGCATCACTTCGTCGTCGCTCACCCCCCACACGACCCGACCCACATCCTCGGCTTCGCCCAACTGACCGAGCACACCAGCGAGCCGTGCTTATCGCACCTGCCCCCAGGTTCCTATTCCGAGCTGCAGCGCCTGTACGTCAACGCTGAGAGCCACGGCAAGGGCGTGGGCAAGGCGCTGGTGTGGGCGATTGAGGATCTAGCGCGCGAGAAGGGGTACCGCTACATGTGGCTGGGGGTGTGGGAGGGGAATTTCGTCGCGCAGACCGTCTACGAGCGCGCGGGATACGGGCGGGTTGGGGAGCATGAGTTTACGATGGGGAGGTGCGTGCAGATTGATTGGATCATGGTGAAGGAGCTGTGAAGGGGCGCTGCATCAGGAAATTCAGCAGGAGAGTGCCATGTGGCTTTGGGAATGTATCTGTTTGGCGACTTGAAGGCGTAAGGAAATGCCCATGGTGGCGGACAGATTAGCGACTGAGGACAGTGACCTCGTTCGAGTATCTACTTGCAACCCAGCGAATCTCATGTTGGCGCATGGGAACCGCGTCTCTCAGTGCGGCTCTATGACCGACGTATTCATCATTCATCAGAGGTCGTTCTTCCTCCTGCGCTGTTGTTCCGCTTGTGCTCTCTCTCTCTCTGTCCGGTTTGGCCCCTCCCTAGACGCGATGGATTTGGCACTGGCTGAGGCGAAAAGCGGACACAGCCGCTCGTCACTCGTCACTGTGCCAAGACACCACGCCCTTCCACTCTTTGCTCGCTCATGCTTGCCTTCATTTCCCCCCTCAATCTACTTTCCTCGCTCAAGCCCGGGACAGGATTCAGGCCTCGAGGGCTTTTGGAGCTGTTCGTGTACGTAAGGGCGTGCAAGGAAAATCGGGCACGGGTTTCGTTCATTGGTCGATCGACCGCCCTCGGCGCTCAATCCAGGGCCATCTTCTCGGCACTGACGCCCTTGTCACCCATGAGCTCAACGCCCGAGCGCATGACGCCAATCATGCCACCCGTCTGCACGCCTTCGCTCCCACCTCCTGCTAGTCGGTACTCGATCTCTGCAAGGCCTTCGAGCCACTTCACCCTGGTCGCCGTGCTGACTTCCAGCTTGTTCAGCTGGTCTGCGAGGTCCGGCAGAATGTCTGCAAGTGCGAGACCCCGGCTCTGCTTGATTGCGTTGACGGTCGTCAAGCATGATGTGACGTCGGGTGTGCTCAGCAGTGTGGTCATGATTAGGCGAATGTCCTCGGGATTCGGTGCCGCAATGCAGTTGTAGATTGTGTCAACCGTGATGAGCTCGTATTTGATGTCAGACTCTTTCGGACGGGGTTGACCTCGGATCGGCAATGGTCTAGATCCAGCATGGCAGGCTTGTAGTACGTTCAACGCCCGTCTCATGTCACCCTTGGACAGCTTGACCAGCGAGTCAACGGCTTCTGGCTGAATATTGATGGCCTCAGCAGCTACGACATGCGTGACCAGTCTTCGAATGTCGTTCTCTTTCAGAGGAGAGAATCGAAATCTTGTACATCTTGATAGTAAGGCAGGCGTGAGTTTATGTGTGTAGTTGGCGATGATGCAGAATCGGGTGTTGGCGGTATACTTCTCCATTATCCTCCGCAGAGCCATTTGCGCCGCTGAAGTCATGGCATCTGCCTCGTCAAGAATGATCAGCTTGAAAGCGCCCAGACCAGATTTCGTTGGGGTTGCAGACACAGTAGAGAATATCTGTCTGGTTGATGCAAACGTCTTAATCTGCTCTCGTACGACATCGATGCCACGGTCGTCCGACGCGTTCAGCTCCAGCACCATCTGCCGCATGTTTTTGGCTCCATAGATTTGTCTGGCAAGAGCGAGGATCGTCGAGGTTTTCCCCGTACCCGGAGGCCCGTAAAGAAGGAGATGAGGTAATCGATTTTGGCCGACAAAGCGATTGATGGTCGCTATGATGTCTTGGTGGCCAGAGACATCTTCAAGAGTATTCGGCCGGTATTTCTCAACCCTTCAAATGTCAGGAGACTGGTCATGCATTGACAAAATGCTCATACCATGGTAGATTATCCTCTGCCTCTACTGGAAGATCTGCTGCTATCCGTTTGCCCTTGGTTGCTGTGTTGTCTGAACTGAATTGGATGGCAGGATCTTTGGCCGCGGGAGCGTCCACTTCCATGTCATCCTCGAAGTCCGACATGATGTCAAGAGAGGGTTGTGTTGGGTTCGTTGACAACGGTACGGTTTATGGCCCACTGTGAATCAGCGATGCGGAGAACGCGTCGCGGGCACCTCACGCGTAAAGTGCAAAGCTGCAAACATGCCAAGCCATCCACCAGCAGTCTTGGCAAGTTGGATTCGCTCTACTCCCCTCTAGCACGGAGCCTTCTGGGCATCCTCTGTATTCCCCCATCTACTATGCCCTAAGTCTACTGCATTGACTAGATCCACTGCTCTGTCAAGCGACTAGCGAGACACGGGGTTTGGTCCACGGTAGGCGTCCGGGTGAATATGTCGATCATGCTGTTGAGGCTCTCGCCGATGACGTGGACGAACTCCGAATCAAACGTCACAATTATCTCTGGGACAAACCACGATGCGCCAGAGTCGTGTTACCTCGGACATTCTGGTTCGGGTCTCCGATGAAGTTCAGGCTGATTACCAGACCTTCTTGATGACGAGGGGTAAAACGTTGGGATGCTCGAGCTTAATCACTGCAGAGTGAAAGAGGTGTTGAATACTGAATCTACAAGCTCCTTCTTCTCTCCTTCACTATGTTTGCCGCCGTCATGAAACTTGTGTCATTCCTCATCCTTTCTGCTGCAATTTGCCATGCGCAGAACGGCAGCCTACCGAATGACTACAACTCGGTGTCTACTGACGGACTCATCAGCAACAGTTCCAGGTACAACACCATACTGCGTGTCGACAATGGCACATATGGGCCCCAACTGGAGGAGGTCCATTACTTCTACAAGTACTGGCCAGTCGGTATCGCTGTCTCCAGTCAAGGACGGATATTCGTAACTTATACTCGTGGCGAATACGACTACACGCTCGCCGAAGTCGCCAATAAGACCTCGGAGCGTCCCTACCCCTCCCAAGACATACAACTCGCTCCTGATCAACTCAATACTACTTTCAATGGTATCCCATTCGGCTCCGACAACGCCTCCGCCCTCAATTCTGTTCAAGCACTACATATAACCCCGGCCTCATCCACCCGTCCCGAGACTCTCTGGCTTATCGACACCGGTCGTCCCACGATTCAAGACTCCACCGGCTCCTACACCATGCCCTACGCCCAACCCGGCGGCCCGAAGCTAATCGGCATCTCTCTCGACAACGACACCATCACCGACACCTACACCTTCCCTCCGGACGTCCACTTCCCCGACAGCTACCTGAACGACCTCCGCTTCGACCTCCGCCCCACGATCAATGCCGCCTACCTGGTCGACTCCAGCAACGAAGGCCGCCCGGGCTTCATAATGGTAAACCTCACGACCGGCGACTCCTGGCGCCGCCTCTCCTACCACCCCTCCGTGCTAGTCGACTACAACGCCCTCCCCGTCTATCAAGGCCACCCCTGGTACTACCGCAATCCTAACCAACCCCGCTCCTTCTTCCGCGAGGGCCTAGACGGCATCCAGATCTCCCCCGACGGCGCCTACATCTACTACTCGCCGCTCTCGAGCCAGAACCTGTACCGCGTGCCCACAGCGAACCTGCTGGCTCCCACCTCGGATCCGCTGAGCGAGCAGGCCGCCAGCAACAACGTGAGCTGGCTGGGCCAGCGGGGCGGGCCGGCGAATGGCTTTGAGGGAGATACCAATGGGCGCATATACATGTGTATGCCGACGCAGAATGCCGTGTTTTACTGGGATGAGCGGGATTTGGGCGTGCATGCCTTTGTGAGGGATCCGAGAATCATATGGCGTGATGTATATCCTTAAATTCCGTGCCCGTGAAGGACTTGATCAACTGACTTCAACAGCGGACGGGGCGAGTATCGGCCAAGATGGGTATATTTACGTGATTGTTAACCAGCTGCCCTATATGGACACGTGGAACAACGGAGTCAATGCGCGACAATATCCCGGTACCATATTGAGAGCGAGGCTGCCGGACGGCGGGAGTAAGATCACAGGGCTGGTTTGAAGCGAGGGTTGTTTTTGGTGATTCTGATCTATCGCTACCTTGAAACAGGACTAAAGGTCCGACCGCCTTTTTGCCACAGTCAGTCATGATTGCCCATGTGTACAATTGTCGACCTCACCACGTTCCACGCATTTGATGCGTGCATCCGCTGAGCGCATAGCCCCTTCATCGAGTATGCTTGCTACAGTATCAAAGTAATCAGGAACTGTTAGCCGTTAGAATCTCATCATTGAGACTAACGCATCTGGCTTTCCGGCGGAGTTCAAGCGTGAACTCCTCGTGTCTAGCAGGGGTGTACCAGCTTTGATACCAATACCCCCACGACGCGAGCTTCCAGTTTTGCTAGGAGCCGTCAATCCATGTCAAGAATCCTTATACACATGATGGGTAAATACTGACTCCGACTTTTGTCTTCACCAGCTTGTCATCGTAATAGGTATAATTGACGCCGCTGCGTTCTCGGATCAAACGCTTGCACATATCGCTCACCGAATTGAAAGATTCGCGAAAGCACCTTTCCACTTCGCGCTCAGATTGCGCGGAAGCGTCCACCACGAATATTCGATCGTTACTGCCGGAAATCTGGATCGACTCGAGATGTCTCAATTTGGCAATCTCTCTGAGTCGAGTGACGTTCAGGCTCCGCGGAGCTCTGCCTCTGATGACAATGTTTTTGATCATGTCACGTCGACGTTGCGGGTTCCCCTTGCCCAAGAGGACACAGACATTGGAATCGAGGCCGAAGGTGTTCTCACCCAGCAGGACCGGCTGCGCTTCGGCGTAAATCTGTTTACTGCACCGCAGCATTTGGGAGCTCAAGTACCAATGTTGCTTTGTCTGATACCTTCCGATCCTTTCTGAAGTTCTAAAATCTTCTTTCACGTCCCCCAGCCAGATTACGCGGTCAGTCCGCATCAGCAATCCATAAACTGCGTTCTTCAATTCAGGGGGCAGTCGGTCCACGGGGAAGTTGATCCAATGTCATTGTCCAGGTTAGCTGGCAGGATGCGCTGAGCAGTTCTTGGGAGGGGAGAATCCACGGCTGGCTTGCTGTGCGTCGAGACTTGGAGCCATCGCCGAGTGACATAGGCCGGCCGGGGCAGAATTTCGACGAGCGGTTCCGGTTCGGTGGAATCGTGGTGAGGATCCTGTTGACAGATAAGCTAACGGCTTTTGCAAGCCGTATCGCTCTCACCGTAGAATCCATACTGCAAACTCTTGATAGATGAATGTTTCAAACAAATAGAAGTGATTGAATACAAGCGGCCTGATATACGGCTATGATACATTATGTGAGGACGAATTTGACTAGAATCTCGGTGAATTCACTGCGGCAGTACCATGAGGAAGGTGCAGTGAGTTGTGAGCTTTAGTCTGGTCGAGGCTGCCCTTCTCGCATCGAGGCGTTCCTGCCGATACAATCCGATGACGCTGAGTGGATCTCGCAGCTTTTGGTAGCATTCTGCCTCGGTTCAATGCTCGTGGAATACTTTTCGTCTATCAAGTGATGCATGCGAGTATCGCACACAGGTAGCTATGAAGGCATCATGACCGGGTGTTGAACAATAGCGTAGTAACGGAGCATCAAACATCAGACAACCAACTACCGTAACGCTCAAAGGCACTGTCGTTGACTTACTGGGCTATTCCATCAAATGGTGAGGTTGCGACCCGCAGCTAAGTGGTATCAGCACCCGCGGTTTGGCTCCAATACTGGAGAGGTTCTATAGACTTGTCAAACCGGGTTCTGCTACGGGCTGCGTCTTGCGGGCATCGGTAATGGCCTGGACGGCCGGTAGGACGTTAGCCTCGAACCGATCTTGAGTCTCCACGATCTGGTCGGTCATCGCCTCAAGAAACTCGACGTGCTGCGTCATCATCTGAGGATGAGCCCCGGCTTTCTGGGCCATGACCTGCACCTGAGCTTCCGCGTGCTGAGTCATCATCTGCTCCATGTTCTATTGAGCAGACTCGTTGGCCTGTTTGATACTCTGTTCCGCGAAAGTAACGGCCTGCTTCAGGCTCTCTTCAGCAAAGGCGATGTGATCTCCAACGCTCTGTTGGGCGACCGCAATCTCCTGTTCGATGTCCTGAACCGTCGTGACTGTCTGCTGTCTGGTGTACTCATGGGTGGTGTCGTTCTCTCGAGCAAGCTTTCCAATAGCATACGTGACTTGAGCCTGCACCTAAGCCGCGAAGCTTTCAAAGCGTGTCCTCAAAGCATCAGAGTGGCCCATAAGCGCCTGAGTGGCAGTCACAGCCTCGCCTTTCGCACCGCTACCTTCTAAGACATTGCTACTGGGGATAAGAAGTCGCTTGTCGAACTCAGCTGGGATGTGCGACCGTAAGGAACCTTCAACAGCCAAGTCAATTCGTTCATCCATCTGGTCCAGAAGGTTTCGAACGATGTCCGAAGGCTCGGTCCCAGAAGGTGACATCAAGACTTGATCAGAGACAGCCTTCAGCAAGTCAGGCTTGACGTCGTCGAGCAAAGTGGTCTCAAGGTCGTTGAGGAGGGAAGTCTTAATGTTGTCAAACAGGGCGTCCTTGGTGTCATTGAAGCCTTTGAGCAGACTCTTCCTCAAGTGGGCGAGTAACGTAGCTTTCACGCCGTGAAGTGTGCCTCATCAGGGCGCAGAGATGGAGATGAGCTAGAGTTTGACTATCGAAAGGCTAGTTAGTGATTGATAGATTGTCTCAAAGAGACCTTTGAGTATGGGGCAACCTACACTTGCTGACGATGCGAATCTAGACACAGACAAACCCGGAAGGCCAGGAGCGTGGGTGTTATCGCGACCCTCCATCATGAGAGTGGCGTGTGAGAGGGAGCGGATAGTTATTCCTGTGTTCAGGAATGAGAGAAGATAGCGCTTGATGGTAAGATAGCTTCGAGATATTTTGGATTTGTGTGGCAGCAATGCGCGCGGGTTGAGGCGCAAGGCTGGCTCTCCTGACGCCAGAGCTCTTGGCTCTCAATGGGTCCACTCTTCAGGCGGCGAGGCAAATTGGCTGCCCGGAGTTTTGAAGCACCTACAAAGGCGAGTACGTCGCTTGATATATCTAGTAGCTTGTGATGAACTATATGTATCTCAGATTGGTCGACGGGAACGTTGTTGCGCTGGCGCTCTAGATGTTTCCACCTGCCCCGCTTCTCCACGCGACCACTATGAAGGACTTCTGTCAACGGAGTTTCTGGGAGTATTGAAGCCCTCAAGACCTACAAAAGCCTGAGGTGCAGCAAACTGTCCCAATGTTTGCGACATGTCCCATTCAAGCCAGGTCAAGGTGCCTTAGGCAAATTGACACCAAGGATGACAAGCAAGTGCTGGCGGAATGCTTTCATTGTCCGACCAACAAAGCTCTTGCTGATTTATCTAAGCCCACCAATGCCATTATGTCTCTCTTATGTGTTACGACCACAGCCCTGTATCCTGTCTGCGTTACGAAGTTCGATCTTTGTGTGTTTAAACAATGCGACTCCGCGGCAGTCCTTCTCGCTCTACCCCAAGAGGGAAGTATACTACTTTAAAGTCCTACCACGATCAGCCCAGGCTTACTTGGATTGAACATTGACACAAACACTAGAACACTCCACAGCTCATCATATCTGCTGGACAGTAAGTATGGGCGCTCAATCGCGCACCAGGTATGCTTACTACTATCCAGACAAACACCCAAGCCTCTTCGTCTCCTTCCTCGGCGCCGGCCATCAAGGCACTGCGATCCTCGTCCGCTCCACTGTCAACCACAAGCTCTACGTTCGGAAACGCACACGCCCAAGCATCCACCATGCCGCCGCCAAAGTCTCCAACGAAACGACGAACACCATCGCGCACCCGCACATCCCACGCCTGATCTCTCAGACCCCAGTACCTCACTTCTTCACAGGAACCGGCGCCACCTGCACCGCCGACCGACCTATGGACTCATTGAAACGGCCGCGACCTCGCCCACCTCCTCGCCCAGTACCGCCAACGCTCCCTCTTCCTCCCCGAGCCCCTAATCTGGCGCCTCATGCACCATATTCTGACCACCATGCTTTACCTCCACACCAAGAACATCGCGCACGGCGACCTAATCATCGACAACATCTTCGTGCACTGGCCCGTTGGCACGACCGACTGGCCCGCCGAGCCCACCTCCCCACCCGACTTCCTGATCGGCGACTTTGGCTGCAGCTACACACTGCCTCCAGACCACGCCGCCAAGCGCCAGCACCGCGTCACCGACACCCACCAGGCCATCCACAAAGACCTCGCCTCCGTGTCAGAGTGCGTCGACATCGCCATGGCCGGCCCATGGCACGACGTCGATGAGACCGCCCAGGCCATCCGAGCCAAGGCCCGCTACAGCGGTGCCCTGCTACGCGCTTCCGAGACACTAGCCCAGCTTCCCGGCCTGCTGCAGCGCTTCAAAGTGTCGCGTACGGAGGACGGCGAGATGTTTGATAGGGTAGTCAAGCCGCTGAAGCTGGAGATCGAGTGCGCATTGAAGGAAGCGGAGAGGATGGGGCCGAAGCCGGATTATACGCGTGTCCGGCCGAGGAGTCGGGAGTTGAACAGGGGCGCGTTCTCGTACGAGACGAGCGAGGACTTGTTGGCGTGTTCGTTTCGGCCGCCGGGGCCGTGGTGCATTGCGGAGGTGGACTTGGATGGGAGGTTGAAGGAGGTGGATTTGGGGAGGAGGTTCTGTGAGGAGGAGGCTATGGTGACCCTGGGCGGGATTGAGATGGAGGGTGGTCAAGTCTGGGAGGAGTGGCCGGAGGCTTGTGGCTAGTATTCCTCTTTGGATTACTGAAGTCTTGCGACTTAGGGCGGATGTGAAGCACAGTGCTGTCGCCTCTGGAGTTTCACTCCCTACATCATAAGTTGCAGTAATGAACCTCTTCACAGGAATTACTGCGTACGATGTAATTCACCTGTAGCTACCAACTTTCATGCTTTAAGAAATACTGATCTTGATACCATGCTTCTCCATGATCAATTGTAGCCCATAAGGTCCATACGCTCGCGGATCCGGGTCATCCCAGAGCAGCTGCAGCACGTCAACAAGGACCTTGACCTGCCTCATGCGCCAGCGATCTCCGCTCATTCCGCTAACGAGCGCTTCGCGGTGACTTGCTTTGGTCATGCAGGACCCGGCGACAACAGTCGGCCACAGCAGAGTGGCGGTGTACTGAGAAGCCACCAATTGCACGACATATTTGAAGACGCGAATGATGTGTTGCTCGATGTGACTTTTAACGGCCGGGTCGGAGACGGTCGAGCCCGATAGAGCGGTGGCGAGGTATATGTGCAGTGCGTGACGGTAGGCTTCGGCGGAGTTGCGCTTGTGCTCCCAATCGTCGGTATTATCATCTAGAGGTGGTGGTGGCATGGTCCAGCACGTGATTCGTTGATGAAGACTGTCGTGGGCGGATTTCAGAGATAGTGATGGATGAATCGGACCGGCAGTCTCCTCAGTCAATCTTTGGGAGGCTAGCAGGCTGACATCGGGAATCATCCGATATAGCTCATGGGCACCAGCAAACAAAGCGCCAAAGGTCGGAAGTGAATCGTCCAGAGATGCGAAGAAGTCGTTTAAGGGCATCGTGCAATCGGCAGCAAAGCCCGAGGGCGTTATGGTGTTGCAGATCATAAGATATGTCAATGTTTCCATACTGAGTCCCATAGTACTGCGATGCAACAGGTCAGGAGCATACTTTGGCGGCAGTTGATGCACCAGCGTCTGGCTAGCTCGAAGATGGGCGAAGAACGTTCCATGTGTGTCTCCAGACACGGCCTGCGGCGAAGTTAGCACTGTCTCTGCGTTTTCTGGGAGACCGATGCAGGCGCACAATACAATTCGAGGCTGCTCAGCAGTTGTTCATACCTCGTAGTGACATGCTACTAGCGATATGCGCAATAGCCTCTCCTTTTTCTCCAAGTCATCATTTTCCAGATCAACGAATTCTCCACGAAGTCCACTGATCAGTTTTCCGTAGTGCAGCCTCGTAGCATTGGCGAGATCGACATTGCCAGGCTGTCGGTAGGTCAGAAGAGCGCCGCTGAGAGCCAAGAGGCCATGCATGAGTATGTCATCCGTGTATCCAAGGGGCATGAGGACGGTGACGTAGGGATTGTCTCTCAATGAAGTCATGGCAAGGAACGATGCCGTGTCTCTAAGATAGTGTCCAAGGAGAGTGACTGACTGCGGGGTGAGTCCACAAGCACGTTGAGTTTCCGTGTGGAGGATGGAGACAGGTCTCGATAATTCGACGCTCTGGCGGGTACCTGCGTGTTGCACGATGCAAAGCTGTTGGTCTTTCGACGCAGGTTGGTCGTCGGTCTGACCTTTTCGGTCATCCATGATCGTAGATGGCCACTCACAGGGGAGTTGGTTCCGGCGGCAACCAGCACATCGCGGTTTGCGCTCGTCGCATTTCTTCTTTCGTTTTCGACAGGTCGTGCAGCCATTCCTTGTTCTGGAGAACCGCGGTCGAACTTTGTACTGCCTATTCATGACTATGGGCGATAGTAAGGTCCAGTTTCGGCAGACAGTGCTCCACCGGCGGTTGGAGCGCGGGTAGAAGCAGTTCGTATAACCGAAAAAGCAATCCAGCGACGCAGGGTTCTCAGATTCAGCCTCATACTGCTCGGTTCCCCGTACTTCGCAGGCATGGAGCCGGAGACAAACGACAAAAGACATGCCAACCTACAGCCGCTCGGCGCCCAGCCTTGGCAGTACCAGTCCTAGAGCTGCGGGTGTGGTCGGCAGTCGTCAGAGAGGGAGGCGGACTTCGAATTCATCCATCGTCTGCTGCACATCCGAATACGAGATACTGAATGACTTGAGAGCTCTGGGGCTCGTAAGGCTGGCAGTCGATCAATCTGGGCCTTACCTAAGGATTGACGCGGGCCAAGCATCGCCGTTCCCGATGCGAAGAGACGTCCTCTGTCAATTTCCTGGCAGCAACTGGTGGGGATGACAACTCTCCTCGTAGCGGCGCTTGCGTCATTACGGCTTCGTCCTCTGAATTAGGCACAGCGCGACTACTCTGTATAGATCTGCACATCGCGGCTTCGTTCAGCGTATGCACAGCGCGGTTAGAAATTTGCGGAGCGCGGCTGCAGGTACGCTAAGAATATTCCGCCCCCGATTTGCCAAGACTCCGCCCCGCTGAGTTTCCTCAAAGAACCTGGTGAGCCTTTTGTTGCGTTGTATGGCTTTGCTACATGGCTTGTACGTGGCTTGGGCTACGTGATCCAACACCAAAAGCCCTGCCGCACAGCCGTCTAATTTCGAGGATCAACACAAAGCGTACTATGTCTACGCTACGAGGGCATACTCAAAAGCAGGTTTGTACGATGCGTCCCAGGGTAAGGATGTCGCAAATCGGAATATATATGTCTGGCGTTACCATCAAGATAATGATTCTGTCGCAACTGCTCACTACGCACTACCTTCCGCGATTACAACTTTCCATATATCACTACACTTCAGCTTGTGCCTCGCAAGAATGAGTCCTCTACTACGCACGCGTCCTCTTACTTCCCTATTGTTACTGGCTACACATCAGTGTTTGCTCCCAAGTCGTGTCTTCGTCAATGGAGCTGCACTGCCTGCAGATGAAAATGGGTGGACCTCAGTCGAACGACCCGAGCCACCGGTCGAAGTCGATGTGGTTGTCGTTGGGGGAGGATACTCCGGATTAACGTCAGCATACGAGCTCCATCAGGCTGGTTTGAGCACTGTAGTGCTCGAAGCCAAAGACAGAATTGGCGGCAGGTCTCGCTCGCATCAAAGAGAGAGTGGTCCCGGCATCGTCGAGCTTGGTGCCACCTGGATCAACAACAGCACCCAGCCGGCCATCTGGGAGCTGACCCAGCATTTCGGCTTGGAGACATTGGTGCAATACACTGAAGGAGACGAGGTTCTCCAGAGCCCTGATGGACAGGTAGTCAGGGTACCACCCGCCACAGGAGAAGAGGAAGAAAGCGTAAGTTGACCATGACAAACGCCTTGGACGTATGGTCGGGTACTGACTTTTCTTCAGGATGACGAATCCGCCGAGCCAGAGCCAGAGGACATTGTGGCTGCCCTCATCAACGAAGCAGTGGAAGAGGTCGACATCCGACAATTTGCAGACTTCCCAGAAGACCAAGACGTGTCTGTCGCTGATTGGATTGCCCTGAACGGTCTCTGGAACGAGTCAGGTATACCAGAGTTGCTTAGCCAAATGACGACGACAATCGTGGGTCGTGAGCCAAATGAGACCGGGGCACACTATTTCTTTGACTATATCAAGTCAGGTTATGGGCTGGAGAGCCTCGGCACTGAAACGGAGTTTGGAGCTCAGTTTCTTATGCTCGCAGAAGGTCAGTACAACGAGGCAAATCCGATCGAGCTCCCTTTGATGAATGAAGACTAACCTGAGTTCTCTACGCAGGCACCACCGCGCTCGCCAGAAAGCTCGCTGATGCTATGACCCCTGGGAGCGTTCTGACTGACGCAGCAGTCACTGAAATTTCTCAGGATGACGATACTGCTATAGTCACGATTAAGACCGGCAAGAAGTTCAAGGCAAAGAAGGTCATAGTCGCCATTCCAACCAACACCTACTCCGACATCAAATTCACGCCTTCTCTCCCCAGCGAGAAGGCCCAAATCGTGTCGAACACCATGCCAGGCATTTACGCCAAGATGATCCTGTCTTACACCGAGCCGTGGTGGAGGGAAGCAGGCCTGGTCGGCAAGTTCACCTCGCTTGTCGGCCCAATTCGCTTCAGCTGGGATACGTCAAACCCTGCACTATCGCAGTACAGCCTGGCGGTCTTCATCGCGGGAGACGTCGCGACTGAGTGGCACGCTCTACCCGATGAAGAGAGGCAGCAAACTATGATAGAGCACCTCGCTGAACTGGTTGGCGAGGATCTTGCCGACTATGCGCTCGACGTGCTTGAGGTCAATTACGTTGAATGGACAAAAGAGGAATATATCTGGGGTGGGCCAACGAGCGCGATGGCTCCTGGCATGCTGCGACAGTATGGAACGGCGCTGCGTGAATCTTTCGCGAATCTGCATTTCGGTGGCGGTGAGACTGCGTACGAATGGAAAGGGTACCTTGAGGGGGCCATTACGGCAGGTCAGAGAGCTGCAGAGGAAGTTGTCGAGGCCCTTGGCTCAGGCGGGAAAGCCTGAGCTGCTGCAGGACAGACGCCTCGAAGTCGCCGTCCCCGTGTCTACCTGCGACATTGTATATAGCACTAATCTATTTGATTGTACTCTTACCTTGTTTCTTGAAGGCACCGGGGTCATCGTGGCGGAGAGTCAACAAGTGAAGACAAGCTTTCTTGGCTTTTCGGGCCAATCAGATTGATTCTGAAGTCATTACATGCGACATGTCCCGAGACCTCGGAGCTTGCTGTAGTCGACGACACCACCAACTCTCACACTCTCCCCTCCCCATCCACGCCAACATGTCCGGCAGCATGTTCTCGCAGCGGGCACTGCAGCTGAGCTCGCGGCGACGTAAGCGCTCCTATTTCCCACCCCTGTCCATCTTCCCAGTAAAACGCGCAAACTTAGCATGTCTAACACCTCCATCTACTGCAGTTGCCGCAGCCTCTACCCTCTCTCGCGCCTCTGTACCCTTCGCAATTGCAACCGGTCAACATGTCCAGTTCCGGTAGGTCATACAACCCGAAGTCACAAGATACACTATCCGGCTGCAGCTGCCCAACCTCGAAACCTCTCCTCCCGCACCCCAGGCAGTCGCACGTTCTCAATAGATAAGATCAAAGGACTAACACACACCCGCAGACCCGCCGCGACTGAAACCGTCAGCCCGGAAACCGGCACCTCCATCCTTGCCGCCCAGCGCCGCAACCGTCCCGTCGCCCCTCATCTAACCATCTACAAGCCCCAGATTACCTGGTACGGTAGCGCCTTCAACCGCATCACCGGCGTCGCCCTCTCCGGCACCATGTATGTCTTCGGCATCTCCTACCTCGCGGCACCCCTACTCGGCTGGCACCTGGAGAGCGCCAGCATCGCGGCTGCCTTCGCCGGCCTCCCCATTATCGCCAAGTTGGCGATGAAGATTGGCTTCGGTTTCCCGTTCATGTACCATAGCCTGAACGGACTGCGGCATTTGGTGTGGGACACGGGCGCGGCGTTCACAAATAAGCAGGTTATTGTGACGGGCTGGACGGTCGTAGGCCTGAGTACCGTGCTGTCGCTGGCGTCGGCTTTCCTGTAAGAGGTTCGAGGCTGTACGTCGCAGACGAGAGCAGTGGGACTGCAGACAGGGCATGCAGGGCTACTCGGAGGTGCGCCGTCTGTGGCAGCGACGACGCCAACGAGGATGTATATAAGAAACCACGTGCGAGAGTATTGTGGCCCAGCACGAGTTGCGAATATACCGGTTGAGTGACGATCAAAGCCACAACCTTTTTACAATTGGCGAATGAAGAACGCAAGCTTGAGCGTAAAACTCACAAGAACGGAGGGAGCAACGGCTTGATTCAGCTTTTGCATTTACTACACCTTATCTCACTGCCCACGAGTGCTCCGTTTGCCACTTGTAACAGCAGGTAAGACAAACCTCCTCGGTCAGAACTACAAAGGCGAAGCGAAGCCCGCGATCAATTCGCAAGCCCAATCGACTATTTCGCACCCTCATCCACATCGACATACCGATTCCCATCCCGCAACTCATGCACCTGACTCCTCGTGACCCGCTTCGACCATTCCTCCACCCCCACCTTCTCGTCCACGTACCGCATCCCATCCCGCAACTCATGCACCAGCCGGGGACTCAGTACCCTAGAGCCCCTGCTTAGCCTGGCGCTGCGCTTCGCTGGTGTCGGTGGCGGCGGCTGCTGCTGCTGCTCGTCTGGTTCAGATACAGCTACCCCTGACTCTTCCTCATCCACGTGCGCCAGCGGCGGCGTCGCTTCCTTCGCCTTGCCCTTTCCCCGCGCTTTAGTCTTGCCTTTTGCTTTTCCGGAAGGCGCCGAGGGCGGGAATGTTGGTGACGTCGGCGAGTGGGCGGCTACAGACGAGGCGACGGAGGCCGAGCCAGCAGCACTGAAGCTTATGTTGGGTGAAAGCGTGCTGCGGGTGCGAGGACGGCGAGTTTGTGTTGGCGAGGAAGGTGCAACGGACGATGTGTCAGAAGCTGGACCCGGGACGACCATGGGAGGCGCGAGAGGCTGGGTTTCCGCAGCATTTGGAGTCTTAGTGCGGGCCCGACGAGGCGGCTGATGCCGGGTTGGCTGGGGTGTGGCTGTCCGAGCGGTGTCTCGCGTGGGAGGTGCGGTGGTCTGGCCGGCTGTATCGGGCTCGTCGTGCTGAAGTCGGCGAGATCGGCGTGGTGAGATGGGTAGTTCTACACTTTGCAAGACAGGTGCATCTTCTTCTTCTTCTCGCAGAGCAGTGTCGATGTTTGATGGAGTCCTCTGATTTGACTTTATAGCCTCAGCTGGACTGGATGTTGAGTAACGTGCTTGACCTTCTGCTGACCACCATTGTAACAGATGCTTGACCTGCGCGATCTCGCCTCGGCCATATTCTAACTCTGGACCGGTCATCACGACTTTGTCAAACATTGACCTCGACTCGACATTGGACTTGAAGACAGCCCACGCAGAGGCATCGGTACTCAGAAGTGTCCACCTATGCTTGACCGTTTGGACTTTGAAGCTACGCAGAATGACCACATCTCCTGGATGCGCGGCAGGTAGCGCAGACCTGTAGGGCCTGAATATCTGGACTGCAACTTTCGGATCTTCGGACTGGGCACCCGCATCGATGATCCGGAACGAAACATGCCAATCTCGAGGACCACTTTTCGCCTGAGCCGGTTTTGAGGTGGAATCGGTGCAAACGGCTATGATGTCCACCGCCTGGCCGTAGTATTCGTTGAGCGAGGCAAGTGAAGGGTAGTATGCCAGCGCCGTGCTCGTTGCCGAAGGCACAGCTGCTTTTTTGCCTTTTAGCGACGAAGAGCTGTCAGTTTGCACGTGCTGCGACTCTGGCGATACCTGTGACTGTGTGCCGTGTTCGGTCGCAGTTTCCGTAATTGCAGCTAGATCCTGCGGAGTGGTCTTGCGTTTTGTGAAGAATGGGCTATCGATCAGATGGGGCACCTCCGACTTTCTAGTCAGTCGCTGGGAGACTCGGCGGGAGCTTGAAGATGTCATTGTCGGCGTCAAAGGTCCCTCTCGCTCTATGGCCTTTGGAGTAGCTTTCCCTTCGACTGGAGATGATGGTTGATTCAACGCCACTGCCTCAGCTGTTTGTGTTGCGACGGGACTCAGCAAACCTATGTCAATGATAGCCTCGGCCCGTTTCTCATCACGTATGGCGATGTCTGGTCTTTCTTGAGTCTGCATGGGGGTTATCAGATGCACATCGGCGGCTTGAGTCTCGAAAGATTTTTGTGGAGTGCCAGTTCGTTCGCCTATGTCTTCCTCCTGGGAGTTGACATGCAAATTCCCGTCAGAAGACGCAATGTTTGTGCTTGCGGCAACTTGGGTCGAGGTGAGAAGTTTGTCCGCAGCGATGTTCACAGTCTCTTTATCGGGTTGCGGGGATACGTTGCGCAGATCCGCATCTCGTTGCTCCGTGATACCTTGCAGCGAACGAGTGTGTTCTGGAACAACAAGCCCTCGAAATTCCGAAGTGCCATCCACTGCTCTGATGGGTGAGTATCGAGCTGGCAGATCATGCTGCTTTCCGCCCTCACCCGCTGTCACGGTTGATGTAGTAGCTTGCGCTGTCAACAGATTCTCGTTGGGCACATCACTTGCCTTTATTTCGACAGAGCTTTCGTTGCGAGCAATGAGACTTGGTCCAGAATCATCTGCAAGCCTTGTATCGGTCTCACGGCTTTGGTCCGAGGTATGCGCCTCAACAACAGGAGACATCTGCAAGAACTCGTCGAGAACAGTGATTGCATCCTTGATCTCAGGCATATCCTTGTCGTCGACTGGTGCGGAAGGCACCGGCGCTGTGTCTTCGGTTTCATGCGCTCTGGATGCCGTTTTTGCTGGAGATCTAGGAGCATCTGCAATGTCTGACTGGGCGGATGTGTCGTCTTCCTCATCATCAATTAAGAGTGGCCCTTGAGGACCTCCAGCAGGCGGAAGTGTCGCGTTACTATCTACCAGTGATGGCAGAATTGTCTCGTGTGCCTCCACGTTTGGCAACGAGTCAATGGATCTCACTGGATCATCAGACATAGGCGTCGGTGTGCCTGCATCGGTTGCTGGGTGGCTAATAGCATCTAATTCGGAGCCTCGATCCGACATGTCTGGGAAATACCCAAGCTCCGTTCCGAAAACTTTGACCAAGGGTGAGACTAAGGGTAGGCCGGGAGATGCGAGCGGATGCAGCCGTGGAGTTGTAGCTTCATCATCTCCATGAAAGTCGCCCCTGGAGGAACGTTCTAATTGCATATCCTGCGGTGCTGGTGCAGGAACCTTCGGAGGGCCCATAAGGGTAGCAGTAGATGTCAAGGCATTGGTGCTGGGATCCAGTTCGGGAGGACTGATATTGTCTTCAGGCGTTGCCAACGTCTGCTGCTCAGAAGGCACGATGGGGACAGCGTCTGTCGTGACTTGGACCTGCCGCCCTTGTGTGTTTGTGGATCCAGCTTCTTGGTCGAGCTGAACTGGGGAAGACGGTACACGCTGGGCGTCTTCCTCAGCATTATCGAGAAATCTCCATGAGCCGCTCGGACGAGCGAATTTGGTACGCTTCCGACTTCTTCCAGACTCTAGCTCGATGTCTTCCGAGAAAGGGTCATGGGGAGTTGCAACATGAGTGTAAAAAGCACTGGTACGGTGGGAAGTGGTTGACTTGAAGGGTGTGTGCAGGCTGAACGGCTCCGGTGGTGGCGTAGCGATCTGGACGACGCCATTTGCAACAGGACTCCACCGAGGACTGGGTGTATCTGAACGTTTGTACTGAACGGTATGGGACTTCTGAGAGGCACCCCCAAGAACTTCGAGTCTAACTGCTTCGCGGTACGTCAAGTCCCACCGAACTCTTTTGCCTGGTGTGGATGCAGGATCCTCTGAGTCTTGCCAGACACAGTCTTGTAGAAGTAATTTAATTGTATCGCCTATTCCTACCTTGGTCGCCTGAACAGCTCTCGCGGCGCCGTCGTGAAGGGTGACCTTGAGCTGCCGGCCGGCTTTGTAGGGTCGCGCATCGGCTTCCGAGAGCAGAAACGCGAACTGACGCGTCAAGCTGGAGTAGGGCCAGACTAAGGCTATCTGCGCCTCGACATAGGACTGAGGAGATTCGGATCCGGGCGTGAGGTCGGCAATGCGCACGCGTTCGGCCTGCTGGAACCCCGGCCGAGGCGGCGTACTATCGTCGGTGATGCTCATGTTTGCGAGTTCGCAACAGTCTTGGAATGTCGCAGCAGTCCATGGCTCGTACTCGGAAGGGCGAGAGAAGAGACACTCACAGATAACGCATTCTCGGTGTGACCGTGCGTCGCTTCTCGTTCGTCTCGATCTTCCGCACGTCCCAGCGAAGACGTTGACGGTCTGCGCCTTTGGTTCTGTGCCCCACCGTTTCACTGTACCTTACCTGAGCTTACTGTCTACACGCAAGCGATCTGTCAGTCCTTGATGAGACCGCCGCCAGGAACGCGAATTTGTTTTGAAGTACACTTGTGATGAAGCGGGCATTAAGATCCTGCAGAAGCTCACTACTGCTACGTATTAGGCCTTTCTAATTTCCTTCATCAAATACATGGGCTAGAGTACAACATGGTCCTATTGTAACGCACATAGGCTGCACATCTAAAGACTGTCACTCACAATAGCAAGTCCTCTTGTGGGTGGCAACAACCTTTCACTCTTTGTCATTTCGCCTGTATCAACAGGAACATATACATATATACATCACTTCCAGTCATTGCTCACAGCCCTGGTGCACATTCGAAAACCGAGTCTCAGCAAAAGACACTTTTCGACCCCCAGCATTTTCGAAATGTCCAGATTCCGTAACCAATTCCTTCTGACCTGGAATGAGGACATCTCGAATAGAACATTCCAACAAGGTGAGCCTCTACCCCTCGAAGACATTCATCTTCTCGTTTCTGACACCACTAGCCTTCCATACAAGGACGAGGAATCCACACAATGCAGTATCTGCTACCAGACCTACCAAAAAGCCGAGACAATGATGGTGCTGCGCTGCACTCATACGTTCCACGCTGTCTGTCTCGCCCAATGGTTTCAGCGGTCTCACACCTGCCCAAAATGCCGCGACGACCCAGGTCAAGATATGCCTGGCCCTATTGACCCTGCTTGCGAGGGCGACGTTGCTCTCTACGACTCGTTCCGCAACACGGTCTGGTCCACGATCTGTGCTGCGCGGGACATTAGATTGCGCGAGCGTCGTCTGCGGCATGGTCCCGAAGACGAGCTTGACTCGCGGGTTATGGCTACCAGATACGACGTGGACGCCGTTGCTCGTGTCTTGAATTACACACGGCCCTCAATTCGTTCTCGAGGCTCTGCGTGTGCGAATCATTTCACTCTTTGGCCACTGATGGCGTCGGCTCGGCAGCGTAAGGACGAGGCGGAGGGTGAGTATCTAGCTCGGGTGGCTGCTCGGGTGGCGCTCACGGGAGGCGCTGCTGACCACGAGGACAACGAGGATGACCCAGCTGTCGGCGCTGGTGAAGATCAACATGCTGGTGAAAGTCCCGGAGCACTTACTGCTTAGGCTGCCAACACTGAAGTCAACGATGCTGCCGAAGGCTACAATGGAGCACTGGTCAACGAAGATGCCGATCAGCACGCCCATCTCACAGACTACGAGCAATCAATGCTCGAGTTCTGGAACGATTGAATGACTGGCAGCGAACTTCTATAATAGACACCACATCCTAAGAACCCAATCACGACAATTTGATTGCCTCTGGCTTTATTGATCAACCACAAACTCTAGTGGCAAGACAAGCAGCCCAGTATGCAGTTTGCTTTCCCATCACCTATGACTAGGGACAACACATCCATTTCACACCTAGCCTTTACTTGATGTCCTTCACTAACTATCACTCAGACTCGCATACCTTGTTAGAGGTGACAGCAGTTGGCTGCCTCAGCCATCCTGCCTGCATCACAGTATGGTAGGGCCTACCGTGAGTGGTGATACTTTTCTGCATCATGTCACTTCTCCTGCCCATCAACAACGTCTATATATTTACTATTTGCAAGCTGCTCTCTGTCTGATTGTAAGCCTCTTGCAACACACACAATAGTCCGGCAAGAACACAACGTTCACATAACAGCGACAGCAACATCCACGCAATTCAGCCTCCATGATGTCCCGCTTCCGAACCAGTACATCCTTCAGTGGGACGAAGATACCTCGGGCAAGGACTTCAAGGTTGGCGAGCCTCTGCCTCAGACAGAGGCCTTCGCCTGGAACGGAGCAAACCTCAACCTCAAGTACCAAGATGAGGACTCCACACTGTGTGCCATCTGCCGAGAGATGTACCAGAGAGATGACTATGCTTGTCTTGTGCTGCAAGCACTCGTTCCACACCACATGCATCGCACAGTTTTTCAAGCACTCGCACACTTGCCCGCAATGCCGCAACCGTCCAGAGGGAGACCTGCTCGTCGAGCTGGAGCCCATGCCGAATGGCGAACCAGACCAGTACTCTGAGTGGCGAAACGAGCTCGACTCTTGCGTTTCATGCCACCTTCGCATCGTGGTCGAGAACATTTGGCCACTTATCCATCCTGCGACTCTCCCGTTCAGAGAGGCGAACAATGAGGTATCCTGCCTGCGGAACACTATGGACCTGTTATTTCCGTCTACCACCCCGGTCAGTGTCATGAAGCATCTGACCTTGTACCCTCTGTTGGTGGCAGCCAAGAGGGAAAGAGCCGACAGGAATAACGACCATTTCGCTGCGCACGGCTTCCGACTTCCCGTCATCACCGATCGCGACGAGGTAGACACTGAAAGCGAAAGCGACAGTGACGACGGCGAAGAGTTGGGCGAAGTCGCCAATACTCAATTCTTCGAAAATCAAGCGCCAGAAAACTCAAGTCGACCTTGATTGTACCGTTGCAGGCATGAAATGCAGATCGAAGAGGGTGTCGACAGCAATATCGAGTTGGAGTACGACGACACTACGACCCCTCTGTGCAGCTGTGGTGTGAGATCACCAACGACCGAGAATACAAGCCCAAGGTAAGCCGCCCGATCACAGCGAATATAGCTTAGTGTTTATATGCCCAAGTACCGGAACCCAAATGTATTCAGTATCCAAACAAAGCATCTGACTTTCACCTTCCATGATGACCATTTGACTTTTTATCTGCTAACTCACTGATCAGACGTTCAGTTGTGAACACACGCTCCACCTATCCACATTAGTGTGCTCTGAAGGCCATTTCCCGGAGAGAATACTGAGTACTCAGCTGTGTAACCCTACAGCTGCCGCTCGTTTATAGAGATAGTGGTGGATCACAATTTCACAATTGTACACTGGTCACGCACGTAGAGTCTAGGTTTATGTTACGTGCGAATAAGCGGCTATGTCTGTAGAGTAGGAAGTAGTTTGGTCGTCCGCGCACATGAGATAATTTGCTTGTCTCTGCGGTGATGAGTGGTCGGGATTTTGGGCGTAGTGCGCGCGGTATGTACTGATATCCTGCACACTTACCATCCTCCCTCCCTGTGATAGGTGAAGCAAGTCTTTCCACTTGCTAGGAGTTGCAGACGTCGTCATCTACCCTTGTCCCTTGTCCCTTGTCGCAAATACTGATGCAAAGATGGATGAGAAAACCACTTCGGAAGGGCACGACCCAGCCTCAGCCTCAGGCTCAGCCTCCAGGGATCTCGACTCGATTCAAGAGAACGCACCTCAAAGCACGAACGTAGCAGACCACAACGATCCTACCCTCGACCGCAGCGGCAGCCCCAGCGAGACGGCCAACGAACCCCAAGTCACACTGCCTTCGGAGCAAGACACCACGTCCCCTCCTCTCCAGTACTTCGAGGATGCCGAGTACTTCGAACACGTCCAGTTTTTCGAAGATGTCCGGCAAAACACTTGGATCCTGGCGGACCGCGGCTACTCCGGCTGTCTGGATGGCCCTTCAGCAGTGGGCACGAGCGGCATCGCCAGCTGCGTCGGCATGTATGTCGAGCCGCGGCCCGACGAGTTCTTCCTCTGGCACATCCAGTGCGACCCGCTGAGGAAGGAACGTGACAACAATCAGAAGCTTCGTAACAGCGAGGGCAGGCTGGTCGCGCGCCGGTTTCAGGAAGTGTTGGGCGAATACATCGAGGGCGAGATCGATGTCGATCTAGTCAAGAGCACATTGGTCTTGACGAGCAGTTGTCCGGACGACCAGAGCTATGCGATAGTCGATGGCGTGCTGGCTTGGGCTGGATTTGGTGCAGAGCAGGCGGAGAGGTGGAAGGAGGAGCAGTATGGCGACGCGAGCGCGTTCATCGTCAAAACCCCAGGTAGTGGAAGCCTGGAGGCGAGTGGTCTGGTTTATGTGGACTGGGAAGATATTGGTGATGAGACTAGCGAGCAAGAGTGGCTGATGGATCGATTGGCATCTGCCCACGATAGGCCTTTCTGGTGGAGTTGTCTGCTGCAAGGGACGCAGGGCCTCGATTTCGTGGAACCCGAGTCGGTCGGAGAAGCAGAGCAGCCTTGATGTTCTCGCTTGGATGATGATCGAAGCCACGAGAACACTGCTGGACTTCAAGCAGCGGCGCACTTCTGACTGGAGTCGTGCTGACCAGAGCCGCCCCGCCCAATACTGCTTATTGAGTCTAGAGATGTGAGGTCGGGGCAGGCCGGCGATTGTGATTGAGGAGACCCTGGGACTTCGAGTCATTTCTGAATAGCAGCAACAGCTTCTCTCACAAGCGGTGCACCCTGCTTCCTGGTCTTCTCCCTCTGTGTCATCCACCAGATCTTGTAGCCTTCACCGAATTCGTCCTTAAGACTGCTTGAGACCTCATCGGATCGTTCATTATCCCAAGTCTGCAAGCCCAGTGATTCGGATTTCTGCTCAAACACCTCGATCGACTTGGCAGCCTTTTCCGAGAAGGTGACCAGCAACACCTCCTTCCCTCTGTCGGCGCCGGGCGTCAAAAGGACAAAGACATCAAAGACGACGCCATCGGCCGTCTGTTCGTCTTGCATGCGATTTGCGAACGTGCGTATTTCAGCTGCCAACTTGTCTGCACCTCCCACGTGATCGACAAGCCATGGGATCGGGCGTACCAAGCTCGATATCCCAATCTCAATACTGCCTTCGATCCACGATTTGTAGTCTCGTTCGAACATCTCCTGAGCGTTGAGGAGGTCAAGCGCCGTCAACTTGGCTCCAATGATCGGATCGTAAAAGTTGTCCCGATTCCAATTGGACTTAACGCCGAACATGGTCGAGCTACTGATCTCGACTTCCAGCGCTCCGGTGGTTCCACGGTCGAGGTCGCTACATTTTTCGCCGGAGGCTTTGAGGTTGTGGGTATCAACCAAGATTGGCGCAAGTGCAAGCCGTGCAAGCTCACGGATTGCGGTAGTTTGCTCGTCATCAAGCACACCTGGCCAGATGCGTGACTTTCGAAGATGATTAACCACTAGCGTTGTGCAACTTCCAATGCCAGTTGTGACGATTCTGGGATCGGCTTCCTGAGGAACCACGTTCTCCTCCATATGGTGGTCTATGCAGCCAACAATCTCGAGCCCAGCAAGGATGGCGGATGATGGTACTTTCGGCACAGTAACGGACGGGGCATTATGATCAACAAGAATGATCTGTTGTTTTGAGGAGGTGCTCTCAGCAAGATCCGGCCGGAAGACGTCTTTCAACTCTGGTCTTGTATCATCCCAGTCCAGCAGATCCTTGACTGTGAGCACCTGATTGAGCAACTCCTTCTCCTGCTCCCTGGCTTGTGAGTCGGAAGGTTGCTCCTTGGCCTTGGCGGTTGCAAGTCTCAGCGCAACTCCGAACTCCGGCCGCAGCCTCCAGAGGTCGGTGGAAGGGGTCTTGGGCATGTTGAGGAGCGGGATGAATATGGTGTCCCTTGTGTGAGCGGCATGATTGTAGAAGTATGATAGTGTTACGGCGGAGATGAAGCTGTCCAAGTCCGCGGAAGGGTTGCCCATGACCAGCGTGATCCGAGACGGTGCTCCTTCAGACACTCCGTTGACACTTTGTTGGAACACCACGTCACGAACGAACCTGAGATAGCTCCGTAAGGAGGGATAGCGCGCGAAAGGCAACATGTTTGCAGGAGTGCAAAACGAGATCCGCGTCCCTGGCCTTCCAGATATCGCTGCCTCTTGTCTCGTGGCCGTGAATCAAGATTCTGCACGAGTTACGGAGTAGTCGGGACGAGAAGACCGAGTTCGCTGCCGTCGAGAGAACCAAAAAGCAGGATATGACAGTAAACTATTGACTATGGATCTCTATCTGGTCAGAAACGACGCGACGAGCAAAATGACGTAACCGACAGTGGTTTCTTCAGGCACAGCACGCGACTCCAACGTAGTAGTACTGACTGTACCCAAGTGTACTTCGAGCTCTTCTCCTTACTGGTTTGGTAGGATGATAAAATTGGGATCATGCTTATAGTATGGAAGAACTAGGCGACTCCCTAATCCGAGGCTTTTCAATGAGGTCCGGAGTTCTCTTAGCCAGCCCCTTGGCCTTGACGCTAGTTAGCCAAACCACGAACCGGCCAGAGCATAGTAACGATCCTTCCAACTTCATATCGCTGGCAGGTTGCCGGGACATATCTTCCGGTGGCCGAGTATAGTGGACGGAGAGAGTCCTAGATTGGACGAGCCTTAGCCTCCTGGTCACCTTAGCCATCTCGTTGCATGCTCGGGAAGGATTCGGAGCTCGGTCGAGAACCTAGAGACTGTAGCGTCGGACATCATAAACGTCGTTTCCCGCAAGTCAACAGACTGTCGTAGTGGCTGTTGAAGACTACCGAATACCACAACTGTGAGTGATCACGATTCAAGTGATCGTCGAGTACTCCCCGCACCTGCCTCTTTCGGTAGACGCTGACCAATTTGGCATACTGGTGTCGCTGTTGGTGGAATGGTATGCAACAAATCGTACGCATGAGCTTCTACCCCAATGTAGATTGGGTACAATCATGTGGGCCAGGCCGGATCTCTGGAACGAGTGCTTGCTGCTAGGGTTCTGGAAATAGCTCGCTGCTTTACATGGGATGGTCTGGGCAGTCCATGTATTTTGTCAGCAAGCGCGTTGACCTACCCGATGCAATAGCTGCTCGGTTCGAAAATGTCTCTACCACCGACCGCTAGCGGATGGATGAGTCCCCGACCAGTTGGAAACCCATTCGAAGTCGGGACTGTCTTCTCAGTCTGCCGAAGAGCTCGAAAACGCTTGCAAAAGCTCTGCTTAACTTCAAGATGGAAGTCCACTGAGACAGAGTTAAAAAGAGACAAGTGGTCCTTCAACAAAGCTTTCGCACACTTCTGAGTTCTGTGTCTTCAATTTACCAATCCAATTCCACATCGAAGGGCTGTCACTGTAACTGTCCGTCATGGTCTCGCCACAGACAATCCAGCAGTCAAATACTCGCGTTGCAGGACTGCCCAAGGGACTCGTGGCGTTGTTCATAGGCGCTACCGCCGGTATAGGTCAGAGCACTCTGCGGCAGCTTGGCCAGCGAGCATCCTCGCCACGCATATATACTGTAGCTCGACCGGCGGCCGTCGCTGCGCATGAGGAGCTGCTAGCAACGCTTCGCCAGACAAATCCAGATGCCGTTTTCCATCTTATCGCTGCTGATGTTTCACTCATCTCGGGGGTAGACAAGGTGGTCACAGCCGTGAGGGAGAAGGAGAGCAAGCTCGACATCCTTTTCATGTCGCCTGGGTTCATGCCGTTTGATGGTCGTCAAGAAACAAGCGAAGGCCTCGAGCCGTCCATGACGACACGATACTACTCGAGGCAGCGTGCGGTGGAGCAACTCCTACCCTTGCTCAATGCTGCACCGAGCCCGCGTGTCGTCTCAGTACTGGCCGGAGGAATGGAAGCTCCCTTGAACGAGCAGGATTTGGACCTCAAGAACCCAGACAACTTTTCCACATGGAACGCCAACTACCACGCAGCCACGATGAGCACGCTTGGACTCGAGCGAGTCGCGCAAGAGAATTCCCGCTTGAGCATAACGCACTGGCTGCCGGGTCCTGTTGCAACACGCGGCCTAGCGGCAGTGAAATCAAAGGGCATCGACCCTCCTCATCAGAAGAGCGAGGAGGAGGCGAGTGCGCTGGGCCTATTTTTGGCGACCAGTGATCGATATGCCGTCAATGGTGGTCTCGTAAACCTGGATGCAGGCCTTGAAGTCGCAAAGAGGTCAGCGGGAGGTATTTTCATCATCAACCCAGAGGGCGACACCTCAGACAATGAGCGCGTCCTTTCTGATATGAGGGGCCGAGGTGTCGATGAGGCGGTATGGAAGTTCACCCAAGAGACATTTGCGCGTGTCAGCAAGTTCAAGGACCATTTATGAGGGAGATTTAGCGATAGCAGACGTATTACCTAGGTGCGGTATGCCGTATCTGTACCAATACCAATGCGTTGCCTTGTCGCCTTGTAGGGTGAACCGGTCCAGATGCTACGACTCGGTAACTCGTGTTGGAGTAGTTTTCGCCGCTCTTCTTTGCCACTGCGGCGAAGCAATGACGAGCATCAGCTTGCCCAGGATGCCAATGCACCCCAGGTCCATTTCAGCAGAGGTGAGTGGTCTGCTGATGATGCATAGTGCAGTCAAGAGAATCGAGAACTGTGGCTGAGCATCGGCACGGTTAAATCGGCTGGCGTCATTCGGTAGGCCCCAAGCCCACGAGCATCCAAACCCACCAATGCCCCTCCTTCAACTCGATGCTAGACACGCTCGGCGTCGCAGCTTGCATCAAGTTCGCCTCCACTCCCTATTCTGTATAAATCTGACTGCTGCTGTCGCATTGCCTCCGCAAAAGAGCTCAGCACAGCGCAATGTCAGATTTCGCCCCGCCTACGGGACCTCCCCCACCAAAGGTCCCTGAGGGCTGGAAAGCGGTAAGTTGTTCACTCGCTACGATTGCCTGTCGCAGCTTACCATACTAACACACTTCACAGGTTTACAACCCACAGTACTCAGAGTGGTAAGCAAGCTTTAAGCAGCCATCGCTCTTTTGTTCTAACTCCCCGCGCAGGTTCTACGTGAATCTCATAACCAAGCAATCGCAATGGGACAAACCGACCGAACCAGCCATCGGCCCGGATGATGCTCCCCCAGGCGGCGCACCACCTGGCTACTCCGCTGGTGGCAATGCCCATACCGCCACCGACGACAAGAGGCAGCTAGAGTCCAATAACCCATACAACTCGGCAACTGCGACCCCAACCGGTGAGACAGATGAAGATATGGCCCGGCGTCTGCAAAATCAGGAGTCAAATCGTGGCGCAGCCGATGGCTACTACGGTGCCGGCGGTGCTCCCCAGCAAAACCAGTATGGCGCGCAACAGCCTGGCTACGACCAGAACCAGCTTCCACCCCGTCCAGCCGATAGAGGCAGCAAGGGACTGTTCAGCAAGTTGTTTAACAAGGGCGGTAAACAAAGCTATCCGCAGCAGCAGGGCTATGGACAGCAGGGATACGGCAGTCCTAGTCCCGGCCCAGGATATGGACCTCCACAAGGTCAGTATGGGGGATATCCTCAAGGCCCCGGGTATGGACCGCCTCCAGGCCAGTACGGAGGCTATCCACCCCAAGGCTACGGGCAACCGTACGGCGGCGGCTATCCGCCGCAAGGATATGGTCAGCCATATGGTGGTGGTCGCATGGGTGGCGGCAGGAGGCCGGGTGGTGGTGGTATGGGTGCCGGTGGTATGGCGCTGGGTGTTGGAGGTGGTCTTTTGGGTGGTGCACTCCTTGCAAATGCCATCAATGACGGTGAGCAGGATGCCTACCAAGACGGCTACGAGGACGGTGCAGACGACGGTGGTGGTGGGGACGACGGAGGAGGTGAATGAATGGTCTAGATGCGAACGCGCGAACTGTACTCAAATGGTGGTCCTCTGCATTTGAATCTTGAAACATGTCTCAGTTTCTCTGTCTGTAGCAATGAATCGAAAGCACTTATGATCCTAGCATCATATCAAACCTACCTATTTTGAGTTTCTCGTTCCATCCAACTGAGTTTCGTTTGACTCTTGCTGACTATCGACTTCCCTCTTCCTTCTTCCCACCCCACCACCCCACCCAGCGCCTCAGCCTCGCCATCCCACAACACAGCCTTGCCAGAATTCCCGCCGCCGCAGTAACTTGACTTCCACTGCCTCGACTTCCGTTGCATATCACCAACGCGATGCACCGCTAAACCGACACCCAGCATGCATTTTAGATAAGTCCCGTGACTTTCTCACCATGTCCGCCCACTATAACCTCGAACCTCCCCCCACAGCCACCGTCCTCCTGCACACCACAGCCGGCGACATCCAACTCTCGCTCTTCGCGCAGCAGACACCGCTCACGTGCCGCAATTTCCTGCAGCACTGCCTGGACGGCACGTACGACAACCTCCCCTTCCACCGCATCGCGTCGGACTTTGTGATACAGACCGGAGACCCTACGGGCACGGGGGACGGCGGACAGAATATCTACGAGGACGATGAGTTTGAGAAGTACGACGAGCGCTGGGCGCGGTTGCTGGGGCGCGAGGAGGGCGACAAAATCGTTTTCGGCGATGAGGTGCATAGTAGGTTGAAGTTTGGGAGGAGGGGTTTGCTCGGCATGGCTAAGGATGCCGAGGGAGGGTATGGAAGCCAGTGGTTTGTGACGTTGGGAAATGTGGGTAGAGAACTGGATGGACGGTGTACGATGTTTGGACGCGTGGAAGGAGAGGGTATCTACTCGATTGTCAGGATTGCTGAGGGGGAGGTTGTTGAAGGAACGGAGAGGCCGGTGTACCCCGAACGGGTTACTGGGGTTGAGGTGTTGGAGCTGCCGAAGGGCGAGGCGTGGGCTTCTATGAAGCCCAGGCAGAAGGTGGCACAGAGGGTGGCCGAGGAGAAGAAGGAGACGAAGAAGCCTGTCAAAAAAGGGAAGAAGGCAAAGGCCATGCTGAGCTTTGGAGACGACGAGGCAGAGTCGGACGTGGTTATCAAGCCCAAGAAGGCCAAGTTCAACACCGCGCTCATTGATGCATCGACGACGCCGGAGGCAACGAAAGCGATCGGCAAAGTTGCTGCCAACAAAGCCACTCCAGTATCGCAACGACGCTCACCCTCACCACAACAACCTACACCCACTGTCCCAGCCAAGCGGAAAGCCTCGACATCAGACGCACCGCCCTCGCCCACTCACCACCGCAAACCCTCCTCCCCAGACCCGTCAATGCAACTCCCGCTCCGCAATCCCGAAATCCCATCTCGCTCCCCGTCTGTCAGCCGCTCCACCTCCCCTCCAGGGCGCGACCTCTCCGCAACCCAGACTAAAGCCGCGCTCGACGCCCAAATATCCGCCCTCAAAGCCTCGATGCGCCGCCCCACCACCACAGTCGGCGAAGTCAGCCGCAAGCAATCCGCACTCGAGGCTCTCATTCCCGCCACATCAACGCGCGGGCGCAAGCGGCCCCGGCCTGGAGATGCTGGCGCCGGAGGCCGAGAAGACGCCAAGGCGCTGAAGATGCTGAACGCGTTCCGGACGCGCCTTGAGGCCGCGGACAGCACCGACCATACACAGCCAGCCGTCGGGAAAGGTCAAAATGGCAGGAGCAAAAGCCACGCCGTAGCCTCCGACGGCGACCCAACCCTCCCGGCCACAGGCGCCGGCCCAAACGCTCCCGCCGTCGACGCGGAAACCCAAGGTGACGAAGAAGCCAAGCTGTGCGACCTGCACTTCATCGCCAACTGCCTATCGTGTTTCGCGGCGGATGCGGCCGAGACGGCCGAGGAGGAAGACAACGAGAAAAACAACGACCGCGGGTTCCTGGGCCATCAACTGACGTTTGCGAAAGATGTCTTGGGGAAGGACGGAGAGTGGCGTAAGCGGGAGAGGAATCGGCGCGTGGAGGACGATGATGGCGGGCTGGTGGTGCTTGATCCGCGGGTGAAGGAGAAGGAATTGAAGAGGGGCAACAAGAAGAAGGAGAAGGGAGGGGGAAGGGAGTGGGATCGAGGTCGTAGATGATAGTAGTTCCCATGGGTGCATGGCATGTAATGGAGAGTGCGCACCTGGGACCACACGGTGTACCTATACGAATGTGAGGGCCAACGAAAAGCGTACTGAGAAGGTCCAACGCAATTACTTTTTGAAAGTGAATGAACTGCCTTATGTCTGTTCTCTTCCGTTCGAGGGTATGCCCTGTAATTAATTGCCCAAGAAACTCCATTGTTCATCGCTCGTGTCGTTCCATCGTCTGGTATCGTAAGGCAAACTTGCGTTCATACATTCCCACGTATTTTCAGATAAGCAGCACTCCTTCCAAGGGCCTTTCAGAGGGAATGAAACAGTAACCCATGTCGGGTATCACTGTGCTGGGGGCAACACTGCTTCAGGGGCCCCGATACTTCCCCCGTACCTTGCCGAAACAATCTAACCACGCCCAATGCTTCCTGACCTTGAACTTGATATCGTACCGCACCTCCCCTTTGTGTCGTCGGGATCTGTCAGTTCCGCTCCAAGACCAAAGGCGGGGATCGCGATCAGAGCAGCAGACCCACTGCGCCAGACGATCGCGAGGTGTTTCGAAGTTCTGTGGTTGTTTTCTCCACCCAAAATATCTGAATTGGGATTTCTAGCCCCGGCGTGACCGCTTCTTCGGTGCATCAGCTTCATTGACAGACAACTTCCGACCTTTGCGAGCCAATTTACCGTCCTCGTCATCTTCCGGAGTCGCCACCTCGCTGGACGCCACACTGGCGCTGTCTACGCGGCCATTGCCCGCACCATTAGGATCGACAGGGTTGGGCACGCCACCAAACATATCATCGTAATCATCAAAGCCGCCCATGGCGTTTGCGCCTGCGCCGTCCACACCGAGGTTCGTGTTGGTAGGATCAAAATTACCGTCGGGAGGGAAGTCGCCGAAGTAGTCGTGACCGGCGCTGAGAAAGTCATCCACGTCCCATGGCGCCGGAGGGAGGTTGGCGTTGTCATGGATGCCAGGTATTGAACCTGATGGAGAGAGGGGTTGCAGGAGATTCGTAAGATTTTGCACACTCTTGTCTTGTTCAGCTTGCATCTTGGCTAGGCTATCATAGCTCGCTTTTGAGCTGGCGAGCTGGCGGTCGAAGTTGGAGGGACCAGGCGGCGGGGTAGCATTGATGAGTGCGTTGTCACCACCTTTCGAGGGATCTCCCACACTGGAGTTGATGAGCCGCAGCATGTCAGCACGTTGGGTTGAATTGAGGGGATTCGCGCCACCAGAATTCTCCAAGGTGGAGATCATGTTGCTGAAATCTGGTGCGACAGCATTGCCTGGCGAGGAACCATTGCGTGCGTTGGCGTTGTGAATGACATTCATGATATCTGCTTGATTGGATTGAGGAGTGTTGCCCATATCGAAAACTTCTTCGACAGCAGGTTGCGGAGTATCAGACGTGCGATACTGCTGCGAAGTGCGTCGGGTATTACGACCGGGGTAAGGAGAAGTAGCGGCGGTCGAAGGTGACATAGTAGAGGCACGGCCTTGCTGCGAGCCGTCGGTAATGAGAAGTGGAGGCTTCTTGTAGGGTTTGCCGGGCGAGGCTTCGGGACCAACGGGATTGTCGAAACTGTAGTCACCCACGTCGACTACAGTGCCAGAACGCTGTTCGTTTGGGATGGCGCCCGAGAAGAGGTTCTGTATGCCTTGCATGCCCTCATGACCTTGAAGTGATCTGTTGTAGACGGTGGCAAGGAAAGTGAGTATGGCGTTGATGGAGTTTTCATGGCGAGTATGTTGGTTTTGGAAGTTGCCAGCCTGGCTGTAGAGTGTCTCTTGCTCTCGTCTAAGTTCGGCCATCATTCGCTGGATCTGAGCTTGCTGATGCTTGATGGTTTGTAGCTCACGCTGTATTGACTGGAATTGCTCCGGCGATAGGGCATTGTCACCTTGGCTGAGAGCTAATTGAGGGCGGGGGCGTACGGCGCTGACCGGCGGTTGAATATCCTCCACATACTCGTCAATATCCTCATCGGCCTGCTCGGCGTCCGCCTTCTTGCCCTTCTTGGTAGGAGCATTTTTCGGTTTCTGGATCAACCACAGGAGATCTTGGTGCCCACGACGGAAGTACGGATTCGAGTATTCGCTGGGACTCTTGTTCTTACGCTCACTCGCGCGCATGGAGTTGTCCGACAGTCCGACTTTCTTGTGGAAGCCGTACATATTGAGCTGTCGAACAAAAGAAGCATAGTTGTTATGCTTGAACAATTCGGGGATAAGGGTTTTGGCAAACTCGTCCTCATCCAGCACAATGAAGGAATTGCCGTCGTCTGACCAGCGGATGAGATCTGTGTTTTTGCCGTCCTCCAGGAAACTGTTCAGCTTTTGTACGAAAGGCGGAATTTGCTTGCGCTTGGACTGCGCCTCCCGTTTGGCTACTTGAGCTTTGGCTTCCAAATCTTGGATATCGTCGGACCAGGCGCTGTCACCGGCTGGGGGTGTGCCATTCTGGTCTTGCCATTGATTCCCAACTTGACGAGTGAGCTGATTCATCGGCCGACGTGTAAGCTGGTTTGAGGGCTGTGGTTGTTGGTAGGAGTTATTGATGCCATATGCGGCGTTATTGTCATAGGATTGCGGTACCTGAGCTGCACTTCCCCACTGTAGAAACTGGTCGTCCGACAAGCCCGGACCTACATTGGGCGCGTACATGTTGTTTGATTGTGATTGTGGGATCTGCTGCGGATATCCGACGGGGTTTGCGCCGGGGGCCGGGCGCTTTCTCGAAAAGCCTTGCGAAGCCATGCACAAGTTTGCTTTCGGAAGTGTGGAAGGTAGGTAGAGAAGATGCGAAATGGGCTGAGGGGCCTTCTGTACTTAGAGGAGGAGCAGTCACCAGCAGGCTGGCTCATCCAGGCCCTGAAAGAAGAGAAAGGACCTTGTCGCGAAGCGCAGGTTAGCGCAGGTCGGGCTTGTGCAGAAATCAGACGACAGGTTCGAGGATGGCTCGGCCTTCTTTATAGCAGGATTGTAGGTGTGATGGTAAGCACGGGTCGGTTGCACAGAGGTATGGAGGAAGGAGCAAGAGCAGTAAAGGGCTTTGTGCAGGAACAGAAGGATATACAAGCAGATTCAAAGTCGCAATATACAAAGGTCGAAATGATATCTGAGGCCCTCAGGCTATGACATACGCCCGCTTCGCACGAGCTTTGCCAAGCCAAGCGACGACTCCACCTCGTTCCCTCCAAGCCCGAACGATACCTTATGCAACATATCGCCAGCGACCTAGTCAATCATACTTCTTAGTGACGGTGACGTAGACGAGATTTACTCATACATGCGCTGTCCTCGGCGTCTCCTGTACCGCGGTGACAAATGGTCTGACGGCTCATCTCTGATCAGACCCATTCGGATCAATGCCTCTCGCGCGGTTGGCTACTGTATCGACTATCCCCCCGTGACTTGACCTATACGCCGTCTGAAAGCAGTATTCACCTCGTTCCAGGAGGCCGGATTGGCTTCAGCATATGCCTCTGCTTTGCCTATTGCTTCCCAGTCGTCACGCATGTTGACTAAGCTGGTGGTCCCGTTCAAGATAACGACGTTTTCGAGACCGAGTACCAGACAGTACAGAGCCGCCTGTGGACTTACTCCGAGCTTGTTAGCCAGCTGTTGAACTTCTGGGGACCTTGTAAGCCCTGGATTGGCGGACAACGTCCAAAAGGCTTGATAGATGATTCCTTTCTCCTGACAGAATTTCCTTACGCCAATGTCGAACTTGGTATCTGCATAGAACCTGTTCTGTACCACGGCTGGCTTGATGTTGGCCCTCTCGTGCAAATCCATCAACGTGAATAAATTGCAGTTCGAAATACCAAGGTTATGTATCTCTCTGGGGACATACTGCTCCAGTGTATGCCATACTTCGAGAGTCTCCGCAATGGTTGGCATCGGAGAATGCAGAACGAGAGTATCAATATATGGTCCCACAGTATCGTCTTCACCAAGCGTTGCGCCAAAGTCGAAATTATTCAGCGACGATATGACAGAGGCGTTTACCTGATCCGGCACAGGCGACTGGGGATCGTATGGCAAGCGGTCGGGGTCTTGGCCATGTATTGACGTGAATTTGGTCTGCAAATACAAATCTGCGCGGCGGACCTTGCCTTCCTTGATAGCTTTACTCACGCCAGCAGCCACCAAGTCTTCGCGATAGTGCTTCGGCTGGGCTGCTGTGTCAACTGCAGTGAAGCCATTTGACAACGCTTGGTAGACAAGCTCGGTGGTAGCCTCTTTTTTCCACGCTGTTCCGTACAGGAAGACCGGCAGTTTCACGGTACTTTTCAGATGCGGACTTTCCAGTACAAGCTTACCAAAAATGCTCGACATCGCTGTTTAAAGGAATCCCAAATTGTTATAGCTCTCTAATGACTGAATCGTAGAGGTGTTTGCAACGACTAGTAGAGACGAGGAGGAGTTTAGGTACTTAGAGCCTTGGTGGGGTATGGGCGCCACCAGCACCACGAGGGGTTGCTAAAAATGTCGGCTGGGGTCCCCCAATTCACAGCGGTTCACACCTAAGAGCCTGTGCCATGAGTTAGGGGAGCCCTGTCGACCCCTGGTGCACAGACGAGAGCCTTGCCCGTGTGCAAGCCTTGGAGTATACCAAGGGATTTTGTCTTTAGGGATTTATCCACTGACCATCATTGTCGATCAGAGAATCATACAGTTCAATTGATATTCAGGAGAAGATTGATGCAGCCGACCCGTGAGATTGGTATTCGCGGCGCACAAGATCAGTAGTGGAGTAGGCTCTCAAAGTGAGGTTGTGAATGGAGACCCCCTGTTCAAAAGAGGATCGGCCGGGGAGACTGCTCGTCCCGCAGCGTGACTTTGCGGCATGGCGTTGCCTTGTTCGAGTGGTGAGGATGATGCCTGCTCTGCAGTGAGCAAAGTGAAACACGCTCTACACCCACCTGCTGTAGTAGCCTCGACCTTGGGCCATACAAAGAGCTTGTTGACGGTCTCGTGCCACGATTGGAGAGGCACATATGCAACTGACGGCCTCAGCAGACCCATCTGACCCGGAGATGATGGGCTGCAGCAGGCAGTCGGTTGGCTGCGGAGAATCGCAGAGCCAGAGGACACGCATCATCTGCGGCCTTGTGGCGACTCCCATCCTTTCTGATATGGGTACTCCTCCATACCTGTAAACAGTCGCTCGGACCAAGTGATGGTCAGCGAGCCACGTGCGAGGAGCCGGCAACACAACACCAGAGATGGCACGAAGCAGGAGCCCTCCAGGTCGCATCAGCAGCTGGAAACCAATCTTGGTGGCTTCAGGGGTTAGCTTGATAAAGAAAGGGCTACATATTAGGTAGCGAAATTATGGCTACTTGGAGCCGGTGGAGGGGTCGTAGTTTACCAGGTAATTGCAGTCTGCCAGTCCTCGTCGCTGGGCGCTACGCTAGAGGGCATTCGGCTAGGTAAGTCCCGTTTACGCAGACTCCAGTTCCCTTGCTATCCCCTAATCTTTTTCAAATTCCTCTCCCTACTGGTATTGCCCATAGCTACCAACAGCCCTGCTCCTGTTATTCTGGCTGCTTTTGCTTTTTTCTCTATCCTCTACGGTCACATCCGCGACTCGTCTGCTTTCAAGACGTCGCTTTGTCTCTCCTTATCCACCCTGTCATGACAAAATTTAGCCTCTAAAACATCCCGGTGCCGAAGTCGTCTTCTCACCACTCGAGAACTCCTGTCGACGATACTATCCTCCGAGCCTCTGACCGATACTGCCCTCGGTTCTACGGCCGCTTGAAATACTGCGCTTAAAGTTTGACGATAGTACACGTTGCCACGACCCGATCCTCACGAGACCCCGACTCACTGCGCTCCCGAGAACTCTCTCCCAAACCCACAACTCCCGTGGTAAAAAAGAGAATGGCTGCCTTCTCTAATACTGAGCCGATGTACGACGACTTTGCCAATCGTTCACCACGATCTTTCCGCCATCCAGCGATGAATCGCCAACCCGGAAGACCAGACGGCTTCTCAACCATGCACGGTGGATTCGGACTCGAGCAGACTCACGGTCTCAACTCTGCCCGCTTCGGCGGCAGACCTGATCCTTTTGGCAGCAACTTTCAGCAGCCCCCTGCTGGCAACATGTCCCACTTTCCCTATGACATGAATGCGGCTCAAACCTGGAATTCGCCCGCTCCTCCATTGTCCTTTGGCACAAATGGTATGCCCGGCATCGGTCAAAATGGCGACCTAGGCCCAGCTCGTAGCGTCAAACCCAGCCGCGGCCGCGTTGGCATCAACAATGTACGATTTTTCCCTACAGCCCAGGATCCAGCTAACGCCCGCCAGATCTGGTACGATCAACTCCAGCCGCCTCAGCAGCCTGGCACGCCCTCGATCAATGCACCCCGTGGTGGACCCGGCCGTGAAATTGACCTCGATGACGATGAATTGATCCCAACAGCCATCGTCATCAAGAACATCCCTTTCGCCGTCAAGAAAGAGCAGCTCGTCCAGCTGATGGTGGACATGAATCTGCCTCTGCCCTACGCTTTCAACTACCACTTCGACAATGGCGTGTTCCGTGGGCTAGCATTTGCCAACTTCACTTCGCCGCAGGAGACGGAGTCAGTCATCAATGCGCTGAATCACATGGAGCTGAGTGGTCGCAAGCTCAGAGTCGAGTACAAGAAAATGTTGCCGTTGGTCGAACGAGAGCGCATTGAACGCGAGAAACGCGAGCGACGTGGTCAGCTCGAGGAGCAGCATCGTCCTCTTCCCCAGTCACAGCTCTCGACTCAGCTCTCCCTTGGGTCCATGAACCGCAACACTCCATCACCATTGTCCTCTCGCTCCGCACCCAAGCCAGGTACGTTAGTGCGATCTAGTCCTGAGCCAACTCTGACGACACCAGACGTGGACATGAACGACCCGCGCACGCTTGAGCTTTACACAGAGATGATGATCTTCCAGCGCGATCAAAGCCGTGAAGTCCTGATCTATCCTGCCACTCTCGAGCCCCAGGAACGACGCACTGTGCACACCTTGGCACACAACATGGGCTTGGCTCACACCTCGCGTGGCACAGGAGATCAGCGGCAAGTACACATCTACCGTGTTGCCCCCGGTAGCAACGTGAGCCCTCCGACTCTTTCTGGCGCTTTCCCTCAGGAGGGACTTCGCCAGACTCTAGGACGTTCTTCAACTGGTGATGTTGCTAACGAACACCGCGCATACGAAGCGATGCCCTTCAACAATCAATCTATCCTCCGTGGACAATCTTCTGTTGGCCTGCTTGACGTTGACGGCGGCTACGGGCGCGGCGCCGATAGCAACCTGCGAAACGCCAAGAGTTTTGCCGACCTGCGCTCGTGGAGTCCTTCGCCTGTGCCTTCGTCTGCAAGCTTCCCTGCTGCTCTGCAAACCAATGGCGCTCGCTTACAGCAGCAGCAGCAGCACCAACAACAGCAGCAGCAGCAGGGCCTCAACGATACCGCTGGCTCTAACACCCCTACTCTCACACCCACTGGTGCCCCGGCTGGCGGAAGGGACGAGCCTTTCCTCATTTCCAGCATGGGCAACATGACGATCGGGGGTCAGGCCCCCAACAACACCAGCCCTCGACGCCAGCGCAGCCTCTTTGCTGACTGGTCCGAAGGCTCTTCCAACTACCAATCCAATGCACCAATTGGTAGCAAGCGCACCGTCAGTATGGGACCAGATAACCGAGAGTCGGTACCTATCCGACAGTCTCGTGGTCCCACCTCGAACAACACGATTGGATTTGGACGACACCAAGGACGCGGGAGCGATGAGCTTCGCAAGGCAGCATCCGCGATCGCAGAATGACCTGAATACCCCCTTTGAAACACTTGATGAGGCTTGTCAAAGGACCATTTAACGAATCAAACGATTCACGATGATAACGACTTCGGAAACAGGAAAAAGTTAGACGCATAGGACAGTCTCACGGCTGTATTTGTGATTGGCTACCTCGCCGAAAGACTTGTGAGATGAACGACCCTGATACCACACGACACCCGCCATATGGATACAGACGCAAGAACGAGAATGACGCTATTGTTTGCTACTTTTGATTTTGCTTTTCGACCATGTACATTGAGAGACGCATCTGCACTGAGCAGGGCCAGATGGCCAAGGAGTAGCTGATGGGATGCATTCTATGGGGTTAACGTGGGATGGGATGAAAACGATGGATGCAACTACCAGAGTTTATGTGCTTGTTCATCCTGCTAGATACATTCGCTAATAAGCAGGCACTAGGTCTGCGCGATAATCATGACTGCGTTTTGTTTTGCGAGTGACATGGGTCTACAAGTATACTCGCTGCAGCGTGATGTAAAGGATGCCAAGGCTCCTCCTTTCTCCAGTTCTCCAGCGCGAGATATCGGTCCTGCCAGCACGACAACCATGTCCCCCGAACGCTTTTGATGCGGCACGACCTCGAAGACAGCTAGCCAAACAGATGTCTTCGGTCTAGCTTCGGTCACCAGCTCTCGTGTCTCTGTTCGATCAGAGCAAAATGACAGCCGCCTCAGCGCTGACCAGGTTTGAAGCATGCCCCCACCCCTTGTGTGCTCCCTTCGCCCTTAGCATACTCCTGGGGCCGGTATGATATCTACAAAGTCACTCTATAGGCACGTTCTGAGCGTCTGACATTGCTCACATCTCACAGCCACCGGCAGGCCTCTCCTTACCGACCTCGTCCGCCCGTATATCCCTCTCAAGCGGTGTCTGATCGCCAAGCATGAGTATTCGCGCTAATCTGAAAGTCTACTAGCGCGACTTTGGTCTGTTGTTGTGGCAGCCTTTTCGCTTGGGCCAGCCGCCAGCCTGCAAACCTGCCCAAAGCTCTGTGTCTGCCACCCGCGATCAACCCTACCGCCGCACTCGCGCCGCCCTTCAAGGATCATCCGCCTTCTTTCGTGCGCCTTTCCCGATCCTTCCTTACTCCCACCTCACATCGCCAGCCCACTTCATTTCTTTTTGCCCATCCCCTCGACCTCGCCCGACGACTTTTACGATCCCAATTCTCGCTGAGGACTGATCAAGGTCCCGCGACTCCCGATCTCATCGCAAATACCGCATTCCGGTACTTACAGACAACATCACAATGGCTGGAGGCAAGGGAAAAAGCGTTGGTGGCAAGGCCACAGGTGCTAAGGACTCTGGTAGCAAGAGCCAGAAGAGCCACAGCGCGAAAGCAGGTCTTCAGGTGAGTTCTTCGTCAGCGTCATCCGTTTGTGAGGTGTTGTGTAAGGTGAGGTGGCACAAGATCAGACAAACGCGCGCGCAGAAATGAGAGAGCACTTTATCGCGTCACAATATCAGATGGACAATACACAAGGTGCATTTGGATGAGCCTATGTGTTGCCCATTGGTACTGTCACCGATGCGCTGCCTCGATCACAGATATCAGGACGCATTCCGGTGGTGCGATGCGACGCGTCAACATACACGATCGCTAACGGATTTACGCCGCTTCTGTCTGTCGCCACGCAACGCAACGAGCTCAGCTGTCATTCTCATGCCACTGCGCGCGCGTTGTCGCCTATCTTTTCGAAACACCAGCACCTCGCCTTATCTCACCATGTATCCCTCGCCCATCGAGGACATCACTGACAATCTGTCCAATAGTTTCCTTGTGGCCGCGTCAAGCGTTTCCTCAAGAACAACACCCAGAACAAGATGCGCGTCGGCGCCAAAGGTATGTATCTCTGTTTTGGTGTCACCCCACCAGCTCTTGCGCACACCACGTCAATGCTCTCCTTCTCTCGTTCAATGCGCTTGGCCCAGTTGCTGACCCCTCTCTCCCTACAGCCGCAGTCTACGTCACCGCCGTCCTCGAGTATCTTACCGCCGAAGTCCTGGAACTGGCCGGCAACGCGGCAAAGGATCTGAAGGTCAAGCGCATTACGCCGCGCCACTTGCAGCTCGCTATCCGTGGTGACGAGGAGCTCGACACACTCATTCGCGCCACCATTGCCTTTGGTGGTGTGCTGCCGCACATCAACCGTGCTCTGCTGCTCAAGGTTGAGCAGAAGAAGAAGGGCAAGGCGGAGTAGGACTAGAACGCCGCCGACTTTTGCGCGGAATGTGAAGGCGGGAGTCGAGGAAACGATGGCGCGGATCCTGAAGCTGTATGGGTGGAGTTGCGAAGCGCCTGTGAGTTGCTCGTCTGGCTGGTGCGACACAACATGAAGATCGAAACTCACTACGGGGTTCGACTCTTTCTGCAGATAACGCCCCACCGAAGCAAGGCGAGCAGTCGACCTTTGTGAGAAGATGAGGGGCGACAGCTAGTGTGTGTGACGAACGCGGTGGTTTGCGAAATGGCGTTTTGATGTTTTTTATTCCATTTACTCACCTCACCTGCAACAGTCCGGCCAGCTCAGCCAGCTCAGCCTGAGCAGAACCGTCAACAAAACTGGATCGTGTTGTGGTTCGGGTGCAGTGAGTTTCGTGGGCTGCATTCTTGGATGGCTGTATAAGTACACAAACACAAGGGCAAAGGGCTTCTGGCGTGCTAATTCAGTCATTCGAGGAAAAGGCCAATGTGCAATGCAAAGAAACATGATATATTGATCTTTCCTCTGCCGCGATTCTGCTATTCACGTTGCTTGGTATTTTTTCTTTTCAGGTAGTACTTTGTATTCCTTCAGGTTGCTCACCGCTTCGATGTAATGCCTCCTCCCCCTCCCCCGGAGTCGGCACCCGAGTCAGCATGCGTCGACGACTGGTATTCGGCCTTGAAGGCGACTCTGCATGTGAGAATGAGCAGCAATATTCACAGAGCCTAAACAGGCCGCTGAGGTCGCCACGCAGGCAGAGCCGTGAACGAGCCCGTCCGCCAGTGATAGGCGAGGCGAGTTATACCACGACAGACAGCAAGCAAGCGCTCATGTCTGGTGCACTGCCAAGTGAAGCAGATCCGGGGTCTGCAGCTCGACACATGAAGACCGATGGCGATGCCAGGCCGAGGCGCTGCCAGTGCCGTCGGTGTGGTTACCGCGCAGGCAGCGGCGATGAGAGCGCCAGCGATGTCCAAGAGACGAGCAAGAGACACCTGCCGCTCAAGGGCATTCTGAAAAAGCCTAGCCAGAACGACAACCCCGAGTTGAGGAAGAAGGTCAGCTTGGGTTCGGGGCTCGAAGCTAGTCTGGGACAGGAAGACAATAGTAGTCTCAAATCGCAAACCGCACAAGGCTGCTACACGAGAGATGAAGAGGATAGGCTTCAACACTAGGCGCAGAAACCTAGCTCACATCGCTATCGTGATCAGCATTGACTCGACCGCCAGCAACAGGGTACGAAAAATAATGAGAACCGCGCCAGCGACAGGGAAGGAGGATTCAATGAGGGCCTGAAGAGTGGTTCTGAATTCGGAGAAGTTCTTGAAAGAATTGGTATTTGTGGTGCGGGTGCAGAGCACCGTGAACCACAAGAAGTTGGGGCAAGACGCCGCGCAGTTGACCCTCAGTGCCAACATATTGCTGACAGGCCGTGACCGATGGGCTTTGCGAATGCAGCGTCTGTGATTGGCAAGGTGCAGCACGACCTCTTGCATATTCACCAGGCCTGGTGCGGCGGCCTATGCAACAACACCTTGCGTTTCGGAAGAAAACTCGGCGGCTGCGACCGGTGTGCGAGGTTCATGAAAGAGCCAATACATCTGAGCGCTAGACGTGCGAGCATGCCTATATGTCGCACCTGGATACACTGTTGCCCCAAGCCTATTGCACGCGACCTAATCGTTGGCTTAGGGTCGTCGTCAGACAGTGAGAAGGCTCTGAGGGTGGGTTTTGCAGACGCATACATCTGCGAGTTGAGAGGTTATCTTGGGATCGAAGAATACTTGGCTTCCTCCGCGACAAGACAAGAGACGCTACCTTGTTCGAGTGGTTGCAGGACGAAGACTTTATGGGACGTATCGGAGGAACTGTCCGCTTTGGTAGCTCAGGAATTAGCAGTCTCAGTGTAATGGAGTGCGAGCGACTCGAGTACCTCAACCATGTTGCTTGGGAGGCACGAAGGACGGGGAAGCTTTGGGAAGCCCTATATGCTGGGCTGGCATCATGTGCATGTGGAAGGTACCTTGACGCGAAAGCGGTCGGCCTGCTTGTGGATGCGTGGACCTTCGGCAATAGATCAAAGCGTCGTTGAAAACCTGGGCAAGAGATGCGTTAGCTGTACACAGATTATGCAACAACGTACGCACGAATTCAATACATACATGTCGACCGAACAGGACTCACCGGCTGTAATAATCACATGGTCTTTCTGGCTTTCTTACGACCGCCTGATTTGTCTGCGCCCTTTTTTCGCTTGCGGTCCTGTTGTTGCGCGTGGGCCCGCAAGGGACTTGCATTGTCTGATACTTGTCGATGGCCCTGCTTGGTGAAGAAGCGGTCGGTTCCGCCATTTGGCCGACCTTTGGGAGAGTTGTCAGAGTCTGAAATCTCACCTTCCGAAGCCGAACTTAGATCCGCATCAGCATCATCGCGAGGAGCTTTGGTTGGCTGTTTTCGCTGTCTTTTGAAACCACCAAACGTCTGTCGGCCTGTGACCTTCGTTGACCAGATGTCGTCCTCGGACCCATCCGTGTCGTCCAGATGACCGTTGGTCGGAGGAATATTGACCTTGAGCACCCACTCGGTCTCGTCGCCTTCTCGAGTAGTTCTCGATGACCCTTGTGCTTCTCTATCTTCCATGATTTGAGCTGCGAAGTGACTCAGCGGCGTGCTTTCACCGGACTTGTAGGGCGTTGAGTTGCGTGACGTGGTGTCAGTCTTCCGTCGCTTTGAGCGCGGATCCGAAAATGACTGGCTAGGCGATCCTGATGGAGTGGAGGCGGTAGCACGTTGCATGAACTGTCATGTTACTATCATAGTGAGACAACGGGCAATAGTCGATGTACCTTCATGTTTAGAAGTCGGGAAGACATCTGCTTCGGTTGCGCCGAAGCGTTCGGTGTGGATTGGCCTGACATGATAGTGCAAATTCTACCGCCCTACGATAGACTCCTCAAAGATGTATATTGGCTCGGTGCTACAGGAAAAACATAAAGGATTGTGGAGGGCTACAACAAGATTCAACGGATAGGAAATGCTGGACTATCGATAAAGTGGCTCTGTACAAGGCTGCGATTCAGCCTCGTCTCGTGACACAGCCGACACGGGATTGATTGATGCAAGTGCAAATCTACTTGACCGGTGTACGCAAGACTTCTGGTCAAGTCGAACACATAGCCAGAGCCAGTAGCAGGCACAGCTGCCACTGCGTTGCGCTTTCCCGCCAAGCGACAGCTCATCTTCCCAAGGAGAGAGTGACTCGTAGCATATGTTGACCGTCTGCTACAGAAGCATCGACACTGTGGGTGGAGTTCAACCGCCGGTGTCCCTCTTCGCGCGGAGCTTTTGATGATTTCTGTGGCGAAACGTCGGCCGAATGGTGACTCTGATAAAGGCCTTCCCAGCGGTACACAGGCATGGGCAAAATGCCTTAGTCGCGAATTCCTCGTCGAAGTTCATTGCCAACATCCTCGACCGGCGATTCACGTACGCCAGACGGTTGATTCCTCGTCGTAGCTCTTACTTCTTCTCCCCTTGGATCGTGGCAACAACCTTCCTTGAGTGCTTCGAAGCACGGAACTCAAGATGCCAGATTCCTTGCCACGTTCCCGTCGCTAGTCGGCCATTGGAGATTGGCACTGTTACACTCGCGCCAACCAAAGCAGACTTGATATGAGCCTTGCGATCATCAGTAAAACTTTGCAAAAGCAAGAGCAATGGTGCTTACAGGCATGTCATCCGGGCCTTCGCAGCTGTGTCGGTACAGGTTGCCTTTGCGATCTTCCGGCACGATACGATCAAGTGCGTCACTCATATCTGCGCGCACATCTTCGTCCCAATTCTCGTTCAATGAAAGACCACAGGAAGTGTGTTGTACAAAGAGATGTAGAATGCCGACTTTATAGTCCTTCAATTCTGGTAATTGAGAGACGACTTCGTCAGTAACCAAATAGGAGCCTCGTGCTCGAGCTGGAAGCGTGAAGGTCTTCTGGAACCAAGACATGGTGTTGTGTTCTGGGACTGGTATGCAGCCGGCGGGGCACAGTGGACTTGGTGAGTGTGTATATGATGCGGGCCAGACCAGATTTAGTGGCAGAGATAGAAGGTACTGTGGAAGTCCTGGAAAGAATGCGAGGAAGAACACAAGCAGGAATATCCAGGTCCAGTGTTGCGATTGTGTTTGAGTGGGAGGCATCGTAGATAGATGTAAATAAGTTAGTCAAATCGACTTTATGGACCTTTACGTCATGGCGGGACAAGATAGCCGGGGTCCAGCCTCACATAATCGACCATCTACTCGCTCGTCTTCACGACCTGTTGTCACGTTTGGCTTCCCAGTTGCTGGTGGCTTTCTCACCGACTAGGTCCGCTACCGCTAGAGGTCGTAATTTGATCAATAGATCGCATAGATCACGAAAGCCGGTGATTGCGCCAGTGTTTTCATGCATAGTCCGCTGGAGATCAAAAATCCTGCCATCGTTAATGAGGTTATCGAGGTCCGTTGCTTAGGAAGTGATACTCAAATCGTTGGCTTCCCAGGCTTCCGCGCCTACGAGGTTAGGCAATTGCTGTCCCAGGGTACCGACTCTTCTTCATTGTCAGTTTCTCTTGATGTTCGGTCACATGCAGGAAACAGCTACCGGATGCTGTTGTTGACCAGAATTGTTCACGCGAAGTTCTTCGAAGGGATTGACGAACACGAGGGATGCGGATGAACGAAGTGGTGGCACTGTAGCGCCGTGCAGAAAGTCACGACACAGCTTCGAATCTGGCACACTGTGGTTCCTGTTCGAGTAAAATGCCTTATGTACAGCCGCTTCGAATCTATCCATAATGACACTATCTTTGCGCGCCAGAGACAGCTTCTGCATCGACCTCGCCCTTCAGAGGTGGGTAGTGACCCTGAATCTCGCCCTTCATGCTGGCTGTTTGGGGCATTTGGACCTGAGCCGGATCGTTGCTGGGCTCAAGTGGGTATGTCGTAGATGGCAGTGACTGCAAATACTCCTTGTGCGCTTTCTTTGCCTAACGGAACGTTAGCAAGCAAAGTTCCCACACATATTGGATACTTACATAGGGGAGACCGCAATACGTGCACTCGCAGATCTGTGGTTTGTCGAGATTGATGAAGATTTTGGGATGACCGAGCGGTCCTCCGCCACCGTCGCAAGCTACAGACTTTGCATCAACCCATCGGACTGGCTGCTTGTGGATCAATTCAATTGCCGCTGGTGGTTGTGGCTATCCCTCGTCAGTAGCTGTTTAGGCACAGCGGCCCACGCAACATACCTGCAGGTCCATGATTGTCTGTTCAAATCTCGGTCCACTCATCGCGACCTCTCGAGCTTGCTGGTTTCTGCTCCAGGGCCGTGCGCGGTTCGGGGCCTGCATTTGTCGCTGCTTTTCCTGTGACTCGACCGACTGCTGCAAGACGCCATCCCTGTTTCCCATCGCAGTCACTCCCTCCGCGTTCGTTTGAGAGACATTCGGTGTCAGCTTGCGAGGCGTAGGATCGTTGGCTTGCTCGAAGTTCTCGCCGGTGCCCGGTCCCTGTCTCTGCAGGCGTGTCGACGTGGCAAAAGATCGTGTTGCCGGCCGAGCAGCCCGCAGGCTAGCTCTAGCACAGCATGCCCGCACTGCGGGTACGAAGCTAGTCATGGCGGAGGTGTGTTTAGGTCGATGGCGAGACGAGGGGCTGCGGCGAGAGACGTCGACGTTCGAGCAGTCACTTGAGCTGCCGATTGAAGAGCCAATCGGAGGTGGGTATGGCTTGGCGGAAGCTGGGAAGGCATCGACTGCGCGACGCGGCTCGTACAATTACACGGTCGACATCTCTGCCTCGTATCTCACCCACCTGCTCTCCGTCTCTACTGTGCAATCTCTGGGCCAGGCTGTAATCTGTCTGGTGTTGGTTGAAAAGCATATCCATCCCAGCATAGCAAGCAAACATGTCTGGCTACGATCGTGCCCTCTCTGTCTTCAGGTACACTGTCCTGTTCGCAGTGCTCATTATATAAGCTAACATCTGTAGTCCTGATGGACACGTTTTCCAAGTCGAGTATGCTCTCGAAGCTGTCAAGCGAGGAACATGCGCCGTCGGAGTTAAAGGAAAGGATATTGTGGTATTGGGATGCGAGAAGCGATCAGCCATGAAGCTGCAAGACACTCGAATCACACCCTCGAAGATTGGTCTCATCGATTCGCATGTCTGCCTCGCATTCGCAGGCCTTAACGCAGACGCCCGGATATTGATCGACAAGGCAAGAGTTGAGGCCCAGTCTCACCGTCTGACCGTCGAAGATCCGGTGACTATCGAGTACATCACAAAGTACGTCGCTGGAGTACAGCAGAGATACACCCAATCCGGTGGTGTTCGGCCATTCGGTATCTCAACTCTCATCATTGGTTTCGACAAGAATGACAACACCCCTCACCTCTACCAGACCGAGCCCTCGGGTATCTACTCTGCATGGTATGGTATCCAACTCCCCAGCTCTGCTTGCTGTTAACTTTCCATAGGAAAGCAAATGCGATTGGTCGGTCATCCAAGACGGTCCGCGAGTTCCTCGAGCGAAACCACAAAGACGATATGGACCGTGAAGCCACCATCTCGCTGACTGTCAAGTCTCTTCTCGAAGTCGTGCAAACTGGCGCGAAGAACATTGAGATCGCCATCATGGCTCCAGGCAAGACCATCGAGATGCTTCCCTCAGAAGAGATCGAAACGTATGTCAAGACCATCGAAGCGGAAAAGCAGGAGGAACAAGCAAAGAAGAAGCCAGGCCGCGGCGGACAAGGCACAAGCAGCCTGCCCACTCGGCCGGCGGATGAGGCTTAGAACTCCGAGATGCGAGGCGATACGTCTCAGCAATATGTGCATTAGCGATCGGAGTATCAAGGAAATGGTCGTTCGGGTATTGGCAGGCCAGATACGTCCCATTGAAACGTGGGGAAGAAAATGCCACGGTCCTTGCTGCTGTAGCAATCTTAAGAAACCCTGCCTGCGCGCTTATCTCGTCGTATCTCCTTAACCATGACCCATGAAAATCGTGTGACTCGTGCTGAACTACAATCTCTCCAACCACCGCACCACCACCCCCCCCCCCCCCCCCCAAACACTACCCCAGCTTCGTCTCCCCACCCACATCCTCCCACACACTCCTCTCAAACTCCTCGTCCGCCTTCCGCAGCCGCTCGTCCTTCAGCATGCGCGCGTCCATGCGCGTGTCCTCACTCTCGACCTTCAACGCCGCCTGCGGCGTCTTGGCATCGATGACAAAGTGATTGTCGCAGTTGGGGCAGAACTCGTCCGCATCCTCCCACGTCTCCATGTTCTTGCGGAAGGCTTTGCGGCATTTCTTGCACATGAAGATCTGGAGTTTATCGTTAGTGGACTTTCGATTGTGGACACGCGTTGGGTCGTGAGGGGGGGGGGGGGGGGGGGGGGGGGGGGGGGGGGGGCGCGGAGCGGAAGGGATCGGCGTTGACTTGCGGAGGGTGGATGGGTGCGTGTGGGAAAGGGAATGGTGCGATTAGATAGGAGGGGGAAAGAGTTGGGTTATGTAAAAACTTGAGAGCTGGGGAAGTGTCGTACCATCTCCATCGTTTGCAGTAGCTTGTGGCTCTGAGTCTCGGCGTGGCATTCGGCGCAGTCGAACCATTTGCGGCAGCAGGGCGAGCGGATGGAGACTTGCGCGTTGAGAATGTGTTTGCTGATGATAGCGTGCGTTAGTTTGATAGAGTAGAAAGACGGGGTTTCGTAGATTGCTGAAGAACGGCTTACCACATGATGTGCTGCTGTGAGGGGTGGTGTGGTACGCGAGGAAAGGGGTGCAGCAAGCCACTTCGCGACGGACTAGGAAAGGGTTGACGCGCCGGAGAAAGATGTCTTTGGGTCTGTTTGTTCGAGTGACGGATTCTGATTCTGTTCGCGTTGGTGGTCTGGTCGCAATGAAGGAGGAGGAAACGAGGCAACTTTTCTGCAGTCCGGCGGTCTTGGCGTGGCGGAAGGCAACGAGGCTTGTCTCTTGTCACGGCACGTATATGCAAGGTGAGGAGGTAACAGATTCTACATGTCAGTGGCTGATAGCGTAAATGACGACTTGTGTGAGTCTTTGGAGGACAGAGTGTCGGCGGTTATGAACCTCAGAAAAGCGGTAATAGTTCTGGGTGGTAGCGTAGTGGTTTTTATATTTGCTATAGTCTGAGTTCGAAACGGTGAAGGTGTTTGAGACTGTAATGACGCACAGAACACTATACACAGCGTCTCTCTTATGGTCCTACCGAGACTCAACCTCATTTCTCGTAAGGGTGGCTTCTTCGGTCTTTTCCACTTTGCAAGTATATGCTAGCCCGCATATCAAGTAACGGATCGTCGCTGGCGGCCACACCTTCAACCCTCGGAATTGGATCAAAGATCAACTTTCTCTGCTCTTCGTCGTTGTCCTGCACGACACTCTCAATCTTGATGGTCCCCAGCTCTACGATCTCCCTGTCATTGGGCCAATGAATAGTGGCATCATCGGTCACATCCCCAGCCTGTGCAATCTGCGCCAGCAACTTGAAGCTTACTGGCCCATCCGCGATTCTGGTCTGTATCTCATTATGCAGATACGCAGCATCCTTGCCCTTGGCTTCCGCATCGGACAGATGAGCCTCTCCAGCATCAGGCGTGATGCGGTACCGCACAAAGGTCTCCTTGCCATCCTTGTTGATCAATTTGAACGCGTTGACGCCAAAGTACTTCTCCGTGCCGAAGCTGACTGGGCTGGGCTTGGGGTCTTGGACAAAGGCGGCGGCAGAAGGGTGTGTGGTCAGAAAGTCTTGGATTGTCCCGCTTCCAATGGCACCCAGCATTTCGAGGAAGAGCTCACCGGTGCGAACAGGGAAGAACTTTGTGCTGTGAGCAATGATGTCGGTGTGCGAACGTTTGCCGTCAGGAGCATTGGGAAGGTGGAAACGGGTTGCGAAGCCTCGAGGATTGGCGTTGGCATCGTTATCAGGGATCATATGAATGCCGGTGCTGTTGCTGAAACGGGATGTAACGGGGGTAGTGTTGTTGAAATGATATGCGGAGGACAGGGAGGCAGCAGTGGACGATGGTGTAAAAGTGCCAGAGACAAGGATGCCCCGTGCGTGAGCGGGCCGGAAGCTGGCCGGGGTGCTGAAAGCACCGCGGAGCGTGGTGATCAACTTGGCTGCGGTTTCATTGGTGGCTTCGTTGGTTGAAAGAGGCATCTTGTTGGCTGTCTGTGGTCAAGTGAAAGATGAAGAGGGGAGAGGATAGTTTGGTCGAGATCGCAATGTGCCGACCTGATATATGTATTGTGCTTCACATGATCGTATCTGCCTCAACTGGAGCATACTACCACGCACAAAGGCGTTGTGAATACTAAACCTATTCCACCTGTGTAGTCAGCGTGCATGACCAATGTCCAATGAAAGCCAGCTGTTTATTCACAACTGTACGATTGCAAATATTGGCTTCGCTAGGATTCGTCGATTTGTCAAGAGAGGTACGTAGGTACCATCCCAGAAGAGGAAGTTACCTAGGCGAGTATAGGCACGAACGCGCTTGGACGCAGCCCGATGACTAAAGAGTTCGCAGAAACTTGTCGGGGGCCCAAGGGCCAGATCATTACTCGACGGTGGGATGGTGTCCTCGCCCGAGGAAGCTGACGAACAGCAGTAGGGAGTGTTGTGGAATTAGAAATACCCTTTGGCTGTAAGAATATAGGCTGTCGGCCAGCCGAGTCGCTGCGGGATTATTCTCCTGAGGTTCACCGGAGACCAGAAGACTTGCTTAAGAAGCCATCTCCGGAGAATGACTGAATGCCAGCAGATCGCACAACAGATTCGGCAGGTGTCTAGTGCTTGAAGCAGAAGGTGACATGCATACGCCCAAACCTAGCGATTCAACCGCACGATGAGTACCGTAACCTGCGTGGGGTGAGGCTCGCTAATTTCGGTAAAGGCGGTATGGAGTGTTGAGACATATCTATCGGGCAGATTAAGCGAGGATATGGTAGCGTTTCTTCACCATCGTCGAGCTATACAGCATTTTTAATTGATAGAAGTCCAGAGCATCGAAGACTGAATCGATAAGGCTGTAGGTCATGCTATGTGGCTGACCCATTCTATAATCATCATTACTTTCGCCCCATGTCATCCGCGCCTGAACGCACACACATAGTTGGCGCCATCCCAAAGTAGCATCTGGGAAGAGTGCGCTGCCAGTGTTGGCTGATGCAAGCCAGACCCATCGCTCGACATGATATGCGGCCGATAGCACTCTTGTCAGACGCTCGGCGACAGTATAAGATCTCTGTGTTCCGAAGTAGCTGCTCTTTGTAGGAGGTAGGGTGAACACGAATTGACCAGGACAAGGATGGTCAACGAGGAGGATACTCACTACTACCCCGGCAGCTCACGACTTTGCAGTTTCCGACCTGTGCTGCACACCAAACGTCTTACGCTCACGATATGGGACCTTGGGAACCCAGAAGTTGCTCGATTTGCACTAGCATTCCACAGTGATGAGGCTATGGTAAATGTGTTGAGCAGGAACTTCTTCGACACAAGCGAACGGATCCATGCATACCGTGCCTCGACAACGTTACTGCCCGAGCACACGCCGCATAACTCGCCGGTTTCGGGCCCTTCACTTTGGATCGTGCGTCTAGGATCGAACAATCCTGATGGAACACCGATTGGCATGATTAATGTCTCTAGTCGCGATCCCGCACTGCCGCCAGATATCGGATGGGGCGTGATAAAGGCACACCAGGGTCAGGGGTACGGTTCCGAAGCTGCAAACCGAGCGGCCGAATATATATTGGATGAATTCCAGGGGGTTTCCGGAACTCGAGTCCACCGTGCGGACTGGTCGCGTTCATGAATGAGAAGAACTTGGCCAGCGCAGCGGTGGCACGAAGAATTGGCCTTGTGCGGATGGGCGAGATTCTATACTTGGGCTCGGAGGACAAGATTCCCGTTTACGGCGTACCGGGGCTCAACATCAATGGTGGCAAGCCGTTCACGCTAGCTCAGAAAGCGAACGTGTTTGGCTGCGGGCCACCGCTGAGGCGGACATTGCAGCTCATGTTTGGGTAGGATGAATTGCCGGAGAGACCATTTGAATGATCAGCCAGATGTTCAAAGCTTCGATACTGTACAGGGTCGAGGCAAACATAGCCGTCCATGGTGCTTTGCGTGCCCCGGCAAGGTCCGGCAGTTGGCATTTTGTGGGGACGTCCCTTATCGATACGCAGGCAGATCAGCAATAAGCGAGAGCAAGCCAACCAGCCAACAAGCCAACAAGGCGGTGCCTGTACTCAACAACACTCTTGTAAGCCTGCGCAATTAAAAGCATACGCGTCTGCAGTGATCTGAAACAAGGCAGACAGACCCTCATCGCGACCTCGCACCCTTTCAAAACCGAACTACTGCATACAGCCAGAAACTCGGCCCCCCTTCCTACTTCCCTCCGTGCCACGTACGACGCATTCCACGAGCCATTCTCCTCGCGTACAAACGTTAGAAACATTGTTGGCCTGAGCGAGCGGCAAGACAGAGAGAGATGATCTTGAGACATTCTCAAGATCGGTGACCTCTTGCCCCCACTCCGCATCCTCTCACACTACCAACCCACCGTGATGGTGGGCCTACAACATGGACCAGAATGCTCAAGGACCCGATGATGCCTCCATAAAGCCCGTGTCCTCTCTCCGTGCCAAGTTCGAGGGCCTCAGGGCCTCGCCTGCGCCACGCAACGGCTCGACTAGTCCCTCACGACCTCCCTCGGCCTTGCGCACGTTGGAGCCTGAGCCCCAGGCCCCAACCGTCAGGGCATCCTTCGATCTCCCACGGCCAACGTCGCCCTGGGCTCACAACAATGTCTCGTCCCCGAGGACTCCGGGGATTGACCGCGGACGCAGTCAGTCCCCCCCGAAGTCCAACCACAAACGTCCCATGTCGATGGTCATGCAGTCTTCACCCCAGTTGACCCCCTCAGTCAACGTCGAGTCTCCACGATCTCCGCCTCGCATGCATTTTAGCCCGGGCGCTCAACCTTCACCGACAAGAGCCGACAACACTCCTATCGGGAAAGTGAAGGACTTGGTCTCCCAGCATTCTAGCAGGATGGCGAGTCCATCGACTACACCTCTGATGCCTCCGCAACCAGATGCCAATCATCCTCCTGTGACACCGTCCACGAGCTTGAATACAACTGGCACTACGGCCGCAAAACCCCCACCACCGGTCAACAGAGCAGAGAAACCAAAGATCCCTGCCAAACCCACCACCATCGCTAGTCCTGTGCTTCCAGTGCCTGATGCAGCGTCGCTTCGCCCGCAGCAGCCTCGGCGACCTTCATCAGATGCGAGACTGTCTCCTTTTTCAACCCCACCGAGTAGTGATGAGAGCCCGGGCTCGCCTCGCAGCCCGCCTTCGGCCATCGAGATTTCAGACTCGCTCAAATCCCTACCTCAGGCTAGCCAAGAACCGAAAGCTGTGACACCTCCCAAGACCAGCGATCCAAGAGCCATGGGTTTCTCCAGGACGGCTACAGCCCCCATGAGAGATCCTCGCAGTCTAGGTTTCTCCAATCTCGACCCCCAGCCACCAAGCAGAGAGCCAGCCACAGCCTCTCTGCCTTCCAGGGCCAACACTGTCCTTGAACGGCCGAGCTCGCGCGATCCGAGATCTTTAGGTTTTGCGAGCCCTCCTCCAGTGCAACGACACGTGTCCGAGCAAGTTCGAAGCACTCCTCCTCCGCAGAGCAGCATGCCCAAAATCGCGGGGACCAAGGACGCTCGTACGCTTGGCTTTGGTGCCCAGGTTGCGAAAGAGCCACTTGCTGAAGAACCAGGGCCTGGTTTGCCACCACGACACGTTGTTCGAGCCCCGCCACCAAGACCTTCCGAGGAGTCCAAGAATGTTCCACCTAGACCGCCTGCGCCGCGAGCGACCACTGCTGCTGTGCCAGATCGCTCCACCAAGCCAGGTGCACCCCCTGTAGTCTCTAGAGCTCCTCTGCCTGCAGCTGAGACACGATATCCTCCTCCTCCTAAACGAGGGACCGGCGATGCCGAGCTGGCGCCCGCTTTGCCTCGACGAACACAGACTGACACGAGTGGGCATGACTCTGATGAAGCAGAAGACCCTATGCCGGCGCCTACCGCTCTAAAGAACGAATATCCGGATGCAACACAAGCGAATAGACGACCACCCTGCTTCAGCAGCGGTCTACGAGGAATTCATGTGAAGTCCGATTCACGCTCATATGGTGTCTGTGGGAGATACCTGTGCACGGCTGGATACACCACGAGAGTATTTGATATGTCTACGGGAGAACAGATCACTAGTGTCAATCATGGAGAAACCGTCAAAGCTACCTCGGTAGCTTTCAAGCCAGCTGCCGATCTCGAGGGCGAAGGCAAGACGATCTGGGTCGGCAACAACGTCGGAGACTTGATGGAGATCGACGTCTTGTCGCACACCGTCGTAGCCCAAAGCACGGCGCATAACAAGCGGGAAATCGTTCAGATATTGCGACATTGTAAAGACTTATGGACTCTCGATGACGACGGCAAGCTCTTCGTGTGGACGGCCGACGAGGGTGGAACGCCCAATCTGAGATACAAGCAAATTTCGCATAAGGTGCAGAAAGGTCATTCGTGTTCAGTCGTTGTCGGCGACCAACTATGGCTGGCGACGGGTAAAGAGGTCCGGATATATCGGCCTGGCCACGAAGCTTCTTTTGCAGCATTGAGCAAGCCATTATCTCAAGCAGGAACTGGGGAGATTACCTGTGCCTGCTACTCCGAAGACCACGGTGGACGAGTGTACTTTGGTCATACCGATGGGAAAGTCACGATTTATTCAGCTGTGGACTATTCCTGCTTGGGCACGGTTAAAGCTAGTGACTACAAAATCAATGCACTCGCGATCGTCGGCGACAGCTTGTGGGCGGCCTACAAAACAGGAAAAATATATGTTTATGACATCAAGCAGTCACCTTGGAAAGTCCAAAAAGATTGGCGGGCACATGACGGCCCAGTGTCGGGCCTAGTACTGGACAGTAGCAGTGTCTGGACGATGCAACGGCTCCAAATTGTGTCTGTCGGTCAAGATGGCCACGCAAGGCTCTGGGACGGTATGCTCGAGGATGACTGGATCGAAACCGCCATGAAGCAACGCGATGTTCAGTATTGCTCCTTTCGCGAGGTTAGTGCCGCGGTCATTACGTGGAATGCTGGAGCGGTCACGCCGTATGACCTACGGACGGACTTCATTGCGGACGCCATCTATCCCGAGAATCCACCAGAGATCCTTGTCTTTGGCTTCCAAGAGGTGGTAGACCTAGAGGACCGCGCCGTGACGGCAAAGAGCTTGTTTGGCTTTGGCAAAAAGAAAGACCCGGACACCTCGGAACAACACCAGAGTCGAGTATACCGGGAATGGCGTGACTATCTGAGCAAAGTCATCAGCCGAGCGAGCACATATTACCGCTACGCCGAAGTGCATACGTCCAGTCTGATCGGTCTGTTTCAATGTATTTTCGTCCGACAGGAAGAAAGACCGAACATGAGGGATCTCAATGCGATCAACGTCAAATGCGGCATGAAAGGGCACTACGGCAACAAGGGCGCTCTCGTCACGCGATTCACACTTGATGACAGCTCGCTGTGCTTCGTCAATTGCCATTTGGCGGCGGGCCAGACGCAGACGTCACATCGCAACAACGATGTAGCAACGATCCTCGAAGCGGAGAACCTACCGTTAGAAAGAGACCCTGATACTCGCATGTCGCTGTTCGTTGGAGGCGGCGATGGCACGCAGATCCTCGATCACGAAATATGCATTCTGAACGGTGACCTCAACTACCGTATTGATGCCATACCTCGGGACACCGTTGTCAGGATGGTCAAGGCCAACGATCTCAGTAAACTTCTCGAACGCGACCAGCTCCTCGTGTCCCGTCGCCGGGTAGCGGGCTTCCGCCTCAACTCGTTCGTCGAGCTGCCCATCACTTTCGCGCCAACGTACAAATACGACGTGGGCACGGATAATTACGACTCCAGCGACAAGAAACGGGCGCCCGCGTGGTGTGACCGCCTCCTATACCGTGGGCCAGGACGCATCAAGCAGGTCGAGTATCGACGACATGAGGTCCGAGTCTCAGACCACCGTCCCGTCAGTGGGATCTTCAAGATACGGCTGAAGACCATCGACCACAAGAAGCGGGCAAAGGTCAAAGAGGAGTGTCTGCAGGAGTTTGCGGAAGTCAAGAAGCTGCTTGCGCAGAAGGCGGGCCAGAGGTACTTGATCACCGAGCTGGGCGTTAGTGATAAGGAGGCACGGCGGCTATTGGTGGGCGGTTGACCGCATAGAGCAAAGCTTTCCGGGTGATGGGGAAAGATATAGTCATATCTCTCTGTTGGAAAGGTTCGACCGAGATGAGAGTCGCAGAGGAGCCCTGGTACCTCAGTTAGCGTAACGAAGAGTGCAATGTTAGCAAACATACCGGCAGGACGTCACCCAGACAACTTGCGCTGTGTAGTAGGACCACCACTGGCACGTAGTTTTGTGTAGCTGCTGCGTTGGTCCTATACCGTGGCCATGGAAGCAGAGTCCATCACCTTTATCATCAGGGCAAAGTATGTCGTTCCCTCTCATATGGCCATCCGGTTTGCTGCAATCAAACCCTATCGGCTTCGTGACTCCCGAGAGAACATTCGTCCTCGATCAGACTCACGGAAACCGGTGGCGGACTTAACACACGGGTCCCATGGCCTACGCCCACGCAGAGTCGAGACCCATGGTAGCTGGACGTGAGTCTTGCTTGGGTGTCCTGGGGTTCCGGGTCCGGCTTGGAAGAGTACACAGGTAAATAATTTTCTCCCGCACCATTCCAAATGCGGGCATTGATCGTGTCCGACTAAATCTCAAGTGGACCAATGAGGACGTCTCGCTTAGCGGCGCAGTCTGTGGCACTAATGAGTTTGATCGAGGCTAGGTGAGGGACGAAGGCTGGTCCGCGATGAGTTTGTGACAATTGCCTGGACGAGCTGTTTATGTGGCTGCCTGGGTTCTCGGCGGGAGGGTAACAGGACTTGGGGGGCGTGTGCTATCGCCGTGAGTAGTCCGAGGCGATCGATGTCGGTGTAGGTCTTCCGAGGCCGTGGTGGAAAGCGCCGGTTGTGTAAACCCCGGATGGGGCGGCCATATATTGGCCTGCTTGCCCGTCTCTTGTATGTTTTGCAGTGGCGTTGTCAAAGACAGAAGCTCTTGAGCGTACTTCCATATCTTTGATAGCGGGGACGAACAGACAGCCTTGCAATTACACCAGAGCAACAGAAGAACAGCTCCTTGCGTTCCAAACCTCAACCTCAAAACCCCCGGATTTCGAAACACCGCCAGAAAATGCCAGGAGACTTATCGCCATCCCTGGTTATCAGGACGCTCCGGGACCAACTCTTCAAGAACGCGCCCACGCCCACCCAGTCATTCGAGGGGCAGACCGTCATCATCACGGGTTCCAACACGGGCCTCGGCCTCGAAGCCGCCAAACACGTCGTCCGACTCGGCTGCAGCAAGCTCATCATCGCCGTGCGCTCCGTCGACAAAGGCGAAACCGCCAAACGCGCCGTCACCGCCGCCACCTCCTGCAACCCATCCACCGTCGAGGTCTGGCCACTCGACCTCGCCGACTACGACAGCGTCAAAGCCTTCGCCGCCCGCGCGCACCGCGAGCTCCAACGCCTCGACGCCCTCATCGAGAACGCCGGCGTCGCCAACTTCGAGTGGAGCTGGGCAATGGACAACGAGCTCATGCTGACCGTCAACGTGGTCTCGACCTTCCTGCTCGCGTTCCTGCTGCTGCCCAAACTCCGCGACACGGCGACACGCTTCCAGACCACGGCGCACTTGACCGTCGTCTCGAGCGACGGGCACTTCTTGGTCGATTTTCCGGAGAAAGACGCGCCCGAGGGCATCTTCAACGCGCTGAATGACAAGAGCAAGACGAGGACGCAGGATCGGTATCCGGTCACGAAATTGATGGAGGTCTTTGTCGTGCGGGAACTGGCGGCGCGGCAGGAGCAGCGGGCGGCCGCGGTGGGGAAGCCGGATGTCGTGATCAACTGCGTCAATCCGGGTTTCTGTAAGAGTGAGCTGACGCGCGACATTGATGGGATAGCTGTCTCGATTGGGAAATTTCTTCTTGCCAGGACGAGTGAGGCTGGCTCGCGGACGTTGGTCCACGGCGCCGCTGGTGGGCCGGAGACGCACGGTCAGTACATGAATTTGGGCAAGGTGATCCCGCCGGCGACTGTTGTGGTGGGCAAGGGGGGTAAGGAAACGCAGGAGAAGCTGTATGCTGAGCTGGTGGAGAAGTTGGAGGCTATCGTGCCTGGGGTTACGCAGGGATATGTGAAGGGGGGTTCGTGAGGTGGAAAGGGTCATGAGGTTGAGGAGATGGACTTTTTTGTATAACCGAACTCAAAGTCTTGGAGAGTAGGGTAATCGCGGCTCGAAACACAGATTTGGAGTCTGCCAGGGTTTGTTGAGCACCATGTCAGCAGGTGCTGTACGAGCGTGCGATGCGTCTGTGGCGAGTCTCGAGGGTGAAATTCGTCTAAACCATCGGTGGAGAACACGAGTACATCTGTGCTTATCGTCTTCAGGATGCTCATCATCCGACAGAACGCATCTTCAGTCTCGGCGACGCTGAATGAATTTTCCTCGCCGGCGAAGAACAGTCACGATGTGTCGTTCCAACGGGCTTCACAAACTTTGGGGATCAGGTTGGGAAATTGCTGAGAGACAGAGCAGAGTAAAGCTCGCCCAAGACCCTCGATTGAATGCTGTAGTGTCTGTACAGGCCTCCAGACAAAGTATTGGGCGCAGACAAGCTTCCTGTTGCCGGCCCTGGATTACAATTTTGCCGTGGTTTGCTCGCTCTGGTACAGAAGCTTCATCAGATTCAGTGTTGACTTGGCCAGCACCTGGCTTTCCCAGGATGAAGAAAACAGCTCGGACCCCTCGCGGCACCTGGCGATCGACTGCGTCCATGAAGCTTGAGGAATTTCAGTACGACAGGACATCAGAATTCAGTCACGGCGGCAGTGGTATTTGGATCAGCGCCCACGTCGGAGAACATGATCGCCATGTTTGAACCGTAGTAGCATCGGGCTGAGACTCTCCAGGCTGACGGCGCCGTAGGTGTGATGCTGAAGCATTGGAGACGGGTAAGCGTGAGGTAGCGCAAGGGTCGACTCGAGACAGGCCCTATCACAACCCTCGAGCACCCAGAAAAGCTGTCGCGGCCTGCAGTGTAGACAATTGCCGGTGGCTCGCAGTCTGCACAGCCGTGCATGCACCTTTCCCCACTGCAACTGATCCGGACTGTTCGAAGTTGATGCACAGACATATCTCGAGAGTTGAGGATAGGTTTAATAGCCGGCAAGGGGCGCCAAGAGAGACCCCCACCGGGCCCTCACCACGACACCGTTCAGGCAACGAGAAGATTGTTCCTTGACCGGTTTGGTGCAGTCCTGTCAGTCCCGGCAAGGAATGGGAGCAGTTAATCCAGGACCTGACATGATGATAATGACCCCGGTCGCAAGCCCAACTCTGGCGGGATTGATGAGACCTCATTGATGGGCATATACCCGGTGGAGTTTCGTACTCCACGTTGCCAATCAGCCGGCGGGTATCTAGACATCTCGGCAGGTAGACGAGGGGCATATAACGGGCAGCCCACGACGGAATGCCATGCTCGGAGTACCTGACCTAAGTACAGTCTTCAGACCTACTCGCGAACACATAGCAGCACCAGCGGGTCGGTGCTGAGTAGCGACCCCGAGCCACTACCGAGCATCAACGCCGTGCTTGTCTAGTCGGTGACGCCGGACCAGACCAAGAGTGAAGAAAGACTGCTGCCAACTCCCCTTCCACGGTCGACGGATTTGAGCACCCCGTACTCGGCACGTAATGTCTCTCTACGCCTCAGTAACTACCTATCCGCCGCTCTCGCAGCTGACCGTCATCCCTACACCATCGCCATCAGCTGCTTCACCTCTTGCATTCACAGCTCTCCTCAGCACTCACCGCGACCGCCCAAACTACCCTTTCATTGTGCACCTGCACTATACCCCCACCAGTGCCCCCACAGCTCCGCCCTCACAGTGGCCTTATACCACCCTCACTGAGAGCGCCGCCGACAGCGACAGAGATGTAATCCTAGCATTCGTCCGAACAGAAGCAGAGGCCAATGCAGAGCGCCGACGTGTGTACCGTGGCGTCCTCCCTCCCACGAGCGGCGCTGAGGGCGTGTCGAAAGGCCAAGGCGGGAATGAGGCAGCTGGTGGAAGGAGGCTGAAGTTCGCGCTCCGCTACAAGATCGACCAGTACGCGGGCTGGCGTTGGGCAGAGAGCTATGGCGGCGTAAGCGTCGGCGAGGTCCTGTTCTCCTCCTCATTACCGCAGAATGTCGAAGAAGAGCAGCACGTACGGACTCTGCTGGGCGTTACGGATGGCTGGACGATTACATCGTGTGACAGCGCCGCACCTGCGACTAACGCATCCATATTCGAGGTCACAAGTGATACAGAACATATACCTAAGGTCCCGGACGGCACGCCAGCATTTGGCTCGGAATTGGCCGGGAAGGTGCTCGGGAAGGTCAGAGGCCAGGTAAGGTATATGGGGCTGGTGCGGCTGGAGCCGTATTGGCTGGGTGTGCAGCATTCCGCATCCCAGGGCGGCGAAGAAGGGTTCTTCGACATGAGCATGGATGGACTGTTGGTTTGCTGGTTGCTGGAAGATGGGCGGGTGTTGGGCGTGCTGGCTTGGGCGGGCGAAGGAGTCTACGAGGTCATACGTGCGGGGAATGGCGGGGAGGTTGTGGTTGCCGCAAGGAACGATACGACTGAGGAGAAGGGGTGGGGCGTGTTGGTCGGCGTTGGGAACGACCTTGAGGGCGTGGTGGCTGGCGTGATGGCGGAGGCCAAGAGGCGAGCAGTGGATGGTGAAGAAATGAAGCGACTGTTGAGCCGGGTCGAGGAGGTGGGCAGAAGAGAGGAGTGGGCTGGCGAGGACTGGTTTGACGGATTGGCGTACTGCACATGGAACGGATTGGATATGCATCGATGCGACGAAAAGGCCGTGCTCGAGGGTTTGGCCAAGCTTGACAGCGAGGGCGTCAAGATTGAGACTTTCCTGCTGGACGACTGCTGGCAGAGTCTGGGCGACCACAAGATTGGATCAGATGGCAACGAGTGGGCTGGCTGGTAAGGCTGCATCCTCATCACCAAATTGACAGTGCTCTGCGACATGAGATCCATGCTGACCCACGCAGGGACAAATTTGAACCCAACGACAATTTCCCGCGCGGTCTCAAGCCTCTCATCGACGAAATTCGATCCAAGCACCAAAACATCAAGTCGTTCGGTATCTGGCACGCCCTTTTTGGCTACTGGGGCTGCATCAACCCGAATGGCGACATTGCCTCCAACTACAAGACTCGCCAGATCCGAACAAAGGTGATCGGTAACATCTCAAGAACGGCTGTGATTGTGGACCCCTCTGATATTGATCGGTTCTACGATGATCTCTATGCATGGTTGAAAGGGCAAGGCGTAGATTTCGTCAAGACGGACGTGCAGCACATGCTGAGCATGCTAGAGGACGCGAAGGACCGCGAAGAGATCCCGACCGCCTACCAGCGAGCATGGACTACAGCTGTGTGTAAGCACTTCCAGGGCAAGGTAAGTACCTCACACTCCTCAAAGACCCCCACTCACCAGGCCATGCACAGGCCATATCCTGCATGTCCCAAACGCCGCAAACCATGCTGCACAGCCTGCTCCAAGACAGGACCCCCAAAGTCATGCACCGCAACAGCGACGACTTCTACCCCGACATCACCGACTCGAACCCCTGGCACATCGTGGTCAACGCGCACAACGCCCTCCTCGACCGCCACCTCAACGTCATCCCCGATTGGGACATGTTCCAGACCTCGCACCCCTGGTCCAGCTACCACGCCGCCGCCCGCGCCATCTCCGGCGGACCCATCCTCATCACCGACATCCCAGGCCGGCACGATCCGGAGCTCATTGCCGCCATGACGGCTGCGAATCCCGCTGGCACGCTGATTGCCCTGAGGCCCAGGCCGGCGGCGGTCACGGATCCGTGGCGGAGGTATGCGGATGGGGAGCTGTGTAAGATTGGGACGGGCGTGGGTGGGGGCAAGGGCGCGGTGGGGTTGTTAGGTGTGTTTAATATTGTTGAGGGGGAGGTCAGTGAGCTGCTGTCCGTTGATGAGTTCCCGGATGTCGAGGCGCAGGAGGTGGTGGTGACGAGTCAGCGAACGGGGCAGGTGCTTGGGCCCCTGAAGAGATCTGGGGGTGCTTTGGTCGGTGTGGCTGTGGCGGGGAGAGGGTGGGACATCTTGACGGCGGCGCCGGTGTTGCAGGGAGGAGGGGTGTCGTTGGCGGTAATGGGATTGCGGGGAAAGATGAGTGGTGCGGCTGCTGTGACGAGGCAGGCTGTCAGTGGGTCAGGGGATGGGGCGAAGGTGAAGTTGGCGCTGAAGGCGCTGGGGAGGCTGGGCTTGTGGGTCGGCAAGGAAGGTGTTGTTGTCAAAGACGTGGTCGTAGAGGGCAAAAAGGTCAAGGAAGAGTATGTCTCGTCGAAGAAGCAGCATCAGGGAACGGTCTTTGAAGTGGATCTGCTTAAGTATTGGGAGGATCACAACTTGTGGAGCGTGGCAGAAGAGCTGGAAGTGGAAGTGAGCATTGGCTAGGACAGATGATTGCATTGATGAGCAGAAACTCATTTCTACGCAAGTCGGGAAAGCCCATTCCCATCTCCATCATTGGTGTAAGCTCCGCCCGCCCAAGGACCATATAGCGGTGTTTCAGCGGCAACGATGTCTAGTGACCAGCCCATACGTCTCTAACATGGACGACCGGCTCTCTATTGATCTAGCGCGTTCTGATCCGTTGTGCGATAAGCATTTCCACCCCCAGGATAGTCATGGTCCATTCTCGGGATCTTGGTTAATTCTTCAAATGCCTTGACGCACGCGACAGCGGTGGCATGCGCCGATGCCGGATTAGCTCCTGTGACTATGCGGTCGTCGGTCTGCGTGAACGAATCCCACGGCCTAAACTATCAGCCATGTGCAAATGAAGAACGAAAACTGGGAGACATACCCTGGTGGAGACACATAGGTGGCACCACTATCGGCTGCGGCCTTTTCGATGGTGGGTCGGTTCCAGGACTTGATCGTGTCTAGAACACCTTCTTCCTCCTCACCTTTGGTCGTGAAGCCTGTGACTTTCCTGCCATTGATGATGGATTTGCCGGTCAGAGGGGAGATGACCCCTGGGAAGATGGCGCCGCCGTGGCACACTGCGCTGATGATAGAGCCGTCGCCATACATCTTTGCAGCCATGGCTTGAAGGCCTGTGACCCGCTGAGCTCAGTATGACAATATCGACCATCTTTGTAGAACTCACCTTTGGCGTCAGGATAGTCTATCAACGAGGCATGGCCGGCCGAGGCAAAGAAGACGCCATACTACATGTGTTAGTGGTCATCTCCCTAGGCATGGTCATGTGTCGTACATTGTCAGGGTTGAAATCCCCCGGCCTCAGCCCTGCGTCGAGCTTCTTTCTGAACTCGCTGTTTCTATCCTCCCAGACCTTCCGGTCCTCGTCCGGCAGCCAGTCCTTCTGCTGAGATAACCAGTCAGCCTGATAGCTGCCCGTCTCCGACACCAGATCGACCTCAAACCCGGCCTCCTTGAAGACGTTGAAAGGATGCAGTGCCTCGGTGATAAAGAGTCCTGTCTCCTTTCCATCGGGATAGAGAGGCGCATGGGCCGAAGTGACGGCAATGAGAGCACGCCGAGGGGGCCCTGTCTTCTTCTCCTTGTCTGCTTGTGGGGTAGTCATCTTTCTAGCAAGGTTATGCAGTCAACTGTGTTGCATCGACGTCAAGTGATTCTGTACAGGTATTTCATATACTTATGCCAGCCAGGGGCAGCGACCCCGCGCCTGAAGGATGTGCAGGACTGACGTGCAACGATATGACGCAAAAGGCACAAAGTCTATTCCCTCCCTAATCTCACGTCGTACGCCTCGGCAAGAGGATTGCAAGTCTTACTTAGAGTATTCATGCCGGTGTCGCATGCAGTTAGGACTCGATTGTTGAGGGTCTGGAGTGAGACAGAAGGGCTTGAGGACAACCAAGCGGAAGCGTGCTCTGAGCTTGAAGATCCTGGGGCACTGCAGCCCAGTGATTCAGAGCCGCAAAGCCGTGGATCAGCTGGGGACTTCCCAGAGGGATTGCGTCCGAGCTTTTTACTCCGTACGAAGAAATCCTTCTGTAAACAAGTTGGCGGTCGTGGCTAACCCCCTTTTTACCCGTGCTGCGACAGCCTCGTTGTCGCCCTCAACTTTTGGGATACGCCGATAAGTTTCCGACTTGGCGTTAAGGTCCCTATCTCCGGTACCCCCATTCTTGCCTGAGATACGAGGCGCACGGCACCTCGTGTCAGTCGTGGGGGGCTTCAGTGATTCTCCAACTTTTGTTCCGGCATTGATCAGAACGCAACTCGTGCAGATCGAAGCTCGAAGTCGCAACTGTTCCTTCTGTACGTACGCTCCCTCGCCGCGACCATGTCTGCTCCAGCATCGAGAGCCTTTGCGCGAGCTCTGCGGCAGACACGTCCCAGCTCACTGCCCCGCCATCGCTACCTACAGAGTTTCCGTCTAGCTCAGCAGCCATTCAGAAACTTCTCGGTCAGCTGCCGGCGGCGGGAAGACACGTCAGAACCAAATCGAAAGGTCACCTACACCACCGATTCATACGATGTCAAGCGTAATCCCGAGTTTTCAGAGATCACCTCCGAGCACGTCAACCATTTCAAGTCGATACTGGGGGACGAATCCGCCGTTATAGATGGTGTGACCAAAGACGCCGCGGACGATATTGAGGCGTATAACAAAGATTGGATGAACAAATACCGAGGCCATACCAAACTTGTCGTACGGCCAAAGTCGACCGAAGAAGTCTCAAAGGTTCTCAAGTACTGCAACGAGAACAAGCTCGCAGTCGTTCCCCAGGGTGGCAACTCGGGCTTAGTTGGAGGCAGCGTTCCGGTCTTCGACGAGATTGTCCTCAACTTGGGCCGCATGAACAATATACAAAGCTTCGACGATGTTAGTGGCATTCTGACGGTTGACGCTGGTGTCATTCTCGAGGTGGCCGACAACTACCTTGCTGAGCGTGGTTATATCTTTCCGCTCGATCTGGGCGCGAAAGGATCGTGTCAGATTGGCGGTAATGTTGCAACTAATGCCGGTGGCCTAAGATTCCTCCGTTACGGCTCGCTACACGGAACTGTTCTCGGCCTCGAGGTTGTGCTGCCAGACGGCACGATCATGAACGACCTCAGCAAACTCAAGAAGAACAACACTGGCTACGACCTTAAGCAGCTGTTTATCGGTGCTGAAGGCTCCATCGGTGTCATCACTGGCGTGTCAATAGCGTGCCCTCGCCGATCAAATGCGGTCAACGTAGCTTTCTTTGGTCTCAAATCCTACGAAGATGTGCAACGAGCTTTCAAGGAAGCCAGAGGTCAGCTCGGCGAAATTCTCTCCGCTTTCGAGCTTATGGACGGCTCAAGTCAGCAGTTTGTCAAGAAAGTTACCGGCAACAAGCATCCTCTCGAGGATGAATATCCTTTCTACTGCTTGATCGAGACCAGTGGCTCCAATGCCGAGCACGACAGTGCAAAACTCGAAACTTTCCTTGAGCACGTCATGAGCGAGGAGATCGTTGCTGACGGCGTGCTCGCTCAGGATGAGACACAAATCAAAACACTCTGGGGCTGGCGAGAAGGCATCACCGAAGCTCTGGGCCACGCCGGCGGCACATATAAGTATGACGTCTCGATCCCGCTTGAGGAGCTCTATAGGCTGGTTGAGGATACTCGTGTCCGTTTCGAGGACCAGGGTCTTATCGGAGAGGGAGAATCCAAGGCTCTCGGCGTGGTTGGCTACGGCCATATGGGCGACTCCAACCTTCATCTCAATATCCCTGTCAAGAAATACTCGAAGGAGGTCGAAAAGGCCCTCGAGCCCTGGGTCTACGAGTGGATCGCCAAACGAAATGGCAGCATCAGCGCTGAGCACGGCCTCGGTATCGCCAAGAACAAGTACATTGGCTACAGCAGAAACGAAACCATGATCAACCTGATGAAGCAGATCAAGAATCTGTATGATCCAAACGGGATCATGAATCCGTATAAATATGTGCAATAAATCAAGACCACGACTGTTTACACATCTTGTAAGCTAGCCCTTCTCCTAGCTAATGTCTTGTCCCTGCCAATCCCCTGGACATCACCTGATTGTAGGCCAAGTTCCCGCGGTTGCTAACATATACTTCCGCCAGGAGTCTCTTCTCCGCGTCGCCTTTGATATGCGGGGTTGCCTCCCTCGGTCACTCCAACAATCAGTACATCGATCTTCTCCAACTACGGTATAGACCAAGCATTCCTCTATATATATTCTAGCAGCGGGCATCTGCTGACCATGAATCTTTTGCATCATATACACTGATAAGAGATCGCAAAATCATGCCATCAGTATCAGAGCTTTCGCAGATATGTGTCCCAATGATGGACCAAGCTGCTTACACGAAGCGCAAGCTTCGCGTGGCAATCATTGGAGCTGGCTTTTCAGGATTGATCATGGCGCATAAGATCCAACATGAGCAGCCCGAGTTGCAAGAGTACATTGATCATGTCATCTTTGAGAAGAATGACAAGATAGGCGGTACTTGGTACGTCAACACCTATCCAGGTTCGTCTTCATCCGCTTGTTGATACGTGCTTCGATGATAACACTGTTGTAGGTGTCCAGAATGATGTGCCGGCTCACATTTATGCGTTTCCATTCGACCCCAACCCCAATTGGTCCAAGTTTTATGCCGACGGCCATGAGTGTTGGGAGTATATGGAGCGCGTTGCCAACAAATGGGACTTGAAGCGGAACATCCAGTTCAGCACCCAAGTGGTGTCGCTCGACTGGCTGGAGGATGAAGGCAAGTGGAACATCAAGCTCAAAGCCAACGGCAAGGAGGAGAGAGAGGAAAAGGCAGATATCATCATCTCGGCACAAGGCTTTCTGAGTCAATGGAAATGGCCCAACATCCCAGGTATACACGACTTCAAGGGGCACAAGGTTCACTCTGCGCATTGGGACCATTCGTTTGACTACTCTGGCAAGAAGATCGGCATTATCGGAAATGGTTCCTCGGCAATTCAGATTCTCCCACAAATGGCTAAGCTCAAAGACACGCAAATCGTCAGTTTCCAGAGGAATCCTACGTGGATTACTCCAAGCCTAGGGGAGACTCTGGCTAATACTGGCGGTAACTCAGAGGAGCCAGAAGAGGACGAAGAGGTTGGCGTTAACATGGCCGATGTCAGCGAATCTGATGAAGAAGTTGGCAGTAACTTCAACCCCAGGTACACCAAGAAAGACAAACGACGATTTGCCGACCCGGAAAAGCACAAGAAGTACCGCAAGACACTCCAGCACGGGATGAACAAGGGCTTCAGACTCTTTTCAAAAGGCTCCGAACAAAACGCCAAATCGACACACGCGACCGTGGAACGGATGCGAAAAGCCCTCAACTACAATGAAGAACTTTGCTCAAAACTGATACCAGACTGGACGCTGGGCTGCCGGCGCCTCACGCCCGGTGAAGGGTATCTCGAAGCCTTCCTTCTTCCTAGTGTGGCCCTGGAGCAATCGTCCATCACGCAGATCACGGCCACGGGCATTCAAACCGGCGAGAAAGGCTACGATCTCGATGTGATTATCTGCGCCACCGGTTTTGATGTTTCTCACGTTCCACACTACCCTGTCACCGGCCGCAATGGCGTGACTCTTGCCGAGCAGTGGAAAGACGAGCCAGAGTCCTATCTATCCCTCGCCTGCCCGAACATGCCGAATTACTTCATCTTCACTGGCCCTAATGCGACAGTCGGGCACGGCACGCTCATAACCAGCATGAACTGGTCTGCTGATTGGATGATCAAGTGGCTGCGCAAGATCTCGCGAGAGCAGATCAAGAGTGTATGCCCCAAGCAGTCAGCCACGGATGAATTTGTGCGGTACGGTGACGAGATCCATAAGACTCTGGTCTGGACTGGGAGCTGTTCGAGCTGGTACAAGAACCATCGTGTGAATGGCCGCGTAACGGCGACATGGCCTGGCAGCGCGCTACTATACAGAGAGATGATCGAAGAAATCAGACCGGAAGACTTCGACATCGAGTGGAACAGTAGGAATCGCTTCCGCTTCATGGGCAATGGTTTCACAGCGCTGGAGCTCAAGGACGACGCGGATTTGGCATTCTATATCAAGTAGCTTGAGTGTAATGTATGCACATATAACTTCATCTACTCCTATCGTCTCTTGTAGGTTGATGATCAGGACCAGGCAGTGAATGAAAGCTATAGCGGAGATAATCATCATATCTCCGGCTGCTTGCGGCATGTCGCTCGACGTGTCCGTGACAGAATGCCCTCCTTTCAGCAAAACGCTACGCCCGTACATACTGTCGGGCGGCTCCTTGTTGTGCCAATACTCCTGGTGCTCGCTTTGGTTATGTTCACGACAGAGTAGCTTGGATCGCTATGACACAACATCCGTTGCAACCATGACCGACCGCTCCTCCTACGTCAACTACTCCTCCAGCGGGCGCACCATATTCCCCAAAGGCCCGGTCTTCACCCTCGAGAACTTCTCGTCGAAAGACTTCATAGTCAGAGACTTCGTCGAGTCACTGACAGAATCCGCTCAGCCAGCCAATCGCCGGTCGAACCAGGGCACTGCGCCTCCGACGCACTTTGATCCCAAACCACTGATCCGTACCTTCGAGCAGGCGGCAAAGCGGTTGCAGGAACTGTCGGAAGACCTCGAGGGCAAAGAAAATGAGCTCACTACCGCCGTGCGCCGGGCCGAGGCCAACCATAGCAATAACGTGGACCAGCTAGGGAGAAAGCTGAACCAGACAATCGAGAGCTTCAATAAGCTAGACACGAGTCTCAGCCAGAAGGGAGAGAAATGGGGCGGCAATATGGCGGTCGAGACTGGCAAGAAGCTTGAGGACCTGGATCGGCAGAGGAAGCGGGCGATGGACGCGCATTTCCTGATCGAATGTTGGGACGAAGTGAGCAATAGGGGCGAGATTACGCTTCTCGAGAATCTGAGACGGTCGGCAACCGGCGAAGGCATCATTCGCGCGGCGAATATCGCGAGGCAGCTGCTTAGAATCAGTCACAGGTTGGATCCCGGGGCACAGTGGGATGCACAGAAGCCGCCTCAATCAAACGGCGTCAGCAACGGGGTGGTTGGGAAGCGGGATCTGAACACGCGTGAGGTCATTGAGAAGTTCATCGAGACTTTGGAGAACGACATGCTCAAGCTCTTCGATGACTTTTATCGGCGGCAAAACTTCGAAGAGATGAAGAATTGTGCCATTGTCCTACAAGACTTCAACGGGGGCGCCTCCGTACAGGCAGCCTTCGTCAACCAGCATCAATTCTTCATTGACCGCAACAATCTGATTACGGAGGAAATCGCCGTTGACCAGGAGACGTGGATGAAGTTGTCAGACCCTGATGGCGAACTGCCGGGCATCGAGCCTGGTTTACAATCACTAATCGACGAAGTCAAGGTCGTGGTTCAAGAAGAATCTGCCATTATCAAACGCGCCTTTCCCTTCCCAGAACAAGTCCTCTCAAAGTTCGTTCAGCGCGTCTTCCAGCAATCAATCCAACAACGTCTCGAACTTGTGCTTGAAAAAGCCGAATCTGAATCCACACTCGCCTACCTCCGGTCCTTACAAGCTGCCCGTGGCTATCTCAACGTCTTGGTCGAAGACCTCAAATCTCACGGTCTGCTCGACCATCCGGAAACCGCCTCATCTGTAACCTCTCAACTACTCGATCAACAACTGGACGAACTGTTCACGCCCTACTTCGGCGGATCTGCGTACATCGATCGCGAGAAGGCCAACCTGTCCGAACTGTACAAATCCCTCCTCTTCAAATTCGATCTCTTCCAGTCGCGCCGCCAGAAGGAGCCAAAAACCTACCTTGCCTCTCTTCGCAACCGCGGACAGGAACTACTCGCTTCCGCCCGTGAAGCCACCGATGCATACGTCAAATCCCTGGACCTCGAGAAGATGTCGTCCACGCAACGGCGCATGCTCCTCTCCGTGGCCGGCATCAGCGACAAATCCACACAGCAAGAAGTCGAAATCACCGAGTCCGACGGACGCCTCTCAGTGGCGTACGCCAAGCGAATGCTCAAATGGCTGGCGGAAGGTGTGCGACGCGGTCTGGAGCTTTCGGGCGGCAACGAGACGCCCAAGGACGTCGCAGCGCTGCACGGCCTGCTCCTGCAGAACATGGGCGAGCGCTACATCGACCTCGCACTGGAGGCGGCATCAGAGGCAGCGTCCAGCGCCGAAAACGCCAAGCGCGAGCCCGACCTCAGCTACCTGGGCCACCTGCGCACCGCCGTGTCGTGCATGCACCTCATGCAGAGCTGCATCAACACGCTGCTCATACCACTGGCGTCGACGAGCCTGACCATCCGGCGCGACATGGAGAAGACGACGCGGGCGGCGATCGCGCGCATGGAGGATCAGATCAACAGCGTTGAGCAGGCAACGGTGGACGCGGTGCTGAACTGGGTGAGCCGGACTCTGGCTGGGCAGCAGCGCACGGATTTCCGGCCCCGGCCCGAAATGGAGACGTTCGCCATGAACCAGCCGCAGACGCAGACTTGCGCCGAGGTCGTGCGCTTCCTCGGCGGCGGCAGCGGCGGGTTCCAGGCCCAGGCGGAGCAGAGTTTTGACGGCGTGAATCTTAGGGTTTTCCTCAGTGAGGTCGGCGTTGGCGTGCGGGGCCTCTTGATCGAGCACTTCCGCAAGTGGCAGGTCAGTGAGGTGGGGGGTGTGGTGCTGGCGCGTGACATGTCGAGATACGTGGATCTGTTGAAGGGGTGGAAGGTCGGCGAGGAGTTTGCGGCGAGTCTCGAGGTCTTGACTGAGTTAGCGAGCTTGTTTGTGCTGAAGCCCGAGGCGCTGCGCGAGAGGATACGAGGCGAGGGGGGTGGCGGGAGTGGGTTGAAGGGCGTGCGCAAGGAGGATCTGAGGCCTTATTTGCTGAGGAGAGATGATTATGATAGTGTGGGCATGGTGAGTCTGTTGAACTCGCTGTAGGAAGCGGTGGCCCCGATAGGGCCGCAAAGTGGCGCTATGATACCCATGAAACAATCAGAAATCGCATGAGCGCCCGCTATGTGCGCGCGAAGTCGAGGTGTAGAACGGAGATGAGTTGTCTTCTGTACATGCGCGTGTCTCTCCATCTATACAGTCCTTTCGTTGTAATTCGAATCACCCTCAAGTCTGAAAACGCCAATATCCATGCCGCTAAAGCAACCCACTTTCCCCCATCCATGTCCATGATATTTGTACAAGGCTCGCGCAGCGCCATGCGGCCCCTCTATACAGCAATTGCGACCAGAGCGCTGACCAGACGCGCAGCCAATGCCATTCATCTCCCGGCTGTTCCCCCGTTGCTTCAGATTCGCCGTCAAACCAGCGTGGCCGCCAAAGGCTAATTAAGCTCCTCTAGATCTTGAACCCATACCCAGCCATACAGTCTTTGTACTTGACGACCATGCTCTTGCAGTCCTCCTGCGGATCGTCGGAGCGCGAGAACAGCATGCACTCGTCGCGCTGCGCCTTCTCGTCCTTGCAGACACAGCACGGCTTGACTTTCTCACCGCCGCCCTCGGTCGGAGGCGGTTTCGTCGAGGTGGCGAGGTTGTCTGGTCGGGACGGTTGGTTTGCTGATGGGGCAAATTGTTAACACTTTGAGTGGCGCAGTGGAGATGGGGTGGGGAGGGGTGATATACCGGGCGCGGGGGTCGCGGCGACGGGGGTCGAGGAGAACCAGCCCATTGTGATGGTATGTGAGGGTATTGGGGAGAGATATGTATCGTGCGATTGGGAGACGGTTGGGAAGAAGGTGATGCTTTGAAATCATTGGAAGTTGGAGTAGATATTTGCCAAGAAGGGTTGCTCCACCTCCAGACGTCTATCTTACCTGGGAGGGTAATCTGCAAGTATATCTCCACGTCTACCTTGGATGGTTGCATAATATACAGTAGCTGGAGATGATCGCTTGTGGCAGATAAGATCTCTCAGAGGCCTCCAAAGAGTCTAGCCGGAACAGCATCCGTTGCCAGCCAACAACGCCTCGCTTGCCCCGCCATGTCCGAGTCGGAGCCAGAGGAGCAGCAGCAAGAACGCCGGTCAAAACGAGAGATCGTAGGCTCGTTCCTGTAAGGACCCAGGTGCTCGAGCTAGCAAGTTTCTGCGGTTGACGCGTCGTCATAGTAAGGATCAGGCGTTGAAGGGCAAGCTCTTCATCCAGCATTCGGTTGGCCTTGGACAGCAGCCCAACGTTATTCCGCCAGGCGAGGCCTCTGTAAGTGGTGGGTTGCGCACCGTGCATATAGGATGGCATCCGGTTGCTGGCCTGGGCGGCAAGTGGTTCGCGGAGCAGACGGGATTGGGGAAGATGATTACAGAAAACATCAACAATTACCCGGACCCTACGCAGCATTGGGCGGTGCTGGTGGATGACTATGTGCATCAGCTGTGGATGGTGAGTACGCCTCTGGAGGGAATAGGCCTGGGACCAGGGGATTCTTGCTCATGCCTTTCCACAGGACGAACATCTAGACATTATCTACATCAATGAAAAGCTGGTCGCGGCAGAATGGCATACCTTCGTGGTCGGCAAGACGCGGTTCAGCGACCAAGCACTGAAACAAGCAAGTAGGTATTTCCCTTTGTCGTGACGTTGCCCTTGGGCTGCACTGACCCAACTCAGGTGAAATGACAATTCACCAGATGCGTGAAAAGCGAGCAGCATACAATCTCATAAGCAACAATTGCCAGAACTTCGCTCTCAACCTGCTCGATGCGATTCAAATAGGCGCACACAGGGAGTTTGCGACCAGCTTCGCCGTTTACCAGAGAGCGACGGGTGCCGGCACTATTAAAGACCTGTTCGTTGACAAGCATCCCGAGGAGCAACAACAGCACGAGGCGGAAGAACAAGAGACAGATGAGTTAGAACGACCGCCGAGGTTGCAGCATAGCAATACCATGCAGGCCGCGCAGCAGGTCATGGACGAGCAGACAACCAAGCTGGATAAGCATCACCATGGGTCTCTCAACTGATCACGAACACATTTTTCCATTGACATCGGAGTGCAGCGTTGGTGGTTTCGACAGAACTAGAACATCTAGGACATCTCGCGCGTTCAATGATGAGACGATTACTTAAGGTGAACGTTCCGCCAAAACGGTACGCTCACAGCCAGGCAGAGTTCCGAGAAATGCTCAGATCAAGTGTGATGGCTGACGAAATGCTCAAGGGACGCACTCCTCTCTCCATTTTCCAGAACAAGTCAAAATGGGTAGGTTCCAAGCCAAGTAGGCAGGGGCGAGAGGCGTTACTGAAGTGTTGACGGGCGGCAAGCTTGCCCCAAATTGGCTGTCGTTGCGGCAAGAACGATGTCGTGCTTCGATTACGGTTACTTGACTTCTACCAGACTTGCATTTCGATTCCTTACTCCCTCATCCCAACTTACCACACTCTCTCCAACGCTCTTTTTGGAATATCGTGCTTCTTGGACTGTGCCCCAGCATTCCAGTTTCATGTATGTGATATTGACACCCATTCCATCTATCGACAAAGCATTAGGTTCGCAAGATGAACTCCCGGCTTGATCCTCGCGCGGATCTCGTTGCACCTGTCCTGGACCACAGAGCCTTTCGATCGCGCCCGAGGTCGACCGTCTCCGACTACGATCCACGGCGAGGCTCTGGCTATGGCGTGCCGCCCGCCTCCTACCCAAAGAGGAAGCCTTGCTACGATTGGATCTTCTCTAGCGCTTCCAACGTCCACGTCGCCGTCGATCGGTCAAACTTCACAAGTTACACGCCCTTCAGATCTTACGTCTTGGCGGTTGCCGACCAGCGCCAGGTTCCTGTCAAAGGCATTAGCACTGTCGAGCTCAAGATCCGTCGTCAAGCTGGTAGCAAGGACAGCCACAAAGTTGTGCTCGAGAATGTGCTTCACGTTCCGAGCTGGCTGTGCAACATCCTCTCCGACATTCACTTCATGCCGTCCCAAGATTTCGAGCACAACTGGTCTGAGTTCGGCGTCAGCTTCCAACAACAAAAAGAGGGCAAGTGGAAGCCTTGGGGATATACTGAGAATTTCTGCGGTTTAGAAAAGATTGTGTTCTCCAAGCGTATGCATGGGCGCAGCCCGATGCTCGAGGATAGGGATCGTGAGATTTTCTCGGTGAATGTCACTTGGCCTCAACACCAGCGTGACAAGTACGCCATGTTGGTTGAGGAACAGGAGGGCCGACTTGCGGAGGAATCTCAGAGAAAGGCGAAGCTGGAGGCAGATAAGGGAAATCACGAAGATGCGAAGGAGGGCGCAAGCACAGAGCCCGCAGCCGAGCACGTCAATGAGACTGAACCGAGCAACATAAAGCCTGATCAGGATGCGGGTGGTCTTCTCGATGTTACAGACCTCTGCAAAAGCCTGAAATCAAGCCCAACGGCGGCTATTGAAGATATCCGGGTTCCCCTGGCTCCCATCGACCAAAATCTGAAGGTGAAGCGATCATTCCGCACCAACAGCTTGAGAGTGCCTGGCAAATCTGCCTTCCGTGAGGCTCTCCCGTGGAGAAGGAGTGTCGAACAGTGACTTCACCAAGAGATCTCCTCCTCGACTGTACACGAACCACGACCCGAACTGGGATATACAGGATAGTGGAGCATCCGGTATGCAATAGTATGGTTGCAAGCTGACTGGCTGGACCATCAAGACTGGTACTTGGCTCCATCACTGCCATGCACGGGTATCATAATCTACATGTCTACAACTTTACGGCTTTTTAGTGAACCAACCTGACTTCCTTCCCTGGCTCCCAATCATGCAAGACCTGCCCGAGACTTTCCCAATACTTCAGCCGCAAACACTCCTTTTTCGCCTCCTCCACGTCTTCCCTCTCAAAGGCGTCTCCCATCTTCTGCACAGTAGCCCAAACGCGCTCATTATTCTCCTCCTTCAACGCCGCGATCTCATCTTCGTTCGCCGCCTCCTCGACCGCCTCCTGCGCCTCCATCACCTCCATCAGCGTGCCCTGATCCGTGATATTCTGGCTGTTGTCCTCGGAGGAAACATCGATGTCGTGCCGATGCAGCAGCAGGTACTGGGCGCGCAGCAGCGGGCTCGACAGTGTCTTGTAGGCTGTATTGAGCAGCGCCGACAGGCCCAGTGACTGTTTGTGCAAGGGGGACGAGGCGGGGAATTTGTCCGGGTGGTGCGTCGATTGTAGGGAGAGGTATTCCCTGCGGAGGGCCGGCAGGGGGATCGCGAAGGGCCCGCTTGGGGGGGGGCCTTGCGGGAGGGTTGAAGGGAAGAGCGTGTAGTATGAGGTGGTGTCCGGGAGGGGTGGGGGGGCGATGTTGGTGGTTTCGTTGGCGGAGGAGGTGGTGGTGGTGGTGGTTGTTGGGGGTTCTTGCCGTGATGGGGCGGATGTGCTGAGGGTGCGAGAGGGCTGCGGTGGCGTGCTGCGTAGCTGTGCTGCTGGATGTGTCTGGCGAGAGACTGTGCAGAGAGGCGCTCGTGCGCTTCGGATGGGTTCGTTGCAGAGGCGCGCGAGGTGTCGGAGGGCCTGGCGCGAGGGGATGGCGCGCTTCATGTCGCTTACTGTATCTGTGGAAGGCTTGAGTCGAAGTGAGTGAATCCTGTCGAGTGTGATTGTTGTATTGTTAAAGAAGACTGTATCGTGGACTGCAAGCCTCAACTTTTTGCCTTCGTCGCGTCCTGCATTGACATCACCTCCGGCCTCGGCTCGCTAGGGCCCCGATTCGGCTTCTTCCGTTCAGCGCCAAGATGTAGGCGGAAATGCCAACGACAAGTTCCAGTCGCCTGCTGCAAGATCTATTTGCCGCACAACGGCGCCGCTGGAATTCTTGGGCGTACATTACATTGCCAAATGACTCGGACTGTAAGTATGTATCCTACGATAGACCGTATCTAGCTTTTCATCCGCTGAGGTCCTGCAACCCCGCGAACCCAGAGCCTTTGTGCACCGCCGGCTATCAGTTTCGAGGCATGGGCCTCGGACGTTGTGCAGGTGGTCCAGTGATCATGTCGAGGAGAAACATGACCACAAGGCAGGCGCATTTCGGCTGAGATGATAGCTGTGTCTATGGGGCGCTATCGCCTGTCTATTGACCCAGGCTGCTTACGGAGGCCTGGCGCCCCTCCTAATGCTGAGGTAGGTAGAGGCGGGCCACCTTTATATTGAGCTGCCGAGTCCCGGAATTATCACCAGTGGACACACGCGAGACATGATCTGTCGATTGCAGCAGGGCCGAATGAATCTGTGGTGGACCATGATGGGAGGGCTGTGCTCGCGATCGCCTATGAGCAGGCAGAAAGGTGGAATACCGGGCGAGTGCTCGGATCCACTAAGAAGCTTGCAGATACATATTCAAGGCGAGCGCCTGAAGTGTTGCGAGTATTCGATGGTGTTAATCTAGCCTCCCGTGGTCGGCCACAGAACTCCATGAGATGCAGCCTGCTTGAGTGCAATATCAATGGCCATCGCCCTCGCACTTACACGTGAACAGACTTTTGTTTGAGCGTACCAGAGCAAGGGTTGGATGAATAGCCGCAGAGAACGACATGTATGAGGTGATCGTGGTTTGGATGCGCCAAGCCTTATGCAGGCTGTTTGTGTACTGGAGCTACTGATAAAGTGGCCGTGACGCGAACGCAGCACTGCAAATATCATACCATTGCTTACAGAAATGAGAAATCCCAAACAGGTTTCTCGGTAACATCGGTTTCTGGCCACCGTGGTCGCAGCTTGCACAGGATTTCTTGAAGCCCAGGAGCCCTGCATACGTAAAGGATCCACTTTTGACGTATGTGACGACTTCAAGGTCGACCTCACTTTCTTGACCTGACCACATAATCTTCCCTCCGGAATTACATCTTCTGACACAGGACCAGAACAGTACTTCATCTTAAATCTACTTTCGACATCCATATTGCAGACATGAGTTACGGCGGTGATCGCTATCAAGGCGGCGGCGGGGGCTACGGTGGTGGAGGAGGGGGCGGGGGCTATGGTGGGGGCCAGGGCCAGGGAGGCGAGGCTGGTGGCTACTACGATCAAGGCAACCGATTGTAAGTCATCCAAGTGTCTTTGCCGAATAGATGCTGACGGTTGTCAGTGATGACAATTCCCGTCGAGACGATCGCCGAGATGATCGCCGAGACGACCGCAGAGACAACTACGGTGGCGGCCGCGACGACTATGGAAGGCAAGGTGGCGGACAAGGGGGCTATGACGGTGGTGGACAAGGTGGTTATGGTGGTGGCGGACAAGGCGGCTACGACCGACCTTCTGGCGGCTCTGGCGGGTACGGACGCAATGACAACTATGACCGGCCAAGCGGTGGTTCTGGCGGGTATGGAGGTGGGCAAGGTGGTCGCGATGATGACTATGATCGCCGCTTCAATCAAGGCGGTGGTCGTAATGATGACCGCTATGGCGGTGGCTCATCTGGTGGCTATGGTGGTGGTCAGTCGACAGGACGATATGGCGAGCAAGGCAAACCCTACTCTGGTCCTCAGTCTGGTCAGGAATCGACACCTTACGACGCCCCTTCCTCTGGGTATGATGGCCCGCACCGTCCTCAGCAGTCCGGCGGTCACGGTGGACGACCAAACTTCGATGACGATGAGGTGATGGGCAATGCCGAGAAGGACGACGACAAGAGTTTCTTTAGCTCTGCATTATCTTTTTTGAAGGGTCGCAAGGATGATGATGACGACGATGTCGATGAAGGGCGCATGCAGAAGCAGCACGACAAGATCTACGATGGTCGACCTGAAAGCAACCAGGACTCCAACTCGCTGGGCGCAGCTGCAGCCATGCACGCCTTTCAAATGTTCACTGGTGGAGATAGCAAGAAGTCATCTGGCAGTGGTGGTGGTCAGAATCAGCTGTTGGGCATGGCCTTCAAAGAGGCGTCGAAGCTGTTCGAGCAGCAGAACTCGCAAGGCAACGTTCAATCCGGTGTTGACAAGCAGAGCGTCATCAACGCGGCAGGTAAGCAGGTCCTCAAGCTGTATCTCAAAAACCAGCCAGGTGGTGGTGGAATTATGGGATTGGCCTCGAAATTTATCAAGTAGGCTGGTGCAGACTCACCGCCTGTGGAAGTTCTCAGACAGACAAACCCCAATAACACGCCTTGTGAGAATGTATCATTTCCATGTTGAGCAATCCTTTCGCGTATTAGCTGACTGTAGAGCTAATCGAAGGGTAGCTTCTATCCGATTGAGCAGAGGTCTCTCCAATATATGGGATACCACTATGAGCTCCTGTTCTCCAAGTTACCTGAAAAATGTCCCTGGCGGAAAATCATCGGTCAATCGTTTTAGGTTAGCTGCCATACTGTACGAGGCATAGCTCTGTCTTCTCTTGGAAGGTTTGCCGAAAAAGTGACGCCCGACTTTCCAGCTCAAAAGGCACACAACTCCTGGCCTCGCGAGACTTCACTATCGCCCATCGCACCCTTCATTTCTACCGCACGACTTTGGCATCGCAAGGAGTCCCCCGAGGTCTTTCGTGGCTCGAGTACTGGTTTTTAAGAGAAAGAATCTGGGCGCCATCAGGCCTCGGAACGCCAAAGCACGTGTCGCGCCGGGGCTTTCCACCTAATGCGCATGTGAGGGCAGACAACAATCACCTTCAACGCACTTTCGCCTCATCTTTACCTTGCTGCCAACATGAATCAAAGTCATCAAGATCCCTGGCGAGGGCCGGGTGGACCACCTCAACCCGACACGCAGGGTCAAGGTCGGCCCTTTGGAGGATTTGGACCGTAAGTGTGCCCCAGCACATGATGGTGCCCTCAACCATTGGGTCAGCTAACAGGTTTCAGACCGAATGGACCTTCTCAAGGACCACCTCATGTTCTTCCTCCACCCTCCTCTTCGTATCACCAACACCACCCTCAGCCCTCCTCAGGTCATAACCTGTCGATCGCCGACCTGACCCAAGGCTCTCAAGGACCACAACACCCCTACAACAGCCAGCCTCCACCACAGTCGCAGGGCCATTCGCTGCCTCCTCTTGGTCACAGCTCCATGAGCCAACACTCGCCCCAATATATGAACCGTGAGCGAGAGTTGGCCGATCGCCGAGAACGCGAATATCGCGAACAGGAAATGCGCGAACGCGAGCGTGATATCAGAGAGCGTGAGATGCAACAGCGTCACCACGAAGAAATGATGATGATGCGTGAGCGCGAGGCCAGGGAGCGCCAGGAGAGGATGCAACGAGAGCAGGAGCAACGTCCTGTTCAAAGTCATGCTGGCTCCATCCCACTGCACCAGCCTGTTGCAAATAAAGTGCAGAACTCCATTCATGGTCCAAATGGGTTGCTTGCCAACAGTGCGCCGCAGCAAAATGGCCCTTCCTCGACGGGGCCGGGCAGCATTTTCGGCGCGCCTGCTCCTGAGCAGCAGAGGCCTCAATTCATGCAGCAGCCCCAGCAACCGGTTGGTGGACCTCCACCGCCTCAGCAGCCCGCTCCAGCTTTCTTGGGAGGTCCTTCGCCGATGCCTGCTGCTGCTCAATTGCCCCATGGTCAGCAGCCAATCCTGAACGATGCATTGAGCTACCTCGACCAAGTAAAGGTACGCTTCAGCGATCATCCAGATGTATACAACCGCTTCCTGGACATCATGAAGGATTTCAAGAGCCAGGCGATCGATACGCCAGGCGTCATTGAGCGTGTCTCAAACCTTTTTAACGGTCATCCAGCGCTCATTCAGGGTTTCAACACGTTTCTCCCCCCTGGCTACCGCATTGAGTGTGGCACAGACGACAATCCCGATGCCATCAGAGTGACGACTCCAAGCGGCACCATGACTCAATCACTCCAAGGTCGGCCGCGAGGCGGACCATACGAGAGCTCCAACTTGAGTTCTCAAGCTCAACCAGGACTGAGCCGAGACAATGCCTTCGAAGATCGCCGAAGGGGCTGGAGTCAAGCACCTGAAGATAGCTCGGCCATACACCAGCAAGAGCAGCGAGGTGTATCTTCGCTTCAGAACGCTGCGACTGCTGCCACCCAGAGAGGAGCGTTGCCTCTGTCACCGCCTCGAGATTCAGCTAGTCAACAAGGTGCTGCCTTTGGCGGTGCTGCTGCCGCCGCCGCCGCCGATTTAAAGCGAGGAGGGCCTGTTGAGTTCAACCACGCGATAAGTTATGTGAACAAAATTAAGGTAGGCGCCAGCCTTGTCGCGTTTGTTCGTGTCATTTCCCTCCATTTGCCACCCAACCTCGCGACAACTCCTTCCACTTGGTGAATGAATGCACTGACCCCACGATAGAATCGCTTCGCACAGCAGCCCGAAATCTACAAGCAATTCCTCGAAATCTTGCAAACTTACCAGCGAGAGTCGAAACCCATTCAGGACGTATACGCTCAAGTGACACAGCTATTCCATTCCGCGCCAGATCTTCTTGAGGATTTCAAACAGTTCCTGCCGGAAACTGCTGCTCAGGCGAAAGCCCAAGCGAGCGCCAGAATCGCCATGACCGAAGAAACCAGCAACGTCCGAGGCGAGCCTGGCTACGCCGCAGGCGGTCTGCCACAAGCTCAAACTCCCAGACCTGCTGCGAAGATGCCTCCGATGGGACAATTCGACCCACCAAGCACAAGCAAGGACAACAAGAAGCGAAGAGGAGCGCCAAATACTGGAGCTACGACTAGCTTGGAGTCAGGACTTGCTCAAAGTAGCCGTGGGGTGCCTGTGCAAGTCGGTAACGCGAATAAAGTAAGCGACATCCCTTAACACTGACAATAGACTGACCTTTCGCAGCGACAAAAGATTTCCAACCAGCGACAGCCGCAGACAGAGACTGTTGTCACCTCGCCGACACTCATTCCCGCCTTGCCTGAGCCGCTTCCACCGTATCCTCCCTATGCCACAACAACCGAAGAACTCGGCTTCTTCGATCGCGCCAAGAAACAGATCAGCAACCGTGCAAGCTACGCTGAGTTCCTGAAACTCATCAACCTATTTTCACAAGACCTTATCGACAAATACACCCTGTCGGATCGAGTCATCTCCTTTATTGGCAGCAATCCAGAGCTCATGTTGTGGTTCAGGGACTTTGTCGGCATTCAAGAGCAGGACGAGATAATTGACGCCAAGGCTCGCATCGATCCTGGTCGAGTCAACCTGTCACATTGCAGGGCACTTGGCCCTAGTTATCGTCACTTGCCTAAGCGCGACCAGACTAAGACATGCAAAGGCCGTGATGGCATGTGCTACGAAGTCCTCAACGATGTCTGGGCTTCGCACCCTACTTGGGCGTCTGAAGATTCCGGCTTCGTTGCTCATCGCAAAAACCAGCACGAGGAGGCCCTTCATCGTATTGAGGAGGAGCGCCACGATTACGATTTCCACATTGAGTCATGCCAGCGCACTATACAGCTGATGGAGCCTATTGTGCAGCAATTCGCCGCTATGTCAGAAATGGAAAAGAGCAACTTCCAACTAGCACCTGGCTTTGGTGGTGCTAGCGAGTCGATTCCAAAGCGCATAATCATGAAGATCTATGGTCGCGAAACCGGAGGCAAAGTCCTTGCCGAAATGTATGCAAAGCCTCTCGCAGTCATGCCAATCGTACTGCAACGGCTCAAGCAGAAGCTTGAAGAGTGGAAATCTACCCAGCGCGAGTGGGAGAAGGTTTGGCGTGACCAGATCAACAAGCAGTTCTGGAAAAGTCTTGACCATCAGGGCATCAATATTCGTTCAACGGACAAGAAGGCCTTCCAGCAGAAGCAGCTTACTGGAGAAATCCAGAACAAATATGAGGAGGACAAGAAGAACAGAGAGAACGGCAATGCAACCAAGCGTCATCATCTCGAGTTCAAGTTCGACGATGTTGACGTGATTGTGGACGCGACCCGGCTGATACTTATCACCCTGGTTCACGATCGAAATGATCGCAACGGCTTCAGTCAGAATGACCAAGAACGAGTCAAGGCCTGGATCTTGGATTTCCTTCCAAAGTACTTTGGCCTGAACCCCGAGGAGTTCACCGACCAGGTTAAGGTTGAGGTCGCCGACATTCCCGAAGACCAAGACGGCAACGAGAGTGATGGTGTTGGCCCTCGCAAGAATCGCAAAGGCGGTCTCATTCGCCGGGTTTTCGACAAGCGCAACGGCAACAGTGACAGTGCCCCCAACAGCAAAGAGTCGACCCCTATCCCCACAACTGAACACGACATGGACGTTGATGAGGAGATACCGCAGTCTGATTCCGAGGACAAGCCTAAAGCACCTTGGATTAATGTCACCTATGGCGATGTGCCCACTGACAAGGTATCCCTCGAAGAGTCTTACTCGCACGAAACGTTCAACTTATACGCAAACGTCAACATCTACTGCTTCTTCCGCATGTTCGAGACGTTGTACTCAAGGCTCCTCGCCGTCAAGAACAGTGAAGCTCAGGTAATAGAGGCTGTCAAACGTCACCGCGGCACCAACGATCGCAAGAAGCCAGCAATTGAGCTTCGAATGATTGACAAGGGTCCGGAGTATTTCTTCAACTCAATTGTCGCCAAGGAACCTCATCACTACTACCACGAAATCCTTCAGATGTGCGAAGATGTGATTCAAGGCAACATGGAATTGTCACACCTCGAAGAAACCCTGCGTCGTTATTACAACAAGACCGGTTGGCAGCTGTACACGATCGATAAGCTGTTGAGCAGCCTGCTACGTTACGTCGCAAATATCCTTGGAGGAGATGCCAAGGACAAGAGTATTGAGATTGCCAACCTCTTTTTCAAAGATCGCGAGCGGCCTGACACAACCCGCCGCCAAGAAATAGAGTACCGTAAACATGTGGAGCGCCTTTCGAAGGACGGCGAGGTTTTCCGGATAAGCTACGTAAGTTTCTCACCCTTCTGCTTCCCGCTGCATACTGACATCGACAGACGCCGGAAAACAAGGTCTGCACAATTCGTTACTTTCCCTCGGAAGACCCGACCTTTGACTCCGACGCCCTCACCGATGACCAGCTTTGGCAGTACTACGTTGCTAGCTATACAATGTCGCAAGCAACTGAAGGAATCGACAAATCCAACATGCATATGCCGTACCTCCGCCGAAATGTGGCTCCTCAGTCTGCCAACATTGACCACGCCTTCAACCATGTCTTCGGCAACATTACACATTTTGATAATCAGACCGCCTTCATTAGCCCCGACAATTACAAGCTGCTGCTGAGCAACGACTACATCTTCTGGAGACACGGACTGAGAACCAAGAAGGCATACCAGCCAGGCAAGATCAATGAGAGCGACAAATTCCGAGAGAGCTTCGTACGCAACACCAAATGGATGGAGAATCAGAGCCAGGAGTATGTCGAAGGTGTGAAAGCTGAGTACGAGCGCAACATCAGAGATGGGTTTCCCGCGAGCGCCTGAGCTTGTCTCACCTTCGAGCTCCTGGGTATGATGGAGACGATGCAGGCGTCAAACTGCGACACGACCGGCGCTGCAGTGCAACTTCAGCCGAGCACGGGATTGTATAACTAGAATAGAGAAGCAAGGCGCTGGGGCAGGGAATGGCAGAGTTGCAGCAAGAGGCGACGGAGCTTTAGACATGTTTGAGAGCTGTAGGCAGCGTGAAGTGTCGGAGAAGGGAGAGAGCACTCTGATCAGCCACAGATGAAGAAGCAATAACGCGAAGATAGCTCGCTGATAGTCGCGAGCAGGCAGTTCAGCCCTGAAATACCAAATTATGGCTTCGATGAAGATAGTCTGATTCTATGTGACTGACTGTTCAGCCCCAAGCTCGAGGTCGGCGATCTGCGCGTCAACGAAAGCCTCAGCGCTGACTCAGCTTCTCAGGAAGGTAGTCCGCGTTCCTCGAGAAGCGAATGATAAGTCGCCGAGAAAGATGGAGAACCGTGCCCGATGATGGACTCACACAAGAGCCCGTGAATGAAATGGACGCAGGTAATGCAACCGATCAACGGGAATAGACGCTTGGGGGGTAAGAATTACAGCGGCATTACACATTTCGCTTTCATATATACACACACACGCTTCGATTCCGCGTATCCCATTTCACTACAATGGATATATACAGTGCCTAATATATATCTGCCATTTAATATATTGTCGAAGGTAAAAAAAGAATATCGGGGGATGTACAACAAAACAATCGTTCATGAAAGACCGCTGGGTCATCTAACCCCCCCTACTGTCTGTGTCTCTCTCTGTTCCTTCCTCACATCGCCAATTGCAAGAGAGGTGCTTTAGCTTACCTGTTGAGAAGAGTTAGAATTTGGGGGTTACGCTAGATTGAATGAGGGGGGAACTCACTGCGCATCACCCCAGTAGACGGGGGTCTCCTCGGGGACAGCGGGAGTGGTGGTCTCGCCGCCCTCGACGGGCTTAGTGGGCTTGGTCCATGATGGGGTAGTGGTGGTGGTCTCACCGCCCTCAACTGGCTTGGTGGGCTTGGTCCACGATGGGGTGGTGGTGGTGGTCTCAACTGGCTTGGTGGAGCTGGACTCGCCACCCTCGACGGGGACATCAGCCCAGTGGGTCTTCTCGGCAGGGGCAGTGGTGGTGGTGCTGGAGGTCTCGCCACCCTCGACAGGCTTGGTGGGCTTGGTCCAGGCAGGGGTAGTGGTGGTCTCGCCGCCCTCCACGGGGACTTCGCTCCACTGAGTCTCAACAGAGGGCTCAGTGGTGGTCGAGGTGATTTCAACATCAGCCCAAGTAGCGGAACCAGTGACGGTGACGGTCACAATGGCGGTCTCGGTAACAGTCTCCTCGGCGCACTCCTCACCCTCGCCACCAAGAACGGGCTTGGATGGCTCGGGAACCTCGGCCCAGGTAGTGGCAGTCTCAGGGGAGGTTGGGGTGGTGGGAACAACTGGGACATCAACCCACGAGCTGGTGCTCTCCTCGGGCGAAGTGGGAACACTGGGAACGGCCGGGACATCAGCCCAAGTGCTGGACTCGACGGCACCCTCAGGGACCCAGGTGGGCTCGCCGTACTTGGTGATGACGGTGATCACGCACTCGTCAGCACCAACAGCAGACGAAGCCCAGTCAACCCAGGTGGAGGAAGAGGTAGGGACCACAGGCGCAACGGACGTGACATCAGCCCAGCTGGAAACGGGCTCGACTGTCTTTGTCTCAGTAATGGTACCAGTCAAGGTGATATGGCTCTCACCAGCAGGCTCGGTCGGGGCGGGGACCTCGACCCAGGTGCTGGCATCAGTCTCGCCGCCCTCGACGGGAACATCGCTCCAGACGGTCTCCACAGCAGGAGCAGTGGTGGTGCTCGAGGTCTCGCCACCCTCGACGGGAACATCGCTCCAGACGGTCTCAACAGCGGGAGTGGTAGTAGTGGAGGTCTCGCCACCCTCAACAGGGACGTCGGACCAGACGGTCTCAACGGCGGGAGTCGTGGTGGTGGTGGTCGAGGTCTCACCGCCCTCTACGGGAACATCGCCCCAGTAAGTCTGAGCAGCGGTGGTAGTAGTGCTGGAGGTTTCGCCACCCTCAACAGGCTTGGTAGGCTTGGTCCATGCAGGAGTGGTCGTGGAGCTGGTCTCACCACCCTCAACTGGCTTGGTCCATGCAGGAGTCGTGGTGGTAGTCTCACCGCCCTCAACAGGAACATCACCCCCTGTAGATCCAATTAGCACTTCCACTCCTTTCTCGGTCGCCACGTCTACATACAGTACGTTGGCTCTGCGGCAGGAGTCGTGGTGGTCTCCTTAACGGGCTCGGGAGTTGTGGTGGTGGTGTCCAAAACTGGCGTGTCTTGCCATCCCTCACGGGCTTGGATAGAGGCAGCCTGGACGGAGCCGATGGCTGCAACGGCAGCGGCGATCGCAACAGTCTTCATTGTGTTTGTTTTGGGGTTTTTACCGTGGAGGTCGGATTAGGCGAATAGGTCTCGTTAGGTATACTAGTCGTGTGTGGTCGTTGAAGAACGAATGCCCGCGAAAGGAGTGGCGCGGTAGTTGGTTTGGTAGAGTGCGAGGGCGACTAGGTTGATTATTGACCGAGTGCAGTAGCCTTGGAGGAGAGGAAAGAAGATAAGAGGAAGCATGGAAGCATATAGCTTTTGAACGGGCAGGGTTGATGGAGCTGGGGGGGTCGACGGGACAGCGCTAAGAAAATTGGGCACTTGGAACCAAGCAGGCGAACGCACCGCTTTGCTCGAGCAAAGTTGGCGGTTATTTCGTTTGATGCTTAGCTCACTGGCGGCTCTTCGGAAAGCTAATCTTACTGGCTCGGTACCTGGGACGATGAATAGTGGCGAGCGAGATTGCGGCTCCTGAGTTCCATGTCCAGCATTTTGTGCATAATCCGTACCACTAGCATTGACCTACCTGTTTGTGCTCTGTGGCATAACGAGACGAGGACCAACAAACATTGTCAGAGGCGATGCTTTGGAAGCTCGGCCATCTAGTCTGACTGCCCGGCTTGATGGCAAGAGATTGAATCGTAGTGAGCACCGAGGAGATTGGTCACGACAGCAAATGGGACGATAGCGATCGGCGGCGCTGCGGCACATTGAGCCCGAGGGTCGCTCACACAAGTGGAGGCTTGTGTATCGCGTAGGCGGCGTCGCAAAGCAGAGGGCGGGAGGGAATAGGGGATGCCCTGGTCTAGGAGGTCGATTGGTGTTGAGAAAAGCTTGCCGCTAAACCGAAACTGGTGTGGCTGCTCCGCCCTTGGCGTCAGGCAATTTCCAGCTCCGGCGACGGTGCTACACTTGCTGCACTTGCTGGAGATTCTCAAGATTGCACTGTGACTTTGCCTGACGACTCATCTCCATCCTCGCCTCGCGGCCGCCGCCGCCCATTGAAGATCGAAATTGACTCAAGAAGTGCCCGGCGGCTGCTGTCCACCTTCTCCTTTGATGGTGGCTTCCGCACTTCTTCCGACCCTTGTGAGGTTTAACATGATCAAAATGTCTTGAACACCATGGAGTCACTGTCCAAGTCCCATGGTGATAGGTCTCCGCTCTATGCTGTGCCGCCGAAACACTATTGACACCCCACGATGACAGTGCTATTGGGTCAGTGCCACTTGGCAGCTACTGTTAAGCAGACACGATTGCTGCAGTCGCCCAAGCCACAGAAGCCACCCGCACAACGCTTTGCAGCAACCCGTGTTTGTGGCGACTCTCGCCATGTTTCATGTTTGCCATGGGTGTTGACAGAGGTCACATGGTACTTGCTTCCGAGCAAGATATGAACGAAATCGCATGTTCCCCTGCCATATTCTCTTCAGAAGCATTGCATCGCTTCAACTACGCACCGTTTGGGGGAGTCTGCTGGCACCGCCGCCTCCTGTTCATCGCTCTTGTCGTGACCCACATAAAACCCAAAGTACCCGTACGTATCCGTGCCGCAGCCCCTTTCCAAAAGTCCTCCGCTGCAGATCTTCCATACAGAGGCGGACTAACACCAGATCATCTCAAGCCACACTCCGGGCTTGGCTTCTACACCTTCGACGTATCGGCTTCGTGAGGCTCTGTGCTGGAGCATCAATATAGATTATGCCCCCTCTCCTTTCTCGCCAGATCGTTTGCTCAGCGCCGAACGAATGCTCTTGGGTCTCCGTCTCCTAATAGTTGCAACAATCCAGCTAGTCCCCAGTTTTCGTCTAGTCGAGATTGCAGATCTCTCCGGCTAAATCTGACCTAATCTCGACAGTCTTATTACAGTACTCTTACAAGAAAGGCCCCGACGGGCGTGTGAGGGTCTTGCGCAATATTGTGCTCAAGCTATTGCGTTCTGGACCGGCGATAGGATGGCCCGCACCCATGTTCTGGACTTTCCTGGACTGCGAAGCTGCCATGTGCTGGGTTTAGCATTACTGTTCTTTATTAATCTTGCCTACTGAGCACGTTGCCAGGGCGCGCAGCGGAAGCTTGGATCTCTGGTACGGGGGCAATCCGTCCTTGTCCCCATCTAGCTGAGGCTCTTGTTCCTGTGGTCCTTACAGACCAGCAAATTCTATCGCTGGATACACCACGGCAACAAGTTTGGCATATGGCCCTCTACTGCGTTTTCAGGGCGCGTGAAAGATGGGTCTGTTGTGAGAGAGATTCTGCATCGACTGTCTTGCGATGCGAATCGATGACACAGTCCAGTCCTAACGCGATGGCGTGGGATGTTGCCAAGAGACAGGTCGTAGCTCAGGTGCGCACGGCCGCAACCCTGACAGTAGCTGGTGAGGCCGCGAATAGACTTAGGTAGCGAACACGTTTGAGCATGTCCCTCCCTCTTAGTATTATGACCACACTCGCCAGAGTAGAGAGCCCGCGGGCTGTCCTCGGAAGTCAGCCGCGGTCGTAGGTCTTCATCAGAAGTCGGTCGCCATGGCGTATAGGACTTGGTGTAGGTATATTCCAGGACCGGTGCGAAAACCTCCGGCTCAACTTCGCGCAAGTCGGCACTCTAGTCAATGGATTTTCTCATACCGTTCGCCGTCAGAGCTTTGAGCATGTCTGAGAGTGCGGCGACGACATGGGTGTGGACCTCGAACTTCTTGTCTTCCTTGCCCACTGTGAAGGTGAAAATGCCAGAATCGAATATGTCCGTGAAGGCCATGGTGGAGAAGAGTAGTTCGGTTTGGATGGCGATTTCGACTCGGGGAGGCACCACGATTGCGTTTGAGGTAGCCCCAATGAAGGAGGAATTCTGGGGAAGTCAAAGGACTTTATGTCTCTACGATTCCAGTGAGGGATAATCATGCGACGTGAGAGCGTGCTATCACTACTACCTGCACTGTGTGGAGCATCGGCGGCCCACGGCATGCCTGCAAGCTGAATTGGCATTTGCCTTGCAACTCGAAACCTGCCTGCCGTGAGTGAAGCATCGATGCCTCCTGCCTGTATGGTCGGATGACCTGCGGTACTTTGAAAGAGCCATGCACAGTGTTATACCCGAGTCAAGAGGTCAACGGTATTCACCAAAGCCATTTGCCCAGCAGAGAGCCCAACGACCTATCCTCGGGTTTGCGTCAGCCGTCTTAGATGGTGACAAGTGCAAACAGAGAAGAGGATCGTGAGATTCGCTATTGACTGGGAAAAACTGTGGTGGGAGTAATTCACTGCCTGAATCGCGGGGAAATTCGGAGAACCAAACCTCATGTATGTATATTCAACCCCACTGAACTTTGCACATGCGCTGCCTTCAACGTACCGTATATTTCACTACACGCTTCGATCAGACACAGTAGCCATCGACTGACATCGCGTTCGGCACGGACTTACTCGTCGACTCTAGAAACTTACTATCTTCTAGCCGAATCGCCGCCGCCACCGCCGCCGCCGCAAAAATGGCCTCCGCAAACCCCGTTCGCATCGGCTACGTCCCCGAACACTACCTCCTGCCCCTACATCTCGCGAACCGCAATAGCCTCTTCCCCTTCCCAGTCGAGCTCACCCCTTGCCCTTCCGGCACCGGCCAGATGATATCGCTGCTCCGCGAAGACAAGATCGACCTCGCCATCGGCCTGACAGAGGGATGGGTTGCGGGGCTGCTAACGCCCGAAGGTAAACAGCAACGGGGATACAGCATTGTTGGCAGCTGGGTGGAGAATCCCCTGCGGTGGAGCATCGTCACCGGCAAGGGCAGGGAGGAGTTAAGCTCGGTGAAGGATCTGCTTGAGGGTGGTGTCGCGAAGGGGAAGGTCAAGGTGGGCGTGAGCAGGATGGGAAGTGGTAGTCACGTGATGGCGTTTGTGCTGGCGCAGCGGGAAGGTTGGGATACGGAGAAGGAGGTGGAGTTCGAGGTGCTGGGGCCATTCAAGGAGTTGAGAGATGGGGTGAATGAGGGGAAGGCGGATTTCTTCATGTGGGAGCACTTTACCACCAAAGGGTACTGGGACCAGGGGGTGAAGAAGGAGTTGAAGTGGCTGGGTGAAATCTATACGCCCTGGCCTAGTTGGTGTGTCACAGCCAGCGAGAAGAGATTTCCGCAGCCGGAAGGGGACGAGACGCTGAAAGGCTTCTTCGAGGCGGTGGATCAGGGCAAGAAGTTGTTCCTGGAGAAACAGGATGAGTGCGTTCAACTGCTAGGTACGAGAGAATTGGGCTGCTACTACGGCGAGGAAGATGCGAGGGAGTGGCTGAAGGGGGCCAAGTTCTTTGAGAAGACGAGGGGTATCGATGCGACCATGGTTGACGATGTGGTCAGAGTGTTGAAAGGCGCGGGCGTGCTGGGCCATGATGTCCAGCGAATTGACGGAGATGGTACTGCGGGAGTCAAGAAGGCATGATCATTGGTGCAGCAATGAGCGGCTGCCGTGTCTTTCGTGAACGTGGATCGATGAGACGAGTTGAGTGCAAGAGGTCTATTTGAGTCAAGCTGAGTGCCAGGAATTCGCGCGAGACAACTGCCATACACCTGGTGATATTGGGACGGTGGTGCGGAAATACTTTGTCAATTTGACCAAGGGCGCACACGTCCAGCCTGCCGTCACTTGTCGCGCACGGGAGGCGATGCGTGCGTTCATTGCACAGAGCTGCGCTCCGTTCAGGAGACAGCCCTGAATACCTTCGCGAATCCGCCTCGCCACGAACTGAGGGAACTCGATTGCTCGGTGGACACGGGACGGTGTGTCAGCGTAAGGTATTGACTGCGCAGCCTGTGAGATACGAGGCAGGCTCTTGTCGGTATGGCTCGAGACTGAGCTGATGACATCAATAGATATATCTGACAATGATTAGTCATGGGGGGCTGCATGTCAGCGGAGGTTAGTCTCGGGTTATTTCCGGACGACATCCCAGCATTCGGTCTCAATCAGATGCTTAGGGGTATCCCAGCAGATCCCAAGCTGACGTCTTCTCTCGGGAGTGTGTGGTGTGTGGTGGGATGCAGCAATAGATGAACAGAATCTGTACAATAATGGCAAACTTCAGATCTTGAAAGCAGGCCTAGAACTCGCCTCCCAACAGCCAAGTAAGCCGCACGTGATTTCGACCAATCACTGCACATCTCAGACTCTGCCAAGGCTCCACCTCTTGGACTCCGACGCCCGCTGTCTCCCGCTCAGTCTCTTGGGCTCCTCCAGCCTTCCCTAGACAACAGCCTACCCTGTACTGGCTCGCTTGTTCCCATCCCCTCTTTTTGAAGTGCTTGGCCTTTCTTCTGAACCGTTTCCCCAAAGATCCTCCCACCCGTCATCGTCGCCTTGCTGCGACAGATCAGATTGGTGACCGGAGCTGCCACTACTGATTATATCAGCACGGGTCACGCAGCTGTCTCCCTCCCTCCGACATGCACGCCCCAAAGTCCAAGTTATAATAAGCACGATATGACGCCAAGGACGACTTCATCTGACCAATTCGACACCGACCATCCCACGGAGAACTCGGACGGCGATGAAGAGCGTCCAACCCACACCTCTGAGATAGGGACGCTCAAGAAGCTTCCCAACCAGAGCGGTACGGCATGGCTTGGCAGCTCGAGCGGTGTCTACTTCGTCAACACCGTGCGACGTGCGTTCACGCAAGCATTTGCCACTTCTCAAGGGCTTCCGGCCAGCGAGGACATCTTGACCGGCGAAGACTCTGAAGGTCGGAGCTTCAATGGACCTATTACTGATGGGCCGTCTACTACTGATGGCCTTCCTCACATCCTGTCTTCGTCGCTGGGACGTTTGCCAGACCGCAAAATTGCACTAGAGCTCGTTATGAGCTTCTTTAGAGTCTGGCATCCGGTCTTCCCATTCCTTCATGGCCCATCCTTCCTCAAGGACACCGAACTACTGTATCAGCGCCCAACACCACCAACGTTCTCTGGTAGTCGTCAAGCCAAGGGCGCTCACCCACCTCAGGATCTCCGTAAAATCATAACATTCCAGCTCATAATCAACATCGCCAGCCTTGATCGAAGTGACATCATTCTTCCACCCGAAAGCCGTATTCAGTCGACAGCCGACGTGACTCGAGTTGCCGGGACGTTGGCTCTCGACCACGATCTGGCCACTCTACAGACACTACTGGCGGCACAACTGTATCTAGTCTCAACACTTGCCATTCGTGCAGCATCTACTGTTGGCGGTACCATTGTGAAACTGATCTACCATGCTGGCCTTCACCGGTGTCCACTACGTTACGCGCAATTGACCTCCGAACAATGCGAGATCCGAAAACGGATCTTCTGGTCCGCATATGCTCTCGATAGGCATTGCTCTCTGTCCCTCGGCGATCCTAACACCATCCAAGATGATGATATAGATGTCTGTCTGTCAGGCAAAGAGCTTCATAAGGCTGTCGCCCGAGATTTGCTGCCCAATCCCGCGGACGAAATCAATCTACACTTCCCCGCCGCTGCGCGCAAAACCACATTAGATGCAGACGATGAGGCTGCACGCGAAGACGAATCTCCAGAAGCGCGCGAAAAGTCACTACGAGAGGCAGCCCTGATCAGCTACGTGCATTGGTCAAGACTGACCGGAAGGATCATCGAAATCTTCCACAAGTCTATCAACCACAGATTTCCCAAGCACGAGCAAATCGTGTATTTAACCTCCGACATTGAAACATGGTGGAACGATCTGCCGTTTTTCCTGACGGGTGAAGAGCCGCAGAATCACACCTCAGCATCCGCACCTTCCCCCGCCGGCTCAGAATCGCCGCAATCTCAGTTGGCGAATCTATCGTCGTTTTTCAAGATTCTGTATCATCGACTTCTGCTTCTCATGTCCCGGCCACGACTGTCACTTGATCAAAGTACGCCCGAGTTCCAGCATGGGTTGCAGGTCTGCATCCGTGCCTCGCGTAATATTTTAGCCGGACTCAAGGGACACAAGACTGCTGGGCAGAGCATGTTCCTGCCAGGGTTGCTGTCCGCCGCTTGGATGAGCGGTCTGATCATTGCTTTTGCTTGTCAGTTGGGGAAGTACCCCAAAGCAAGAGCGTGCGCGTAAGTCTTTCCGATTCCGGACCTCGTTTACTCAGATCGCTAAATATATCTAGAGATATACACGCTTGCCTAGACCTCTTGACCTCGATGAACGATCGGTGGTACACGGTCAAGAATTGCCACAAAACCCTGTCACTCCTTCTCCATAACATCCAGTCCCGCAAAGCAAGTACAAATGGCCTACTCTCAGTGGCTAAGAACGACATGCCATCGCCCACCGCAAATGATGCGCCTTCCAACGAACGTGCTTCAAAACGCCGCCGCACCGAGACGAATCCGCCCAAAGTCCAAGTGGCCAACGCCAATTCTGGCATTCGTCGTGCCTCGACCTCCAGAACCGACCGCGACGTCGACATGAATCCGGATGCGCTCTCGCCGTCGCAAATGACGGACGGCACGCCCGGAAACACAGCATCCAACGTGTCCTCTCCAGCCGTGCCAACATCGAACACCAACAGCGCCGCTGAAGTCCGCACCGCCGCAGGCGTTGCAGCCGCGAAGCAGAGACACACCCCATCGGGTTGGTCCAACTCCTCCATCGACGCCACCGCCAATCCCACCACCATGTACGACCTCAGCGCCTTCATCAACCCGACCGTCACATCTTCCGGTAGCCGCATGACCAGCAACGGGACCGGGAACTCGAGCCTCAACTCTCAATTTCCGTACAGCAGCGGCTCGGCGCTCTACTCCACACAGCAAGAGATGGCATTCGCACAGAACAGCATGCAGTTACCAGAGCTGCCCAGCACCAACACGACAGCGAATTCGACGCTTCCGGGCATGATGGAGGACCCGGACCCTATGTTCTGGGGAAACATGGACTATAACCTGGCGGATGTCTTTGGAAGCGCCACCTGGGAGCAGATGACAGCCGGAACGCCCTTGGGAGGCGCGCATGGGGCGGGTTGGGATGCTGGCGGCGGGCCTCTGTAAGTAGAAGGCTATAAACCTGGATGCCACCTAGGTCAACGGGTGATGAGTGACACGGCGAACTCGTTACGAGGAAACGCTGGTTCGGCGAATTAGGACTTCTCTTTGAATATGTGACTGGCTATGCAAGGAGCGGGTGGCGTACTGGAGAGGGCTGGCATAACACTTCGGGTGGTATGTTGAAAAGCGAGCTTCTTGCCTCACTTTGATAGCAAAGACTCCATGGGATGTTTCTGACATTTAGAACTCGTCATGTCATGATTTTAAAGTCTTTCAATCTAACGCCACATATTTGCTCCTCATTTTGATGTTCGAAGCCCGTCGTCTTCTTGATCTTGTCGGTGGTTGCACGGTCTAAGGCTCCAGGCCTTCCACGACGCCTAGAAGCTCTTGGCATCGTCTCAGACTTGCAACTTTCTTGCTCGCAATCAACACCGCAATGCATACCCTTCATCTTCTAGACTTTCTTCGTCATGCTGTCTGTATCGTCCGCCGACGGTAGGTGCGACCTGCGCATTGCGCCACCCGATGCAACATACTCGATGCTGGCGCAGAAATCTGCCGCTGGTATACTTGGATGGCAGTTATGCAGCACCATGTACGTCTAGGTCATTGTGGCGCAGCCCCGTAGATGCGGCCCAGTTGCCTTCCGATTCCTGGAGATGTAAGGAACGAGGCGTTACACAGCCTGCCCGCGGAGCTTCTTTGCGTATTCCTGATAATCTGTCTCATCCTAACATCGGCGTATCGTAGCGTCTAGACGACGGCGTACTACCTCACACGACTTCCGGTGTTGGATGAGATGAGGCAGGAAAAGAACTCCTCGGAACAGCAACGACGACAAGCTACAACATGGGCGAACTCCTTGCGGTTTCATCTGGTATCGCTGGCCTACTATCTTTAGCCATCGACGTGGGAGAATTGAGCAGCAGGTACATCAATAGTGCTAAGCATGCCCGTACTGACGGCCGTATGTACTTGGCTGAGCTGCAAGACCTCGACATCATCTTCCACCAACTGGAGCAGCACATAAACACATGGCCATCAATCTCGGGGAACCCGCCGGTGGAATTCACTGCCTTCAAAAAGCTAGGCTTTCAAGATTGCTCAACGCGTCTAGCTGGGATCAAGAAATCTCTGGAACCCTTCCAAGGCAGGAGTTCACTTGGACGACGCCTTGCATGGCCTTTCAAAGAGCCGGATACTCGTAAAGTCATTGAAGACCTTCAGCGCTACCGTGGCATGCTGAACGATGCCTTGTCACGAGAAGCCACCTCAAAGCTATTGAGCGGCACTAAGCGAGCCGCAGATGCGTCAGAAGAAAGTCTTCAAGAGCTGCGTGAGGTGAAGCGGCAGCAGCTTACTGCCACGGACGCCATGCGACGCCATGCCGCCGATTCTGGAGAGATGAGGAACGGCATCAACGAACTCCAGACTCGAACTGCTTTACTACAGCAGGCATCGGAAGCCTTGGGAGAAGAACAGACTTACGCCAGCAAGCGCGCCTTTCTCGATTGGTTATCAGTCCTTGACGCTTCAATAATGCACAATAGTTCCCGAAAGTCACACGTTGCGGGCACAGGCCAGTGGTTCCTTGGCTCAGCACGTTTCATCACCTGGCAATCATCTGCATCACAGTTACTTTGGCTTCATGGTGGTCCTGGTACTGGGAAGACTGTACTGGTGTCGACCGTGCTGCATCATATGTTACAGACGCTTGACGACCCCATTCTGACCGCTTTTTGGTACTTCGATTTCAATGACTGTCGAACGTTGACTCTAGAAGCATTTGTGAGAGCCATTCTAAGACAGATAGCTGCCAGCACCGACTCGATTCCTCTGGAACTGAGGAAGGGCCATCAGCAGTACAGTGACCGGTGCCAACAACCAGGGACCGGCGATCTACTAGAAATGTTCCGCATCCTCATGACACGTCACTCAAGGCTTAACATCGTTGTGGATGCGCTTGACGAATGCGTGGAGAGAATGGAAGTGATTGACCTACTTGGGCAATTGCTGGATAGGTATAGCAACGGTCTCAGAGTGCTTCTAACAAGCCGCCGCATACCGGACATTGAGACGCGTCTAGAGCAGATCGATGCTGCTCAGTTCAGCACGTTCGAACTCGGCAAAGAGCTTACAGCCGCCGACATTGATGCCTACATCAGGAGTAGGTTGGCCACCGATCCAGGGCTCCGACGACGAACGGCAGATGACAAGTCTCTCATTCAGAGGGAACTCTCTGCTGGGGCTAACGGAATGTTCAAATGGGTCGAGTGCCAGGTCAGGTCACTCGCCGAATGCCGTACATCTGGCGCTCTGAAGAAATCTCTGCGCTCATTGCCTCCTACACTGCGCGCAAGCTACCTGCGGACTGTGGAGGAGATGACGGAGACCGACCGCGAGCTCCTCATGTCTTCCTTCAAATTCTTGATGTTCGCTCAAAGGTCTCTGTCGCTCGAAGAGCTGGCTGAAGCGGCTGTGTTGACGCCAAATCGATGTCTCGATGAAGACAGTCGACTATTTGAAGCTCGAATCATTCTTAATACGGCGTCAGGCCTGCTGAAAGAGCAGCCTTCGAATAGATTGGGTTATCCTAATCAGATGGATGTCAAGCTGGCGCATTTTTCGGTGCAGGAGTGGCTCTACTCTGCACTGCTCTCAGATCAACCATTCCTGTCATCGCGGAAAGAGAAGCTCGCCCAGTCATGGATCAGCGAAGACCACGTTCATCGCGACATAGCACTCATGTGTGTTGGATACCTTCAGGCTTGTCAGCAGGATATCAAATCCAACGCCTTTGAACTCTATCCTTTCATTGCCTACGCCGGTCGCTATTGGACATTTCATGCCTCAAGAGCCTTTCAGGCTCTACCTGACGACTGCTCTGAACTGACTAAACAAGTTGTCCAGTTGCTCGACTCATCAGCGCCAGCCTACCTCACCTGGCTCAAGGTATGGCTACCGGATGAGCCGTTCGGAAACTTGTTTAGCGGGTACCGCAAATTGAGCACGAAAGGCGTTCGTGGACCTCTATACTATGCCTGCAGATTCGGGTTCGATGCGGTGCTGAAGTGTCTCTTGACATCAGACAGGGCCTTCACAAACGTTGACTGGGAAGACTGCTTTGCCCGCGCGTGGGCTGACGAGAACATCAGCATCTTGCATCTTCTCGGCACCCGTCGTCCCCTCCTTTGGACGTCTCTTCCGATGCCGCTCAGAGACTGTGCCAATCATGTGGTTGCTAAGCATCTCAAGACCCTTCTGCAGGATCCCGACGGCGACGAAGCTGTCAGCAGAGATCTCAAGTCTCAAGCCTTGTACATTTTCGCAATGCTCTGGAGCGCGAACTTGAACATGACGCAGTCCGAGCTCGGGAACGGAACCATGCCAGCTGAGCAGCCTCTACCATTCGCCGAGGACAGGAAAGGTTCAATGCCGCTCGTATTGCCAGATGTGATTATCAAAATCATTTCTGGGTTACAAAACTTTAGGGACGCGTTGAGTATCACAGCCGACTTCTGCACCCCAATTTATGGCCTCTTCCTGTACGCGATTCATGTTGGTGGGCTCTCCACATTGTGCACCATCCTCGTGAGCGATTCAGACCTGCAGCACGACACTCCATGCAATATTCGAATTCGACAGTGGCTCTTACAACAATCAATCAAGGAAGGACTACCGCTTTTTGTGGAGCTCTCTATCAAGCACGGAGCGGACCCTTGTCCTACAGTGAATGAAGACGGCCTAGAGTTGTCACCACTGTATCTCGCCTTTTTGGCCAACCATATGGCGGGGTTTCAGAGGCGCAATGTTCAAAAAGCTCTCCTACGATCAGGTGTCAATCTTAGCACGACTAGGAGCTTCCATTGTGATTCCCTCAACGAGGGCAATATGCTGCAGCATGCGGTCTTGCTATCAGAGGGCTCATCGCCACTGTACAGCTGTATAGCGCCTTTATACACAGACTCGCAGGCCTGGTATGCGGTCCATGACCTGCTCGAGAGTGGGCTAACTCCGAATGATATGACGGAGGTATGGCAGGGTTTGTGGTCCAACGCGTGTCATTTCGCCATCGTTCGCAGCAGGATCGAGCTGGCACAAATCCTCATTGATGATGACCACACCAGCGTAGATGCAACCTTACGGTCTACGTGCGCTGCAAGTGCCATCTTCGAGCAGACTACTCTCTTGGACCTGGCCGTTCTGCAAGGGCTTTCGCCAATCGTTGAGCAGCTACTGGCTAAGGGAGCGCGAGTGGACAGCAAATCAAGAATAGCAGCTCTGCATGTGTGCTCCACCAAAGGAGACCTTGAGATCGGCGTCAAACTGCTAATGGCGGGCGCAAACGTGGACCAGAACGGGAAGCATGGGACCTGCCTCTATCAGGCTCAACACGAGGGTCAGTGGCAGATGGCAACGCTCCTGCGCCTCTTCGGTGCCAAAGCTATTCCGACTGTCGCTGCGGTCGTTGCAGACGACGAACAAGCCTTCTTCGACCGATGCCTGCAGCTGAATAATACAGACCTTTCAGACAACCACCGGGATTCAATAGTAACGAATCCGCAGGAACAGGAACAGGAACAAGAAGATCAAGCCCGCGGTCGAAGCGCACCTGACACCACGATATCAACACAGCAGATGTCTCGGTCGCAGTCTGAGTATCGTCGATCTCATCAACGACGAATACTTCGTCAAAGAGCCAGTTCTGCGCCTCCCTGTATTCCGGCCGCCGCTTCACACTCTGCCACCGGACTCGACGCGGAAAGAGTGTGCTGTGAACGCAACATGGATAGCCAGAGCCAGAGCTACCCACCAATGGAAGCTGAAAGCCACCTTTCCACGAAATTGAGCACAGACGACAGTGACTATCTCCATGCACGCCCCACTGGTCATGACGCCGCCGACGATGACGATCAAATCGCAGCAGGTTCTGACAGTGACTCCGACGCGAGCTCGCAACCCGAGCCGCAACTTCGATTCGCCGATGTCTTCCTGAGCAGCATTGACCCGACGCCTTCCATCGACATGTACTGGCCAACACCTGAGGCGCCATTCGCTTCAACGGCCTCGCAGAATAACGACGCGAGAGCTCAACTTCTCGCTGTCCCACAACCACCGCCGCTGTTGCTAGAATCTTCGATGCCCGCAGATCTACGCAAGGAGTGTGCGGCGGCCGCTGAGGTACTGTGCGGCGGCCGCTGAGGTACTAGGCGGCAGCGAGTCTTCCCCCTCGTACAATAGGCGGAGCCGGAAGAGAAAGTTGGCTGAGCTGGGTAACTAGAAGACGCCCGATGAGAAAAGTCTCAATGTTCGATTAGACAGCAACTTGGAACGGACGGCGTTGAGGAGCCAGAGCATTGGGTCTGGGTTGGGGAGAGAGGGCTGGTGTTGGAAGGAAGACGGAGTCATTGGTGCCCAACGTCAGGCCGGAAATATCAGCCCGGACAGCAAACTACTGTAGTACTACAGTTGTGGAATACTTGATCTGAAACTTGGCATCGACAAGCGCGGACTCTTATCTCAGTGTATCGCCTTTCAGTCTCTGTTTGATTTCTTTCTGCCTCGAAACTTCTCGCGTATGGGAGTGATGCCTCTCGAAGGTCCCTCAGGGTTTCGGAGCGAGCGGCTCAGCTGCCTCGTCCAAAGATTCACTTCACTGGGCAGGGCGACTGACTACGGGCAGCTGTCCCCCGTCCGTTCGTGGTCTTGAGTCTGAATCTAGGAGCGAGTCACAGGCTTGTACCCGTGCAGCAACAAGTACTATCCCTATCCTGCAAAAAGGGCATGCGTGTAAAGACGTGTGAAATAGTGGCTGAACTTTTGTAAAGGTGGTTGACTGTTCATTCGTTACAGCTCAGCATTAACTGTGTCAAACTGACCTGTGGCAGCGAGTGTCTGATATATGGAAGATAGCTCGCGCGGCCGCGGCGGAAAAACAGCTCTATGAACGTCCCCAGTTTGCCCTGCTCGTCCATGCCGTAGAAAAGTTTGCAGATGGCCATCATCCCATTTAAAACCCATGTGAAACCCGCACCCGCAGAAACACCGAGAATTGGTCGTACATCATTTGTTGCTACATCCCATACACACACTGGGTGTAGCGCCTGGAGGCTGGCTGGGTCAGAAAGAGGATAGAGAGTCGAAGGCTATAGCTCGGATAGCGCGAAGATGCTCTCGTCGCCGTGCTTCTCGTTCTCGTCTTTGGCGCTCTCGCTCTCCCAGATCTCGAGTTCCTCGTCTGGCTCAAGACGAGGAATTTCGTTCGGCTCGGCAGCTTGCTCAGCTTCGACGAGAGGCTGGGCTTCCCAGTTAGGCACTGATGACATGATGACCGCTCTGATGTTCTCAGAATCAATGTCGACGGGCAGGGGTTTCTCTGCTTCAAAGGTAAAGGAGGTGGCGTCCGCAGGGGCAGGCTCTTCTGCGGATTGCTGCTCGGCTGGCTGCGCGTCGGACACGTCATCTTGAACAAGCACGACAGAAGTTGCGTCAAGACCTGCGGGATAATAGTGCGAGGGGTCCATCTCGCCTAGTGGCACGCGGTCATCAGCCATGACGTCCTTCTTGAGTTCGTCACTTGCGGCTTTGGCGGCAGCCATCGACCGTGTGAGGGGAGCGTAGACTTCATTCGGGTCAATGTTCTCCTTGCCACGGTCGTCAAGAGACTTCCCAAGTTTGCCCTCGTCGTCAGAGATGTCGAGCAGATTGGTTGCGGATTGCGAGATGGTCCAATCGTTCATACGGTCGTGCTGAACGGCTTCGGGCTCCTCATAGATGTCGAAGAACCATGACTTGGGCTTGGAATCTTCGAGAGTACGGACTTTGCGTGACTTCTTGTGAGCGAGGGTACCGTTGAGGGCAGCCGTGATAGAGAGGGATGGCGATCTGGTGCCAAGAGCGGGGGGAGCCCAGCGACGGCGAGACTGTGAAAGGCTCTGGCGTTTGCGGGTGGGAGAACGTCCGGCAGCGGCGGGAGCGGTTGCAGGCGTGGTGCTCTTATTAACGGTATCAATGCGAGGAGTAGCTGGGAGGACTCGTGGTCCTTGAGGAGCTGGAATTGTAGAGAGGCTGTAGCGAGCGGGCTTAGGTTTGGAAAAAGAGACATCGTCATCGAGAGTCGCCCTCTTGCGCTTGAGGTCGAATGATTTGGGGTCGACGTTCTCAGTGTCGGAATCGTCGGGTGAGGCAGCACGACGTTTCAACAAAGATGATGGAATGATGGCTGGTGTGTATTAGCATGGTCCAAAGTTCAGGTACAGAATGCTCACCATTCTGACGATTCTTCACGCTCTGCAGATGACGCAGCTTGGACTCATTCAGTACGCCAAAGGGCTGACGAGCGGGTGTGGACAAAGTGGTAGCCATGTCGTCGGTGTTACAACTGTTGCGGTTACGGAGTGGGTGCTGCAAGCTGAAGATGGCGACAATTAGGGAGAAGTGAGGGTATATGGGCTGAGAAGAAAGGCTCAGACCAGGTAGGGCGGTGCTCTCAGCGGGGTCAACGCGGTATCCCTGGCAAGGAGACAGGGCGACAAGAAAGGGCCAGTTAGGTGAAAAGACACGACGGCGACGACGTGACGATAGGGCACTTAGCGTGACGTGCTACTGCAGGTGGCAAGAAGGAGTGCGACCTGAGCCTGAGGCACGACTGGGTTGGACCGGGAGGTCGACGGAGGGGGGTCCAGGTCGCGGCAAGGGATGTCTGACGCGTGAAGGTGGAGCGGGGAGCTTGACGCGTCTGCTTAATTTCGGCGTCTGTCCAGAGATTATTTTTTTGGCAAGGACGATTCCGGATGCTGAGCACCGGCACTGTATTCGAGCAGAAAGCGGTTGCGAGATAGATGCGAAAAAGAAGCAGAGATTGAAGGAATGTGGACGCCAGATTCGATTCGATGAAGCTGTTCGAGGGTGTTGTCCGTGAGACAGTGACGCGCTGGCCCGATACGGTTTAACGCGGCCTTCTTGGCAGCCTCGTCGACCACTTCATCAGCCATGGCGAACGTGGTCTGTTAAGCAGGTTTCATGCCTGATTTCTCAGGCTCGTTATCACCAGTCGATCTATGGCTGATCTAAGGATCTCGTGAGAGCAATCCTTTGACCGTCAGTGGTGCTCTCAGCATCTGCCGCGAAACAGCGACGTGCTCGTTGCCGTATGCACTTCATTGCTGTTTCGTTTCATCTTTGAGCGGCAGTCAGAAGCTATCTATAATGGTCTACAACTCATCCTGTGGTGGGACTCTACGGTGAGGAGACCACCTGCAACCACACAACGCCAGACGGCGAGAAATTCGTACCAGCCTGTGGCTTCTGAGCCAAGCGATCGTTCACAGTTTGGCCTCAGGCTCGACCACCAGATTCTCGTCCTTCGCGTACGGATAATAGAAATCCAGGCTCTGCGGGTTGAGCAGGGTCCCTGACGGCTTGATTACCTTGCCTGAGACAATTTGCTTGACCGGCAGTTCGACTTTCTTCAAGTTCACTGTGGTCTGGCTGGTGATTAGTACAGCAAAGACGCGTTGGTGGGCTCGACTTACCGGGATTTCAGGCGTCTCAAACACGTACTTAGGCACGTGTCGAGGCCCGTGCTCCTTTCGGATCGCCTGCTTGACCGCCCGAACCAGCTGTGGCGTAAACTTCTTTCCATTCTTCATGAGCAAAAACAGCATTACTGACTCATCGGCATCGTTTGGCCGTCGTTGGCCCACGCAGATGCTGTCGGAGACACTGTCGGCAAATTGTCCTTCAATGACGTTGTAAATGTCAGAGCTGCCAAATCGCACACCGCTGGGGTTCAATACGCCGTCTGCACGACCCAGGAAGAACACCTGCTTGGTGATGGGGTGAAATAGGATGAAGTCACCGTGGGTCCAGCAATTGTCGTACTTTTCAAAGTAACTGGAAAAGTAACGCTGCTTACCGTTCTCACCATAGAACATGATGGGCATTGTGGGAAACGCCTCGACGCAGACAAGCTCACCAGGCACGCCATCCTCAACGGCACGACCCTTAATTCCTCTGCCACCCTCGATTTCTTGGTCGAAGACGCTGACTGCCATGCCTAGTGATATGCATTGGCAACCTCCAACATAGATAGGCAAGAGAGGATTTCCAGTGCCAAAGGCGCCTGCCAGATCCGTGCCGCCAGAAATGTTGTCCAGTTGAACCTTTGCTGGGAAGCCAACATCATAAAACCATTCGAAAAGGGCATCAGATAAGACCATGCCTGTGCTCGTGACCACCTTCAGGTTGCTGAGATCTGTCACCTCTCGCGGACTGATATTGTTCATCTGTAGAGTCTGAAGATATCGGGGACTGGTACCAAGGTGAGTCACCTTCTCCTGCCCTATCAACTTCAAGAAGTTCTTATTGTCTGGCACGAATGGACTGCCGTCATACATGATAGTACGGGCACCCATCAAGAGTTGCTGGACCGACCCCAGGTACATGATCCAACCTGTGGTGGTATACTGCAACTGGGAGGATGTGTGGTCGACACAGCGGTGCAGTCGTGCTTCTTTGTGCCCGTTTAGAACCACCCCACCCGCGCTGTGGACGATGCACTTTGGCTGTCCAGTGGTTCCTGAGGAATAAACAATCAGGAAGGGATCTGAGAAATCGATCTGTTCAAAGACTAGCTCGGAGGAAGTTGCTTTGGAAACGAAATTGGCCCATGTCTGTGTGCGAGGAACCGAGCTCATGTCGGCTGGTGCGTCTGCGAATCTGGCTTGGGAAACGATGCCCTCGAATTCCGAGATGCCCTCCATTCCCTCGATGATCTCCTTCATCTTTTGCCGCAAGTCAGTGCGCTTCCCATTGTACACGGCAATATCGTCCATGAACAAGTACTTCGGTCGAATTTGGGTGAGACGATCCAGGATGCCTTTCGTACCCATGTCGGTACTTGAACTAGAAAAGATTCCGCCTAAGCTGGTGATGGCGAGGAAGACGGTGAGGGTGTCTAAGCAAGTGCTGGCCACCAGCGCGACCCTATCACCCTTTTGGACCCCATGAGCCTTCATGGCATTGGCCAGCAGGCCGACTCGTTCTCTAAGTTCTCCCCAAGACACTTGCTTGATAGGTTCGAGAAAACTACCCTCCCGGACTTGGGTGCACGCGATCTTCTCGTCCTCCTTGCCAGGACTTTTCTTTTGGCTGCCATTTTTATCTCCAACGAACAAGATGTTTTCGGCAAAATTCAGCTTGACGCCTTTGAACCATCGTGGAATCGAGTCCATACGAGCACTCTCATCAACGACGGGGTTTGGAACCGTGCCCGAGTAGACAATGGGGAAATAGTTGAAACAGAAACGCCAGAAATCGGACCGGTGGGAACAGCTGTATTTATGAAGGGCAAAGTAGTCTGGGAATGTCTGCCTCGAAGACTGCTCGATGGCTCGTGTAAACTTGTAGAGCTGCGTTGAGGTAGGGTTCGGATTCTCCCACAGCTTGCGGGGTACGGACTGATCAGGAGCCATGGTGGACGACGGTGAATCGGTGCGGGAGTGCGTAGGACTGAGGGACTATGAGAACACTCGCGGGGTTGGCAAGAGCAAAGTGCTCGTCACGTCTAAATATATCGACATCTTCTCTGCCCTCGGGTTCCCATCTGAGATTCGGACGATGTTGGGGACGAGCACTGCAATGGGGAAGTCGCAGTGGGGAGCGTCCCGCCGGGTGGGACGGAAGCCGAGGTACGGAGTACTTCGCCTAACTCCGCCGTGGCGTCTTGGTGGCACTTTGAACGCGGACTTCGGTTCTCACCAGCAATTTCCCTCGCGTGGCTCGCTAGCACCATCCACGCTGATCTCAGATCGCTATGCGATACCATGCACGCTCTGCAGGACTGGAAACACGTAGAATTGAGCCTCGGACGGCTGAAGAAGCCTCGACTCTACTGAGCAAATCCATACTGTAACCTTTCGATCTGTGGCAGTACCTCTCGCCTAATGCAGCTCGTGCATAGGCATCACACTGCCGCACTCCGGTCTGCCGTTGGTTGGCATGATCTACTGAGTCAATGTACAGGGGCGACCCGTCGCCTATGCAGCTCGCTTCGCAGAGACTTGTTATTGCCTCCTGCTAAGTCCATGTTAGCGATGCTGACTGAACAAGGGGGCCTGCCGTAGTGTGTGGTAGGTACATTTGCTGCGCAAGTCCTTTCCTGGACAGTAGAAGGTACTTTGTCTGGAGCTTCAGCTCAGCTCCAAAAGCTCTGCGTGTAGTCAAGATGTATCTACTCCGACTAATCTGGCAGGCGCTTTTGATTGACATAGCAGATGCATACTACCGGACTGGTCCTAGCTACGGCAACAATTTTGGGGTTCCTGTTCGCAATGCCAGCTACGATTATGTTATCGTGGGCGGTGGGACCAGCGGGCTAGCTATGGCTGCCCGTCTAGCAGAAAACGGTTCATACACTGTTGCTGTCATCGAGGCTGGCGGTTTCTACGGAGTCGACAATGGCAACATTTCAGTCGTCCCAAATCTGGGACTCATCTACACCTCACCATTGCTAGTGCTGAAGGATGCCTACCCGACTGTCGATTGGGGTATCACGACCACAAACCAAACTGGTTTAATGGGCCAGCAGTATCACTATGGCCGTGGACGTACGCTCGGGGGCACATCTGCTCTCAACAGCTTAGTTTACCATCGCGGAACCTACGGCTTCCACCAACGTTGGGCTGAGCTAGTCGGCGATTCAAGCTATGAATTCGATAACATGCTACCTTATTTCCGACGCAGCGCTCACTACACGCCACCACAGATGGACAAGCGATCTGAGAACGCCTCACTGCCGGAGCCGTCGCCAGATGCTTACGACGAACATGGCGGCCCGCTCGAGATAGGCTACATCAACTGGCCCCTGCCCTTTGGCTCCTGGGCACAACTTGCCTTTGATGAGATGGGTTTTGAACGAATTTCGGATTTCAACCACGGAATTCTCAAAGACAAGCATCAGTATCTCACTCAGTGCGTCGATCCCGATATGAAACGAAGCTCTTCTCAAGCTTCTTACCTCGATTGGGCCATTGATAGCCAGCGCCAGAACCTCATCACATATACGCGGACCCTTGCGAAGCGCATCATTTTCGACTCTGAGCTAAGAGCCACCGGTGTCGAAGTCACGACCATGAATATCCCATACCTTATCAACGCCACCAAGGAAGTCATCGTGTCAGCTGGCGCCATTCATTCGCCTCAACTCCTGATGGTCTCGGGCATTGGCCCGGCAGCTACGTTGCAGAACTTTTCAATCCCGGTACTGGTCGATCATCCTGGTGTGGGTCAAAATCTGTGGGATCACGTCCTTTTCACAATCACACATCAAGTGAATGTCCAAGGCGGCAGTCTACTCAACATACCTTCCGTGTTCCAGGAGGCTGTCGTCAATTACAAAGCAAACGCTACGGGCCCATTATCTAACACAGGTTTCGATTTTGTAGCTTGGGAAAAGCTACCGGCAGCGTTTCGCGCAAATTTGTCTGATCAAGCTGGCGACGATCTTGCATCGTTCCCGTCCGATTGGCCAGAGCTAGAGTTCATCATCGGTGACGCTCAGGCCGCCGATGGAAATCTGAATAGCTACGCTTCCGTCATTGGTGGACTAGTCGCGCCCATGTCTCGAGGTTTCGTGTCTATCTCGTCTCCAGACACATCAGACCTTCCAATCTTTGACCCTGGCTGGCTCTCGCATCCTACCGATAAAGAGGTTGCCGTTCAATCTTTCCGTCGATGTCGACAGGTCTTCAATACCACCGCGATCCAACCTGTGCTCATTGGCCCCGAAGCTGTGCCTGGCCCTGATGTGCAGACTGACGAGGAGATTCTGGCATACGTGAGTTACACCCTCCTGCCCTAAACGTTCCCGACCCTCGGTAACCTATCACGAACCACCGCGCTCACAACCTCCTAGATCCAACAGTCCGCAACCACAATCTACCACGCAGCCGGCACGTGCAAGATGGGTACAGACAACGACACCATGGCAGTTCTGGATTCACGCGCGAGGGTCAGGGGCACCAAGGGTCTACGCGTCGTCGACGCAAGTTCTTTTCCAGTACTTCTACCAGGACATCCACAGGGTACGATCTACGCGCTTGCGGAGAAGATCGCCGAGGATATACTCTCGAGTCGGTGAGTGCGAGGGCGGTTATTGACGGGTCAATGAAGCCACGAAGCATGCAAGAAGTACCTTGCAGATGGAAAATTGCTGGTGTTGCCTCACATACATATTGCTAATATAACGCGACGTCTGTCCATTTCCCCATTCGTGGCTTGTGGGATCTCAATCGCAGCAGCAGATGTACGCTTCTTGCTCGATGCTGGTGAACCATCATCTGCAGACATAACTGTGGTCCGAAGCATCAGCTTGCAATAACCACGAGATACTGCCTTGAAGCACCTCCCCCCTTCAAGCCTCTCCCACCGCCCTCGCCGCCCCTTATCACCCCCCACCCCCACTCGGCTTCCCAATCCTATCCCTCGCATCCTCAAACATATCCTTCATCTTCCTCAGATACTCCGTCGTCTCATCCATATCTTTCCGGTTCTCCTCCATCTGCCCCTGCAGCTTCCCCAACAGATCCCCGTACACCACGACGGCCTGCCGGAGCTGCTCGCTCGCCTGATGCACCGCCCGGTCCGCCTCGGCCATCTCCTCCATCCCTCCCTCGTCATACATGCCTTTGTCCACGACCCTGGCCGCGGCGTCGTCCCATTTTTTGCGCGAGGCGATCAGGGTGGCGATGCGCTCCGAGATGCCGCCGACGGGGGCGTCGAGCTCGGAGCGCACGCGCTCCATGGCCGTCTTGACGTCTTGGAGCTCGTTGCCCGAGGCGTCGCGGATGGGTTCGAGTCTTCGGTCGAGTTGAGGAGGCAGCTCCCTGCTGCGTGTGACGACGTCGTTGTAGGGCTCCGGGATCCCCGTGGGCTGGATGCCGTGGCCGGGCTGCCAGACGTTGTGCGGTGGGCTGTTCTGCCCGTTGGGCCACTTGCGTTTTTGGGGTAACGCGGGTTCGGGCGTGGCGGAAGAATGTGCTGCAGCAGCACACGCAGACGCAGACGCAAGCGCTGAGGCGGGGATGGGCTCGCGCGTGCGGTTGGCGACGGGGACAAAGGCCTCTTCGGGGGTGGCGACCGTGCTGGTCGTGTTTGAAATGATGGCGGTGCCGTTACCGGCGCCCCAGGCTGGTGGAGGTGGGGGCGCGAATTCGGCTTCCAAGCACGGTGCATCGTGACTGGGGATGCTGGGTGACTGCCGAAGGGGAGCGGCCGACACCACCGTGTCAGAGGTGATGGTTGTTGCGGTCGGGGCGAGCCGGTGACTGGCGACGGGGATGACGGCGCTGGAAGCATAGGGAATCGAAGCGACAAGCAAGACGCATCGGGCATGGTTGGGTATGAAGTGCATGGTGAAGGTAGCAGGTGAAGTGTACTGCGTTGAAGATTAGTGAAGCGTGTACTGATAGTGAATCGAGAACAAGTGAAGTACAGGCTGGTGAAGTCTTCGAAGAAGGGGGTGGCAGCATGTTTTATATGGTTCTCAGTGCTGTCAGATTTTGGTACATAAGGCAGCGTTCGTTGTTGCTGAAATGAGGCGACCGAATGGTTCGGAGGAGAGCCTGGGCCTGATTCGTTGAACAGTGCAAGAAGGTATCGCCAGACGTGGTTGTGAGTCGCTGGAGAGTGCCGTGTGTGTCTTCTGGTGGTGTATGCAAAACATGAGTTACCACAGTTGAGCGGCGGCACCAGAAATCTGATAGGCGGCTCCAAGATGGACGCCTTGCATTAGCGTTTGCAGCAGGCAGGTCGGCCCACCACTTTCATCCGCGCAGTTTATCTGCACCTTTGTCCAGATCTGCATTAAGCTCTTCAGCTTTGTATCCACATCTATCCTCGGAACGGCAAACTCATATTCAAGCCTCAGCAGGTGCCTACTGTTGTCCACTGGGCACCTCATAAGGCCCGTTTCCCGGACGCGGAAACACGGGAGCGCCATCGTCGCCAAAGTAGAACTCTTGAGCTCTAATGCTTCGAGCTGACCACCCGGTCAGATAGTCTCGCATGCCATGATACACAATCCACCACTGGCTGTGGTCGGGACTTTGCACGAAGCTGGCATGCCCAACGCCATAGGCTTCTTCGTCGGGATTCTGGTAGAAGATGCAGCCGTCGGTGTGCTTCTTCCAGGATGCGATGTCCATCGGGTCGTCGCCGATGAGTTCGAGTTGACCGAGGCAATAGTTTCGGTTATCGGAACGCGCGGCACTGTAGATTACGAAGGTTTGGCCTGTGGTTGGGTTGGTGAGTTGTTGCGGGCCTTCGTTGGACGACAGGCGCACGTTGACGGTACGCCCTGTCGGGGTCTTCTCCCACGGCTCATCGGGCTTGGAAATGATGAGACGTTCGGAGAGGGGGGAATTGACAGTCCATGGATCAGACACTGTGTTGATGGGTCAGTATGGTTCGCTAGCCCGTAGGAGCTGCCGAGGCAGGGAGGACGTACTTTTGGCGATGCACAGCATTGCGGGCCAGGAGGTGTATCCGTCGTACCAGCAGGAATAGATGTGATAGAGACCGGAAGAATGCTGGAAGTAGGTACCATCAATGGCGAACTGGTCATAAGTGTCGAGCTCGGCTTTCAGTGTATACTCGCTGTCCCAAATATCGGACGTGGAGCTCTCCAGGGTGAACATGCGGTGATTGACAGCCGGGCAGTGGAAATTACAATACATGTCCTGTTCAGGCGAAGGCTGTTCATCATCCTTGTTGCCGGTGAATATAATGTACCATTTGTCGTTGATGTTGTGGAGTTCAGGAGCCCAGAGTGAGTAGGCATAAGAGGTGTTCTCCACGGCTTGGAAGGCGAGCTTGACTTCAGCATTGTCCCAATCCCTGTCCATGTGAGCTCAGTGACTTGGTGGCTCTCGAGGAGACGAACGTGAGTATTGGACTTTTCAGGATTGTTATGTTTGTGTTTGTGGTATAAGTCATGTAGTAAGTATCACCGACTTGCACGACGAAGCTAGCCAGGGTCAGCCTCTAACATTATGCAGGAAGTTCGCAACCATACGGATCGGCTCCTCCGCCGGATTTGACTGGGTTGGTGTACGTTCCCGCAGAGGCACTTGCTGTAGGCGTCTGGGCCCATGAGAGGCCCACGATACTCGCAAGGAAGAAGGTCAACAGCATGGTGGCAATGGCGCTAGCAGCAATAACAATGTGAACAGTTCCGACAAGAAAGAAGCCGCGATACGGCTGTTGTTGAGGTCGAGTGCTGGCACATCTGGCATTCTGCATGGCTTCAGCGTGCCGAGCTTGACTCGCGTGATTCACTGCAACGTCGCATTACACTTTGCCATCTTTTCACCCATGTCAGCTTGCAGTAGTCTTGTCAAAAGTGCGGAGAAGCTGCGGGTTTCGCAGCCGATGTGGAACCCGCTGCTTAGCGGACCATTGCGCTGTACAGAAGACCGAGAAGACTTGCATATACAAATAGGAGTATCAGGGTGCTCAGTATGTGACTGCCTGAGGCCAGCGAACATGTCATCTATGGAAGAGATCGCGAAGGGGAAGTCGAGGTCTCAAAGGGGTGATGATGAGACGTACATTTATATTCCACTAGACGGTCTGCAACAACTGTTCGATCATACTCAGCGCGCCTGAGCGGCCTTGTGGTTGTAGTTTCCCATATACCAATACCTTGCATCAGAAGATTGGCTTCACGCGTGACTCAGCCGCCATTCTTTGCCTACTAGTAAGAGCCTAAGCAAAGACTCCAGCTGGAAGAAGAACTTGCAGTGGACTGTGAACGTCGACGATCCCAGTTCCACACCAGGCTTGGCACCCACCGAGGTGTTTGCAGATGGTTCACAACTTTCTGGCCTGACAGCATCAACAACGGCGTGAAGACATCTACCGCCTCCCGCGAATGGGAGATTCTCTGGCCTTCGTCGTGTCTGACAGCCCCCGACACTTGTCTGTCCACTGAGGACCAAGCGGCAACGTCAGGGCGCGGCTCGCCAGTCAGAAACCTTGCTGCTCACCCCCCCGACCTTCCCCGCTCTCAGCCCGTTTTGCAAGAGTGACAGCAGCCATGGCGAGGATGGCAGGCCCCCTATACCCTCGTGATTGCGCAGCTATTGCTGTTGACAGACAACACTACCGCGACGAAGCCCGATCCATAAAGTCATCGGAACACGCTGGGTATCGCATTCCTCATTCTGCCTTGCCGCTATCTCCCGACCATGCCATTGGCTACTAGAATGCTCCGGGGACGCCTTGCTTGGCAGAAGCATACCTCGCTGACTTGGTGTCCGGCGGTGATGGTTCGACAACAGCTTCCTCGCGACACGAGAATCGCTCCGGTACGCTTCGCATCATACGACCATAACCGCAAGCCTTCGGCCATTGCGCAGCGCCTGCCAGATCCCGAGCACCAACCACAGCGATTTCGCGAGTTCGACCTCGAAGGCAAAGTATTCGTAGTGACTGGAGGTGGCAGGGGTCTTGGCTTAACCTTAGCTGAAGTCCTCGTTGAAGCGGGCGGCAAAGGTACTTTACGAGTTGTTCCTCCGGGTTCCAACGGCTGACCATTGAATCCTAGTATACTGCCTCGACAGGCTCGCCGCGCCTGTGGACGAGTTTCATCATTGCAAGGATCGGCTAGCGCAACTATATGGCGGCACTCTCAACTATGACCGCGTTGATGTTCGCGATGCATCTGACCTAGATCATGTCATCGCCAGAATCGCCGACGAGAATGGCCGTCTCGACGGTCTCGTGGCTGCCGCTGGCATACAGAAAGTCACTCCTGCCCTCGACTATCCCCCGGAAGCCATCAACGACATGATGGATATCAACTTCAAGGGAGTCTACCTGACCGCAGTCAGCTGCGCCAAGCAGATGATCAAGCACAAGAGCCCCGGATCACTTTGCTTGATCGCGAGCATGAGCGGTCTCATCGCTAACAAAGGCTTCACCTCTTCAGTGTACAATTCTTCAAAGGCCGCCGTGTGCCAACTGACGAGGAGTCTAGCCATGGAATGGGGCAAGGTTGTCGATGGAAAACCCATTCGAGTCAATGCCCTCTGTCCAGGTAAGTCAAAGACCTTCAGCCTAGCTTCAGCTTAACCATGACAGGTAACATCATGACGCCAATGGTGGAGAAAAACTTTCAAGATGATCCAGGACTGCGTGAGATTTGGGAACGAGAGAACATGTTAGGCCGTATCTCAAGACCACACGAATACCGTGGTGCCGCACTCTTCTTGCTCAGCGACGCAAGCAGCTTCATGACCGGCTCTCAGGTACAGCGTCCAGTCACTGGTGATCTCATCCACTGATGTCGTCTTAGCTTATTATTGATGGCGGATACACGGCGTGGTAACACAAAAGGAGTCTGGGTGAGCTATCATGTATGTAAGAGTAGGCGTCGTGAGTTTGTTAACAATCTAATGATTCGCGTCCTGCCGCTGGTGCGATCCTGAAGTTGATTCTTGGGCAATGAAGTCTCAAAGCACCCCTTCCCACCAGGCACCTCAGGCTCGAGTACCACTTCTTTCACGTTGATCGAAACCAACTCTCCTTTGTCGCGATGGTCCGACCCGGAATCAGTCGGCCAAATCTCTACTACTTGGCCCTTCTCGAGACCTAACGGATCAGTCCGGTCTACCTCGCCTTCCGCCTCTGCATAATCCGCTTCCAGGAGCTGCTCTACTGCCTCCTCATCTCCTACCAACTTCACCTCGCCCTGGATCTTTCTCATGCCCTCCACACCTCATTGAACCTCTCCACCCAAGTCAAGCCCAAGACGAAGCCCTCGGGTACCTGTCCCTACCCAACACAGCACTTCCACCCCTCTCACATGTCCATCGTCTTCCCCAACACTCGTAGACGGATATGTCGTAGGTGAAGAGGACGTATGTTGGGATGCTGCTGCTGCTGCTGCTGCTGCTGCTGGAGGACGACATGCTGAGATGTAGAGGTAAAAAGGGGAGGGGGGACGAGAAGAGGGAATGGCACCGCTGCGAAGAGTATTCCTTTTAGGGGGTTTGCATATGCAGCCGATCACTGACTCAGTCTCTTTGCTCACCTAGGTGCATGCATGGATCACACCCGGTTGTTCGACGATCCTACACCCACACCCCGCACAAGGCGGTTGGCGTGATTGGCTGCTGGCATTTCACTGCCTGAGCCTCGGGCTTTCGGTGCAAGTACATATGGACCGTGGGACTGACTCGTGAGCGTTATTAGATCAAGGACATTATCTTCCTTATACAGGATCTTGCCTGGCGACTGAGCACACGATTTCTCGATCTGGTCTTGTCTCTGCAACGCTGCACCGTGCAATACTCATCTGCAAGTGCCGAATACATCTACCTCGTACCGTAGTTGCCAACGCACAGCATCTTAGCGACTCTGAGCACCTGCCCGGGGAAACGAGTAACACCAGCACCATCACCTCCTAGCCGAGCAATCCAGGAAAGCAACCATGCCACCCCCCTTCGAGTTCCGCACCCCACCCGCCCGGGCCCTCCTCGGCGGCGACCTCGTAGCCCAGTCCCTCTCGCACCTGGGCGTCACCCTCGCCTTCGGCCTGCACGGCGGCCACCTCGACGCCTTCCTCGTGGGCTGCGCCTTCTGCACGCCCCCGATCCGGCTCATCGACACCCGCCACGAGACCTGCGCCGTGCAAGCCGCCGAAGCCTACGCCAAACTCGCCCCCTCCAACTCCACCGGCAGCGGCAGCAACGACCCCGCCGCCTCCGACAACACCACTCCCACAGTCGGCGTCGCCTTCGTCACCGCAAACTCGGGCTTCAGCAACGCGCTGCCGGGGCTCGCGACCGCGTGCGCAGACCGCAGCCCCGTCTTCGTGGTGACGAGCTCGCCGCCCCTGCGGGAGGCCGAGACGAACGCCCTGCAGGGGTTCCATGACCAGGTCGTGCTCGCGAAGCCGATGACAAAATTCGCACACCGCTGCACCAACGTCGAGGAAATCCCCCGCATCGTCAGCTATGCGTTCCGCGCGGCGCAGCAAGGCATACCGGGCCCCGTGGTGGTCGATTTCCCCATCGACGTGCTGTTCAGCCCGCCACGGTCACAGGCGGCGTTGAGTTTTGGGGCGTTGGGGTGCGAGGCCGCCAGGCCGCCGGGGCCAGAGGGGGCGGCGTTGAAGAGGTTGGCTGGCTTGTGGGCGGTGGCGAAGAGGCCGGTGGTGGTGGTGGGGACGGGAGCGGCGAGGTTGACGAGCCCGGGGAAGAGGGAGAGTGGCTTGTTGGCGTTGGCGCAGGAGATGAAGACGCCAGTGTACTATAGCTCCAAATTCGCGCCGGCGTTGCCGCGTGATAACCCTTGGAGGGGCGGGCCGGCTACGAAGTTGGCGGCACTGCCGTATCTGGGCAAGGAGAGGCCGGATTTCGTGCTGCTCCTGGGCGCGAGGACGGGGTTTCTGCTGGGCGGGCGGAATTATGCTATCATTCCTGAGGAGGCAACGATCGTGCAGGTGGATCTCGATGGGGCGGAGATCGGGCGCTCGTTGCCGGTGCAGCTCGGGTTGGTCAGTGATGCGGGCGTGTTTGTGGAAGCGTTCTTGCGACATGTCAAGGAATCGAAGGTGGAGGTGCCGGCCAGGGACGAGTGGGCAACGACGGTCAAGGAATTGAAGGGCTTGGGGAGTAAGTATGACAAGGAGGACTCCAAGGCGAAGGACGGGTTACTGCATCCGTATCACGCGTTGAAGGCGGTGTTTGAGAGTATTCCTCCGGATAGCATTGTGCTGATCGATGGCGGCGAGGCGGGTGTGTGGGCCATGGACTTGCTCGAGCACGCCCGAGCAGCGCACGCTCTAGTCTCGACGGGCTACCTCGGGTTTGTTGCCAACTCTCGACTCCAGGCGGTTATACTGACGTTACTTCTAGGTTCTTAGGCAACGGATGGGGATACTCACTCGGGGCGGCGCTGGCGTACCCCGACCGGCTGGTGGTGAACATCCACGGTGACGGATCAGCTGGCTTCCACATTCAAGAGCTGGATACGTACGCCCGACACGGGTGCAGGGTGCTGACGGTCGTCATGAACAATTACTTCTGGGGCATGAGCGTAGCTGGCCAAGATCTGATCTACGAGAAGTCGGAAAGCGTTCGTCCGGCCTCGGAGCTATCGCCCAACTGTCGCTTCGACATCGTGGCGCAGGGTTTCGGCTGCGACGGCCGCATTGTCGAGCGGTTTGAGGACGTTGCAAAGACTACTAAGGAGCTGGTGGAGGGCAACAGAGCGAGTCTGTTGAATTTGATCGTTTCTCGCCAGCCTGTGACGGATACGACAAAGGTAAGTTTTGAAGTCTTTCAGAATGGCGAGTTGTAAAAGCTAACGAGCCGAAGAGCATGGTTGGGCAGACAGATGACGAGGACGTGATCGTTGTCCCATACTATGACAACGTGCCAAAGCCTTTCTATCGGGAGAAGGGCTCCAAAGCTGCGGAGCAAACAAGGCAGAATGGGACGACATAGAAAGCCGCGCATGTCACTGCTTCTCCGTAAAGGAGCATGGGGAATTCGTGACGATGCTCAAGGCCATTTTTGTGTAATGGCGGGCCCGATAACTCGGGCTGCCACTCTCAAGAGGATCTCTTAGGTTCCAGACAAACTCTGAAGCCGTTAAAACGACCTGACATCCGAAGTAGAGGAATGGAGTGGTTGCTGTCTAGTCATGCTAGAAGACTATGTTTGTGAGTCATGCGCGAACAACGCCTTTGGGTGCTGTGCTTTGACCCTATACCACAACCAACCGCCATGCAGGTAATATTGTACAACACAAATCGATCTTTGCTTTGGTACACAAGGGCCCTTCTAAGACTTTCTTGTCTTCAGTCTCATGCCAGCGATTTGGCTCGAATGAGGCTTGGGGTTCCTCGCTTGCCTCTCCAGTTCTTGTCTCTCCTGCTCCTGTTGCTCGTACGCATCTAGACTTTTCTGCTTGCCCTTGTCCTCTTGTGATTGACGGGTGCTTGAGGCTAGTTCACGGCCATCTTTGGTGTAGGATTGGAAGGAAGACTTGAATTTGCCAACGGCCTTGTCGATGTAACTGACATTCTGTGCCGTCTCCGGCGCAGCTTCTTGCTTTGGTTTGATAGAAACGTCGATCGTCTTGTTACGGAGCCGCATGCCACCAACGTCTGACTTCGTCTGATAACCGAAGGCATCGGTGGGCTGCGGGGGCGGGATGTTTGCCGGGGAGGGGCCAAGGCCGAAGCGACTCCGGAAAGTATCATTGTTGAGAAGCGTCAGCTGAAGCTGTGTCAACAATGTCTGGGACAAGAACCAGATCTGGACAGCCAGCAACTGGTAGTGGCAGAAAAGCACCGAGACCACCGGCAGGATGTACTTGAAGATGACCATCATACCGGCTCCCGGATTGTTGGCGCCCATATTCGCAATTTGTTTGTTTAATCCGCGATAGGTCATGATGCCTATGATGGCAGGCAAGATGTATGGATCGCTGACGGCCAGACTGTCCAGCCAGAGAAAGCTTTCGGCTTCCATTGAAGGCACAGGAAGGTCTGCTGCATTTCGCAATGTGCGGAATCCGCCGAACGTGAAGGGGATCTGGATCAATGGTAAGAAGCCGTGCCACGCCTTGATGCCACTCTCCCTGCTCAACGCCCTCACTTGTTTACCAAGGCGCATTGCTTCTTGCCGGTCTCCTCTCATTGCAGCTGCCTTGTAATCTTCTTTTAAGGGCTGAAGGTAGGGCTGGATCTCTCGCATTTTAGTTCCCGATCTGTTCGCCATCAAGTTAAAGTTGAAGAAAGAAAGCTTGATGAGCACTGCGGTAGCAATGATTGTGACACTCCATGGAACCCCACCCCATACGTGAATGTGCTCCATCACCCATTGCACAGAGGAAGTAAATCCATACCAGTACTGTAAGCCACAGACCTCGGTCAGGTAGCCGATACGCTCTGGAATCTGAGAGATGTCGGCGAGGTCGGCGGCGCCGTCTGTTGGCCCAAGGACTGCATCTTCAACTCTTTCCAGTAGCTCGGGCTTCGCTTGGTCGGCTGGTACACCATGCAGGTATGATGGGTCAGGAGTATCTGCTGTGGCAAGCGACGCTTTGACAGGATCTTTGAGATCTGAGATTTGTGATGAGGCAGGATCGATCACGGCTTGATTTGATGGAGGATTCTCGGGCGCAGAGGGTTTAGAGGACCACCATCCAGTCCACGATATAGAGCGACTTTGTTGGCTGAGCAATGCCGAGTGGGCGTAATTAAGTTGCGGGCGCTTCGAGTATGCGCGCGGCGTCGCAAGAGGCCTTGATGAAAACTGTACCAAGTCAGTTTGTGGTTTCAATGACGCCCGGAGCAAAACCAACATTTCGAGCTATGTTTATCGATGCGAGACCTGTTCTACTAGGTCTCAAGGTTGCAGCCGGCCTTTTCAGACCTTGTGCACGCGGCAGCATTGTGGGTTGGAGGCACAAGGGCTTCTAAAGATGGTCGCAGTGATCATCGATGAGCTGCTTCACTTGTCGGGGAAAAGTTTGGGACGCGGGATAGCGTGCCAAGCCTCCGTCACGCGTCTTTCTTTTCGGTTTCATTCAGTGCTTCATTATTCGCTTTACACGAGTGCAAGTGATGTCTTGACCATTGCCGCTCTAAGTCTGTCTGCTAAGCAGATCTGTCCCGCCCAACACCGTGCGCTTATGCGAGTGGATGTCTACCGTGCTTCTGTCAAAACTCCCTCAGATGTACTTTTGGACCACGGCACCACCACGTTTGAACTCCGGCATATCCCCAAGCTGCTGGTCCAGATCCTTCAGCTCGTTGGACGGAAACGTTGTCTGCATGACGAACTCTCTACCGCCTGACTCCGCCCGTCGAACAAAGTCGTACAAGTCACCCACTGTCTGAGTTGTGTTGAAGCGTGAAGTAAGCCGTGTGCCCGAACCGAGGCTGACCCGCAATGTAATGGTAGGCTGAGACTCGTCGAATGTGTTGGCAGGGTTGGCAGGTACAGCTGCGGCAGCTGGCGCAGATGCAGCAGGAGCTTCGAATGCGCCGGGCATTGATTGAACGCCGCCGACACCAGGAGTCGGGCTACCAAGACGGTTGCCAGACCCATCAAATGGCTTGTACTTTTTCTTAGGCTTGACATACTGCTGCTCCTTGTGCTCTTTGATCTCAACGTCCACCTCCTGACCAGGCAATACATTCATGATGCGGAGAGGTGCCCGGCCACGCCGAATAAGCTCGAGCAGCTCAGCGTTGCGGGGATCGTCAGAACGATAGAGATCGCCGTCATCGACAGAAAAGCCATCAGTCCAGAAGTGAAGTGTGCGTTCGACTCTCTCCGGAGGTGCAAGCGGCTGTGGAGGGGCTGCAATCTCTTGCGAGGGGGTATCATCTGAACCGAGAGTGTGTGCGGCGCCCTTGAAATGTGTCTTCTTGGAAGGAGCGTCTTTGGGCGGCGGACCAGCTCTCTGTGCCTTCTCCAGTATGCGCTTCTTCAGATCATCTGGATTTTGCACGGCCAGGCCTGACTTCTCGCCACCTGCAAAGAAGTCTTGCTTCTCGTCATCATCATCGTCGTCGTCATTTTTCGAGCCAGAGTTGAAGTCGCCGAGCGTAGCGAACTTCTTCTGATTTGGGGCTTTGGAGGGCTTGGAGGAAGATGTTGATGCGGTCGCAGCTGACGGGTCTGAGGGATCACCTAAACGGTGGCCACCACCAGCCGATCTAGTATGAGACCCCTGGGGTCCGTCGTCGTCGACATAATCGGAATCGTTGGCTGGATCCTCGGTGTTGTCTTCTTGTGCAGCATAGTAGCTGGCAACAGCAGATTCGATGTCACCTCCGCTCGCAGCGACGAATTGAGCGGCGAGGCGGGGAGGTGCACCAGTGATGTGGCTAAACTGCTGCACCTTTTCGTCGCTAACCGAGTCCGCCATGGTGATGTAACAGCAGTCGGTTGGGTATGAACTAACTCAAGATGTTAAGAAGGAGGAATAAGTGCAAAGGTGGCAGAGGAAAGGGTAAGTAAGAGAAAGGCAGACGCGGACGAGTGCTTTCAACGAAGGCAGAGCAAGGTGCGTCATTGGTAGACACCTTGCCGTGCTGTGATTGGTCGAAGCACAACCGCTCCTCGGTGCCTTCAGAGCAGCAAATTCACGGCGGAACATCTTTGGTCTCCAACTTCACGTCTTTCTTCGCACTTTCATTGTTTCTTTTTCTCATCGAGATTAGTCTTTACGGAGAAGACATCGTGTATGAGGATGTCTCGAAGTGGCAAGCTTGTCTAGTTGATACGCATAGTCCTCACCGCAAACCATAGCCAGACTCCCCTCAATTCGGCATCATGACATCTCGTTCGGAACGCTCGCCGTCCCCTACGCGCGATCTGTCCGCATCTGCCCTGACCATACCTTCCGACTCTGAGCCATATTCTTCACTATCACCGCCTTCATCGAGTCCACCGCAGTCATCGAACAACAATGGAGAACAACCCGTGATCATATATCAGCCACCGACAGTCTGGTCATTGCTGCGTGGGGCAGCCATCAACTTGATATTACCGTTTGTCAATGGCTTAATGCTTGGGTTTGGAGAGCTTTTCGCACATGAGTTTGCTTTTAGACTTGGATGGAGTTCAACAAATGTGAGCTACAAGAGGCGCGTCTTTGAGCGAGTCTATTCTAACAAATGTGAAGGTCTGGCCGCAAAGCCGCGGCACACATTCAGTTGGACCAGGAGTGGAGATGAGAGAAGACCCGTTCGAGCGAAGACGGCGGAACGGGTCGATAGATCCTGATGTGCAGGATGCGTCCGCCCTGGAGTAACGAGTACTCCTCTCCCAAAGTCGAGCATCTGGAATAGACCGCGCAACAAGTAAAGTATGAGATGCAGCAAAAGGATCCGTTGAGAGCCTGTACATAGCTTGAAGTCATCACGACATCTTCGTTCGGCTGTCTTTGGTTGCGCTCTGCCATCCATGCTCTAACGGTGTTTTGTACTTCAAAAGAAGACAGGTGTAAAAAGTGCCGCCCCCGATTAGCGGCTTATTCAAACTTCTCCATCGCTGTTATTCCCGTGTAACAATCTCAGCTAGAGACGAGTGGTCAATCTGCTTCGCCAATTTTGTAGAACGCGCTGCAACTCAGTACTGAGTGGGGGCGGTCACTGCCAGATTTGACCTGGCACAGGGAGCATGATCAGAGCACGGAACCTTCCACACAGATACAAAGTTGGCACAAGTGCTGCCAGGTCTGGAGGCTGCTCAAATGTGGTAGGTTCAGCTGAGCTTGCTCTCATCAAGCCGAAGGACTGGCGAAGGATTGGTCCGATTGGGTAGATCGCGCTTCGCCTATTCGGGAAGTATATTATGATTCTTGCTTGGCGGGCAGCTGCGACCAGGGTCGGTCTTGCTTTACCAGGCGGCTGCGTTCGACACCCACGGAACAACACCTTTCACTCTGCAATACGACCAACGCGCCAACCAATCGCAAACTCGAGCCCTATTGTCGCGCTTTCTATTTCGCGACACCAAAATCGTCATTGAGGCTGCAGAACACTACATCTGGGCAGCACACGGTTGCGGTCAATGTTCGAACGAAGCCCAACGTGAGGCAGCACACGTCAACAATGGCGTCGGCACAACTACCGACAAAGTTTCCTTGCTGGTGCCGCGCAGTGTACTCCTGGGGTGGTGAAACCGATAAAGACCTCGGTTTTGTGGAAGGCGACCTAATTGAATGTCTCAACGCGGGCGATGGATCGTGGTGGATGGGTAGACTGCGGAGGGATCGAAGAATGATGGGACTCTTTCCTTCGAACTTTGTCGTTATCCTCGAAGAAAACTTCGTTCCCATCAGCCGATCAGTCAGTCCGTTGCCAGAGCTTCAGAAAACGGACAGTGCAGCACGAGCCGCAAAAGAGAAGCAGGAAAAGAAAGAGAGAGCAAGATCATGGAAGCCATTCCAAGGGTACAAGACGGCGCAGACCCCTACAGGCTCAGCGAGCGCATCGTCAGTTCAAAAATCAGCGCCGCAGCGACAATCCAGTCACAATCCCGCCAATCCTCCTTCGACTGTGCTATGGCAACAGCGTCCTACATCGAGAGGACCATCAAGAACACCCTCGCCGATGCCAGAAAATGACATTGGCTCATCACCGCCTCCACCGCCCCCTCCTCATAGGAGTGGTGTTGGTGAAAGTTATTCCAGAGCGCCGTCACCCCAACCAGCGCTTGTTGATCCAAGTCGGATTCCATCGCCGTGGCCCGCCGCAGTCGATCCGCATGAACTACACATTCACCACCCGCGTACGCCATCTCCCACACCTCCAACTCCCAATGGACATACTCCGCCGATGATTCGAGATGCGATGGACGATGTCATGAGCTCGCTCGATGTAATGACGCTGGAGCGCCAAAGCTCGTTTCGAGAAACCGAAGAGCCACTCAATCCTTGGTCTCCGGAAGCCTTTGACAATCTACGCCGAACTCAGCGCCCCCCTGCTCGACCACTTACATCACTCGGCTTAGGTGCTGGGGGAAGTAGTTATTCCGAACAACGTATCAACTACAGCCAAAGACATAACAGTCCGGAGCAGTACACTGATGGTCCTCACCAGCTCGAGACCTATGTTCAGCGCATGGAGAGCAGGCTGCGACGGATGCAAGAAGCACGAGAAGCGCAACCACAGGAAGGGATGGGCAGTGACCCCCCGGAGCCGCCACCCAAGAACTCGCCGTTGCCGCCGTCTCAAGGTCGGCCGACTTCTGCCTTCAATCGACGTTTTTCCATGCGCAAGAGAAAATCGGCTATCGATATGAGAGCACAGAACCTTGACCGCACGTACACCACCAAGACCAATTCGACCAATTCAAGTGGCGTCCAGAGCGTCGCAACGAACTTCTCAACTCAGACGAGTATGACCAGCCAAAGTGTTTTCAGCGGCTACTCTGCAGGGGGCTTCAGTGCGACGAGTGCTGGGAGCCTGGCGAGAAAGCGAAATGCTAACGAACGACCTGTGACAAGCGCCGGCACTAGGTCGGAGCTGCCGTTCAGTCTTTCGAGACCCAAAACGCCAACTACTGGCTCGATGTTCGCTGACGACGCACGATCTGGGGCGCGGTCCGCAGTGGGCTGGGACGACGAGCATCGATCAAACAGCGGATTGGGCGGGTTGATGACACCCAAGGCCAAGAAGCAGGGCTTCTTCAAGAAACTGCTGGACAGTGCAAAGACTGGAGCCGCAAGCGCTCGAAGTACCATCGGAACCGACTCTCGGAGCGGTGCTTCGTCGCCAACCAAGATGACGGGCATCGCTGGTGGTACAGCACTCGGCATCATGCACAAGAAGAACCAGAGCATGTCAAATCTGAGCTATGGTCGAGATGCCGCCAGCGAAATGGGTCTCGGCGGCGGAGCTGGAACCGACTGGTTCATCACCAGGCGCGATATAAATCGCTCGAACACACCGGCGCCTTCTGAGCGCCAGGAGCGGGCCAATCGTTGTCAGATGCTTGACCATCCAGTGATCTGTCCGGTCGAAGAGCTTTACACTGATCGGCAGGGTGACGAGGATGCGGAAGGCCGTCCAGTCTATGAGCCGTTTCAATTGAGCAATCCGAGTTTTAGCCAGGTCGATAAAGCTGCAAGATTCATAACCAGCTTGCCCACGAGTATCACTGCAGCAATACTCGCAACCGGCTATGTGTGTCGCCCGTACCGAAGTATTGTGCAGCGACTACGAGCAATCTTCATCTGGTGTGCTGAAAGAATTAGCTGGGAGGACGACGGCTTCGATGACGGCTGTCAAACAGACACCAGGAGGGTCATTCAGACCAAACGAGGAAGCAGCCGTGAAATCGCTGTCCTCGTAGCGGAAATGTGTGCTAGCATTGGTGTGCCAGCAGAAGTTGTACAAGGCTACCTGAAGACACCTGGTGAAGATATGGATCTTGATGCTGTCGCAAGACCCAATCACTTCTGGAATACTGTTCTGGTTGACAACGAGTGGCGCATGCTAGATGCTAGCATTGCAAGTCCGACCCACCCCAAACGCTCACAGTATTCGGGAGTCAGCAACAGCATAGCAGAGGCTTGGTATTTCCTGGCTCGACCTTCTGAGATGTGCTGGACTCACGTGCCTGTGGATGAACAGCAGCAGCGCATGGTTCCGCCTGTCAGCCCAGATACGCTGCTTGCATTGCCGGGCGCATGCCCGTCGTTCTTTCGACTGGGGCTCAGCATGCACGCTTACGATACTAGCATTATACGGCTCGAAGAGCTTGAAGTGTGTACGATCTCAGTCAATGTACCCGCCGATGTTGAGATTGTCGCAGAGGTAGAAGCGAAGAGCTTCCTTCGAGACCAAGAAGGCGATCTCTATGAGGATCCTGATAACGTGAGCAAGAAAAGAATTCTGGCCCAACCCGTATGGTACCGAACCGTTCCCAACACCGAAATCAGCCAGAAGCGGTATATGATCAAAGCTGTCCTCCCAGGAGATGAAGGACAGGGCGTGCTGAAAGTGTATGCGGGAAAGAAAGGATTGATGCTCAGCGCTCGAGATATCGTGCACCCTCTGGCGCTTGCCGTCCCAATCTACCACACAGGCAAGAATCCTGCTTACGATTTTGTGAAGCGGCACCCGACTCCTCATGCATCAAAACACGACCTGTACGTCGTCCAACCGCAATGTTGGCGTCTCGGCGCCGGCGAAACGTATGTTTTTTGCGTGCGCCAGAACCCAGCCAGCCCAGGTTCGTCCGGTGAGCAGAATGCCCTGGACGGCGCCCGACCAGCCAGCCCGAACCCATTAATTCGACCTGCCAGCGCGATGAGCATGACGAGCAGCGCGGCAGGCAGTCAGCCGAGTGAACCAAGCACGAATAGCCTATCCAATGGAACGAAGATCAAGGAAAAGCCAGCCAAGCTTGCGATTCAGAGTCCTGGAGGACGCATTATCCGATTGAGTCGAAAGGCAGAAGGGCTTCCGCAGCAGACGGCGCTCAAGGAAATCGACGGCGAGGTGATGGGGAGCGTGTGGGAGAGTGTAGTGAAGGTACAGGAACGTGGCACGTGGCGTGCCCTGGTGTTGGCGGATCGACAAGCCAGATGGTGTGTGTGGGCGGAATGGGAGTGTCTATGAGTCGAACGCACGTGTCTCTGGGGACCGTGTGGATTATCACGAAAAAGTATGGGGCGTTTGGGTATGCTCGTTTGCGCTTGTGCAAGTCCGACTTGTTTGGCGAAACATGATCTCAGGTTGGGATCATGTTGTGGTGGTGTACAGTCCGGCTGAGGCCAATGCCTGGAAAACTGGATATTTGGATTGGGGATAAGGATGACCCACGCGAGATGTCTGGTTCTTTCACGTTGTAACACCAGCTGCCGATTCTTGACGATGCAATGAGCTTTAAGATTCCAATGAATGATTACTTACTGTTATGCCATGTTTTCTTCACCATTGCAGCATGATGGGGATCTTCATTACCGCCTACGGAAAGACTATTTCTGGATGTGCTGTACATACAAGCCCTAGAGCTTAGCTCGTATCGGCTCCAGGCGCCATCACCGGATATGGCCGGAGATCGTCATAGGGGCGATAGGCTGCCGCTAGACCTGTTCCTAGCATGACCCGGCCTTCCGGCTGCGCCGTCGCTCCATGAATTTCTTTTTGCCGCTGGCTGACTACTACAGTACAGCGACCTGTACCTTTTCACATCCTACGTTCCTCTCAATATGACTTGCTCCTGTTCTTGCTTTTACTCACGACGCGTGTCTATGCTGTCGTAGATACTGCATCGAGTATTCGGGGCGACGAAGGACGGAATTCGGCAGTTTTCTCCCCCCCCCTCATGCAGCTCCCGCACGTGTCCGCCGAAAGATTTCCTTGACGACACCGGCCACCTAGACAGTGCGAAGATTATGGGTGTTTTTCAGGCCGTGGTGGACTATTTGGCGCCTCTGTTGTACGTTTGTTCGCCCTCTTTGCGCCTGGAATAGGATGTAGTAGGAGCTGATACCATGCGCCCAACAGTTTGATCGCGAGTCCCGTCACGAGCTATGCGGATCAGATCGTTAGCATACACCGGAGCAAGACGAGCGCGGGCTTCAGTCTGGATATTCCGTTGATTATGCTGCTGGCTAGCATCTTGAAGTGAGTGACTACTTCTGCCGGGCTAATCGCGGGATGCGGAGACGACAACGACGACCCATAGACTTGGGAAGAGACACGTGTGGACGCATGCTGACGGGCTCATAGGGTGTTCTACTGGTTCGGCGAACACTACGATACCGCCCTGCTCGTGCAGGCCATGCTCATGATAGCGGTGCAAATTACGCTGCTCAAGGTTGCGCTCGACAATCGGCCGCCCAGTGGTGAAAAGAACGGTCTGCAGCACATACCCTTCGCGGGGCATTCCCGCTCTGCTCTCGAAGAGCTACTGAGTGTTCGCCGCCCCTACGACTTCTGGCGCTGGTCCAACAGCAAGTCGTATTTCGTCTTTCTGGGATACTTCGCGGGGAGCCTCGCTGTCATTCAGATTCTGTTGCCGTGGCTAGCGTACAGTCCGGCGTACGTGGGGCTCCTGGGATATACGGGACTGGCCATCGAGGCGACGCTGCCGCTGCCTCAAATTTACAAGAACCACAGTGCGCGGAGCTGCAAGGGGTTTCGGGTCAGTGTGATCATCAATTGGTTGATGGGCGATGCGATGAAGATGTGCTACTTTTTTGGGGCGAGCGAGCCGGTGCCCTGGCCGTTCAAGCTGTGTGGTATGTTCCAGGCCGCATGCGATGCGTATCTGGGTTTGCAGTTTTGGATGTATGGAAGCGAGAGGGGGAGTGCGAGGGACATTCAGATGGCGACGCCGGGGAAGAGTATCCTAGGCTGAGGCTGAGGTGAAGTGCAGTTGTTAGCGATAGACTCCCAATGATTAACGAGCTTGTTCGCACAAGGAAGTGGTAAACCTGTTGTCGGAAACCATTGCCATGGCTTCTTTTGACGGTCGTGTGAGCTGAGAGATTTCTGGATCAGGTGAGGGTCGGTTGAGGATCAGGTGCGTGACGAGTAACAAGGTTCTCGCGCCCTTCCACTACACGACTGCACTCGTGAGACGGATCCTCAAGCTTTGGCCTCTTTGAAGAAGTTTTATCGGCATGGGTCGTGCACAGCGTGACTTCTAGTGTTCAGACTGAGGACAGGCGTAGCTAGGATCCATGATCATCCATGGACGTACCGGGGGGACTCGTGAGGACCATGCTAGAAGGGGTTCAGGCAGACTTCCTTTTGCAAAAATGTCCTGTGTTAGCCTTACTGGCATTAAAGCTGAGGTCGACGAACCGCGACGACTACAACGACGAAGCAGAGCCGCAACAACTTTTTGGCCCTTAAAATAGCCCCGGTTGCAGCCTCTAAACGGGCAGTACCTTTACGAGCTTGCGTGTCTCGAGACACGGATCAACAATTAAGCGACCTATGACAGCCTCTCTCAAGTTTGCGACGAGGCTCCGATCGCAGCCTCGCCGCCGAGAACGCAGATCTTGGTGCAGTGGGCGAAGCATATCGGTGCCATATCACCTGTTGTGGCTGGCTATTCGGAAAGAGGCTTGCGTTGCTTCCAAGAAATGGGAAAGAACCTCATATATAGGTCCTCGCTACGGCCGATTGAAGGGCAAGGGGCACAGTTACCTAACACTAGTCACACAAGACCTACACACAATCGCCTACATTTCAATTCCATGAATCTAAGATCTCTTCGGAGGACACATCAGCGACACGTCAGAGTGTTTCTCTGGCAACTCTACAACGTCCTTATTCCTCCGCATTCGCCTAGGTTCTGAATCGCGTACTATGAATACGTCACAAAAGACGGACGAACCAGTCTCTCGACCGAGTGCAAGCTGATTGTCAGCAAAGCATCGCCAACCCAAAAAACAATCACCGTTTCGGAGGACAATTATCACCGACACGCAGTATGCTGGATGATAAGCGGGCGTACCGCATGCACGGCTGTGGCTGCTGAAGCCCGACGTTGGACTTAAATGTCCGTACCATGCATGATGCCTGCAACTCCGCTTTTCAGGCATCCCTAAAGGTTGCAGCCCGCCACAAATCGGCGACTTGTACACGGCGGCCTGCTTCAACCTACTATACGACGAGCGTATTCAAGGGTCAAGTGGTTGAAAGTGAGGAGCGCATGAGAGGAAGACTGGATCCTCGTCGCCATATCACGCGACAGGGGGCGGGTGCGGCGGCTGCGGGCGGCTAACATAACCGCTTAGGCTGCCTAAGCTCGCGAGGTGTCAAGGTCTTGGATAGGGTACTTACCGCATGGGGTATGTCCAAGCTCTGTGTCATTCGCTTGCACGAGCCGCACGAGTATTGGAACCTAGGGATTCCCTCAAGACGAAGATTTGACCGCAGGGGAAATGGAAGTTAGCAGAGACTTGCCTACTATGGTGATACGTGCGCTCCAATGATGAGTCTCTGGGTCGAACAGGCGTGCCCTTGGTTGTCCTAATTATGACTCTCCGCAGCGTTCGGTAGCAGTGCTAAATAGAACACCTACCAGAAGCAGTCAGACGAGGCTGGCTGCTTAACAATGCGGACGAACCCGAAGTTGAAGATGTGAAGAGTAATCAATAGCCAAAGCAGGACTGGCGGGCCAAGCGATGGGAACCGACGGGACAAAAGTACGGACAGTCATCGCCGATATTCCAGAAGACATGGGCAGACACGAGGAGTTTCCCGTCAGCGTAAAGAACAGCAACAACTGCTGTCGATCATTGACTACCATGTTCGACAACTCCGAAGAATGTGCTTTGAAGGGCAAGACCGGGAGCGAGCGCGAGATGCGTGGGGGGCATGTTGCGCTGACACGGGGCGCGGAAAGACGGTGTAGACAACATAACCAAATGGTCGTCTAAGGCGTATGCTGGCCTTTAAGCAGGGCCTTAACAGGGCAGCTGTTGGGCGACGAGGCAGTTCAAGACGCTTAAGACGCTTGTCAGCACTTAAACCACTGCCCAGGCCCATCGTTTAGCCGGAGCCTAAACGGCTTGCGGTAAAGCCACCCGTAGCACCACCGCTCTTCTCTTATGCGGCAATTCCGCAGGGAACGTCAGACCTTAACGTCGGCCCTGACTCAGCATGCTGCACCAGCCCACGATCGTCGTTCCATGAGACTTCCTGATCCATACTCCAATTGCCTGTTTGGCGATATCGTCGACCACTGTCATCGCTCATTGCCAATGAGCTGTTGCTCCCGCTAGTACTTCATTCGATCTGGCGAGCTCGCCTTTCCATCGTCTTCCGCAGGGCTGACACACACTCCTGGCTTCTCCCGTCTTCGTGGTTGCGAGTCGATAGTCCGGTCGGCCATGACGTGGAGTCACAGTACTGTTTCTACCATCTATTCTCGGACCTCTACCGCGCGCGAGATTCACTTACGCCGTCTCCGTCACACATCGAACCACCATTCCGGCAGACCATCACCAGGCCGCTTCGGGCTGTCGCAACAGCAATAACGGCGTTTCGCTTTCTAGTCTCGCTTCTCGAACTGGTGGACCCTTGTATCGGCCGTGCGTATAGTCCGCCTTGGTTGTACTGGATCAACCTCATTCCCAATCCTATCTCTCCCTCGATTCGGCTCCTTTGCTGATCGCTGCAAAACATCACCTTTGCGCTCACTCCTCCTCTTCGACATAGACCTCACTTCCCCTTGACCAGGCCCCTACAACCGCTGCCGCGGCTCTGCAGGATTACGTATTGCCGACTCATTCTCGAGAAGCGCCTTTGGGGCCTCATCTGCCCTCGCCTTTCCGACAGTGAGCTTCTAGGCCTTTTGCGGAAACCAACTAAAACCCTCCGAGACCTGACCTTGGGCTCATATAACAACAAGCCCTCTTAGACTTTCCCACATCTAACTGGTTCTCTCGTACAAAGGGTTACTCCATTTCGCAAGTCAAGAAGTGGCACTCTCTGCCCAAATTATCACCGCCTCACTCGACACTTTACGTTAAGGTCGAAGTTGATACTGCCAAGACGTCCATTCCCATCTATCTTCCTGAACGTTGGCCTCTTGTCCAATCCAGCTCCAGCAAATCTTCCGACCAGTCATAGGAACAGGACACTAGCCGTCGACTGCAGCAACTACAACATATCGCACCCGTGTACCCGATTTGACGGTCACACTATCCCGATTGCTAGCCGTACTCGTGCCAGCTGCATTCGTGGGCACAAGCACGTTTGACACGCTTCGGCTTTGGCGCGTGGTAATCTACCCCTACCTAGTACAGTCATCTCGAAGATTCGAGAACGAGAGCATGCCTTCCCGAATCAGTGGAGCCTGCAATGGCTGCAGGACCAAGAAGCAGAAGGTATGTCATCCATTTGTCCGGCCTTTCGGGGCAGAATCCAGGTACTTCTCGAAAAGAGGTACGAAGCGAAATTCCACGTGGCGGCGGATTCCGAGTCGCAGTGCATATACCACGGTTCCCTGCAGCATGCACAGTCCGCTAACGCAAGCAACAGTGCAGTGGTGATAGGTTAGTACACCGCACCATTTCCTCCCATCTACCACAAACCCGGGTGGGTCGTCAGCCAGTGCGCTGGGGGTTGCCTTACGGGATTGCATGGCGCACCATGTCAGCACCCTAGCCGATCTCCCGCTTGTGCATGTGGAACCTGGGATTGATGATCTCACACGCCATCCCAAAATGTCCAGAGGCTTGCCTGAGCGCTGCGTGCCGTATTAGCTGCAAAATCGTTTTGCCTACAGGCGTCAGCTGCTGGTCCAGAGACGTTGGCGCGACAAGGCCAGGCGAGCCGAGACCTCCCAAATTTCTCTGCTACGCCCTCGCATCCTTCCCCTGTCAATTCTGTCGAACCATCCTACTTCTCGAGTCGAGCGAGGTGCTAACCTGACGCTTTTTTGGCCGAATAGATCCGGATGCTCCCAGTGCAGTGCAGCGGGAATTGTATGCACCTGGCCTGAACAACGCAAGCGGTGAGTTTATCTTCATTCTCAATTGCGCATTCCTGCATCCAGTCCGTTGACTTGGTACAATCTCGTCCTTGAGACGCGTGCCCTTGGTCTTGGCACTGTCGTACGTGACTTTGCATTCCCGTCAAGCCTCAGCCAGAGCAGTGCATCATGATGCCTCGCCTGAAAGACGCATCAGAGTCTGATCTGTGTGGCTATTGGCCCTCAAAGTCCTACAACCTGCACCTTGCATGATTGGTCCTGGCACAAAGTTTGCTGCTTAGGGATGCACCTTTGTTCTAACTTCCTTTTAGGGGTCCAGCAAAGGGCTATATTGAAGGGCTCGAGCATCGACTCCATGAAGCAGAGACACTTCTCTTGCAGCTCCTGCCTCTCGTCTCCTCCGACCAACTAGCCTCAGCCGCAGCCGCCGCCAATTCTGCTCCCCACAATGGCCCATCCCGAGACTCACCCGACCGGATGAACAACCGTTCTTCGCCTCCTGTCCTCAACAAAAAGACAGGTATCGAATACTGGGAGAACTTTCCTCTAGACAGCGTTGACAACATTCGTCGCTGGCAACAGGACTGTGCCCTACATAGCCACTTCAAAGACGAACACAGCCGCGGTGGTAGCTCCCGACCCAGCTCCGTCGAGGTATCCGAACATGTTTCCGGCCACTCAAGGAAGACATCATCAGTGCCACAATACCGGAGCATGAGCAATGACTCGTACAACGGCAGCCAGGATTACAGTGGCATTGGGCCCTCGCGCTATAACGGTGCGCCTCCACCCACATCGTTTAGTATGCAGCCTCAGCCAGCGTATACGACCAGTGACCCCACTCAGCACTGGCAGCAGGCACCGCAGGTGCATCGAAACGGCATACCTAGTCACATGGCCACTCATCATGGCATGCACCACCAACAACAAGCCCATAGTCAGCAGATGGCGGTTCCGGCGAGCGGACCTATGGACGTCGACGGCAATGGTGCCTTCTTTTCCGGCGAGGTGAAAAGGCACCTGTTCTGGTGAGGAACTTGCATCCGAGTGCTGTCTATCGGCACCACAACCATTGTCATCGTCAAGCTATCTTTCAACATCGACGAAGCTTTACACAGGGTATGATCATCGGGGTCATGATCGTCAGGACGGCCATCTTCGCCCCCGGAACCTTTCACACTTGCACCCCCATCTTATGTTTGTTCCGAAACAAACTCCCCCCCCTGGCATGCAGGATGGAAGAGCAAGGCTTTTTTTCTTTACGATTCAGCGATGGATATAAAAAGCTATGATGGACTTTTTTTTTTCTGGGCGAAACGAATGTACAAAGTAATTTGTGCCTTGCGAGCTACAAGTCTTTTTTATGTCACTGTGTAATCGTACAAGGGGCCAGGATCTGAGTAAGTTGGGCAAAGTGGTCTCTAATGGTCGAAGAAGCTATGAGGTCGGGCTACCAAACGCGAGAGGAAGGAGAAGGAGAAGGACGAGGAAGAGGAGGAGGAGGAAGTGTTCGTGATGAAATACCCCAAGCGATATGAATTAATGACTTTTCCCCCCACATATTGATGAGAGAGAGTGTGTGTAGGTCTTTTTCTTTGGCTTGGTGCTTTTGTTCTTTCTCCACGGCTTTTTCCGAAAGAAAGTCATTGCGGCTGTTGTACTAGAATTCTCAGGTCGAGTATACACTGACTGAAAGGCACTTGCGCTTGGAAGAATGTTGGAGAAATTACGCCAAACCTTTCACTGCCGGGGGGG